ATGCAACTGCGTTGGGTGATGAACGCGAACCCTCCAAACCTGAGGAAGAGGTCGTTACCACAGAGGCTGGAATTGACGCGGCAGCTAGTGGCCAACTAGAAACAGAAGGAACCCAAGAGGCCGCGCCTGCAATTAGCAAAAAGCAAGCTAAAAAGGACAAGAAAAAGAAGAAGCGCGGTTCGACTCAAATTGAACCCGAGACTGAACTCGCCACTAGCGAGGTTACCCAGGATACGCCACAACCTTTGGAGGTGCAAACTGATGCGAACAACGAAGCACCCTCGCAAATTGAGCCTACCATCATTGACACGACTAGTAATGACGCACAGGTAAATCCGGTGCAAGAACTCACAGAGGATCTCTCGCCAACATCAAAAGAAATAAAGGACGACTCTAAGGAAGCCACAGAAGTGACAGAAACTCTTACTGTCGCCCTGGAACTCACAACCGAACCGGTCGCTATCTCTGATGAGCCTGAGCAGGCTAAAAAGGAAGACACTGAATTGATTTCGAGCCCAACCAGCAGCAAAAAATCGAAGAAAGGCAAGAAGAAGCGCCAAAGTGTCCAATTCACCGAACCCCCAGAGCAAGTCGCAATGGAGGCCCCAGTAGCTCCAGACGTCGAATTCCCTTCGTCTTCATCTGACGCATTCTTCAACAATGACTGGGCATCTACTGAGATGGCGCCCCCGCCAGCTTTCCACCAGGAACCCGACGATCACCCTGATGCTGCATCAAACAGTGTTGATGATTCGTCAAAGCTTGAACGTGAGTTTTCGCAGGATCAGCCAGTGGATCCATTAAATCAACTTCTCCACCACATTGAGTCTAAAATGCAATCAAACACTAATGGCAATGAAGAGGACAAGTCAATGCCTGAAGATACTAATGTACCTACAATAACCGAAGAACCTTCCATCCAGAGGGACACACAGAACACAGTTAACGCTCAGATTGATGAACCCAAAGTGGAAGTCGTGGAAGAAACTGCACCAGCCGATTTCCTTGGCAATGCCGAACAACTTGTGGATCAACCTGTAACAACCGAAAAGGAAGGCACAGAGGGCCAGATAACCGATGAGACGGTCGCCGTACAAGAGCCTGTACTCCAAGATGAATCGCAAGTTCCAGTTCTTGAAGATCAAGAGACTCTACCAAAAGAGCCTGATTCCGTAGATATTCCTCAGCCACTGGACGCCACCGAGCAACCCATGGAAATTCAGACAGGAGTGGTGCAACCTGATGAGTCAGCATTGGTTGCACCCACGACTGTTGAAGGTGAGCAGCCAACCGGTCACACAGAAGGCATTACGCCAAGTGATTCACATCCCGAAGTTTCCCCGCCGGCTGAAGATGCTGGCTCTGCCATCGTAGAAGAGGCCCCGGTTACTACGAAGAAAACCAAGAAAGACAAGAAGAAGCGCAAGAGTAAAGGCCAAAGCACACTTGACTCCACAGAAGGGGTATCAACCCCTACGGAAGAATTAAGTATCAATGTTCCTTCGTCGGAGCAAGCCGAACCACAACCAATTACACAAGAAGACCAGCCTGAACCAAGCCAAATTGTGCCAGATGTCCCGATAACTATAGAGCCCGAGGAGTTGATATCTCAACCTGAAGAATCTCAACCACAAGAACCCGAACCTCAATTATCCCAACCTCAAGAATCTCAATCCCAGGAGCCTCAACCTCAGGAAGATGCACTACAGAGCCCCGTATCAAAGAGGAGCAAGAAAAAGAAAAAGAAGAAGGGTAGCCAAGTACAAGAGGCCGAGCCATCCAATGTCCCAACAGAAGAGCCCATACTTGAGCAACCAGCTTCACCTGTTCGTGACAGCAGTGAGTCGCAAAATAAAGAGTCATCGGATTTACCATCTACCGAACAGGTTGAGGCCGACCAACCTCCTACTGAGCAGGAATCATCCGGTCAAACCGACCTACCTGCGCCTGAAGTAATTGAGCCAGTAGCAGACCTACCAGAAGCGCCCACCCAGGAAGTGCAAGCTCCCGAGCTACAACTACCAGATACTGTAGAAGTATCCGCTCAGCCAAAAGACGTTGAACTGGAACCGACCGTGGAGCCAATTGTCCAGGTTGAAGAGCCAGATGACAAGGTACCTATTGTAGAAACTGAGTCTGAAACTATCCCGAGTGGGGATATCACGGAGTCACGTGATCAGAAAGAACCATCTCAACAAGCTACTGATTCGACCGATAATGCAGCATTAGAGCAGGCGCCCATCATTGAGCTACCGACACCCAGCGAGGAAGTTTCTGAGGCCGTGAGCACACCCAAGTCTAAGAAGAATAAGAAAAAGAAGAAGCGTAACAGCCAAGCCAATTTAGACGATACGACATCTGTGCCAAACCAGGAACCGAGTCATGAGCCAACTCAAGACACGAGTCAAGATGCTCCCGAGCCAATCCAGGATATACACGCGCCTGTTAATGATGTGACAAGTCCCACAGAGGTTGCTGTCCCAGTAATCAGTGAAGATATCTCTACTGCAATCCCAGACAAGGCAAGCGAACCTGTTGAGTCAGCAAATACTGTGATTGAGCAAGATGTCTCTGAGCCTATCCCTGAAAATCTACCGGAGACCACTGTGGATGTCAATGACGTCACAGAGCCTGAGCCTGAGCCAAAATCTAGTGAGCCTACTCCCGATCAGCCAATTCTATCAACACAGGTCGAGGGGTTGGAGCCGCAGACGTCCTCGGGCGTTTCTAAAGAAGAGGCTAAAGAAGAATGTCAAGACAACACGCTCGCAATTTCCGAAGACTTTGAGAAGCCACAAGAGAGTCTAGAAAATCTGGCGGAAGATACGTCAACCGCGCTTCTTGATCAGCAGGCCGAAACAAATGTCACCACCCCAGTGGATACCCCCAAAGACGACGACATCAGCGGTTCTGTTTCAACCGAAAAGGGTAAAGAAGCTGAACTCAGCAGCATTCAGGAGGTTGTATCTCAGGAAGAGCCGAGCCAAATTTCTCCGGAAACTGCCGATAACGTAGAACAGCCAGAGGCTAGCACTTCTACTCCCCAACAGGAAACCAAAGATGTAGATACCGCCGATGTTGGGTCAACTAAGAAGAGTAAAAAGAGTAAGAAAAAGAAGAAGGCTAGCCGTGCGGATGATGCGCAGCCACAAGAAGAGCAGAGTCAAGTCGAGCCTGAACCCGCAACCGAGCAGATAACTGAGCCAATCACCGAACCAGTTGTTGAACCGACGATTGAATCAGCCGTCGAACCAGTCGCAGAACCAGTCATTGAGCCTGCGGTTGAGCAAGCGGTTGAACAAGCCGTTGATCTCGAAGCTGAACAAATAGCCGAACCTGACCTAGACAAGACGCCGGAGTCCGGAACACAGCCACCTGAAACTCCGAAAACTCCGAAAGATGAGGGTGTCGAGTCTATTCCTACCAAGAAGAGCAAAAAGGACAAGAAAAAGCAGCGTGCAAGCCTCCAGGAAGAAGCAATTCCTCAAGAAGCAATTCTTCAAGAAGAGCCAGCTCAAACTCCTAGCGAATCAATCGATGCTACGCCCGCGGTCGAAACCACAGAGGCGGAAAAGCCTGGTGTTCCAGAAAGCCCTCGGGATGAAGATACTCCAGATGTTACACCCAGCAAGAAAAGCAAAAAGAGCAAGAAGAAGAAGCGGGCAAGTACCATAGAGGCGGAAACTGAACCCGCGACACCGACAGAGTCAGAGCCACCCATTGTTGATCAGCCATCGGAGTTACCTACAGGAGCTAGTCATGACGCCACAACTGCCGAAAACGTCATTCTTGCTGAGGAGGGTATTTCGACCCGCCCTTCTGAGACACTTGGGGAACCTGCTAGTGTTGAGGAAACACCAGTTGTAGACACAAAAGACAATGTAGCCCTTGCCGAAGAAAAGTTGTCCACAACAGTGCAGCCAGCTGAGGTCGTCGAAGAGCAGGCCGCAAGGGAGCCACTGTTAGATTATAATGTCCACACGCCAGAGCCAATCTCTACCGATATCACAACGGAGTCTGATATCAATGAGCCTATCGCTGAAGTTGCCGCCGAACCTGAGGTTATCGACGATGTACCTGAAGAGCAAAGCAAAGATACTCTTCCGGTCATCCCCGAAGATCGGGAATCTCCATCTCCACATGAGCCTGTGCAGCCAGCTGAAAAGCCCGACGATGTCCTTCAAGACACTATCTCCGAACAACAGGTCGAATTGCAACAGCCCGAACAAGCCCATGAGTCAGAAGAGTCTTTGCAGTCAACGGAGTCTGTGCAACTCGAAGAGTCCCCGAAGCTAGAGGACCCCGTGCAGGTTGAAGAGCCCCCCAGGCCAGAAGAACCTACACAAACTGAAGAGCCCTTAATTGTGGATCCACCGCCAAAACCTGAAGAACGTGCAGAGACAGAAGGGGCCCAGCAACAGGGTGAACCTGCCCCAGCGGAGCCCCAATCTCGGGAGCCTTTGAAGACAGATGAGCCTGTGCAGCTAGAAGAGCCCATCCAACCTAAAGACACAGAGCCATCCGAAGAACTAGCGGTGGCTATTCAAATCGAGGAGACCCCAAGCTTCGAACAGACTCAACAAGTGGATGACTTCGTTCAACCTGAATTTTCCCGTGATGAGCCATCAGGAACAAGTGAATCTGTGCAATTAGAAAGCACCCCCTCTCAGAAGGACTCACAACAACTTGAGGAGCACGTACAAGCCGAAGAAACACCAAGGGTAGAGGATCTTGAAAAGTTGGGTGAATTTGTTCAGCCAGAATCTACGCCGCAGATAATTTCAGAAACACAAGAGCTTGTACAACCCAGTGATTCTGTTCAGCCGGAAGTTTCCACCCTACAGCCTTCAGAACCAGAGGAGATTGCACCGGTAAAAGAAATCACAACCACAGAAGAGCCTAAGCACTTAAATGAAATAGTCGAACCGGAATCTCTGCCACAACAGCTTGCGGAAACACAGGAGCTCGCGCAGCTAGACGAACCCCTACAGCCACAGGACCATGCAACCGAGCTATCAAAGCCGGAGGAGCCATCATTATCGGACATCCCAATTCCGGAGGAGCCTGCGCAGATGCCAGAACCCCCCAAGGTAGAAGAGCACACGCAGCTAGAACAGCCTCTGGAGTCAGAAAAATCTCTGGAACCTGAAAAGCTCGCAAAAACAGAAGAGACCATCGAGCCTGAAGAGGTTGCGCAGACGGAATCGATATCTCAAGAGCCCTTGACGCCAAAAGAGCCCGTGCATGTTGAAGAACCTTCGCAACCAGAGGAATCTTTGCAGCCACCTCCAAAACCAGATGATGCCGCGCTACTGGAATCTACACAGCTAGCAGAGCCTGTCCAACTAGCCAATGAACCGCCCGTCGTTCTGGATGAGCCCGAAATCGTATCGCCGAAGAAATCCAAGAAGGACAAAAAGAAAAAGAAGAAGGCTAGTCAGGCTGAGCCGGAACCCACACCGGAGGGCTCCCGATCGACTGAAGAGCCTCAAGCACAAGCGAGGACATTAACAGAAGAGCCTGTGGAGCAAGAAGCCGCCCAAGACATTCCAGTTCCATCCGAAAGCCTCCCTGTTGCAGAGGATCTTGCAACTGCTCCAAAAGACGACAAGGTCCCAGAAGACGTTCCGTCCTCTCCCGTGAGCAAAAAGTCGAAGAAAAAGAAGAAGCGAGCTAGTAAAGTTGAACCGGAGCTTGAACCAGAAATTACACCTATGTTAGAGGAAGCCACCGTGCAGTCATCGTCCCTTGAACAGACCCAGGAACCTCAACAAGTTGACAGTCAGCCAGCTGCCGACGATGCGGTGCCCACAACAGATGTTCCCATTTTGGAAGAGGTCGCCCCCGAGGTCCCTACGGGAGGAGAATCCGAGGAAAAGAACCGAACAAATGAGGTCGACGAAAAACTTCACCCGGAGACCTCCATTCCTTTGGAACCTCAGGAAGAGCGCACACCCATCGATGAGTCCCTAACCCAGGAAGTCGTGGAGCTACCTAGCAGCCAACCCAAGGCTGAAGAGCCCGTAGTCACTATAGAGGAGAATCCCGAAGAAGCCGCCCCTAAGGCTACCTACAGCAAGAAATCTAAAAAAGAGAAGCGCAAGGCAAAACAAGCAGCTTTGGCCGCCGAGGCCGAACTTGGACAAGGTTCACAGCTTGATACTGAATCTGCAACCCCCGAGGCGGCACCAGGTCACACAGAGCAGCCCGCAGAGCCGGTGACTACCATCGCGGAGGCAGAAAGCATCCCAGCGATAGACAAAACACCAGAGGATGTCGAGGAGAAGGACCTGCAGCCGCCAGCAGTAGATGAATCAACTCCTCAACTAGACCAAGGTCGCACCATAGTTCCCGTTCAAGAGCACGAAGAGAAACTCACCGAGCCCTTGGATCAAGAACAAATCGCGATCCCAAACGTCGCGCAAGAACCGGATATGTCTCAAACAGAGAACGTAGTCGAAGACTCACCTACGGACAACATTACTAGCGCTCCAACCAAGATTGTTGAAGGGTCAGTAGAGGATTTGCTTCAATCTCCTTCCAAAGATATTGAGGAAAACGACAAGGAGATCGTTGCTATTGATGTTCCTCTGGAGCCAAGCACCGAGGAGATCGCAGATTCCAAACTACAAACCGAAAGCCTACCAGATACGAAGCAGGATGAGGTGGTAGCCAGTGAACAACCCATTGTAGTAGAAGAACAGTTACCAGCGGAACCCAAGGACCTCACAGAACTCAGAAAGCTTCCCGAGACGAGCAATACCGAGCAACAAGAACAGATACCCACCGATCAAGAAGTCGAGTCTGAGGTTGTGCTACCAAAGGAACCAGAGCCTGAACCTTCTTCCCCGGTTTCACGGAAGAAGTCAAAGAAGAACAAGAAAAAGAAACCAGGCGCTAAACCAGAGCCGGAGCCAGCTTCGGGTACCCGAACGCCGTTGAATCGGGAATTTAGTGAGACTATTACAAGCGAGCCTATGACTCAGGAGCCAGAGAGCATCATAGCGAACGAGGGTGAGTGGCCAGAATCCCCGACGATATCCAAGAAAAACCAGAAACACCGCAAAGCGTCGGGCACTTCTACTCCTCTGGAGTCCATGGAAGATATAGCACACGCTCCTTCGGATACAATTAAAGAAGAGAACATCCCTGAAAACCCGACTCCGGAAGAGATTCTAGAAGTCGAAGGGCAAAGCTCTAAATCAAAGGAAATCCAGGAACAGGAAATCCTCTCCAAGTCGGCCCCCCAAGATCAAAATACTGAGGATGTCAATATCAGTCACTCTACCAAAGAGAATGTAGCAATTTCGGAGAACGATCAAGTAACCTCATCTGCACTTACAGAGGACGAGCAACTTGCACAGAACGATGAAGTGCCCGCGATACCTACGACACCTACGATACCCACGAGCGAGCCCGTACAAGAAAATCCTGTTCACGTCGAATCCTCGATGCTAACATCCCCACCTCGAACTCCTATAACTACCGCGCCACCTGCGATCGATGTCGACCTTTCGCCTGCCCAATTAAGTAGTCACGTAGAACACGACCGCCCATTCGATCAGTCATTGCAACCAGGCAAGAAGGCTAGAACCCGCTTGTCTAGTGATGCAACGATGATTCCCGAGCCCCTTTCAGCCCAAGCCGATGTTCCACCCCAAATCGTCGAGAGTTCGACCCACGAAGTCCCCGAAATCTCCGAACCCATACAAATTACGGAAGACCATGCAACCAAAACCGAAGACAATATTGCCGCTCCGCAAGATGTTACCCCCGCTCGAGAGATCGCAGCCTCGTATCTCGAAGCCAAACCCTTTTCAATAGGCGAAGAATATGGCACTGCTGAAGGGAACAAAACTACCAAATTGATTGGTACCTCTGGTCTACTTCCAGAAATCACGCCGCAAAGAGAGATTGCCGTTTCATACTTTGAAGGATACCATCCAATTGCGATTCCGAGCGAAGATAAAATGCTGGAAGACAAGATTAAAGAAGATACATTTGCTTCGGCGTTTGCATCGGGCAGAGACACTCCTGTCTCTCACCTAGAGTCACAAACTGGTCAGATAGTCCCAGAGCCGGTGGAAGAAAAGACACAATCAGTGGAACTTGAAGAAAGTAAACTACCAAGCCACATCCAAGATGCAGCCCCATCGGCACGCGAAGTCGCTGCAGACATTATGGAATCCCGCCCTAAATTATCCAAGAAAAAGGAGACGCCTAAAGACGAAGACTTAACAATTACTGAGGTTGATCCCGTCCTTTCTCCAACAAAGGCGTCGACACCTAGAAAGGGCAAAAAGGGAACGAAACAGAAGTCTCTAGAGAAGAGAATAGAAGATACGGACGATGTATCCGACGACGCGGCGCTCTGGAAAAGCTCCGAGGGCAAACCGTTGGAAGGCGCCCGACTAGACGCCGAACTCAGCGACTCTCCGATCGGACCAAGCACGGAGGTAGAAAATCAGAACAAAGCACCACCCTCCGATCCGATGGACATAGAACCATCAAGAAATCCATCGGTACAAGAAAGTGTCACTGAAACTGTCGAGAGTCCAATAGTAGGAAGAGAAGTCAAACGTGATCTACCAAAAGTTCGCGACACTGGTCACGATAATCCACCATTAAGAGAACTACCAACTACCGAAATCATCGAAAAATTAGATGATTTGGACACGTCAGAACGGGCAATCGAGTCTTCCGAACCGACAAAAGAACAGAAAGTTGAGGACGATTTATTCAAGTCTTTAAGTCCGAGACCTTCAACACAAGATTACTTGAGTCCCGGCCGGGCTTCTCCACGTGTTCTTGCCCCAGTAGAAGAGGAGACGCACGAAGAGCTAGAAAAGGAACAAAAAAGTCAAGAACTGGATACTAGTGACCAGGGCTCCATCATTATAGATCCCAACAGAGACAGTGGGTTTGTAACGGATTCACCAAATCCCATGCGGCGTAGTTTCGTGGACGACCTCAACTTGCGGGATAGCGGTGTGCATCTGCACGATACCCACGAAAGCACACCCCAGAAAAAAGCAGCACTAACGGAAGAGGAACGCGCCACCGTTCATACTCCTCTGCCCAATGAGAAACGAAGTAAAAAACTGGGGTTGTTGCAAAGCGAGACACCAAAACTGGAGACACCCAAAGCTCCAAGCTTAGAAGAAGAGCTGCGAAAATTGACGGATCCCAAAAAACCACGATCCGTGGGACAGCGAAGTGTATCGGAGAATATAAGTCGGGGCTCAACACCGCGAACGGAGGGTCAACCGATTCAGCCGAGACGATCTGCGTCTAATACGAGCATTTCGAGGTTGAGAACACCGGAGCCTCTGCAGTTTCGGCCTGAAAGTCCAGGCAGCTATTCTAGGATCCGCTCAGGCACCAACACGCCCCCGCTCAGACGCGTGGGCAAGCGAATGAGCGGTGACCTTAGATCGCTCAGTTCCAACCTCTCCAACGATTCCAATGGTAACCCATCAAGAGAAAATCTCCACCAGCCTAGCACCACACCTGTAGCTAACGAAGGCCGTGTCCGAGCCAAGGACATGACCGACGTATATGTAAGTAATAATAGCTAATATTCTTGTTTCCCTCCCTTGTATTCGCTAGACTAGACAAAATTTTACACGTCGAAGTCATGACGGCCGCCGTTCTATTTGCTGACCATTACATGCAGGATGGCTATGGCGAGGGCCGTATTGGCTCCCCACGGTCGCCAACGAGGCCACTAAGTAGTATGCGCCGTCGACAGAGCATGCAAGTATTAGAACTCGAATCGAGAGTGGAACAATTGGTAGCAGAAAATCGCGCGCTTACCGACGCGAAATCCCAAGCGGAGCGAAACCTCAATCAACACGCAGTCTCCGCCATCACTGAACGGGATGCCGAAATCGAAAGTCTCAAGGCATCACTCGAATGGCTACGTAAAGAAGTAACACGATTGACTGAAGTCAACGAGGGCCTCCACAGCGCCAACAATGTCCTCGCCCTTCAACACAATGAAAAATACGGCCGTCTCGAATCACAACATGCATCCGCATCCAAAGAACTCGAAGAGCATCGCTTCGCTCGTGGTCAATACACAAAAACATTACAAGAGAAAGACGCCGAAATTCAAGAACTACGCGCCCAACTCGAAGCGACCAAAGAGCAAGTCAGGGAAATGCAACGACAAATTCTCGCCCAAAAACCACCCGACGCCGATTTCCTCCGCCTTAAAGACGAGGATCACTTCGATCATCGGTGCCAACAGTTGTGTTCACACGTGCAACAATGGGTCCTTCGCTTCTCCAAGTTCTCTGATATGCGTGCTTGTCGATTGACAAGCGAAATCAATGATGAGAAGATCATCGACCGATTAGACAACTCAGTACTCGATGGCTCGGACGTCGATGACTATCTTAGCGACCGAGTAAGGCGGCGAGATATTTTCATGTCAATGACTATGAACATGATCTGGGAGTTTGTTTTCACGCGATACCTCTTCGGTATGGATCGAGAGCAACGACAAAAACTCAAGTCCCTCGAAAAACTTTTACAAGACGTGGGACCGCCACACGCTGTCCGCCAATGGCGTGCTGTGACTTTAACACTACTGTCTAGAAGACCAGCCTTCGGCGATCAACGAAACCAGGACACCGAAGCCGTTGTACAAGCCGTCTTCCAGACATTATCCATGATTCTACCACCACCTTCCAACATGGAGTCACAAATCCAATCACAACTTCGCCGTGTCATGCGCGAGGCAGTCGACCTCTCCGTCGAAATGCGAACACAAAAAGCCGAATACATGATGCTGCCACCGCTGCAGCCTGAATACGACGCCGACGGCGAACTAGCACGTACCGTTTCCTTCAACGCTGCGCTCATGAATGAACGGTCGGGCGATAACATCAGCAACGACGAGTACGAGGCTCAAGGTGCCGTTGTACGCACAGTACTCTTCCCTCTTGTCGTCAAGAAGGGCGATGACAATGGTGTTGGCGATGAAGAGATCGTCATCTGCCCGGCTCAAGTTCTCGTCGCGAAGCCTCCGCGCCACGCCACCGTCCGTATGGTCACCCCATCCTCCGAAGCTGGTGGCGTCCCACTATCTCGAGGCGCCACGCCTTCCGTCTCCGCACGCGGTGCACAAAGCACCGTCAGCCTACAAATGACGGACGCTCCTCTCCCAATCCCAACGCCTCCGCACGAGGATCAGTACCGCTAGAAGACGAAACAGACCTCGCGGACACATAAAACGGGCGATACCAGGGACAAGGGAAAAGAAAAGAAACATAAGTAATTGTAATAAAAGGCCAGGCCAGGCAGGGGAAGAAGACACAGGCCAGATGTTGATGAATACAATACGCGCGCACTAATGGAGGGGGCGGGGAAGCATGTTACAAATTTCCCTTTTATTCTTGTTTTTTCTTTGGCTCGTCATAAAAAAGAGAGATACGGACTTGGGGTCTCGTTCTGGAATTTGGTGATACCTGGCCGGCGTTACTTGCATTGGTTTTTGTTTCCAAGGAGCATGTCCCTCATACCGCCACCATTTTCACATATACATCGCATCTCATCTATCCGCATAACCTCATAACCTCGAGGGCGTTTCTGCTTGGAATTCCTCTCATGTTTCAAAAGGGAAACGGAAGTACGGAATGTTATAACGATGTCATGACCTAGGAAATTTTTTCTCTCCGACTCAAGATTTTCCCTTTTTTACTATTCCCTTCGACGATATGTAGTTACTCAGAATCAGAATTTTATATTGTTACAATAACTCTACCTAGATTGCTAAAGTTCTAAACGTGACGTGAAATTTAAATAGCCGCTAAAGCGCCTAGTACTTAAGCTTATTTATAGCCCTAAAGGTTAGATTTTTATCAACATCACCATATCAGGTACTCTTTACGTTAACTTATCTTGACATTAGTATTTTATTACAATCATCTCATCTTTAGATGTAGTGTAAATTTTCATAAATCCATAAAAATAAGTTGAAAAATGAGTACCCGAGTTCCATCTATTGTGGTATATTTGCCTTTCCTAACACCGTGTCTCATAATACTCCGCATGCCCCAGCCAAATATACAAAAAAAAAATTACAAAGTCCTGATCCACGAATTGCTTCATATCGTCGTCTAGATCCCAAGTTGTAGAAGAATAGACATCAAATAAATATTCATAATTTATCATATCCTCAAGTAGTCCAATTTGCAACAGTGAAATTCGGGTCGTGAAATCCTTGTATGACCAAGCCACCTGTTTGAGGGTCGTTGGGAAAGAGTGAGGTAACAGTAGGCTATATCTTGGTTAATAAGAAGTTCTAATTTGTCACATTTGCAAACCCTAAAGAACGAGAGTCATAATTTCAGGAAACATACCCAATCGATGGTGTCCATAATGGTGCCCTGGGCCATGCCCCTCAATCCCGCTGAGTGGATATTCTGTTGTCCTCCAAAATCTAAACTCGAGGTATCGCTCTCTGGACTTGAGTGGCTCGGCGGTAAGCTCCACAGTGCCTGTCCATCGGAAACACCAGCAAATACCATTTGCGGCCCTGGCACTGGGGGGCCAGCAGCCATTGGTGGGGTGTAGCCGGGCTCAGCCTTGGGTACATGTTGGGGCATTACCATGGGTGGTGGCGGCGGTGGTTGTTGAAGATGAGGAGGATTATGCATAGATTGCGAACTTCCCGCAACTACATTTTGTGCGGGGACGGCTCGCGAAAGAGTCGTCGGACCACGCATCTTGCGCATTCGCATGTATACCGCCGTCTTTCCTTGTATTTCGGATAGAATTTGTACAGCTTTGGTTTCAGGCGGGAGCCTGCGATCCATGTTGAAGACGTAGTCCAAGCACAACCATATTCGATCCGCGTGGTGAGACTGGGGGCGAAAATACACTTCGGTCGCCAACAGCAGCGCGATCTGATATTGGAAGTAAGCACCTAAATACCACGCCCAATCTCGAAAGTTGGGGTTAGTCTCAAGCTGAATCGCTAGCTCGACGATCATGATGCCAGATGTGATGAGGAGTTGATTCAGCCGTGGAGGCATAGGGTTGGCGGCATTAGAATGGTAGGGGTGTAATACCATGACGTGAAGGCGATATGTCAACAAATACATGACACATTTTGCATACCTTTGGATTGGTTGCGTAACATCCAGGAGATGGTCATATTTCTCTGTCATCCGTCGGCGGAAATTTTCTATTTTAGTGAGCACAGCCGTCAGTGTAGTCCGCCGAGTTTCGAGCCTCCTCCTATCGACCCATATGATACGCATCATCTCGTTGATTTCGAACCGTATTAAGGTAAGCGTGTTAGTGGTCCATACGTCTGCAGACTCCGGTGGCTTGACTGCATGTGTGAGATCATTTTCGTTGCAATTGATTGGCAATTTCGTATCATAGTCATCTCGTCGAATAACTGGTTTTGGTCCTTGTGCCTCGCAAGTCCGAATATCGAGGAAACATAATTGATGCCATATTAAGCGGCGAACGTGGGTTTCGAGCGGCGTAAGGCCGTATGCGTCTCCATCGCGATGTAGACCCATGCACTCAGCCATCCTTACTGCGGCCCCGACAAGCACTGAATGAGCTCTCGACACTTCACCCCTGCACAGAGGAAGCTGTTGCAAGGTTAACGCCGTAATTTCTTCCGTGGTAACAAAACTTACCATGTATATAATAAACGCTTGCATCGTTTCCACCTTAGTGGTTCGAAGGAAGTTTGCCTTGCTCAAAGCAGTTTCGGTGCCCAGTTTAAGACTAGCAACTAGATATGCTTTGGTATATCCGGTCAATTCGGGAAACATTGTGTTTTCATCCAAGCTGATTGCCCCACTGAACATGGCTCCAAAGATGACGGCTTGCATCGAGGGCCGGGGTTCAAATCCTAAATTGACTTCTTCCCAAAAACTCGCATAAGTAGCTTCCAGTGTCGGCCGATGAGCACAAGGAGCAATTGGATGGGCGGAAACAAAATATTGCTTGATCAGTCGGTCCGCGGCGGGCCTGAAAGGTATAAATTGGGCAATACTAGGCGATTCTCCTATTTGGCCGAAGAAGAAACCGCTGGTAGGAACAATGTATTGTTCGCCCGGTTTTAAAAACTCGGGTACTTCTTCCATTGAGGGCGGCGGGGGTTGTGAGTTCGCGATACCCGCTGATATCTAGTTTTCACGGTAAGTTGGCAACCTCATAACGATTATGCGCAGGTCGTACCTCTTCTGATATCCTCGGTCGCGAAAGCCCACCTATTCTTTCAGTTATGCGCATTTTGCCAATCTGAATCCCCAAGTCTATCATGTCACCAGCCCCATCTACGTCGTCTTCATACGTCACGTCTAAAGCTGCAAGCGGGGTAGCCTCTAGATCCTCGTCGTATTCGCCTGCAACATCGTCGGCCAGAATGCGTTGCTGCAACGTATTCTTCGAAGTCGTGGATTTCGCAACGTCACGCTCGAGTTCTCGTTCAAGAGTTCCTTGTTTTTCCTTGATTTCAGCAAGGCGCATCTGGCTGGCCTCGTCTAGTCGAGGGCCTATATACAGACAATCTCGGCCGGCCTTGATGCAATTTGTGCACGACGGACTTGTTTTGGAACATTTTAACTTTCTTCTTCGGCATTCTAAACAGCTTTATATGTACGAGGTGCAAGAAACAAAAGCATTAACTTCCCGGCGTACGTCTCCAGGTCCAGCCGGGAAGTCAATGTTTCGTTTCTAGGGTGCCTCGTACTTGGGAATTAGCATCCGCATTTCACATTGGCAAAGAAGGGAGAAGACTCAGGGGGGGTTAAAGCATGTTGGAAGTAGATATGCAAGCCTCAAAAACTTATCGCGGTCCTTGTTCCCCCATCAGGATAATATCTCCGTGCGAACATATCTCACCTATTAATCATGCGATTGCGCCGGCGAATAGGCTTTGCTTGCCAGCCGGACCGCGATTGGGCTTCCGGGTCTAAGCCGGCCACGTGTTCGGGTTGTTCCATGGCGAGGGGACGATGTGCTAAGCTGTTGGGAGAGCTGCCGGAGATCTCGGAGGATATAAAGAAATAGGCAAGCCCTAGTGCTGGTGATGCGCTGACGCCGCCCTGTGGATCGTCGCGTCGATCTCATAGGCCCATCTAGTCCCCCAGATTTCATGTCAGATCTCACCCAAACAATCGGGGATATTGGTATTGGTTAGTTGGGTATCGGGACCAATTTATTTGCTTCTTCGGATCAAAGAGGTATTCGTGGGTGGTTTTTTTTCCTCTTCCGACAATACGCGATACAAGAGAACGGGAAGGATACGGACGTAAAATAGCAGTGGTTCATTAGGTGTGTGGCGAGCGTCGCTCTATTATATGTGAATTAGATCTTAGATTAGGACCCCGATGAGGATCGCCGGCATCTGAGCATTAACAGTACATACATGTATGGCTATGTATGGTTATGTATAGCTATGGTACGCCTAGAAGGATTCAGGGCGCGTTGAGGGGGTGGTAATAAATGGTACCGGTCTCTTGGTGCCGTAGGCTCCCTTGCATGCAATCAGCGCCCATAAATGGATGCGACAGTGTTGTATGTCCTCCGTCGCCGCACTTGCTGCTCCTGCATGGCGGACTACCCACGAATAGTCGCAAAGGAACAAGCGAGACGCAGAAAGCGAGGGGAGTATGTAAGCAGGAAGAGGAAGAGAGAGACAAGGCTGCCTATAGTATCCACATATATGATCCAGCAGAGAGACAGACAAAAGATTGGTATTGGTATGTACTGGAGAGAGGTGGAGGAAGAGGGAAGAGAAATGAAAAAAAATGATTACCTAGGTAGGTACCAGAGTGACTTGGAGGCAGGCAACACGCTTAAGGTAGTGGGGTTACTTCAATGTTCTTTCTTTTCCTTTTCCCTTGTGCCTTCTCGCATATACATAGCGTCTATGTAAGTATTGTGCGACTTCCACATTTCTCTTCCAATTAAGCCACTGAGACACCAACTCTAGGTAGATTGGGGGAAGTTGCCTTACGAAATGTACCTACCTCTAGGCTAGATGAACGAATATCTTTAGCAGCTACACCCTAACTTAAGTAATATCAGGTACCGACCCGCCTGCTGCCTTCCATTCTATTTAAACTAGACCACTTAGTTAGACCTGCCTTAGTTTCAAGGTTAGTGGGCCGATGTGATAATCTTTCTCACTCGCTCTTCTCTTACTTCTGCCCATCCCACCCAGCTACCCGGATAGTGTATCCGATTGAACGGGGAAAGGGGTCTCAGGGAATAACCTTATGTACGAAATCCAAGCTAAGCCGTTTGTGGCCGCCAATGATGATCTCAACCAACATTTGAACCTTTCATAATGTTCTACTCCTTTTCCGTTTCCGTATATTGGCCATAACCCTGGAGGAAGAAAAGAAGAAAAAAAATCGATATGATTGGCCTCACTCGGGCGTGCCGAACTGTCCTCTAAAAGTATCGCACAAGCGAAAGCATTCCCAAAGTAGAGCCGAATCGAGCCACCTCTACATAAGTCGGCACGCTTCCCCTTATAGCCCCCCCCCCTTCCTATTGAGTCCTTTTACCGCATCGAGATGCTGTTGTAAACCCGCACCAAACCTTCGAGGAAACACCGGGGGGAGGCTGACGCTTAGTCAGTCACGTCGTAGACATACTGTGATCCCTTCTTTCTCTCGCTGTCTTTACTAACTGTCGTGTAACCAATGGTAATGTAATAATAAGCTCAACTCTTTCTAACGAAAACTCGAGGGCCCGACATAGACGCCAATCACCGCCCCCCTCTTTCGGTATCATTCACTGGTCCAATCGGCCAGGATCAGGCGACTCGACAATACATTACGTAGTCGAGTTCATATACCTCAATTTGTGATACCATCAAGACATTGTTCACATTAGTACCTTAGGTAAAGTACTGTTCGTATTTTATGTATATATACTTGGGGGTATATATCTACTATGTATATCCATACACCGGCGTGCGCGAATACGCCACACGCAACGGAATCCAAACACTTAAATGATCAACGTCTACCAAGTCGGCCCTCATCTCACGGGCGAACCTAACAACCGGCCTTGTCTCTGGCCCATCCCAGTTTCGGCCGGCGCCTCATCCGATTATTCTACTCTAATTTCGTGCGACCGCTAAGTTTCCGCCAGCGCCTAAGAGATATTGCTACCCGTACCATCTTCTCTCGACCCATCCGCCTTTGTAACAAAGACAGAAACCATCGCAGTCGGAGAGTCCTGCCGGGCCTGCCTTCGGGTAGATCCCTTGTAATATTGTGAAATAGCGCTTTTAAGGCTGCGCGTGGTACCATGCCGTCATGATTCCTTTGGAGGTGCTTAATGCACTGCGATATTAGTCTAAACGAAATCCTAGGTGAGACACTCGGCGAAACAGCAAACGCCATTGCTGCCTTGGTTGCTTTTGTAATCTCAAGCTTCCTGTGGTTCCGCCCCCCCCGTCTCGGTGAATGTCCTAGTGCTAACGCATCTAAAATTTTGATTGGGTTTATAGATCGACTCCTTGTGAGAGTTCTCAAGATCTCGGTGGAGAATTTAGTATTCCAAAATTCCCAACTATTGCCTTTGGCTTTTTCGTAGAAACCAAATATCTCTATAGCTAGTGCAGGATCGCCCGCACCAACGGCGAGATTTACGAGGGGGGTCGCTGGAGTTCTTGCTAAATTCCGAAATCCTTTGACTAGGAGCATTACGTCTTGCTCTCGTCCAAGCCTCTTAAGAAATTCACAAAGACCCTTCACATAATCGAAATGTCCCATCTGCCATAATGTTATACTGAGGCATTTATAGCAATCTCGATCGTCTTCATTTTGGATGGCTTGGCGTAATATTGTTTTCTCCTCAAAGGACAAACGATGCTTGACCAGAAAAATTTCACAGATTTCATGGTTTGAAATGGGCTCAGTCTCTCTGCCAGCTTCAAGTTGAGAGCAGACACTCGCTAGATAGTTCTCATCTATAATCGGCAATCTAGCCAGGAGTTGCAGCCAGCTAGATCGCATTTGGGGGTAGTTTAACTCCTTCGATCGCCTATGCGCCAAAATATGTTGAGTACATTTTTCAAATATGTGGGAGTGATTGGCCACATTGAGCCTTGCAAGGGGTCTAGCCATTTTATTGACCTGCCGGATCAACGTTGATGAGCGCTTGCATTTGGCCCCCGAGGCCATGAAGGCGTATAAATTCGCCAAAACGCTCGTAGACGTGTCGTCGAAGTAGCTACCTGGTATCCGCGCCATAGCTTCTGTGAAAATTCGCATGCTGTTAATTTGCAATTCGGATATTTTCTGTAGAATGTGGCCCCAAGCAAGGCAGTCCGAAGAGTCACGATCATGAAGCCCATGAGTTGAGCGACCGGACAGACCTGCAATTGTTGCTTCAAGAAGGCATAGCATGAAGTTATCGGCTGCTACCCTGTTTAGAGGTATCCCGTCGTTCGTATGTTGCGTGTCGAGGCCATTTCGGATACCTTCTAGTACGGCGCAGATGGTTTCGCCAGAGAAGAATCCATCGGCTAGATGGATTTCCCATGCGTCGCAAAAATGTGTGAAATTCGATCGCGTCGACGGCGAAGACAATAGGTCCCGTGAAATTCGAATCAACCCGACCTCGATAACTTCCACATGGGTGCTTTGGGCGTCCCAAAGAATTTTAGGTAGAGAATGCTCGGCAACCTCAGGTATATACGTCGTATTTCCCTCTCCTAAACTTTGTATAGATTCACCCGTATTTAAGCTTGTTACCGCGGCATTTGAGGATTTGAGGGTAGTTCCAGCAAGCCAATCTGTTATATGTTGTATCAAGTTCCGTTCTTGGGAGCTCTTATTTTGCTGGTGCCGAAGTCGTTCGTTCGGTGACGATGGTGGTTTCCATTGCCATTGTGATAGGTCGGGTAGGTTATCGAGTCCCCATAAAGGTGAGGCAGAATGTGATTGTTCAAAGCTCAACTCTCCCATGCGTCTTTTCCCCATACGTCTCCTGCTCTCCATCGGCCCGGGAACAGACGAGCCATATCGGGCAACCGTTCTCGACGTCACGCAGAATCGTTCGAAGGGAATGGCGAGGAGAGCCTCTGGGAGCCAGATGCTATCGTGTTGTGCATTGAGATGACGATGGGCGGCTCGACGACATTGCGAAGTCAAGACGGGAGACATAGGTGGTTTCCCTTTCGATGTAGGGAGGTATGGTAGTGTATAATCGCCGGTTCCGTATACATTTGGCGACAATGTATATGACTTGCGCCTAAGGCGTTTGAACGAATTTGAACGTCAGCCGTAAATTAAGAAGATTGGGTTAAAGAATTGAGGTGCAGCTTCGCAAACCCCGGAAACCAATTGGTTTGATTCTATTGGATCATGCTAACTCAAAACCCCCACATGGTGTATTCCGCGACCCCGACGAGATACCTTATGTAAGTTATATTACAGGGGACCCTCCCACCAAGCTTTAGCGATCGCGGGGTCATCAAGGCGAGACTTTGGCTGCTTCATCTGCACTTGCAAACACCTACCATCTACACACTCGGGTCTAATTCGAATCTGTTTACATATGTCTTTCATAATGGCCCACGACTTTGAGCCACTGAAGAATGATTTGATATTGAGGACAGCACGGGGTGTGTATAATATCATAATCATAATCAATCCGGGTGTATACTAACTTGAGATGTCGCATGATGTAGGTGAGGATGTAGAGCGTGCGCCAATATGGATCATGCGTCAAGGTATGCCCAATTGATATGATCTAGACAGAAGAACACCAATAATTGACTGTATTTAATTAGCTGGTCGATATTTACCAGAATATCACGAAGCCAAAGGCAATCGCGACTTTTTCGAATGCTGTCGAAATCCCGAAATCGCCTCGACCCTAACTCTACAACCCATTGAGCGATTCGCCGGTCTATTAGACGCCTCGATCATATTCTCCGACATTCTTGTGATACCCCAGGCTTTAGGAATGACTGTTGAAATGGTAGACAAGAAAGGACCACATTTCCCAGATCCCTTGAAGTCGCCTGACGACGGTCAATACGAGAAGGTTCTCAACAAGAACGTGGATGTCGCGGCCGAACTTGACTACGTTTACAAAGCGATAACATTAACACGAAAGAAACTGAAGGGCCGTGTACCTTTAATTGGCTTCTGTGGAGCTCCTTGGACCCTCTTCTGCTACATGGTTGAAGGTGGTGGAACGAAGCTCTTTATAGAGAGCAAGAAGTGGATATACAGACATCCCGAAGAGTCTGGGGCTCTGCTACAAAAGATTACAGAGGTTTGCGTCGAGTATCTAGCACTTCAGGTCCAGGCAGGGGCTCAGTTGATCCAAGTGTTTGATTCATGGGCGGGGGAGCTCTCACCCTCAACGTTCAAGATATTTAGTGAACCCTACCTAGCTTACATCTCGAAAAACCTACCGAGGAGGCTGAAGGAATTGGGCTTAGAAACAGTACCTATGATTGTATTTCCTAAGGGGGCCAACTACGCGCTAGATTCTGTTTGCAATCTAGGATACGATGTGGTGGGCTTAGATTGGCTTATCGACCCGGCAGAAGCTGTCAAAATTCGGGGGAAGAGGCGAGTTGTATTCCAAGGGAATGCGGACCCCGGTGTGTTATACGGGTCAAAAACAGCCATATCCGAGATGGTGAAAGCAATGGTTGGGGGTTTTGGAGGCGGTAAAAAAGGTTGGATTGCTAACTTGGGACACGGTATTACGCCACTCGTGAAACCGGATGATCTTAAGTTCTATCTTGAAGAAATCCAGCGCTTAACAAGTAGCTAATCAGAGTCCTCGCGATCTACGACGAGATATGCTCGGTGAGCGAACCGAAACTCGCCAAAATTCTACTCATTGGTCTGGGAAGCTCTGATCTAGATCTATTGTACTCCTATAGTTACTATTATTAGCGTGCTAGACAAAAAAGAAAAGTGAACAAGGAAGCGAGATATATGGTTACACTTACCACGATATTGACCAAGCCACTTTTCCACCTAAACTCCTACAAACTCTTTGGCTCTTGGGGTTGTCCGGAGCAACATCCGCCCAACAATGCTGATCGCCATCAAAGTCAATTAGGCGTTCCCGCAGGATCCTGACTGCCACTGCTTTTGCGAAACCCTTCCCACGCCATTCTTCTTCACAGTGCAAACTACTTAGTGAAGAGTCGGGGCCCAGCAAGGCCCAAGCAATAGGCGTACCGTCATCGCGGTAAACGGCCATACTTGGTAAAAGAACAATTGTTCGTCTATGCGGTTGTACAGCCCATTTGTTAGTAAATCCCCTCTCGGTAGCTGGCGAGAAAAATAAGGGAGCAATTTTGACTTACTCCTTCCTATTAATATTTGTCCTCGACAACATGAGCGGAATATCCTCTCTTTGAAACTTATCCCATCGCATATCTGTAGTAAGCGGGCTCTGCACATCCGGCAAGTTATCCAGCCGGAAAAGCCACTTGTCGTAAACAGACACATACGGAAACACGACACCGCGGTTCAACAACGCCAATCGTAGTACTTCACTCAACGTCCCCGCTAATATCGTCGAAGACCGCTCCCCTCCCACCTTCGCGAAATACGCATCACGCTCCTTCTTAACCTGGCGCAGAACCCGACGCGCGCATTCAGCCGCTGCTTCTTCCTTCTGCTCTTCGACTCCCCTCCCATTCTCATTCTTATCACCCTCACTAGCCGCCGAAGCCAGCGCGTCTGGGCGCCGTTCTAGCGACGAATATAACCATATCTGTGTCTCTGGCCCACGCGAAAGATCTAAATACGCAGCCGCAAAAGGCGTGTCTACGGAATCAATATCAGGTGTATTCGTCGCAGACGCAAATATAATGCGAGCATGCTCCGAAATTCCACCGGGGAATTGCGTAAACCGCAAGCGCCTTAGTAAAGGTAAAGCATGAGGAAGGTGATTTGTCGTTAGGAGTTGGATGAGGTTCTCCGGCGGCTGCGTGTATACGGCCACGTCGGTAGACATTTTGTCGTGGAGGAATTTCAATTGGAACAGGTGAGCGTATAATTAGGAACGAAGAAAACAAACAAAGCTAAGGAGGAGTTGCAACTAAAATAATGCATTTCATGGCGGACCGTTAAACTAATCGGCGTACTTGCAAATCTCCCCGGGCACCCCGACACCCCGGCATCGCCGGTTCGTCGTGACTCACGGTTATTCCGCGGTCGGAACCGGATGTGTCTCGGACTCACCATTCTTGGGATACGATATGTTTCGAAGCTACTTCATAGCATCTTTCAGTATCCTCGTAGATCTTAGAAAGAAGGTATACAAGTTTTATTTATACCTACGCTTAAATAAGCTCTTAGCATTACGTTCTATAACATCGTCATGGGGAATTCATTCTTCATCCAGGCGTAGAATTTCGTATGATAGAACCGCCTTATTAAGTCCAAAGTCAGCACACAATGAACAAAGCAAACCACCTTATGCAATAATGGAGCCAACGTTATACACGAAACTTGATTTTTCTCGGGCCTAATTCATGGGATTTGGTATCATAACAGCCCTCGCATTGCTTAAAGAACAACACCCCTAACTTCCGTAATCACCATTTTCCACGTCCATTTTCAACACAAAACCCTCCCCTACCCCCCGAGCAAAAATAAAAAGCGTAGAACCATAACTCCATGCTCGCCAACACCAATACATGCGCCTAATGGTATACCGGAAATCAGCAATGCTTAACCCCTCTTAAGACCTCGAAGCCTTGCTTTTAAGGGCTTTCTAAGCACCTTTAAAAAACTCCTTAGCCTTCGCCGCCAGGCCATTGGTCTGGCTCTTCTTGCTCCCAGGCACAGCGGATCCGTGTTCCTCGGTAGCAGCACCCATAGCCGCAGTCCCGTTAAGGTTCGACTTGGCAATCTCGGCTTCCTCGCTGCTTAGTCGGACGATGTTGGCAGCGCCGCCTCGACCGACATGTGTCGCGCCGTGGCTTGCTCGTCGCTCGATACTAAGCATTGAACATGTTAACATCTTCTAATTCTTAGGATTGTCTGGTTTGCGCCGTATTATTCTCATGTCTACTACCGCTACTAAATAATACAAAGTACGTAAGAGAGAGGTAAACTTACGGCCCAACGTCTTGCCGCGCACGCGTCTCAATAGGATCCTTATTCGGCGCCATGTTACCAGAGCCTCCGCGGCCAGTAGTGACGACCGAGGTCTTTAGAGTCGGGGTCTCGAGGTCGGCGGGCTGGATCTTGGGAGATCTGGCGGAATCGGCGATGTTGCCGGCGCCGCCTCGCCCAGTCGAGGTCATGTGTCCGGTCATTTTCGCGGCCGGGTGATAGAAGTAGGGACTGATGAAGTTGTAAATCGAATTGAGTTGTGAGGGTGAATTGTATTGTAAAGCGGCAGTTAAAGTAGGCTCGTGATAACAAAAGTAAGACAAATTGTAAATATGAAGTCGAGGACAAAGAAGTGCGCCTAGGTTGTTAAATGCGCAACTAGAAACACCTCCCTAGGAATTGCGCGATCTGTGTCGGGCAACAATACGGTCACTCGGTACAATTTTATGTGACTAACTTATATGTACCTTGATGTGTCAATGTGTGAGTGAGTCTGCAATAAGTTGATCCCCAAATTCTCAAATGATATATACAATGGATATCGTCACGGACAGGGCTTGTTTTAGGTACTTTTACGATCATGAGACGAATCAGAAATTTCCCGCCTTAAGCTACTAACCAGGGCACCTTACCAAAAAATTGAAGGCGCGCACCATTGAAACAACAATGTACATTCACTCCTACAAGGCAAGAAAAAAAAAGTTACATCACTCGTGCTCACAAAGAATTGAATCAACTAGAGGAAGGAAAGTTAGTGAGGTTCCACTTACAAGAAACCGGGCTGACCTTTTAGAGCCAACGGATGAGGTAACTAAGACGTAATAAAAACATCGGGTTCCAGCTGGCGCTAGCACGAGCTTTTTTCCTGATGGTGTCATTGTTCCTTCCCGTACCGAGTTTCGTTCTTGGCTTTCTTCAAGTAATAAGAACAATTGGAGTTAGTAAGGCACGAGGATATGTACCTTTCTCTCATTCCTTCCCTCTGGCTATACTTTTCACCTACTTATAGTTATCTTCCATTCCTACTAAGAAGAAACTATACTAAAGCCGGAACTTACCTACACATGGCCAAGATAGCCCAGCAAGCCCAGCCTTATCAGACAGACAGTCCCGAATTTTGACGAAGGCGGCCTAGCTCTAGTGATGTTTCTAGCAGATCGACTAACAAGAGTCTAGGCACCTTACCGGAGATATGGTTCACATTCCCCAGGATCGGGATCTGATACGAGAGATTATGATAAAGAAATCTGATCTGACCCCCATCCGAGCCGCTGGTTGGCCGGTGAGCTTCTCCTTCGCCTTGTCTTTTTTATCAGGACAAAGAAAAGTTGAACAATGTGATGATGCATGACAAGAAACATAGCCTTATCATAAGTGGAATATCGGATACGTCGATGTCAGTACTCTATTTATCTATTATACAGTGCCCAGGTATAAGTGTATATACGAAGAAGAATATCTATGTACCTACATACCGCCTAGGGAGGTACCTTGCAACCACCAGTCTGCCAGTCCGAGCTCGCATCTATATTGTCTGTCGATCAAACTCAAGTTCGCCATCAAAAATATCAGACGATTATTATCTGCACGGTTAATGTTAGTTAATACCACCTACTTACGTGGCCATGTAGATTAATCTATCCTTGATTCCGTGACAGCCAACCGGGGCGCGTCTGTCATCCCAACAATAAGGTAAAGTTACACCGTCTTTCTATACATAGTACTATATCCAAATCATCGGGGCGATCAATTTTCTGAGGCAAGTTTTTTTTCACACGTCGTCCATGTCTGCATGTCCACGCTACTTACTCATGTAGGTACTACACGTGCTACTTATTGCCCCCCCTTATCAGACTCGCCCGAATTATGTAAATGGGTTTCAAATGCCAATAGAGGGGGAAATGTCACTGTGATTGGTTTCGTAGGCCTCCTTTGGTTCGTTGTTTCGTGCCGCTCCGTACGTCTAAGGTGTGCCTACTAATCACAGATAATAAAAATTAGGTATTCATCAGTGGCATGAAAAAAGTTACTGCATGCTCCAGGAAACCAATGACGCGCATATCTTTTTTTTAAAATTCATCGCTTCCATACATCTCTGACCTTGTGCTTATAGCGGGTATATTGCAGAACCAAACCCTCGGTTTGCAAAACGTAACGTATAAACCTAGTCGACAAATAAATGCTAGGCTGCTCTGGGCAATTTAAAATTCGTCCCATTCGTCGCCTGACCTCGTTTTCTGTCGGCATCAAACCGGGATTTCTCTCTTTATTCCGTGCCAGGAATCTAAACTCCTTTCCCCCGTACGCCTCTTGTCGTAGGACGTATAGGTGCACGTGCTGTCGGGTGTATCATGATGTCGTAGGTCGCCCTACTCCAAGGCCAATCATAGCCGGATCTGATAGATGTCTCGTCCAAGGGAACTGACTTCGTCTATACCCGAATAACGCTTGAAAATGAATCCTAATTGTCGTCTTCATCGTCCGAACCTCGGCCCTTGCCCCCCTTTCCATCCTGTCCATCCTTCCTGATGGGGATTTTAACTCCTTGTACGGCGAAGCATTTGCTGAGGGCGGTGCTTTCGCAAACACCTGGGAATTTCTTCGCCGAATAGACCTGGAACTTTTCACTAAAAACCTGTGCCAAAACCGGTGCTCTGCCTCGGTTTAGAAGTTCAGCATCGCTGCCGCCGTTGGAAGTCGCATCTGGTCTTCGCAGGTTGATGAACGAAAATCGCAATCTGCACATCATGTAAGCGGGTGGCGGGTGGCTTGCGCTAAGTGACGTACCTAAACCAGCCTTCTGTTCGCACACTTAGATCCTGTAAAATAAACCAGATTCCTATCTTGTCTGTAGGATCTGTAAGGCGCGATGCACTAGCCGCAAGGCTACCAATAAGATTCCTCGTATACATGCCATTTGGCGACTGTGGTCCCATCAATCGATGTTGCGTCATCTGGTGTCCCGCAATGTCTTGGGAGAATCGGGGTCCAAACATTGATTGCGAGGGCAACTGAGGGACGCCCGGCACCATGTCGTTTCGGTAGCCACCCCCAGGATAACCATAGGCTTGGGGCTGCGGGGGGTAGCCGTATCCTAGACAAAATGTAAGAAATTGGACGTTCGGGAGCGCACGACAGTAATTAAGAGCATTTTTACCTTGGCCATATGGATCCGGCTGGTAGGGAGGCATCGCATGAGGATAAGCTGCACCTGGCTGCGCATAGTCCCGGTTTGACGGTACGATTGACTGGTACCCATAGCCCCCAGTCTGACTTCCTTCGATCACCTCGCGAAAAGAGGAAGCCTGAGTTGAGGAGATAGACGGCGACTGCTGAGAATGTTTGACAAGATTGACCTCCTTGTCTCCGTTCTCGGACCAGAGATCAACGTGTAACACATAATGCTGGTGTTCGACCTCACTGGGCTAAAATTAGTCGCTGTCTAAAACAAATTACGAGGCTGAGCTTTAACACACTTGCAATCTACCTCTTTGCCTGTGGTCTTGTCCATAACTACTAATCTTATACACGGTGGAGGGGTTATAGGCCGTCGATCCTGACAAGTCTTAGCCTTTCTTCAACAATGGGGAATTTAGAGGTGCATCTACCTTATCACCAAAACCACACATTCTTGCTCTGAGAGGTTGTTGGACAACTTCAAGTCTATGTCACTGGTCAGCCATGGGAAATGACAATTGCGTCCCATAAGAGCAATTGTTTGGGCCGCAGTATTACCTGTATTTTCTAGATGTGTCGGTACCCTCAATTGGCTGGGGAGCTGGTTTATCCTTCTCCTCAGCCCCGGGCTTGGAAGTAAGTGAATTGGAGCCAGGACCTCCCACGCCATTCTCTGTCGTACCTAGCTCAGCAGCCCGATCCCTCGGGCCAGGCATATTAGGAGGGGCCATATTCGTTCGTGGAGGAGGCATGTTCGCGCGGTGGGGGTTTGTGATGGGGTCTTGTTGGTAATTGAAAGGCATGGGAGGAGGTAGCTGGGCGTAACCTGGATGATGCGCAGAGGGACCAGACATCTCAGGCGGGAATGCCTGCGAATGGTGAACGGGCGGAGCTGGGTATCCTGAACTCATGTTGACTATGTTTCTCTAACACTTCCCCTTCAACGATATTACTCAGATTGTCCCTTCGAACTCGATGTAACTCGCGCGGTCGGGCTGACGGCGCGGGTTCTTTGCGCCCAAGAATTTACAAGCTGGGAGTCTAGAAATTACCACGGATGGAGGGTGGTTGTGTGGTCGGTGGGATGATGTCGAAGGTGAAAGGAGGGGAGAGTAAGGGACTTAAAGCGTAGAATATGCCGTGCTCGAAAACGTATAAGGTGGAGCGCCTATCCTCTAATAAGGATGTGAGCACTATATGTATATGGACCTGAGTAGGTAGATGATTGTGAATTGCAAATGTAGGGTGAGCGGTAAGCTGGTACTAAAGTTCATGCGACCAAAGAAAGGGTACCTCGGCGGTGGACCTTGCTAGACGGGTAATCCACAGTTTACCTTTCCAACGGGAACAAGGTATCTGTGTATGTACAAACTGGCGTGGCGTGGGCTTGGGAGAGTGGTGGGCGTGTGCGCGCAGGCGCGGGGAGTCTTGGTAACAGTAGTAGTGGTAGTAGTAGCACGGACGGTACGAGGGGACAGAGGGATCCGGACGGCTAATGGTTTAATGCTGCTTGTATGTATGGATAACGTCTAACGTCTACTAGCGTCTCTCTCTGGCTGTCTCAAAAAAAAAAAAAAGTTTGTTTACTATGCGATAGAATTAAGGTGGGATGATTGATTGATAATTTTTTTTGACTTGTTGGACTATGGAGAAACGTGGTTCGTGGTTGGAGAAAAAAAAGCATGTAAGACAAAGTCCCGCCCAGCAGCTTCAGGTCTCAAGGGACTTTACCTACAAACCGCCTGCTGTGATCAACCTGTAAACTGGGGACTGCTGGGAGAGGCGCAAACTTTATTAAAAGCAGAAGCGCCACCAGCCGATTGGAGGCAAGGGTCAAAAGGTTAGGTACATAAAGTAGACGCTGCAGAGAGACAAGCAGTAGCTTAGTTGAGCTTTTCGAGTGGGGATCGAAAGGGAAGGGGTATTGAAGTGGGGGGCGGGCTTCCGTGGCAGATTAAACATTGTATGTAGAGAGTGGAGGAGTAAAAAGGTGGATAGGTGGATTTACATGGGGACATGGGGGAGGAAGTATGTCTCCAAAGAGTATATGCTAGGAAGGTACGTGCCCTACGTGACACCTGCAACGGGTTAGCCTGGAAATTGTATGTAGGTACATCTTATACATCTTGTACCTATTATACGTAGAGTTGAAGCTAAAGCTACATATCCAATGTACCTAGCATAACGGCTAGCCCTGGTAGAAATGTAAAATGTGCTACTACGAACTACCTACATGTAGACGCTAGCATCCCCGGGAAGAAGGAATGGGTGCATCGGAACATTTACAAGGTTAGGGTAGATAGGTATATGTATGTATTGTTAAGAATAAAGAAGGGGGAAGCTACATAGGTATGTAGCTAACCAAAATAAGCATTATAGGTCCTATTATAATTACACGGGGTATGCCTGTTCGAATTGAGTTGACCATTTAAAGCTCGTGGCATCATGACAGTAGTTGGCCGTCATTATGCGACAAATTGAAAAACATCCAAACCTGCCGAATTAAGAGATTCGATTTTATGAGATATGAGAAAATACCTGTTCTTTAATTCCACAATACTACGTATTTACCTATACTATTATAGATTACGTTATAATGGGGGTATATCATTACATTGCCGATTACAATCGTCGAGGTTGATGTGGCGATGGAGAACGATCGGATGATTGGGTGCCGTATATTCGGAGTCGATGTAGGTTATCCCTTTTTGAAGCACTTCCTTTTTATCTACCTGCTAGATTGGTAGAGGAACAACAGGGAGGTCAGCCTGACATAAACAGAGCCTTGCCATCGCTAGTATAAGACAAGTACAGGGATCGAATGGGTGAGTGTCTGGACATGACTCGTAGCTGAGACGAGTTGCCTAGTTGTGTGGTTATAGACGGCTAACTATACTTGATATGATATGATAAATGCGCTATTGACAAGGCTATTCGGGGATACTATGGCAGTATGCTAGTAGACTTGGCAACTGAGCTGGCCTAGGTCCATCATGGCCTATCATGGCCCATCATGCGAAGAATACTTGGTGTATGATATACCTCTTAACACAGATCTTTAGACAAGATGCTTAAATTAACTACTAACCATTATACTACAGTATAATATATGACTAAGTGAGTGTCCATCTATGCCTTAATTCTCGATACCGCCTGTCGTGAATAGGAATACTCGTACGATAGATGCTGGCCATCTTTGACTAAAAAGAAAACCCAACATGCCCAGACTCCATCATGAACACTTCATACATATGTAGGTACCTGTTAATGTTCTAGAATCTACATATGCAAAGCCTAGGGTTCGCGGAGAAAGTATGTACCCATAATGTAGATGTAGGTATGTATAAGTTGACGATACGTTGCATTCGCGCCTCAAATCTTGGCTCTCTTTTTAAATGACTCTTATTATATTCATTGCTATTTATTTTGGTCATCTATTTCTACCGTAGGATGTGGCCGCTTTATTTCTTCTCTTTTTCTTTCGATGACCGGCCTACCAGATCTATCTATTAGACGGAATGGATGTATGTAGGCGTTACGGAGTCATACTTAATAATAGCAGACAAGACATCTCGCTGTATCCCTTGGTTCGCTTGAAAGCCCCGCATGCATACCACCTACATACCTGAACAGAGAGTACATTGGTATGTACATTGTCATTGTATCTCAGTGCATCGTGCGCCGGACCACTTCCCCCCCTCCCCCTATTTTCTCAGATCGACCGCTGCCACTACCTTGACATCGAAGAATGGCGCATCGCAACATCGATGTCATCGGCTTATTAGCAACATTGCCTCGCGGTCGCCCGAATTCTTGGAAACAAGGTAACTTACATACGTACATATAACCTAACGCGAGATCCTGGCTGCTGGATGCTGGATCGCCTTTTCTTTGGGTGGAATGGGTCGCGGAAGACCGAGCGTCGTTTTCCTTTGGGGCACGGGACTTGCTGGATCGGCTCTTTCGAGTAGCCCACCGTTGCGTCGATGTTACCATGCTATCTCGGGCCTTGTCTACCGAGTGCCACAGTCTGGGGTTTTCTGTCGCCTGTCAGTTTCTTCGCTTCTTCGCAAATCTCCCCGTCGATGAATAAGGTTGTCCGTCACTTCGTTGCCGCAGCCGTTATCACATGCAGGCCTAGGGGTATTTCTTATGTAGGTATGTATCTATGTACTTCTTAATATGTGTATTATTATGCTGTAATCTTGGCTTAAGGCTGTAGTCTAGGTATAAAATAATCAGTGCTTGACCTACATGAACCGAACCTTGGTTGATCAGATATCACTTGTTACAAAAGGACAGAAAGAGAACAAGAACCCTCGTCTACCAAGTCTACCTAGCAAGTCTTGGAAGCCTACTAGAGTACCGAAGTATGTGTTCTCTAACTACTATGCAGCTACCAAGGTAGGTAACAAGAAATACGACGGGATTGATTCATTCGTACCTACATACATCATATACGTTACCTTTACTACCTTCTCACTCGTCTATGTACTTCCCTTACAGCATCGCATTGCATCCCGAACCACCCCCGAACTTCGAGGGGTCACGATCCGTGATTGGCAAACAGGTGGAGATTCAGAGCCCAATGACATCCTTGTCAATGTATTTTTTCTTCAGTCGATTGATCGCTTTTTTTTTTCTTCGAAATACCTTACATAGGTACGTCCAAGCTAGACTTTCTATTTTCTTTTCTTTTTCTTCTTCTATTTTGTTACTATTCCTCAACTCCACTGTTTCCCGCTCTCCGCTAAGGCTTACGCCACGCGCCCCGAGCTGATACTAACAACCAACAGATCACTAGAAATATGTATATGACTTTTACTTTAGCGCCCATCCTTGTGGCCCTTGGAGTCCCGCCCCTGTAGTACACTAGTAGGTCTTGCTAGAGCTAGCTGGGGCTAGGCTGCTAATCACCGGGGACATAGGGGACATGCACATCCATGAGATTGACAAGAACGGCCAGAGCGCCAGAGCGGTAAGCTAGAGCCTACTTATCCACGCAGCGATCCACTATAGGCACTACAGACGGGACAACAATACGCCTTGCTTTACTATTACTTCTATCATGCGTCCATGTCCAAGCGGAGGGAGACCAAATGTGTCAAAGATACCAAAATTCGCCCCTTGTCCTATCCACCACATCGCTACCCATCATTACTATCTCATAACGAGATTCGTCATGCTTTGGACCATATGCATTTAAGATCTTCTGTATTGCGTTTATTATTATTTTTTTCTCTGGTTTGTTGGCCAGCCATGGATCTCTTGATTTCGTTTTTCTTTACGAGTCAGGCATGAACCGATCTGCCCCGTTGGTTAACTTAGGTGACGTTCCAGCGCATGCATTTGACATACATATATAACTATGCCTTGGTGGGTAGTATCTGATACATGCTAAGGGCCTAGGTGGTATTCTGTAGCTCCAGAAGTCGCTGTTATTGATCGACCGCCTACTAAATATTCGGCCGTGCCGTGCCGTTGGATTCGAAACCCGCGATTTTGGTATGAAAGTACCCATGCAGATTTCTTTTCTTTGCAAATGAGAATATTACATGGTGTGCTTTTTCCCCCCTTCGTTTTCCCATCTAAATCCCCTTCCCACGTCACTACCTTACCTAGGCCCTGGGCTGCTGGGTAACTTAGCAAAGGTTGCTTACCGCCCATCTGTCCATCTATTCCCACCTACTGTACACGATTTGGGGTTGCGTTACACCGGTAAGGCCGAGTGAACTACACGCATATACACACACATACCTACACCCTACATGCCTACATGCCTACTAGCCTCGTGTCGTTGTCATGAACTTTGTCCAACAGCACCTACCGAACCCCCAATTGCGGTAATTCGTCACCTAAAAGCCACCTCCAACACCCTACACCCAATAACTCGGTTCCCCTACCTAATAGTTCCCTAGTGCCTTACCATTTTCCCTTTCGTGCATACCTATCGCGCACTTAGATCGAGCGAAGGGATGGATGAGTGAGCAACTTACTCATTCCCTTTCCCCTATGTCCTTGTCCAACACACCTGGTGGCTAAATGGAGCTAAGTTTGAAGTTGACAACGCACCCCGCTAAGAGAAAGGAAAAGGTGCGGTCCGTGAGGCCGTGCCAACGTCCCAAAATATATCCATTACCTACACTACTAAACTCCACATACAATAAAGAAACTAGCAGGCAGAGCCTAGACTTAACACATACGAAACTTGAACCCCATCTGCAAGGGGAGGGCTTCGGTCCTTGGCACGCAAAGTCTTGCCCTCACCTAAAGTAGATATAGTACTCGATACAGCGCAGTAGATACACCGGTTATTGGACTGGGATACGGCCTAGACGATCGATCTATTGGAGCGTATATGACTTGTAAGGCGGCCCGATGCGGACGCGGCAGTCCGACTTGTGATCCCATCACAAACAGTGTTAATATTGGGCGATATAGTCACCTAGTACATGTAGTAAGGCTGAAGACATGAAAAAAAATCTTATAAAGATCATATCATATCATACATATACCCTGCCACTTATATACATACACATATCCCCAATCTAGAAATAAAAAAAGGCGGGCATATCTTCAACGTTACCAAAGGAATACCAGCAGTCAACCAACATTACCATTCCGCGTCCCAACCTACATAACCCGCCCGACAGGTCGGGTACGAAAGGAAGTAAGAAAAACGAAGGGCAAAGCAAAAACACCGCCCGTCCGGTACCGTCAGGCACATGGAGTCGCAATAATGAAAGGTTGCACAACATGACGACGACGCCGCCCGCTTGGAGGGAGGGGTTAGCGGTTTATTAGGTATTTCCCAAGCCTGTGGAACCTCTCGGCAAAAGGGGTCGTCCCATTGGGCTGGGAGTAAAAAAAGGAGGAGCCCTGGAAGACATAGCGTTGTAATGTGGACCTACCGCGCGATGGCGGCGTAGTATGGATGTAGTAGCTACAGGAGAAGCAAGTAAGCAAGCAAGCAAACAAACAAAAAAGCCAGATACCTAGGTATATCCATACAAAGAAAAACGCAAGCAAACTACCTAGTATATAGCCTAACAAGAAACGGGAAAAGATGGACGGAAAGAGGGAGAGGAAGGACCGTTCCGGACTATCCATACTTCAATAACGTAACATGCCGTCGTAATGATGCGCATGAAGCATGCGGAAATAGGTACATCGAGCAAGGGGATGTTTGTTGGCTAGATGCCATCGTGAGTAATCAAATATTAGGATGTAGAGCCCATATAGTAAGTGTTTTGTAGATGTTAATCGCCCGAGGAGTACCTCGGACTAGTAATTGTTATAAATTTTTTATTATAACTTCCGCGAATCTTGGATTAAAACTTCGGTTTTGATATCATCCACCACCCGCCACTTAAACCCGCCGCAATGTCCACACTCCATCCACCACCAGAGTCCCATTTCTAAATAACTAAATACAAGGAAGGTAGGTCCAAGACTTTGCATCGACCTCCAAATCCAGCTGCCTATGATCGAAAAAAATGTATGTTATCGTAATAGACAGACTTTGGAACCTCGGCGCCCTTGAACGCGATGATATGACTTCAAAAAAAAAAAAAACAAATTATTTTTCTCGCACTTTCATTGCTGAGATCCCTTTCTTCGCCCCTGTCCGTACTTTGAACAATATCGTATCCCATCGCGTCGTACAATAGATGATGCCCAACCAAAATCAAGAAACGCCACGCTCGCCCGCGCCTCGCCAGTAGAGCGGTGTACTGTTAAATAGTTCTTGCCGCGATTTTTGTGTTTTTTTACAGATGAAAATAGCAGATTCGATATGCCCATCCCTCTGAGGTTTATCTATTCTTGTTTCTAATAAGAACCAAATCGGGATGAATATAAAACGGTGGATGAAGACCGAATGGCCGTATTATTCCCGGAGACGCCATTGCCAGACTCCAATGTAATGCCGAAGGGCTGGCCCGTGTATGGAATTATGTGACTTAATCGTCTGCTAACTTAGCGAAGTGTTTAGACCAAAGCCATCCGACTAAGTTGTTGGGATCGTCTTGGTTTTTCGCGAGCCATAACTCGCCTTTTTCAGCTATGACGTCGAATATCTAGATGTATGATTTAGTAATAGTTTTCACCGTAGTAATTAGATATCACATACCTCTCCTGCCTGGTATGTCAAATAGGGATACCCGGCTTCATGTTTAGTAGTTTCGATATTGAATTCGAAGAGAGACGCTGCTAGCCATAGGACGTTATACCCATTTATAGGTTGTCGTTCCCGAGAGGATGCACGAGAGGATGCTTGAGATGGCCTTGGAAGACGCTCTTGACTATCGGAAGGAGGGAGTGCAGACTGGAACAATCCGGAGTAGCGCTGGTTTTCAGGTGATTGCTGCGGAGAGGGAAACATTGAATTGGAATGACGCCTCGAGTGCATGCCAGACTCTACGCTCTGCCTTGGGACACCAGTCGAATCGTAGCTATGGCCGGTTCCAGGTCGCACGGGTGCTGGCCCTGACGGCCGAGACATGCTGGCTGAGTCGGGGGTATGGAGTGAACCAGACCCTGGACGTGCCTGTATATTAATTCCGACATAATAATCGCGATAATTATAGTATGAATGGGGACTTGGAATAGAAGCAGTGGTCGGCGAAATGGTGAATTGACCACTATGGCGTTTCATGAAGTCAGGGGTAGGCAAACTCGGAGCCATGTCGCTGTTCAAAGACAATCCTCGGCCGCGAGCCGAAAGTTCAGATGGTCTCGGGCGGAGTCTTGCAAATGACTCGTCTGTGCTGGTCGACTGTGAAGGACGGCCTTTAGAAGCCGGATTTACAATACTGATAGTGTTGATTTGCTCATCCTGGAATTGGTAATCGCGCTGGAATGTAGAGATAATGTCGGCGATTTCTGGGACCTCAGGGTCCTCAAGTACCGTCTTCACTTTCTCCTTCCAGATAGAGAACCATCGAACCTGAATATTCACGAAATTCCCAAGGCAAATCTTGCCAACCTTTTCTGTTAAAGCGGAAAGCTTGGGTAGTTCCTTTTTAAGTGCTTCATTCAAAGCCTCGTATTGCTCAATGAAATCAGAGAGCTGCTTGTCGATTTTCTTACCGGTTTTCTTGAGTTGAACCGATTTTTCGTAGTCTAATCGGCGTTTAGCTCGTTTTTTCATCGCAAGTGATGGGTTGCCATATGACTTGATCACAAGCTCAAAGGGCTCGATCACTTGCTTTCGAACTTGTGAGAGCTGGAAGATTTGGTTAGCTTGGAAATGACGCAGATAGGAAAGGGGAAAAGAGAGGGGAGACTAACATGTTGCTCCAGTGCAACTTTTTCGATATCCCTCATAGACACGTTGAAGCGGACCCATTTGCTTTCGATTTCGGGATGAGGCGATGGTTGAAGTCTCATGACGAGTTCCATCGAAGACAAGTATTGCAGGAATACGTGAACGTATTCCGTAACTTGCCTTGTGTAAAATTCAACATCTCGCAAGACAACCTGTAGTCGAAGGTAGTCATCGCCAAACCTCTCATGGAGTTTAAGATACTCTGGATCTTCCGCTGGTTTGTTTGTGGCTTGTAATTTATCAACCCTTTTGCCGAAAGCCCTAGCAAAGCCAGCTCTGACATCGGACTCCTTGCGCTTTCTTCCAACTATTTGCCCAACTAATTCGAAATTCTTCTTTGTCTTGTTAATTTCCTCAATCGCATTCTCCAGATCAACCTTCGCGGACTCAAGGAATAGACGATCGGGATGGTCTGCCGGTGTTTCATGGAGAAGTTGAATAAGAAGATTTGGATATTTTGTAATCCTTTGCATTGGTTTGATCAGCAAGGAATCGAGATTCCACGCCTTGGTCAAATCTCTTGCAACTTCGTTACACTCATTCAACCAAAGTTTCACGATTGGATCTTCTTGGATCTGAATTAGTCGCTTGGCAGCATGATCACTATTTTTAAGGAAGGTTTCGTGTGCTGCCTTCATCTGTTCCATGTTCCGGATGAAAATTGGGCCGAGTGACGTTTGCCTGTCTTTACTGTCGCTCAAATGGCCAGTGGCTGTTACAGAAGGTGGCGAAAGATTTGTACCATCAGATGGATTTGGAGTGTCCCTTGGCAACTGAGTTCGGTGACCCTTGGGAGTATAAACACTCGAAACACCTTCCTTGAGCTCTGCTAAGAAACCCGAATGAAACTTGATGATCTGGTCGGTATTGCGGAAAATTAATTTAATTGTTCCGTCGTCAAGCTTTGGACAGGCTTCAGCTGTTCCTTTGTAGATTTCTTCGACGATATTCATATCCCTAACGAAAAATGCTTCGGTATCAATTAGTTCCTTTATAGTTTCGAGGCGTGTGAATAATCGTTTTCTTTCCTTTGACGAAAGTCCCGTGGCATCCTCAGTTTGATCAATGCTTTCTGCTAGAGTCTGCTGGCTATCTAAGAGAATGGTCTGAGAAGCGCTCTCGGAGATCTCCATGGAACCTTGGTAAACCGTACGAGAACCCGATTCGGATTGGTCAAAATCTTCACTCTCCCTTCGAGAAGGATCCAATGAAAACATGCTCTGATCATCTTTCCCAGGCTGAATATAGCTGCTAGGTCTTGTCTCATCGAAATATTCGCTCGTGGGTGCAGAACTACCAAGGCCACGCAGTGAAACCCCATCTGGAGGTGGTGGCGGAGCGTGGTCCGGTAATGCGGGGATAGAACTATTCTTACTTTCAGTATAATCTACGATGAAGCCATCCCCTGTGTTAAGCTCCGGAAGTTGGTGTGGAGGGTGCTGCGCTGACTCTGGGTCTTGAGGTCTGCTAGAAATCTCAGAACTGCAAGGCGTTTCCCTCGCGTCTCGTTCATACTGGTAGGGTTGCGATAGAGAGCTGGATTCCGATATTGAATGGCTGTCACGATAGGTAGAATCTTGGTTTTGTAAATCTCGATTCCTTATCTCATAGTCGGAGTAAGCTTCCTGGCTATTGATAGAATAATCAGTCCAAACAGTGGTTTGGCTAGCCCTGTTCATTGATTCCGAAGTCCTGGGTACCGTTAGACTTGGAGCTGTGCCCATTGTCCTCCGAGACTCCAAAGAGAAACGCGGGGCTTCCATGCTCTGTTGCTCCGGAATGTCCATATTATTGCCCTCCAATGTCTTTGGACTGGGGTCTCGAGGGATAGCCGCGGTGGGGTCCTTCATAATCGGGCCAACAAAGAACTCCTCGATCTCGCTAAGACCAGCACTTGGGCCGGGTAGTTCGTCATCTGGACTAAGTAAATTGCCATACGTCAAATTGCGAGACGGATCGGAAAGTTTAGGCTCTGAATCATCATCTCCCAAGTTCCGAGTATTAGAAAACGCCGTAAAAGTTGGCTCATCAATCTCACGCCTTGGTGACGAGAAATCTGAATCTCGGCCGATAATCGTTACTTTTGTGTGATATGACTGAGACGGAAGTGGTTGTGGAGAATATTCGTCGTCATCGTCTTGATACGAGCCTGGAATGGCATGATTCGTATGAGGCTCAATTGTAGTCGGGCTAGGCTCTATAGAGTGTGGTTTCATCGTAGAGGTATCTAATGAGACGTTGATAGAGAAGCCGTCGTCGTTAGGGCTTTCCTCTTCGAACGGAGACCGATATTCTATTTTCGAATATGTTGACTTGGCATAACCGTCATCATTATCAGTCTTACTGACATCTAGTCGCACAGGGATCTCTTGTACAGGCGGGTCGGTCTGTGGTTCATTGTCAAACTCCGTCGTATTCGAGATTGCTGAAGGGGGTGCTTCATCTTGATCCTCCGCGCTTCCTGGCGTTGGAAAGCTCCCGGGTATACCGAGTGTTGGAGAATCTTTTGGAATTGATATAGCCGCAACATTATCCACACTGGGTTTCCTAAGGTCTGTGGTAATTGTCAGTGCCGTTTGCTCTGGAGGCGATACCTCCGCGTCTATAGGGCTCTGATCAGAGTCATCTTCGAGGAATCGATTCTCTTCCTCAGGATCCAAGCGATTCTCCTGTTCCGCTCTACGCGCCTCTTCTAATCGCTGTTCTATTAGAATTTGTTCTTCTTTACGCTTCTCCTCGATAATCCGTTCGATTCTTGCTGCTTCAGCTGCAGCAGCAGCCGCCGCAGCAGCCTCGGCTTCCGCTTTCCGCCTCTTCTCCTCTTCAGCGGTCTTCCTGGCCGCAGCCTGGACCTCACTCGCTCGGACTGATTTTGTATACGATAGCTTGATCTGTTCTCGTCGTGATTCAAAATCAATTGGACCCATCGATATCTTCCGTCTTCGCGTTCCTGTTCCCTGTTCATTGAGCCTTGAACCTGGTCGCGAATCGAAGTGTGATGGTGAACGGCCCCTGTCGACGGCCTTCATTCTTGAACTGGCGGTGGTCGCTGTGGAGACGGGCTGGCGAGGCCGAGAGCTTCGTAGTTGCGGTGATAACTTCGGAGGGGCAGCCGAGATATAGGCGTTGAGCCTCGCGTTACTATTTGGAGTCACGGAACCTAATCGGTTTGGCTGTCGTGTCGCAGAACTGGAAGCACTGCTAGGTGTCTTTGCTCGTGCGACCGGTGTTGATTTGGTCGCTTTCCCTTGAATAACAGGTCGTCTCCGTGTGGACGGCGAATTTGATCGTGTCGACGTTGGACTAGAGGAGCCTGAAGGACTGTTGAGTTTTCGCACCGAGACGGGCAATCTCGAAGCCGTCGACGACGGGCCCCGTTCTATGTGGAGTTTTGGACGCGAAGGTTGAGGTGCTTTCGACGGTGCTGGGGCCGGTTTAGTTCCAGCGACGTCGCTGTGCGACCGGTTGTGGGCCTTAGTGGATTTTAGGCCTTTCGTCTCTGTGTCGTCATGAATCGCGGAACTTCCATTTGCGTTACGGTACCAATCACTTGGCGACGGTGGTTCCACGTCAGTATGTGAAAAACTTCTCTGGCGCAAATTATTCGAATTATGAATATTTGAATCGGATGTTCTCCTCGTTCGTACTCCCTCAATCCCAAAACCAGCCGTTCCAGCATCGAGTTCTGTGGGTGCTATCTCCCCGAATAAGAGACCGCGGGTTTGGGGAATCGGCGGGATCGAGTTTGGAGAAGCAATGGGGGAGAGATTGCCCAGGGACTTCGACCCTTGGTTGTGGGAAGCAACTGGGGCCCGTGGTTTCGCTATACGACTCGCAAAGGATTGTGAATTATTGGACAATTGGTCCTCCGGGACCGCTTTGTTCCTTTGCGTCGTTCGAATATCGGTCGGCGATCCAGACCCAGGCTCAATATCCCGCGTAACGGACGACCGTAACGCTGCATAGGATGGTTGGCCATTTGTGGGCGAAGATCCACTTACTCTACGATATCTAGCAGATGATGGCGACTCTCTAACTGGAATGCGTGGTATAGCCTTACGGGAACCGGGATTATTCGACTGTGCCGCGTTCTGGTCAAATCTTTTCTTCAAATCCTTTACGCTGGGTTGATGCCCGCTACGGCCCCCATATGGGGTTGTGGCTGTAGCCCTCGACTTCGAGGCACCATCGGGTTGTTTATCGTTGACGGGGGCGGATACGGAGCGTACACTGGGTCTCACATTAGGTCGTGCGGAAGCAGAAGCAATAGCGGGGTGTTTTGAAGCGGCTCCGGTTCCGTTTGCTCGTAGCGAGAGGTTTTGATCTTGCCTCGAGGCAGAAACGGTTGACGCCATCAATTCGTCGTGGGTCGGGTCTGGCACGGACGTATGGGCGCCACGGTAATTTCTATAGAAATCGTCCGGATCTACGACGGCCACGGGCTCGACACTCGTCGCGTTCGCATAGGCGGCGTGGAAATTGCTCGAGGCATAGGACGGGAATTCGGATTCGGGCGGAGGCAATAGGATGTGGTGCTGCTGATCGAAGTCGGGTTCGAAGTCGCGATCGTCGTCGTAGTCGGAGTCGTCGAATACTGCAGGGTTAGGGTTTGGACGATGATGGTGTTGGTGTTGGTAGTAGCGGTGGTAGTAGCGATTTTCTTGGTGTTGTGTTGGACTTGAACCTGACTGGGATTCAAAATTATGGGTTGCCAACGTCGCACCAAGGGGTTCCTCCTCTTCCTGCATCTTCTGGACATCACCCTGACATTCAGGCGCCGATAGACTATGTAAGTGTACAATACGACAAATGAAGGGAGTAGGTAGGTCAAGCCGAGCAAGGGTTCCGTCCCGGGCTACGTTGTCGAATAACGTTTTGCTTGCCCTGAACCCCGTTCCAGCCTAGGCTGCTTAGGCTTCGAGCCTCTAAGCAATTGGATGCCAATGAGCGAGCAGATGGGTGAGGTAGCAGCGAGAAGTGTGGGGGGTGGATAGGCACACACATACAAGCGTGCAGGCGTGGTCAGAGGAAATTTAGAAAGCCATTCGACGATACTAGACGGCAAGACCCGCCCCTGAAAAAGCTCGTAAGCTGTTTGGCCGTGTGGGATGTCTCCCGAGCTGATGCGCTGGCAACCTGGCATGCAAGGTGATTTGGTAGTTTGAATTGGTTTTTTACGTTTTACGTTTTTGGGGCGGGACGGGGGGAGACGAGAAGAAGCGGTACGGCTTCGATTGCTCAGGATGAACCTTATTAGCTAGGTACTTAGGTAATTACTAGGTACCTATCTTGGTACTCTTTCGGTGGAAGGAAAGCTGAATCTACCAACTAAAAGCTTACGCAGTTACTTAACTTCCTGACTTTGATCACTATCCGGCTAGGTGTGCTAGGCGTGCTAGGCATTTGGGGTACTAGTAACGAACGTGGTTAGCGTCCTCCACCTCGCATCGTATGGGATCGTCGTACATTGTAATAGGGCAACAGGGCAGCTAGGTACTAGCCCCATTCGCTGTTCCCTGGCTCTAAGACTCTCACGTCCGTGCCTTCTACTCCTCCTACCCAGCTGAGTAAGTTCATAAATAACTAACTGGGATCATGGTTGTAGGAGTTGTAAATTCGAGATACGAAAATGCCAGAGATCAAGATGATTAGTTCGGTGGTTTTTCTTTTTAGTTTCATCATTGCCTTGGAATTTTATCATATACAAGCAAGTTTCAAAACTGCGTTGTTTTATATGACGAAATCCTTTTGAATGGTGGAAAATATGATGAACTGTAGGCCATTTGCATGGTGATCGAACTGTCGGAGAACATGCCCCGGCCCGCTACGTATGGGTTGGTAGAACACTTATGTACCCTCTTCGTAAGAACATGGTACTTGATCATAAGGTAGGGAGATAATCGCAATACGGCCCATTCCAATGTTTATATAAGAGAGCAATATTATTTATTTGTTCTTCTTTCCACGGTGTTGAGTTCACATTTATATAATTTTAATTGGCATATCTACCTAGGTACCCAATAAACTCAAGTATCCAAGTCCATGTAAGTTATTAAGAAAAAAAGGTATATAAGCGGATACTTTGTGATATCGTGGCTGTTGCTAACACAGGCATATCCTAGGTCCGAATTTTCACATCGTCGATTTGACATATGGTAGGAAAAAATAATGACTAAAGTCGTCTTATGTGGTGTCAAGGTGTAGCAATACTATATGAGTGGTTGGTTAACCTCGCTATGAGCTTGGAGATATAGCCTATCCGTAAGCCTATCTTCTTGACACCACTCACTGTAACCAACCGAACGACAAGAAATTCAATTGCGTTTGGCGGATTTATTCTCCGTTTCCGGTGACTATTCGGTGCGTTGTACCTGTACCTGGGTCTCAGTTGACAACCTCAAGGGATAGAAACATTGGAGGAAGAAGCTGACCAGCGGGCGGTTGGCATACGGCATATACTCAGACAGGAGTGCATGCAGCCTGCATCTTTCCATCCCAACCAGTCGCTCTCCCACACTATCGGATAGCTTAATCAACTAGAGAAGCCACAATCTATACAAGACTCTTTTCTCTGGCTTGATGACAGAGTCATATATCAACTGACTACAACCATGACTAAGAGTGAAGGGCGTTGATCTCATTTAAAATATATATACTCAAGTAAGCGTGAAATATCAAATATGCAAATGGATGGCTAAATGTATTAAGCCTCGGTGCTGAAGAAGAAAGATGATGTGATCCAAGATTGGAGAGCAACCCCCTTTTGAAAACAACCCACCCTACATAGAACTTCACATTGGACCCCTACTACTACGACGACGGCCGGAATTGGAAACCTTTATTCGTCCCTAGCGTTTTCATCTTGCATGATAGTTCTCCTTTCGGGACATTCCAATGGATATTATAAAATGGCTCTCTTACGATGCTTTGCACCACATACGTTTCTTTTCTCCTACTGGGGAAGCTGTTAAGAATCCAGGGATGTACCTCTCAGGCGATGAGTTAAACCCGGTCGGCGCAAGTTAGCGAACCAATCCGGTATGACAGATCATGCGAATTAAATTGCGAGTCGTGGCTAGTAACTGGGCAAACAAGCTGTTACAATAACATGACCTCTCATATTTTTCTCTTCTTTCGATGTCCAACGAAAGTCTGACAGAGCCCAACCCAAATTCCGGCCGATCTCACCGGTCAAAAGGCTACCTTGGTGAGTAGTCGGCAAATGGAAGATTTTGGGAATTTTCACGGAGTAACATCGAAACCAGGGGGGGATGAAGAATTACCAACCATCCCTTGTAAAAATGTGAAAATTTGTCGAATCTCGGTCAAATTTATATGCTTGTCGACTTCAGAAACTCAATTTAAACCAGAGTAGTTGATATTTGTTTCAATAACATCTTTTGCGAATCAATTGCGTTAGATTGCGAAGAAGGATGAATTATCGAAAGTCAGGAATTTGATCAACTTAATTAGTCAGCACCTAAATTATTTAGTGCCCACTTTTGATATGGTCCAGAACCTTTGACGATGCACAGTGCTCTAGTGCTCTTTCCCCGTACCGGAGCCGCGCGGAACGGGTCCAAGCTTTCGCTGTTTAGAGTTCATACCGATGTACAACAGATCCATCAACTATTTCAACGCGTGCACAGGCATTGTACCTTTAGTCATACGCGTACAACCTTAATACATTCATCATTATACAGTCGCAATTATTACAATTATTACATAGAACCACCAGGATCTTCTCGTGTTATTGAACAAATAGTGCTTTTCTTCAAAATGACATGAGCATTGATTTTTGTCAGCATCAATACGATATGACTCCACAAGATGGCTCACCCAAAGAAGCGGAAGCGTGGGGGAACTACCAATGGCCATTCAGATAATGGGCTACCAATGAAGAAAAGGGGAACAGATTGTGAAAAGAATCAACCACCAATGCCTCCTCAAGCTCAACATTCCGTACTCAATCAATTCTATCCCCAAGTTTTGACATTGCGGAATTACGTTCTCTCGACACTGCCTGTTACTTCTAGGCTCCGAAGGAAGAAGGTATCTGCGGTCGGGATAATTAACAAAAATCCGGACTTACCTCCATCGGATATAGAACGGTCATTGGGAGTTGTGCTTGACACCACTCTTATCGGCATACAGGGCGAACTGAGGAGTCCGGAAGACACTTACTTGGAGGGGTGGAAGAATTTCTCCCAGAAAGGAGATGAGTCCTACGTCACTCTATCGAATGGCATTGCCGGTTTTGTCGAGACACAGGCACTTGTACGACCCAAATCCTTCCCGTCCTAATAAGACATATCTGCACACCATCATGTTGCAAGAAATGGGCTAATATAATGTCACATAGCTTTTAGAATATGTCGTAAGAACCCTATTCTCCAGAGAGAAAGCTGGCACATGGCCAAAGCATCTACTGTGCGAAGGCTTCAGCAGAAACCGTGGCTTAGGACTGCGTCTCGTCCGACCTAACCACAATTTTGAGACACTGAAGCAGCCACCATGGCCACAGCTCCTTGCCCTGATAGGCGACTCGGGCGAGCGCATCATGATAGACTTGCTTCTTGACTGCGCCATTTTCGTACCGGTGAAAGCGGGAGTCAATAATCTTTGTCAAATAAGTGGTAAGCTGCTTAAATTTTAGACGGTGAAGCATCAAAACTCATTCCAGACTAGGGAGACCATTGTCAAATGTTGAAGCGCTTGGCCGCGAAAAGTCCGGAATAGAGGCTGTGGATGACGTAGCAAAATCTCCGGCAGAAATTGCTTTTGTTCGTAACCGCATGCTCTATGCAAGAGCTGCTCTCAACGCCAAAGGAGTCGTCCACTTCGGACTGAGACATATTCGTACGGTATTCAGTCGTTAAACTTTTCAACAGGCTAACAATAAGTAGATGTATTGAATCGATCCCCCTATTGCCATCTTGATGATAAGGAAGAACATTCAACCGAGGACACACAGCGAATAACGCTACAGAATGATACACATACTCTCAGGGTTTTGATGTACATCTTCCCTCGTCAATTTAGGCTTCACAATGTTTTCACGTCTGAGGTCAATTTCAAAGAGACGTCTCAGCGGCTCAAAGACTATACTCTACGGGAAGAGGAGATTTTTGAAAAGTTCGGCCGGCTTAATGAGCCGACTACTCGAATCCGTACGCCCAAACGATTAAGAGGCACTGCCATAGAGTTAGTACGAAAATTACAGATTCTACATCAACGCTGCTCATACTCAAAGCTTCTGCAATATTACTGTCCTGTAAGTCAATATAGTCGTAAAAAGCCAATAGATACTGACTTTTTGGAGCTTCATGCTTCACTCGACCGTAGAGAATTGGAGCCAACTGAGGTTTCCAATACTCGTAAACTGTCGCGCAAAGTAGGCGTTTTGCGGACAAAGCCCGCACTACCATCACAGGCTCCAATACAGAGTGACCCGACGTCATCTGTTTTTGATCTGGAAACGCCGCCGGCGAAAATATCTGCCTTCTGCCAGGCAGTCTTAAAAAAGATCGTGCCAAATCAGTTTTGGGGCAGTGGATCCGTTGCCGAGCATAACGAGACAATGTTTCTGAAGAAAGTAAATCACTTCATATTGTTAAGACGCTTTGAAAGTATGTCGCTGCATGAAGTGTTACAGGGAATGAAGGTCAGTATTGTAGCATATACTTCGCTTGACGGTCGACCCCGCTAACTCTGAGAAGTTGACCGAGATAGACTGGCTTGCACCACCTTGGCTCAGGTCGAATAAAACCTCTCAGACGGATATTAAAAAGCGTCATGAACTTTTCGTTGAGTTCCTATACTTCCTGATTGACTCTCTGCTAATCCCACTCATACGTAGTAATTTCTACGTTACGGAGTCAAACGCCCATAAATATCGGTTATTCTTCTTTCGTCACGATGTTTGGCGCTATGTTGCGGAACCTGCGATGGCTTCGCTCAAAAGCAAAATGTTTTCTGAAGTCAACCTTGTTCGTGCTCGCCAGATACTTGACGCCCGTGCTCTCGGATTTAGCCAAGTTCGCTTGCTGCCGAAAGCGACTGGTATGCGACCCATCATGAACTTGCGTAAAAGGATTGCTATGCGAGGGAAGACGAAGGCACTGGGGCCCGGGATTAACAAAATCCTTGCGCCGGCTCACACAGTCCTACAACTTGAGAGGTTTGTCAACCCCGAGAAGTTAGGATCTACGATGTTTTCTGTCGGGGATATCTACAAGCGTGTAAAACCCTTCAAATCCAGAATACTCAAGCCTGGCACGAAGCTCTATTTTGCGAAACTTGACGTGCAAGCCGCTTTCGACACTATTCCTCAAGCAGCTATTGTCAGCTTACTCGCCTCAATACCCCAACAACGCCAATATCGAGTTTCGACTTACGTTGAAGTAGCGGCGAACCTGATAAGTCAAGCGGGAGATACTTCCAAGTCAAAGCCCATAAAAAGGTGGCCTTCCGCCGCAACAAGCAGCGATGATAATTCATCATTCATCCAGCTTCTTGAATCAGGGCAAGCGGCCACGAAGAGGAATACTGTGTTTGTTGACGGGTGGAAGAAGCACTATGAAACTAGCGACTTACTCCAACTTGTGGCCTCGCATATTCAGCAAAATCTCGTCAAAATCGGAAAGAAATTCTACAGGCAAAGGGAAGGCATCCCGCAAGGATCCATATTGTCATCGACGCTTTGCAATTATTTCTACGCCGATCTTGAAGTTCACGTCCTGCCATTTCTTAATTCTGAGGATTGCCTACTTCTGCGGCTAATTGATGATTTCCTCCTTATCACTACAGACAAACAGAAAGCTTCTCGATTTATAGATACAATGCATCGCGGCGTCCCCGAATATGGTGTCATTGTTAATCCACAAAAAACTCTTGTCAATTTTGACTTGAAGATCAGCGGGAAGCCCGTCGCCAAGTTAGTTGATGGGCAAGGCTTTCCTTACTGTGGTACTACTATCGAATGTAAGAACCTGGATATTTCTCGTGGCCGGGAAAAAGAACGAGAGACAAGTAAGTCTTCAATTTAGTTTCGTCGCGTTTCTTAGTAGTTAACATCGCCTAGACATCTATAACTCGCTTACGGTTGAGTTCTCTCGTACACCGGGGAGAACATTCCAACGAAAAGTTCTCAGTAAGTTATCATTTCGCCCCGAAGCTTATAGTTTTCCATTAAAACATTAATTTTACGATGCAGACGCCTTCAAGATCCAGAGCCACTTAATGTTCTTCGACTCAGAGCTCAACTCAGCTCCCACGATGCTGGGCAACATCTATAATGCATTTACCAAGACGGCTACCAAAATGTGGGCATACGCTCGTTGCTTGCCAGTGCAGAAACAGCCGCCTACGGCACTTATCATGCGTAAGCTTAGAACTCGAATGTTAGACATATGGTGCATGAAATGTGGCTAACCCTCGCCGCTAGAGACCATATCGCAATTAGTCGACACAGCTTACGTACTCCTCATCAGCAAGGTTCGTAAGCTCCGCTACCCAGGCTATACTTGTGACGTCAAGAAGCCTGAAGTCTCCTGGTGAGTTCGTTCTCCTATTATCGGAGACCACGCCTATGCTAACATATTAATTCTAGGCTTGCGTTTAACGCCTTTTGCAAGGTACTAGAGCGAAAGCAATCCAAGTACGGCGACACTCTTAGTTGGCTAAAAGCTGAGATCAAGAAGCTTAGCCAACATAAAGATATTCGAGAAAGAAGGGTCATGAAAGTTACTCGACCCTAAACGGGTTGTACATTAATGTATTGCTAATACCCTATTCAAGTGATCATAATAATGCCTAATGAAGATACCCCTTTGCCTTCTAATGTCCGAGCCGTTCTCTTGATATGCTATGCACTATGCCGCGTAGTCAAGTCTAAATGCTCAAACGCCAAGCCCCGTATCCCACCAATGCTTCCCCCAATACCATCTCGGCCAGAAATCCCTCTCATACCTCCAAACCCTACGGTCTTCCGTGGGACCGTAACCTAGCGCCCGGAAAACGGACACGGGAACTGGTTCGTATAACCATAACCCACAACGTCCGAAATCATCAATCAGCGCCCAACTCGTGGCCCACATCCACCCCAGCACAAATGCCAGGTTTCCTAACCGCCTTACCCAACGTGGCATACGTTCAATAAACGGCTTTACAACCGGGGCACGGCAAAGCGAAGATTGCAACGTAGTACCCACCCCCGCGAACACAAAAAACAGCGGCGGAAGCCACCACTTCGTATGCGTAGGCACGGTACTATAACTCCCCGAAGCATGCAAAAAGCCCGACGTCACAAACGCGCACAGCGCACCCGTAAGTCTAGCACTTGTACTCCCCGGGGTTCCGACGTATCCATTTCTTTGTAACCAGTTGGCCGGCGCCGCGAACCCGAAGCGGAAGGTCTGGTGCCACCAATCGCCCCAGAAACCCGCGAGTCCGCGGTCGAGAACGCGGGTGAAGGATCCGAAGGGCGTTGGTAGGAGGTGTGGATGTGCGCGGAATCCTAGGATTTGGGGGAGTGGGGGGAGGAAGACTAGGATTAGGTAGCCGAAGTTGAAGACTAGTTGGAGCGCGGATACGATGCCTAGGAATGAAAGGGCAGTGCGTTGCGCGGAGAGGGTTAGGGGGTGGAGGGTGGATAGGTGTGGTGGGAGGGGGAGGTTGTACTCGGGTCCTAGGATGAAGTAGGGGTCTGCTGTCATGTGGACTGCGCAGAGGTCTAGGAGGAGGTAGCTTGGGATCATGGTGAAGAAACAGGTTGTGAAGAAGTGCGTGTAGGAAAGCTGCCGTTCGTATCCTTGTTTGGTACGGTGCGGGCCGACGGTGTTTAGGGGGAGCTGGTACGGGCCTTGTTTAGGGGGTGGTGCGTAAGGTGGTATGCAGGGGATTGACCAGTTCCAGCCTAGTAACAAAAATTAATATGTCATTTAGTTTGGAGGTATGTAAACATGAATGCGACTTACCCGTCATTCGAAAAGTACTGACGATGTCGAATGCCCAGTCCAGTCGAGTCAAAAAGGGAGCGTCCGCTGGGTATTCCTGCCAATAATATTCAAATTCTTGTTTATCGGCTAACTCCTTAAGCTCGGACGATACTCGGATTCCATTTCCATTTCGCTCTAGCGGAGGCACTATATTTGGTGAGATTTCCTTTGCATTCTTTTTAGAGTCTTCATTTTGAAAGCTTTTTCTCTGTTGAACACTATCAGATAGTAGACTCTGCTCCTTGGTTGAAGATGAGTAAGCGCTCAGCTCATTATCTCCATCGTCCTTTCCGTTCTTCTGTTTCTTTTTCCTTCTAATGTCCACACGTTTAGCTTCCCACTGGGGTTTAGTCCAAACTAGTACAGTGAGATTCCACACGATACCCCAAGCGGCCGTAAGACCAACTCCATACGCAGAAGCAAAGTTATGGCTCGAGACGTTCAATATCATGTGGGTATTAAAAGCCACAACGCAAGCGAGGACAAGCCATCTAGCCTGGTATACCCATGGGCGATTTCTGTGCGGAATAGCCAAGTATAGAGTTGGCAAGATCCAAATGCCAAGGAAGTGTAAAGGGACTATGAAAGGTTTCGTGGTGCCGTTCAAAATATCGTCCCGAAACTTTGCGCGGTAGAGCTCTCGGTATGTAGCTGCTATATCCGCATTTTGCTGGGCCATATCTCAAGGGCCTTGGAAAATAAACTTCACCTCAGACTTTTGCTCGGCAACGCGCATCGCTTACTGATGTATGGCCAAAGCGGTGAAGTTTGATATTAAGACAGTTGGGCTGAGTCTAGCCTGTTTGTAAAGAAGTAAAAACAAAGGCTTAATATTTTGATAGTAACAGAACTGGGAGTTCATTAGGAAGTTGAAGATTTGATACGCAAAACAGAGAGAATGGAGTATTGAAGAATAATTATGTATTCGACGAAGCTTTTTTTTTTTTTTTTTTTTTTCGTTGACGTAGGTATAAGTTTGTTATACTTGTAATACAGCTTCGTCAAGTACTCCTTACTCACAATTCCAGGTCCTTTTACAGGGACCTTTTCACACTAAGGTATTGGGGTGGGTCTAGGGACCCGGTGCTGTGGCCCCCCACTCCCGTTGGAACTCATGATGCTCACATTGGATCCATGTGGTTGCCAATGATAGCTGTTACCTAGGTAGTCTGACTTAAAGGTTAAAAAATGGGTTGATTTTTTAATTCTATCTTCCAGTTGGATTTCATCAGCTGAGGCGACACTGACACTGTCTTACAATTTGTAACGGTTTTAAGTGTATCTTGGAAATGATCACACGAGAATTAGCTTGGAGGGGGGCAAACGCGGCACGGCAGATTTCATAGCGTTGGAAAACGAATGTTTTACTTTTTTTTCTGCACTAATTTTGAATGTGTACTCCTCTCGGTAACCATGACGTCAAATCGAAATTGTCAATCTTTCCTAAATACCTAGGTATACTACTTTATAGGGTGACGGTTGTCTGTATCTGATCGCTGTAAGATAAGCTTGCGTTTAATCTTTAGATCTTCCCTAGGGGATGATGCATGCAACGTTGAAGGATATTTGGTAGATCTAGCGTGGGGGTTCTAGAATCAAGCGAAACTATCGTAAGGATCTGAATTAGACAGATATAACGACCTAGGTACCTACAACCCGTAAATGAATACACACATAAGTACAATATCGTGATTCATCGCTTTCGATGCACGCAAATCATTCTGATGATGCCTTCGCTATGCTACAAAATCCAAACAGGAAATCCCCTCCTAAATCCGTAAACGCCTCCCATAGCCCACACGTAGTGACAGTAAAGCATCAACCCACGTACCAAGCCCAGAAACCACGACTCAGACGCCAAAGCATCCACGTTGCGCAGACTACCACCACGAGCAGCCCAAGTAAAATAGCACGTTGCAGTTCAAAGGCGTCTGCGGCTTCCATCTTCATAAGTTTCTTCTGCTTCGTGTGGAAGTACCATCTTTCCTTTCGCTCTCCATTAGTCGGTACCCGTGTCGGTGCCGACGTTCCCGGTTTGGTTTTATCAACCCATCCATACGGCTGTGGATGCTGTCGAAATAGTATGCGGTCTAGCCACGCTGGTAATAACCACGATGGCAGACGGCTATATCGCTCGGAGTTTTCTTGCATGCGTTTATCATGGTAATGGCAGTCGATGAGGTACAGGGATAAGAGGAATGAGAGGAAATGTATCGGGGTTAGGACTGCCTGTATGATTTGCCTTGTTAGTTGCGAATATAACAAAGATAGATACTTCTATAATAGCTCGACATAGTACATGTACGAAATGCATGGTTGTATCAGAAAGGCGGGCAAAACTCGCCTGTAAAATACTGGATTGCTTTCCCCTGCTAGCTTCAGGGCGAGACGCTGTCTTTGACGCCATGCTCACCCAGCCAAAGAACCCTGGAATTAATAGTGTGGGTACACAGCAGGGCTGTCAATATAATACCAGTAGTTGTGTAACTGGGATAGTTTCAATAGAAGTACCGCCAAAAATACCAAATATTTAGAGAATCAACTTCATTTCATAATCATCCAAGAAAAAGAGGAAAATAGGAGAATAAATACAACCCTAGGCCGATCCTAAACTCGGGATCCGCCCGGATCGCCGGGTACGAAGTTACTTAAAACTTACGAAAATTACGAGGGGACTTGCCTTCGATTGGATACCATCTTGCGACCATGACATGTCTTTTTCCAGCGACCTCTTGCCCTAACGATATAGTAAGCCGCGGGCCCGCGCCGCTCTCGCTTGCGTAGGTGCAAAGCCACTGAACCTGCGCTAGAACTTCATAACCCTTCCACGAATGTAACTATTCCTAGCGGAGTCAGCCTAGCCATTGCTACGATGTCTCATATTATAATTTTCTACATTGAAGATTGAGATAACAGGTAAATCCTTCAGATATCATGGTATTGGTCTAAATTGCGAGGATTTATAAGCGAGATAAAGGTTAAGTATCGGCATCGGTAAATAAAAAGCATACGCATGTGTCTCCTTTTTCCCTTCTTTTGAGAAATGCTCACTTTTCCCCTCCTATTTCTTTTTTTGCATGCACAATCCCACTCTCTAACTTCTGGTATTCGCAATGTCTAATACCAGGATGTCGGTTGCTCCAATTTTAGACAGTTCGTCCATTATCGGCGCAATCTTCTTCTTCTCAACCATGACACTCACAGCGACCCATCCCTCTTCCTCCAGTGAAGTTACTGTGGGCGCTCTCTTTCCTGGTGCGATCTTCGTTGCGGCCGCAAGACCGGTCCTCTCGACATTGTATTGACACAACACGTATCGTTGGGCAGTAATGACACCGCGAATTCGGGCAGCGATCAAGTCAACAAGTTCTTGATTGGAAGGCTTTCGCGACTTGATCAATATCGCAGAGGTTTCGACTACGGTATCGATTGGCTTTAGCCCCGCAGCCTTCATTGTCTCTCCAGATTCTGTGATGGTTAATAATGGATTTCTTAGTGGCCAAGACACTGGTTTGGGAAAACCTACCAACGAGATCGACAATTCCATCCGCCACGCCCAGGGCGCAGGCGGCCTCAACACTGCCACTCAACTCAATAATCTTGGTCCGTAATTTGCTGGTAAATTTGACCGGAGTGCCGTTAATTGTGTCGTTGCTAACATCCTGCTCCAATTCCAAGTTGGCAAAGTACTTTTGTGCCAGGTGCACAAAACTTGTACCGATATTTTTTCCAATTAGGTCCTTAGGCGAGTTATAGCTGCCGTTTTCAGGTACCTGAACCTGCAGCTTGCAGCCACCAAAGCCTAGCTCCATAACTGTTTCGCACCCTGAACCCCGCGAATTTCGTTCGGTTTCTTCTTCTGGGGTGATTTCTCCAGAGAATCTTCGCGCTCTATATAGCGCTCGCTGGCCAGCATCGTGCTCTTGCACTTGGTCCCATCCCGTGATTCCTAGATCAACTTGACCCTCTCCGACAAAGGTAGGTATGTCGGCGGCCGGGAGAAATATAAGAGCGATGGGGAGGTTCTTGACTAGGGCTATGTCAAGTCGGTTCTCTCGTCTGAATTGTATGTCTGCACCCTCCAGTAGGTTGAGGGTAGCTTGATTAAGTCGGCCCTCTGTCTGGTGAGTCAGCATCGTAGAATTGGGCGTTTCGAATCACAGTCGGGGCTTAACCTACTCTTGGGCACTGCAAACAATAACCGGCCTTCTAGGCTATGAGTGTTGATTAAAGAGTCAGCCATTGCACTAATGCCCTATAGTGATCTGTATTCTATCCAAACAGCGCGAAACAATCGGGGTAGACGAACTGGTTGACTAGATCCATGGTTGCGGTTTTGACTGGGCTTTGGGACGCAACCGGGTGTAACTGCGGGAGTGCGCAGGCTTTTTCGGTTCTGAATAGACCAATTGATATAGAATTTTATCGTATATATCCTACAAATCAGTGGTTGTATACTGCGATATTCTGATTGCGTCGCTTTGGCTGGTTTGAGTTTAGATGTTTAATTACTTTAATGAAGAATGGCAATTGATATTTTCAGATTTAGTCAAAATTCCATTGACCCCACGTTCCTGAATCGGAGCTCCCACTTCGCTGATTTACATATGGCGGGGCAGTGAGCTACAGGTACCTAACACTCAGGCTTGTACCAATTCCCCTAGTTACAATCCTAGATCTATAAACGTGGCATTTGCATGGTAGGATGATAGGACATCTGATTAAATTGAATATAACTAGCTGGTTTATATCCTTTTCATATTTATTAATAGATAAATTAAATAACTAGTTTTTCTTTGTATGTTAATGTGAATCCGGTCTATAAGGGTACTTGACGTCTTATGTAATATGTTAAAGTACCTAAAATGATGTACCTAAGCGAACCGACGCACCGGGACGCTGGCCGTGATCCGTGCCTGATACCCGGCGGAAGTCGCAAAGTAGCTTGGCCTTCTTGGTATAATCCGTGCCCAGCTGTGCCTAGCTGTACTAAATCAAGTAAGACAGCAATTGAGTTTCTAGGCTGTTGCCGCTTATCCGCTTTCTTCGATTTCAAAGCATGCTGCAACTTAAACTCTCCCTTCTTTTTTATTGTTTTATTCTCGATAAACCACGTTACTCAAGCTAATTCCTCATATGTATGGTAATTTCTACAAATCGGTATAATAGTAGAGAAATCGAAATTGGTTACACGAGAAAATGAGATGATAAGAAAACAGGATCCCGCACAGTTTGTCTAACGTCAGCACTTCGCAATCATATCTCGAGTCTACCAACGAAATTCACCTTCGTGTTTCACTTGTATCGTAATGCCGAGCCACACAAGGGTGGAGTGCCCTTGACGATCTATAGTCCAATCCTTGTCCCTTGGCATATTACAGTCTTGGGTCTTGGTTGTTCGCTAATAATTATCAATTGCTACCTACATATGTAACCTCCTAAACCTTGCCTGCCCTATGCATTTTCGCAATTCTCACGAGACAACTTTCATGAGGCCAGCTTTCTTTCAGCTCTTCTAGCTCACCATGGTCGCATCAACGCTCAGGTAACAACGAAACTTAACAATTAGTACCGACAGTCAAGACACTTTAGTCAGACAAGCTACACGCGTACGAACCCCCCGAATCGCAACGAGCTCGATAAGATACCTGCGATAGTAGCATTGCGCAAGGCTGACGGTGTATTCAGCTCGAAACCAGACATCACGAGCGCCGGGCTAATTAGCCCATAACAAGAGGGACAAAATGTCGAGATGGGCAGGGCAACCTTCCATCAAGGGGAGCACTGAAGCCGTGCGAATGGCTTTGCTCACCCTCAATACAATCGGCATTACGTACGTTGTGCATACATATAATCCAATAGCTAGTAAAGGTGGATGTTAACCAGTTTACTATCCGTAGATTCGTATGGGGTGTAGAACAAACCTGTGAGTTTCCAGATACCTTCAACGCAATGTAAAACCAATGACTAATGGTGAATATGTCCAGATTGTACCCCTTACCTCCTGTCCCTCGGTTTAACGAAGAGCAAAACCTCATTAGTATGGATCGCCGGGCCACTTTCTGGACTGATTGTTCAACCGATCGTTGGCGCGCTCGCGGACGAGTCGACATCAAAATGGGGACGACGCCGACCCTTTATCGTTATCGGTTCTATACTGTCAGCCCTAAGCTTGCTCACGTTAGGCTTCACGAAGGAAATAGTGGCCTTTTTCGTCCCCGATGAGAAGGTGGCGCAGACATTCACGATATCTACCGCCGTGCTGGCTATATATGCAGTTGATTTCTCGATCAATGCTGGTTAGTGGATGCTTCCAACGCTCAAGCGCGCTGGGAACCGTCAATCGCTAACGGTGCCACTAGTAATGTCTGCGGCAAGGAGTCTCGTAGTTGACACGCTTCCTATTGAGAAGCAACAGACGGGATCTGCCTGGGGTATGGAAGCACAATATCCACTTGCTGATGAATATACGTACTAATGACATTGATAGGCAGTAGAATGTCGGCTATTGGCCATGGAATAGCCTATGCGACTGGCGCCATCGATTTGCCTTCGCTTCTGGGAACCTCCTTGGGCGATACCCAATTCAAGCAACTGACTGTTATCGCTGCGGTAGGGCTCGTCTTCACTTGCTGGGTCACTTCCTGGGCTGTGACGGAGAGGGTATTGATTGCCACGAGACATGACCCTCGCAAGGAAGAAGGGGGTTTCAAGGTTGTTAGTCAAATCTGGTCAACCATTGTACATCTCCCGCCTCGCATCCGAGCGATCTGCATGGCGCAATTTTGGGCGTGGATCGGATGGTTCCCTTTCCTCTTCTACAGTACCACATGGATAGGTGAGACCTATTTCCGCTATGATGCTGTAAGTAAGGCGAAGGACTCCGGAGATGCGTTAGGAGAAATCGGTAGAGTTGGAAGTGAAGCTTTCATCATTTACTCTATTATCACCTTTTTCGGCTCATGGATTCTCCCTATGGTCATTAAGTCTCCGGATGATGAAAGTTATACCCAACGCCCCCCTCAGGCTCTTCGCGGCGCTGTGGAGAAGTTCAATAAGTATAAGCCGGATCTTCTGACCGCATGGATGTGGGGACATGCGACTTTTGCTGGAGCAATGTTCTTTGCGCCGTTTGCTACGAGCTTTCGGTTTGCGACATTCCTCGTTTGCTTATGTGGATTGTAAGTGTTCTGTTTGATTATATGAAGCTTGGCTCATCTAACTCTTCCCAAGGCCTTGGAACATCGCATCCTGGGCGCCTTCTGCTTTCCTCGGAGTGGAAGTCAACAAGCTTAGTGGTGCGACTGGATCCAACAATTCATATCGTCGGCTATCGCGCGACTCTAGTATAGAGTTAGAAGAGGTGAACGAGTTATCTAGCCCTTCGGTCTTGGATCCAGAAGGATCGCGCGCAGGGTCCAAATCAGGACCCACAGGGCAGTTGTCTGGCGTATATTTCGGAATCTTGAACATTTACACAACGATACCGCAGTTCATCGGTACAATTCTCAGCACTGTCATCTTCACCATACTTGAACCGGGAAAAAGCCCTGAGCTGGCGCATAACGCACATCCGGATGAGCACCATGGTACTGACGGACCTAATGCCATTTCTGTGTGCTTATTTATAGGGGCTTGCAGTGCGTTCGTTGCGATATTCGCGACTCGGAAGCTGAAATATTTGTAGATTAGGTGTGTTAATACTTTCAACAATCTGATAGCACGTAGCATCTGGCGGGCAAAATCCTTGTATTTGGGCTTCATAATGGCCATGGGGCTGTGTTAAAATGGTATAGGCGGGAGTTTAAGGGGTTCGACTTAGGGACACGGCGAATACCATAGAATTGACTTGAATTTCATTTCACTGTACCATTATATCACACATTATATAATTATAGCGATGCTAGAAATGTAAAGACTGAATTTTCTGAGTGATGGCACAGTAAATAAAGTTCCAACCGTCGAAATATTCACATTACATAAGCCCCCACTAAATTTTCCCTCACCATTCATACCATTTTCTAAATCTACATCCTCAACTTCTTTACAATACATCACCTTCAATTATACATTCCAAGGTCGCCATTCGTCGCCATAGTCACGGACAAAGCTACAATATGGTTCGTATCAAAATTCACTTATTTACCACTCCAGCCTCATACTAATATACTAAACTAGGCCCCAATCGCCCCCTCTAAACGCCGCTCTCTCCGCGCCAAAATCGCCGCCAAATCCAATTCCGAGCCATACGCACCACGACGAGCTCCACGCCCCGACGCCATCGACACAAGCGATTCCTTCATAAACTCAAAACGAGATAAACGTATCATAAAACACGCATCCTTCGTCTCGCGCATCGAAAAGGCAGGCACATCATCCAAAAAGCGCAAGCGTACTCGACGGCCTGGTAACAAACTCGTAGCGAATCTAGATTCACTAGCTGATGCGCTGCCGGATTTATTGGAGAACGGCGAGACGGAGGAGGGGTTGAGACAGTTAAGAGAGGGAAAGGTTAGGCATAAGAGTTTGAGGAGTAAGAAGGGTGCGTTGAAGAGGAAGGAGATGGTTGTTAAAGGGGAGGTGGAGAGGTTTGGGGTTAGTTTGGCTAGGTTGAATGCTGTGCCCGAGCAGAATATGGATGTTAAGGTTGAGAAGGAGGGTGAGGGAGAGAAACAACGGCAAACGGAGGCTCAGGCTCAAGCTCCGGCGTCGACTGCGAATCGCTGGGCTGCGCTACGAGGATTTATTTCTGCGACGATGGAGCAGAATCCGGCGTTTGTTGAGAAGAAGGATGGGAAATGAAGAGGCACCTAGCGAAAGAAAGGGGAAAAAAAAAGACCTATACACAGCGGCCTAGGACGAAGCGTTGCGCCGTCACGAGCATTGGGGAATCCCACATCCACTCTTGTCGCATACTCATACCACCAGAGCGAAATCCACGGCGCCGATGGCAGGGCTTCAAGGCCTATATCTGATTGATATCCTACCAATTTAAAATCTAACCCCAGAGCGAAGGATAGGTATTCGCTTTTGTGGTGCGCTTTTGGGGTGCTACGAGTCGATTGAGCTCGTTAGCTAGATTCTCCAGGCGAGCAAGGGTTTAGCCGCAGAAAATCTATAAGTCCATCTGTTAGGACGGGATATTTCTAGCCACCTATTCTAGAACCCATAGTAGAACGAAAAAAAAAAAGTTTATATCCAAAACATTCACATGTGGACTATGAGCGAAAAACATAAGTATTCGGTTGAATTAAAGATGAGGTGTGTTGGTCGCATCGTCATATTGCTATTCGCGTCCCCATAGGTACACCTCTATTCCTTCTTATCAAACGTTTCCTGGGTCAGAGAAGGCTCGCCACTACCATAAGCGTTTGTCTGGAACTCTACAGATATAATACCCAATTTGTCCGCCTCCTTGGTAGTGAAGGTGCCATATATATCAACTTCATCGTACTCGCCAAGCCCTGAAACGGGGAATAACTTGTTGAGAATGATGAAAATGGTTGCGCTGATGAAGAAGCCTGAATAAAGGCACGACATTAGATATCAGCGTGTTCGGTTTTAGCAGATACACTTACCTATGAAGAACGCCATATAGTACAACTCGAACAAGCCCCGAGGTGCGTTCGTGTCCTGATTAACAGTAACAACGAGACCACCAATGGTCGGGGCCCAACCGCAAACCCATGCAACGGGCGCTCGCCAATTTATACCGTTCCAGTACCAATACGAGGAATCCACTGTGGCGTATAGATGGCTTAATCGGACTTTTCGATCGCGTAACACATAAAAGTCGGCGGCCATAAGACCGATCACCGGTGATAGAAAAACAGAAAAAGAACTGAGAACCTGGATGAAAGTGACGGCCTTATTGACAAGCTGCCAAGGTTGGACCACCCAAGCAGCGACGAAAGTGATGATTGCACCTCTTCGTATGTTAATATAGTGAGGCCACAAACCGGCAAGATCGATACCACCGGCTACCGCATTACCGCAGACGTTCTCAAACATGCTGGTAAGTCCAAATCCAAAGGCGAGGAAGAAAACACCAGCTCGGGATGCTGAAGATCCATTTCCATTATCCATCATCGTCATGAGAAGGTCTGGTGGATTCCAATACACCTCGCCGTAGATCTTCTGGGCGGCACTGGTAGTCACTAAACCAACAAGACATACGAGAACACCAGTGATCCAACCAGATGTGATCGTCCCAATCACATAGGCTTTCCAACCTCGCGCGTATCGCGAAAAGTCCGATCCATTAGTGATTCCCGCCGCAATACTTCCGATGGTTTGGTTAATGCCAGCCATCAGGAGCCAGGAGATATTCCACGGCGAGGTTGCAGGGAGAGCCACGCCGGTGTATAAAAGCGGACCGGCACCATGCGCAAACGTTAATGCCCAGATCATCATCGCAATCATGCCGCACGCAGTATAGATTGAGGTAATCAAGAAGGGAATCTTGAACTTCTCTGGTGGGAGCCATAAGAGCGGGGTTGACAAGACCCAAAAGACGATGAAACCAACAAATTGGTCACCGGTCGTTGGCATACTCTCAGGCAAGAAGTTTCGCATTCTGCCGTATGATGGCCAGATAGCTGTCAGACATACAGCGGCGAGCCGACCACCATTCCAACATTGTATAGCGTTCCAGATGAAATTCAGCAGGATGCGCTGTAGTAAGGGGATGTAGCTTGCTCTCATCCCCCAGGTAAACCGGTTCTGGATTGTGAAACCAATATGCCATTTTATACCACACCAAGCGATCAGAGTTGAGAAACCAGCTATTAACAAGCGAGCAACAACGATGATCATCATAGCCTGTGAAACGGATAACCCTTGAGCTATAACCACCCGTTAGAATTGGGGGTCAACGACAAGACCAATTAAGACATACTCAGAAAACTACTTGGCGTCTGCCAATTAGTGATGTTCAAAGACGATAGCGTCCAGAAGCCGAAATAGTGAAACCACCCTGATCGCACTGTAAGTATCGTTGCGTCTCCGCGTGGTACGATATTTCGGACTCACCCCATGTTCTTCGGCTTGGTGGCAAGGGAATTAAGTCACGGTTGCTCCATCTATCCGTTTGCTCATGTTGAGCTTCATCCCCATGCAAACGAATCTTCTCCTTAACATCTGCAAAACGAGATCTTATCCCAGCGGCCATATCTATACCAAACCAAACTTTGGCCCGACATAATGGGAATAAATCGGGAGCTCAGCTGAGCTCAAGTGCGGCCTAGCTAAGTAATATACCGATAATGGGCTGAGACATGGGCCTTGTAGGTGTAACCACAATACCCCCAAATAGAATCCCCGCCCGCTGATTATCTACATCTCCTACCTATCGGGCTAGGATCCAGGGTCTAGAGATAACAGCAAGACGGGGAAGACGTATGCTTCTGGCCTAGCAAATACATAAGCTAGCAAGGGGTGTGGCAAGAAAATGGGTTACACCCCACGCTGCCGTTCAGTTGGAGATTCGGAGTCGAAGATCAAGTAAGAAGATAAAAAGGAGAGTTCTTTATCTGATTCGTCGGGATGTCCCCGTTTGCTCTAGATTGATAAGCTTCGGGGAATCGTGCCTGCCTGTGTGACCAAGTCGATTCATCAATGGCTTTTCGGCCCCACATTCCTTTGTGATGCACTTCCCGTATAGGTGCTCCAAAAGTCTAGACGAAAGTTACTACCTTTCTATTTTTGAAGGGTTAGTTACTTGAGAGAAGGAGCCTTTAAGAGACATTTGATTCATTAATTAACTCAAAGTTAAACATAACAATGGCCTCTTATACACAACTTAATCTCTCTTTAGCTTCTAATGATTCCCATTAATATAAACTACCTAACCAGCCAAATACCGATTATTATGGGTAGCTAGCGGCAATCCTAGTTTGCTCCAAAGTGCCAAATCAGGCAATCCACAATGTGATAAGTTACAAGTCGGGGCCGAAGCCGGTTTCGGTCTGAATAGGCCGACAAGGTGACGAGGGTAGCTCGGCTCAGCTATATCTAAGAAACCCCGGCCACAGCTGAAGGATTCATGTCTTCCCTACCATCTACTTGGCGGAAATATTCGCTAAGTAAGACCTCGCGATACTCAGAAAATGGCCGATTCTACCAAGACATTGCGCATCGGTGTCGATGTCGGCGGCACCAACACCGACGGCGTCATTCTCGACCCGTCCCGCGCTCTGGAGCCGGATAAGGGTATTATTGCCTGGCATAAGGCCCCGACGACGACGAATCCGAGTCTTGGAATTAATGATGCTATAACAACTATGTTTAAGGCCTCTAATGTTAATCCCGACAGAGTCGCTAGCGTCACTATTGGAACAACTCACTTCGTCAATGCTGTCGTTGAGAGGGATACCGCACGATTGACCCAAGTCGCAGTACTGCGACTTTGTGGTCCGTTCTCAAAACATGCTCCGCCGTGCGTCGATTGGCCGGATGACATGCGTGAACTCATCCTCGGCTACTATGCGCTCCTAAAAGGTGGTTTAGAAGTTGACGGATATCTCATCTCAGATATTGACGAGGACGAGATTAAAAAGCAATGTGCTATTATCCGCGAGAAGGGCATCAAGAGCGTAGTCGTGAATGGGGTCTTCAGCCCCATTGACACCATTGAGCAACAAGAGGAGCGTGCAGCCGCCATTGTCCGTGCCGAAATTCCTGGTTGCGATGTGGTATGCTCTAAAGAGGTCGCCAATTTAGGATTTCTAGAACGCGAGAATGCTGCTATTCTAAATGCTTCGATCCTCGCATTCGCTCGTAAAACGATTCGCTCATTTCAAGAACCAATCAAGCGCCTAGGGCTTGATTGCCCAGTTTTCATCACGCAAAATGACGGCACGATCCTATCTGGCGATATGGCGGCGAGATTACCCATTAGAACTTTCTCTAGTGGTCCGACGAATAGTATGCGCGGTGCTGCTTTCCTGGTGCAAAATGAGCTGGACGAAGCAATGATGGTGGTTGATATTGGTGGTACGACTACGGATGTAGGGCTTTTACTTGCGAATGGCTTCCCTCGCCAACAAGCAGCATACAGTGACCTAGCAGGCGTTCGTATGAATTTTTCATGTCCGGATGTCAAAAGCATTGGCCTTGGCGGTGGCTCGATCGTTCGAAATGGCGAGACACTCACTGTAGGACCGGATAGCGTTGGCTATAAGATCACGGAAGAAGCCCTAGTTTTTGGCGGCAAGGTTCTTACTACTACCGATTGCACCGTACTAGCGGACAGTACAGTCGAAATTGGGACCAGGGAACTGGCGAAAGACGCCTTGGACAATGAAGGGATCGCAAAGTTCAAGGCTGCCGTTAAACATAAACTCGAGAAAATCATTGATACGATGAAGACTTCACCAGAGGATCTTCCCGTGCTCCTCGTGGGAGGCGGTGCAGTAATAGCACCCAACGAACTAAAGGGAGCAAGCATGGTACTTAAACCGAAGTGGTCGGGAGTTGCCAACGCTATCGGAGCTGCAATCGCAAGAGTTAGCGCCGTTGTCGATACGGTGAAGTCTACAGAGTCCAAGCCAACACAGCAGATTCTAGAAGAAATATGTCAAGATGCTATTGATCGAGCCGTAACAAACGGGGCATCCAGGTCAACAGCTAAAATTGTCGAAATGGACACTCTACCTCTACCAGTATGTCACCCAATCCTTAGTAATTGACACCTGCTAATTATAATGATAGTATATCGCAAATAAGTCACGTTTCACTGTTAGAGCAGCAGGAGATCTTGACTACTCGCGCACAGACTTTGGGACTCTCCATTTTGAAGACACATCTACGGAAACGGACGTTCAAATGGATGAATACGAAAAAGCTGCAAAGAATTCAGAGAAAAAGACAAAACCGGAGGCTGAGGAGGATATCGATATTGAAAATTACGAGCCTACAGTTAAGAATCGTGTTTGGTACATAAACGAGACGGACCTCGATTGGATTACGATCGGCTGCTATATTCTTGGTACTGGTGGTGGCGGTAGCCCCTATGCGTCTATGATTCGTCTACGACAAATGCTGCGCAGAGGCGATGTGGTTCGTGTGGTGAGCCCAGATGATCTACCGGATGATGCAGCTATAGCGACTGGAGGCCACGCTGGCTCGCCCACTGTTGGTATAGAAAAGCTAGCTGGTGACGAAATGACCGAGGCCCAGGAAGAGTTATATAAAATCTGCGATAGCCAACCGTCGCATATAATTACGGTGGAAATCGGTGGTGGCAATGGCCTGCAGAGTATGATCGTTGGTGCAAGTACGAATATGAACTTGCCCGCCGTAGATGGCGATTGGATGGGTAGAGCGTATCCTACCAAGTGGCAGACTACGCCGGTTGTCTTTAACGAAAGATCGCTGATCTGGTCGCCCGTCGCAATGACTGACGGCAACGGAAATGTCGTGCTGGTGCCGAAAGCTACGTCAGACCTTCAGGTCGAGCGCATACTTCGTGCGGCGTTGAGTCAAATGGGCTCAGGCGTAGGTGTTGCTGACCCGCCCGTAACTGGTTCGGAGTGTAAGCGGTGGGCCGTCGAGCATACTATCTCGCAATCATGGCGTATCGGGCGAGCGGTCGTGAATGCGCGAAAATCTAATCGAGTGGATAATGTGGCTGAGACTATCCTCGCAGAATGCGGTGGACCTGAAGCAGGCCAGGTCTTATGGAAGGGGAAAATAGTAGGTGTGGAACGCACATTACGCATGGGTCACATCTACGGAGAATGTATCATCGAGGGCGCGGACGTGGTCGATGAGGAGAACGCTACGAAGACCGGATCCGCGGAGAGCAAGTCGCAATTTCAAGGCAAGATCAAGATTCCGTTTAAGAACGAGAATATTGCTGCTATCAAGATCTCACGATCGGTTGTGGATGGAAAAGTCGTCGAGACCGAGGACGAGGTACTAGGCCTAGTACCCGATCTAATCTCGGTGATCGACGCACAAAATGGCGAAGCCATAGGTACTCCTGAGTATCGGTACGGCCTTCTGGTTATCGTCCTCGGCATAACGGCGAGTGAGCGGTGGACATCAGAAAGGGGTATTGAGATAGGGGGACCGAAGGCCTTCGGTATGGATCATCTGACGTACAAGCCCTTAGGCAAGTTCATCAAACCTAGGAGTGTGATCGATGAATTTGATGTTAGCGAGGAAAATACCGAAGAAGGTACCTCTGATCAAGTTTCCGGGAATGTTCCTCAGAAGGGTTTCCGTGGCCTAGTTCGGCGTCTTACTTCAAGTGGTAAGAAACTGATATAGTATCAGTTGCGCATCATTGTATAAACCAACACCCAAATAGAAGGAGTTTTATAAATGTGAAAAAAATAGTAAAATTCTGGCTATATATATGTCTAACGGAATATACTCATAGAAAGCACACTGATACGAGGATCTAATCTTACCACATTAATAAGTAACGATAGCCTCTAGCCAGCGACGGCACCACCACCACCGTCGCCCGCTGCTCCTCCACCGCCATCACCACCACTACCATCAAACCCTCCTAAATCTGCGATCGTATCTAACCTCTTCGCAAACTTCGCCCAATCCTTAACATCGCCCCTTTCTTTAGCCCGCGCTACTGACTTCGCCGCCGTATCCATAGTCACCACTGCCGTGACGACTAACTCTTCCATCTCTACTCTTCGTCCTGGGTTTAATAACAACCCAGCATCAAATAAGTCACAGCGGCCGATCACAATGCCACCTCCATCTCTCCCTCCACTTGCGCTAGAACTAGCACCACCACAACCACTTACTTTCTTCCCCAGCTTCCAATCATACGTCATCGAAGCGATAGGTATCAAAAAGTGATCAATCTTCGGATCACGCCCACCCTCGAGGTCCGCAGCGCGGTAGCACTTCCAGTGACCAGCTGCCGCATCCGCAGTATCCACACGCCAACTCCAAAATTCATTTCCATTGGGCACTCCACGCACAGCCCAGTAGTCGAGTGATGTGCTGGCCCATCGATGGTATCGGATCGCGCCGACCTCGTCGTTGGGGTTGGTACCGGATACGATGACGTAGTCTGGCCGTGCGGATGTGGACATGGAGGATTTGTGCGTGTCGATGCAGCGGTATACGGGCCGGCCGGAGGGGTCGGTTAGGGCTAGGGTTGATCCGTCGGGTTCGCGTTTTAGGAGGAGGGAGAGGGGTTGGTGTTGGTGCTGAGGTTGGGCATATGGGTACCCGCCTTGCGCGGGCGGGCCCGGAGGAGGTGGTGGGAGGTAGCTGTAGCCCGGAGGCGGAGCGGGATATGGGTTGTAGACTTGTGGATTCTGGGGCGGGGGATAGGGACCCGTCTGAGGAGGGCCGCCGTAGTAGGGTTGATTCGGTTGGTATGGACTGTTTGACCGAGATGATGGTGAAGAAGCTGGGTGGTATGGAGGTGCGTAGTTGTTATGTTGAAGAAGATTAGAACCTAGACCACCTGACTGAGGCTGTCCGTACTGAGATTGCCACGAATTTGGCCTCCCATATTGTGAGTTCTGCATTTTCTTATACGTCTGTAGAAATTATAGAATGATCTTGAAAATGAAAAGCTCTCTAGGTCAATTAGAGATACGCGACCTACTGAGTTATTATATTCATGCCATTACTATCGTTAAAGCTCGTAGGATTTTCGAGGGAGCTCCCTACGAGGGTAGCTACCCCGGACAAGCTGAATTACCTAGGGAGAAACGAATACCAACGCCACTAATCTGTTCCACCATGAGAGAGTATATGAGATGTCCATTTTCATTTCATTCGCCGAAATGGTGTAAAATAACTTCAAATGGATGCCAAGCCCTTGACCTGCCTCGGGGCTTGTACATATACGCCGTAATTCTTCAACCCATCCCTGTCTGAGTCAGATTATCACTCCTATACGCCGCGAAAGGTCTCCGTAGCCCCACACACTACTCGCATTAAGGTATAGATCTTTGAATGTTTCAGATTGTGGGAAGATGAATACTGCTCAGTTCTTCTTGGCATGAAGAGATCCAATACTGAACCTTGGGCAAAAGCTGGTCTTCATTGCCTCTTGCTTCTCAGCGCCTAATTATTTTTGGTAGCGGAAAATTTTCATCATTCTTGTCAAGTTTTATTGTGACCAGAAAAGCGCCACGTCGTCATCTATACGGAGCGGAGTTACTCAAAAGGAGACAGAGAACAAGTCCAAATAGATGACTAATCTGGTATAATGAGATCCTATTGGCTGCTTTACCCATGTTCCCTTTATTCACAATTAACTCGGCAAATCCATCCAAACTTCCATCTCACTTCATCAAATTCAAGACAGCATACATCTATTTCATTTTGTAACTAAATATGCACTAAATCGCCTATACCTGGTAACAATACCGATGTTTTAATAGTAGAATTTGTTCGCTCGCCTAGTAGCAGCATGCGTTCCGAGGCAACATATCGCGGAACGGAAAGCTGATGTTCCTCCCAATGCCTGATGGCCAACTCCGGCAGACCGTTAGCTATGTGAACACCCTGGATTAGAGTCTCATAGTCACAGTTATTACCATCCAAATTCGGATGTCAATAAACTCTAAATAAAGGATTGTTTACGATGACTTCGTCGGAAGAAACAGACCGCGAGAGCGAGCCATTGCTCGATTCAGAGTCTTCCTTAGTGGACGAAGAGTCAAGTCCACTTCTATCCCAAAATGGGACATTAGATCCCGGCAAGCAGACTGACGGCTCGAATCCCCGACGCTCAACACACGTTCTATTCCGGATCGGAGCTGCTATGTTCTCTTTCATAGTGTTAGGGATGATGGTCTCAACGCTCGGTGTCATGGTCCCGCAATTCGAAACCTACTATAGCTTATCAGACCTCCAAGTATCCTCCATATTCCTCGTATGGCCAGTAGGATATATTCTGGCTGCCTACCTCAACGGCGTCATTCATGTCAAATTCGGGCAGCGCGGCATTGCTACTATTGGTCCACTCTTTCATATCATCCTAGCCAACATCGCGTCTTTGCATCCCCCATTCCCGGTACTGCTTGTTGGCCTAGCTATCGGCTCGCTTGGCACAGGAGTTCTTGATGGCTCATTCTGTGCTTGGGCCGGAGGTATGGGGAACGCCAACGTCGTACAAGGCTTTTTACACGGTTCTTTCTCTGCTGGGGCAGCCTTGGGTCCGTTTCTCGCTGGTACTATGCTCTCAGTTGGGCATACACCGTGGTATTCATGGTACTACGTCCTCGTAAGGCCCCTATATCCCTTATAACCCCCCCCCCCCCTGAATCTTAAATGTTAATGCCATATATATAGTTCGGCGCCTCCATCCTCGAAGCCATAACCCTAACCCTAGCCTTCCGCTTCGAAGACTCAGCCAAATACCACTTAACCCACAAGCAACTCCCCCTCCCCCAACCGCCTCCCGAAACCAAAACCTCCATCTTCACCCACCCCGTAACCTGGCTCTGCGCAATCTACTTCCTCGCCTGCGTCAGCACCGAAAGCGCGATATCCGGCTGGGTCGTAGTCTTCATGACGCGCGTGAACCGAGCCTCACCCTACCTATCCAGCCTCTCATCTTCCATGTTCTGGATCGGACAAGCAACAGGCCGTCTAGCGCTCGGCCCCGTGACGAATAAACTCGGTGTCCGGACCGCTACGATTATATACCTTATTACCGCTCTCGCGTGTGAAGCCCTCTTTGCATCAATCCGCGTCCCAGCTATAGCAGCCATCCTTATCGCATTACTGGGTTTCTGCCTCGGCCCGTTATTTCCAGCCGGCGTCGTCGCAGTCACACGCCTACTACCGCGGGAGTTACACGTGGGCGCTATTTCGTTCGTAGTCTTGGTTGGCCAACTCGGCGGGGCTTTATTGCCTTTCGCTCTCGGAGCTTTGGCTGACATCCTTAGCATTCGAGTTTTCCAAGTCGTCATTTTCGTACAGTTACTCTCGACCCTTCTTATATGGCTTGCGTTTCCAAGATTGCCGCTAGACAGCGTTCATCGCGGGGAACAAAGAAGAGAAGCAGTTCAATAGTATACCCTTGGTTTGAGCTTATGAATAGAAACACCTCACACGGAAATATTCGAATTGTCCGAGAAGTTCCCTCGAGCACGCGAATGCCGTAGGAGCTATTCTATGAATAAATCGCTATTGACAACACTTCGATAAGAGTATCTAGCAACTCGATTATATGCTACTTCTTAAGCTAGTCTAATAATGTATGGAGATAAGTGCAATAGACCCCGGATTAAATTCGTGACAGTTATTTCTATTTGTCGCAGGATGTTGAGCAACAAGATTCCAGCTAATTGAGTTCTACGTGAACCTTTGAAATATATCTTCTCCCTTCATGATTAGAATCGACTTTCGTACTAGCAAATCTTCCTTCATATCGACGTCATGGATAAATGAATTCTCAAGACGGGAGTTGGAAACGGGGATGCGTCGGACCAGCTCAACTGTCTTCAGCTTAAAGCCGCCTTTTCTCTGGCTGCACGCACAGAGCCCTTAACGCGTGCAATTTCTCGCTGCCATTCTGCATACGCCTGATTGCGATGTTTGGATAAACATTTAGCTCGGAAATCTTGTGTCTTCTTAGATAAGTCGCCGTATAACGCCGCAAGCCCCAGACACTTCTGCTCTGCTACAGCTGATGCATTGAGCAATTCTTCTGTCTGGCGTTTAGCTAGTCTATCGGATATTTTAGTACCATTGCGCTTATACTCGTTCACGATAGTAAACACGTTTTCTTCGCGCGTTCTTAGGTGTTCAACAAGGCTCTATATGCTTATTAGAGAACCTCTCGGCCGACAGAAAACCCAGATAAACGAGAGCGTACCATAGAAATGACGTGGAGAGTGTCTAATACTCCTCCGGAAGCGGCATCTACCGCATCTTGCCATCGCGACTCATGCGTAGACTTTGAAGTTGGACTACTTCGTCGCATTCCACGTTTAGGCAATGGTTCGCCAAGGGGGGCCACTGGGTTCTCAGCATCAACAGGATGTGATTGAGAATTGGCCAGGCTCTTTGTTCCAGCGTTTAATTGATGCCGTGGAAGTTGTTTCATAGCTAGATGGTTGCCCCTTTGGTTCAATGGTCTATCCTCATCCTCCTGGTCATAATCCATCTGCTTCTGCCGCTGAGCTACTCTATTAGCAAAATCTATAGATTGTGGGAGAAGCGGTGGTGCTCGGGGGGTAGGATTCCTTGTCTTTTCCGCAGATTGCTTGACAGTTGAGCTCGGACTTAGCACTATTCGAGACATGGAATTAGCTGCCGTTTGAAAATTCTCCGAGTTGGTCATGGCATCTAGACTTGGTGCATTGCGAACCGGGGGCCGCGCACGCCTGGCTGATGGAAGTATAGACATCGGAAGTTGTTGATATCCAGCTTCCAAACTCGTCTGTGGTCGCCGAACCAAGTGGCTGTCGAAGGGTGTCCGGGTTTCCATTGAGACTTCAGGCCATTTATCATGGTCAGCGGGTTGCTGAAGTTCCCTCAGTGGGCTGCGTCTGAACACTGCTGCATTTCCACTACTCATCATCGGACGTTGTACGGGGCTACCTAATTCATTTACTATCCGCCTGCTGCTCTGCATGGGTATCTGGTTGGGTCGTTGGTAATCACTTGGTTTCTTGGAAAATGACCGGTGCTCCTGGGTCAAAATCGGATCTTCGTGCGGCTGGTCAATATATACGTCAATGCTACCCGGACCTTCCTGCACGTTTGGGGGGTATGCTTCTCGAGGGTCCCTTGATCTACTAGGATTTTCTTGCGCTGCAAGGAACTGTGCTACCATTGATGTAGTCCCATTCTGTGCAGCATCCTCAGCGGATGTAATGGCCGGTGATTGTTCCTTGGAAACCACAAGGACATTGGATTTGGGATACCCCGGGGCTGTATTCGCTCTAGACTGGGAGCCACGGCCGTAAATAGTGGCCTTCGATAAGGGCCCTTGTGAAATTGCTTGACGGGTTTGTTCCTTTTTAGTGGTTTGGATCTCGTCTTTGACGTGAGTAGAGACATTATCCACTTCTTCCGATGCGGAATTCGCACTCTTATCGGAAGGATTTGCCTCTTGGTTCTTGGCTTGAGCCCGTCCAGTTGCTCCAGGTTGTTGGCTATGTTTGGCTACCTGGCTCCCAGCTTCATGAAAATATTCACTACTGCCCAAGCTTGGAGTAGCCTTCTGCCCATAAGTGCACACCTTGTTCTTAGAACTTCTCTGCTTCAGAACCGATTGAACTGGGCTTCGCTTCCTCTTCGAATTGGGGCCTACCACCGAATTGGGTGCTACTGGTGAAACTTGAGTTTGGGTTTGTACTTTTGGAGGCGAATTAGGCTCCCGCGCTTTAGGCGGTTCCTGTAGGTCCAATAAATCGTCATCATCCATGCCGCCATACTCGTCATCGTTAATTTCGATAGGTGAGGCAGGGCGCATGTGACTTTGGTTGCTCGGGCTCTCCTTTTTATCGGCTCCCGGTTTGGAACTAACATGAGACCTCTCGGTCTTGTTGCTAGGTGCCCCTTGCGCTGATGGACTTCCCTTTGACTCATCGTAATGAGGCTTCTTCGGGTGCCTTGAAGCTGGCGGTTTCACTTGTTTACCTGTGGAAAAATTCGTGGACAGCGTTTGGGAATCCGGAATAATCTGACCTGGCCGCTTTCGATTAGCTGCTTTGTTGTCATCTCGAGCGCGGCCCGATACTCCATTGAGCATATTGGCCGGGGCGGTGGCGTTAACAATGGGCTTATGTACGCCTGCTACGCCCACGATCTGTTTCGTGGGCTTTGATGCAGTCTTAGCCGTTGCCTCTTTTTTCTGAGGCTGTGCTTTTGTAGTAGTGGCTTGCTTAGACTTTTTAGCAGGCGCTGGCTTGTTTTTTGCATCGCCCTTAGGAATAGTTTGTGGTTTATCATTGGGTTTTCCGCGAGTATTCTTTCCTGGGACATTCTTGCCGCGGCGCTTGGGCGCCTCCGCAACATAGGAACTATCCGAATCCTCTTTGTCGTCTTCGGCTACGTCGAACTCAGAGCCTTCTACGTCAGACGCGGCGGCTTCGGCATACTTCTCACGAGAGACGTTCTTCGCATCCCGTCTAGGAGGCTTCATGGCCCCTGTTTCATTTGTGCGAAGCGCTGAAATATGGTCATCAAAATCTGATGCTAGGGTTGGATTGGAAGGGGAATTGGGAATGAGCAAGTCCTCGGGGTCAGGAAAGTGATCGTCACGAGGAATAGGTACCGTTTCGGCTTGTGCTGCATAAGAAAAGCTATCACCACCTATTTGACGGGCCGGGCTGCTCCTGGGACTCTCCGCCTGCTCGCCTCTTGTGGTAGGCGATGACGAACGTTCGTCTGGATTGGAACTTGACGAATTTATTGGATCGTGTGGAAGTTCTGAGGGTGGATTACTCTGTGTCATTTCCCATTGAGTTTCAGAAGTTCGTCGCCACTCGCAAGACATTGTTCACTGGCTTCGCTATAATTGTAATTAGACTCAACTTACCCGAAAGCGTGTTTGAACTTTCTATATATTATTGTTGTCTGTGGTGAGAGGAGGATGACGTCGAAAGTGCGAATTGGTTCATTTAAATCGTGGCCTGGAATGCTTCCATAGAAGAAAATTATAACTCACAAGTCTGTCCATGAAGCCCGAAGGTATTCCTAAGGGGATATCTATGGTCTCCTAGGCATATAGAAATTATGAAGGCTTCGAAGTGAGTTTGATTTAAGAAGAATATCAGAGTCGCTTTACGAACGACGTAAAGAAGGATGCCAACTCGAATATTATGAATAATCAACGATACATATTATGAGTTTTGGGATCGGCAATTTAATAGTACCTAGAAGGTATGAAACCATGGGGTTTAGGAGAATCGGGAACAATATTGTTTGTTGGACTCGTGTGTAGTTCATAATCGCCCTGAAAAAATCTGGGACAGAATGTAGAGGAAAGGAACGCCAAAATTTCAAATGAATGGGAGGGGTTGTGCATTTACCTCCTGCGAGATTGAATATAGAAGGTGCTGCTTGAGGGTGTCCATGCCTTCCGATTCTAGAGTTGCGTAAACTGGACCAACTCGCACTTTCCTCTGATACTTGATAATATATGTACTTTTGGTGTAGAGGCCTAAGTACTTAGGTACTTAAGTCTACATACATGCGCTCAGGAGTAGAGCAGAAGACTTCCAATATTAAAGGAAAGACATTACAATCCATTTTCTTTTGCTTTGGACATTGAATATCAGCTAATATTTTATGCGACGGATATGTTTTGGTGAGATAGGTACACCCAGAAACGATCCGCAAAAAAGAGAACCGTTAGCAGCATACATACATCTAGATAGAGATCTTGGCCTGTTTGAATAACTTCGGGGCTTCATACGACATCGATTGAAACGAACATGAGCTGACGCCTGGCTTAATAACCGAGTCACTCGCTTGCCTATCTGAGACCGCAGCCTGCAGTTTCCAAATCAACACAGTAGAAACGTAGTGAAACTCAATGGTTCAGACGTTCTCAAATCCAATGAAAAGCAAAAATTCGTCACGTAATATTCATTAATGCGTGGGAAAGCCGGCAGTGTGCCGGTCGGTCTCTGAGGCCGCAGCTGACTTAATTCAAGCCATGCTAGAATGACGAGATAACTCGCCGAAATTCAATAGGTACAAGTCCATGAATCGTTTTGTCCCAGGTTCCGCCTGAATCAATGCAACCAGCCAACGCCGTGTAATCCTTCTTCCTTATTGTCCAATATTGAGAATTTATCGGACAATGCCATCGAAGCGCTGCTTGAACCACTTGACGGTCTCGTCACGGTTGATGCGGTGACCAGAGCCGATTCTGCTCTTGCATCGGCGTCGGCGGGTAACTCGCTCACCGGGGCGGGTCATGCAGCAGTAGAAATCCATACCGTAGATACCGATGGCGGGGTCGTACTTGATACCGAGATCGATGTGCTCGCTGATACCGAAGCCAAAGTTACCGGTCTCGCTGAAGTTACGCTTGCGGAGTTCGTACTCCTTGACCTTGAGGCCACGCTCGAGGATTTCCTCGGCCTTGGGGCCACGGACGGTGACGTGAACGGCAATCTTTTCGTTACGTCGGATACCGAAGGTTCGGACGGTGTAGCGGGCCTTGCCTATTAATCGGGCACTACGGTTAGAAATGAAGGAATTTTCAGAATTTGGCGAAATTGCGACTTACTGTAGACAGGAGTCTGACCGCTCAGCTGTTCCAACACCTTGGCGGCACGAGTCAATCTGTCACCAGATTCACCAACCGAGATGTTGAGGACGAGCTTTTGGATGCGAAGCTCTCGCATGGGGTTCTGGGCCTTCTCCGACTATACGCAAAAATCATTAGCATTGGATTTATATGAGTAATTTGTATTCGAATTGGGCGTACCATGGTGGCTGGTTGTTGGTTAGTACTGATGGTGAATGTGTACTTGGAGAAGGTTGTTGTCACTTGTCGCAAAATTTGACAATTGAAAAGTTCTAGGAAGAAACTTTCAAAATTTCAGCGGTGGTAGAAGGGTTTCCTGCCCTACTGTAAGCCGATGTGGGGATCAATGTGGCTAGTAAATGGAAAAGTGTGGCTTCCTGAAACAAGAATGTGGTGGAGTCCGAGCTCCTTATTCATAGTCTTACCTATCTTGGATTAGTGCTAGTTAGCACAGTTTTCTGGAGCTTAGTGCTTTCAGCCTTCCACAGATGTTACTAGGTACTTGCTGCCTCGTCGATTTTTTGTTGATTGAGCTCCGCCTATCTATCATATCGAAGCTTGGACGTTGACTTCACACGCATTTTTACGGCGACTCTGACCTCAAAGGCCATCTTTAAGGTCATTCTTATTTTGCTCTACGTAGAAGAGATTTTTTATAGACATTCGCGGAGCTCCATTGGAGCTAATCGTCGCAAAGATGTCGAACAAGCAAGGCAAAATGGTATGTCGCCTCCCTTCACCACTTCATAGCTTCGACGTTGACATTACAGGCTGACTAAACGGGTGTCCTCTAGGCCGGTTACGTACGTACACCCTTTATCGCGTGTTTCTGCGCGATGCGATCGCTGTGGCTATTGTACGAATGCTCATTGTTATTTCTAGATCAACTACCGAATGAGGGTCACGCTGATGGACGGTCGCCAGATGACAGGACAAATGCTGGCTTTTGACAAGGTAATACACGTTCCATCATGGCTTTCTAAACACTTGCTGACTTTTGAATAGCACATGAACCTCGTCCTAGCCGATACCGAAGAATTTCGACGTGTAAAGCGAAAGCAGACAAAGCCTACCGCACCCGGCGCATCTAGCTCAGCCGCAACCCAAACGATCGAGACGGAAGAGAAGCGTACTCTGGGATTGACAATCCTCCGAGGTGCTCATATTGTATCTCTCTCCGTTGAGTCTGCACCGCCGGCCGATCCTAGCACACGACTTGGGAAGAGTACCCCGAGCGGTCTACCCACTGGTTTAGCCTCCGGTCCGGGTGTCGCTCGTCCTGCCGGGCGCGGTGCGGCTCCTTCATCTCTTGCTGTGAGTACCCTCGCTACAAAATCAGACAGCACTTTATACTAACTTATACTAGGGTCCAGCGGCTGGCGTTGGAGGTAGTGCTCCTCCCCCCTTCCCTCAATTCGGTGGAGCTCCTGGGTTCGGACCTGGCAGAGGTGGCCGTAAGTGTCTCCCAAGTTATTGAGAATTAAATAATTATTGATTACACACTAACAATTCACTAGCTCCTGCACCCGGATTTCCTCCTGGTGGATTCCCTCCGCCAGGCTTTCCTCAGAACACCCAATTCCCACCCCCTGGCTTCAATCCTGCCGGTGGACCCCCCCCTGGATTCAATCCTCCGCCGCGAAGATAATTGTAGAGGGGGGCACAGTTTTAAGGAGGCGGATATAGCAATTGCTGAAAGAATGAAGTCCTTTTTGAGTGACGAATGGGGATACCATTGGCGTTTGGGGTGGTAGCTGAAAACTATGGATAACACCTGAAAATTGGTGAAAATTGCATTCCGTACTTTACATAGGTCGGAAGCCCACGAATACAGCACCGCATGAATCTCAAAATAATACATCCAAATATTGCTAATGTCGCTACTATAAATTGCCTAGAGGCAGTACATAGGATGGTAATCCGTTGCCAATTATAGAAATTGGTTGTTGGGGTTTGGCTTACGAGAACGCTTACGAGAACGGCCTAGAGATTGATTATGCCACCTATCGGGAATAAGCAGTAGCAGCTGACAACAGCTGAGTAGTGGTTGGTTAGTGGGCGGGTTCTAAGTAAATCGATAAATGCAGGTGCTTCAGGGCTAATCCAACAAATTTGGACCCGCCAAAGCGCCCCCATTGGAAAATTTCCATGGGTTCCGAGTCGGACACCCGACCTTTTCCCTTTCGCCGGCGCGCAACTTCAACTATACAACATTTAGTTACTCTTACCTCGCAAACATTACTACCGCCTCTTGCGAATTGATACCCCGGTGACTGAACAAGATGGCCGCTTTTGTTAAAGCAATCAATGCCAAAATTCGGTCGAACCCGACCGTGAGCTACTTCTGCTCTACACGTATGTGAATTCCCAGGGTACTTTTCTTTTCTAGCTGTGCGGACTTTACCCCCGTAATGTCCGAAGCCATCATGATGGGACAGAAGAGTTGCTACTACTAGGTAGAACGATGCTCTCGAGTAGCATATTACGCCGGATCATGTCGGAATAGCTTCCAGGCTTGCTAGAGACCTCTCAAGCGACGACTTGTAGTGATGTGCTGTTCTGCTGGCGGAAGTTTGCTATTGCTTACCTACTCAACACATTTACCACGATGAAATTAGCTGCTGACACAATTGTGTAATAGACTTTTGGGGGCCTGCGTCGAATTTCGGTATTCCAGTGGCCGCTGTGATGGATGCGCGGAAATCGCCTGAACTGTATGGTATCACCTTACCTATGCTATAAAGATGCTGTGTCGGTGTGCTCGCTATGTAGCAAACCACTATGCTCTCGTGACCCCTTGTTCCAGACGAATTTGCAAGCTAAACAATCTCTCACCTATAGGATCTCCGGCCAAATGACCTTTGCTCTCGTAATCTACTCAGCAACGTTCATGCGATACGCTCTCGCCGTAACACCTAAGAACTACCTCCTCTTCGCCTGCCACTTCATCAACGAGGGCTCGCAGATAACGCAAGGATACCGATACCTGCAATGGCACCACTGGGGTGGTAAAGAGAAGGCAGGCGTCCTAGGCGCCGTCGAAGGAGCGAAAGAAAACGCCGCCGCCGCCGCCAGCGATAAGATCAAGCAAGTTGCCTCAAAATAAAATGGTTCACGGATACGTGGTGTTCATGGCGTCAGCTATTTCTCTTGTGCAGCCTGTCACCGGGGACAATGTGCATTCAACAACAAAAAGGGATCGCAAGTTTGCGTATAGAGTGATCTCGACGTCTTTGGCGGAAGAGTCGAGGGGATGGTCTAGATGGGACTATGCCTTTTTTTACCTGGGGGCATGAGGTAGTGCAATGGCTTTGTACTTATACTGCATTAACTGGCATATTGGGTTGTTGCGTGATAACCTCCTGAATTAGAAAGTCTGTTTGTTTTGATCATGCTAGTTTATTGGTGCCTTTATGCGAGGAGTGATACTTGCAACACTTACGGGTTTCTCCTAGCCTGGGGGTACGCCTAGACATAATTAACATGCAGCAAAAATAACAGTGATCTATTGATGTTGCGTAAGTAACTGTGCGCGTAGAGTGGAAATCTGTTGGAGGGCAGTAAAACATCGGTACGACATGCCAAGATATAAAACATTCAAAATCATAAACATGATCGTCAACAGGCTTGGTGTCGTCTATATTTATCTGTTTCTCAAAACATTTACATGACTACCCAAGCAAAGCCAAGGAGTAAGCCCCATATAGATGAAGCCGAATGTGCCTCTAACACACGTAACACACGTGAAAGTCTCAATTGGTGTTCAAAGCTCATTTCCACTTTTGGAAAGTATAGCAATGATATAACCCCCTAGAGTAGTATTATTGTCCGATGTGCGTAAACATCAAGTAGCAAGGGAATAGCTTAATGAGTGCATACGACGAATTAAGGACTTCAAACAGTGCGTATGGGTGCGTTTGGACCAATCCTATAGACGTAACGGAAACCCCCACGCTTAAAATCAGTGCTCTAAGGCCTGGTCCATGGCAGTTGGTCACATGCGCACCCTGACGACGCTTTTCGTGGACCCTAGGATTGGAGCGTCTCGATGTACTGTACATCCGCCCCCCTCCGTGAAGGCTTCCCCCTTTTCGGGGAGCCTACAAGGTTTCCATAATGCTTTGGCCCTCTACACCATTCTTCTAAGACGGTGTGTTGTGCGAAGCTATGCAGTAGAGGGATTCCTCTGACACAATTCGGGGTGGAATGTATCTGTAGTACCGCCTGTACTTGCCTGTTGCGAAATTCTAATGTATACCTAAGTCTAGATGTAGGGGGGTGAAAAGAAGAAAAACGAGGGTTATTATACGAAATTCGGCCTCTAAAATCCATTCAACAATTGTGTGGGGTATCGGATGGAACGTCAGACCAGCCACGACTTATGTAGTACAATTGGATATATACTACCTACACTCACTCAGCATACGCGGTTATGTCAACATCTCAACCGGAGTAGATAACCGGCCAGATCCTTCAGCCTTACATAGTATATTAAAATCAAATATAATAATGAAGATTTGAGAGGAAAACCGGGCAGAATGATTCTACACGTCTCAAACATCCCAAAAATTAGATATTTCTTGATGAAGAAAATCACGCATACGTAGCATCTAGACTTCTGCCACCCGACGCCAAAAATTATATAGCTAAGCCCCCGGAGCAAAGTGCGGATATGAGAGATGATATAGTACCGTAAATGCGGTTGGATGCATAAGATCCATACCTAGGTAGCTTGGCGACAAGGCACAAGGAAGCGAGGGAAAAAGCCTCTTTGCGTTTCTGATGATCGACAAGCTAGTAGTAACTCTGGTCATCTCGCCAAGCGACTGGTGAGTAATTAATAGCGCAAATCTAGATAAGCTGTCAGATGGAGGTCATACTAATGCTGCATCCGTAATGTTGGCGCGCTCTACCATGGCACTAAGGAGGCAAGCTGCACGACCATACCTGGCGCATTAACGCAATATTCTATTGCATCTTAGGTCGGGGTAGAAGCCGAGGCGGTGGGAGTTAAGAGAAAAGAAACGAAAATGAAATTAGTAATATATATTATTTCGTATTAAGCCGCAGGTATGTTGTTGACCGAAACATGAACGATGAGTTGCGACGAATAGTGAAGAGAAATTGAGAAAGCCAAGATATCTGCGGCGTCCATTCTTTTCATCGATGACACTGTAACTTATTAAATTACTTCACCGCCATCCTCACCGGAGTATCTATTTCTGATATTTGAGCTTGGCTGTCCCAGCCAAGGTGTGTTGGCGGCATGGGATGCATGCGAAGGGGACTCGCTCTTCCAGTAACTCCTGTCAGAACTGTATGCCATCGACTTGCGTGTTCGAGTTATAGGAGTATATCAAAGTAGAGGAGTATAACTTAAAGATGATGTAATTGTATGATGTACCTACCAATGAGTGTCAGCACATTACCCGAATAGGTAAGCTGTACCTATCTACCTCCCCTCCTTTTCAGAGATCCATCTACCAACCAGGTGTCTGGATCATCTTCATGTGTTGGGGAGCAATCGGTCATGTGCCTACCTCACTTGCTACCCCGATGATGGCAATAAACGCAAAGCTCGCGAAAAAGAGGAAAATGATGCGAAGGAGGGGGAAAGAAGTGAAAGAAAAGAGAAGGCTTTGCCGTGGAGCGACATAGGTGAATAAAAGAATAGGGAAACGTAATGAGATGCCCCTCAACTAGATCTGAATTAGGTAATAACCTCTTTCATTAGAGCTATCAGAAAGCTGGTGAAGTAACCAGTTTATCCAGCTCTTCTAATTGGTCAATTTGGAAACACTCAACGAAGTAAGAACCTTCAACACTTAATATACTGCTTACTCTTTCCCCAGGGTCTTAAAGCTTCGAGGCACAAAATGAATGAGTCAAGGTTTCTCCTTCTACTCCCCCCTCAATTGTGACGGTGTAACTTTACCAATGCATGCGAGGTAAGGAAGGAAGGAGCCGCGGAAGACAAATACGTCTTAATGACAGGGATGGCCGCTGCAGTTAATAGCTCGTAGCCCTGGAGCTCGTGCTAAGGTTGTGATGTATCTTTCATTTTCTGCAAGAACTTTCAACCCCGCCAAAAAAAAAAAAACCAAAACCCCGCTACACGTTTCTTCCAATCCTTGTCATTTTCCTTTCTAACCCCCCAAGCTTGCCTCTGCTACGACACTTCGTACAGGATATACCCTGACACCCTACAATCTGGAAACCAATCCCGAACGTGGTCCATATTGCTTCGTCAACTTTATGTTGTCCGGCCTCTGTGCGTAGATTGAGGCTAACGCTACGGCTACTAAATTCTGCCGTAACAAAGCGCGACCTATGCCATACCTAGTAAGAGGTATCCGTCATCTGGAGCCATGTAGGTTTTGTACTATACAAGCCGATACCTAGGTATAGAAGAGGCCAAGCTCAGAGCTTAGCTCTGGCGTCTTAGGGGCGCCTATACCGGTAATTACTTCTTCTGGTCAACTCGGAGTGAGTTCGGCAAGCCGTATTGGTTGTTTCATCAACCGCAGCTTGCCCTGTAATGACTCAGACTCGGTAGGTAATTGGAAAAGAGCAACGACGACATCATCGAAATACTTATTTGGTGGTACATGCTGTGCCGGCTCGTTCTGATGCTTGGCAGGGGTGAGACGAAAGATTGATCGCCCTGAGAAAGAAGGGGGAAGGAACGAGGACGATAATCCGCTCAAAGAGCATCCCGCTTGCCCGCCCGCGGTCTATACGGACAAGACAACTGGAGGAGGAATTATCAGCCAGCCTCCACCCTCCACCACCCGTACCTTCCTTACCTGCTTCCTATGTCATTTCCGTACTAGACTACATACATTAATACCAAGGGTACTGTACATACATGTAAAGATGCCTAGGTAGACCAGGCGCTATCATCTGCATCAAGCTCTCTTGGCCGCAAATAGTGGAAAATAAAAAGGAAAACCTTAAAAGAAGCGCTTGGTCTCCTCTTCCGAGTCATTTTTTTTTTTCCTATCAACTCTGCTCTCCATATTTTCGTCCACCTACCTAAGGTAGCCGAGACAAAGACAGCTCTGCTTTTATCTCCTCCGATGTGGTATACCTAGACCCTTTATTATATCTACCAATATCTTTTCTCTATTGGTTTTCCATAGGGAACTCCATACGGCGCGTTCTTATCGAACCCCACAATCCTAGAGCTAGCCTAGAAACTCTTACATACATACGTCAGCGTACGAAGGCGTGAGGGCGCCGAGTTAGCAGCTCACGCTCGTGCTGCTCACACTAGTTGAGAGCCAAAACCCCCCACAAAACTGACTTCGACGTCAAGCTCAACAAACCTCTCGTTACCCCTCCTACGTCACACCGAAAAAAAAGCTATCTTTACGCGGACCTCGATTGCTTCGATTCAACTTCGGAATCGTTGCTTCCTCGACATTTATACTTAATCAACATGGACTTTCAAGACATTCAGGACTTGGAAGCTGCGCGGAAGGCTGCCGTCGCCGAAGATGCTGTCGATAACAATGACGAAGATGTCTTTGAGGAGGGCGTCGGGCCAAAGGAGGCCAAGACGGCGCACCATATTCGCGCAAACAGCTCGATCATGCATTTGAAGAAGCTGCTCGGTGAGTTGTTCTCCATGCCTCACAGCTTGTGCTGTCTTAAATCGGAATCTTAGCTCGTCAGATCGCTCAGTTTGCTAACCCCTCTATTTCTGGATTACAGTGGCCAACAGAGGAGAAATTCGTAAGTAGGACCTATTCCCGCGGAATGATCCCTTTTTGCTGATCTTGAATTACAGCTATTCGTGTATGAATCTTTCCAATTCAATGATGATATCTAAATATTTATTTATTGTTATTTCGTGGCTAATCTTTGCTTCTTCCTATGTTTTTAGATCTTTAGAACGGTATGTCAAATATACTGCACCCCACCTTCTATCACCAGGTTCTCCCCGCAGAGCGCAGAGCGCAGAACAAGTAGAGGACTAATTAGCACACAGGCTCATGAATTGTCGCTACACACTGTTGCAGTCTTCAGGTGAGTAGAATAATTCAACTAAATAGTAATGCGTTTGAGACTAACTTGGGCAGTTATGAGGATCGACTTAGTATGCACCGGCAAAGTACGCAAATACCTATCCAACCATAGAAAAAAAATTTGAATAGTATAAAACTAACCCAAACCTATAGAGGCCGATGAGGCTTACGTCATCGGAAAGCGAGGCCAATATACCCCGGTCGGAGCCTACCTTGCCGGTGACGAAATTATTAAAATTGCCCTGGAACACGGTGCTCAAATGATACATCCTGGTAATACTGGTGCTTTACATCTATAATTAATCATTTTGTCTAATTCAACGTGACAGGATATGGTTTCCTATCAGAAAATGCTGAATTTGCACGAAATGTTGAGAAGGCCGGTCTTATTGTGAGTCAATTCTCCAGCTATTCCCACACTTGGTTCGGAGGTCCGACTAATACGTCGATCTGAATAGTTTGTCGGCCCCTCTCCCACCGTTATCGACTCTCTTGGTGACAAAGTTTCCGCCCGAAAACTCGCTATCGCTGCAAAAGTCCCCGTCGTACCCGGAACTCCAGGCGCAGTAGCCACATTTGAAGAGGTTAAAAGTTTTACCGATGAATATGGTTTCCCTATCATTATTAAGGCTGCCTACGGTGGTGGTGGCCGAGGGATGAGAGTTGTACGCGACCAAGCAAGTCTCAAGGAGTCCTTCGACCGAGCCACGTCCGAGGCAAAGACGGCCTTCGGCAACGGTACAGTTTTCGTTGAACGCTTCCTAGACAAGCCTAAGCATATCGAAGTTCAACTTTTGGGCGACAACCACGGCAATATTGTGCATCTCTACGAGCGTGATTGCTCGGTTCAGCGGAGACACCAAAAAGTGGTTGAAATCGCACCCGCCAAGGATCTTCCCGCAGACACCCGAGATGCTATTTTGGCCGATGCAGTTAAACTGGCCAAATCCGTAAACTACCGAAATGCGGGTACTGCAGAATTCCTGGTTGACCAGCAAAACCGATACTACTTTATCGAGATCAATCCCCGTATCCAGGTCGAGCATACCATTACCGAGGAAATCACGGGTATTGATATCGTTGCCGCCCAGATCCAAATTGCCGCGGGCGCTTCGCTACAGCAGCTCGGGTTAACTCAAGACCGAATCTCAACGCGAGGTTTCGCGATTCAATGCCGAATCACGACTGAAGACCCATCCAAACAATTCCAACCGGATACCGGCAAGATCGAAGTATACAGATCCGCTGGTGGCAATGGTGTCCGTCTTGATGGTGGAAATGGTTTCGCCGGTGCGGTCATCACTCCTTACTACGATTCCATGTTGGTCAAGTGCACATGCCATGGTTCAACCTACGAAATTGCTCGCCGGAAGATTCTCCGAGCTCTTATCGAATTCCGTATCCGCGGAGTCAAGACGAACATTCCGTTCCTTGCTTCGCTGCTGACTCACCCGACCTTCATCGATGGTAACTGCTGGACTACTTTCATTGATGACACTCCTCAATTATTCGATCTTATTGGTAGTCAGAACCGTGCCCAGAAACTACTAGCCTATCTTGGAGACATCGCTGTCAACGGAAGTAGCATCAAGGGCCAGATCGGCGAGCCCAAGTTCAAGGGTGATGTTATTATCCCCGAACTTCTTGATGCCAATGGATCTAAGATTGATGTCACACAGCCTAGCACGAAGGGTTGGAGGCAAATCATCCTTGAGCAAGGGCCGAAGGCATTTGCTAAGGCTGTTCGCCAATACAAGGGTACTCTGCTGATGGACACGACCTGGCGTGATGCCCACCAGTCTTTGCTGGCCACTCGTGTGCGGACGATTGACCTCCTAGGAATTGCTAAAGAGACAAGCCATGCCTTATCAAACCTATACAGCTTAGAATGCTGGGGAGGCGCTACTTTCGACGTCGCCATGCGCTTCCTCTACGAAGACCCGTGGGAACGTCTTCGCAGGATGCGAAAGGCTATTCCCAACATTCCATTCCAAATGCTTCTTCGAGGAGCGAATGGTGTAGCCTATGCTTCGCTTCCCGATAATGCTATTGACCACTTTGTCGACCAAGCGAAGAAGAATGGTGTCGACATCTTCCGAGTTTTCGACGCATTGAACGACATCGACCAGCTCGAAGTCGGTATCAAAGCCGTACAAAAGGCTGGTGGTGTCGCTGAAGGAACAGTGTGCTACAGCGGTGACATGTTGAACCCTAAGAAGAAGTACAACCTTGAGTACTACTTGGACGTTGTTGACAAGCTCGTGGCATTGGATATTGACGTCCTCGGTATCAAGGATATGGCCGGTGTTTTGAAGCCTCGTGCTGCCACCCTTCTGATCGGATCTATCCGAAAGAAGTACCCAGACCTTCCAATCCACGTGCACACTCACGACTCCGCCGGTACTGGTGTCGCCTCCATGGTCGCCTGTGCTCAAGCTGGTGCAGACGCGGTTGATGCCGCCACAGACAGTCTTTCCGGAATGACATCGCAGCCCAGCATCAACGCCATCATTGCATCACTTGAAGGTACTGAGCACGACCCCGGCCTAAACCCCGCCCACGTCCGTGCTCTCGATACCTATTGGTCGCAGCTCCGCCTCCTGTACTCGCCCTTTGAAGCTCACCTTATTGGCCCTGACCCTGAGGTCTATGAGCATGAGATTCCTGGTGGTCAACTCACAAACATGATGTTCCAAGCTTCTCAACTCGGTCTCGGTTCCCAATGGGCCGAAACTAAGAAGGCTTACGAACACGCCAATGATCTCCTAGGTGACATCGTCAAGGTCACACCGACCTCCAAGGTTGTTGGTGACTTGGCTCAATTCATGGTTTCCAACAAGCTTTCTCCTCAGGATGTTGTTGATCGTGCTGGCGAGCTCGACTTCCCGGGCTCGGTACTCGAGTTCCTTGAGGGTATGATGGGTCAACCGTACGGTGGTTTCCCCGAGCCTCTACGTTCAAAGGCTCTCAGGAACCGTCGTAAGTTCGACAAGCGACCTGGTCTTTACCTCGACCCTGTCGACTTCAAGAAGACACGTTCCGAGCTAGTGCAAAAATGGGGCCAGGTCACCGAAACTGACGTTGCATCGTACCTCATGTACCCCAAGGTGTTCGACGACTACAAGAAATTTGTACAAAAGTTTGGTGATCTATCGGTATTGCCGACCAAATACTTCCTCTCTGCACCACAAATCGGAGAAGAATTCCACGTTGAACTAGAGAAGGGCAAGGTTCTAATCTTGAAGCTATTGGCCGTCGGACCCCTATCCGAGAACACCGGTCAACGAGAAGTATTCTATGAAATGAACGGTGAAGTGCGTCAAGTCACCGTTGACGACAAGAAAGCCAGTGTCGAGAATGTCAGTCGGCCTAAGGCTGATCCTGGCGATTCTAGCCAGGTTGGCGCTCCGATGGCTGGTGTTCTCGTTGAATTGAGGGTCCACGAAGGTTCGGAGGTCAAGAAGGGCGACCCTCTAGCGGTGCTCAGTGCCATGAAGATGGTAAGACATTCTCCGCTCCCCATATCTAGAAGAATTCGCGGCTAACAACTACTACAGGAAATGGTTATATCAGCTCCCCACAACGGTAAGGTATCAGGTCTTCAAGTAAGGGAGGGTGATTCGGTAGACGGATCGGATTTAGTGTGCAAAATCACGAAGCCTTAAGCGCGAATTGCTACTATGTGATGATGCGCAGGGATTCAAACAACGGAGTATCGGAACAGGTTACCTGCGAGGTTCGAGCTGAAATATGCTCCAAATATGGGGATAGAATATTCGGATTGGTGCGGACTTCTTTTAACGTGTATGCTTTTTATCATAGGTTCTCCAAGTGGCAAAATACCTAGTTTTTATATTGATAGGAACATATCTAGGCATTGTGTTTTCCTTCCGTCATTACTCCGTTCTGCCTCTCGCTATGGATAATCCCAGGAATTCTACAATTATGCATCGAAATCCACATCATCTAGCTTGAGTACAGGTAGTAGCGACATATGCAATTTACTAGACCCGTAAGGCACGAAACGGGCCGCAAACGGCTTCCCCTTGGCCTTCACTTTAAAAGTACCCGGGTCCGCGGCTGTGTCCAAAGCAACGGGCCAATCAATCTCCACGGCAGCGACGCGGAGTTCTACAGGCGGGGCACCGAGCTCCCAAATTGGGTTCTGGAGTTCATCTGCTCCGACTTCGAGGATTTCATTGTCGTAGTCGTGTTCTTCGAATGAAGAGGTTGTGTTCGAGGATGAACGTCGTTGGACGACGCGGATCTTTTGCGATGGGTCGATGGCGATGTTCCACCGGCTGCCTTGTTTGGGGGTTAGGACAAAGTCTCGGGTTCGGCCGTGTGGGTCAGTTGTTGATGAGGGTACTGGGGGTTGTTAGTATTTCGTAAACTCGACTTACTTAGAAACAGTAAAAAGGAGGAAAACCTAGGGTTACGTACACGTTTTTCCACTGCGATACTCAACGGGTGGCAAGACAACGGTATCATGCTCGATGGCTAGAGCGTATAAGAGAGCACCGTAGTATATAGCCGCAGTGTTATTGGCGCGCCCAACGACTCGCGGGGCCGTGGCTAGGCGTAGAGTCGCTGAGGACTCACCCGCTGGGACCCTGATCTTCTGAAGACCACGATCGTCGGGTGCGACGGTGCTGCTACTGTTATCGCTGCTGGTAGCGCCGGCGCTGATGGTGCTTCGCTTAGTATCGGCCCACGTCGGCACACGGACGTATAAGTCAAATGGTGCAGCGGTCGAGACGTTGTATGTGATTGTGTGGCCAAAGGGGTATGTGGTTTCAGCGGAGACGAATACGGCGTTATCTTTGGCTTTGCTATCTCCTTGAAGACTTGCAGCGGCAGTTCCTGGGATGAGAAAAACGTGTGCCAGACCGCCGTCTTCCGTGGTGGCGAAGGAGTTGGCTAGGAATTTGGGGTAGGCCTGTGGGTGGTTTACCGTGCAGCAGGGCTGTTGGGGGTTAAGAAAGACTGTTCATATCAAGTGGAATGTCAAGGAGACAGAGGGACCATGTGGAAAGGGGTAAGGAGAACTTACGTAATTAGGTTCAAGGCCAAAGACATTGGCGTATGAGTTGACATCCCACCAGAGATCGTCTGTGCTTAAGTTTCGGGACCACGGCTATTAGATAGTTAGATAGGAGCTCGCTGTGGTATGTATGTACACACCTGGTTCTCCTGTTGAACATATTGGTGTGACCACCAATCTGCCGAGACCGAGACTGGGAAGGCATTAAAAGCTGTCTGTTCAGCCCAGTCGGCGATATCATTATCACCTAGGTACTGGTATATATAAGCGGAGGAGAACATGACCTCAGCAGCGATACATAACTCAGCTCCACGGCTCGGGTTTAGATCTGCGATATATTCATCGGCAAGGATTGTGCCTGCAAGCGAACGGTGATAGGCCGCGAGCAGGTCAACCGCTTTCCGAGTTTGTGCCCTGAGTGCCTTGTCTCCGCTATTGATGTATAGTGATAGGGGGTATCGCAGTCCTTCAAAGTAATTCCCATTAGCAGCGAGATAAGGAGGGTGGCTTCGCCATTTCTTGCTAGGATTCCTCACCTTGTGCCATGTTCACTCCGTGGATAAAGACCCAGCTCAGTTCAAACGGGGTATCCTCGTATAGGACTTTGGGGTACGCTTTATCCGTCCAAAAGTTCCTCCAGTCAGCTCCCCACTGTAGTATTCTGAATTAGCTATTGTAGAATTTGAGGACTCGAAACGAGGAGAAGCTTACCAGCTTACCGCCCTCTATCATAAGGCCCATGGTTTCCCAGAGAATTTGAGAGTTATTCCTTGGATAGCGCTCTAAGAGCCACTGCAAAGGGATGTGCATCTCGTGTGTACGACCAACGCCAAATCCGGCAACATCATATGTATCATTACCATGGACTAGGAGGCCGGTATAATTATTTTGGAGCACTACCAATAGTATAATTAGCAAAATTTCTTTATGCAATCATAAAATACTTATCAAACTCTTCATCATCTGGATTTTTATAATTTTCAGGAGGGTGAAAATTTATTTGCCGGAAAAGGTCGAAAAGGCGTGAACTGGGGAATAGCTCGCGGATTTACTTACTGCTATGCGCAAGAACCACATAGCGATGCATAGCATCCACGATGCGTTCTGTTTCATTTGGATCGGCCTCCGCATATTGAATGAGCCCTAGTAGAACCAAGCATCTCGCCCAGAGTCCTCTCGTGGCTTGTGTCGTTTCCCAGCCAATCCATCCATCTTCCTGCTGGTGGTCGAGTATATAATCTAGATAGTACTTCACTTGACCACGAATCCGTTCATCACCTAGTCCAAATGCCAGCGGTACAAGGCCATTAAACCAATAAGGGGATGCTTCACTGTCGCAGATGAGAATTAGTATACTTCGGATTCAGCCTTGCTGGCGGTTCGGCTCAACGACTATCCCCTGTAGCCCTTTACGTCGGCTAAATGAATCATAGGTCATATACCTACTCTAAACCCGAATACTCGGTGGATCCACCTATATACTTCGAATCATGAACGAAGCGATAGAAATCAAACATGTTTCCAGACAATCCCGCGGCTTCAAGCTCGAGCTGGTCTTTGAACCAACCAAGGGGCTTAACAGAGCCCAGATCCAATGGTTTGTACACCGGTTGCACAACTAGGAAAAGTCAGTCACTCAGTCCACATAAAGCATTGGGTCTTAGAATATTATCTTGATAACTCACGCTCAGTCCCATCCTCTCTGGGAAGCACTCCCGCACTAGCACCAGCAACCGCCACAAGAGCGACAAGAAACCCAGAAATAACCATGCCGATCAGTAATCACAAAACGCAGCCAACCAAAGGGGCAAGTTGAATCACAAAACCAAGTCAGCCCCCGAACCATCGTTCGCGATGTGCTTTTTGTATACCCCCTTGTACCTATGTACGGTACTACCCTCCGGTAGACCCCCCGAAATTCCCCCTCTCTTCTATACCGGTCAATTTCTCCCCCCTCGGCGCAAAGCGGTGCGATAGATAAGGGTCAGGAGGATTGGAGCTATGCGAGCCTATCGGAATGGGATATGACTATCCACCACCTCGGCCGTCACCCTGCAAGGTTACAACAGACGGACAAACAGGGATCATCAAGGCTAATATACTTGAACTTGATAAGCTCACTGGTGACAAGAATTGAGTGGTCCTTTTTGACGTTGAACAACAGCAAAGCGGATGGAATTTTAACAATGCATTTTAGAGCTCACCTATGCCTTCGAAATACATACAACCATACTGCAATGCACTAGAATTATTACGAAGTAGTCAAATGACCTGCTAGTCTCAAACCGTCGAAAAGGTCTCATTATACTATCATACAAATACACAGCAAGTGTAATTTTCACCATAGCCAGATATCCGACATATGAGAGATGATCAGAGTATCGTCTGGTCTGGTCAAGTCCGTATTCCTCACTTTGGAAAGGTTGATCTCGGACTGGCCCAAAATCTCTCAGACTAACTCATTATTGCAAAATCCTCAAAGAACTTTTCTATAACGAACTCCCCAGATTTCCACCGCACCTATCATCCCGACGGAATCAGTGGTGCCGTTCGGCTAGATGCTTTGAAAGAGACGCCCAAGATGTGTTACAGGGTATCACAAATGCTCCCGCAGTGGCCTAAATTTGCTGTTATCGTTTTTGCAACTCAGAACCTTGTTGCAAAATCATCTAAAAGCCGAAGCCGGTAGGTTGAGGTGCGAAACCGTTGGTCTGTGCGAACGGCGCCGGTGACACTCGTCCACCAGTAGCGGCGGGTCCAGCCGTGATCATAAGACGGTTACCTCCGAGAATTGGCGTCTCATCTTCATGTTTCTCCTGGGCGGTCTCCTTAGCCTTTCGCGCCTCGTTATCGGCCTTCAATGATGCGAGTTCCTTAGTCTGCTGGCAAAGGAGATTGATCATGTACGGCATAGTAAAGTCGTTAAGACCGTTTCGCCACGATAATTCGAGCACTGTGTCGGGGCGAATAAGGTCGTAGCATGCATAGAGCATACCAACATAACACTCGCGACTACCGATATCGACGAACTTTAATGTAGTTAGCATAGGTGTTTGGTGTTGAGCAGAGTTAGGCAACTTACGTAGCGAATGAGCTCCTCAACAACCTCTGATTTGGCGGAGATAGCAGCTGTCTCAATAGCATCCTTGTATAACTTGTCTTGCTTTGACAAGGCGATTGACTTCTCCCATCTCTTGGTCTTCCGGTAAATGTTGGCGGCGATTTGTCTAAAAAAGACAAGGTCATGTTTCTCTAATCGAGAGGCTAGATCAACAGCGTCGTAGTTATCGTAGTTCTCAACCGAGTCCCGTAGTGTTTTGTAGTCTTCCTCTTCAATAAGGAGGTCGTTAATGGCGTCGTTCACTGTTCGCTTGTTCTGTGTCTGGACATTGAGCAAGAAGGGCTTGATCAATGGGAGGTTATCGGACTTCTGGAACATACGAACAACTCGGTTGACGTCAATGCGAGGTGTGAGAACTTGGAGAAGGTCGGTCAAGAGCGATGGGTGTTGCTCCAGGTAGAAGTTGATGGCACGGTAATAAATTTCTAGGTTCGCTACTTTGACAACAATGTCCTTGAACTGTTGGTGTTCCCATGAGTTCTGCGCACGTTCCATCACGGCAAGAGCGGCATTGTCAAATTCGTCGTAATGGTAGTAGCAGAAGACCAACTCAGGCCACAAATTGGCATCCTCGCAAGCACGGATTAACTTGGGCAAGTTCATTCTGCTCCAGAACAGTTTGATGTGCTCCATGAGTCTCTGAGGGTGATACTTCGACAATGCAATACCCAACTCAGTGAACATTCCCATATGGGCACGCTCGAGGCCAAGTCCTTGCTCAAGCAGATCTATGAGTTCATCGAAGTAGCCTTCATGTTCGTACTGCTTAACGAGAGCTTGAAGTTGCTCAGCATCGACAATCAAGTTGAGACCGCAGATCTTGGCAAGTCGGAATTCCTTCTTAGCAACGCACGCAGCGTGCACCTGGTTCCAAACTTTGATATTGTTGGCTTTGCGAGCACATTCGACTGCCGCCTGGTAGTCCTCAAGATGGACCAAGGTGGTAGCAAGTTTTGACCAGTTGGAGATGCTAGTGTAGAAAATCTTGGCGGCCTGGTGGAAGCCTTCTTCAGCAGCTTTATCACCAGACTCTTCAATATTAGCGACATTAGTGCCACGGAGGAAGTCCTCCAACTCTCCAAGTTGATCAAGCCGAGCATAGCAAAAAGCAAGAGCTGTGTCAATCGGCGGCTCTCGGAGAGTCTTCCGGGCCATGCGGAGATATTTGACAAGCTCTTCATCCTTGCCGGCATGAGTGGCAACCTCGATGACTTCGGCGTAGTTGCGAGGGTCTCCAGCTCTAATGTACGATTCTATCGCATCCGCCACTCGAAGGCCATCAAGCTGGGCCTTAGCAACTCTGCTCCAAACTTCAGGGATGTCGACGTCCTCAGCAAACGTACTCGCGCGGTCAATGCTTACAACGTGTTCAACCAGGACCTCAACAGCCGCTGTCTTATTGCCGACCTTCTTGTAGATCTCAAAGGCTTCCTCGTGGAGGCCGACGTCGATACATAACTGCGCACACTCATCAGGGTTGAACGAGTCCAGACGATGGATATAGTCCATAACTCTACCCTTGTCTGCTCTGGCCGCGGTGAGAATAAGCAGGTTTTGCAGACTAGGGTTGTCGTTGAACGGCGAGGGTTCTAGGACGATCTTCTCTAGTAGTTCGATCAGCTCACCCGGGAGATCGGCTGCTAAAAATGACGCAACAGCTTCGGAGACCTTTGCGGGATCGCTGCATTCGGGAACTGCAGTTGCGACAACCTGGTCAATGACTGATCGGCGATGAATGTTGTTTTCACTGAGTACGAAGGTCCATAGCTCCCGGTCCGATCGCTCTAATACGTAACGAGCTTGAGCACGGTACATGGAGTTTTCGTTTGTGATGTTAATTAACTCCAAATCGTTTTGTCCCTTCTGGTATGCGATGAAAGCTAGGTTGGGATCTCGCTTCTCGCAGTATTTACCTACGCTCAAGGTATCGTACTGGTCGTTCTCCTTAAGGAACTTCTCTGGGTTGTTGTTTGAGTCGATATAGATCTTGGCGAGGGCATTGAACACGGCTTGTTGCTGATTGCCAGCGGCCAAAGTAGCCTCGAGGAAAGGAAGCAATAGCTTGAGGCGGTTACGTGTCTCTACCTCGCGCACCAAGGCATCAATGGGGATTGATGCAGGGTTGATAGTGCTAAGGAGGTTCTTAATTACCGACTCATCGCAGTCTACATCGAGAAGGCCACCAATAACCTCGGGGGTTCTTCCAGGGTTAACACGCTGCACATATACCTCAATTGCATTGAAGCGCTGGTTTTGATAGAGGTATAATATGAGATCATGGACGAAGTTATGTCTATCGCAGACAATGATCAATGGAAGCATCTCCGTAAGCTTAGCTTCCTTAAGGAAGTTCTTGACTTTCTCGGGGTTGTAATAATTGCTGTCCCTGCAAATTCTCTCGACTTCGTTAAACTGGCCCATTTTTGTAGCTGCTTCAATATACTTGAAGTGGACGTCCGCATCCTGAGACAGATTGACGATGCTACCCAGGTAGAAGAAGAGACCTTCGTGGGTCTTGTATTTCTCGAAAAGGTCGATAAGGTTCGTAGGGCCAAGGAGCTCGGAGTACTTGGTGGCAACCTGAACAACCGATTGAAGATTCTGTCGGATATTCGCTTTCATCATCGCGTCGAGGCAGTCTAGGGACTGCTCTACCGAGAGTTGGCCGAAGTAGTTGACCAACCAGTCTGAGTTGAAGTTTGGCGTGCCAGGAATACCCACAATGACTCGCTTAACCGCCGCAGGATCTTCGTAAAGCTCCAATGCCTTTTGGTACAGACCAGTCTGCTCGCACAAGTTTGCGATGCGCGCCTTGTCGAAATGCGAGAAGAGGTTGTTACCCAAGATTGCGTCTGCTACCTGAGGTGCGTTCATTAGATTCATCTCTAGCAATCTTGTCTGTAAGTGGCCATGTTCCGGCTCATTCCCCTTCAAGGCTTCAAGCAAAAATGCCGTGGCTTGCTGGACCATTCCTTGCGCCTGGAAAACGTCGACAACACGCTCAATGTCCACCAAAGGACCGCCCTGGTGACTAGCCAAAGATGTTGCAAACTCCGCACCACGTTCCGGGTTCGTACGAACGATGTGTTGCAACAGTGTGATCCAGTCGGGTTGGTAACCAGCCTGATCGCAGTAGGGTAGGATCTTGTCGAATTGGCCAAGCTCCGCAAAAGAAGCGACCACCTTGTGAGCAGCATTGGCTTTAAGGTAGACTGCGAGAGCCAAGTTGGCATCATGCGGCCGAACCAGATCACCAAGTTCCTCGGAAAAGTCAAGCTTGCCCTCTTTCGCCCACTTCTCAAGAAGGTGCTTGCGATTCTGCGATAGGACAGGAACAGCAAGTTCTAAAGTCTCAGTCTTGTTAAGTGGGGTGGTCTTGTCGAGGAGCATGCCGAAGTACTGCAGAATATAGGACATTTTGCCTGGAGGAGTTGGAACATTCTTGAACTTATTGATGGTATCTGTTGTTCGCAGGAAGCCTCTAGGTGAGTTTGCAGCGACCTTAGCCGCAGCCTCGAAATCGCCGGAGTTGAATAACTGCTCAAATTGGCGAACATAGAGTTGATCAGCACCGGGAAGTCCAGCTCGAGATGCCATCTTGATAGCAATTTCCGTGTTTGCTGGGTTCTGCAAGAGATAGTCTACCATGGTGGATTCGTCGACCGAAACAAAGAGTACCTGGCCCTTCCTATTAATGCCGAGAATGCCGGTGGATTCCATGTCCGGGCAAGTTGTAAAGATCGTCTCGCTCGAAATACGGTTCATGAATATAGTAGAGCCGGTTTCGAGGTCGTAGAGGTGAATGAAACCATACTTCGTGACCATGTAGACAATGCCGTATTTCTGAGAAACCTGCATAGCAACTGGGAAGTCATTCGTGGCTTCAGGGGGGAAGAAAATGTCAACAGCCTTCTTCTGGAAGGGACGGTTTCCTTCGGGGTGATCGATCTCAACGATGTGTAGCTTAGCGCCCGTAGCGGTACGAACAGCGAAGGAGAACACCTTGGTATCTGCCGGCTCTCCTTCTAATCTGAGGGTGCCAAAGGTAGCCGCATGACCCTCGATAGCCTGACTGATGCCTCTATCTTTGGAGTATAATTGTAGACTGCCAACCACGCGACCTGCCTGTTGGGAAATGCCAACTACTGCCATCCATTTTCCATCACTGTTAGTTCGATAGTTGATGATTTGGCATCCCTATTACAGCAAAAGTTAGCTAATTAGATTTGAGGCACAGCCACTAGGCGTTATAGAAAATGCAAGTCAGAAACATACGTTTAAGTTAGCATTGCGCTTGAAGATCTCTACAGGAGCTGCTTGAGAATTGTCATATATGTCCCAGTGGAAGACGGAAGTTTCTGTGACTAGACCCAAGGTTGATTCGCTAACCCATTTCCAGAAGACAACATCTTCATTCATAGTGGCTGACTTCAACTTTGCCTTCTTCTCTAGGTCGAAAATCTGTAGTGTTCTTGATTGCGCACGAAGGGCGATGATCTGTTTCGACCAGTGCATGATTGCACTATCGGCCTTGATGGGTCGGCGGGTGACATTGTTTCCTTGCTTCAGATCGATAATGATAACTTCGGGTTGTGCTGTCTCACTCTTCTTTTCTCGTATGCAGATGAAGGAATCGGATTCTAAGGTCTAACGCGACATAACGGTTAGTTTCAGGGCGATGGTAAAAAGCCGTTGCAACGGGCTAAAACTTACACAGGAGTTAAATCCAATAGCGCTTTGATCAACACCGATGTTTCCGAGCGTTAATAGCTCTTGAAATTTGATAGGAAGCGGCGCCATGATTCAGGAGCACATGGATCGATCGGGTCAACAATCAGGAAGCGCAAACGCGGAATTGAACGGCAGATTGTTAAAGGCTGGGTAGTCGTCCCAGGTGTAAGGTATTGAGGAACTCCAGTCCAGTAGATGGCTGTGCTTAATAGACGCGATGGTATGTCGGAAATGTGCCTAGGCAGATGTTTACGAGAAGGGGGTAAAACGAAGGTATTAGGTGCAAGACTAGCAGAAGAAACCTCCAGGGATTGATTATGTTGGCGAAAAGAGTAAATTGAGGAAAACACGCATGCAAGCGTTAGTATGGGCAAGTTTGGACGAGTACGCCGATGGTATGAAGTATTGTACAAAGGTAGATGACGGCTCAAGAGGAGAAAAGGTGGTTACGGTGGTTGATAGATGACGATGGTGAGAATTTCCAGGAGGAAAGTACAAATTATTGCGATCCTTTTTCTGATGTTACGGGTTACTTGTTCGCAAGGAGCACCTGAGGCTGCAAGCTACCTGAATTTTGCGCACGGACCATATAACGAACAGCTACCGCTACGTACATACACAAATTGGATGCGCAACTTCCAAGTTTATGTTTGGCAGGTCCAGGGGGGGGGGGGGGAAATTTAGTACAAATTTCGTTTGTATTTCCACCTGCATGATAGGACCATTTCAATTACATTCGTTGTACCTATCCTCAATATCTACAAAGTATGTGTGATATACTTTCTACTTTATTTATACAGAGTATATAAAAGGCAAGAGCCAGGGTTATTCCATTGATAACTTACATGCAGATTTTGAATGTCTTAACACAAAGTCATCGCCGAGTCGTACTGAAGCTAAACTCCAATTGGTAATGATATATGTACCTAGGTACCCCCTTTATGTGGTGCAACACGTGTGTGCAAATTGTAGGCATCTAAATTATGGATTCCGCGTAAAAAAACGAACAGCTACCGAATCACGAAAAAAGGGCTGCCTGCATTACGAGCTGTTTAATGGTTAATCAAAGATACACCCAATCGCATAGGTACGCAATTACAGTGGACCAGACACGACTCCAACCATGCGACGAAAATCGCTAGCATCTTGCACATTGTCGTAATCCAAGTGGCCTATCGAATAAAACATTGACATCCGATACCCAAGAACCATGATAAAGATTATTCCCAAAAGGCATTGAAAGCTAGAAAATCTCACTCCCGATTTCGTATGGGATAATCAATGAATATCTACCTAGGTAGATAGCCTATTTCTATCGTCGAAAAAAAGGGAAGCGTAGAAATATCTTGATATGTACGTTCAATCATTGCGATCCTTCTCATAGCCCTCGAAAGGACAGAGAAGCACCGCACCCAAGATTGTTCGTTGGGAATTAGTCTCCATTCTGTCCGAGAACTTCAGTGGTCGTGGGCCACCGCAGAAGAGAGGATACCTCGCACCAAATATGCTGTCTCGAGAATGTGATTTTTGCGTTGTTCATTTTGAATGAAGAAGAAAAGAAGAAAAGTTCCAAAGCAGCAACGGTTCTCAGAAAATTTGTATACCTGCTAAGCTCCAGCCACCACCCTATCCCATCCGCTAAGCTTCATTTGCACTAGCTCAACTGCAAATACCCACAATATGTATTCCTGGATCTATTTCTGGTACCTAGGTACGTATTTGAAGCTCCGAATATCGCGAACACTTCCCTCATCAACTGGGCACATGGATATTTCTCTTTTAAACATACCTATTCTCATTTAAACCAACACGTTTCTAATACAAATACGCTTACAAAAGTGTAAAATATGGCCGGTGCTCCTATAAATGCGATTCAAACACTACCTAGATTTCTTCTGCCACGGCTGAGTTGGACAGGAGTTAGTGGACCTTCATCAGTACTCCGAGCGACAATTCCCTCAGACTTCCAACTGTCACGACACAGACATGGAATGGCTTCTTTTCACTCGTGTCTAAATGCAAATGCGGAACGAAGATTTCCGAGAAATGTACCAACGAAACCATCTTCAATACTTCAAAACCATCGTCTAAGACGATCATTCCATGCAACCGCGCCGCGGGGTAGAGACCACCATTTCGATACTCTAAAGTTCGTCCAACGACTACAGAGTGAAGGATTTACAGAAGAGCAGTCTGTCGCTATGATGAAAGTTCTCAACGATGTAATTCAAGAGAGGTAAGCCCTATACACTATATTAAACATATTGATCACAACTAACCAACCGCCTAGCATTCAAAACCTAACCCGGACGATGGTCCTACGCGAAGATGCTGCCAAAGCCACCTATACACAAAAGGTCGACTTCGCCAAACTCCGTTCCGAGCTCCTCTCCGCAGACAGCACTGAGTCCAATACAACGCGCGTAGCCCACGAGCGATTAACGAACGATATCACCAAGTTAAATAACCGCCTTCGCGACGAGATCGGCCGGACCCAAGCCTCGGTACGACTAGACCTGAACTTAGAAAAGGGTCGCATACGAGAAGAGGCCGTGAGCCAGGAACTAAAGATCAAAGAAACAGAGACCAAGATCGAGCAAGAGGTTGCGGCTCTAAGAGAAAAATTAGAGCAAGTCAAGTTCCAGACACTTCAGTGGCTCATGGGTGTCTGTACTGGTTTTGCCGCACTGCTCCTTGGTGCATGGAGATTACTCATGTAGAGAGAGTGAAAGTAATGGTTTGCGCGATTGTTCAACACTGCGGCATAAGGAACATGCATTTTGGTTGAAGTTAGAGTATTCCCAGTCGCGAGACGTCAGTAAGATATCATAGACGACAGGTATTCAAATCCAAGAGGGGTTACAACCCTGCGCCACTTCCATTAAAGTGATCGTTATTATCAGCTAGACGTTTGTTCGACGCCACAGAGCCTAGGGAAGCATCCTAACTTAGTGTGTCTCCTTAGCAATCGTCCACGCTTAATATACTTAATAGAGCTTGTTATCTGCAAGAGGGACTATTATATCTAAATTACGGCTCGATTAAAAGTAAGAACATGATTAATTTGATACTAGCCTATGCAGCAACGTGAAAAGGTGAATTTACAATATGCCTAGTCATTAGCTATAGTTATTGACATACTCATAATCCATGTGGAAGTCCCAAGCGACTATTAAGGACACGATGTAGTGACTGACATGCCTAAACAGACAAATAAGTTTATCGTTATCGCAATGAAAGCTAAATGAACAACTATTAGATCGTCACTTATCATACAATCCATAATAGAATGAAGAAATAGAGAAAGCGCAGGAAGTTTGGTAACTCTGGTTCAAGTGGTTTCTTGTCACGGTTAGGTATTTAAACCTTCACTTCGCAAACTGAACTAGTTGCCTGTATTTGGGTGACTACTTTGAGGGCAAGTTTCTTTTTTTTTTTAAACGAGCTACCTAGCTAATAATACATATCACTCAGATACGACTTTAGGTAACTAGAGTTGCCATATACTTAAATACCTACTTAGGTGTAGCTACTTTCCGCCGTATGGGCTGGTGGTTTCGAGAACTCATGGGAAGACTAAATAAATCATGCCCTTGAGGGACCTGAATCGTAAGATGTGGTTGACTGCGTCGACAAGTGGAGCCCAGAATTGTTAAATAAGACAGGAATTTAATTTGTCTTATGCCAAGCTTTCAAGTACTGCGTGGAAGTTCTTGTGTACACTCCTCACGTACCTCCATAAGTAGATTATATAAGGCATATCGAGACAGCACGTGTGGGGTAAGTTCCTCAAGAGAATCTATCTGATCCTCGTAGACAATCTGTTCTAGACTTTCCTACCTTATGTAGATGAAGACACACATAATGTAAAGGCTGCGTACCTATATCATGGGTGGTATGTAACATATCCAACCAACTAGTCAGGTATTTCCACGAGTGATGCGAGATGTTGCTCAGCCTCGGCCAATGTTCGTCATCTCGCGTGGCTAGCTCTTTTAGATTTAATGATAGGGCTCCTATGATCTGACTAACTGAAGTGTACCTAAGCACATACATAAACCATAACTATAAGTGAGGGAGCCCGGCCGTTAGCGTAGTAAATACATGAATGTACATGTGTTGTCACCGTATGATACATGCGTTATGTAGTGCCGCAAGGTGCCAGAAGCACTACAGACACCATCGATTCGCTGCGTTGGGTGTCAGGCGACCAGCCTGTCTGCTCAACATCATTTAAGCATGTACGTAGGTTCATAAGGATATACCGGTACATTACATCGTTTTGGGTACATAATGTACAAGAGACGGGAAGCGAGGGGTTCCGCGCATGTACCGATCACTCGAACCTTGCTACCTCTACGTACTTGATCAGGTGTAATTTAGGGGCTAAGTACGCAAGATACAGGGATTATGATGGTAGTGAGTACGGGAAGGTACCTGAGTTTCTAAAGATGTAAGGTTGTTCCCACCCCCGCAGTTTTAGCTTTCCCATCTCTTAAAAAATGGTTTTTATTCCCTGGGTTCCTTTCTCTGACCAACATTACTCGATTAGATAGAGATCCCATCCCTACTATTCAATTACCCTGTCTTGTCCTTACTTCACATTCTTGACGATAGAAACAATAACGTACCTAAAACAGTCTGCTTTTTTGTGCGTTGGTCTTCTCTCGATTTTCCGGAATTCTCTCCCCTTCCCTCAATTAAACGAGAACAACCCCCATATCCTTTTTTCTCTTCCTACTTGCGTTTTTAAACACATACGTACTGTAATTATATTGATACTCTTGTGGTTGTTTCTTCGATACTACGACCACACTCGAATCTCGGCTTTCGTCATTTCAGACTAGTCGTTCTAGACCTTGTTATAAGAGACTCATCTGTGAGTATCTTCGAAGATACATGGAACAGCTACAAGGCTTTGAACACTAAACATCTCTTACCTAATAGGAGTTTGCGCCTAGCCCATCTTCGACGATACCTTCAATTCTACCTGTCCTTCTCTCGTCCTCTCCTATAACCCCCGACTCGAACCACCATCGCCCTCCCCACATCCTCTACCGCGCACCCCTACAATCGCCCGAGCGACAGCCCCCCTCCCGCGCATTAGGTCACCGCACGAAGAGAAAAGTAAATTACTTATTTTGCGAGCCGTCGTTTTGGAAATAGTCAAAAATGACACTGTTACGCGAGAGGTTTACTCGCTTGAACGAGAGGGTCAGTCCTGGTCGTAGAAGAAGCCCCTCCCGGCGACTTCGCTCAAGAAGAAATCAGCTTTCCCCGTCCCCTCCACCGACGCAGTCTTATCTATCGTGTAAGTATTACAGTCGTCCCTACTGCACCTGTGTGTTTACTGACCAAGTCTTTAGACCATGATATTCTTCGTGCGTCCCTCTTCGCCGATTCCCCTCCGATTTGCGATACGACTGACTTATTTGAATTTTAGTCACATGGGAAGATATCAAAGCCTTAAAGAATGACTGGTTAACGGATAACGTATGTCTCTATTGTCAATTTTATTATTTCCGGCCCGTTGCTAACACCCGGCTCTTATATAGAATATTGCGTTCTGGGAAGAGTTCCTTGAACGGGAAATACTTCCCAAGTATCCCCAGGCGCATATTGTTCTACTAAAGCCGTCGTTAACATTCTTATTAATGAGGAACAGCAACACTGAGATGGTTCGGACCGCGTTGCCCGACTTCCGAAGGATAACGCACATCTTTCTTCCTATTAATGATAACCACAATGTTAACCAAGCTGAAGGCGGAAGTCATTGGTCGCTACTACTCGTCAGTATTATTGATGGGGTAGCCTTTCATTATGACTCCATGAGCAATGCCAACGATAAAGAAGCCTTCCTAGCAACCCAGAGGCTGAGTTCATTGTTAGGGAAGAGCCTACGATACCATGTTCTCCCCGACAGCCCCCAGCAGGAAAATGGAAGCGACTGCGGGGTTTTCGTATGCATCATTATGCGCCATCTGCTCATCAAACGCCTATTATCGGCGAATGCGGGAGAAAAAATATCAATGAGCATGGCTCATAAGGCCATCGACAGTGCTGGGGCGCGAAAGGAGATGTTGAAGATCATCGAAAATCTCCGCCAAGAGGGAGAACGGCGACGGCTTACTCCCAGCAATACGCCACCCCGGATCGAATAGATTACGGGGCGTGCTTCTCCTGTCGTCCCCACCCTACGCACCTGGGTCACCGAAGAATTTGGCCTACGGGCATCATTACGTTTGCATATTACGGATTTGGTGGAGTTTGGAACTAGCGTTTTGTTTTTGCCTTTTGTCTTTTGTTTTACGCATTTATGAGTCGATGGATTGCATTTTGACGAGACGACGTGCGATATCACCGCCAAGTACGGATTGTATCCTATAGCGAATTTAGAAGTTCATGACTCTAGCGCGGCATTCAGCAAAATTTGTATCTAGTACGCTTGATTGGAGACGTAGGTTATCGTTGGCCTTTACTTTGGTGTCGCTCCTCTATGACTTCCGTCTCTGCAGCGACAAATATGAAATATGAAAAAAGTTACATCTGCAAAGTTATTTCGAAACAATCGAGTTGACACCCCTTGATATAATCATTTGCCTGCTCTATAACGAGTGACATACCCTACTATATGAGCTAAAGACCGATGACTTGTTATCTAACTAGAAAAGGCGTATTGACAATTATCTAGCTAAACAGGCCTGCGTTCGCCCATGCAACCTAGCACTGATATGTTCGGCATATGATTATCAATTATGTTCTGATTGAGTTAACAAAGGGCTGATCCTCTACCTTCAAGCTTTTTCTAAGTTAAACAACTAAGCATATAATCAGTTATCAATTATACGCCGACATCGTGCGCGGAGTAGATGCGAGAATGTAAGTCTAACCTGTTAACATCAGCTAGTAAATAACATCTATCTTTTTAAGTTAACTGGAGGGTTGTTTTCTTGAAAATCATAATCACGGCTAAGGCAATTCTACTATGAAAGCAGTTTGTACCGATGGTAAATAATAAATACTCCCTCAAGACTGAATGAAGAAAAAAAAATGTCTCGGGGTAGTCGGGGTGTCTCAGACGCCTAGTAGCAATGTTCGGAGGCTTATTGTCAGTGTTCATATGTCTGAACATGCTCCACTATTAGGCGACTCTTTGACTGAACCCACAAGAATACGGTTGGTCCTAGAATCGAATCGAGGACCTCCCGGGGGAGGAGTCAAGATATGAATAGTAGTGGTTTCTAGGAGACTATCTCAACTAGACCATCTATCACTCATCTCTCGCTCTCTCTCAATCTCGAAATCCATACAATCTATTGGCCCTTATGAGTCTAACGGTTGACTAAAGTTGCGCAAATTGGTTTGTCACCTAGCAACCCCTTTATAATAGCGCTTAGAGGGGCTGGCCGTACGTTTGTTGATTTATAGGTTTATGGGTTTATAGGTTTATACTCTAGGGAATGAACTCCCATGGCGAAGTGGTTACCAAGGTAAGTGGCCGGTTATCTCAGCGAAACAATGCAAGTAGGTTCGAGTTCCACAAGTGCCTTTTGACTAGGCAGACTCGGCTTGGTTTTTCTCTCGTGTAACCGTCAGCAACAGCCACGAGACTTTTGAATCACTTGCTGAAAAAGACTCAGGACTGACACGGGCTCTAAGGTGTCTCACGTACCGTGGTAGGAATGGTAGTATATTGTCTATTTAGATTTTAGACGTGAAGAGTCTCATTATAACTCTTGGGGACTTTAAAGACTCGAATTAAGAATAGAGTTACGGATCAGCCCGAAAGTAAGGGCTATTACACTAGTATTGACAACTCAAGAACGAAAAAGTAACTCAACCTACCGCGAAAGTGAAGACTTGACTACTAACATCTTACTTCACCTTGAATCCAAATACAGATCGCCGTCACTGTCGATATCATCGGATCTGGGGATTTATGAAGTTGTGGAGGATGCGGAGCATTGTGGACTGGTTCCGCACGAAGCTAGGTCGGGGTAGGTACTTAAATCTTGAGAGCTAGAGAGCTCATTACGTCACTGTGCTTGTACGATAGCTCTAGAACTTAGGTACACAACTACCTAAGCAGAGCTGCCCCGCCTTCGCAATGCTGGAGTTATGTACTTAAACATGTGGTGAGGTACAACTCTTCCCATCATTCTCATTTGTATCGTCTTAGCTACAATTATTGTGCGCGCCTCTTTTTTTTTCTCCCACTTTCCTGCTATACAGTCGCACTAGCTCTGCTCTGATTACTTTGGACTTCCCATACTAAAGTCGAGCTTTGTCTCGACTCTTATCCCCTAGGAGGTCACTCACCTTACATCCCTTAGATTCATGCAGATTCACTGTGCTGTGTTGAATTAAAGGCGGAACTGCCCACCATGATTCCCCGAATGGTGACCTCTAATGAGGTCTACATTCTACCTCTAAAAGACAATGGCGCTCCTGATGTCCCTGGCGAATACATATACCTAGCTCCCAAGTCTAACGATCCCTTAACCATACGATTCACTATTGAGGGTACTTCGTCCATATGTCGTCAGGGAAGTCTATGGGTCAACATACCAGATCGAGGGTCTGAGTTTCATAGAGACCAGTTCCGCGAGTACAAGTAGGCGAACGGATCATTCCTGGTCCTTCCAACCCTACCAAAGTGCTGTGTTAATCGATCTCATAGGCTAAACCCCGACTTCAATCGAACCATAGAAATCTCAATCCCCATCTATGAAGCAGGCGCTTTCGCCTTTTATACTACCTACGCTGAACTACCTGAGTTGTCTTCTACCTTGAATTCCAACAAATCGGACTCAGTTGGCCCTAAAAAGACGCCGCTGTATTACATCGATGTTGCTCCCCGATTATCACTCGATGGTCGCCCGTTACCATTACCGGCCCTATCGATATTCTCAGTCATAAGCAAATTTATGGGCAAATACCCGAATGATTGGGAGAAACATCTAAGAGGAATAAGTGGTCGCGGATATAATATGATACATTTCACACCTCTTCAAATCCGCGGTGCATCCAATTCTCCATATAGTCTGTATGATCAGCTTGGCTGGGATCCGGAATGCTTCCCTGAAGGCGAGAAAGATGTACAACAGATGGTGGATAGTCTGGAACACAACCACTCTCTTCTCAGTTTGACCGACATAGTCCTCAATCACACCGCAAACAACAGCAAATGGCTGCTAGAACATCCTGAGGCTGGATATAATCTCAATACCGCGCCTTGGCTAGAGTCTGCTTACGTTCTCGATACCCAACTTCTGGTCTTCGGTTCCAAGCTGGAGGAGTTGGGATATCCTAAAGAGCTCCAATCTACGGATGACCTTATCACCGTTATGGATGGCATTAAAAAGCACGTTGTTTCTGAAATTCGCTTATGGGAATACTACGCACTTGATGTCGACAGAGATGTAGACGCCGCAATTGAATCCTGGGCTGTCGGACAGCTTCATGTTCCTGAGGGATCTGTCCGTGGCGATCTCGATAAGCTTAGAGATGACACCGTTAAAGGCCAAGCTGCATACCTAATTCAGAATGGCCTAATTGGGAACGATTGGCTTGGTGCACGCTTCCGACGACGAATTGATCCCAAAGTCTCAGCTGCTTTGGTCGCTGCTTTGTTCGGAAAATACAGAGGCGAAGCAGATGAGACCGCCATTCGTTCTAAATTAGTCCAGATTTTGGATGTGGTCAATGTTCCATTTTACGAAGAGTATGACAAAGAGATTGGAGAAATCTTGCAGCAATTATTCAATAGGATTAAGTACGTGCGCCTTGACGATCATGGCCCAAAACTTGGACCAATTGACCAAAAGAATCCTCTAATCGAAACGTACTTCACTCGCCTGAATAAAGAAGAGGCATCCGGTCATCTAAAGCCTGAAGACTTGGTTCTTGTTAATAACGGATGGGTATGGGCTGGCAATGCTTTGGTGGATAATGCTGGTCCCCAATCGCGAGTGTATTTGCGACGCGAAGTCATTGTCTGGGGTGATTGCGTCAAACTTCGCTATGGAAGTGGCCCTAAGGACAGTCCGTGGTTGTGGGAGCACATGACGAAATATGCCCGGATGTTGGCAAAATATTTTGCTGGTTTCCGGATAGATAATTGTCATTCCACACCCCTCCATGTTGCTGAACACATCCTCGATGAGGCCCGCCGCGTCCGGCCTAACCTATATGTCGTCGCAGAACTGTTTACAGGTTCAGAGGAGATGGACTATGTCTTTGTAAAGAGACTTGGTCTGAGCTCGTTAATCCGAGAAGCTATGCAAGCTTGGAGCACGGCGGAGCTAAGCAGATTGGTGCATCGTCACGGTGGACGTCCCATTGGTAGCTTCGAGGTAGATGAGATTTCGAGGCCGAACTTCGGGAGCGCTCCTACGAGTCCTGGAGTAAACGGCTATTCTGAACGAGAGCTTGTTCGAAAAATCAAGCCTGTACCTGTGCAGGCCCTGTTCATGGACTGCACGCACGACAATGAGGTTCCGGCACAGAAAAGAGATGCTCGGGATACATTACCAAATGCTGCATTGGTATGCATGTGTGCCAGTGCAACAGGAAGCGTTATGGGGTATGATGAGATATACCCTAAACTTGTCGACCTTGTGAATGAGACTAGACTATATACGTCCGAATCTTCTTCCGTTAAGGAAATCAAGGTCGGTGATGGCAAGGGTGGTATTGGCGGCGTCAAGAAGCTTCTCAATCAGATCCACACGTTAATGGGGAAGGATGGCTATGATGAAACGCATATTCATCACGAAGATCAGTATATCACAGTCCACAGAGTACATCCCGAATCAAGAAAGGGATACTTCCTTATTGCTCACACCGCCTACCCTGGCTATGGAAATGGCAATGGTGCATTTAGTGCCGTGCGCCTTGGCGGTACAAAAGCGCGACACCTAGGAAGTTGGATGTTGGAAGTCGACGTGAGTGACGAAGCTAAGCGAGATGTCGAGAACGATAAGAAATATCTACGAGGTCTTCCTAGTCGCGTGGTCGATGTACCTGGTATTCGATTAGAGGTCAAGTCGGATGAGACAGTTATCACGGTGCGTGATAAGTTTCCGCCTGGAAGTATCGCCCTATTTGAAACCTGGATTCCGGCCGCAGAACACTCATCGGGATTGGATACCTACGTTACATCTGGAGCTAAGGAAGTTATGGCTGGATTAGATTTAGTTGACCTCAATTTCCTACTATATCGTTGCGAAGCTGAGGAACGTGATGGCAGTGCCGGTAGAGATGGCACTTATGATATCCCAGGCCATGGCAAGATTGTTTACGCCGGGCTTCAGGGTTGGTGGAGTCTTCTGAAGGATATCATAAATGACAACAATTTGGCCCACCCTCTTTGCCAAAACCTCCGCGACGGCCAATGGGCTCTGGATTATACTGTTGGGCGCCTCGAAAGAGCTAGTCAGGAACCAAGCTTTACTGGTCTTGCAAAACCTGCGGCTTGGCTGAAGGAACGTTTCGATGCTATTCGCAGTATTCCTAATTTCCTCTTGCCACGCTATTTTGCTCTTGTCCTGCGGACAGCGTATAAGGCTGCCTGGGAGAGGGGTCTTGAGCTTATGCACGAGAAGGTACAAAGTGGACAGTGGTTCCTCCAAAGCCTAGCTATGACCAGTGTACAAATGACCGGCTTTGTTAAATCTGGATCGCTATGGCCGAAAAAGCTTGTTCCATCGTTGGCCGCAGGATTGCCACATTTCGCTGTGGAATGGGCAAGGTGTTGGGGTCGCGATGTCTTCATCTCTCTCCGTGGTTTGTATCTCGGCACTGGCCGATTCGATGAGGCTGCAGAGCACATCTTCGCATTTGCTAGTGTCCTCAAGCATGGCATGATTCCCAACCTACTTAGTAGCGGAAACCTCCCACGATACAACAGTCGAGATTCTATTTGGTTCTTTTTACAAACCATTCAAGATTATACTCGATATGCACCCGATGGGCTGAGCCTTCTTACAAGGAAAGTCAAACGACGCTTCTTGCCGTACGATGACACTTGGTTCGACTCTGAAGATCCAAGAGCATATTCTACGGAAAGTCTAATCCAAGAAGTCATCCAGGAAGCACTCCAACGCCATGCATCTGGATTGAAGTTCCGTGAGGCCAATGCTGGACCGAGCATCGACTCACAGATGCGTGACGAGGGCTTCAATATCGAGGTTAACGTCGATTGGTCGAATGGTATTATTTTTGGTGGTAATCAGTTCAACTGCGGTACATGGATGGATAAGATGGGCGAAAGTGAGCGTGCTGGCTCAAAGGGTATTCCGGGCACGCCTCGCGATGGCGCCGCTATCGAAATCACCGGTCTACTCTATAGCACCCTTAAATGGCTTGCGAAGCTCAGCGCTGATGGCCATTACCCATACAATGGCGTAAAGAAATCTGACGGTTCCGAGATTACCTTTTCTGCCTGGGCGGATCTGCTGAAATCCAAATTCGAGTATAGCTACTATGTGCCGACCAATCCATCGGAGGATGCTCAATATGCCGTGAACTCGACCATTGTCAACCGCCGCGGTATTTACAAGGACTTGTTCCGTTCTGGAAAGGAATACGAGGACTACCAGCTGCGACCCAACTTCGCGATCGCGATGACGGTTGCACCAGAGCTCTTTGACACGGATCACGCGATAGGAGCGCTCGCTATAGCGGATAAAGCACTACGCGGGCCGACGGGCATGGCAACACTAGACCCGGCCGATCTTAACTATCGCCCGTACTACGTGAACAGCGAAGACTCAACCGACTTCGCCACATCCAAGGGCCGCAACTACCACCAAGGTCCTGAATGGCTCTGGCCTACCGGTTTCTTTCTTCGCGCCTTACTGAAATTCGATCTTTCCCGCCGCGGATCGAATGATCCGCAAGGTCGCGTTGAGGCGTTCCAACAAGTCACGCGCCGTCTCGCCGGGTGCAAGGATTTGATTCGCCAGAGCCCGTGGGCTGGGCTCGCGGAGCTGACGCAGAAGAGTGGTGAATTTTGTGGTGATTCGAGTCCCACCCAGGCTTGGAGCGCGAGTTGTTTGATTGATTTGTATATGGATGCTGCCGAGTATGGTATGGAGTGAGGGCTTGAGGGGGTGCGTATATTACGATGGGGTTGGTTGGGTATCCTGGATAGGTGAAGGAGGGACGTTGGATAGGGTGTGGGGAGTAATGAAGTAGATACTACGAGGAGGTTGGAAAAGCATCATTTTGGGTTTACTATCACGAATTCATATATCAAAGTCAAGGATTGCATCGCATCGCAACGCAACGCATAATAAGCGCCTAGCTAGGAGATTTTTACTCGCATATACGTCGAGGGATAGACGGTATTTTGTTCATAAATTAACGAAAGTCACGTAAATAAATACACGAATACGAAGTATGATTACGGAAATTTTTAGGTGGTGTTCTTGGTATTGAGTGCTAGTTCACGTGCTTATTCTTGTTGGTGCTTGGCTTGATGGTGATGAGGAGAGGTAGTGGTTGAGGTAGGTGTGTGAGGCTTGGTATGCGGTTAGAACTCACTTTATTCCTTCTAGCGACGTTGTACGATGCTATGAGTGAGCTGAGTAGGTAGTTGGGAGCAATATATCAGAGGATACAGGACTGTCATCTGTCAGGCGTATAAGGGTTGCCTTCTATTTGTTGCCGACCTAACGGAGATGCTCATTGGTAACACAAACTCTTACAAGCCATTCATTTCCTCTTGAACCCTTCGCAGAGATACCCGTTACACGACGAGCACAAATAAGATCGAAGCTAAACCCATCCGAGTCCTATTGAGGCTATGGCCAAGTTATACGCGAGATTCCTCCTCTTTGGGCTACCAAGAAATGGATTACGGGGCCGGTCATACGTATAATTTACATATGTAAGCCTTATAATATCCGTGCTCATAACCTTGGAACCCCTTTTCGATCGAGATATTTGTTTGTGCTGACGACAGCCCGATGTATTTTGTGGAACGTGCTGGTAAGTTACTAGGTTGCACAGTAAAATGTTTTACTATCTAGGTTAGTTGATAATAAAATATCCATGATGCAAAGTGTACAACATCGCTATAGTGGAATTGAAGAGATGGCCATTCGAAGGTAAACCAAATATGAAGCCGTAAACCAAAATCTTTGTACAGAATTAGCATTGGCTCGCAATCTCCTGATATATAGGTAGACAAAGCAACAGTCCTATGGGTATAGGGCTAGTTCATCGATCCAGCGAGACAATAACTAACATGGCCCATCATGGCCTTTTCCCTTAATCCCTCCTACTCCTGAGCATCGGGGCTTGTAAAGTGATATCAAACCATTCCATGCTGCCTGGCCCGTTTCCCTGGTCTATCCAGATCAAATCCCCACGCCTGATTATTCAAAAAGCATAGCAAGAACCCTCATAAATATAATATGGCAACAATACCACCTTTCCACCCTTAACGCCCTATATATGTGAAACTCGGAACAGACAATGACACGCTAAGGAATAATCCCACGATAGTGGTAGGGAAGCGGCGTAATATACGGCGAAATCGGTGGTGATATGATGTTGAAAGATGAAAGGAGCGTCGCGAAGAAAATTCGAATGTTCTGTCGAGTTTATCGGGGTTATGTTCGTCGACCGACGGTCCACTTCTTGCGTTCCTTTTTCGGCTTTTCATTGTACCCATTGCTACCGGAGCTCGTCATAAACGCACCCGGGTTTGAGTAATTGCTATCCCTCGCACCGGGACCGACCAAGTTGCCTTGGGTATTCACTGCGACATTGCTTGGGAGACCCTTGCCGAGCTCATACATTCGGTCCTTCTTCCTAAGATACTTGCGACGCCATATGCAGGCGCCAACCCATATACCTATAATACCAACGACAACGATTACGATCATAATGACCCATTTCCAATGGGTCGAGAGCCTGTGGGGCGAAAGAGTCAGTGTTATGAAACAAGTCAAACCGCTATATGGATGAAGCATACCAGTCTCCGCCACCACCGCTACTGCTCCCTGCCGCACTTGTGCTTGAGCTTGTCGCCGAAGTGGATGTCGTCGTAGCGGCGGCAGCTTTGTCACAGAAACTTGTGAACCAGCCTTGTATACTCGATAGGCCAGCATTGTCTCCCGTACACGCACTATCACAAACTCCCGAAGTACCCTGTTTGAATGGTTGGAGTGAGTTGTAGGCGCAAAAACATTTGTCATAGGTAGTTTCATCGGCTTGTGCGGCTGCTGGTGGCACACAAGCACCGTTGGCGTCGTAAAGAGGACCACATCGGACCGCACACGAGGGCAGCGATGCAAAGGGTACCACGGTTGTCACGGGTTGGGCTTAGAATAATGTTAGTTTTTCAGGGTTCAATATCTACCAGTAGAGAAATCAAGTCTGTAATGATCGTCGGATAAACCCGGTTAGACTTATTGGGATCAGGGGACATACACATGGTGTTAGTATATCGGATGTGATGTTATCAGTCGTTTGTAGAGGTGAATAACTGAACGATTCGAATATCCTCGCTATAAATTCCGACTTGTAGATACAGAAATACGCGACGTTGAAGCTTCCGATATCCGAGAGTATCACGACAGAGAGGAAGTGCAAATGATCGTTGGACGTTTCCTGTTTTGGTCCAACCGCAAATGAGGATTGCGGTTCAAATCGTCAACCAGGTTGATTGGAACAACACCTGGATTCGTCCAAACACCGTAGGGTTGGAAGTTTTTGTCGTGTTCGTGGCAGGTATTGGTGTTGTTGTCGGGGGGGTGGAAGATCCAGAAAAACGAATCGGCAAAACCGGCAAGGTCCGTCGTATCTGCTGTGCTAGTTATGGGCTGCGGAATGCAGAAAATGAAATAGTTGGAAGACGGTGTCTTGGCTCGTTATCCTCCTCTTGTTCAATTCTGCGACATGGCCGCGTTCTTCCTCCACCAAAAAATGGGTTCAAACGAATGTGAAGGGCTTCGATCCTGGATGTCGTGACACTGGACAGAAGAAAATCTACGGGAAGGGAGAGAGACGAAGAAGGGAAGTGGAGAGGAGAGGAAAAGAAACGAATGAATGAATGGGGAGGGAGAAGTAACAATTAGTGCGTATGAGAATGGTGAACGAATCGAAGTCTAGGAAGTCTAGGTACTCTAGGTACCTACACTACCTGTATGTAGGTAGGCGTGTGACCTATTAGATGAAGTAAAATGGAGCGGGAAACCGGTGTCGACGGTTACCTTGTATAGGTACCTAAACTACCCTAAGAGAGGACAAGAAATGGGAAACCTTGAATTTAGCAGCCAAGAGGGACGAGGAATGGCTTGGATTGCTTGGAATCGTGCCAAATTGAGGGAAGTGGGAGGGAAAGGACGAAGACCAGTAAGGAAAAAGCAACAAGGAACGGCGTATCGGCATAATGGAAGCGATTGGTTGCGAGGCACTAAACCAATCCCAGCTAGACCGTCCATACATTACGCATTGTCAGCTGCTATTGCCTGCACCCTGTACATATGTACAACTGTGTAATGTATTACTTACATGTAGTAAGTACATGTTTCGTACTTTACTGTATTATACCTTCATATTTAACACGGCGGGTGTGTACGGGTCAATTACATCTATAAATGCAGATTCCCGTCTCATTTTCCCCTTGTACCTATGCAAGTGCAACACACGTTGCATCATTCCCAAGCCGTACATCCGGCAACCGTGACTTGACTTATCCCCAATGCCATTAATACTGGGCACAAAGTCAATTGTTTCTCTACAAGTATTAACTGCGATACAATATTAAACCTGCTCATCGTCGAATATCTCTATTAGCTGCATACCTAAGTAGGCTTAGCTTAACGAAACTAGGCACCTAGGTACGTAAAGCTACCTAGGGACGGAGGGAATAATTACCTGCATGCAGAAGCAGGTACAGCCTTTTATTTATAACCACTTATGGAATGCTGCTCACGTCATGCTAAGATCCAATTTCCTTAATACTTTTACTGAGTCTTGTCCTAAGAAAAACATAATTCCTACCAACTTACAATTTTGAATCAGTATTGGTATATCCTAATAGTACATTGACGTTCGATTACTGTCGTACTTTTTGATTTATAAGATTTGTTGACAAAGCGACCGAGCCCCATTGACAAGAGACGAGCGCGCGCCAAGTTCAATTTGCCTCGTGTTCTGGAGATTGAACCTTCGGACTTGCAAGCTCTAGCGGTTCTAGAACGATATTCGTGGACGCGCCAGCACTTGTCCCAAAATGGCAGCCTGCATTACCGCCTTAGGCAAGTACGTAAGCCTGGCAGTTTTTATGTTCCTTAGTGGTTTCTCCTTTAAAACTTCACACCGGTCGAATACAAATTACGCGAGGGTTAATACACACAGCCACGTTTATGCAAACTCAAATTTGACCGATCTAGTGTAAGACGCCGCCGACGACATGATCGTATTACTATGTGTGTAACCATCGGCATAACCTAACCGATGTTATCTATCGTGCGGGAAGGTACCGATGACTAACCGAGATAAAAGCCAAACTTTAGTCTCTGGCTAGAACTTTAATTCTTAGAGTTAATTACCCACTTCTATAGTATTTAGGGAGTTAATATAATCAACACGATACTTCGAAACTTTAGAACAACACATGTATGTACTAATAAACGACAAACACCAAGGGAGCCATGTATCAATGCATCTACGCCTGGTTGAGTCCCTTCTTTTTTATCCCCCTCTCTTCTTCCACCGTGACATGTGTTGTTCCGTGGCCCGCCGGACTAGCTCATACTGCTCATTCTGGAGGACCAAGACATCTTTATAAGGACAGCCAGAAAGTTGCTGAGAAGGAATCGTGATCCATTCCGCACATTGAATCCTACGATAGGCCCTACGAATTTTACCATTAACAAAAAAGGTAGCACTTTCCACCGGTTCCAGATGAATCAGGGGAATTTGCCATTGACCCGTTGGCGTCTGCACATCACACTGCAATGCCGCAAGGAGTCGCCCATCATCCGGAGGTTCCTTGAAATTCCCTTGGACGCGTATCTGTTCCTCGTCGGTAATGTTCACTCGAATCGAGAGTCCGACGTTGGTCATTGAGAATGGTGCAAGGCTCCACGGTGCCCAGAGCCGCAACGGCGGGACAGTCGCAAAATCAGCGGGAGACTGAGCCAAGAGACCACTACTTTCATAATCTCCACGCCACGCAAAAATGGACATATCGAAGGACGACTGCATGATCTCGCGCTGTAATCTCCCAAATGCGTTCGCTGCTCCTTCACCATATAAAACCGGCATATTGACTTTGCAAAGACCCATAAGGCTATACGCCATGTCTTCTTCCCGTGTTGTCTGCCGTTTGGCTATCCATTTTATTCGCTCCCCGACGCAGAAACCAAAGACCTGGTCCCTATCCTCAAGCAATGCCCTACTAATCTCTGTCGACTTGGCAATGGCGTCGAGCAAGTCAACTCCTCCATCGATTTCAGACCAATCAGCAGCGAAGAAGCGTCGTTGGCATGGTGTTACTAATTCCTGCAGTGTCCAACCCCGCGTTAGCCAACGTGAAGCGCACACCCCAGCGATTAATTGTTCCCGTGTTGCCAACGTGCCCATTGATTGTGCGACGACTTGTACATCTTCGAGATGTATGAAGCAAACCGCGGCGTCATAATAATATTTATTCATAGAATTAATCGCTTCAGATAAGTCGGCGCTATTCCGTTTATCGATGCAGCATGTATCCATCCACGCATACGCAAATCCGCACTCGAGTGCCGTGGCGCAAAAACTGGTCGTTTTTGTCCATCCTGCCCTGTGCTCTACAGCGGCTCGGCCTCCTTGCAGCTCGTGGAAAAGGACCTCTTCAGTTCCCCACGTATGAGAAAGTATCGCGTATGGGCGCTCCCGCACTTCTGCTTCGCCAAATGCCTCGAGCGAGAGCGTCTCTGTATTCAAGAGCCACATTAATTCGAACTTCAGGTAATGTTAATTGAATTATTTAATGAAGGAGTACAATATCGTGAAATGGCAACTTGGTGAGCTATTACACTCCTAAACATGCAGGACGACGCGCCCAGAATCTCCACAAAGCATGGCATGCGTTCATTGGATGACTCTACGATGGCGTACATGAGATACAGTTATGACATAGGATTTAGCGGAATTGCCCTATATTTAACGATAATCCCATCTTGCAACCTTAGTAAGCACTGATAAAAGCTTCAAATCGGATATTCGATATTATGGAAGTGTCTGGAATATCTGGCGAGCAATCGTGGCCGCCGATTCCGCATGCCAATACATGTCAATCAATCCCTCGAGGAGATTGATATTCGTTTCCACGTCCTTCTTAGCCATCATCCTCGTACTCTCCAATGTGGTTTGTTGCATATTTCGAAGAGTTACCGTTAAGGAGAGTGACGCTGCGTATGGGACGAAAGGGAATTTGGACGTTCCCATGCTAAGGAGAAGCAATATCTTTTGAGCGCAGTACTTATTCCTGATTTTGGCACTCTGTATCGTCGGGAGGGGTGTGGTTTCGGAAGTGCGCTCTTCGCCGATTGGAGCTTGGGGTGGTCGGTAGGATATAATGCCTATGGTGTGGTAGAAAAGTTCTAGGCAAGCTTGTAGTGACGGTTGAAGGACTTGGATGTTACATTCCCTGGCTAGGTCGTCAAATTCGGGCCATGACGCTTCCCAGATACAATCTTCTCTTGCTAATTCATCGGGTGCCCGGGCTCGATAAAGGTCTAGGACGCGGTCTAGCATCTGACAAAGTCGATATAGCAATGCGAGACCGGGAGAAATACTCTTTAGTACATCGTCATTGTGGGCTGGCAGGCAAATCTCGTTACTTCGAATCATTGCCGGTCGGCCGGTTATTACGGCGACGATCTTGTCGAGGGCAAAAAGGGAGCAAAGTAGTTCGACACGCCGTATTTCTGGAATAGGATCTTCTGGTCGCGAAGGGTAATGCAGGCCGACGGAGAAGGCGTAGTGTACGGATTGACCGCATAATCGAGCAACTTCGTCATCGCCATCAATGCCATAGGAATGGAAGGTCATCAGCGCGAGGACTTGGATCAGTTCCAGCCTATCATCGACGAGACCGATGTCTTGGGCGATCTTCAGAACGCCGAAGAGTCTATCAGCAAATAATCGCGGCGTATACGAGGGAGTCGGTGCTTCTTCGCAATCGGGAAGATGGAGATGCTGTCTAGCCGAGTCATTTTTGCAAGCAGCTAAGCATATAGCCTGCCTCAGAACGATGCTCGCCGGGTTTTCTCGATTTGCGGGTTCCGTAAGCGCCCGTGTGCTGAAGTCCACTATAGGCAGAATAGGGTGGACTTCCTCTTTGAAAATCTGTATTAGGGCATCAAGGTCAGGCTGAGGAGGAAGGACTTGGAGGCATTCGATCTCTAGATACGGTAGCACTGCTCGCACTACCATAGGAAGGTAACCAGGTCTTACTCCGGGTCGACGCTCAGAGGCAGGTGCTCTCATGTCCTGGAAGGAAGGGCGTAAGAGACGAGAGTGCGGGAGATTGTATGCCCCGTCCATTTCTACAGGGCTAGGTCCCACTGTATTAGGGGCGACATAAGCAGATAGGAGAAGAGAGCGTGCTGACGAAGGGCCAGTGAAAGGGAGTACCGGTCTTGGCGATGATACGAGGGAGGATTGTTGGTTTTCCCCATATGTCCCCTTGAAGTTCGGTAGGTCTGGTAGTTGGTAAGTCTCAGGTTCTGGAGGGTTGCGGTCATCGAGTAGGACCTCCGCAATCATTGTTTCGTTAACCATATCCTCCTCCGATTGCACCGAGGTTCCTTCGGGAACATGGCGACACTTGCGTTTTCCTTTCCTGCAAGCATCACAAGCTCGCCGCACTTGACTACGTTTCGCCCCATTCCCATTTCCGTGGTCCCCTAGGAACCTGATTCTCTTCATGCTTTTCTTGTTTGGTAAATAGTAGGTTGAGTTTCTCAGTGACAAAAGTCCACAGTTCAGCGGTGTGCGGACCTGCCCAATCCGGTAAGTCCGGAGATCGTGCGTGCGATTGTAACGCCGTGCTGAGCCCCTATATAAATAGGAGATTACCAATCTACCATTGTCCTAAAAGAAGTAATGCGAGGGGATTTTGCGGACCCCTCAGTATTTGTAGGAAGTTTGCTAAATAAGATATCGAAATGCTTCAAGATGGATCAGAAGACCCGCAGTGTCTTGGTGACGCATATATATAAGGAGGGGGTATCGGCCGATGTCTGCCTGGACATTCCGGGTTCACTGTAGTTCAGCGCAATTACTCCAGAAATAACCCCTTTATTGAACTCAACTCATAAGGATATAAAACCTCCAATATGCATCTGTCAACACATACGTGGATGCGACCGGAACCCCTTGAGGTAACCCTCAGGAGGGCAGCCTCACTCGGCTACACTTCAATTGAGATCGCCGGTGAGCCAGATCGATACGCCATCGATGAGACGAAGGCTCTCTTGAAGAAATACAACATAGCTTGCTGGGGTGCCGTCACTATAATGTACGGCTCCCGAAATCTAGCGGCGGCCGATAAGGCCGAGCGGGAAGACACAATTAATTATATGAAGAAAGTCGTCGACCTATCTGCGGGACTAGGGGGAGAGATTATAACACTCGTCCCTGGAACCGTCGGCAAGCTACAGCCAAGCGCGAGCTCCCAAGAGGAATGGACTTGGGTCGTCCAAGGTGTGCGAGAAGTCGCTCTGTACGCCGCGGAAAAGGGGATCCGTGTCGCGGTAGAACCGCTCAACCGTTTCGAGACATACTTGGTTATGAACACTTCCCAGGCGCTACAGGTCATCGAGGAGGTGAATCTGCCAAATGTCGGCGTTGCATTTGACCCCTTTCACCTCAACATCGAAGAGCCGGACCTCTTCGCCGCCATACGGAGATGCGGCGATAAGATCTTTGACGTGCATCTCGGAGATAACAACCGTCTTGCCTGTGGTGACGGGACTATAGATTGGCCCAAGTTCATCAAGACACTGCGCGAAGTCGGATACAAAGGAGGCTTAGCGCATGAGTCTATGCCGCCGGTTGATCGGACCTCGCGCGGCGCCTTCGGCTCGAAGCAGCTTGAGGAAGAGCCGTGGGATGTGGACGCGGGGACTTTGCAGTTTTTGAAGGACCATGCTAGTGGTGTTCTCAGGGAGAACTATTACCATGGATTGTTGGCGAAGACGGCGGAAACCATATTGCCGTTGATCAAGTAGGCGGGATAGGTCAATGGTTGGGAATACGAGGTGCTTCTATCGTATCCTATAACCGAAGTATGATTCCCTCGCTTAGTATCGTTGGTCCTATCCCTAGCTTGGTACATACATTGTGGGGTTAGGTAGTTTATAGACTTCATAGATCTCGTGATGCTATGACATTGTGTCATTGCGTATGAAGACGAACGTGATATAGCGACACTTGAGTTTATCCGATATAGGAGTCCAATTGTGTCCTCTGGCGCGTCGTAAACGCGTAGTGCCATGTGATAAACTTGATCAAACTGGTTATAGCTCGAGCAACGATTTCGTATAGGGGTGCTGAGTAGCATCTAGAACCACCCTGGTTACACAAGTCAACCCAAGTATATGCATCGCCCTATTCCAAGTAAAGATCCTATTATATTAACGTATAGCTGTCGTTACAAATCGATATGACACGTGCAAAATTAATCTATGGCGTCTCGCGAATGGTATACTAGAGCTGTATTCGACACTAGACTGCTTGCACCATTTCACTATGAAGCTCATCAGGTACGCTACCGGTTAATTTACAAAACAGATCCAAATGCATACATCCCACGTCACTAAACAGGAGCATTGGGAGTTGTAGAACGTATAGCGTCCCAAGTTATAGGAATTTACAAATTTCATTCGTCGAGAGCTAGCTAAGACCCCCTCAACAGCTCACTATTCAGCTTGACGTTATTCGCGGGGTATCTGATCTCATTTGGAGATGGCATCATTGCATCTTGACGATTCGTCAAAGATAGCAATGGTAAGATAGCAAATGCATTGACGTGATTCTTCTGGATTGTTGAGATAGCTAGAGTACTTGGCATGGAGTGGAGTCTAGTTGTGAATTTGATATGTATAAAACGACGTAGAAGGTCGAGATATCTCAATATTTAACTTGGAAAAATAGTACCGCTCACAATATCACAATATTAATTGAACACTTAATACCATCTTTCGCAATTCATTCATCATCATGGCTCCTCCCGCAGCAGATGTTGATGTGCAATCGGATGTACCAGTTGAGCAGATCAGCAAGAAATCTGTCGGTGCTGTTCCCATTAGAACCGCAACTAGCAACAGACTCGATGGACCTTTGAAGTACTCCGGAAGCCTTGACTCATACGAACAATTTGATGTCACCAAGGTTATCGGTCGGGAATTTCCCAAACTCCAGCTAAGCGAGATCTTACACGATGACACCAAGATCCGTGACTTGGCCGTCCTAGGTAAGATACTACCTTTAACTATGAGGCTTCGATTGGTGGCCTAACATTTGATAGTGTCACAGCGAGGAGTGGTATTCTTCCGCAACCAGGACATCAACATCGATGATCAGAAGATCCTAGGTGACAGACTTGGTCAACTCACTGGCAAGCCGGAATCCTCCAAGCTCCACCGCCATGCTCTCTCAAATAGCAAGCGCGGAATTCCCGTAGATGAGAATGGCCGCCTCGATGATGAAGTATCCATCATCTCTTCCGAACAGAACCGCAAGTTTTATAAGGACCGCTTCAACGCGTTCTCGAAGAAGATCGCCAGCCAGGGATGGCACGCAGAGTAAGTGCCAACATTCGCACGACAGCCAAAATTTAGGTTACTAACGTATAAGTCAGCATCACGTTCGAGCACATCCCTTCGGATTACGCCATTCTCAAGATTATCCAGCTCCCCGAGGATGCCGGTGGTGACACATTGTGGGCCTCTGGCTACGAGGCGTACGACCGTCTATCTCCGCCCATCCAGAAGCTAGCAGAGAGCCTGACTGCTACTCACAACCAACCGGGCTTTGTCAAGGTCCAGAATGACTTTGGCGAGGAGCTCATCAACACAGACCGTGGTTCCCCCGAGAACAATGGCCTTGACTTCAGGGCGGAACAGTAAGCAGCGGAAGTCCTTAATCAATAGTTTAAGGATGCTAATTAAATTTTTAGCCCTCTTATCCGTACCAACCCTGTAACGGGATGGAAGAGTCTTTTCGGTGCCGCTGGCCAAGTCGAGGCTGGCTGGATCAACGGAGTTACCGAGAGGGAGAGCGAAATTCTCAAGGACTACTGTACGTCGCCTGACACCATTACGTTTCTTTGTCTAGCGAGGCTAACAATGCCGTAGTCCTTCAACTTATCGTTGAGAACCACGACCTCCAGGTTCGATTCAGATGGAACAAGAATGATCTCGCGATCTGGGACAAGTAAGTCATCCGTATTTATGACTCAATATAATTGTGCTGACAAATGCCATCTAGCCGCTCCGTATTCCACACGGCTACAAAGTAAGCCAAACACTCCTAGATGTACAGATTTTAGTAGGAAGAAGCTAACCTCGGAATAGTGACTACTCCGGAAAGCGACAAGGTAACCGAGTTGTCTCGATTGGTGAGAAGCCATACTATGACCCCAACTCGAAGTCCCGCCGTGAAGCACTCGGACTTGTTGACGCTTAATTCTTTGCGCCCATATACAAGGTGTCACACACAACGCCTTGTGCCCCCAAACTTCCAACTTAGCGAAGTAATGAGAAACAATTTGATCGTGGGAACAGGCAATTTGACTCACTTTCTAAGGCCCCAAAGCGTAATGAGTAATTTAGCAAATATGAGTTACGAAGTAAATGTTAGTATAACGAACTATTGAATTTAATATAATCGAATAGTTTATATCCCTATAGCAACAAACAAACCTAAGAGCTCGAATATTTTGCTTCCTTTAGTAATGGTTTCGGAAGCAGGTGATGAACAGGTGAAGGTTCGAGGGTAGGATTGGTGCGGGGAGGAAAGTTACCCGTTTCGGAGATAAAGATAAGAAGCTAGCTCAATTGATAGGTACATGCTTTCCAGGCTGAAAATGGCCTGTACTGGCGATCTTGGACCAATTAGATTTAGTCCTGTGACTCAAATACAGGCACTTAAGGTGTAAAGTCAATGCGGATGGCGGGGCATTTGGCAGCTAAAACACAAATTTTCGATCAACTCGTGCCCCACCCAAGAAAAATTCAGTGGACCCTTGCTTTTTGGAGCTTCCTCTCCATCGCAAACTCTCTGTACGACCTAGCAAGGTAGCCAAAGCTTCTTCATTCCGCATCTCAAGAGAATTCTTCCCTTCTCTCTCTTACAACTTTCCCACCAAGCGAACTTGGTAAAACTCAAACAATACCCCTTCTCTTCTACCCAATTCAATTGAACCTTATTTACAGGCACAAAACATACCATTTGACAAGGGTTTTCAACTTTAATCCATCTTGTCGCATTGTCGCTCAGAAGCTTATTCGCGTGTGACTCCCCGCCGCGATTTCTTCTGCCCCGCGACAATACAAAACCAACAATAAATATACAAATCAATTACTCACCCTTTCAAGTCCTTCCTCTCTACATTTTCGCATTCACCATATAAATACGAGACCTGCATTACGCAAGGACACATACTTCTATTGTCTAGTCTTTGTCTGAATCTCCGTCCTTACAAACCGTACTAAATCAACCACTTGTCAAAAATTCTCCCTCCGCCCGTTTGCCATTATGAGCGACCAAGAAACCAAGCCCGCCGAGGGTGTCACGGCTCCGGTCGAGAACCCCGACGCAAACAACAACGAATCTGCGACCGCCCCTGATGCTATGAATGTAGATAATCAAGAAATCGCCGACGACAAGGCTGCGGACGCTAAGGATACAAGTGGTAATACTGAAGATGCTGCCAAGGAAGACAAGACTCCTGATGTAACTGAGGCTCAAGAAGACAAGGTCGAGACCAAGCAGGAGACACAACCGTCGACTACTTCGGCCAAGCCCATGTTAAAGGTTAACAGAAATGGTTGCCCCACGCGAGAGAAATCGGACCCTTCCATCCTCCCCGACTCGGACGACGCTAAGCTCATCCGCCGTCAGGTAAGATATTCCTTGGCACGATGAATTACTCTGGCGTAATGGTAACTAACATTGGTGTCCTAGGTTCAATTCTACTTTAGCGACAGCAACCTACCCCAAGACAAGTTCCTCTGGGAGAAGACTGGAGGCTCTGAGAACAAGCCGGTACCCATCTCTTTGATTTGCAGCTTCTCGCGTATGCGTCGATTCAAGCCTTACTCGGCCGTTGTCAATGCGCTTAAGGATAGCGAGGTCCTTGTTGTAGAAGGTTCCGAAGGCGAAGAAACGGTCCGTCGAAAGGGGGCTTTTCAAGAAGACCCGGATCGAGAGAAGAAGATTCATGAGCGCAGCACCTACATCAAGGGCTTTGGAGAGGAGAAGAAATCCACTCAATTCGACGTCGAAGACTTTCTCTCTAAGTATGGAGAATTCAACACAGTCCGTCTACGACGATCCGAGGATTCGGAGAAGGTTTTCAAGGGTTCCGTCTTTGTTGAGTGGATCGACAAAGAGACAGCGGATGCCTTTCTAGCTTTAGATCCCAAGCCTCTATGGTTAGGCGAGTATGAGATGTCAATCATTCCGAAGACAGAATATGTAATCCAACAGGCGAAAGAAGAAGCCCGTAAGGGGAAGGGTCACGGACATTCACAACGCGGCCAGCGCGGCGGTCGAGGTTCTCATCAATCGCGAGGTAATCACCGCAACACTGATGTGAACGATTGGAAGAAGCGCCGCCAGGAGGATCATCGTAATGGGTTTGATGATCGTCGTGGCCGTCGCGATCACCGTGGACGAGGACGAGGTCGAGGTGGCCGTGGCCGAGGTAACGATCGTGGCCAGAACGGTAACGGTCGTGCCGATGAACAGCAGCGCACCGCTCGAGACAATGGAAGACCTAAGATTCACGCAAGCAAAGAAAGCATTAAGGATATGAAGGAAGAGGCCAAGCGCAATTCCGAGGCGCAGGCAAACGGAAAGCGCGCTAGAGACGACGATGGTACCACCGATGCTCCTCCTACAAAGAAGGTCGACACTAAGGAGGCTGCCGCCAACGCTGCGTGAGCAATTTGAAGCAGCTTATTATTTGCCTCAATCATACCATACCCCTTACACATAAACTTGTTTCCTACCGATTCTTCGTGGATTCCCGTTACTACTGCGTCGAGATGCTTTTGCCTCAGATAAAAGCGGGTATAGATTTGCTTACCTAGGTAGCTACTGCTATCTTGCTAAAGATCCGAATGGGTCTTAGAGTACGCATGAGGGTACTTTGCACGAAGGTGTAGGATAACGCAGGTTTAGGTAATTGCCTGCTAAATTCAGGGATTCCTAAGAACCAGCTTTGGCAGCACTTGGTTTCCGTTGTGGAAACGGAATTGGCATTGGCGTTTGCTTCGGACTTAGGTATTTGCTGCCACTACAAATAGCGCCAGATAGATTTGCCATAAAATGAAATTTTATGATTGTAAAATATGAGTTCATTGTCTTCTATATGATGATAACTCCGTGTGCGATACCCGTCTAGATGCCAAAAAAACATGACGCTATTCATAATGCTTCATCTAAATGTTAGTAACTCAGGCCATGATCCATCGTGTTTCTACCCTTCCCTGGATTTACCTCAGTAGCCGCCTTTTTTTTTTCCATCCCTCAATCCAATTATGCTCCCGCAGCGAACGGACTCCTCTTCCTCAATATCTCACCGTACTTCCATAGCAATATCGGGCCAGGCCAACCTATAACCACACCCAAAAGCGCCATAAGCGTATTTCCCCAACCATAACCCAATCGATCATACATATACGGCGCGAAAAGCGGGAATCCGAAACCAGCGAGCGAACGTAGTACAGTATTCGCACCAACAGCACTCGCAGCGTATCGTTGATACGAATCCACCAAAAAGCCCTGAAGACACTGAAACCCGATAATAGCACCGGAAGCGAATATCATGGCGCCGATATTGGGGCCTATCCAATGAGTTTTGTACTCGGCTGTCCAACCGTAGATAACTAGCCCCACGGGCACAAGAACGGCGCCTGGGACCATCATAGGGACGCGGAATTCGGGCTTACCTATTCCGTAGCGCCGTTTTAGGGATACGTAGATGCGGTCTTGGAGCGGAGCGCAGATTTGTGCGCCGAGGAAAAATCCTAGGCCTAGACTTATGTAGTTCAACCCCCCGATTCCGACGCTCATACCATAACCATCGGGTTTGGGGGTTGTGAAGAGCGTGGGGAAGGATGCTAGCATGAGGTACATGAGGCCGTAGAGGTACATCGCGTATACAGCTATACATTGTACGATTATTTGCGTGGCGAGGAGTTTAAATGGACGTGTCATTGCTGTGCCGAGGGTTTGGATTATGCTGGCGTCTTTGCGGCCTAGGTCATCGTATGGTGTTCTCAAATCGGGATTTCCGGTTTCCGCTACTAGTAATCGGCGTTTGCGGTCGAGGAGAACTGGGGCGTAGGTTTCTCGTAGGAAATACAGGCCTGCGCATTGCACGATGCCGTCGGCTATGCACGTTGCCCAGAACGCCCACCGCCATGTTGTGTTCTCGGTGATGAAAGCACCGGCGATAGGTCCGACTAGATACTTCTCATTAGCTCAAAAGTAAAGCAGGGTATTTTTGATATCACGATTGTGGTCCGAATCTCGACGTGAGAGTAACTAAAATAGATACTTATAACTTTATAACTATTTCTTTTTGATTTGTATTCGATAGGTCCTTTATGTATGATAATATATGATTCGAAATATGAAAAATGGACGTTTTACATACCGGCAGGACCCAGAAGTGGGGCAAGTGAATACATGGACATGGCACGCCCGCGATGCTCGGCTATAAAAAGGTCACCAAGAACGCCTCCGCCAATGGCTAAAGCCGCAGATCCGCCTAGTCCTGAGAGGAATCGGAAGGCAATCATTTGGCCCTTGTTTTGTGCAAATCCGCAGCCCAGAGTGAATGCGAGAAAGCCTAGGTTAGAGAGTTGGAGCACCGGGACACGCCCGTAAAGCTCGGAGAGGGGACCCCAGCATAAAGGTCCTAACGCATAAGCTAACACGAATGCGGACAGTATAATGTTTTGTTCAACTGTGTAGAAGAAATCAGTTGCTACATTCGATTTTGCCAAGCGAAAAGGGGGGTCTTGGCTTACAAGCTTCGGAGATGTTAAAATCTCTACCTATAGCCGTCAAGCCAGGTGCCACCATGGACGACGAGACGGGGGAGACGAAGGTGAACATAGAAACGATGAAGACGGCACCCCATTTCTTCGATATTGTCCAGTTCTTGGGGTTCTCTGGGTCGTCGGGCCCGCTCCATGTCACGAGACCTGGATCACCTGGATCCGGGTTTGTAGCCGCCGCTGCTGCGTTCTTCTCATTTTCTTGGCCTTGTTCTAAGTCGGGATCTCGTTGTGATTCAATGCCATCTCGTACTTCGGATACAGTCCGCGAGATAACTCGCGAAGGAACCTGAGACGGAACTTGGAGGTTTTCGCGGCACGAATATGTGCTGGCGGTCTCGGTATTGCTGTTGCTATTACTATTATGGTCTAATTTGTCCTCGCGAGTCTCTGATTTCTCTAATCCATTGTCGCCTGTTGGTCGGGCTTCGGCCGTCGCCGTGATTGATTCGGTATCAGACACGCCATCTTCGGCTCCGGCCTCCTTTTCTATGCCGGAACCCTTCATTCCCACTCTCTTTTCCACCTAAAGGTATACAGGGAAATATCCAAAATAGCGTTGCTCCTAACTGATGTTCTTTTTGTAGTCTCAAGGGGCTTTAGTGTAGGTAAAGTTAGGTGACGCTCAACTGAAGAGAATCTAAACGGGAAGTTCACACTAAATAGCGAACGGAGGGAGCAAAGAGCGGAGTAATCAGCGAATGAAAACTCGACCGAATAGACCTAAAGGTTCTTCATATACGACGTAACCTCGCATCTTCGGGCTGGGTGAGCTGCGAGACCGCACAGTGGGGAACATGACGGGCATGGGACATGACGGTATAAACGGGCCTATTACGAGTTATACACTTGTATAGACTACAAACTGGAAGAGCATATCCCGATTGCCCAACAAACGCAACCTTGCCGTAGACAGCCAGATTGGAGGGGGATCCCGACGTGGGTAAGGACATGATAGATGGGGATGATGTTCCATTGTCCAATCATAGGGGGTTAACGGCATTCTAACCTCGTTTACGTAACCCTTGTCGGATAAGGCATCCGGATATAAGCGACCTATGAACTGGTAGTTTAGAGTAGATATTCGCCTAAGTTAGTCAACTTGTCCGGCAGTCGGTACCGAAGACGGCTGCATTGTAACATTACTCACAGATAATTCCCGAAGTGCGGTTAACTTACATGAGCGTTGTGGGTGTGTTCGTAGTCGGTGAAGAAATTTCCGTCTAGGAGGATCGGCCGGACAGTGACGGACGGTAACGGAGATAAAAGCTAGTAATACCGGCATGTGTATACGGACTAAACGAACCGGAATAATTCCATCTTTCGAACCCAATGACTAAATTGATATATCCGGGGGTACATTGTGGTTTATAGACTTGTGAAGGGCGATCATTGAGGATCGGTGATCAACCTCATGCTCCGTTATGACACTGCAATTGGTGATTATATTGACGTAAGACGTTTGTTCTGACAACTTTGGCTTACCAACCTATCCGAAATCTGTAAGCCGTAGGATTATGATTACCTTGTAGACCGCCGCAATACCGATGTCCACAGATACTTCATGTGATGAAGTGGGTTTTGAATGCTTTCGGAATGCTTTATCAAAATATCTTCTCGCTTGCTGCATGAATGGAGGCAATTCGAAACGTTATACACTACCGACTAATATTATGAATAAGCAGTACTTATTCTATATCATAACTAGGTGTTTGATAGGATGTCATATCACCATAATGTTACACCTGAATTCCGTGTCCGGGGGCGTAATATAACGATCACCATGTGCCATGTCAGAAGCTCAATGCTAGGTACGATGATGGGCTGACGTCGTGATAGTATTCGGCTTGTTGAGCGGGTTTCAAGCCTCACATAAATACCGCCAAGTCCGATCGAAGCCGAAGCGGATACCTAAGTTTTGAGGTTGATGGACCTCATAATCGATCATCACGGAATTCTTGATCACGGCATCTAGTCAGTAAGCGAGCCGGAGGATGGGATCCTAGTATTTTATAATTGCGGTGTATAAGTATCAACGGAGTAGAGGAAGTACCGGTAATATTACGAAGTCTTTTCATAATTCATATGACGATGACTGTATATCATAATAGTACATATTGGGAATGCCTTCATAATTGGAATGTGTAAGTTGAATCGTACATAGAAATAGATGTTCAAGAGAGAAACGTCGCCAAGAATTACGCCGACCCGACCGGCTGAGAAAGATGGGCCAGTCTTATCGATAAAGAAGATACAGACCCATAATAAAATCAATTGCGCTCCCGCGGACTTTGATAATGAGCACGTGATCGTTTATCTAGAAATTTTTGGCCGGTGCGGTGCAAGTAAAAGTTCAAGGGTGTCGACAACATAAGCCCATCCATAGCTGTTGTTCATACATAAATCTCGGAACAACAGCCAAGATGAAGCCGAGGAGATTTCACGGTCTAAGAAGACCGGTAAGTTCGCACCAATCCGATTCAATTGCTACTAGAAAAGAAGAATTCAATTGTCTCTAATTTCTATCCGTTCGAATTTATATAGAAACTCCGGCAAAGCTGGAATAAATACAACCTCTATAACATCGCTCGGCTTAGGGACCCCAGGGTCGATGTCGCCCCCATAACTTTCTTCCAGCAAAAATGGAGGGCCAAGGGTTTATTACGAGGTTACCACGGCGAGCACGTCGTCGAGCGCAAATGGGTGCGCATGTTCAGTCGACGCTTGCTGGGTGTCACTGATATGGACACCAAATATATGGCCAAGTACGACGGTTCCGAGCTAGCCTCCGGTAGAGGATCCGGGAAGGATACGAAACCGAATTGGGATAATCGGAGGGTAAAGGAGCGTACCTTGACGCCTTACATGCAGATGACGTTCGCACCTATGGAGAGGAGGTTAGATATTGCGGTTTTCAGAGCTATGTTTGCAAGTAGTACAAGGCAGGCCAGGCAGTTCTGTGTCCACGGCGCTGTGAAGGTCAATGGCAAAGTTGTAAGTACCATCCTTCTTACACCTTCCCAACCTCGAAAACCCACAGCATGGAGAGGCATCTTGCTAATCAACGCTCTCGTTGTGTTATAGATGCCATACCCCGCCTACCGTCTAAACCCCGGCGACATGTTCTCAGTCGAGCCCGAACGAGTTCTACACGCAACCGGCGCCCCCAAAATCGACCCCAACAAAATAAAACCGAATAAAAAGCGCGCGAAGGCCAAAGCGGAAGGGAAGGAAGTCGTAGAGGCGGGCGCAACAAAAGCCGCCGAAGAAGAAGATGCCGAAGCTCAACCCGAGGAAGCAGAGGCAGCCGAGCAAGATCCAGACACAACAGACGCGCCGGAGCCTGTCAAGCAAGATATGACATTGACAAAGCAAAAAATCAAGGAGCTCATAGCAAAAGCCAAATCTACCCTAGAGAACGAACAGCTTAGCGGGTCACAGAAGCAGGAAATACGGAAAATCGTCAAGCAAATGAAACCCCTCCTCTCGCGCGCCGGCCGTGATAGCGCGGATCCTCAACAGATCACTGATGAATTGACGAACCTCTTCTCCGAGCTTCAACTCACTAGAGAGTCTACGACCACAGCCGAACGGCAAGAAATGTCATCAGAGGATGCCCTCTCGATTCTCACCGATAGCCAGCTTAAGCAAATATCCGAAAATATGGCCCAGGTCCTACGTACCGAGCAGGAGAACCCTTACGATCCTAGCAAGCCGTATAGAACGCCCTGGCAACCCCGTCCATACATGGGGCCTTTCGCCTTCATACCCAAGTACCTGGAGGTCAACCAGAATATCTGCTCTGCCGTCTACCTGCGCCATCCCGTTGCTAGGGTTGGCTATGCTGAGGTGCCCACGCCCTTCGCTTCGCCTGTTAGTCAACTGGCTTTCAACTGGTATCTAAGACGGAGGTAAACTAATCACTACGGATGGTGGTTTCTGCTACGTCTGGGTTCTCGTATGGAGGGAGAGGATATACGGTCACGATCAGGTAATGAAAAGCCATCTACCGAGCAAGGCGGGAGCGCTTTGGGTTATAGAAAAGCCTACAATCTAGCACTATACCCAGTTTAGCTTACAAGACTACTCCGGGGTGGCGAGAAGGCATAAGGGCAAAGACCCTTCTCTGTGTATATACAGCAGGTATATAGAGACAACATGTACAATAATGATGTATACCATCACAATCAAAAGTTTACGTGAGCAATTAAGTCAACCTAGCATGAGAGTAATGTGAGCTCAATATTTAATGTCCGATCGGCACAGCGTGTATAGGCCTATCAACAGGACCGAAAAATCCAATACTACAAAAAAACTGGATGAATTAACTCAATTATTTTTAACAGAATATTTCGATGAATAATTAAGGACCAGGCGAGAAAAGACACGAATCCTTCAATAGCAATACAAGTTAAGCAGGTAAACTTCTAGATGCCAACGTAAAGCTCCCACCAACCGAGTATTACACCACTACGAATAACTATCACTAGGGACAAGCCAAATAAGACAACTCACAATTGTATTAACATATCACAGCAACAAAAGGCACACATCATTTCTACACCATAAACAGCTAACTCAATTCCTAAGAAAAAACATCATCCTTTTTGATTCAGACGACCTAAGCTGAAAAAACACATCGAGGCTAAAAACACAAGGAAAACACAGGACTGTGGGTTTGACGTAAAAGGAAAAACCAAGAGCAAGCCAAAGTTCGTGGCCAGATGTGTGTGGGCGTCGAGGGGATTAGTTTTCCCTTCCTCGTTTGGATGGCACTAGCCGGCGAGACTGGTGTGGAAAATACCCATCCTTGCGAGTCAGAAAGGATTACTCCTAAAATACAGATTTCTAATTTTGCGGGAGCATTTCTTTTTTTTTCTGACGTTCTCCTCCGTATCCTCCACGAACACACCGAGCCGCCTATCGACTTTCCGTCAATTCCGGGTATTTTGTCGTAACAGCTGAAAATAAAAAGCACATATGATCGTGAAGGGAAATGAATGTGTATGACAGACACTCCGACGATGGCGACGAGACTCAAGTTGTCCGGAGAGCTGTTTCGTCTTAGGAGGCGGGTTCTAACCGATTGACAAGGGATATAATAGATAATGCCTCTTGTGCCTATTCGCCATATGCTATACCTGCCCCTTCTTTTTTTTAAGGCGGCCTTAGTGTGCAATGTTTGAGGGAATAGGATACAGTTCGTCAAAATCCAGAACCAACTATATCTCACCGAAAATGTTCAAGAACGCCGGAAAAGCAATCCCAGACAACAGGAAATCCCGCCTCCCGGAAGCCACCTTTTTGTCGTTTGCATGGTAGTTATCGAGTAGTTTTTTTGGGGTACCACAAAACCACGGCCAGGATATTCTCATCAAATAATGGTTCTGGTGAACAATTATTCGATGAGGCGCATTAGGTGATTGGTAATTAAAAAAAGACAGTTTGAATAGACAGAGAAGAAGTGAAAGGACACGGCAGGCCGGTACTGTATAGGCATCATGAAGGCTCGGGCGTGGATCGTAGATGAGAAGGCGTCGAAGGTTAATTTCGTAAGGAGAAACCCTTTCGCTTGCCTTCTTTCTCTATCGGCCGTCCGCTTTCGACTCTGGCCTTCTTTTCTTCCAGCTCTAACCGTTGCCGCTCCAATTGCTCCTTCATCTCTCTGTGACGAGCATACAACTCTTCTTCGCTCTGCTTCAACTTGCTCTCCTTTTCGGCCACCTTCTGCTGGAATACCATCTTCATTTCGGCCTCCATCTTGGCGAGCTTCTGCTCGTGTAGAGCACGCTCCTCTTCTTGCTTGACGGCAGGGTTAACCTCTTTGAAGACGCTTGGATCCTGAGCAACACCCATGGCGGTAAGCTTGTCTGTTCGGTAGTTCTCGTAGAGTGAGTTGTTGGTGTGCTCCTTGAGTTCCTCCATGTGCGTCCTGATAAGCATCTGGCGCAGCTTCACGAAGTCGCAGTGCTCCTCGTTGTCTACCTCGATAACACCCCATGGGTATCGACGGCCGCGGACCTTGCGTCCATCGGCGTTGGTAACCTCATTATTGGCACCGACAACGGCGAATGGAACCTTAGACATAATCTCGTTGTTCTCCGCAATCGTCTCCTCATCATCCAATTCATATCGGGGTCCTTCGAAGATCTGAATGCCGTGGTGCTTGATATCCGCGAGAATCTATAGCGGAATTAGTTAAGATACAATAACACAAGTAGTCCGTTGAACTTACTCTAGACTTGAATCCGGTGATCTCGTCATCGGTGAGGGTATCCGACTTAGCAATAACAGGGATCAAGTTGACCTTGGTGTGTAGACGACGCATAACCTCGATGTCCAAAGGCTTTAGGGAGTGACCAGTGGGTTGAATGAAGAAAACACAGGCGTGGATACGGTTATCAACGATGTTCATGCGGTTCACCTTGTTCTCGGCATCTAGGTAAGCATCGTAACGCTGCTCAATGTTGTCGACGATGGGTCTCCATGATTCGTCATTGTTCACAAAGTCACCGAAACCGGGAGTGTCAACGACAGTTAGGCGTAGACGAACGCCAGCCTCCTCAATATCTGCACTGATGGATTGGATAGAGACAGTCTTGGGTATTATGTCAAGACTAGGGCCCTTTCGGTCCTTGGGCGGGTATAGGGAGGTGTTGAACAGAGTGTTGACAAGCGTAGATTTACCAAGTCCAGATTCACCTGGAAACCACAATTAGCATCCGTATAGATAGACACAAGCCTCTAAAACGTACCAACTACCATGACATTGAAGTTGAAGCCCTTTCGGACGCTCTTACGGTGCCACTGGTTTGGCAGGTTGGCAAAACCGACATATCCTGTCAGCTTCCTTCGAACGATGTTCCTGCTGTCGTTGACGATAGGACCCGAAGAAGTAACCGGCGCTGTTGGTTTAAGGTCAGAACTCGGCGGAGACGACGGTTGGGGTGAAGATTGCTTGCCCTCGGTCGGCGCAGGCGATGCTATCGAACCGTTTGCAGCTAATTAAACGTCAGCATAGATCATCAATCCCAGACCCCGTGTAGAAGAGCAAATTGCAAGAGCATAGCCAAACGTATATACCAGTAAGCGGCGCGTTGAAGTAGAGCTCATCGTATGACATTGGCTTGTGGGGGCCAAGAGATGGAGCATCAACAACTAGCATGCTACGGAAATGACGAACGGAGGGAGGCTGGTTTTCTTGGTCCACGAGGCTACTTGGCCGAACAGCGAGAGCTGGAGGTGTTGACGACTCTCTTTGAGGCAAACAGAAGTTGTCCATGAAATGGTTGTTGTCCAGTTGTACGCTGCGAGCCCGGGCCTTGCCATGTGGGTTGAGAAAAGCCGGCATTGTGTAACAGTTGTTGCTTTATTGTTTTCCGTTTTTTTTTTTCTGGTTTTTGATTGAGGACAGTTGTTCCTAACGATGACCGAGTATTCCAAAGAACCAAATAGAGGTCGAGAACCAAGAAGTGATAGATCAACCCAAAAAACAACGGTTAAGGAGGTTGATAGGCGAGCGGATTGATGTTGATGAGATGGGAGAAGAGAAGTGATCGATCCAGCGAAATGTCTGACCAAGTAGGGAGATATGAACGCCAGGCCAGACCAATGTTGCTTCCCATAATTACGGCGACTCTTGCAATATGCTCTCCTCGATGAAACGGGCGACTGCATCATCCAGTGGTAGAAAGTGCTTACCCATAGTGAATATGTCAATAGATGTTAGGACTTAAGAGATGCGAGCGAAGGAAAGCGCGAAATCTAGTCTAGAGATGAGGAAAGATTAGTCTTATCGTCCAAAGCTGTTGTTCTTTTGCTTTTCATATAGTAGGGAGGTGTAGTATCCCGAAGGAGAATAAAAAAGGAGAGCCGCAAGCTGTCGCAACGACGTGCAACAGAAAAAAACTAGTTGCTGCAGAGGAAAGGGGAGGGAAGCTAGAAGCACGAGACGCGAGATGCGAGCAGTGCATAGACGGGAGGTTTCTTATTCCCATGTGAAGCTGTATTAGAGAGAAAATACTTGATGCTTACGTACCCAGAAGATGACTTAAAAGTCGCGTGTCGATTCACGTCGCAGGACGTTCTAAAACGATTTTCGATATGAAGCGAGTGGAAGAAGTAGATAGATGGAGGAAATGAACCGAGGAGGCCGACTCTTGCGCGTACCGGTTATCTCTTCAGGAACTAGAGAATGTCGGCTTGCAATAAGAAGAAAAGATAAATTGGAGGATGAAGGAGATGGTAGAAGCAAAGGCCGTTCTACCAAAGATTAGGAGATTGTAGATTAACGTAACGGGAGGGAAGAATTTACGTGGGAAAATGAGGTTGAAGGTGTGCGACCCGACCTCCTGTTTCTAGTCTCTGTTTCTAGTCTCCTCATTCAAAAAATCAAATTTGGGGCCCTGGCACCCCTGGCACCCTGTCCTTTTTTGCTTCAAAAGGGGCTTGGGGTCAGTGTACTCAATGTACTCATGTACTCAATTTGTACTGCTGTACACCCCCCTGTTACCCGTCCCTGAGTACTCCCTTCTCTGTCCCTTTCCTTTCACTATCACAAATCAGTTAGACTTCCCACTAATTATTGTTAGTACGCTCGGACCAGTTTAAACAAGGTTACTCGCTGCACTTCAAGCACTCGTGGGTATCAGTGTGTGGCTAGGGATCTTAACTACAGGGACCTAACGGCAGGGATTCTCACTAAGTTTGAGCTAATTGATTGGTCAAAATCTTCAATTGGGCGGAGGATTTAATCAACTGCAGAGGTTGGTAGGAGCTTCGCTACTGCATCGGCTCTGCAAGCTTCTTCTGCCACCTCATCATAACTTTTTTTTTTTTTTTAATCGTATGGCCTTATCACTTTTTTTTGTCTTTTAATTTACTCGATTCGCTTTCCATTTTCCATGCACTCACTCTTTTGCGAGAAATATTTCCACCCACTTCCGTATACACTTCCGCACGAAGTCAATAAATAAATGATCGGAAGCACATCTGCAGCTATTAATTAATATTCCCAGATGAAAGTCCGATTTTGTATCTCATAGGTGAAATTGTAATTTCGATTTGCTGGGTACCGGAAGACGCGTCTGGACTGGACTCCACCTAAAATATATATAGTAGAAATTGACCCGACATGATCAAAAGCCGCACGGATACGAAGGAATACAGAAGAATACCTAAGCAACTAAAAGTATCGATAAATACCGGTAGATCCCATGATCACAGATGTCCCGTACGCCACAATTGCCTTAAGTGCACTTCTGCAAGAGATTCGTATTCCTATCGTACGTAAACCGGTCTACCCGTGTGTATTGTATGGTACGCATGTACGTACTTGCAGTATGTGACGACTTTCTGCTCGTGTTCATTGGAAAAGGGAGGAAGGGGCAGAAATCTAACGATCCAACTGGTTGGTGTTCGGTCGCAATCAAAGGTGACCTTTTTAGCGTGAGATGGCATGTTGTTTGTGGGGAAACCATTCTAAACCCCGGTACGCAATCTACCTTTATTCATGTAGCTAAGACCTAAAACGTACTATACGCAGGAACATTTGTCTTCCGTTTTCCGATCCTTGTCCCTTAAGTACCTCGATACATGTACTCCTTCCAAGGTTTGGGGGTTACATCCTTCCATATCAAGATCTTCATCTCTAGCACCCTTACTTCTTGACACTATTGTCAGTAAGCAAATACGTGACGAGCTAGGGATGCAAGTAATACGCCATCCTCATCCTTATGATCATATATCTATAGATTACCTAACCGAGTATAAATAGGTGCTACAGCATACATATAACCAATCCAACAATTACGAAAAGGATCCTGACCCATAACAGATAGTAGTTTGTTTACCAAAAAAATACGGCCATCTGAGTACTTATTAAGTATATTGACCTGAACGAGGACGACAAGTCTGAATATCAAATTATACTCACGTCTACCATCTGACAAATCAGTGTCTATTCCAATGGACAAGCGCAGCATTGGTCTAAGAGGGTAGTCATAGTTATTGTTTTATGGTTTCGTTTTTTATGAAAATAGGGGTAGACTCATAATGATGTTCCTCGATGGTCCCTGTCTATTTGCACCATCTATAGGCATAAGGGAAATAAATACTCCCGTATTATACCATTACCATCTATAAGCTTCCTAGTTCTTCGGCTCTGCCTACCCTACCATACAGCCAGGCGCTTTACATGTGGTATTTTATATGACTAGATCGTAATAATTACCAACTACACAATTGGAACCCTTACTCCTTGAAAGTCGTGATGAGGGACTATCTAGATTTTGGGTTGAAATTGCGTTGTTGTCTATGAAGTATTCCGTCTACGTGATAGGCAATGAAAAAAGGGCAACGGCCTATCGCAATTGTGAGATATTAAGGTCACGTCGGCCATTCTACAGTGAGCGTGAGTTCGGGGAGCAAAAGTAAAAAGGATCGAAAAGGCCCAAGCACCTAAGACTTGAGCATCGTTGAATTATTATAATTATAGTATGTTACCTAAATACCTTTTTCATGAAGTCGGTTTCCCCTTGAGCAAAAAGCTAGCAGATACCTATCCAAGTACCTCAGTTGGGATGTAGGGTAAAGCAATTAGGTATTTGACCTACTATATAAGAGAACGTATATACGATATATTCTAGGTTGAGAGAATTATATTTCTGACTTGGCGCAAGCATTGCTTCAGAATATGGTAATTCCCAAATTAAATGGATTCGTTTAGGAAGGGCTATCACAATGCATTGAAATAGCTATGCTATCAACGTCAAAGTAGTCGTGAATCTGAATTTATTTTTGTTAAGTTACCCTAAGCCCAGCTCTCCATCGCGCCAAGTTTTGGGCTCTGGACACTCCTCGATGGCTCCGTGGGTGAAGTCTCCTCGGCGGCAGCGCCCGCATCTACTTCACTATGTTCCCTAAGCTTCTGAACACGCTCAAGTAATTCCTCCACCTCAGCATCGATAGAAATCCCGCGCCTACGGCATTCCTCGATAAGTTCCTGTGCCCTGATATCCTCTGCTTGGATACACCGTCTAATAAGTGCTAGGGCCGAAGCTTTGCCCATCCACCAATTATTGGATATACCCGCCGTTTTGCTCGTTTTCATCTTCTCAAGGAATTGGAAGGCTTGCTCGTAATTATCTTGCAAGCAGGAAATTCGAATTAGATGATTGTAGGTGGTCTGAGTAGGTTGAATAGAGAAAGCCTCCATCTCCGCGAACAAGAAATTCATGGATTTTCTCATCGTGCAGTGTGCAAAGAGAATATGATACGTTTCGAGATCTGGCCGCTCGTCACAGATACGGCGCACACTCCTATATAAGTCTAAAGCTGTTTTGAACCCGTGGTGCAATTTGGTAGCCTCCAAAACAACGTTGAACGCGGCAATGGGAATATTGCGCTGTGACCTTAGTTCATCGAGTAACCCCATAGCGTTGTCAGTCTTCTCAGACGACTCGCGTAGCACGCGGAAAATAGACCGCGTGCTAGAGAGATCGGGACGTAAGCCTGCCTTAGCCATGATGCATAATGCCATGAAAGCTCTTCGGATATCTCCCTGGTGGACATGGATATCCACGAGAGGTTCGTAATGATGTAACTCGAGTTTCCGGCCGCGATTCGAGAGCATTTGAATTGCACTTATGGCCAAGGTGGCGTCCATATGGTTTGCCGCAGCGTTGACTATATTCGTGATGACGCCATCTGGAGGCGTTGAATCCCCGCGGGATACTGAACGATCCCATATGTATTTGATCCCCTCGTAGTAGGCGTCTCTACTGAATACATCAAGGAGAAATTGCCATACGTTTGGTGACAGGGGCTCGTGAGATATGTTTGCGACTTTGAATCGATGTTTGAGGATCGAAAGTGTCTCATCGTGAAAACCTAGGTCCCCAAATACGTAAAGGAAAACATCATATAACCAAGTTGGGACGGTAACTGGATCTTTATGCATTTCCTCTAATCTTTCAAGCGCAAGCTCATACTGATTATCCCTTAACAAGCCAATGATGATATTGATCAGGCTGTCAGATGTCTGTGACTGCCATCGATTTCTCATCTCGAATAGTACCTTATTTCTAAGAACATAGTCGGGATGTACGGCTGTTACCTACGTTCTAATGTTAGTTCACAAATGCTTGACTACGTAATGGATCATCTCACTTCTAAGAGGGCCTGATAAATTTGCGGCGTAATCGGGATCTGCAACTTCTCCATTTCCTCAAGGAGTTGGCCTGCAATGGCTGCGGATCCATGATTTCTATCAACATTTGCCCTTATGAGGCTCTCATAAAGCATGACATTTGGCCTTTCTTTCCTCTCTGTTATTAGGTATTCGATTAGTGTTATAGTTGATGAATAGGTGCCAGTGGCGTTTGAAAGCTCTCTGAGGGCGGTATATATGGTTTTGGTTGGGATCGTATCGAGCTTGGTAGCAAAGGCACCGACTCTCCCGAAGAGAACTCCGGGAATCCATGGGCTTCGCTTCGCTATTCGTTTGAGATATTGGATGTGCGCTTCTTCGACCGACTCGTTATTAGGTTGTTGGTTGATCAGGGCGCCAGTAGCAACGCGACGGAATCCTCGCCGACTCTGTCTATCGGTGATTGAAGTGTGGCTGCGGGAAGAGAGAACCGGTCGTCGTGGAGGGCTACGGAGGGGTTCGATTAATCTCGAGAGAGTCGTTATATCTACTGAGGGGCATAAACATCGCCAAAGTCCATCAAAAACAATGCGCTCCCCCGGCATTGCGGAGTTAGAAGCCAATTGATGTTGAACTGGCTTCGTACTTGTTGCTGACAAGTGCAGGTTGCGATGTATGTACTTGAGCCCGCGCATAGAGAATATTGATAAGAGAAAAAAGATTAAGATAACCAATCTTGGCAGCTGACAGCAACTGCCAGGCAGTTGTGAGCATCATTATATGAATTAGTCTCCCCTTTATTCTTCATGAATTATAATATCGTCCTTAGCCTAAACATTCTAGTTTTTAATTTAATAATTATATTTATTTTAAGGCTTGTTATGGGGTTTGGTGTGCGTGTTGCCCTTAACCTAACTTTGTGAGCTTTTTAAATTTTGTATTGAGCATGTCAGCTTCCAGCTCGCTGAACCCCCAGGGACAATGCCTTGCAGAAACAATGGCTGGAATGATTGAAGGCAGAGGGATATATGGAGTAGATGAACGTCCGGGTCATATCCTGGAGGGTATTTCAATTGCTACCCTAGCTCTCCCATCTGATCTGCCTCATGTCTATGTGCAATAACAGTCAGAAACTGTTTGCATCTTCACCATCTCGGTGGGTGGGTATCTTCTTCTGCTAGAGCAGTTGTATCTCACCACTCTCTTTCAACTCTGTCGAGTTCTTAAAAGTCTATCCATGCGTCTGCATGCCCCCAGATGAAGTCTTCAATGGTTTCATCGTTTTTTTACGCATGATTTTTCGCATTGATCTCAGAGCATCGGCTCAGTCTCACGCACCGCGGCCTCTACCCCGACCTCGTCCTTGGCCTCGTCCACCACGGCCACCTCTGTCACCACCCCTTCCACCATGATCTCCTCTTTGCTGGCCATGTCCACCGCGGCCACCTCGGAATCCGCTTTGTTGACCGTGTTGTTCTTTGACGAGGTCGATGATTTCGTCGGGTACCCGGAGATATTTGATCTACCATGCCTTGTCAGCTATCCATTTCTTGGCATGCACATACTACTGTGTTGAATTGGAGCGAATGCTTACATTATTCCCCTTCACGTATACTTCGGGTAGACGAACGAATTTGTCTGCTTCCTAATTCTCCAATATTAGTCAAGGCGCTAGCTCGGAGGTAGGGAAAATGGTCGCGTACCGGACTCGTCTGGATAACTTCCTTCAGTGTCAAGTTCATCCATGTGTCGCATTGTATTAAGTGGCCGTTGAGGGTTTCTCCGTTCTTTAGCTCGACAAGCATCGGGTGGCCTTGGGCGGCATTCAAGAGCCCGAGAGGTAACTGAGACAGATCTGCATTAGCGCATAAGTCTACTAGAAAAGAGAGCCGTATATTACCATCTTTGCGAAAACCGCACAACGATTTGGGTGCGGTGACTAAGCGAAGCGCAAATTGGTTGTTGATATGGAAACGCGCAACAAGGAATCTTGCTATGTGATGATGGTGACAGCTGCTAGAGCTGAAAGTTAGAAATTGGTGGGGTCGTAAAGTCTCTATCCACTCACATCACACGAGCTAAGCTATATACAAGCCACATTCACCAGCCCTATAACCAAGCCACGTCATTAGTCATTGCATGAAAGATCCATTTAATTCTATGTGGATCCGACCCGCCAGATCTTGAAATTCATCATCAACATCATCACAAGCCAACCATCTATCTAATTACCGTGTTGTGTCAAGCTTCGAATCTACCTAACCTTTCCGCTGGTAGATGCTAATATTTCAGTTGGAAATCTGTAACCGGAAATTTTCATTCTGATCTATTTTACTCCCCAGAAGGCTTAGATGACTGTTGTTATAATCAAGCCTTAGTCTACTATTTCAACCGAAAATCCAGGCAGATTGCAAAACGAAACAATGGCTTTAAAATTATTTCGAATACATTTTAACAAAATTATCATTGATTGATTAAATGGCTTCTTTCACTTGTTTTTCAGCACTTGCGTACGAATCCACCCCCCTGATTCTTGGTCGGCAATATCCCAGGCCAATGCAAGCCTGGTTAGAGGACTCGTCAGCTAGTTGACCCTCATTGGTCGATTTTCTCCACCATCCCTACCAAGCGGTAGTTAGGCTTACACAGCCTCCTACAAGCAGATACTAGAAAGTCCTCTATTATTTCCTAGTAGCCCTAGGCGGATCGCTGGCAAGTCAAGGCAATTCTCACGGGGACTTGGTTTTCGATTGGTTCGTAGGCGGTTCTTTACTACGCCTTCTCCGATTTTGTACCTATCTGTTGCGTCTTGTTTCGTTTTATCCCCCTGGAAAAAAAAAGAAGTGACCGGGTCGAACATTCGAGGGTGGGTATATTACCTGAAGTGAACCTGTCCGCGTGGCACCCCACTCTATTCCGCGCCCTCACGGTCAACCCGGGCGTCTTACATATTCCTTACAGCCCGCTTCTGTAGGCAGCCATTTTATCTCTTCTTCCATCCGGGCTTTCATTGAGCGAGGATATTTCGTAGTCTTGCCATGCCAAGGCAACCTCGCTCCATTTATTGTTTTTCTTTATAATTTATAGGTGCCTAGTTAAATCATGCGCGGCCTTCTAAAGGCTCAGTTGTTGCTAGCGCCGGTGCTGGCGGCGGCTCTTCCAACTAGACATGAAGGTGAGATCAATCAATCAAGTATCATCAGAGGTTGTGTTGTGGTTCTAACACGTAGCTACTCAAGTCTATACCCCACGTGCTTTAATAAACATCAATATCGACAAAACATCGGATGAAGTCGCTCTCCAAGACATAGTAAGTCAGACAAATTCTAATGTCTAAATTATCTTTCATATTAGAGTAGTCAACTTACTAAATTATCTTACTTAGAATCTTCGCCTCGACATCCACGAGTCGACATCCCCATGTGGTTACGGAAATGTGACCCTTAATGACCAAAAACTCGCACAAGATGAGAACGGCGCTGGATCTGGATCGATCACTACCGAAGATGGCAACATCATCATCGCTATCTGGGCGTTTACTTGTGTTCACCTCGAAGATGAGTTTCAAGGACAGATGATGGCTTTTGAAGTCGTATCCATGAATAATAAGGAAGTCGAAGATGCTAGATTCGTCGTTCAATTCCAACAGATGGCACCAGTTTCGGTTTCCTTCATCAACGCCACCGGGTCCATTGTTGAAGTCCCAATTTCTACCGAGGAAAAGGATGACAGCTCAGATGAAGAGGCTCCGGCAACTCTAGATGAAGAATTAGCCGAGTTGAAGTCCATGATGCGACAACTAGCATCTCTCGAATACGCAATTTCTTCCAAGGTACACCGTATTGCTGAGATGGGCCATGATTTCAAGCCACCTCACGAATTTCATTCGTTCGCTGAGTGCGACAGCCTGAAATGCATCGTGAAAACGATGTACAATCGGGCGAAGCACATGGCTAGCAGTTTCTATGGACACGGACTTGGAGATCAGGGCCCCTTTGATGGTCGACCTGGTCGACACCATTGGCCTTTCCATGGCAGAGAAGGGAAACACCCACATCACTGGTTTCCCCACCATCACGGCGGGGATCATGGGAATCACACTTTCCCACATCCTCCTCACCATCCTCATCACCCACCGCCCCCTCATGGTGACCATCCTCCTTTCCCTCCCTTTTGTCATTGTGGACCTCCACCGCCACCTCCAAACGGCCCCCCTCACGGTCCTCCTCCTCACGGCCCCCCTCATGATGGTCCTCATGGATCCCCTCATGGCCCTCCTCATGGTCCACCCCATGGTCCCCCTCACGGTCCGCCACCGCCTCCTCCGCCTCCACCACACCATGAGTTCGGCGATGAACGCCCGCCTCACGGCCACCCACCACCAAATCACCACGCAACAGAGGATGACGCTCAAGAGAAGCCCGAACCAGCTGAGGAATTCACACATGAGATGGTAAGCCTAGACAGGAAAAAATGCTCCCTATATTATCGAATACTGACTTGTTTAGGGACCGAGTGAGGATTTTGATGGCAGACCTGAACTGCCCCTTCACCCCCCTGAGGGCGAGCCCCCTTTCCCTCCACCACCTCCTCCAGGGCTAGACGGACCCCATCACCCCGGCCATATGCCTTTCGGTGGAAGGCCACCACACCCACCACCCCCTCCTGTAAGTTTTTAATATACAAGAAGTATTAAATGACCTACTTGCTAATTTACCAAAGCCCTTCCGTCACCCGGGCTTATTCCACGCGATATCGACCATCCACATTGTAGCCATCGTCGTCCTACTTGGTCTCCTATTTAGCGCCATACACACACGTTGCTTCACTACCACGCGCGAGGACCGACGTCGGGCACGCGAAGATCGTTGCCGCCACGACGACGACCATGATGACCACGAAACAAAGCATATTACTATCAGCACCAAGTATAGCAAAATCATCAAGTGGTTAAAGCAAACCGTAAGAAAGCAAGAGATCGAGGACGAAGAAAAGGAAGCTATGATGAGAAGGCTACACGGAGCTGAGAGCGAGGAAGAGGACAATCTCTCCACGACTATGGAGCAGGAGATCGCCCAGTTCCGCGCCGTCGCTAGTGTTGTAGGCGATATTGTTGAAGCGGAAGAGGGACGCTCTCGGGAATATGCCCGAGAGATGCAACAACATAGTTCTGCTCCCACTCCCCCGAGTCCGACCTCGGCGTTCCCAGATTACGCGTCTGTGGATGAGGAGCTTCCGGCGTACGATGAGGGGATGAATGATTCACGCTTTGTTGCTGATGGGTTTAGATATACCCCAGGAAGCTCATGCTATACTTCGACTGATACTTCAACGGAGTCGTCGCTTGATGAGCATTTGGGGAGAAAGGATTAGGGTGTTTAAGGTTGGGGTGGTTGATCTTGGGGAGAGGATTAGCATTATTTGGGTTTCTTTTCGTGTATAAATAAGGGCGGCTATCTATGCTTGGTGTTGCTGTAAGGTAGTGGTTTTGGATAAGTTACCGCGGGCATGGCATATAGAGCGTAATATAATAAATGCTTTATTCCAAAGAACTTATTAATGCTTGACTCATCATGAGTACATGTTAGAGTGCACCTGCTTACACGGGTGACTACTCTAATAGGGGATTATGGGTAGTTGTTGCTCTATCGCTTTTGCTGATTGAGACTTTCCTGGTAAAAGTTTCTTAGTGTGATTGCAGAACTGCGGGTTGTCGCTTCCCTTGAGCAATATCATCAATATAAGCAGGAGTACTTCATGCCTGATTATGTCATTGTTATCATCGCTCCCTCTCCTGAGAATTTACATAATCTTTCTTCTCTCCTTGTCCCCATTATATTGTTGTTCTCCAAGGCACGAATATGGTTTCATCGTGTACTTCTACTATGATTGACATCCACATCAGCGACAGCATTAGATTCTCTTAACTTAGGTGTATATACTTCAACATGGGAGAGCAGGCCAAGTATGATTATCCTCAAATCCCCCAGCCCTAACTCCAATGGTCTAGTCCCATGGTTTTAGGCCACCGTATGCTAAAATATTCGATCGTAGAGCGTCGGATTTAGAAGAAGTTTCCGATGTCGCGGTCATCTGTGGTGATACAGAATGGGACCTCCATCAATCGATTCTCCGCGACGCCTCTACACACTTCCGCGATATACTTGCTGATTCAAAAATTGTAAGATATGACCATGAACTTACCTAGATGGATCCCTTAAAGTTACTAATTATTGGCTTCTCGGGATAAGAAGTCGCCTATATATTTGCAGTCTTTTAAGGATCCCGTCAAATTTCAGTGGCTCGTTACATACATATACAGCAAAGAAGGTATGTACAATATCGACTTGTTTTCCTTGTGGTTGCTATGCTCAATCGTCGATATTGCGGGCTAATGGGTCATGAACAGTCGAGCCAGACCTAGCACAACTCCTGGCGAAACCTAAGACCATAACGCGAGCATGCGTGGACGTTCTTTTTATGGCAACCCGCTTCGGCGTAGAATCCTTCCAGGATATAATCCATAAACCACTTCGACGTTTATTCAGCATAGAGGCCGTGAAGTTTCAAATCCATCTTCATTGTTTCATCATGGATAAGGGAAAAATTTCCGACTGCCCGGCTCACGACGATCATTTCACAAATAAGTTCTTTTTCCTCGCTCGCCTCGTTTACACGAACGAAAGCTTCAGGAGAACTCGCCGGATTTTTGTGCAGTACTTCAGCTTTACTTTGTATCAAGCGCTAAGGACGGATCGATACCGTCGTGAGATTGAGGTCACACCGGGCTTCGCGGAGGAACTTTTGTTCGCGCTGGTAGATGATGATGTGAATTGCCAAAATGGCACGAAAGAATTGAATAGCAAATGGCATGGGGTGGTATCGCCCTGTTCATCTGCACCATTTCTCTCACACCTTGTATAGAGGATTTGGGGAATAGTATTGCGAATTTCGAATTGAACAGTTTTATCTAAGGCCTCTGCTCAAGCATATTATCTGATAGATGAAGTGTACTTTGGTTGTAACAGGAGAGGATAATATTTATTAAGGAGTAGGAAATATGCTGATGTCCACCATAACGCTATGCTATCCTAAGAATCATGATCTTCCCATCGCCATCAATGTATCGGGCACTTCGCCCTCCTGAACGCCAGATCTATATCTTAGTCCGTCTCGAGTTTATCCCCCATCCAATATACACTATCTATTATTATGGCCCAGTCCATGAATTATCTATATACAAACCCAATAATGAATTACCAAAACGCCTTTTTAGAGATAACATGAGTTTATACAGCGACGGGCTCGAGTTTCTTGCCCTTGACGCTCTTCCACTCAATCGTCGCACTACCGAAAATAGTGAAAGCGACTAGAGCCGTACCAACGATGAACGCTGTTGTCAAAGCATTGCTGTATGATATTATCACGTTGGGAATAACATCGGCTGGTAGACTGTGCTGTAGGTTTGTCGCACCGGCATTGAGAATCACGTTGGGGTCGATGCTAGGGACGTTGGCGGCTAGTTCTTGAACGAGCTTGTTGCTGAAGACTGTCTGGCCTACACTCACGAATAGAGCGCCACCGACAGTCTGCACGAAGACTAGGATCGAGGTACCCGTAGGTACGTCCTTGATATCCAGTACGGTCTGTACGGCCATTAGGGGTTGCTGCATAGCCATACCGACACCAGCGCCGAAGAGGATTTGGTATCCGATCCAGACACCGGAGCTAGCATCGGGTTTCCAGGTAGACAGTAAACCGCCACCGATCGACATAAGCACCGTTCCGATAATCATGAACGGCGCGTAGTACCCAAAAATTGTGACTAGAACACCTGCACCCATGGCGAATACAACGACGCTGATCAGCATAGGTAAGTTGCGGATACCGGATTCGACGGCGCTAACGCCTTGGACGGATTGGAACCAGATCGGGACGTAGTAGATAAAAATAAAGAACCCGGAGCCGACACCGAAGGAGAAGAGACTGCTGGCCCAGATCGTGCGCTTCTTCATGATGCGGGGAGGTACGGTCGCGTTTTCTTGTTGGATGTGTTGGACGTATAGGAATGCGATGAAGAGGACGCCGAATACGACGAAGAGCCCGATGATGCGCCCGTTGCTCCATGGGTACTTGGTACCACCCCACTGCAGAGCTAGGAGAAGGCAGATGATGGCAGGCATGAATAGGATTGTGCCGATGGGATCGAAGCGCTTGAAGCGCTCCATTAGTGTTTCGTCCTTGGGAATAGCTTGGACTGGCGCGGGGAAGAATAGGAGAATGACGAGGATGGTCACGGCGCCGATTGGTAGGTTGATGTAGAAACACCATCTCCATGTCTGTATTTCGATCGAATATTAGTAACCCGCCTAAAGAATAGCGCAATAGTAAAGGGGAAATTACGTACCACTTTATCCGTGAATACACCCCCGAGCAAAGGCCCAGCCACCGATGCCACACCATACATACTGGCGATCAGGCCCCTGGTTTGATTATTAACAAGCTTATATCAAGGATTGAAGATATGAAGCACTTACGTGTACATGGGCCGCTTAGCCAGCGGGACACTGTGAGCGAGGATAAGCAGAGCGCCGGACATGATACCAGCGGAACCGGAGCCGGCAACGGCACGACCGATGATCAGCGTGACCGAGTTCTGTGCCACACCGCAGATCAAGCTTCCGAGCTCGAAGATTCCGATTGCGGTCAAGTATACCCATTTTATGCTTAAGAAAGTGTAGAATTTGCCGAAGAGGAGTTGTAGGGCTGCAGTGGTTAGAAGGTACGCGCTTCCATACCAGCCTACATCGGGTAAGCTGTGGAAAGCGTCTGTGATTTTGGGAATGGCGGTTGTGATGATAGAGTTGCTATTTTGAAGCATTAGCTATTGTGAATTCTCTAGCTTGACTATAAGACAGAGAAGGGGGAAAACTTACTCAAGGGCCATTAAGAATACACTTAGACATAACGCTAGGGCGATTAATACTAGCTTTGCTCCTGTTGGATATTCTGTTCCATCCTCTCGGGTCTGAATCTTCTCCACAGCCTCATTGTGTCGAGATAGAGCGGTTGTATGTTGAGTAAGGTCGTGGGTCTTTTCTTGGTCGGCGGCAGCGATCGAGTGTGAATCTTCGATAGAGCTGCCCGAGCTAGATGACAGGGCCTTTTCGTTGTTGGCCCTATCTACTATGCTGGAATTGCTTTCCGCCATTGTGAATGTTTGGGATGACACTTCGGATTGAAGTTGGCCTTTAGAATCGGCCATTTCCGTGGGAATTCTCGGGGCAGGAGTCGTCGTTTGGGATAGGCGCATGTAAGTACCCGGGAGGGTAGATATATATATCTAGTATAAAGTAGGGTGGTTTCTCAATAACTATTAGTTAATATAGAGACATCTGTGTTACCTGGGGAATATATAGTAGATCCATTTGTACAACTTCGTGATCTCAATTATCGCGGGAACTGTACTACATGTATATACATAGATGGGCCTCCACTATGTGGGTCCATAGACGAGCCAAGCCTATTAATAATTATGATTCATTTTGAATCGATTTTACGGGTGGGAACTACAAAGACGGGAAAAGGAACTACGAAAAATTCTACCTATTTCGCTGACTCTTCGCGGATAGTTAGGTCTCCGTCTACAAGTCTAGGTCTTCTTAGGGGAAAAAAGGAGGAAAGAAAATAGACGGAAATTATGGGCCTCGGGGTCCTCGTCAAGTCCGTCGAGGATCTAATTGTCCGGGGATTAGGTGATGGCCCTGGAGTTTAAGCAACATGCGTCCCACAAGGTGTTCTATTGGTCTATTTCCATTTATTTCGGGTACTTTCTTCAGTCCGTCTACTGAAAATATTTTTGTCATAGCTGAATCTGGTTTCGGGTCGCGCAGGGAATCTTTGCCTATGTAGCACTGGAACTAATCTGACGGAGCTAATGTATTTGGATCTCGGCTTTGTATGACTCGATCGAGAACATTTATCTCCGGGGTTTACCTCATACAGAGTTAATAAATCCGACTTGAATTGATTGGCCGAGAGTGATAGATTTCCCCTAAAACGGTAGGTTGTACAAATATCTGTGTTGCCCGAAAACATGTCTTCATATCACTAGGAAACGGTGGCCGGCGCTTTAGTCTTTTCATCAAGTATATTGGAATGGAAGAGAGATATTCAGAAACTTGATTTGGCGACAGCATACCTAGGCATACAGTAATACGTTACTTAGCTTATCGTGAAGGAAGACTACGTGTTGCGGCTGTTACCGAGATTGTGGCTTCGAGCCTAGACCTTGTGAGGATTTAGGCGAAGCCCCTGCAAGAATTGTATATGACTCAAGCTGGCACTAGCTTAGATCAGATAATCCTTGTCTGTCGCTATGTTAACGGACTTTCGGGACCCTTCATCGTCCCGTATTTATTTACTGTCCGAATAATAGTAGGATCTATACCCCTTTTATTAGTAATTGAAACCATCGCGTGCTTGTCTTCCTAGCCTTAATCGTCCTGGCTTATTTAAATGACTGGTTTATGTCGCCGTATGTCGTATTCTAAATTGTTGCTTACAATAGCAATGTCTTGAAGGACTGTTACTCCATTCATCCGACTGGCTTTCTCTTGTCGTGATATAGTGCTCATGAGTTACGTTTTATCGCGTGATACACTTATATACTTCTTCAGCCTGGGTTGGATTGAATATTCTGGAATCACTTAGGAGTTGATTTTCATCCTGAGACCACCCCACTATGTTGTAGCGAGCGCTTGGTACCTAATCAATATTTACGAGCGTACTCCTTGGAAAACCCCACCTATATTTCCTAGAGGATAGGTACTCGCGAGCCCCTTAATGTCCTTGAGTGCCCAAGCTATTGGTAACTGCATGAAATCGCAACTATAAATCAATGTATGAATACAGCTTCGCATGATATCATATATTTCACCCTTTTCCGGGAGATTGCTCGCTAATCCAATTGTGTATGATAATGCGACCGTATGTTTCCTGCGATTATAAAAGAGACCGAAGTAGCATGGGCCGCTACCGAAACTACCTAGGTACCCTATGGTAAGGCTTTATCTGGGCCTAAAAATTCGGGGATAAGGGATATACCTACCTACCTAGGTACCTACAGTTATACAACGAACTAGCCAGTCTTTATCTCCGGCTACTCATATTATATAGCGGATATGATTATGGGCATATTTAGCGCTGTAGGACTTGCTATGGGCACCTACACCCTACCAAATATGTTTCGACCTACTGACGGCTATAAGCCCAACGAAGCTTCATTCAGCAACACACTGGATTCATTCGACCTCATCTGTGATACTTTCAAATACCTAAGTGCCCTTTTCAAAAACAGTAACGACACACTCAAATTACCCCAGTATAGCCTCCCATCGGCACTTCAAACCTCAAACCTTTTTGATTCATAGCCAACTCCGATTTGGTCCCTCTGTCAACCTGCATACTTCAAATCCTCATGCTTGGGGTATCTGCCGTGGCCCGGCCAGTATCGGTGTAGGAATCCCTTTCATACTAGCCTCTACTCTCCATCTTCCTCTTAAGTATCTACATCTCCCTGGGCCTTTTATGCATATTGTTATCGCAAAGGTTTGGGATGGTCTTCACTCCGTTCTTGCTATTATGTGTATGTCTGCGGGCTGGGTAGATCTTTGGTCCCTATTTTCCTTATCGCTATTGCTTAAAGGAAGCGCTATAAAGAGGAGGCTATAGCCTTTATAAGGCTTGTTGAAGGATGTGCTAGAGGAGCTATAAGGGGTTAGCGGTGCGGTGGTGTACCTGGGGCGCTGTTCTGTGTAACCCACAACCCAAAAATAATGCACGCATAGGGACACCATTCCTTATTCCTCTGATTTCTTTGGTCTCTGTGATTTCTCTAATTCGTCTGATTCCTCATCGGAATCCGCTGGTCCAGGAGAGTCCCGGTCGTTCTGTAGTCGTCGATCTGACGTGGTATTACGCCTTCTTGGTCTCTCTTCATCCTCATCATCCGAACTAGTGAACAGAGACCACACCACGAACATGGCGGGGAATCCCGGGGCGAAAACTGGTGGAAGATTAACCTTGGTCCCCACTATTGTGTTGCTCATTGCTCCTTACAGATGGGCGTTGTCTCTTCCTTTGAATCTTGAATGGCCTTGAGACACTTGGGTCAATCAATGGAGGTGTCTCTTCTGAAGAATCAAAGAAGGTAGATGCCAATATAAGTAACACTAGAGAGTTGAGAAGAATGTAGGGCGCTAGCATAACTGGGCAGTAAATACGCACTATATATGCTACGTTTTCCCGTCGTACATCTACATCTTGATTCTGGCGTAACGTGGGGTCGCCTGATTTGTTCGGGATCTCGTAGCATTTGCTAAGAGTATTGCATTGCATAATTACACCAAGTTCTTCCATGTGATCAATAGCACTCAAAATCTAGCTTGAAAATGCCAGTGAATTCGAATAGATCACGATGCTCTTCAACGTGGTGCGGGAGGAGTGGGGCTTTCGGAGTCCCTAACAGTGCCGGGAATTAATAGCGAATACAAATCCGCTCGGGGTACTGCGGCAGAACTGGATTGGGAGGGTAGCGGCTTCTAAGCAGCTATGGGGTGCGCCGGGAGGGTACCTGGGTAATTATACATCGCTTCTATATTATAAGGGCAATGCGGGTGCGAATCATGCGCGATGTGCTTAAGTGATAGCATCTTCACAGGCGTGTTAGCGAGTTATTGGGCAAGTTTTGGGCATATCGCGACAAAGTGGGCACCTACCTAGGTAGGTAAGTTTCTATCAAGACGATATAATGTAGAATCTTGGTTTGATGTTGATTTGGTCCTGGGAGGTTCGGTGCGAAGCTACCCCGAAAACGAAGGCTGCCAATTACTTCACATACGGGGCATCATCGTACCGGCACTAAGTCTAGCATTAGGCCTATTCAAACTTGGAGAATTGGAAAATTAAGATGATAAGTGAACGTTGAATATACATAATGTAGTTCATATATCACCTGGGTGCTGATGAATTAGGCCTATATTGAGTGAAGAGTTCCATACACCATGGCGCAAGAAAATACTGGCGAGCGGGCAAAGCTCTTAGCTATTCTCCCCTTTCCGGAGCCAGACGGGTTCATTTCTCGCATCGAGAGTAGACACCCGTGGCTGAAAGTTGTCTGGGTGCATCAATCCTATGGGATCACGACTTGGGATGCAAACGAAAAGATTGACGAAGGTAGCAACCGTGGAAAAAATGAATATGTAAGGTGTACTGACACTTACTAGGATTGTTTAAAGATGCCACAATACTCACAACATTATCTGCCATACCAAAACCACACCTAGCCCCCGCGCTGAAATTCATCCAACTATTGCCAGCCGGAGTCGACCATCTTCTCGCCGAGCCTATCTTCCAAAAAGAAGACGTTCAAATCGCGACCACTTCCGGTATTCACGCACCGCAAATTGCAGAATGGGTTATCTTGCAGATCCTTGCCTTCGCTCACCACTTCCGCTACTTGAGTGCACGACAAGATGAGGGCCGTTGGGTATCTCACGGTGAACTAAAAAGTACTGCGGGCCCTGTAAGAGACATGACTAGCAACCGGGTGGGGATCTTGGGATATGGGAGTATTGGAAGACAGATAGCTCGTGTCTGTCATAGCATGGGTGCTCAAATACTCGCTTTTACGGCGTCCCCGCGGCCGACTCCAGAGAGCAGATACGATTCTGGTTTCTGTTTACCGGGAACGGGGGATCAAGAAGGTCGATTGCCGGTTGCGTGGTTTGACGGTCTTGATAAAGCTTCTATTCACAACTTCCTTCGCCAGGATTTAGACGTGTTAGTAGCATGTCTGCCATTAACAGAGAAATCTAGGCATTTAATCGGCGAAGAGGAGTTAGAAGTTCTCGGTGAACGCGGTAGCAATGGTTTAGGGTCGGGAACACTTCTGATTAATGTTGCGCGGGGCCAGATTATTGACCAAGCGGCGTTGATCGAGAGCCTGAAGAAGCCGGTAGTTTCTGGTGGACTGCGGGGTGCTGCATTGGATGTGACGGACCCAGAACCGCTACCAAGGGGTAACGAGCTCTGGTCTCTCCCTAATGTGGTCGTTAATCCCCACGTAAGCGGGTTGACCGATCAGCATGAGAAACGCTATTTAGCTGTACTAGAGAAGAATTTAGCACGATGGGAAAAGGGTGAGCCGCTACTAAATTTGGTGAATAAAAAGAAGGGCTATTGAAATGTACCTAGGTACCTAGAATATGTATTAAACCTGCTGTAAACATGAATTTATGGATTTGGAGAACGCATAGTGAGTCCAGGTCGTCACGCGTAACAGCTATGGAAGTAACCGTAAATAGCCTAGATAGATACCTCCCTGGTAGCTAAAAATGGGGATCCAACCCCCGAAAAATAAGTGATACTACGCTAATGCTTTCTCCGCATAGGCGGAGAGGCGATCAGCGGCGTGGATGGTTGACTTCAACTCATCTTTTACACATATGTCTACTCAATATTATGATTAAGGACTTCATTGGTATCTATTTTCGTAGCTCGGATCATCTCCCGAGCGGACTTAAAGATGGAGCCACCAAAGAAGAAGCAAAGGCTTCTATCGAAAGCGTAAATACCCATATTCTAAATTACGAAAAATAGACGACTAATTGAACTGAAGTTGCGAAGGCTGTAAAGTAAGAAAAGCGAAATGTGACAGTGGGAGCCCATGCTGTGGCGCATGTCGCAAAAGGGGTAATTATCAACGGTTTGCGCTGTTATATAGTGGTCATTGGCTAATGATCAGGCCTCGTTAGGGACCGAATGCGTATACAAAGAAAAGGAACAGCCGGGACTTCGCCCAGGGTTTGGGAAGAGCTTAGAACAGCGCCTGATTCGTATGGACGACACCCTACAGCACATTCAGCAAATGCTTCAAACTTACCCACATCCATTGAACTTCCCTGGGCAGCCGATGAATGATGCATACGATTCAAATCAACTACATCAGCCCCCTCAGGCTCCACCAAATCCGGACCCCTCGAGTCCTCAGTATGAGCCGACGGGTTCTGGGGAGTTCTTCGTTGAACAACCCGAGCAGGATGATGAGATGCCCGAAGGTCTTCCTCCACGTAAAATGTTGCGAAAACTGTCGGACTTATACTTCCAATTCGCGCACCCATGGGTGAATATCTTCGACCAAACGCATCTTGAAGTGGACATATTTAATTCTGATAACCTTACTCTTCTCCACGGCATCACCACATTAGGATTGACACACTGGGATGAACCAGCATTCGATGCGGCAATGAGACAGCAATATATCGATAATTCACGGGGAAGGCTGTTGAATTCTGCACTGGAAGATATAAGTTTCACCTCAGCACAGGGCCTAGCATTTCTTGCACTCGATGCGTTAGGCCAAGGTCCTAGTAGCAGGACGTTGAATATTATGGCCCTACTCAACACGGCCATGACACAACTTGGTTTGACTCGAGATATAATTCAAGAGACGGAAGTTCTCCCTGATAACCGCACGAGAATGGTCAAAAACCAAATTATCGAATCGGGCCAAGTTCACAGTCGGGTTGATTATGAGCAGAGATGTCGCCTGTTCTGGACTGTATACACGCTAGATCGCATTGTCGGCGTTTCTCATGGGTTTGAATGTCGGATAGCGCCTGATTTATTTCAACGCACCATGCGAACGGAAGAAATTTGGACACCCCAGCGAAGGATTGAGGCGTTGATCGAAGATGTGCAAAGAAAAACCGCTAGGGCTGGATTATCAGATTCATGGCGTATTCTTGTCCAGATTAGCACTTTAATGGAGAGGGTTAACGACTTTATACTGAATCCCGTTGACCTCTGTGACTTTGCTCAGTGTCAGCAGTGGAAGAGTCATTTTAGGGCCCTGGATGCAGCACTTACCGCCTGGAAGGAATCGCAACTTCAACCCGCATTCCCCGGGGAGCTTGACCCCGTCTTGACTACCGCTAACGCCCTGTATTATACGTAAGTTCCGCCTAATATACGCTATAATCTCTTCTATATCACAGCATATCTAACCTATTACTTATTCATAGTGCGATAATTCGAATACAATCAGTCGCAGCGTTTCCACCGAAATCCAGCTCTTACTTAACGGCATCACCAACTGCTCCTAAGAGATGTCGCGAGGCCATAGAGAGTATATGCACAATCTGCGAATCTATGAATCCGGGGGACTTTTTAAAATTAGGACCCCTATTTGTATTTTCCGTATGGGTGGCTGCTCGAAACATGGTTACGCTATGGACATCTGGGTGGGAGGAGCCCACAGCAGCTGTTCCACCCGAATTAGCGACGCTGAGAAGTAGCCTGCACGCGCTATCACAGGTATGGCAATGTGCACAACATTTTACTAAAATGATTGATTTTGTTGTGGATTCGAAAGGAGAAGCTGATGAACATTCAAATTTGGCTGTCTTTAATGATGTATCCAAGACTGCGTATGGTTTGCAGACTGTTCTTGGCCCGCGCATGAAATATAGTGGAGATGCTCAGATGGCTCAGATTTGGGATTGGTTTTCTATTCCTGGTCTGGAGTTGGATAATCCTTTTGTATGATATGCATTTTTCTGGCTACATAGGGAAGCGAGATATGTATATATCACGGCAGATAGCAAACGGTGCTTTGTATTGTTGAGAAACTGGTGAACCGTGTTCTGACAGGTATCGAAATTACAGGGCTTAGAGCCCTACGATTCCAACATGATCTGCGTTAAAGCTCGCTAAAATCTCAAGCACTCTAGGTGCTATAAATTATTTGCTAAACCCAGGGCTCCTATAGGCTTTAATTTATATGCGGTGCCATCCTACGGGAGTAGTCACTGTAATTGCAGGGCATCAGGCGCTAGAGATTCTTGAAATACGGCGAGCTTCAGCGCATGACTTCTGATAATTGTACAGTACTACCGCACTAAACATCAACCAAATTACAGTAAAATTGAGGATACATGTTATAAAAAGGCCCCGATAATCTCAGTATAATTCAAACATCCTCCGCTGTAACATCCTTACTATTGCCCTCAACATGGACCACAACCCCACCGTCACTTTTCCCCTCTATCTCGAGACCAACCTCCTGGCGATGTTGGTGGGGCACGACGGTACGGCCCCCTTTCGAAGAGAAAACACCTCCGGTAAAACCGCCTTTCTCAAAGATATGATCGATATCTTCGAGGGAGAGACCCTTGGTTTCGGGGAAGAAAAAGTAAATCACCGGGATCCATGCAGCGTTCAAGACACCGAAAATGATGAATGTGCGCCAGCTGAGGTTTGCTACAATGATATTAGTATTTCCGCAGACAATGAAGTTGTGCGTGCGAGTACTTACCAATCGCTATAGGTGTGATCTTAACCACGACGAATGTAGTCATCCAATTCGACGCAGCCGTGATAGCAGCGGCTCGACTTCGTAAGCGGGTAGTATTAATCTCGGAGGGATAGAACCAAGCAATGGGATGCCATCCGATTCCAAGAAAGGTCTGGAAAAGAAATATCATTGCGGCGGCACCATATGCTGCGCCTACAGTTTCGAAAGATAATAAGATGGTGGCTACGATGAAGCACATGGATAGACCGGCCGAGGACCACATAAGTACTAAGCGGCGGCCGTGGAAGTCGGTGGTGAATAGTGAGATGAATGATCCGATTAGGTAGGCTACGCCTGTGCAGCCCCCGAGAATTAATGATGTGTGGCGTGAGATCTTCATGGTGCCCTGATAAACGACGGGAGCGTAATAGTTACTAAAACGTTGTTAGACAAGAATATTAAAAACGCGTATAGAGGAATCATACATCATGTTGGCACCTGTGAACTGTTGCATAATCATAATCACTACAGTTAATGTAGTTCTGCGCCAGTTCTGGAGTTTACCACCAGAGAATAGTTCCTTGTAACTGAAAGGACCTCCCCTGGAGGCTAACTCTTGAGCAGTGTGGATTTCCTGCAGGCTGAGTTGTACCTCGGGATGATCTTCAGGGAGGTCGTGAAGAGCTGAAAGTACAGCTTGGGCCTCTTGTCCGCGGTCTTTCAAGACGAGCCATCGAGGGGATTCGGGCAGGCCAATGACCTGAACGAGAAGGCCTAGGGCGAAGATGCCCTGAAAAGCTAGGGGGAACCGCCACTGGAAGTCCGAATCGTAGAAGCTGGTGCCGTAATCAAGCCAATACGCTATTAACAAACCGACAATAGCTAGCAAGCCCTGGATTGACAGAATTGCCCCGCGGTTCTTAGGTGGACAACATTCTCCGAGATAAACGGGTGATGTCGCGCAGTTGATTCCCATGCCCTGTACATGGAGAAGTCAGCGCCTAATGGATTATCTTGTAGCATGCAGCTCAGGGGTTCTCACCACTCCGGTTATAATTCTACCTGCAATTAATTGGGCGATCGAGGTCGAGCTAGCCAGTATAATAGTCCCTATAATTAGGGTACTACCGGCAAGCATGATCATTCTCCTTCGTCCGAGGGTCTCGCCAACCACGTAACTTAGAATAGCTCCGGCTACTGCACCAATCTATTTTTTCAACGTCAGTTAACATGCACCAAATAACTATAATTGGAATACTTGCATCAAAAAGTGCCGTGATATTTCCTTGCACATTAGGATCTGGGCTGTTGAAGTAATCGCCAAACGCATTGTCCGCTCCAATGATGCCGCTCATAACACCTAGCAGAGTGTTAATAAAACTTGATTCATTCATACCATTGGAAATTATTAGAGAATATTTTCGCACCTTGATCATAACCAAAGACTATGAAGCCTTGACAGGTGCATGCTAACATTATTGTTAGTATAAGTCTTTCGTGATAGTTGAACATTGACATGTATACCTGTGATGGCAGCGACGAGCGCATTGCCACGGAAATTATGTTTCCAGAGCGGCATATTGTGTCTTGTTCTGGTAGTAAATTCGCAATTTCTGGACCGAGCGTAGCAAACTGGCGACCTTTAAAACTGGCGTAGGCCGTTGGAATTATATAGCAAATATTTGCACTAAACTGCCCAGCCTAGACTTCAGGGCTTGAAGTGTTGCCAATGCCTATATTCCCCGCAACTCCACAATCCCCAGATTATGCCCCAGATCCAGACCGACGGTAGCTATCCCATTTATTATACGGGATTAACGGATAGAGTTGCATTTTTGGTTTGATTCATCAGGGGGTTTTCAGGTGACGACGACGATATTGGGCTCACGGCGAAGCTTTGCGCCGGATTCCTGATTTTAGTTCGTCTTGGCCGGTTCGAAAATGTCCCGTTAGTAGAGCGGCACAAGTAGTGCGGTTTAAGATCGTACCGGAGCAATAGGGGCTAATAGTTACTATACCGGGCGAGTGCATGGGTATACCGTGGATATTGCGTAGCTCCCGAGGTATCTTGCTGAGTAAGGGATTATCTTCGTTATGATTGATCCGGGTTCCTATAGCTACAAAGAGGGAGACTTTCCTGTTTTTGTCCCTTCGGATTACGCACTCATGGGTGGTATGTGCTGTGTTTTCGACAGGGTTAACATTCAAGATGGACTTTCCTAGGATCAAGGCACTTAGAACCTTCATCATTGATGAAAAGGGAAGCGGTGGAGACTATCATAATGTAGGAAATTATTTTCCTCGTTTATAATAATAACTTGCTAACTTGGTCCTTAGGTAGAGTCGGGCCATTGGTTAGTAGATAGCGATATTGCGACACCCATGTCCAGATGGGAGAAATATCGAGGTTCTAGAACTAGTTGGGGCGTCAACGCGCTTGGTTCCTTGTTCGTCGAGATCGAAGCGACAGATGGGACCAAAGGCTTTGCTACCGGGTTTGGCGGGGTTCCAGCCTGCTGGCTCGCAAGTAACCACTTTAAGAGGTTTCTTATTGGAGCCGGTGCGTAGCCCTAAGAGGCAATTCCCATATAGTATTTCGTAATACTGATAGCGAATGAGACAGACCCGAGGGACACGAATAACCTGTTCGAACTCATGTACCGAGCCTCCATATACTACGGACGAAAAGGTCTCGCGCTCGCCGTTATTTCAGCTATCGACTTGGCTATATGGGATCTTCTTGGAAAAATTCGAAACGAACCAGTGTATAAATTGATCGGCGGTGCCACCAAGGAGCGCCTCGAATTTTATTGTACGGGACCACAACCCGCTAGCATCAAGGAGTTGGGGTTCACTGGTGGGAAAATCGCGTTACCATTTGGTCCGAACGAGGGCCAAAAAGGTTTAGAGAAGAACATCGCCTTTATCGCAAAGCATCGAGAGCAGGTCGGTCCTGAGTTCCCGCTGAGGGTAGACTGCTACATGGCACTCGACGTCTCTTATACCGTTGACCTCGTCTCGGCTGCGAACCGGAGAAATTTGAATGTGGACTGGTGGGAAGAATGCTTATCTCCTGACGACTTCGACGGCTATGACTTGTTGAAGAGAGCGCACCCGTCTGTGAAGTTTACCCATGGCGAACATGAGTACTCGAGATATGGCATGCGGAAATTGGTTGAAGGGCGTAATGTCGATATTTTGCAGCCGGATGTTACTTGGGTTGGTGGACTAACGGAGCTCCTTAAGATCTCAGCGATGGCTGCCGCCTACGATATTCCTGTTGTACCACATGCGAGTGGCCCATACAGCTACCATTTTACTTTCTCGCAGATAAATTGCCCCTTCCAAGAATGTGTCGCGGCAAGTCCTGATGGGAAATCCATTCTACCTGTGTTTGGCAACTTGTTTCTCAATGAACCAATACCAGAGAATGGCTTTCTTCACATCAGCAGTATCAGCAAGCCTGGGTTCGGGTTGGAGTTGAATCCCAAGGCAAACTTGGTTTCGTCTGAGCGTCTCTTCTACCCGTCACCGTCGAAAACCCTTGAGGCGCCTACAAATGGAGATGGCCTAAAAGGAGAGAACCATTACGTAGGATCATAACAGTTGTAAATAGTTGAAACTCGGTATATAGAAAATTAACAAAAAGATAACATCATGATTCAATTTGACGATCTGCCTGACTGCTCAGCGGTGGATAGCGAGAGTCCCGTGAAAGTCTTTAAACCACTAGTGACGCCCTTTTATCGCGGGAGTGTAGCGCGTAACGTTCAATGAAGTCCACTATCACTTTAGGGCGTATAGCACCTAGGTACCTAGAAATTAGGTGTTTTGGGTTGGGGGGATACCTGAGCGCCAAGGAAATATTAAGATTTAGCGATTGAACGCAAGGATTAAATCGTTTCGCCAGGGAACAAGGCGCCATGGTTTAGCGCAAGAGACCCTAGGATGTCATGGATGTCTTGAAAGACAGTCGACAGCTCTAATTATATAAATTATTCTTACCACAGCCGAAGTAAGCAGTAATTGAAATTTACTTCCCAAATCCTCAGAAACCCGCTAATGTTTAGGTAGTCCGACCGTATATCTCGAGAGCGTTGGTTCACTGAATTTGTTAAACTATCAGAATTTACTGGTTGATATCCACTTGTCCGCTCTATTTCGGCGCATCTTTGCACCGGTGTCTGGCGTCGGTGTAGGTAGACCGTACTAACTCGGTGTATCGTCTGTAAACTAGAACGTCTAACTTGAGGTGAATCATACGACTAGATTTGACTGGATGAAGTACATAATTGCTGGTGATCGTTGGTAGAAAACTGTCAAAGAGAAACCGTACCCAAATAAAGTCTCCGGGGCTCGAATTAGGTACTGACCTAAGCACTGATCAACCAGTAACGCCCCTAATTTACAGGGCATTTTCTCAATCATGGCTCTCTCAAACATGATCTGTATTCGCGACCTCGAAGTTGCTGCAAAGTCCATTCTTAGTAAAACAGTATTGGGTACGTATGTTTGCCTACCTTTCGCTAAGTCGCTAAAACAGAGTAAGATATTGGCTAATACGAATGATAGAATATTTCAACGATGGCTCTGAAGAAGGACTTGCCGTGGCCTCAAACTTGTCAGCGTTTGACAAGTACAAGATTCGACAAAGGGTTCTCAGGGATGTTTCTAACGTCAAAACTGAGAAGAAGGCATTTGGGAAAACCATGTCTTTCCCACTAGCTATCGCACCATCTGGAATGCAATGCAGTAAGTTTCCTCCAATAGACCCGGCTGTTTGGTGGTATTGAAAGCTTTTCAACGTGAGTTGAAAGTCTTAGGATATCAGTGCACTGTTGTAGAGAGTTAGCGGCTGAATTTGTGTATTTTAGTGGCCCACGAGAATGGCGAGAGAGCGACCGCGAGAGCTGCTACTAAGGCGGGAGTTTTCATGGGTGTATCAACCTTTGCCACAACTGCGCTCGAGGATGTCAAACGCTCGGGAGACGAATTCGGCGAAAATGTATACTTGTTGCAGTTGTACATCTTCAAGAATCGCAAGACCACGGAAAACTTGGTCAAGCGTGCTGAAAAGGCTGGTTACAAGGGTATTCTGCTCACCTGTGACACGCCTAAGTTGGGTAACCGTTATAACATGACTCGAAATAACTTCAAGCTCCCTCCGCATTTAAACTTGCCCAATTTCGGCAAGGAAAAAGTTGGGCCACTTATTCAACATGTGGTTGGAGATGGCAGCAAACAGGAAGATGATTCTAACATCAACGGTTAATAAACATACCAAGTTTTCATGCGATCGTAAAGTTAACAAGTTCTTAGATGATTCAATAACTTGGGATGAAGCCTTACCGTGGTTAAGGTCTATTACCAACATGGAAATCTGGCTCAAGGGCATAAGTACCGCGGAAGACGTGCGACTTGCAGCCCAGTCACCAGCAAATGTGGCTGGTATCGTTGTTTCCAATCATGGAGGTCGACAATTGGAATCTGCCATGGCGACCTTGGATTCACTACCCGAGTGCGTCCAAGCTGCAAAATCAGGAAATAGGCCATTGCAAGTATGGGTTGATGGAGGTATTAAAAAAGGTAGCGATATTTTCAAAGCGCTGGCTTTAGGGGCTGACGGGGTTATGATTGGAAGAATTCCTCTGTGGGGGCTAGCAATAGCTGGGGAACAGGGGGTTTCCAAAGCCCTGGAGATACTGAAGGCAGAGTTCCAACATACAATGGCTCTGGCTGGGTGCAAGACTTTGTCAGATATTACACCTTCGAGTTTGGCGAGGGTTACAGAAGGAGGTTTTTATGCGAAATTGTAATGATATTAATGGACTTGTAATGAGAATTTCCATACTATTTAGTCGAAATTGTGTTCCAGCCATCTGTTCCTTGGCTTGGAAGGGGAGTTTTGAAGATCAGTGCTTGACCGTGCGCTGATGGCGTCGCTGTCCGCCCAAGCGTCATCGCATTGAGACATTGGAAGAAATAATTACGCACAACTTTCCGCTCTTCATATTATCACACGGATGTGGATTTTTTTGGGCCACAGATCTCTATGCCGTGTAGTCATTTTTAGTATATCTCTAGTACTTAAATTATGATCTGTTCAGAACTGCCCGGACGACAAAGAATCTTCTCCGCACATATGATTCTTTTACAGCTGGTGTGGCTCGATTGAGTGCTTACTCCTGCCCATGCGACTCGCTAAATGTACGATCCGCCATATTACCGTATTTATTCTATCCAATTAGTATTCTTCATTATTTCGAATACCGACACGCTGTAAGTGGAGTGTTCATATCGTGAATGTATGACATAATTGCTGACCTGCGTGGCTTCAGTTACATCCGTCATATTAGCTGAATTATATCATGATAGGCGTCACTATGCGCCCGATAGCACCCGAAATGGCAGCTCGACCTGCACTGCACGCTCCCCCGCACCAAAGCCCCAGATCTTCGCCTGGAGATCCGTACCGGTAGTCCCGGCGTTGCAGTCATGATAAGCCGGCACGTAATATGAGCTAACAGGCGGTGAATTGAAATTCAGCCCGTGGGGTCCTAAGACAGGCTTACTAGGGCCCGGACTCTAGACATTTATAAACCGGGAGCTGCCTTGGATTTGGAGCGTCTAGGTCGCTTGAACTAAGCATCACCCCGTGCAGTACTATCACGATGTGGCTCGGATCCGGTAACGGTTGGTGGTTTACCGCTCTCTTTCTCGCTCGCTCTAATGCGTGTTTACACGAGAGGCTCCCAACCTCATCCGTGGTAAAAAGGCAAGATACTCCCCAGGTGCCTTTAAGTCCACAGGAAGCAACCCTCGTAGACGCTATTTCTAATACCACCATTTCGGAATGGTCCTATTATTATACCCATGGCGCCCATCTCGCCGGTAAAAATCAGACGATGGCGGAGTGGACGGCGGAACGGTGGAAAGAGAATGGCTGGAATTCGAGTGTTGTTTCTTACGATGTCTACCTGAACTACCCTGTCAACAAGTCTCTAAGTTTGACGTATTCTAATGGTACCATTTTAACACCAAATTTGGAGGAGGCTGTGCTTGATGAGGATGAGACGACTAGCTATCCCAATCGAATACCTACATTTCACGGGTACTCAGCTAGCGGAAGCGCTGATGCAGAATTCGTCTACATCGGGCGCGGGCAGCAGGTTGATTTTGATAGGTTGACCAGTCTGGGCGTACCGCTGGAAGGCAAGATCGCTATTGCTAAATACGGGGGGCCGTTTAGGGGATTAAAAGTGAAAAATGCGCAAGAGAATGGAATGATTGGCGTGGTCATTTTTACAGACCCCTCTGAAGACGGGAACATTACCGAAGCTAATGGGTACACCGCTTACCCTGACGGCCCCGCACGGAATCCATCGGCTGTCCAGCGAGGGAGCGTGCAATTCCTGTCAATATATCCGGGCGATCCCACAACCCCTGGTTATCCTTCAAAAGAAGACTCGCCGCGCGCTGACCATTCGCAAGTAGTCCCTAGAATCCCTTCGATTCCAATATCATATGTGAATGCTATTCCAATTCTTTCCGCGCTCGATGGACACGGGACAACTGGTGCAGAAGTCAATCGTACGGGTTGGGTTGGCGCATTGAATGTCTCATACAGCACCGGACCAGCCCCCAATACGAAGATTAGCCTATCGAATCTTATGGAGGACGCATACACGCCGATTTGGGATTCAATTGGGATAATCAACGGCACGATCGCAGATGAGACAATTGTGATAGGGAACCATCGGGATGCATGGATCGTAGGAGGCGCCGCCGACCCAAATAGCGGAACTGCTATTATCGTCGAACTGTCTAAGGCATTTGGAAAGCTTTTGTCTCAAGGATGGAGGCCGAAGCGAAATATTGTTCTAGCATCCTGGGATGCTGAGGAATATGGTCTCGTTGGCTCAACCGAATGGGTTGAAGAATACATACCCTGGCTTACGGAGACTGCGGTATCGTACTTGAACATCGTAAGTAGTATTCTAATATGTTTAAAGGGCCCAGTTAGGAATGACTACTTCAAAGCGGTGGTTGGTAACATAATATTTTAGGATGTCGGCACTTCTGGGCCCTGGCCGTACATTGAGGCAACGCCCGAGCTCCATACGATCGCCACGGATGTTATGAAGAAGGTTTTGTGGATGAATACGACCCGTACGATGTACGACGCTTGGTTCGAATATACACAAGGTGGTATGTATCAAACTTGCCCCTTTATTTCACATACTTAGGTACCTTGGTGATGAAGCTTAGCTAACTTTTATATAGTACGTAGAACAACAATCCCCTAACCCCACTATCTGGGACAGGGGCTGCCTGTAAAATTTTGATACTGGGTTGCTAACAGGTATACCAGTCGATTGGTGTATTGGGCAGTGGCAGCGACTATACATCTTTTGTTCATAAAGGAATTGGCGCTGTAAGTCTGCTTCCATGGTAGAGAACGACTTTTAGGCTGCTATTAACAGCTTGTAGATTGACATGAGCGCTGGCCCGGGCTCGACAGACCCCGTCTACCACTACCATAGTAACTTTGACTCTTATCATTGGGTGAGTAGTTGACTTGTACGACGGCTACTTTCGGCGACAATGTACTAAATCTGAGAATTATAGATGTCGACATTCGGAGACCCTGAGTTCCTAGCGCATAAATCTATGGCTCAAGTATGATCGCCCATTCATTCATTCGAGTGTGGTCAAAGCAGTGCTGACCGTAGCTTAGTATCTAACCCTTCTAGCATATGCTCTCGCAGATGAAGACGGAATTCAATTTGATTTGCCTAATTATGCTACCCAATTAGAAACCTATTACGACGATCTTCTTTCTACGATAGATTCAGCATCGCTGGATTTGGATACTTCTACGCTCCAGGATGCGATAAACGAGTTCAAAACCGGAGCTGCGGAAGTGCAAGACCTTGAGAATCAGGCTATCGCAGCGAACGACTCTAGTCTCCTTACCTTGGTAAATCACAAGTATAAAGATTTCCAGAGGGGCTTTACGTCACAAGGCGGTTTACCCAATCGCGAGTTTTATAAGCACCTAATTTTTGCGCCAGGACTTGATACTGGTTCGTATATCATCTCCAATTCACTGATGAGTACCTAGGTAAATAGCCACTAGGCATGGTGCTGACATTTTTCTTTCCCAATAGGTTATGCGGCTACGACGTTCCCCGGTATAACGGAGGCGGTAGAAGTTAAGAATGTGTCGCTGGCAGCTCAATTTGTACAAAGGACTGCAGACGCTATCTTGGTAGCTGCGAACATAATCAAGACTTGATTTAATGTATAAAACAAAATATCCAGCCCAAACAAAGAGACTGTATATTCTCGTGGTGTAGTGTTGTAGTTAGAGAATGAAGTTGATGCGCTTGTTTGCTGCTGGGTATAAAGACAAAACCGGCTCTAGGCGGTAATGTTAATCATACAGCCTACTTGGGTACTATAAATATGTTACCCGTTTCCCTGCGATGGCGATAGTAGAGCGCTAAAACTTACATGAGTAGGTACCTACAGTACAGGGCATGGATGGTGGGATTGGGCGCTCTGTACTACCCCTTAGTAGGTACATGTTCATCCCTGAATCGTCGAGACGAGTAAAAAAACATTGAATACAAATTAAATTTACATTATCCACGACTTGGAAGCTCCTGTATACATAGCACATTGGATTCGCGTAGTTGCGTGTAATAATTTATGATAGAACCAAAGAGCACACAAGATACTTGTTCGAATCAGCCAAACGTTGTCTTCCCATCTCAATACATTTGTTTATCAATCATGAATGTATATATATGTAGAAACCCGCGATGTCGTATGTTCACAAGGAGGCGACTTCTCAACAGAAATATCAGTTTAACATCTCTATATTCTATATTCGTTATTTATTTACACTTAATACCCTAGCTACGCCTAGACGGAAAAAATGAGCACTGTGCCTTTTGAGGTCATAGAGGTGGAGGCTCACTCTACCATAGCACGCGAATTAGAAAAACATTACTACAATACCGTAAAAGATATAATAGAAGGGCCCGGTAGCGGCCCATACACCCCAAGAGGGAGGTATGTGCGGGTTCGTGAGGACCCCGATGGCCCCGATATCCTAGCCAATGACTGGTACAATAGAAATGGGATACCACACCAGGTTTCTTTGCCCGGACAACAAGGCTGGTGGCCTCTTAAGCTATGGATGATGGGATTAGCTCGGGGGGTAAGTGGTATTGTTTCTTCGCTCTTGTTCACGTTTATGTGAATGATTTGAAACCTCTAGCTTAATGGGAAATAACTAATTTTTCCTGTTCTAGTGGACTGACTGGGTGAAAGATAAAACGAATGATAGGGATAATTTTGGTACCTACGAACTTAGGTACTTCAATTTTTTTAATGCAATGAAAAAGCGCATTGCTGTCCAAAAGATCCAAGCATTTTGGACGCGTTTTGCACATAAACGCCAGGTAAATGCTCTGACGCGTGGCCCGTATTCAGAAATCCTCGGACCCTTGAAAAGCCGAGTAGAACTGATTATGGTCACTCTAATTGGGTTGAACAGAGACCCCAGCGATGTGGATCACGGCAACACCCTAAGAGAGTTCATAGCCTCATTGGTCGTTACGGAACCGTTTAGGGAATACCGGTTGAGTTACCTCGAACAAAATCCACAAACGAAGAACCCGTGTTGGAACTTAATCCAGCCTGTTCTAGGAAATATTGATATCCATGGCTCCTTAAGGGCGACTTACGGCACGGGCGACGAAGTTGAAATGATTGATGTGGATAAAAGTTCATGGTCCCATGAAGACCATGCATGCAGATTCATACGCAGTGTTTATCAACGTGCTCTAATTGCGTTAGAGTCTGAAGGTTTACAGTCAGGGGATTTTGAAGGGGGATTCATGAGTTATTTCTTCATGGGAGATGGCGAAAACACAGTCGACATAGGTAATAAATACGTGAGTACTAACACCTCCTACCTCCCTTCCCCTTATTTCGCTTCCTCGTATTCCTGCGCAAAGACTCTCTTAAACCCGACACAGATTGTATTATCCAAGTTTCCTTAAAATCAATGCTAATTCTTCTTTTCACAGTGGTTTGGATTTTCTTTACTATGTTTACTTATAAAAAGTTGGCAATTTAATGAACTTTATCCGAGCAACGACTTTGAGCGCGTACTTGTTCCAGCCCTTTACCCACTCTACCAGCCGCATAGATATAACTTCCCGGCCGCTGAAGTTGGTCAAATTGATCTATCGCCCGAGACGCATTGGGTATCTGCAGGAAAGGACACTCCCATTGATTTTGAGGATTTAGCACGGCTAGGTCTTGCGGATGTGCTTGAGGAGGACGATTTAGACGAGCCAGAAAGTGATACGATACTCCCGGAAAACGGGTACCCTGACAGCGACCTGGGCGAGAGTGTCAGTGGTAACGGGGAACAAAGAGATTACCGTACTCGGTATCGTGATCGATATGGCAATTTACTATACCTTGAGCAAGTGAGCCCAACTCCAAGTGAACTGGAAGGAGAGTAAGGGGAAGGGAAAGGGGACGCAAGTCCAGACACGCCTCCAGGTTTTAGTTCAAGTGAGAGCGCTGGGTACGTTTAGCGAGACTCCGAAATAAGCCTCTTGTTTCCTAATAAACAGTAGCTTATATCGTCTCATGATAATCTGAACTAAATGTTTTATAACTAAATATTATATTATATTACCTCTAAAAATTTGATGTCATGCATATAACAACCCCCAAGAGGACAAAAGAGGCATCAGCTTCCTTTTCCTACCACGCCCAGCAAAGGGGAAATTTTAAATTCGAAATGATGTAGCGTCCATGTGACATACATATATCGGCTCTATTTGTAATTGATTCTATAAATAAAACATTTTATAGCATAAAGCCCAACGCCTACCTATACCTACCTAGGTACTTGGGATACTCATATAGAAAACAACCATAACAAACCCAGACTACCTACACGTAATTACCCAGATACGTATCCGATCCAGGTTTATCATGTATTCACCTTGGCCCAGAATGCCATGAGGTCTTGTCCAGCCCGTAGTAGGTCTCGTTCGTGTACTTGTTCATAATAAATTCTGTTTTGCATATAGGAGTCCCTATCATCAAAAAAGTGCCTTTGTCGACGTCTCCATGCTCTATACATGGCTAACTCTACCACAGTTGGTTTTTGTTGCTCTTCTTCTCCCTCAACTACCTCGTTGTACGGGTATCGGGTAGGTAATCGTACTCCATGGGTCCGAAGTTCCTCTATGCGATGGTCTTCTTCAACATCCTCAGCTATTGGGGAAGCTTGCGCTTGTTTGATCGTAGTTCCCTTGTCTCGTTCTATGGCGGGCGATTCCACTCGAGGTAGCATTTGTTGCATCAGAGAAAATTGGTTCATTGCCTGTAATTCCAACTGAGTACGGTCGTGGACTTTGCAATCATACAACTTGATAAACCGATTCGGTTTTCTGGTTCGTTGCATGATAACTGTTTTACCACGTTTCCTCTTCTTGCTGGGAGTATCTGTGGAATCTTCTTCATCTTCGGATAAGAGACCTTCGTCGGACGATAGATCCTGAGGGCGTGGCATTATATGGGCATTTTTCGCTGCGAACTCCGCAAACTCGATGTACTTGCCCGCAAGCCTTTTCCTCTCGTTTTTGAAATGCGGCCTTGGGACAAACTCGGGAGTTACATGGCGGCGGAGTAGTCTCGGGTCTAAGATGCCACTTTCTCCTACATAGACTCGGGCGTTCGACGGATAAGAAATTTCGGTCTGCTCGAACCACAAATTCTCGAGAAGTAATGGGGGCCTCCATTCCGCGAACCCTGATTTATATATAGCTTTATTTCGTGCATCGTGTCGGCCTAGATTATTTGATATCCACGCCTGATGGAAGACAGTAACGTGCCATACTTTACCACCTTTAAGAGTTTTGCGCCGCTCCTTAATTGAATCGAACAAGACCCTGTCACGAACCCTTCTCATTCCTTCTCGAATCCTCTTGGTCTCATGTTCTTTGCGAAGAGAAGCCCATAGCTCGTCGTCGAAGTTACGTGTGTTGGGAGGCGGTTGTTCTAGTTCGGCGTTGACCTCTTCGAGGGCCAGCTCGTAGTTTACCAGTGCTATACACCTGTTGTCGAGCCTCAGCCGCATCGAAGTCCGGAAAAGTGGTGAGTGTGACATTTTCGCGAATATTAACCCTCGTGGACGGAGTAAAATATATACAACAGGTGTAGGAGGAGCGTGAGGTGAGTCCCTGACTATGAAAACGCCATATACGGGGTTTTATATTTATGGCGTAACAGCTTTGAAACGAACTTTCTCGTCTAAGATAGAGACATATGGTCGTTAGTCTGGTCCAGACAACGGCCCTTCCTTTTCTTTATACCTCCGTAATGAATCCCTTTATGTGCGAAGGAACTCCAAATAGTCTATTGTATTTCTATTTAATCTTTGTGTAGGGCCATACTTCGTTATAAATCGAGTCTTAGGCTTTTAGTTATTAAAAAAAGGAGGTTATTTCATTAAGTTATGAATGTGACCCCGAAACAATACCTCTGTTCCACGTATAGGGCTGGGTTTCTTTTTGTCGTTTGAACAAATGCCTGTTTTATATTCATCTTATGTAGAACAGTGTCTTAAATCATATACCGGAATGTGACTGCCTTGTCGCCCTTCGCCGAGAGTTCTTCCGCAGTGAACTTGGCCTCGTGGCCCCTAAGCATGGCCTTGTCTCTCTTCTTGTTGACGAAGGTATATCCAAGGACAGCGATGAAGGCGGCAACAAGACCCACACCGAGGAATCCGAGTTCTAAGGCATGGCCAAGTATGTACCGCGGAGAGTCTTTCTGACGGTAGAAATTTGACGCCATAGCCCCGCCGAGATTTCCGATTCCAATTTGAATGGCCATTCCGGCACTGCGCTTGTAACTACCGGCTAGATTATTCGAAAGCCATGTAACAACGCCCGGGAAGGCGGGGTATATGGCACAAGCTACCACGAAAACGCCGCCGTATACTACTCGAGGGTTGGAAGTTGATATACACCTGATACGTGTAAATAATCATGTAAGACTTATGTGGTACCTGGTTGGGATTTTGACTTACATTGCAAACCCGACGATCATCATGATGAAGAACGAAATGACGAACGGACTGCGCTTTCCCACACGATCGGATATAAACGCAAAAACGACGGCTAGAATCGCAGCCGTAATGTAAATTGGCACAGTCATGAGCTGGGCTGTGCTTGACGAGTATCCTAAGTTTTTGATAATGGTAGGGAGGAAGAGGCTAATGCCATAAAGTGGACACACGACCTATGAATGTTAGAAGATTAGTTGCAGTCTGCGAGATGTTGTCAATGTAACTTACACCCCAGTAGACGACGAGGTTTACCCAAACCTGCCAGTCTTTAAAGGCCGCCAAAACATATCTCCAGTCAAACTCATCTGCTTGAGCCACTTGTGTCGCGGTCTTTTTTTCCCCTTGAATCTGCCCCTGGTACTTAAGACGGAACACGACGAATTCTCGTTCCTTTTCGGTAAGAAAAGTAGCGGTTTCAGGGAAGTCGTATAACACGAAGAATGCGATGAGTGCGGCGACAACCTGAAGGACTTAGATTTATTCCGCGCAGTGTGCTCATAGGTTCTCACTTACTGTCGCAAGCCCCTCGAGGATGAAAATCCAACGCCAACCTTCTAAATTCCCAATGCCATCCATTTTCGCAATCGCAAAAGCTAGAAGCCCACTGAAAGCCCCAGCTATTGATGCGGCCGAGAAGAACATAGCCTGGTGAGTGGTCAGCAAGTTGACGACATAAGCAAGCAAGCGGGGCAGTTAATGATCGACGATTTATTCGTACCTGGCGAAATTGAATCTCGTGTCGACAGTACCACATAGTAAGATAGTACTTGGCAATATGTTAGCATTGGCTAGTTGGGTTGGGCATTGTATATCCAGATACTCACAGCGCATCCGGGATACAAGCCTGCTTCAGTTACGCCAAGAAACAATCTAGCAACGAGCAGGCCCTGGAAACTCTTAACTAAGCCCATCAATGTCATTACGGACCCCCACTACAATGTGTGAAGTTAGTTAATGATCAATTAAATAGATATGAAGAAGCGACTAGGGAAATATAGGTTGTAAATTCTTGGTGTATATATGCAGCGACTTGTGTCGATCGTGAAGAGATAGGACTGAAATACGTCTGTGTCTAAGCACTTACCGCGACCATGATAAGAGGGATCCACCTAGATGGACGTAATCTCTTTAATAGTAAATTGCTTGGGACTTCGAATGCCGCATATGTAAAGAAGAACGCCGTCAAGCACCAATTATATTCATCGGGGCTCATCCCCAGGTCTTCTTGCAGACCTTCGATCTTGGCGTTACCGATGTTTCCTCTGTCCAGGAAGGACAATAAATACAGAATTGCAAGCATTGGTATTAGTCGTATATCCATCTGATAGAAGGTATTAGGGTTAGTTAATGGTTCGTATGGGCTATAAGGACTCGCCAAACACGAAGAAGGGTCTCAACCTTTCTTAGTATTTTTTTCTCATCTAGATCGGCAAAGGACTCAAGCGTGGTCCCAGCTGCCGTAGCAAGGGCATCAATTCGATCAATCTCATTATAAGATTCTTTTCCGCCATTGAATTCATGATGCTCGACATCAGACGGATTAGAATCTAGAACCTTATTGCTAGACGCCATGATGATCGGAGCTGTTCCCACGCTATGTGGACGTTGGGTGTTTGGCGAGTGAAAGGGCCGACTCTTTTTTAGCAGGACGGGGGGACCGCGCCATGGGAATGAACACTTATAGCTGCTGAGCGTAAGATCCTTCCTTTACTGGAGCATTCCAGTGAGAGGCACTAATAAACCATTCCCGCGGGCTACACGTGCGGGGGACCTCGGGGGGTCGATTACATCATTAGATAGGTACTGAGACAACAAAGGACTAAACAAAGGAGCACGCGAGTTTATTGGAGGTTATGAGTTCATTCCCCGCTGATTCGGATACTGGAGTTAAGGGATCTTTGTGGAACATAACGCCGGTAACCAGTGAAAATGAGCTAGCATAATTAGAGGCTTTACATCCCTGCTTCTATCAAGCCTTCTAGGTGGAAGCGGGCTGAGGGAATACTAATTCGGCAGAGCTATCGGCAGTCTTTATTAAATACTACCCAGTTAATCAGGGGACTTTACGAGCGATTCTCGCGGAGACTGTGGATACTCCCCCGCGAGTCCCCCAAGCTAGCACAATGTTGCGGGGGAAGTGGGTGGTGCTAAGTCTCTATTCAGATCCTTGCGGGTACCTGGGCGGTGTTCCTATCATGGCACACCTTGGTAGTGTAGTTCGGGTTACTGAGTTGGGTGGGACCCTATAAGATTACTTGATCACACCTGTTTGAATTAATATTTTCGATCGACTAACTACCTAGGTATCTACTCTCCGAGTTATGTCCCATGAGGCCGCATAGCGGTGCCTCCAACAAAGAGTTAAGCGACCCAAGAAAAACCTGTTCACCACCGACGTTTGTGAGAGCGGTCGGTTATCTTTATTTCGAAGTACAGGAGAGCCGCTCGCTGTCAGAAACTGCTTTTTACCGGACATAGTTCCTCCAATTATCGTTCCTGTACACCATCCGTGCTACCTTGGTGGATTCGATAGAGGGTCATAGCTGAGACAACTGCAGCCCCGACTCCACTGCCATCTTCCGCGCTTGTAATGATAATGGGATCTTCTCTCCTATCTTTGTCCCAACGCAGAATTTCACCCAGCGCCTTCGCCCATCGTTCTTTAAATTTTGGGTGCTTATTCGCCACCGTCCCATCCGCCGCGACGTGACCTGAGGTTATATTCTTCATTCGGCAAATAGCGGCAATACCACAAGAGCAAAGCCTTGCTCCGCGATTCGCTATAACGCTCGCTAGGAAGCAAGCCATCTTCGTTTCGCTCAGTGTAACATGGATACCTAAACATTCTTTGAGGCGGGCGCAACACGCATCTAGGGGATCATCTTCGAGGTCAGATAAAAGCCCGGTGTCTAGTTTGTAGGGTTCGTTTAGATCGGTTAGATCTTGGCCTGGAAAAAGCAGACCCTTGTCATGCAGATCCAGGATTATAAGCCGAAAAATCTCCCCAAGGTACAAGCCCGCACTCATTTTCTCGAAGCTTTGTTCACCCGGTCGCGGTGATTCTTTGTCAATTATCAAGTCGTATTTCGTCCGCGGCAGTACGCAATGGGCGTTATCAAAAGCGCCATATTCGCAGTTAATGACCATGGGAGTATCTGGAGGCAAATTTGTCTGCAATTTGGATATCGAACCGACGTTTTCTACGTATGCTGCGTTGCAACCAGTACCGAATATTGCACCGATGATCGTCTTGGGATCCTTGTATGCCGAAGCCACCATGGCCCCGGTTGTGTCATTAACAAGTGCTACTAGTTCCAAAGGTAGGCCCTATATTTTTATTAACTCTTGGCTGCGATAATAAAGGTGATGGACGATATCTTACTCGCTTCGACAAAGCATTCCTTAATTGTGCCGCGGCATCCCCACCCTCCACACCATCAATGTCGAACCCTTTCGTCCACGTCTTCAACTTTCCATGGTCGATATATTCTTGCGACGCTGGATAGGAGAAGCAGAAACCCAACGGCAACCTAATAACCAGTCAATTTAAGTACTGCTGCGAACAAAGTCTAGATGACCTGGTATAATACGTACCGGTCTTTGCGATTTGCTGTAAGTTGATGCGCTTTAAGGAACTCTTCAAGAGAATCCGTGAGGAAATTCCATAACGCCCTAGCATCACCCGTCTTTATCGTTGGGGGTAGGCGACACGCATGTTGCTTGACGTCGATTTCTTCAGGTTGTCCCTTGAGCCTAACCAAACATACCCGTAGGTTGGTGCCACCCAAATCTACCGTCACGAATTCGCCAATCTCGTGGCCAGAGGGAAGCCCAAGTACCCAGGTGACATTCATAGACTATTTAACCGTTAACACTTTCGATGCGATGGTGGATTAAGTTACTGGCCTACAATATTGGATCCTTCATTTTCGAGGCCCTCTCGCAACTCTTCCTCGAATCTTTCGCTTATTTGCTTGAGCTTTTCCCCGGTGACATTGAATTGACTTTCAATTTCAGCGAGCTCTTTTCGAAGGCTTGGTGATATATCTTCTAAGTCGTTCATTTTCGCTTGTAGGTGAGCTTCCCACGTCGGTATTTCTCGGTAACTCGCTTAAGTACCCTTTAAAACAGAGAATAATTATATTTCTCTCGAACAACTTCATAAAAACAAGCTCGTTTGATTACTTTATTATCTAGATATATTCACTATAACTTGAGCACCTAAATATTGCTGAAGCTGAGCGACTTGGCCCACTTTGTGGCCAAGACTTGACGTAAGACTTCTCGAGTTGAGTCTTGGGTCCATGTTTTGTAACTAATAGATAAATTAGGTGGAAGATTTCATTACTGGAAAATTACAACTATCTGACCAAAAAAACTTCATGATTGGAATGTTGAAATTAAAACCAAGCTTGGGAATTCACAAGGGAGAGACGCACAATCCTCCTTTAAGACGTCAACCTCACGTCACAATTGGTTAACTTAGTCCAATTGAGAAATAATTCCACCAGGCGAAGCCAACGCTTACCGTTTAAGTAGTTGAATGACGTAATTGAAGGGTTTTAATATGTACAAGGTCAAGTTATCGCCAAGACATGTCTCAGTAATTATTCTTGAATTTTGTTCTATGAAAATACATATAATCAACATAAACAGAGTAGGCCCCTGAACATAAATACCCAGATAATTATCGCATATGCTGACAAACATAAAACAATAACTAAGAAATAACAACACAACCTTCCCAAATTCCCCTTAATTAACCTATATGACCAAGGACACATAAGAAAGGCGAATCAGAATAGCCTCAGCGAAAAGGTGGAAGCTAAAGATGTATCCTTAGTAGCAGGGCTTACAATTTTCCTTATCTTATATGCTTAAGCGCAGTTTCCACCACAGCCAGAACATTTGACCATACCCAGTCTATCATGTCATCAGCGGCATACCTAGGGTGCTTCGATCTCTCATTAAGCTTGCGATAGGCTCCTAGACTTAGGCCCGGAAGTCGATAGTCCCCATGGTCCGAACTGTATGAAAAGTATGTCTCCCTCACGAGCTGATGGTTTTCCGGTTTTACGTCCCTCTTAAGGCTATCGTAAAGTTGACCCCATGTGGACAATTGCACGGACGCGGGATCCGCACCATAATGGAGTAATACTTGGATGCATGGGATTTGCTGACTCCTGACAGCATCATCTAACGCTGTAGCGGGCGGAGCAGATTTAAAGGTTGAAGTGTTTGGAAGAACGGGCAGCTCGTCTTCAAAAGATATTCCTTCCCTCTTCCACGAACCTGCGATCGCGGCGACACCTACAAGGTGGTTAAATTCGATTGCGATTCGCATAAGGTACGGCGATCTGAACCCCTCTTGTACCGCGTGGAGCACGATTTGTCGCGAATCCTTACCGGCTTTAAATGCTGTCTCGACGAGCCGCTGCTTTCTTACTTCGAACCGGTCTGCGACGTCATCTGTGAATTGCGAGTCCTCTGTCATCCATTCTAAGTACTCTAAGTATGCGATGAAGAATGGTAAGTTCCGATCATCACTCGCCGCTCGGGACTCTATTATATCGTGATCTAAAAGGGCTTCTACGTAGTCTAATCCCTCCGACGTGTTCGCATAGTCAAAGTACTGCAGGAGGTGCAGTAATCTCGACGCATTTTCCGGTTTAAATTGATCTAGACAGTCTGCGAGGGGGTTAAAGTAGGTGGAGTATGGGTTTAGCGGCATTGGGAACATGCTGTTTATGAGAGACGTGGTAACGATGTAGTTGACGATTGGGTTATCGTCTGGCGCGGACTCTAGTCGGATCACGTAGAAGAGGACCGAAGCGAGTCCCTTTAGGACTAACAGTTGTCGGTGTCCAAACTCCGGTGGTTGCATAAGAATTCGATGTAAAACGCCAATCACATACCTATTCATGCCTGCTACAATTGCCTGCTCAAAGAAAGGAACAATCGTATCGTCCTCTGTCACCGGTGCTGGGAATTCTCCGAAAGCAACAAGAGCTAAAGCGCAATCTTCAATATTGTCGAGCAAGTTCTGGTTGTTCTGATTGTCAGGGTGCACATAAAGCTGTATAGCATACTCAACCGCAGTCAAACAGGTCGTAGTGAACGTATCAGGATCACACAAGGGTGGGTGTGCTTGACCCGCAAAATCACACTCGTCCCCTTTAGCGGAACGTGCGGTGTGCCTCATGGTGGGCTCGATGAACGGACTACTAAGCAATTCTTGAACGATATCAGCTCGGCCAGCCCGTACAGCGGTATGGAGTGGAGGTTCAGTAGTCCGAAGGATTTCGTACAGGCCGTTTATCGCGCTGGGATATCGGTCTTCGAGTCCACGTAGGAAAGCACGGATTAACCAAAGTGGAGTGCCCTCACGTTCTATCGCAAAACTGAGGTAAGGGCTGGGATCAATATTTCCTAGGGGTGTGCTAGTTTCCCCTCGCCCTTGGCCTGGGCGAAAGCTCATATGATCGTCAGCGTCTCGTTGACCGATATTGTAATCTTTCCCGAAAAAGACATCGGGGTAAGCTATACATAAGTCAAGAATTGTTCCCACATCATTTTGGATGGCAAGATCGTTTACATGTCGAGCCAACTGTGATGGCGACATGGCACGAAAATCGATTACTTGTGACATTTTGGCTTTGGTCCAATATGGTGTTCTTCAGGTCGAATAAATGCTTAGACTTCACGGGATATAGTGCAATGGAGGTGAGAATAAGAGTATGTGAGAAGAGTGGATATCGGGACTATACCTATCTAGGTATTCGGGGAGAATTTATATATACCGGCGGACGTAAACAGCGTATTGATTTTACAACAATGTTATTAGAGAGAGAGCATCCAAAGTGATTGTTGTTGCTCTTTGTATAGCAATCCTTTCCATGAAGCTATATATATGTTATCTATTGATGCTACTCTCGGTTTTTATCTCCACCAAGCGTCCTTTCATTTGGCCTTTTCTGAAGGGATATTTACCTATACACTTATACCTAAATTAGATTTTCATATGTAACCATAAAGGAAGTATATTATTCAAATCTTCAATCAACGGTGACGAGTGTAACGCATTTCTATTGCCACCTGCATTCTAGAAAGAGCCCACCGTTTATAGAAGTGCTTTGAAGGGTTTAATACTACTAGGCACGTAAGTACCTGGAAACGGTTGATTATAAATATAAATACCATCGTGGCAGTCTGATGATAATGAAAGAGATTGATATAGATACTACTAATGATGGTTTATATCCTGGTCCTTCCCATTGTTGTTTGTGAATGTCGAATATACGAAGTAAGAGGTACTCCCTAGGTTGGTCTACTACCTTATAGTGAGCAAGTTTATTGAGAAGAAATCGAACGATCAATCATATCCTATACCAGAAATAGACTCAGGTAGTCGTATAGCATTCAAAATTGCAACCACATCCGCAAATTGCAGCATAAACATCTCGAGGCACGAAAACGGTGCTCGCTTCCGTGCCATCAAGTTATGTCGGTCGAAAACTAATCCCTGTCATCGTGTAACAGCGTATCTACGGTCAACCAAACGGGTTCTTTTGTTTTATATTGATTTGCGCTACTACCCGTATCAGATCACACTGTAGACAATTATGACATCCAACGGGCTGGGAAGGCTTACTCGAGCTTGTGTAATATCTTGGTCATCTATTGTGAGGAGGCTGGATCTAGTAAGTCCTAGATAGCAAGCGTTTGAGTTGCATAATCCTATTGGCTTGTCATTTAAGCTATATGGAGGATTATTGGCTTCATTGCCAATAAGAAATTCTTCAGAGGAGTATATATACTCATGATATGATAAATTTTGACAGGTTTCAGGGGATTGCAGCAATAGGTAGTATTTCTGCCCTAAATAGACGCATCATAATCATTTAGTGCAGGGTTCCATTCGGGTTATGCGATCAACCTCTTCTGCATCCCGTCTTGGGTGCCATCGGTATTAATATGGGGCCGGATGTGCTGCAACGTATTGTAGGCGCGGGATAATGCGACGTCGGAATTCAGATAGGTCAACAAGAATCCTACCGGTCTACCGAAAATTGGTTGGCACCAAATGACTACAAACACTTAGAGCCTCGCACATAGATACATATAAGGGATGCAGATGGAGTTATCGACGCATATCTGTGCTACCCTAGATTGACCACAAAACAAGTCAACAGGCTAGAAAAGCCATTCGCGCAAGGAGAAAACGGACATCCCCAAGAGGTAACCTTCCCGTCGCCGAGACGCCTCGCGCTTAGTGCCATAGTGTTCCCATCACGGGTTTCCATTAAGCCGCAGGAATCAATCGTTCTGACATGGCTACTTTAGGTACGATCTCGGCAACGAAAAGAACTGGTGCGCTCAAAAGCACAGACAGACGAATTGAGAAACGGTTATTCGCTCTTCGGCCTTCTCCAGTTCCTTTGAACGGGGCTTAGGTATAGCCAAAAAAACGAAGCGGCGCCCTAAATGTGAGCGCATCAATAAACGGGGGTAATTTTCGTGTGGCTTCGATCTAAGAGAGGCTCACCGGAATATAGCCTATGAGAAAAGGCGGTTTTGGTGTTGGATATGTTCACATGAATATGCGAGCCATAAGCGGTCCACCATATCCGTCAGCGTTGGCTACAAGGGTCTGTAAGCGCTACGCCTCCCCCCCCCAGTCGTCCCGTCGGAGCTCTAGACCACATTCGAGCCCATATCAAATGGATAGCGGCTTCAAACTCAAGGAAGAAGGCTTGTGGCATTACCCGATGGGACGATTGAGGTCCGGTTGGAAATTCTTCTATGATGCTGATTTACCCTTGTACAGCAGAGGCAGGTGTTGATACCTATCGGACTCCGAACGCATGGTGCCGATTCAGGATCGTGTCGGATTTATATCGAGTATAAAATACTGACGTTACGCTCGTTATTCTCCGTGGAGGGATGTCTCTTCTATCATTCCAAAGCCTTCTGGTAAACCACAACTTGCTCAACATGGAAAGCATTCGGATACTCATCTTCTATTTGGCGGTGCCGAGCCTCTTGCTCTCCGCCATGAGCCAGATTCTCTCGTGGAGGAAAAAGGTCGGACGGCAGACCAAGAAATTCCCCGGACCTCAACAATTCCCCATTGTTGGAAGAGTCCATGATATAGATAGGTTCTGTATGTGGAAGAAGTTCAAGGAGTGGGCCGACATCTATGGACCTATATACCGGACGAGTATGCTGGGACAGAATTTCATCATAATCTCAGACGAGAAGATCGCCGAAGAACTCCTGATGAAAAGGGGCCACATATACTCCGGGCGCCCTCAGATCAGGGCTCTTTTCGATCATAAAACTGGACCGGGTTATGTCGCACTGATGGATAGACACGGTACGAAAATCCATGACTTCGTAACTTCATGAGTTTATTGACAGAATGGTCTCTAGAAATTTGGACGCGCCAACGGAAATGGGTTCATGCCGCCATGGTTGAATTCCATCGATCTCATTTTTTTGGTATTATCGAGAATGAAGTCAAGAGATACTTGGCAGTACTTCTGCTCGACCCGGCCAAGTTCCATGGTAACACACGAGAACATTGTGGACGTATCATGAGCCGACTAGCTTGGGATGATGCTTCGCAGGGCAAGGAGAATGGGGATAGTGCTGATTGCACATTGACTCAAATGTCTGTGTCGGGACCAATCGTCAATACAATGACGCCACTGTGGGAGATCCCGTGGGCTTTTAACCCATGGAAGAAGTATGAAAGGGCACGTGAGGATCGACAGCGGGCTTGGTGGCTCAACTCTTTTCATATTGCGAAGCAAAGATTTCTTCGAGGAGAGTTACCCGCGGACACATGGTCGAACCGGTACCTCACAGGACTTCAACAACAAGGCAACCTTAGCCTAGAGCAAACTCCACAAGAAGAAGAGTTCGCCAGCTGTATGCTTGGATTCCAGAATCTTGTGGGTGTGGTGACTATTAGTGGTCCGATGCTGTTTTTCTTAATGGCCATGGTACTTAACCCCGAATGGCAGAGAAAGGCCCAAGAGGAGATCGACAGGGTTTGTGGTGACAAGATGCCCACAACAAGCAATATGGCCGACTTGCCTATTATGCGGGCGTGTTTAAAGGAAACAACTAGATGGCGATCTGGCGTTCCTCTTGGTAAGATATCCAACCCCCCTATTATTAGCTAAGTACGGGATTGGTTAACTGTTCTTGTGTTACACAGGTGTACCCCACCAAGCTGAGCAGGATGACGAGTTTCGCGGCGAGAAGATTAAGAAGGGTACCATTATTTTGGCGTGTGAATGGTGAGTCGACGTTCGTATTAGCTAGAACAACTCATTTGGATCTAACTTAGTGCTTAAGGAGTATAAATCGTGTTCCAGAACGTTACCCAGACCCTGAGAACTTCCATCCAGAACGGTACTTAGAAAAAGAGTGGCCGACCTACCAGGAACCGCTCTCCCGGTATCCCAACCTTCGCGAAGGAGTGGGGATGCATACATTCGGGTGGGGTCGACGGACATGTCTTGGTCAACATATCGCGGATGACGAGATGTTCGTTACAGGGGCGGGCGTGTTGTGGGCTTTCAATTTAATTAGGAAAAAGTGTCCTAAGACGGGTGAGGTGATCGAGTTCGATAGTGAGGCTACCAATGCCCACGTCATTCTCGAGCCGTTGCCTTTCCCATGCGATTTCCAGCCACGAAGTGCTGAGAGAGCCTCGCAAATCTTGTCTGGATATGCCGAAGTGAGGGATCAACTTCGCGTTTGAAACGAAACACGGCATCGAATAGATCTGGTCCCCTAATGTGGAATGGCCAATGGAGCTAAATATGCAAGTTATTCGTACAAATAGTAGCGGGCGGGGAGTCATTAGGTATCTAGTATGGCACCTAGGGATATGAAAATTAGCACATATTTTAAATGGCATAGGATAATTTCCACAATAACATCCAACGTTGATCGCGGTTGAAGAGGTCTAATTAAATTTCCGCGACTTTTTTTGTCAGTGAATGGCAAGCTTATAGCGCCAATTATGGGGCATCTTAGGTACCTACCCGGCGGCCCGGGCACTCTTAATATCGCTGCGGCGCGATACTATTATCAACCTAGTGAGTATACCACTTATATGACTATTTGTAAATGGGGATAGCATGGAGTTAATTATACAATTCATTAATGTTATGTCGCAATATCTTGTTAATACCTATCGTCTAAAAAGTAAAGTACATTTCTTTAGCGTGGATTTTGAGGCTATTGAACCCATACCTGAAGATTCTATCGTGGAAGAGTACCTTCTATATGTAAGTGTATTTAAGTGAAGAAAAGATACGTAATTCGAAAGCGTCCCAATAAGTTTAAGGGTACACTTCCGTAAGTCAAGAAACTACCGTAACTTGAATTGATCGAATTAAGTATGATTCTGTACTAGGTACCTATTGTATGTCTATTGCGCGAGCTTTGAGATCGTCGGAATAGTGCCGTGTCGAGATTCTGGTATTTGCGAAATAAGGTAACGAAGCGCTGACGATAGAGTTCAGCGTATTTGGTGTAGAGTACAGATTACATAAGACTTGCAGAAGAAGGGATGGTGTGCTGTGCTAGGTAGATGACGTGCTCGCAGATTTGGCCAAGTGAGGTTTCTATGCACACCTCTGAAATATTGCAGCGATCTACGTAAAGCCACGGGCGCCTGGCTGCCCGATATGAGTCAATGTGAGGTACTACAAGTAATTACTTACCTGCCTTTTTGAACCCGTGGTCTCGCTTGTTTAAGGTACTCGCAGCTGCGGCCACGCCACTTAACGCATTACTGTCTCACCCAGGTACTTGAGCAACGCAATGGCAACCGGTACCGATTCAAAATCGGTGGTCAATGAGACGACGAGGCTCCTACAACCAGATACATCCAGCATCGATTCTCATTATGAGGATTCGAGTCAATCGTCCAGCGACGACTATAATGACAGCCCTTCCATAGCGAGCTATGGTACTCCTACAAGATCTGATGAAGAGGAACAACGTGAACAGGAGACACCCGGCAACAAGCCGACGCAAACTTACAGCAATGGCTTCATAGCTAAAGTCGTAATCGCTATGCTCGTCGGTAGGTTGCGACGCAACATTACTAATCTGATTTTTTTTTCTTTTTTTTCCTCCTCCCTTACTGACGGGCACTTTCGTAGGAGTATTCACATCGAGCGCGGACAGCTCGTTAGTAATAGCAACCCATCCCATAATAGCATCGGAGTTCAACGATCTAGAAAATTCAACCTGGCTATTTATTAGCTTCCTCCTCGCGGGGGCAGCCACGCAATCGCTCGTGAGTAACACCCCAATTAATATCACCTGCAGGCACCAGTATCTAACGGCAATATTGCACAGTATGGGAAATTGAGTGATATATATGGTCGGAAACCTGCGCTGCTAACCGCCTACGCGCTTTTCGCTGTTGGATGGTGAGTTTATGCACTGAAGTTCCTGTATCGAGATTAGTTAGCTAACCCTTTCTAGTGGTTTAGTGTAAGGCAGCTCTTAGTATACCCCGAAGCCTGTGCACGAATACTAACGACATACTTCAGTGGCGCGGGCCAGACCATGTGGCAGGTCATAGTCGGCCGTGTGATATCGGGCTCTGGAGGAGCCGGCATTATGTCTTTGGCAGGTGTGATAATAACTGGTGAGTCAGCTTGAACGCCCGTTGTTGGTTGTTACACTCCTTAGCCCCCCCTCCAAAGGTGATTGCGCATCAAGACTAAGGCCCCTCTAGATATAGCTCCTTTAAGGGACGTAGGCTCATGGCAGAGCTATCTTAACGTCGTAGCTACTGTTGGGCGAAGTTTGGGCGGCCCAGTGGGAGGGTTCCTTGCTGATACGATCGGATGGAGATGGTGCGTTCAAGAATTCCCAGATTTGAATACTTGATAAATGCTGACGATAGTGTCAAGGTCATTCTTTGGGCAAGCACCGATATTCTTGCTTGCTATGGTTCTTTGCGGAATTATACTTCCAAACATGACAACAGGACGGATCAGAACAGACGCCGAGTCCTCGAAGAGTCGACTAGCTAGGATAGACTTTTTAGGAGCCTTTTTCCTTGGCGCTGGACTCCTATCCATTCTATTGCCTTTAAGAATCGCCGGGCAGAAAGTACCATGGACGAGCCCAATAGTTCCATCTCTCTTTGGGCTAGGAGCTGTTTTGTTGGCACTCTTCGCCGTAACAGAGGCTCGATGGGCGAAGGAACCTATATTTCCATTGAGATTGCTTAGAAACAGGGGCATGGTTTTAGGGTACGTTATTATGGTCTGCCAGACAGCCGCGCAAGTTGGAGTATGTCTTCCCGTCATTGAAGTACTCTTCAGACACAATTGCTAACATGAACAGATGATGCTCTCCGTTCCTCTTTATTTCCAGGTAACGGAAAGGTCATCTAGCACGGTCGCAGGCGCTCATCTGATGCCTGCTGTTATCGGAAATACTATCGGAGGCCTTCTAACGGGCGCATGGATACGGAGGTTAGCGATTTCACTCATAATTCTACCCCCGTCAATAAATGTTGCTAATGATAAAATCGCCGTAAAGAACCGGTTACTTCAAAGCACCATTAGTTTTCGCGGGAATTATATCATTCGCCTGCTATGCGCTTATGATACTTAGATGGAAGGGAGAAACCAATTGGGCAGAATCCCTATATATCTTTCCTGGGTGAGTGTGACACGAGGGGCATTTATAGACTTTTACTCACTAGGCGTGTCACAGTGGCTTCGGTACCGGTATTTCAGCAACTGCGACTTTTGTCGCTCTTCAAACAGCAATAAATCCCGCAGACAAGGCTGTGGCGATATCTGGCCTATACTTATCTGTACCGATTGGATCGATTCTAGGTATGGCTACTTGTAACACGGTGATGCAAGCGGTAATGCCTGTGGATTTGGCTTCAAGATTGCGCGGTCTCGGCATAGAGGGGGAAGAAGCTGAACAGGTAAACGACCTGATTTACACACACCCCGATAGTCGTAGAAACTAACAACGTCTTGAAGATCATTAAGCAAGCCACTGCGCGAGTTGACTATCTCGATGAAGCGCCAGAAAGAATATCGCATGCAATCGCGCAGGCATATGTTCGTGGTCTTGAATACAGCCATGGTAAGGCCCTTGACGAGGTTGATTCTAATTTCATCTTGAGTAGGTACTGACGATGTTTAGGGGTTTCATTGTTTTGCGCTGCGCTCGCGATAGCCGCCGCTTTGCTGATGAGAAGCAAAAAGTTGCATGGTTGATTATACCCAAGTTTGGGTCGACAATTTAAAAGGAGAAGTTGGGGGGTTTAAATTGAATCATGAAAACAAGTCAGTAGGGTACATAACCCCAAATGGGCGGATGTAGAGCGGATGGGTTATAGCGGGTTGACCCCCGAATTCGCGTTATCATCTGCTGGCTTTTGGTTGTATAGCCCCTGAAAATCATGGCAATTTAGGTACACAGCCCCCCACCACAAGTGTAAAAAGGGGCAGAATATAACATGTGAGAGGGAATAAAAGTCGATTAGTAATCATGACATTTATTCTGATCAGCAATTGAAAACTCAAACCTGAACCCTTTCCAATACAACTATCAAACATCAACGTAAAATATTTATTCTATGTGTTCAAGATCACGGACACTTAAGTACTTACGCATATAATTGACAACATAGACCCAATCATTGGAACACAATATCACGAAGGCGAATTATTCTTCCACAGGACCCAGCGTGCGTAAGCCAAGACTTATGTGTAGAATGGGCGGCCTCAGCGTGGCAGTGTTAAACAACTAGATGCCTGATACAGCTATACACCTTATCACCAACAGATTGCCTGAAGTACTAGGTAAGTAAGTGTTACTGGAAGACGAATATATAGAGATGTACAATTTAAGGGAGGTTTTTTTTTTTTCAATTCTAGTCTACCTACTTACGCCGATATTCAACAACAAGTACCTGAGTACCGACCTAACATACTAGTCCACGATGGCTTCAATTACAGAAAGGATTAGAACAGCGAGTGAACGCCACAACGAGTTATTGGCTATTCTCTCCGAGACAGACCATGCCCAGCCCGCACTACAACAGCAGACACGCTACGTCAGCGATCTCAATAATGAGCTCTCAGTCGTCCAGCAGCGTATTGCCACGCTAGACAAACAACGAGCTAAGGAATTCAAGGAACATAAGAGGTATCGCGACTCGGTTATGAAGCGCTTCGCCTATCGTGTCGGAGGTAAAGCAGAGAAGTTCCAGGCCAAAGCCGAGAAGGAAGAACGAGAGTACTTCGATGTCCTGCAACAAGAACACCAAGCCAAAGAGCAAGAGAATACTCTGAGGGATATGCGCTCCAAGGCGATAGAAGTACAAAGTGACTTAGAAGCAGGGGTCACCCGCCATACAGATGCCCAGCAGCAACTCGACAATCTCTACGACAGCATTTTCCAAGGTCCGACGCCGGTCTTCCCCGAAGAAGACCGTTTGGAGGAAACTGCCGAGAGTGCTTTGCAGATTTATCACAACTCTCGTGTAGTGATGGAAACAGAGCTTCAGGTCGTCCAAATTTTAACAGAAGCGCAAAACCGGCTTCGCGAGTCTATGAACTATACCGAAGAGGCACTAGACCACAGCCGGATGGACATGTTTGGTGTTGGTGGGTCTCTAATGGATATGATGGAACGTGATGCACTGCAGAAAGCTGAGATACAGGTCAGCCAGACGCTATCCCTCGTACGTCAGGCACAGCGCATGTCACCAATTGTGCGGGATCTCCCACCTATCAACGTTGCGGAAGGCAGCCTCATTAGCGACATCTTATTCGACAATATCTTCACTGATATGGCATTTCATGAAAAGATCAAGGACTTCCAATTGGATCTTCAACGAGCTCTGGATAACATACGGGGCCAGCTAGCCTCGGCTACATCAAGATATCAAGGGGCTGAACAGGAGATGACCGCCCACGCAGCGACCCTCAAAGCCGCGAGGGAGGAACTGCAGAAAGCGAGAGAACGTATCTTCGAACGAATAATCAACGACAATGTGGCTGAACTGCCAACCCCTGCCGACGATCCTCCTCCATACTGAATAGGGATCTTGTAGCACACAACGGTCTCTCAAAGGGAAAAGACGAAGAGGGCCCACCGTTATTTAGGCATGCGAACGCTATAGGCTATCAAGTTCCATGCTTCTATCCATAGAGCCGAGACGAATATTACTCGCCTTACCACTTGACGATGAGAACAACTGACTAGCCGAGTTCCGGAGTTTAGTGAAGGAAAAATTGCGCGTGACGCTCTCCTGAATCGGTCGGAGGGTGGGAAGGCATGCGCTCAGTATACCGGCATTGGTTTCGATGATGGTCCAATAGTAGACTGGCGCGTATACCCCTATTTCGCGTGTCAGCTTCCCACAACTCAGCTATCATCTTATCGTCGGATTGAAACATACAAGTAGTATCGGGGTGATAGCCGCTATTGAGCACGTAGTAGATTTGGGTTAGGAAGTGGATTCGAATGATTCCTACAATACTAACCAAACCACCGAGGAGGAATATGCATACAATCACCACCTTTCGCGTAAACTTCATTTTCAATTGCCACGTTTTATAAACTGGTAGAAGGAGGACTAGGACTATCGCACGAGTTAGTCCTCATTCATTAACGGAAACGCACCGTAGCGCTTTCAGAAAACTTACAATCCGTAGCGACATCTGTTGCTAGGGCGGTGGTGAAGAGCGCCACCTCATCAACGCATGTGTACGGGAGACTGTCATCCCATTGCGAGGCAATTGGTGAACATGAGACTAAGCCGTTAGCAACTGAGTAGAGACATGCTACACCGATAAGGGTATGATACTCACACATGAGCGCAAATGTAAATGTGGTTGTCCAAGCAATGGAGACTCCAATCATGATCCAAGTTACTGCTTTGAATCTTGGGGTAGCGAAGATACGTTGGTACATTAGAAGGACGCTGATTTTGGTCATCCACACCACTGAGAATTCCGTTCAAAATAGATTACACCGCCTGTCCCGCCCCCGACTACTCACTACCATCCTGATTCCTCATTTAATATTGTAAAAATTTTATTACTCATAAATGATAAATGACTCACGTGATAGCTTTACTTTGCCTCGTTTGATCTCAATCCGTGTCACTTATCCCTTTTTAAAAATTTGCTGACAACCTCGGAAATATCGGAGTTTCCGTCAGCTACCTACCTACATCTCAAAACTTCCTACCGACAACAGTATGTTTCTTGAGACAGTTATAACGATTGCAGCAACGTGCTTTTTAGTAACAATTCTCGATAGTTTTTCCCAGTTTAAGACTAAATTGCCGAGAGTTGGTAAAGATCCGGGGCCTTTCGGGCTTCGGACTTGGTGGGCTAGATGGAAATGGACTAAACTTGGCCACGGGGATGTGATGCGGGCGTACGAAGAGGTAAGACGTTATCCTATTTTAGCCTCTTCCAAACGGTATATGAATCCTATTCTAATAATATTCAAGTCCAAAGACTCGAGCTATGTCGTCCAAACGTTGATGGGCGATACCATTGTGCTGGCTCCTAAATTTTTGAATGAGCTGAACATGCTTCTTGAATCGAAGCTGAACTTCATTGCAGCATTGGTGGAGAGCGTCCTGGGTTAGTATATTGGTGTAGATCTTCTTTTACAGGATCATCTAATTGTCGATATTTGTAGAGGCTCTCTTATGAGAAATCTATGTAAGATCGTTAAGAAAAACATGGAAAGACCTCCTTCGAAGCTGACTTAATAGCCACATTTCTTCCTCTAATGGAGGAAGAGTTTCGTGCAGCTATTGTTGAGCAACTTGGTCAAAGCACAGTTGAAAGTAAGCCACGCAGTACACTGTACTTTGAACGAGATCATGAAGTTAATTAGCTAATTCCATAATCTACTCGCAAAAGGCTCGATTACTTGCAATGCATACGACCTCTTATTCTCTTTCATCCATCGCATTTCATCCGTGGTTTTTGTCGGCAAGTCACATTGCCACAGTCCAGTCTGGACTGATGCCGTGACGGCTTTGGCTGTTGATGTTGAAATCACCAAGTTCATTCTGCTACCATTCCCGTCCTTTCTTCGGCGCTTCATTGCACCTTTGATCCCACAGCGTAATCGTGTCTTCCGCCAACGGACTGCGGTGCGCAATGTTCTTTTTCCTCGATCGGAAAAGATCGGCATTAAAGACGAGCCAGCGTGATGAACCTATTTCTAAAAAGTGGGAAAGATTCAGATCCGGACAGGATAACAGCTAGACTTCTGATCTTGACGGGTGCTGCGGTAAGACCCCGCCGGATTAGACGAATATGATACGCGACTAACACTGAGATGCATTTAGCTCCACACATCATCGATGGCGATAACACATGCGATATTCGATCTCTGTTCCATGCCGGAATACGTTGAACCTTTACGATCCGAAGCAAAAGAAGCGCTCGCGCAAGATAACGGGAAATGGCAAGTTTCGACCATCAAGAGACTCCGTCGATTAGACAGTTTTCTCAAGGAATCCCAACGCGTCAATCAATCCACCTTACGTAAGTAAAACCTCACCTCAGCTCTATACAATTTATTTAACGGTTCTCTATATAGTTGCTTTTGATCGCAAGGTCATGTCACCAATCGAGCTATCCGACGGCAAGATAATTCTTCCACGCGGGGCGAAAATCGTCTTCCCTGGAGGGCTCATGTCGCGCGACTCAATGTTCTATGATGATCCTCAGCGATTCGATGGATTTCGCTTCTATCGCCCAGACGAAGACGCAGACACGACCTCCGCTAATGCACAACGTGATTTTACTGGTATTGAGCCGGGTAATCTCTCTTGGGGAAGTGGCAGGTTTACCTGTCCCGGGCGATGGTACGCAGCCACCATGATCAAGTTGATTGTGGCAAATTTGCTGCTTGACTACGATATTTCCTTTCCTCCAGGCCAAATGAAACGACCGTCAAACACAAAGTATGATACTGACGTACATCCGGATTTTGAACAGAATATCGTCTTCAAGAAGAGGCGCAATACCTGATCACTCTCACTAATACCTACCTAGGTACTGATTAAACGCCTTTTGGGACGTTGGGCAGAAAGAATGGATAAATAGTATTTAGCTAAATTGGATTAAATTAAATTGGTGTTTACTTAACGCTCCACCCTTTTCTTCAAGTATGATTCCATTATGGATGTTAAAAGACGTAATAAGAGAATTACGCGAAGGCCTCAGTCTGCTTACCGCACCATTGCACGAATTTAGCGGCAATGCCCCCTTTCACCGCATTCTCAATTCCGGCCGGAAGGTCACCTAATCTCCCCCAGGGATAAACATAAGCACCGCTTCTGTCCGGTGTCAATTCGGGCGCAAGTGCAGCCCAGAGCTCGGTGTACGCCCCATGAATAGGCGGATGAAGTATGAAAGTGTCCTTCGGTCGTATTCATCATTAGTGAACATCCTAGCAATTTGCCTAGAAAATGCGATTATGGGATTGTGTTACTTACTGTAACCCAATGATCAATACCCGTCCAGTGCCGCTGCAATTCCGTGCGCAAGTTTCCTGGATTGAAGGCGGCGTGTACGACTCCAGTCTGTGGCGTCGTTTTGGCGAATTCTCGTGCAAAGAACACGTTGCCGACTTTAGTCTGGCTGTAATTGGGCTTCACACCTTGGTCCGTGGGTTTACCATCATCGTCAATGACGACCCCATGAGGTTGGGGAGAGGCAACGTGCACGCCGACAGAAGCAGCCCATGCGACGCGTACACTAGCTGTTGGTGACGACGAAGCAGTCCTTGTCAAGGTCGGTAAGAGGAGCTGGTAGAGCAGATAGGGACCCAGACAGTTAGTGCCTACTTGTAGGTCATGTCCCTGAGCATCGGTACTCCCTTCAGGGGGGTACATGACCTAAAAGCTTGTTAGATAAACTGATTGGTGGGGTGAAGGCAAGGGATGCAGAAAGCTAGGACCACCTACGGCGGCATTGTTAACAAGAACATCTAGGCGTTGTTGTTTAGCATTGAAAGATTCAACCGCGGGTTTAATCGTGGAAAGGTCGGATAAGTCCAAGTGGAGAAACTCTACATGGCCTTTACTAGCAGACGCTGCCTTTTTGATGCCCGAGATGGCCTTCTCAGCTTTGGATGTAGAGCGGCCTGCGATGTAAACAGTGGCATTGTGGGTATAGAGGATTTTGGACAACTCGAAACCAACTCCGACATATCCGCCCGTCACTATGAAGACCTATATGCGATGAGCGCGGAGGTATCGGAAATACGAAGGAGGTGAACGCCACTTACTCGCCCTGTTTGATCGGGACAGTTCTTCTCTGTGAGAGGGGCGGTCGGAATGAAGAAAAATTGGCTGAAAGTGTTACCCATATTGTAAGTACGATGGTATTGCTAGGATGTAACTGCGATTGCCTTGGTTGAAATCCTTTGCGGCATCAGGATTTTAGAATTGTAATTTCAAATGTTCAAAAGTCAAGATCTTTGTACTGCTGCATGGAATTTTGTTTTTTAGTTAGATTTCCTTTTTGGGGGGTAGGACAGAAGATCCTAGACATACGTAACGTGCGTCCCTTGATTAGAAAATGCGTACGTACCTCGGTACCCTAGGTAGGTTCGTAAATTACACCTCACCTAGGTATTGACCAGGATTAGGCAGGTAGGTGGTAAATAATGATATCCCGAGAAGCGTGGTGATTTCGATTTCATTACTCTGTATGCAAGCCTTAATTGCAAAAGGACCTTGGTGTAATGTCGTGGCGTCATAGGAATCTTGATGGATGTTTAGTCAACTGTTGTACAAAATCCTTCGTTGGAAACTATAGCTGCTATAATCCTTCTCCTATACTCATTACCCACCGGACCCGACTGAATGGTAACACGAGTTGGCTTGAGTGAGACAAGAACATACCTGGCTAACTGCCTAATAAGAGTAGGTGCGTAGCGTCACTACCCGTGTTGTTAATGAATGCAACCAAGCCATCGATCATTCTTTATGATATATAATATATGATATATGATATGATATTACTAAATAGTAAAATGTTCAAGTATCATTCCGCCTTCTTTCAGCCTACTTCGAATCATACTCGCTCCTTCATCAAAACTGGCAAGGCAGGCTGAATCCATCCATTATAGATGCGTTGACCTAACGCCCAATTCTCTGTATCCTTACCTAGTTCCAGGTCAAAACGCCACAATAAATGTGTAAGCGCTAATTTAATATTGTAGAGTGCAAATCTGTACGAAACAGGGAACATCAATATTTGCTTTTCGTGGCTGATGGAAGCGGAGTTTCTCACCGTTGGCCAGGACAATTGCGAGGTCCTACAGAGAATGGCTGGACTACGTCTCTCCGATCGGTGGCATACTTGGCATCACCCATCCATCGATCTGGAATGAAACTCATAGGATCGCGGAAATTGGAGGCCGAGGTATTCGAGCAATAGTGGTTAATTGTAACTACGGTCTGGATATGATTGTCCGTTAGTAGACCCGACCTATGATCAATTGCTCCTTCAAAGTCTTGCGGTGTAGTTACTCACCCCTTGTGGAACATGTTTTCCGCAGATCGTAGCCCCATCTCTATCGGGCACCCAACGAGTGAAGCCATTAGCAAGCGGGGCGTGAATGCGGAGCGTCTCTTGTACCACGGCATCCAAATATGGCAGCTTATTTAGGACATCCTGCAACTTGATATCCTCGACAGTGGCAAAGGTGTTTCGGATATCGTCCCGCAGTTTCTCGTGGATTTCAGGGTGCATCAAGATATGGTACACTGCAGCAGTCTGCGCCACCGACGAGGTCTCGCTGCCAGCTAGGATGAGGACTGTAGCCTGGGCCTCGATTGTTTCCGTTGAAAGATTTTCCTTCTTTGCCTGTTGTAAAAAGTAGTACATAAAATCATGACGGTCGGTGTCCATGGCCATGCGTTTCTGGACGCGCTGTAATGATGCTTCATGATGATTTGCCTGCATTTCACGGGTTGAAGGTGGGATGCAAAGAGCAAGCAAACGGTTTAGGGGCCAAAACTTGTGACATTGATGCAAGAGGGTCGCGGCGTAAAAATAGTCGATGACAAATTTTACCCATTCATGGTAGACTCCGGTTCTGACACAGCCCATATCTTCACCGAAACCAAAGTCGCTATTGATATCGAACATGGAAAACGTGAACCATTCGCGCACATCGATTGGGTGTTTATTAGCACTGTGCTTCTCAAATTGTGCCATCAAGCCGGCGATGTGCTCTTGTATCATGGGCTCCTGTTCTAGGAGCGAACGATGTGAGAAGGCGCTGTTTAGGGAACGACGGATTGGAATTGCATCATCGTCGCTTACGAGTGTGATCGTATCCTTACCAAGCATCATCTCGTTGTAGAAGCGTGGGTCTTTAGGGAAGTTTGCGCGGCCTCCGCCGTTTTTCTTATATCCATAAATCTGGGACCAAGCCTGTGGTTTGATATACGAGAGAGTTCCGGGAGCAATACGGACAATGTCGCCGTATTCGTCATGTGCGGCTTTGAGCGGGTATTGGCTGATACCGAGAAGCGAGAAGATCGCCAATGGGATATCCGACACAATGAGATAGAGCGGTCCAGGATAAGATGCCAATGGGTGGAAATAAACATTGTATACTAGTTTAGTTCCGACGACGAGGACACACTACGATGTTAGAGCCAGCATGGTTAGGCTATTCCTCTGCTGATGCCAACACGATATCAGGGAAAATACCAATATGAGAATATTCGCCGACGTCGACCTAAGAGTCGAGTCAAGATAAGACGTGGCTTGGCTATATTCCATTTTAGATGGCGAATATAATAGATTGAAGAAGATTGTCATAGGACGGAGAGTAGACTGAGGCGATAGGGCAAAGAGGCAGGCTTGCGAGTGACGTGCCAAGTGGCATTTAATAAATGACTGCAGACGCCGCGCTATAACCGGTCAGTTACACTAGACCATCGGAGTTTCTAAAACGGAAAAAAGAACTTTCCGGACAACCATTGACCTCAATTCTGATGTCAGAAGGTGGCTTGCATGTGGATTCCCATACTGGAATAGGCTGGGGTGTCATTTCGTGATACCTCTTGTACGTGGTTATATGAAAGTCGTGACCATGGAGGATGACGAGTCGTACGTTTGAGGTAAACCACTGGCGGTGAGGAGAAACCCATTGATCCTGTCTGCCTGTAATTACGTACGAAGGAATATGGATTCGTATATACCTGGGTATGTACCTAGGTATATATATAGACTTATGGTGATAGTGATCCTCGTGGGCTGGGTCCGAGGTTAGGCTTGGGCCATCTTAGGATAGTAGAAGCCAATTTTAGGTATCCATATCGTTTGATTTCCCGGTCAACCGGCTTTCCCTTTAGACAAATCTGTTATAGGTAAGTACAAGCTGTTCCCTCGTCCGTAACATGCGATATAACAGAAAGTGACTCGTGTTTAGTATTTGAGGGGATTCGGTATCATTCCCTTCGCATAGTTGCTAAGCCAGACTGTAAAGAGGATGGATACTCAGCAAGAGCCCCCTCGGGCCATCATATTTGACCTTGGGGATGTTCTCTTCACGTGGTCCGCCAATACTGCGATTATTCCAGCTCAAAAGTTGAGAAGTGTCCTCTCGACTTCTATCTGGCATCGCTATGAGCGGGGTGAAATCACTCGAGACACCTGTTACGAGCTAAGTGCTCAACAATCTTCCCTCTCCGCGTCTGAGATTGCAGGAGCCTTCTCTAAGGCCCGCGAGTCTTTGCAGCCTGATTATGCTATCGTCTCCTTCCTTCGCGAGTTGGAAAAGGATCCAGCCATTCAAGTGTATGCCATGTCTAATGTTGGTAAGGAAGACTTCGAGGAGCTCGCAACAAAGATGGAATGGCCACTTTTTGATCAAGTGTTTACCTCGGCAGCGGCGGGCATGCGAAAACCGGAGGTGGGATTCTACCGTCATGTTCTGGACCATATCGGCCTAGCTGGCAACCAAGTCGCCTTCATTGACGATAAAGAAGAGAATGTGCAAGCAGCACGAACATTAGGCATCCAAGGCTTCGTATTCGGGCAGTCGACAGTTCACACATTGCGTAGCATGTTTGATAACCCAGTCGGCAAGGGCTGGAGATACCTATTCCTGAATGCAAAGCATTGTGACTCGGTTACGGACACCGGGGTCACCTTTTCAGATAATTTTGCGAAATTGTTGATTGTTGACTCACTGAATGACAGGTGAGCTGCCCCCAGGGTTCTATATGACCAATAGCTAACAACACGCCGCTAGGACGCTTGTGGATGTAAGTTGGGGATCTAGAAAATCATGGAATTTCTTTACCGGTAAGCCAATCTTCTTAGGTTTCAGAACCTGTTGACGAATAGAGGGATTGACGTGGATACATTACCAGATGAGAAAATGCTGGTCCCAGGAGGGATTTTCCCGGATGATCTCGATACCACGTCTCTCGCTCTCACAGCTCTTCGGCCGGAGTCGACCGAGCTTGTCTCTTCTGTCCTCGATGCAATGGCTGAATATGTTGAGGGTGATGGTAGTTTCCAGGTAAGTGGTTAACTTGTTTAATGTTGCTGATATATCAATGAACCTTTCGCTAAATAGCTTATTAGACGTATTTCGATCGTAACAAGGCTCGAGTAGATCCAATTGTTAGCGGAAACATTCTCGCCTGCTTTTACGCCTACAATCGCGGCCGCGAGTTCGAGCGTACCCTTAATGTCGTGCGCTCCGTACTCTCAGACCGTACTTACGAACAAGGATCTCGGTACTATCCTTCCCCAGACTGCTGTTTAGGATTCATCGGACGTCTACTCCGATCGTCAAGCGACGCTCACCTTCAGGAGACACTAGGTCCGCTGCTGAAGGCGCGAGTACGCGAACGCCTCAATCTGGGAGGAAGCGCATTGGATTTGGCAATGCGCATCATCACTTGCACCCAGATGGGTATCGCTTGCGAGAATGACCGTCGTGTCTTGGTAAATTTGCAGCGTGAGGATGGCAGTTGGGAAGGTGGCTGGATGTACCAGTATGGAACCACACGAGTGAAGGTTGGGAACCGCGCAGTGACCACAGCGATGGCGGTTGCAGCGCTTTCTTCTCCAGGCATCACCTCACAGGCTGATAGCGGAAAGAAGTTGGATGGTACCAATATATTGGTCAATATGATTGACGTCAAGTGAAAACACGACTTGCGGGTTTTCACTCTCCTTTAGCTGCCGTGGGGTTAGTGACCGATAGATTCATATTAGGAGGCAATAGGAACGATCAAATATTTACTACCTTACAGCTAATGATTTCGAAACAAACGCTCTTACTGATACATACCTAGGTATTGATATTGATGTTGTATTTGACAAGAATTACATAAGTTGAAGGGTTCATGTTTCAATTTGGAGGGACGCACTTCTACAACTCTATGTAACTAACCGGATGTGACTCATCATATCTCAATAAATGAATATGACCCCACACATGCCAAGATCTGAGTTGGTTATGTAAGCACTTGACGATCTTACCCATATATAACAGGGTCTATTTTATGGATCACATAAGACATAGGGAAACTCCAATTTTAAATTCTGGAAATCTCCGAACCTTTACTGCTACCTAAATTCAATCGTGAAAGGTTCAATGTTCCGTGCTACGAAGGCTTCTCTCGTACTCATGGATATAAATTAACAATAATCACAGTTACTGTCAAAAGCCTCTCTTCATACAATGGCATATACCAGCCAAGGTGAGAAATTTTAAAAAAAAAAAAAAATTAAATAAAGCAAACGTTCCAGGTGTCTGCTTAAAGCTGCTGCTAATGCCAATTTCATACATCTCATACACACGTTTCCTGCCCTAACCCTCTACCTTTAAAATCTTCGGGGGCGCTTCTTGGACTTACTTCCAGATTTCTTCTTGAGCAGAAGGTTGTCTTCGATAGTTCCGCGGACCACTTCTCCGTCAACCATCTCGCTATTCATGTGAGAAAGGAATTTCTCTTGCTCTTCAAGGAAGGCCTTGAGCTTATATGTAGCCACCTTGCGACCGACGCTCTTGGCTTCGCGCAGATCCTTCAGCTGCTGACGAATACGCTCCTCGAGAATCTCGAGACGGTACTCACTGAATTGGTTATACAGCTCCTCAAGGTTCGAGATGGGACGTACAGTCGTCAAGACCGTATCATCACGCACCGTCGGGCATCGAGGCCTGAACGACGTCACCATACTGATGCGCTCCGCCGTGCCAAGTGCCCGCAGAGCTTGATGCTCTATATACCTTCCCTGTAGCACGACAGCGCATCCCTGGTTTACAACATTAGTCGCAGTATCTCCAATGGCTCTGACGGGAAGTAAAAACTTACCATCTGTGGACCTCGCACTTTCATGATCTCGCCCGTACCGGTACGAAGAGCCGTCTCGCCACCAATCATGGTGGTACAGTCGCTGAGCATGGTCACACAGACAAATGGGTAGCTGTCAGTGTGCCAATCTACGATGGGCTTATCGTCTTCCCAAGGGCATCCTGCGATGCCTTCATCTGCCTCATACTGAGCTCTGTCACTGAAGGCCTGCAGCTCTTCCTGCTTCTCTTCCTCGGACTTGACCGAGATATTGATATGGCCAATCTCAATATCCATCTCAGTCACCAAGTCAATCTTCGCGATTTTAGAGATGATAGCCAGCGTCTCTGGGTTTTTCCACACATCATACACAAAGGGAGCGTACCTGAAGCGATCTTGCGTCAGTCATACTCTGCATGCGCTACCCATTTGGATCCCCTAATGCGATGAACTTACTTGTTCGCAAAACCCCTCAGCTGACACTGTGCTAGATGGCTAGAGTACTGGCAGTTGCCAAGCACCTCGGCGCTCAAGACCTCTTTCCTCATCCTCATCACAGCTTCCTCCGTGAAGAGAGGAAAGGGTTCCGAGACAGCAACTGGGGAGATTCCAGTATCCTCTGGCAAACCTATGTCTTTCATGGTATATACCTTTGGGTGGTCCTTGAAGACAAGGTGTCGTGTGGGATCAAATTCATCATTTCCCAACTCCATGCTAGCAGTTTCTGTGATAATCGGACTCCAGTTCCGCTTAGCTTCAATGGAAGCTGGCGATACTGCTGTAGCTGCCATTGCTGATATGCAGATGCAGATGTGTGAGGAAAGTGTCTTCTAGATGGGGGAAGATGTGAGCTCGCTGAATGCAGAGGGTAAGTGTGTGATACGGGACAATATTTGCTCAACGATGAGATCGAAGTGTATTGCCAGCGCTCCGGCGGCCTCCATTTATCAATTTATCATCGTGAAGCCAACCGGGGTCTGAGCTTATCTTCAAGGATTTGACTCTAATCAATAGTCCACTTCCTCTCGCCAATGCGAGACCACGGGGCCCCGGAATCTGTGTCGCTGGTATCATCTATGACGAATCCAATCGAAGGTTGGGCATTGTGACCATAGATAGGCAAGACATGAGTTTGTCCATTGTCAGGCATATCAGCGTCTCAAAGTAAAGCAGCGCTACGGTGGAACCAGCGACGAGGACGTGTTGGTCCGTTCTAGTATGGGGCATCTCTCCAATCAGAATTTTGGTCCGGAACTCTATCTCGATAGGAATTACTCGCCAACTTACGTGGTTCGACCTGGCGAAGGGATTGCCAGCTTTGAAAGGTGTGGAGGGGCAACCCCAGCGTTACCGGATAACTAAAGCGGCATCCAGACTATAGCTGCGATGCCACCTGAGAAAGGAAGAGCCGCGATGTGCAACTTAACGCAACTTGGGAGCGAGAAACCGAATCCCGAGTCATCGCGCATTAGCTCTCGCGATGTCGGTTAAAGGAGCAGGATGCGATCGTGTTTGGGGCTGAATGAAGAAAGCCCTTATTTTTTCATTTTTTTACATCCCAACCTGGTTCTTTTCCCCGTTGAACCAAGACACCCCGCTGATGGCTGCTAGCTTTTTTGCATGCACAAAGGTATGTATTATTCTATACATACTGTATACTTACGTGTTTCACAACAGGGTGCTTTCATTCACTTCAGATCACGCAAATTGTCTAGTTTTTTTTTGTTTTATTAATAGATACATCATACCTTGAACCCGATTCGAGACCGACAAATACGCCACTTACATATTTAAATCTCATCGGTCCGCCATCATGTTGCCATGTTCCCATGCGACGTTATCTCCGTTGGTACAATGGCTCGGATCAAAGCGTACGACGCCCGATAACGGAGATAAAGCGAAGGTGTCCAGAGGAACCCAGCGCTTTCACACCTGCGGCTAGGCCTTGCTTATCATGTGGGTTTGTGCCCGGATGGATCTCTTCCTTTCCGCTGATCTATCTTGAAAACGTGACCGCCTGTCGTGATATCTTGTCACTTTTCGTGTTATATTATTCTTTGGACCCCCTGTAATTGGTTCGTCTAGATGCGGAGAGGGATGATGCGTTCCTATAGGTTCGTCAATTTAGAGGCGCAACATCTGCCGAACCGTTGCATAGAAAACTGGTAGAGCTAATTCTATCGTAACACTATACAGACTTCTTTTCTAAGAAGAAAAGTTCTTTTCGTTTTCTCAAAACTCTGACTAAAGTCAACCAATTTCATTCAGAACCCGGCCTACCATACCGTTTTTCTTCACGATACTACCTGGAATTCAATAGGATTTTCTTTACCCGATTTCTAGGCCCTCGCATAGGTATGTACCATGGTACCTGGGTATCTGCCTGCTCTGTCTGACCCACCATCATTTTTACTGTACTCAAACAAAACACTAAATTAGATATTTTTTGAAAGCTGACATATATTGTCAGCCTCGGTCTATCACTTCCACGTGAGATGCGCCACTCAGATCTTAATCAAGGTACTTAACTCGGCGTAATATACAGGTAACAAAATGACATTAGAGATGCAGAATGGATTTGAAACCCAGAGTAATCAAGATGCATTTGATACATCCCCGGAAGCGTGGCGGGTCTGTGAGCTATACGCTGCCGATCCTTATGGCAACCGCCGCTCCGCGTTTAATTGCAGATAGGTATATACACTTCTGACCAATCACAACAAGCAATGGTAATAATGACATGCAAGATGAGGGTCTGGAACCAACCTTGGAATCACTTGACGGGTTGGGGAAAATTTTGGACCCTGCACAAATACGCTGCGTCAGGGGTACGTATGTAGTGTGATTATGGTTGGTGCTTGGCATAAATGTTACACCAGGTTACCAGAACTAGATTGCTATCGAAGAATATATGCCAGCATCGTTTAAGAAAAGTTCTACTGCATGCGGAAAGGAGTGCAGACGGCAAAATAAAGCGCATACTCCCGTAGATGTCAAACGATGATTTAGGTATACAGCATTAGGGCGGCAAGTCTATTACGAAGATGATGGCGTCTTATTAGGCTATCTTGCATGCAGAAGACGATCATTCCGTTACTAAAGAGACTACATTCGTTCATACCAAGGTAACTTTCTACGGAAAGATCATGATGACAAAAGTTTTGATGTGAAACCCGGAAGTTTAGGGCTTACTAGCTATATATTAATAGATTGTAACCTACAAGTATCTCGGTGACCATAGGTGGTAGTACCTAATGTCTTGAGTTAGAGATTTTAGTAGTGCTCCACAACTCTATATATCCACTTCCTCTCCTACGACCTTGTATAGATACCCAAGCTGTGGATGATAAGGCACGAGAATCGAGATCGAGACTAAGAAAGGGTCTGGGTAAGAAGAACAGGCTCGGATAGGAAATGATCAGGCTTTGCATACGATCATCCAGTAGTTTCCGTTGATCAGGTTTTCTTTAGCTGATAGAATTATCTTTTCCTGGAAATCTTCTATCCTTGACCTCTCGGAAGCACCCTATCGCCTATGTCCGTATAGCTTGTTTGTACCTAAACGGTTGTATAAGAACATCAATAAGCCTGGTTCTATCTCCGTATACCTATTTAGGTTATAATAACCTTGGAGGTTCCTGAGTCAATTATAAGCAATAATCCAAAAACCTAAGGCAAGTCTCGCCGATTGCTTATCACATTATTGTGTATTTTATATCATTAAACTCATCGGTATAGTTCAACTTTCATAGGTAAGCAGTCTACATACTCAGACATGTCTCTATTATACCTTGTATATCGGAACTCCAGTGAGTTACTGAAGATATGATAAGTTACAAGTGCGTGTATATTACTGTGTAACATGAGGTTATTTTGTCTTGCTCTTGTCAAAGTTCTTTGGACTTTCTTCCCCGACATTCTTCTGGATCCAGACCCACATCTTTCTCACCCTTTCGCAAGTTAAAGGTTGAATTTCTCTTATTGTCTCAGATAATCGCGAAGTTGAAGTTATATCAAATGCAGGAGAATCATCTCTGCTCATACTGCTCGATACTTCTGTCGCGTGGGCATACCTGCGTCTCCACAATCCTAAGAGAGCTTGGCATGGATGTCTTGACTGCGATCCATCAAGAGCCTGTTCTAAACACTGTAGCCATTCCGCAGGCTCAACTACTTGAAATTCAGGGTCCTTTAGGGTTTCTGAAACCCAATCAAGTAGTTGATTCCATGTGGGTGATTTGTGTGGGTTCAAGACATGATATACGGGCATGTTTGAGCGAGTTGACTCTCGGTTATTATTACCTGGTAATACAATTTCTAGAACAGCCTTCGCCGCCTTGTCTACCGGTAACCAGCTGAGAGTTTCTTTCGGTAAGTTTGGAAGACAACCTGTAATTCCAGCTGTCGATATCATCAGCGGATAAGCTTCGCTCGGATTCCATATACCCGCTTCATTCCCGCAGAGTTGACCGACACGGATAATCGAAACTCCTGTATTTCTTGCATCTCCGGATGAGCTATCCTTGTAAAAGCATTCGTAAGCTTTGGAACAGACTTGTTCTGCAACCCACTTAGACCTTGAGTAACCAAGCGAGGATGCATGTGATGGATTCGAAGATAACTTCTCAGAAATGACTGCTGATGGATCAGAACTCACTGCCGCCGTTGAGCTGATGAAAAAGAATTTTGCGCCACTTAAAACAGCCGCATTGATCATGTTACGGGTCCCAATTATATGACCCTCAAATGACATAAGGCGAAGACTGAAATTGACGGTCCAGGCCGTATGTATGAAGATTGTGGCTTCTACCACGATGCGTGTCCATTCCTTGTTGGGGAGACCCAGATGGGGGTCAGGAAGCCGGCAAGGGAGGCAGACTACCTTGTCATCGAAAACTTGCAATCCAACTGAATCCCACGGTCCTAATAACTCACGTTTTGACAATGCCTTCAATACACGCTCTCGAGATGCGTTCTGCGTCTGTCCGCGAACCAGACAGTATACCTTAGAGACCCCGGGGTTGATAAATAACGCCGATAATATATGTGCTCCAAGTGCCCCAGTGGCTCCCGTAAGTACAATTACGTCGCGTTCTTTCTTAACTACGTCTGCGCTGTCCGCCTCGTAAGATCCGTATTTTTCGGAGAGTTCTTTCATTAATCTCCGATCACCGACGTCGCTCTGTGAGCAGTAAGGGTCATCTCCCTTGCGTATCCGAATTAAATCTCTAGCCAATGCGTCGACATTCCCACTATCATAGATAATGTTTATCGGCAACCCGGAAACACCTTCGGGTAGGATCTGAGATCCAATAAGTTTTCTAATCTGGATGCATGCGATTGAATCGACCCCTTGCTGAAAGATATCCTGGTGAGGGTCAATTTCTCGGCCTAGAACTTGATTGAACAAGCTGAGGAGTGTGGAGGAGACATCCGTGTCGGATATGTCCCGTGTGCTCGTATAACTAATCCTTGTGTCGGAATAGGTCCCATCAATTATATCGGCGTACCGAGCCTCAGCTTGCCGCCTTAATATGGTCCCCTTGCTACTCTTCGGAAGAGGTTCTTCATCCTCCCTTGTTTCAACGGGTATTAACATTGACTTATCCAAGCGACAGTGACTTTGCACCTCCAAATTTAGTTTTTGCACATGGGGCCAGATTGTGTCAATGAATGCTTCGTCCGAGAGGTTTGCCAAAGTCTTGAATATTAAGGCACCTGCGCATTCTTTTCCCGCCCCGAAAACCAAAACATCTCTTACTGAATGTATTGATGCCTTAACATGTTCCTCCAGTAGCGAGGGATCGAATTTTTTCCCATTGGCTAAAGTGATTTGAGCGTCCGACCGGCTATGATATCTCCACGCATTCGTGGTAGACGGGTGTTTTTCGAATAAGTCAGCAGTGGCATACGAACCGTCGTCGCGGTTCGTCTTTGATATTAGCGGCCACTTAGACTTGACCACTAGTTCAGATAACCTATCAGCTCTCCCTTCAAAAGATAAAAGCTCAGGATCCTCAATTGGTCGTAGGTACTGCCAGTCCTTATCTTCATCGTAGTCGCGATGCGATGACATGAGAAAACCACATTCGGCGCTACCCATTCGCGAAATGAGCCTAACACCCAGGTCGACTACCCTATCGCCGACAGAAGGGGCTAAAGCGGCGCCGCCAACGCCGACTAAGTCCATACTCCTCAAGACGCAGATACCTTCTGGTTCTTCGGCTAATGATTGAAGTACGTAGGGAACGGACGAAAAATATTGTACAAGGACTGAACTTCTTTCGCGGGCATAGTTTACCGAACGAACAATGTTGGTCCCTGTGATCGGCACCACGCCCTCGGGAAATAGCCAAATCATCGCTCCGCTAGTCCAAGCCCTGAAGCAGTCTGCGAGGCCCCCATGATATAGAGGCGTAGTCGTGTACGTGGCGGGCTGGTCTTCACGCCGAAACGATGGTAAGCAACCCACTGCTCCCCACTGAGTCTGGAAAATCGGTTTCGGCAAGCCGGATGATGTCCCCGAAGTATGTCGTATATAAGCTATCTTCGAATCTTCTTTGTTAAGCAGTTTATTACCGTTATGATCATTATTTTCGTTGCGACAAGTTCGAAACGACGGGATCCTGATTGTGTTGACCTCGTTGAAACGCCCCACTCTTTTATCTTGCGCTTCATCAACGAGAACTGTTTTCATGCCAGAATTTGTATAGAGATGATGCAGCGCTGGGTATTCAAGTTGAGGACTTAGTATAAAATAATTAGAGCGGGTTCTTAAGATGCCGAGTGGATTACTCACGCGAGAATAAATGTTCTACATCCCAATCGCATGAGACCTAGCCATGCTAAGACGAAATCAATTCCACTGGCGCATAATAACCCGATTGTAGGCGGCTCATCGCTTTCCTCTCGGAGTTCTATAACATTCTTTAAGATCGAAGCTGCTGATATGGACAAGTTGCTGAGTTCCAAGAAGGTCACTTGTTCAGGAGCTGCACACGATTAGTATTTGAACGGTTAATAGACAAGGGCGAGCAACATACGCCAATTAGCTGAACTTATGCGCGTATGATTCGCTATTCCAAGAGCGGGCGAATTAGGAAGATTTTTTGCTTGTCCTTCGATCAATGTAATCACCGTCTTGAATGATTTTCCGCCGTCAGCGTATCCCCTCTTCAAAGAGGAAGCTTGCCCTAGGGTGCAGGTGAAATAGTTCAATTGACTAGGCGCCATGAGAAGATCGAAGTTACCTGGGTAAATATGGTCAAAGAGTATATCTAGATGATCTCATAAGAGAAATGTTATTTTATTGTCACGGAGTTCATGAGGTCATTGACTCGGCCAGCTACGTTCTCCCTTTTTCGTGCTTGGGGGATACCTGGGTACATGGGTACATTAATACTTACCCCTGAATCAGATACAATTCTGTATGTATGCAAGGAATTCGACGACGTTAAAAATAATCTAATACTAATTGAGGATAAAGAATCACTTCTTATCATTATTACTACAACGAAAAAATATAGTGCCTATCCTATTCAATTGTACCTAGGTATATAAGATGAGGCCAGTGTTATCTCCGAGAACGCCGGCTCTGGCATAATAGGTACCACATTTATCCTCAGCACATAAACATTTTCGTGGTACTGACATTCACTCTACTCCAGTGTTTTCCATGCCACCAGGCGGATAGAATTGTCATCGGCCAGTAAACATGGTAAAGAACCATTGCGGGTAACGGATCCCATACTTCAAAAGTGCCCTCCTTCCATGAGAAGAGGTGTGATACAAATTCAAGAAGACTTGAAAGCATAGACCTAAAGTTGATGGATCCGATACCCCATAAAAGTATGGGATGAATGAGAAGGGCGACAATATTATGTCCTATCCAATATCTTGGTTTCGAATCTGCCGCAGGCGTGACTGGTGTGTGAACAGTGCTGAAAGGCGCACCAATTCCATCTATTAAGTCCGTTTCCGTCTCTTTCGAGTTGATTCCGACAGCCGTGAGGTAAGCTTGCACCATAGCTTCTATTTCTGGGTTCTGCTGTCCAAAAAGGACGACCGCGGTATGGGCGCGGGGATTGCACTCGATGGCATAAATATCCTTGAACTGGTTATGATCGGATTTTCGATCGCTTGCCATAAAGTCAAAACTCAGATGACCCGTCATAGGATTAAACTTAGATGAGCGCTTGACAAATTCGACAGTGAATGCTAGCATTGATTGCCACAAGTGCGAGTCTTGAGATAACGGTCTGTAATGCATCAACAACTCGGCGCTCGGACATGCCACAAAGCATTTGACCTCTCCTTGTATAATTAAGGCATGTGTACAATATTCCTCGTTACCTGGAATGAACTGTTGTAGAATCCACGGGTTTTGTTCCGATATTGGTAACTGGGAGACATATTTATTGGTTTCTACTTTTGATGCAAGAGGTAGGCGGGTCATATTCCCGCGGTTCGCATCGTCAACCCCGATGGGTTTAAGTATAAATTTTCGTTCTGCTGTGGATGTTGTAGAGGCTGAGAGAATCCGGAGAATATCGCGCTTGGACTTGACTTCATGAGTTTCCGGTACCGAGAGCGAGAGCTTTTTACATTCTTCCATAAAGGAACCTTTATCGTGCAGTATGGAAGTTTTCTCCACATCAAATTGGATGCATTTACACGAAGTATGTCGCTCTACCAACTCTTTTGCGTGTGCATCTTCTACAGCGCTAGCCACGCCGGAACAGGATACCCAGAGGTCCAGCACTTCGATTTGAATTATATCAATAAGGCGTTTGGTGTAAGCCTTGGCATTATCTTTCGCGTCCTGCTCTGGTAAACGATAGAAAGCCGAAAGGCTTCGCGAATATCGACCCGGACATGGGATACCGGCGCGTTCAAAATCGGCTCCGATGACACGATGTCCTGAAAGATAGAATGAGCGAGCTAATGCCAGCCCCTTTGCCATCCCAACCCCAGTGACCAGCACGGTCCGTTTAGGTGATTTGGCATAGGAACTATTCCGGGGCGTTTCTTCTGGGTTGTGATTGGAAAGGATTCTCCTCATACAAAGAAGACATACAATCGAAGTTGACAGCGGTAGAATAATGACACTAAGTAATATGAAACCGAAACATCGTGCCGCCTCCCACTTTGGTGAGCTATTCGTCATATCAATCTTTAATATGGTAACGTAGAAACTTGTAATAATCCGTGAAGGAGCAGAGAGAACAAATGGGAGGCATAGCTTATTTCTCATTCCATATTACGGCAATAGATGAATTCTTTCTGAGGGCTCTCTGTGCCGTGTTCAACTTCCAAGACGTCACCACTTTGCATCCCTTTCTTCAGAGTTCCTAATTATTACAGCGAGTTTACGCCCTGCGTTATAGTGGATTTCAGTGCGTAGCTCTACGAATTTAGTGGCTTCTAGGCATCTAGACGCGCCGGGGATGGTGTACCTAGGTACCTACTTAGGTAGCTAGGCTAGGTACGCATGCACCCCGCAAGGTAGTCAGGGGTATGTAAGAAGGACTACTAGAACAGCCCGTACTGCTTCCTGACAGCTATTGTGGGTGCTAGAATTATAGGCACCCATCTGCGAGAGCTCACTAAAATGTGGCATTTTAGCGCTCAAGCGTCGCATTTACAAGTCTGTTTAGTGGACTCAACGCTATCGTCTATTGAAATGGCTCCTATCTACCTAGATATTTAGGTGCTTGTAAAGCTCAGCACGACGATCGCCAGAAGCTTGCTGACGTCGGCGGCGGGAAACTAGGTACCTGTCACAACTAATTTTTACGCCTGAGCCCTTATCCCGTTCGTTTGCCCATTAATAAGTCCCTCCGATAAATCTGCTGAATCGCCAACGTTAACCCCAAGCAAGCTTACATGCCCATTTACTGACTCGCTCATCATATGAGCACCACCGAGGCCATTGGCAAAGCCTTGGTTGTCTCGCAATACTATAATTAGCGGGGTTAGTGACAACCCGAGATGATTGTGTTAGATTGAACAGTACTCACCGCCAGCTTCCCTTGCAGCTATCTCGACACTCAGATTCTCCGCATCGAGATCTGTATAACCAGTATCGCTGCTGTCAACATAAGCCTCAATACCAGCACCCTCTCGAGGGTATGCCCTCATAATCTCTTTGTGGGTTCTCAAGGCATCTTTTAGCTCCTGTGTTGACACATCATTCAGAAACACGCACGTCCCAAGAGGGCTCGGCACGGGAAGGCGTAGCAATCCGTCACGAGTCTTTAAAATCGCGACAGTACCTTTTTCCAACACTTCGTCATCGAATTGGGGGTGGTCGATTGAGAGACCAGCTCGTGAGAACAACTTGAATAAACGGCTATGTTCTTTATCCGACAGTAACCCACGTTGTTTTGCCAACGTAGCAGAGTAAGCCATGTCGATCGAAATTGCGTGGCCATGGCGTAGTGGAGTTTCTGGGACAAGTTCGTGCGTTGGCGACCATCTACATCGAAGACGCGTCAACAAAACATCGTGATATCCAAAAAGCGGATTACTTACGTGTGGCCATATGCGATTACTCTATCAAGGCCGATCTCATGAAGATTAGGTGATTCCAATTTGAGCATTTCATAAATCCCCTCACGATTGATCTAACTCGAGGTTAATTTGCATTTTCAATCGATATTTCTAGGGTTACTCACGATGTCCGCGGCCTTTCGAATCTCGGCTCTCGACCCGTCAGCTCGACCGAACTTTGTCTCGATCAGCTGTTCGCAAAACTTGTCTAAAAGGTCAAACACCTGGAGATGAGAACAAGATGATATCTTGATCAATTCGGCAAATCCGTTTCGAACCTGCGCTATCGGTAGCGTTCGTAGAAAAGTGAAGTCAAGAAATGTGTGTATTGGTGCGTGATATGCGCCAAGACGGTTCTTGTATCGCCCATAATTGACTGCCACTTTGATACTAACGCTTGCATCGCTTTCGTGGAAGTATCATATGTTAGCGGTTTTATCCTTGAAACATCTGACTTCCACAGAGCTCGGAAACGGGAACATTTTCGTTTACTTACATTAATCCGATTACTGTAGTAGGAATCCGTATGAAGTTCGTGTTACGCCGATAAGCGGCACAGGCAAAACCGGCCACATCGGTCACGAGTCCACCACCGACGATGAGGACGGGCTCCTAGTACGACGCATATATATGTCAGCTACAAGCTGCGCACAGCAGAGGCGACATGAAGCGCACTTTTCGAATGATCCCAAACTCAGTCATACTGTCAACAATTTCGAGAAACGTATCGATGGTTTTCGCCTTCTCTCCGATAGAAGTTTGGTGAACCTTCAGTTTGAGATTATAGTGATTGAAGTAATTCTCCATCTTTGGGCCGTATAAGGCGAAGACATTCTTGTCTGTAACCGCTAGAACCCGGCCCCAAGCCTTATAACAGTTTGCCAAGTTCGGGTTAGCGATGTCAAAGACTCCATCGACAAATGTGAAGTCATATTCAATCTTCTCGTAGCCTTCAACGTGGAACCCATTCTTGGTCTCTTGAACATTCGCTTTAAAGTCCGACATTTTGAAAAGAACACTAAGTGGGCGTTATAAAGTCCTTCGCTAGAGTCGATGAGGTAGTACGAGAGGATGAGAGTTCTGAGATACAGAAACTCACTGTAAGGAAAGGGACCCAAGGGTTCAAGTATTACTACTTCTCATGTTGGTGACTCTCATATTCCATGATGAACTCGTCATTACTTCCCCTCTATGGCCCTTGAATGCTTTGTCTTATATCTATTTCCGTCATGGTTGACATCATGTTTCCCATCTCCCGGTATGGTAGTTTTCGCAATCTGCATGTAAGTCAATGCCAAGTAGAAATAAACTCCATAGAATCCTTGACTTTCATGCCTTCAAAATCTCGAACTAATCGAAAGGAGGAAAGATAGATCTCAGAACTATCAGCTAGTAATTTAGAGGCAGTTTCTACGAGATAATCTGATCTCACCGCTCCTCGCGTGACCAAAAGCACCCTCTGGTACCTAGACGGTTCATCTATGTCATTGACTTCTACATATGAGAGCCACCACGTGGAATAAACGGGCTCTTATTGTGCGACAATCTCTTTAGGCTGGGTAGTCGTGACCCATGCGAACCCTTTTACCCCCCTTTTCATTGGATATTAGCCCCATAACGTCGCAACACCTCAACGCATACCAACACTCAACCCGCATCCTGAAAATTAGCACGAAAAATAGTAGAAATTTTTGGAAATTTCCAATTTTTTATTTCATTCCGGGAGTTTACGGATACGAAATGCTGCAAGACATCCTTACTCTTTAGTGGCATGCTACTGCACCTGCGAAACCTACTATTTATCGTGTGCCCAACCGGAAAAGGAGTCAATGACCTCAAGACTCCAAAATACGTACTTATAACGACACACCATATACCGAGACACCTTTAGATCATACATCGAGTAATCAGTGAGTATCGAGGTAGGGAATTTGCTGGATTGTCATCTACGCGGACTTTTTATCCTACTCATACCTATACACTTACAAGCGGAACCGGAATAATGAGTGGACTAAAGAAATACTCATTCACAGGCGAGGCCTATCAGCCTCAAGAAGAATTATACGTTAGTACACATACCACATTGACTGGCGCACGCTAACCCGTCCTACCAGTTCAATGATGGAAGGGAAATCGAATTGCTTCATTTCATTTACGACCATGCGTCCCTTGAAGAAATGAGAGGAAAACCACAACGAGTTCTAGACGCAATTGACGAATTTGGGAAAACCAGAAAATATCTTAGTATGAATCGCCTTAACCTGTATTCATTCATAATTGAAATCCATTTAGAAATGGCACGACCTGCTTGGGGAGTGTACTTACGGGGGGCTCGGGGATACGCCTTAGGCCTATCTATGTTGTAATCCCCTACTAACTACCTCGTTATAGTGAATATTGGCGAATATAAAGCGAAGGCAATCACGAAGTTAATAAAAGATGAAAACCCACGAGTTATCGTCGAACTAGGTGGCTATGTCGGATATTCAGCCATCGCATTCGGTGCAGCGTTAAAAGGTGTCGGAGGCCAGCGATACTACAGTTTGGAGATGAACCCCGAATTTGCCGCCGTAATGTCCGTACTTGTCGACCTAGCAGGACTTAGCAATGTCGTCAAGGTCATCGTTGGTCCTAGTTCCAATTCTCTAGAACGTTTGGTCAAGGAGGATACGTTAAAGCATATCGACCTTCTATTCCTCGATCATTATAAACCTGCATATACTACCGATTTAAAACTCTGCGAAGAGCTCGGGCTAGTGTCAGTTGGTTCTATATATGCTGCGGACAATGGTATGTTCATTTGAATCGTATGAGAGCTTTCTCTAATAACGCTACAGTGGTCAAACCTGGCAACCCATTATATCTAGAATATGTACGAAGCACGGTGCATGAGAAAAGGCGAAAGGCTTCCGACTATGATCAAACCGGGCCCAAGGGGAACCCAAATTTGATATACGATAGCCATTTTATAGAAGGTTGGGAACCCAGTGGCGTACCCGTAAGCATCCAACACCCTACACTATCCAACCCGTGTCAAATTAACAATTGATAGGATGCGATAGAAATCACGAGGTGCGTTGGAGTACAGACATGAGGAATTTATGCGGCTATGAATGGTCTGTATATCAACAACGGGTTTAATTTTGGGGTCCCATCGTTGACTGCCCGCCTTTGCGGCAAGGAGCTGGGGGTAATGAATCATCAAACGGAGTTCCCGTCCCAGGTGCCTGAATACTTCAACATGACGTATTCATCTGATACTATAAACTCGCAATTTAATACTTCCAATATTACCTGTCTAGAAGTTTAGTAAAGTGACCAGGCCCACTGGTTCTCTTGATATTGACGGCGCCTACCTAAAGCCCTGCGCAATGGTTTCGACCACCAAGACGCACAAGCCATACGCATATGCGACTCTTATTACCCGTGGAAGTTACTTAGCGGGTGTAGTAACATTAGCTTATACTCTTAAGAAGCACAATGCAGCGTATCCTTTAGTTGTACTCCATACACCAAGCCTCTCTCAAAATGCACTGAGGGCCCTTGAGCTCGAGTCGTTGCGGAGTAACCTCATTCTTCGCCGGTGCAACCAACTCTTACCACCACAGGATGTTGAGATAAATTTAATCGCCCGACGCTTCGAAGATACATGGACGAAGCTTCGCGTATTTGAGCTGTTCGAATTTGATGCCGTCTGCTATCTCGACGCCGACATGGCTGGATTCCACAATATGGATTCCATCTTTGACAAGCTGGGTCAACTTCCGACAGACTGGTTAGGCGCAAACCAGTCCTGTGTATGTAACCGCGATCACGATCCCTGGGCACCGGAGGACTGGCATCCAGCGAACTGTGCATATACACCGCTTTCTAGCCCCACTCAACCGACCGATATAAGTCCAAGGACGCACCACCTCATAAACGGCGGTATGTTCTTATTCAGACCTTCTGAAATAATGTGGAAGTCTATGATGAAGCTCTTCAACTCATCTCCTTTGCTGTCCAACTTCAAATTTCCGGATCAGGATTTCCTTGCACTTTTCTTTGCCGGAAGGTGGAAGGCGCTAGGGTGGCAATACAACGCTTTGAAGACGATGAAGTATTGGCATCCTAATATCTGGCGTGATGAGGAAGTCATCTGCTTGCATTATGTCGTGGACAAGCCTTGGGCGGCGCGCATCGCTGCGGACGGCACTGCGGGGTATAAAGGGCGGGATGGACTCACTCATAGTTGGTGGTACAACGCATACAGCGCTTGGGAATGCGAAAGAATGGAAGAATTTGGCGATAGGTGCGAAGTAGTCTCTTTGGTAAGGACAGGCGTCGCGCCTCCAAATGAGCGAATTAAGGATTGGGTTGACATAGAACAAGATCCTGATATGACCGCAATAGGAAATAGAGTGCAGGCATTTGCAAATAGTCGTAATGCGATAGCTCTATGACATAAAGAAATGTTAGCAATTGGTAGTAATTTCATATCCAACTCGAAATACAAATTGTACCAAACTTCTATCCTACATCTATTTCAAAATATCTTGACTTCGTCATTTCACTTTATGTTAATCTAGGTGCCCCCTGCCAACACCCCTAGATCTCCTTTACAAAACCAACTTCGACAACTCTATCCATCGCAAGTCGCAAGTTTGCAATCTTAGCTCGTGTATTATCCCTTATCCAGAGGAACGTCGTCAATATGATACGCCGAGGAAACGACACGGGGTGATCCCTAATACGCATCTGTTCCTTACCAACAACATACACGACCTTCGTAGCGAACGCCCGATCTAGTCTTCCAAGCTCCGCTTTTGCCGCCTCATCCGCGAGCACGCGAACCGCCAAATTCCTCTCGACTGGCCTCGCCGCAGCGGGTGTGGTGGTAAAATCAAGTCCCGCCGTAGACCCGTTAGTTTGGCTTTGCTCCTGCGCCCTATCCTCTACGGTACCAACTTGCTCGTCTTCATCGCCACTAGTAGCCTTGCGAATAACGAAGTCGCGCACTTGCTCGTAAATCAGGGCTGCTAAATCTGGAGTGATAACTTCGTCCATGAAACCGCGTCGCACGACGAGTCTGTAACAGCAGGGGATGGCGGGGATGCGCGAGATGGCGTAGCGTTCACTCGAGGGAACAGATGGGGCTTCGACTGGGTGTAGGTGGAAGAATACCATGGCGTCGGGTACCGTACCGAATTTGCTAACGAATTGTGTAAATACGGTTGGTGTGAGTATACCTGTCTTGTCGAAGAAAATACCGAAACCTCTGAAGCGGCTAACTGCGCCGCCACCCCAGCGAGGGGCCATAACTAAGGGGCTATCGAGGGTGTCTTCCGTTCGGTGGACTAGTTGCCCGGGTCGGAAACGGTCTTCGGCTTCAGCACGCCATTGGTTTTCCTTGCCGAAGCGCCAGAGCAGGAAGATGCAGCCAAGAATTCCGGCAATGGTGATCGTGAACCAAGCTCCGTCGGGGACTTTTGTGAGCGCCGACGATAAGTATAGGCCGTCGACAGTGGCGAAGAAGAGCCACGGTATGAAGACGAGATATGGTGAAAATCCCCAGACGATTAGAGACGCGAGGGTTACCATGCAGGTATCGAAAAACGTCACGAACATAACACATACACTGGGAGCTATCAAAACCAATTTTGCAGAAAGTAAAGGGGGATTGTAGGCTGGCTTACCCGTATGCATTTCCGAGGCGAGTTGTGTTGGAGTAGACGCAAGTGACAAGAATAGTTCCACACAATAAGATCCAATTAACGAATGGTACATAGAGTTGCCCATGGAATTTCGTCGATGTGTGGACGACTTTCACTTGAGGACAGTATGATAGTTTCATCAATTGACTAATGAGCTATGGTGATGAGTCAGGTCAATGTTCCTAGAGAAAGGGGGCATTTCTCGGCATACCTGAAAAACTGCCGTAATCATAGCTTGCGAAGCAACAATAGCTGCAAGCACAGCTACAATTAAACTGGGGTACAGCATACCAGGAGGGACTGCATTGTAAAACGGATTTGTGTACGCGTCAGGATGCACACTGATATACGCAGCCTGTCCGACATACGCCAGCAGCAAGCAAGGGTAGCACCAGGACAGCCAACTAATCTGGATGGCTCTCATACTAAACGCGCCAAGGTCCGCGAACAAGGCCTCTACACCGGTAAATGCGAGTAAGATCCCACCGAGCATCTTCCAGCCCTCCGTTTTCTTCTCCATGAAGAAGTGGATAGCATAATACGGTGAGAAGGCTTTCAATACTGAATGATCATACTGGACCAGGTTGTAAATGCCAAAACCAGCATTGAATCCGAGCCACAAGATCACAATTGGAGCGAAAACGGTGGCGAGCTTCGTAGTGCCGAGAGGTTGGATGAGGAAAAGCACGACTAATATTCCACATGATGTACCGACGATGGTGGGACTGGTTATGTTAGAGCTTACCACCGAGAGACCTTGGACTGCACCAAGGACGGATTGCGCAGGTGTAAGAACACCGTCTGCGATAACCATCGAGACCGCGAGCACACCAATAGTCTTTAGTAAACCACGCGTGAACATACTTCGCTCAATAGTTGAGCGAACGGTTCTATTACTCGGGCGCATATCCTGAGTCTCATGACGCTCCATCTTTATAAGACGAGCTTCGCGCGGATCGCGATCGGTAATATTCGCCTAAAAGTGTCAACAAAAACGAGGACACATTCGTAAAGTATTCAAACTCACATATCGAGTGAGAAGTGAATAGCAGCTGAACGTGCCCCCTTCTCCCTGGTTGTCGGCGTGTAAGATGATCAAAATGTACTTCAGCGTCACCATAATGGTCAAGGACCATACGACGACCGAGAGAACTTGAAGGAGGTCGTCATAACTAGGTTGGTCGGTGAAGGTACTCGAAAACACGTATAGAGGACTAGTCGCATTAACTGAGTTTAGTGACCCAGTACCACTTGTTCGCGATTGAGAAATGCCTCACCTCGTTCCACTAAGGGTATTTGAGTTAGCAATTACTACCACATTCACATTGTAGTTGAGGGTAATGAATAAACCAGAAGATCGCTTACATGTCCCCGTAAATAGCACCAACCGATTGATACGCCAACCTTCACGCAATCGATCAGCATCGGTTTACAACGCATCAGTACTCCATAATCAAACGGGAGCTATGATACCAAAGCAGCGCAGTTCCCTTGAAGACCTGTTTCTTCCTGCCGTCATCGCGAAGCCAATCATCCTCATCCTCCACATCGAGATGTTCGCTCCGCCTCTCATGAGAGGGGCGGGAATTCGTTCGACGACTACGAGGTCGTGATAAGCTTCGCGTGTGGAATACACCACCGAGATTCGGCGCGCTACTCGAATCTGCGGGCTTGATGGACAAGTCGTCATCGGTCGCAATTGTGATCTTTGGCGTCGCCATGGTTGTGAATCCGCATTACGAACGTGGTTTCAAGTACGTAAAAATATTTTCCGACGGTCACTCACTGCATGTCACCACACTTGCAGACGATGGGGAGGTATTATTGAATGGATGGGAGGGCTGTGCTATAAAAGAACAATACAGGACTACTACCTCTACCGACCTGAATAGTGTGTTGCGACCGACCTAGCTAGAACCACTACCGCTGACTCTCGTTCTTTCAAGATCCTAGATCCCAGGTGAATTGGCCTATCACCTGTCAGGCATTCAAAAGATAAGCCGCCATCTTCAAGCAGCCAGCGTGGGGAAAGCTTTTTCTTCATGTCTATCTTGCTCATGGAAACCAACAAAAATGCAAGTTGCTTATTTGGGAGCTGGTGAGAAATGATATCAATCAGTTGCCAGGATTGTGCTCGAGAATGAAAGTACCATTGGCAAGCTACATTACTTGGACAGGGTGAGCTCTCTAGGTTGGGGTAGCTTCTCCTCCCTATACCGAAGTAAACAATGGGCATCTAGGTGCTAGTATGGTGGCGCCAGGGGTATACCTTTGAAGAGAATTTGCCGGGGAAGTTTGCTTGTTTGAAGACAAAGGTAGGACGAATATGACGGCGCTTCCGCCCACTACTAGTTTCAGTCTCTATGTCTAAAGTAACTTCTCGTTTTCTTAATTATATTATCGCAACTCGAAGATATTCAGAAGTAGAGAAGATAGTATATAATAATAGCAGTACATTCATAGACTACAGAGACGTACAATCACATGACGGGCGGCCTCTTGATAAGGGGTTGCAAATGTCAAGATCCAGTCCCACGGATCGACATCCGGGAGGATTACGACAGACATCAATTTCGGCGCGTCGAATCGGAAAGCTAGAAATCTTTATCTAAGGTAAGCTTCGTGATAAGGAAAAATAGTCACCGAAATAAAACCCAGAGCCTGCTTTGTGGAAATAAGTTGGGTGACAGTTCAAGGTTGTGGCACATGGTTTCAGGGGTCTTGATGGGTATGAGTAGAGAAAATGGCTCATTCCGATAATATGCGACACCGAACCGACGAGGCTATGAAAATGGAAACATTGTCTTAAAAATATACACCCCTAATAATTATGAACCTAGAAGTTTTTGTTTTCTGAAGAAGCTAAAAGATAATAAAATCAGTCGAGGAAAGGTTTATAACTCGTTCGCTGCTGTTGAATTTTCGCCGAGGATTATGATTGTATTGCTTTAGGTCGGTAAATATCGGTACAAGTAGATATCTCAAGACAGATACCGTAGATGTTATTGGATGTCACCTGTAAATGGGTGGCTTGCGGCGTTCGTATACCGCGGCTATGCGAGCAGCTTCCGATTCAGATAGCTACCAACAAACATATACATACCACATCAGTCGCTGTTTTATATGACCTGCCAGTTGCTAACAATAACATGTCAATTGTCTAATAGTAAAGAGGAAGCGAATCTTCATCCATTGCTGATTTTAATCCCCGTTTTGACTCTTTTTTGTCTTGCCCATAGGTAAACTCCACATATAAGAATCATCTAGAAAATACTCATTTCTCTCAATTAATCCAATTGATCAATGGATTCTCCATTTTTCGGCACTCCATTCCCATTTGTCCCGCCAGTGACCTCGACTCCGTCTTCGCGGGTGACAGGAAAGCACCAGCCGAAGTCATCCTTGACCTTTCCTAGCTGGATGCCTTTGAGTTGAGTCAACAGTCGCAGACATATTGGACCAGCATCTTCATTCGCATCGGGGATATAGGTGACTTTTTCTAAATCACCCTCAGTCGATACACGCGAGCTAGCAGACAGAGGCAAAGCGGGGTCGGAGCGTCGCGAGATGGACCTTATTGGTACCAACGCCGCAGCCGTACCTGCAGCCATAACCTCGGAGAACTTTGGAAGCTCGCCGTATTTTATCTAGGGTAAGGTTAGTACAACTGCTATAACTTACATTCTGCATAAAACGAAACTCACTTGTCGCTTCTCTACTTTCCATCCGAAGCTCCGGCCGATATCCGTAATACTATCGGCGGTTACACTTTGGATCACATTCTTCGAGTCGGGTACCACAAGGGTCACGTTGTCCCCGTCCACAAGTGCTCCGATGAAACCACTTGTGCTGAACTCATCGATTTCCGAATGTGTCGCACTGTCCAGGTGAAGAGTGATACCATATCCCGCTTCTCTTGCCTTGTCACTCCACCTAAGCACCGGCGCATAATTACCTCCGATCTTTGCGCTTCCCGTACCGTTCGGCGCTGCGCGGTCGAAGTCGTCTAGAATCAAGGCCTTGACGGGATGCGTACCGTGGTACACACCGGTAGGTATAACATAAACGCAGAACATGTATTCTTCGGGAGGGTTAAGTCCTAATTGCGCGCTCGATCCGTAGATTTGCGGTCGGATGTACATCGCGGCGCCCGTCTCGTGAGGTGGAACATACTCGGCATTTAGAGAAACGGCAGCTTTTACGGCTTCAACGAATAGGTCGGAGGGTACAGGAGGAACCGAGATGAATTCTGCCGAGTGCTGCATTCGAATGGCATTGCGGTCAGGTCGGAAGACTTTGATGTTACCAGATGGATCACGGAAGGCCTTGAGACCCTCGTAGGCTTGTTGGCCATAGTTGAGAGCCGGAGCCATGCCATGGATACGGATGTAAGGATCGGTGACGAACTCGGGTGTCGACCATTTTCCGGTTTTCTTAGAGAAGTGCGACTCGATATGTCCGTTTACTGGTGACACAGAAAAGTCAATTGGAAATTAATTTTTTTTTTTTTTTGAGTAGGTTAAAAAGTAGACACGACCTACCTTCACGAACTCGGAAGCCAACGTTAGACCAATCAATGGTATTGACTGGTGGAGGTGGGAATGGAGCCATTGTAGTGTATGTTTCTTGCTTTCCCAATCTTCAATTGAATATTACGAAAAGTGTAATTTCTTTCTTTCGGTATGATGCACTGGAAGGCACGGTGAGAAATCTTGAGCTGAGGATATGCAATTAGTTCATTGGTCCTTCCACGTTGGTGCGGTCTCTTCCAAATTGCGTGGTGACCAAGCACTCCGAGAATCGGAATCGCGGGGTTATGTTTCCTATTCGAGTACGTGGGGTCACTGATCCCTGAACGTCAGCTTAGTCACCTCCTTACTCAGCTACCCTTTCGACTAGGTACTTGAAGATAATTATAGTCATTCACGATCAATCCATTTAAATCGACAGGTTGACTTATCAAGTTTGCATTGGAAAAGTTAACAATTTGAAAGTGGACAAGATATATCCAGTTCCTTGAAAATGAAAGTATTTACATCCCCAATCACGGCTTTGTCACCCTAACATCCTTTGATACCTCGGCCTCCCCGTCCCGGTCCTTTGGTCCTCGTTCAATCATCAAGGTGGTACTTGATATTGCTTTCTTCCATCAACTAGATCACTGAACCCCCGGCGCAAATAACCCGAGTGGGATGGCGAGTTCATAGACAAGGAATCAAGCCTGCCCCACTGCTACCTCGGATCGGAAAAGGTGAAGATGATAAGGAATGGAAATCCGAATATCTTCGCTGACCTCATCCACCGGCTCCTTTAACCGTGTTGCAAAAGCTAACATAATATTTAAGTAGCTCGTGTTGCAGTGGGCGATATAGAAATTTGGCGAAGTAGTCCCTTTCCGACCAGTCAAAAACGCTTGTTGGTGCGGGGAACGCATATCTCCTTAATACGGGGATACCATTCTGTACCATGGCCGTCTCAATTTGAGGATATGCTAGTATAGAGTTGGCACCATTCACGTATTAGCTGGCTTATATGGTTTGCGCCAGCAGTTTCAGAAGGTATTTAGCTTTCACCATTGCAGGCCCGGGCTCACTTTTATGGAGCAACAGGACTAGTCGAATTTCCTCACCACGCTCTCCTCTTTCTTTGCCATGGCCGGTATGGCTCAGCGATCTCGTTGATTTTTCATGATTGTGGAGGGTTCAGTTGGGGTACGAGTTTGTAACCCAAGACCAGAACCAGCTGTCCGACTCGACAGCTGGCGAGGGGCTAGTGGGGTTTGTGGGTTCCATTTTGTTGATATGAATTATGAATTTGAACAGAAGATTCCTTTCTTATGCCGATTCTTTGTTAGGGTGGTTCTCTCGGATGTTGTTCCCTTATTCTTGCCGTTTTGATTGTGGTGTTGCGCGGATGCGATCGCCCGAACCAACAGTGGTTCAAGAGAACTTGAAATTTCGCTGATTATCTTTTGGGTTCTGAAAAATAGATGAGCCCGATATCCTACTTATATAGACCTTCTCCGACACGCACGGGCGGGGGGCTTAACTAACCTAAATGTAAGAGCAGATCTATGCAGCCAACGAAAGTCCGGATCAATGAGGGGGGGGTATGGGGTAGGATGCCACCTCCGTTTTTATTGAGAATCTCGAATCAGCTTGCGATGTTCAATATTGGAGAAGCACCCTCGCATTCGACAAGATTCTGTATGGAGGAGAAAGGGGAAAGCGTTATAAGAAACAACAAATTTAAGAGGAGGGAAGAAATAGAGGACCGATATTATTGAGAGGGATGCGTGTCGATGACGTCCACGCGCTATCAATTAATATCCACCATTTATATATGTATGTCCTAACGTCGGAGCTATCGTTCGGAAGTCCGCTAATACCAGGGAAGGATGCCTAGCGTTGCCGGCCCCCTTTCCACTACCCGTGAACAGACGGATTCTGAATTAATTACTCTCGGCCGAAAAGAAATCTGGAGTAAATGGTGGTATGGCGAGTTTCTCGTCCCAACCTCATACGTCGCGTTCTCAACGACCTACCCCACCAAACGAACCGTTACAACGCGGTGGGCAATATATTAATGCGCCGACGTGGACAGCCGACGATCACTACGACTCGGGGATTTCCTTCCTATGACATTACATGATCAAGGCGGAGTTTCTATCTGCCGGGTAACATCTAAACCCCGTGACTACCACACCTCTCAAAGCGGAGATGTAAAGGGAGATGGTAGGCACTGTCTTGTCTGGTTCCTACTACGTCCGTGTTATGGGGAACGTGCCGGGACGTCAAATTACGTCTGCAAGATTCTAGATCCAAGCCGGCATTTCAGAAATCCATCCCTGTCGTCTGATTCTCGCATGCTCATTCCCAGGAATCTCAAACACATCTGATTCATCGCCTTATTGGAAAGGTCACTATGATTATTATCACATCTCCCCCACAGATGGTCAGTTTCCAATCTGCTGATATAATCTAAGTATCGAGCCATGATGAAAGGCTCGCGTGGTACCCGATAAAATACTGCGACGCTATATAGTAAGGTAGGCTGGGATTAATATACTGATATCGACATTTTCATCCCAGTTAGTTTCTCCTGTTACTTCACATGGCATTAGGATACTAGATAATCAATTCACGACGCAACGTGACCTCATTGAAAATGCACCTTTGAGCTCAGGACCGGTTACAGAACCACACCACACTCATACCTCTTCGTCCAATTATAAACACCGTGATGTCGTTTGATTGGTAGGGCCGCTGTGGTGAAACAATGCTTTCTATGTCCGCCAAGAATTGCCTGCCTACAATGGATAAACATTTCATAGCTCGTTGGCGCGGATCTACGGATAGGATAGAAACTGCCATTATATATCGCGGGCCTAGACACCAAACCACGCCATTCCTAGCAACGTAGCTAAACGTAGTTGAGAGTATACTAATAACTGTTTGTTGGGAATAAAATGGTACAGTACCTTACGATACTACCATAGCCTCGATTACCACCCAGCACCCATGTAGCGAATCAGGCTTCACTAGGTGTCCTATATAGGAATGTGGAAACGCGGCTGTGTAGGGGTACCTAGGTACGTTTTGTTTTGTGTTTTAGATGGGAATTCTACAAGGCGGTAGCGAAACAACATGGTTACAATGATATCAGCACTCTTATGATTTCACCAGTATATCATGCGGTTCCAATAACCCGCCCTCGGAGTCCTCGTCCGACCAATATCATTCAACATATATCACCCTCGGAGCCACAGTCCATGATGCATTAGGAGATTTGTCTATTTTTCTTCTTCCTTTCGTACCTACACTCTCCCATAGCCGATCCAAACGGATGAAGATCCGGACCACTTAGACATTTCGATGATATACAAAAACCAATCTAAACCTTCCATGTACCAAACCAAAATCAACGCTTCCCATGTTGCTTCGCCAGACACCATTCTAAAATTCGTTCATTAACCCATCCAAACGTCGTTTCGTGTCGCTATGGAATGTATGTATGTATGTATACAAGGCCCACCCACCGCATTACTCGTGTCAATACGACGAAACCCGTCTTAACTACCCTATACAACCCCACGCTATCCATCTTTTTGAAAAATAATATTCCTTCCCTTGCGAGTGGATTGTATGCAGTTCTAAGACGGGCCAAAAAACTTGGTAAAAAGTGAAAAATGTAGATACCCCTCCAAACTCATCAACACCGCTCTAATGCATGTATCCTGATTCTAATACAAGGACTCTAATAAAAGAAGGGTGGGTGAGTCTTTGTTGTTGTTGCGGCTATGAAAAAAACAACGCAGATACGAATTAAGCCTCCGTAGTCAAAACGCCAACCAATAATAGGTAGACCAACCGGTAAGAACGCCAGGACCACCAATTACACCCAGGCGCGCCAACTACAGTGGTGCGGAACGTGCCCGCCCTACCCCAGAGGCCAGAATACTCTCCAACTAAGAAAGTCCGGCAAGCTTCTGAAGTGTTACAAGTACACCTGTTGTCTGTATTAGTAATGATTCGGGTGGGGTATCATAGGTCTTGACTTACCGCTGACACCTTGAGTCAAGGTGGAGGTGGCTTCGGTATTCCGGTTACCTAAGCTCACTGTAATAACTTCTTTTACCCGTTTAGCGCCGTGTAGGCTGTTTGCCCACTTGTAGACCTTTTCGTCTTCACGGCCGTCGCCAACAACCATGAGGAAGTCGATTGGGCTGTTTTGTAAGTCTAATGATTCTTGGTTCGTGTGGCCGAAGACCTGGACGGCGGCGGTTTCCTTGGTCCAGTCAATTGATTCGACGACAACACAGTTGTCTAGCTGCGTGGCATGAACTCGTTGTTCCTCGCAGGATTCATTAATATGACCAGTCCAATCGCTTGCTTGTCGTTCAGCGTTAGCGTAATCATCGGCATTTTTGTAATGGAATATTAACGAGGAATTGCGATCCTCGATTTCCGATCCTGGAGTACGTTCGAGGTAGTATTGAAGGATTCCTCGAACCGATTCTTTCCAAGCAGCAACTTTGTCGTGGTCTGCCACCTCGGTCCAAGTGGTCTTACCGGCAAACTTAATGAAACTTCCATTTTCGGCTATGAGACCAAGGTTAGGAACCAGACGGAGAAGTCGGTCCAACTCCTCGGGTCTACGTCCAGACATCACATATACAGTGTTCCGGGGGTCATCAACAAGATCATTTAATACATCCAGAGTACGCTACAGACACGTCAGTATCCTCTGCTAGGAGATGGTATATAAAACTTGCCTCACTAACCTGAGGATTCATGGGGATGATCTCGTTCATCGGACCATAAGGTATTAGTGTGCCTTCCAGGTCAAGGAAGAAGAGTCGGGTTTGGCTTTGGGAATACCTCTTGCCAAGAGCGGTCAAGTTCAATCGAGGAACGGACGTCTGATCATGACGGTGTTGCTCCTCGTAAACTTGATCTAGAGAGTCTAGGAATCCGGAAAACCAGTGGCTTCCGGTGTGATGGCCGACAACTTCACGAAGTGCTTCCCATCTTTCTGTCTTCTCGCCCTCGAACATTTCAAGGGCCTGCTTGATAGCCTCAGAGCACTGTCGGTAGCTCCATGGGTTTACGGATAATTCCTTGTTGCCAAAGAGGGACGAAGTACCAGTGAACTCGGATAGAATAAGAGACCCGTGCTTCTTGTCACAGTACTTCCCGTCTTGGCAGACGATGAATTCGTGGGACGTTAAGTTCATGCCCTCACGCTGACTCGTGATCATGAGCGCATCGGCAATCGTTAATAGAGCGAGGTATTGAGGGTATGGAATATCTTGCTTTAGGTACACAAGAGGTAGGTAGGCGAGGTTAGCCCAGTTCGAGTTCACTCTGGTGACAATGTCACCAACAGCAGCGTCAAGGTCGGTCTTCTCACCAGTCGACAGAGCAACTTGGATAAGGACAACCTTGTCTCTCCACTGAGGGTTCTTGTTAAGAAACAGCTCATAGGAGAGAAGCTTTTGTCGGACACCACGAACATGATCGAGCTTGTCACGAGCAACAATGATTTTCTTGCCCTTGTATCGTTCCCTCATGATCTCGATCCACCTCATTACCTCGGCTTCCTGGCGATGGGTATCGAGGTTGATAGGGTCGATACCGATAGCGTGATTCATAACATTGACGAACCGGTCCTCCAACTGAACGCCGTCGGGTGTCGCCTCCACGGCTAGCAAGCGGCTACATGTCTGAAGGAAGTGACGGGTATACTCGTGGATTTGAAAACCAATCAGATTGGCGCCAAGCATGCCCTCCAACAATTGTTTTCGCACGGCGAGGCATCGGAAAACTTCGGATGAAGGGAAAGCGACGTGCAAAAATAAACCGATCTTAGCATCTGGGAGCTTTTTACGAATCATGCCAGGTACCAGCAGGAGATGGTAGTCGTTAACCCAGATGGTGTCACCTCGTTTCCAATTTTTGACAATCTTATCCGCGAACGCTTGGTTGAGGTTGACGTAGAATTGCCATGAATGATCTTCATATGCCTTGCTCTTCGGGTTATCTGGGATCTGGTAGTGGAAGACAGGCCACAGAATTTGCTTGCAGAAGTGTAGGTAATGACCATCGAAGTCTTTATCGGAGCAGAACACAGGGTACATGCTAAATTCGGTTACGAATCTGTCGTTGATGTCTTCCTTCTGCTGTGTTCCCTCAAGTGCATCTGTAGGCATACCCAAGGTACCGACCCAAGAGTATTCTTCAGGGTGGCCCTCTCGTGCCGCGGCTTCAGCAGCATTCCTAAGGCCGCCGTTGCCCTGGTCAGCGTTCACGATACGCCAGTTGGCGTGAGCGAAGACCCTGTCATGACTATCGCTTCGGGTTACTCGAGGTTGGAGGATTCCTTGTCGTCCAAGTTCCTTAGCCTTTTCCAATGTCCTCGCATGCTCTAACAGAGAGGCCGGGGGTGGTGAGTTTGCTCGAGACTTCGGTTGGTTCGCTCGACCGCCCCATTTTGGGGATTCCTTATCCGTAGGGGCTGCTCGGAATTCCTCGTCGTCCGAAACGTTGAGTACACGCAGGCCGTCTTCGTTCACGAAAATACCATCGTCAAGGTAGGTAGTTTCCTCCTCTGGCGTCTTGGGAGGAGTGATAGTAGGATCGGGAAATAGACTCGTACGAAGCTCGAGGGGGGGTCGTTTCGACGATTTCTTGTTGTTCTGTCTTTGGCTATGGCGTTCGCTGGCAGGCGGTGCATCTGGTAACTTGAAATAGACCGTTTTCGGCAGGAACCTAATGAAATCAAAAGTTAGAAAACACCCAGGGCCCAGACATATTTTAAATAGTCGGTGAATGGGTCGAGGTTATGCATTGGCGTTCGATTCTCATGCAAGTTGGTAATAGCTCAGCCTGGAGTACCAGGGTAGGGAATGCGGGAGCTTGATATGGAACCATAGATGGCATCATAACATCAATGGAAATATAAAACAATATTTTGAACTAAACAAGCTCAAATATAGAAACAGAAATATCATATGATATATTTAAAAGGTATTAAAGGGTTGGGACTTACAGCGAGGCTAGGAAGATGGTCATCGTGAAAATAATTAGAGATTAGATCTCTGCGGAATTATGTTGTCTGTAATGGTAGACTAGACTCAACCCAGACTGCAATACCAAAAGGCAGTCTGGTGAAGTGAAGGGTCGCGAGTGAAGCAAGAAATTGCAAGTTCATAGGAGAGGATTAACTGTTTAGAGGAGTCGTGTGTTTTTTTTTGTGGTTCGTATGTTGAGTTCTTAAATATTTGGTTGGATTCGCATGTCTAAATAAAAAATTAAAAAAGTTTTGGAGATCGGGTGTCCTTCCTTTAAGAATCGGATGACCGTTACGGCGGAGGGGAACGGGACGTCTTAGATGGGTTACTTCCCGGAAAGGTTAGTCAGAAAGGTTATTCATAAGTGATAAGTCAAGGTGACGCAAAAGGATAGAAATTGCTTGGGAGGGATGATTGCTAGCCAGCATAATAAAGCTGGATAAGCTGAGGAGCTGTTGGATCAAATTGATGTCAGTGAATGTATCGATTGGGAGCTAAATTTTGGGTAGAGTTGTTGATTTGTACTAGGATGGCATCCACAACACCTACCAAACCGCTAATAGAATGAGCGACCAGTGACGTACTTCAAAGGTATAAATTATCAAGGATACCAGACCTATTGAACCTTACCCTCCCCTGCTACCTTAGGTACCTACATAGCGCCAAGTTTTACATAATGTAGCAGTAGAGCTTCTAAAAATTTGAACCAACAGGGTTTATGATGCACAAAGTTCGCGGGCTTTAGCGCACCTGCCGTCAAAGTTCTAAGGTTTAGGTATATTCCAGCCATGCAGCCGTCCCGCAGTAAGAAAGTTAATTACATGAACCTGCGCATCCAAAGAATCGAATCGTCTACAAAATTCCAAGTACGCTAAAGATTTCTTCTCCACTTCATGTTGGTGCTTCTCCAGCTTGATGTGGTTTTTGTTTCGATACACCCATGGGATTGGAACAATTCCCATTTCACATATTTCATACCTGACGTAGTTGAGTTACATGGAGAAGGAGTGAAAGCTGCCTCTGGAGAAATGCGTCCGAATATATGAACAGAAAATGTTTGTATGACTTCATATCTACTATATCAATACCTCCTTTTCCACATCCTAACAATTTGAATCGAATTCATTCGAGATATTCTAAGGACTATTTGCTCCGAAGCGAATACTTTTTTTTTCTTCACTTCGTCGAGACGATGTATGGAATTGATGGGAATCACAGCCCTATGGGAAATCGAGTTTTCTAGCAGATTCCCCCCTACCAAATCTGCAAATTCCCAGCCCAGTTTTTCTTGTTTCGCCTTTACCCAGGAGGTTTTGGTCCGAAACTAAGACGGATACTACATGTGAAATCCACAGTCTAAACCACAAAAGGGCAAAAAGAGTGATCGAACTTCGGGTCCAATGAGCTTGGCTACTTACATGGAGGTAAACCGAGTGGATCTTCAGGGTCATCATCACCGAGCTGTTATCAAAAGAATCACTTTTCCAACAGGCGGGAATGGATGCAACAATGGTCTTGGCCATTCTTTGATCCCGTATTCCAAGTTGTTGCCGAAATGGCCGATGATTCATCTCAGATTTTTTTTTCCCTCACCACCTGCAGAGAAGGCTCCGCAGTTTGAGCATCGCCCTTCTCGTTTCGGATCGATGCTGTCCTGCGCCTAGCTTACTACCATCGCTATAAATTGTGCTTGAGATTCTGAGCACATTGTCTGTCCGAGGGGTCCCATTGGTTGTTTCCATTTGTTTCCCGGTTCGGGCCTTAAGTGAACGACCGGAATTCCCCGCAATGTAACCTGTATGACCGGGTTTTTACGGAGAAGGACTCAAGACGTGATAGCTTCAAAAACCATCGGTTTTACCTCAGAATCTTTTGACCGCGAGGTATGTATCGTCGACTACCCAATACCGCGGCTATTCCTTTAATCTCTCCCAATCGCAAACGATGTTACCTAAGTACTTACCAGCCGTAAGGCAACGTAAGCAACCAGCCCGGCGGAATTGCTAACATAATTGGCCGATTTAGCCTACCAAGACCCTCATGCATTAGATGCATTAATACCTGAGTTAAGTTCCCTTAAGCCGCACCTATCGTGAAGATCATTAAAGATTCTACTTAGATACATTAAGATACCCACCACAAAGATATAGATGCGAGTAGCCTCGAAGCTCGTTGAAAGCCTGGAACTTTCTAACATAGGTAAACGTATGCAGGATCAATGCGGCTTTCCTGAAAAGGTGAATCCTTGATGCCCAAGAAATTCAGGGAAGTTCACATGCTTCAACGGCCTGCCCGCGAGCCGGGTCCCCGAAATATGAATACGCATTGTCCTGCAGGGGAGTGCGAAAATTTTGATAGGCTCGTCTAATTGGCGCACACCCTTCAACGTTTGAATAGACTGATGCCTTCGAGCAACTTCATCACAACATCTGATAGGAATCGTGAGAGGAAGCTTTAAGGGAGTGCATACAACTTGGGGACCCCGTACTGATCACGCGGTAAAAGATAGATCGCCAATAACTACCGGAGCATGCTTCTCGCATGCCCCATATCTATATGCACACGTACTGCCACGGCCAAGAACAACAGCACGGTCTCAAGCACGAGCAAATGCTTCGTTCATGTACATCGTATGTGGAACCTGGGTATTGGCTGGATACGTACCCAGAAACGGGGACCTCACGAGTAAACAGCGACGTATTTTCAAAATGCCATGAAAGGTAGCTTACTAGCTCCTGGTGTAGTGGTGCGGCCGAGCTCTATAGGCGTCAGGTAGTACCTACTAAGTACCTAGTTATCTAACCTAGGTAGACACGAACCACATACCCGGAATAGATCAAAGGTCAAGAAGCTATCACATCCTTGGCACACAGTGTCGAGACCAGTCCATCAGGCTATGCTAACTCCTTCTCATTCAAATCCATTTTCCGACAAACCACACACCAATTCATTACCCCGCCCTGCCCTCAACAAGGTAATTTTGACTTGTAGTGCCTCATGTGGGTAGACCTGCATCATGTATCGTGATACTCATGTCGTCCACATTGGGTTACCTTTCCCCTCTTTGTTACCTCTGCAGTTAAGCGCGCTCGAGACGGAATAGGGAAATAGGCGCTTGATTGTCGCACACATCGTAAACACCAGTCAGAAATTATCATGACCGGACTATTATAGTTATAGTCTAATAGATGAATTACGAGTCGGGAGTTTTCATACTAATAAGCAAACGAACTACTTGGTGGAAATACTTATGTATGATAACATCATGACTTGATTTGAAAATCGGATCTAGAGTTGGATCTATCGACTCGGCTGCAATTCCGAGGTGCCACGGGGTCAGGACCGACAGAGACTTATGCAAGGAACGGCCCGCAATTCGTGTGCCATTTGGTTGGATCGTCGAAAATCGTGTCCACTGCTACTGGGGAATGGGGACAAGCGAACAAACTAGTTACGATATGTTACGTGGTTTGAGTTTTTCTATTCCTTTCTCCAATGCCGTTCCGCATTTTCATTTCCTTCGGACCCATCTTGTCACGCTGATGACGGGTTGCTATTTTATCTTTCGCAATAACAAAATTAGTAGGTGAATTCATGCAACTCGATGGCCCAGAGCGGTCCAACTCTATAACATTGTGGAGACAAGTAATGAGTTTATCTCGCTCGACTCGCTTCTGAATCTATCCATGTTTTTCTTTTTCCAATCAATTGCGCCAGAGCCGGACGGCCTTGTCTTTTCCCCCGGATCCAACAAGCCGGCCGTCCACGGACCAATCTAATGCATATACCTCATCTTCATGACCGGGTAAATCAACCGATAACTTGAAAGATCGCATGTCCCATACCTTCAGAGTAGTATCCTTCGATCCAGAGCAAAGAAGTCGCTGTAGTCACATGTCAGCTCCAATTTGAAACCGCAACGGGAGTGTCTGAGAAAAAATTTTTCAAGGGTTCCAAAATATTTTCTGCAGGAAACCAAAGTAACCAAGAGGTTTCACTTACCGAGTCAGCTGAGAAGGCACATTGGTATACTGGTGCAACCTATTCATAATTAGAAATTAGATCGTCGATCCATAGAGACCCGCTTCAATAATGAAATTGGGATCATTTCGACTTACATGACCCCGTAACGTTGTCAGAAACTTCCCATCCCTGCTCATCATCATTAGTGATTTTCCACTTATACCAACCCCGGATAACTTGGACGGGGACATCGGGACACGAAAATTGATTGCTTACCGGGTCCATATCTTGATGTGGTTATCCCAACCAGCACTAGCAATCAGGTTGCCGTCTGGGGAGAACGACACGTGGTTTACTTGTTTCTGATGCCCCAGTAGTCGCGCTAAGGGTTTTGTTCCTTGCGCAGGGTCCCAAAGATACATCGTGAAATCGTCACTAGCTGAAATAACTCGTTCAGCTATTTTGCCTTGTTGTTTGGCCGCCTTTTCAAACCGCTCTTTTGCCTTTGCTCGCTTCTCTTCCAAAGGGGTCGGCACGTTCTTCGTATGGTCGTAGAATGCTGTCCGGAGTACAAAGTCGGTAGATAGCGCAAGATGATTTACCCAATGAGCATGTGATGCTAATGTATGTTTCAGGGTCCCATCTGCGGCATTCCATACCTTGACGGTCTTGTCTTGGCTAGCACTGTAAATGAGATCTGTTCCACCCCATCTCACGCAGCTCACACTACCCTTTTGTTGATATTAGCCTTTGTTGACATCGCCGATTTAATCAATGCTCACTTTATGTCCTGATAGAACATGCTCAGTTACGCCAGTATTCGCGATCCATATTCGTATCGTTGCGTCCTTGCTGGCGCTCGCCAATCTCGGCGTCTCGTCACGCCATAGGTGAAATGGTTGCCACGCAATACTTGTGATCCATTTAGAATGGCCATTGAATGGCCTCCCAACGGATTGGCCGGATTCGTCCCATATTCGTACCGTCTTATCCATACTACCAGTCGCTAAGTTTAGGCCATCGGGTCGCCATGCTAGCGCCAAGACCCAACCTGAATGACCTTTCAGAGTATACTTCGGCGTGCCGCTGTCCGTGTTCCATATTCTAGCTGTGTTGTCACCCGACCCAGTAGCCAAGAGACCACTCGTCTTGGGAGAGAATTGAGCTGCTAGGATAGCTTCGCCATGCCCAGGTATTCTATTTGACATGCGTGTTACCGCTTGTACTTTGAATACCGCTTGCGGCTCAGCAGCCAATGTGATTGTGGTTTCGAAGGGATTCTCGATGCCATGTTTACGAAGGACGGCTAGGAACTCGGCAGGCGTGGGGTATGTATCGATTATTGTATCGGAGCTCGGTATATGTATACGAAAACGATAAGGTGTGAATTCTTCTCTTTCCTGCGTAAGTAAGAGACATTAGTTTTCAGCCATTCTTGGAGCGCATCGTCTAAACGCTCGACATACCCTTCCTAGTAATGTGTTAAGTAGTAGAGACACATTTTTCTCTGTCGCATCGGCTAAGGGCACTTCTATTGTATCGGCCAATTGATTTCCGTCGTTATCTATGAATCGCGCTTTGAAAGAACCAGCTTCAACAACCGCAGGTGTAACGTCTTGCTGAACTTGAGTGCGCTCCAGAACTTCCCGTCGCTGTCGTTTCGACGGTGGGGGTACTACGGTCGCCATTCTGTTGATTTTTCAGTTTAGTCAGTATTCAATTTTTTCCCCTATGATATTGATCCTCAAGACGAATTCATCGAACGATTGAACAGACTGAATACCGTCTGTATGTGTAATAAATCGTCTTTTTCCTAGCCGAAATGCTTCGCGGGGCAGTACAAGCCACAAAAAGTTGAAAATCTATATCTTATCGTTATCTTATCTTAGCGTCCATAAGCTTGCCCGGTGGGGACGTCCTTCAACCAATAAGCTTTCATCGACTACATAAGATCGTCGCTTATATAATATCGAGATCGGAAAGTGTCAAGGATATTTATTTCCCATCCTTCCTTCCATTCACGTAGCTTCGTCATGGTAAGATACATTTAAAGTTCTCATCTCATGGTCAAAGTATATGTAGGTGAAATGTCTATTACAAAACTCTCCTTCATCTCTTTATGATCCAATCTATCCAAGCTTGCTATCTACGTAGATAGAAGACAAAGCTGAAGCTCCAAAATTCAATCATTTATTTTATCGCGATCCTTTCTGTATGATGTTCCTGTAACTTCCACGATGGAATCACTACCCGGGGTACGAAGATCTCGACCATCTTCAAGCAAAGAAACACCTTCTCGCTCAAGTCAACCCAATTCCAACCGTTCACTTTCTCGTACTACCTCTTCTACCCCTCACCCAAGTGCTGTACAAGATGTTCTTACAAGACCAGGCACTTCTGCCAATCAGTTCTCATCCGCGTCGCTCACAGGTAGTCGCTCTGCGACGAGCTCGTCGCGTATCCCAAGACAGCATCGTCAGAGCAGCACTGCATCAGGACGTAAGTCTCGCTCAACCTCATCTGTTTGGGGCTCCGAGTCACATGAAGTCATTTGCGCAGTGACTGAGTCTCGTGGTGTATCCCCTACCGTTGGTCTGGCTTTCATCAATATCACCACGAATGAAGCTATACTAAGTCAAATTTGTGACTCCCAATTCTACGTCAAGACCGTTCATAAAATCCAGATGTATGAACCATCTACGATTTTACTAGTGAACACGGCATTTCCCCCTAACCCCAAGTCTAGCCTTCTCTCCATCATCGAAGAAGAACTTCCGGACACACTAATTGAGCCTCTTGATCGTAAGTACTGGTCGGAGAATGCAGGCCTTGAGTCCATCCAAACTCTAGCATTCAGAGAAGATTTGGAAGCTATTCAGGTGGCAATTGAGGGCAATTTCTACGCAACTTGCTCGTTCGCCGCTGTAAGCGCGGTCCTCTTTGATTCACCTATTCATACTGCTCACCGTCATTAGGCCGTCAAGTATGTAGAGCTCTCTTGCCGTGTATCGATAATGTCCCATTCGCTTCGGGTCAAATATCAACCATCAGAGAATACGATGATGATCGATATATCCACCATTCACTCCCTTGAACTTATACAGAACTTACAGAATGCGAAATCTAAGGATTGTCTCTTCGGGCTCCTAAACGAAACACTCACTCCTATGGGCTCGAGAATGCTGCGAAGCAATATTCTTCAGCCGTCATGTCAGGTTGACAGTACGCTTGTTCCACGTTATGACGCTCTAGATGAGCTTACCGTGAAGGAAGACATGTTCTTCGAAATTCGCAAAGGTCAGAACCGGTTCTCTTGCTTTAGGACTTGAAATTGACCTTCTGCAGCTCTGAAAGGTTTTGTGGACATTGAGAAGCTATTGACGATGGTTAGTATATACACTCGTGACCCCGTACTTAGCTGATTTGATAAAGCTTGTCATCGTGCCAAACCAAGCCTCGATATATGCCTCGGAGCAAGCCATTAACAATATTCTAGGCGTTAAATCTTTTCTCACTACTGTCCCTTCTATATATGAGGCGTTGGCTACTGCACGTACAGACCTTCTGACAAGGATCCGTGAAATATGCCGCCCAGAACTCACTCAACCTGTCACAGGTCTTATTGCAGCTACAATCAACGAGGATGTCACAGCAATAAAGTCACCACTTGATATGAGGAACCAAAGGACATATGCTGTCAAAGTGAGCCGTTTCTCAATTGACCGTGTCCCCCTCCACTAATTGTATTCAAAGTCGGGAGTCCACGGGCTATTGGATGTTGCTCGTCAAACATACAAGGAGGCAACAGAGGATGTCCACCAACATGTTGAAGACATAAACAGTAAGCTGCGCTCTCATTCAGCCATCAGCCATCAGCCATCGTACTCATCGGTTTCGTAATACAGGGGAGCATGAAATCAATGCAGAGCTTAAATTCGATACCAATCGAAAATATTGGTTGCGATTGAGACAGACCGACTTCGAAGATCGCGCTGTCCCAGATATACTAATCAACACAGTCCGGAAGGGCGTTTGGATTGAGTGCCAAACATTAATACTAATCCAACTAAATCACCGCATCACGGATTCTCACAATGAAGCGATCATGCTTAGCGACAAAGTTGTCCAAGAACTTCTAGACGCCATTCGAGTGCACGTACCAAACCTCTTCCGTGTCTGCGAAGGCATTGCCCTACTAGATATGATCGCGGCTTTTGGGCAGTCCGCTACTACTAGAGACTACTCAAGGCCTGAAATTGGTCATGCATTGGCCCTCAAAGGCGCAAGGCATCCTATTTGCGAACGTGTCAGTAGTCTTCTAAGTTCAATCCGACGCTTCTATTTTAACAAGTTTTAGGCTAACCCGGAACGATTTGTTCCTAATGATGTCTTCGCTAATGAGCAGCATCGATTTCAGATCATCACAGGTTGCAACATGAGCGGTAAAAGCACTTATATCAGAATGATTTCGCTTCTCCAAGTAATGGCACAGGTGGGTTGTTTTGTACCCGCCCAGTATGCGGCGTTCCCGGTGATCCAACAACTCTTCGTGCGGATGTCTACAGATGATAGTATTGAGGCCAACATGTCAACATTTTCACTTGAGATGCGAGAAATGGCTTTTATACTAAGGTATGTGTGGTGCAACATCGTAAGCGCCTTCTAATTCCTAGTCTAGGAACATAAATGGGAAGAGTCTAGCTATTATCGATGAGCTTGGTCGTGCGACTAGCACAAGGGATGGGCTAGCAATTGCTCTCGCCATGTCTGAAGCCCTAATCCAGAGCAATTCCCTTGTGTGGTTTGCAACGCATTTTCAACAGCTTGGTAATATACCTGAAATTAGTGCTACGTGATCTTCCTAATGAATGAGCAGCAAAGGTCTTGGGTAGTAGACCCGGGGTTCTAAACCTGCATCTTGCTACCGAACTTCACGACATGGAAGGCGAGAGCCCAAAGATGACAATGTTGTACAAGATCACCTCCGGGCCAGTTCAAGAGGAACATTACGGGCTGAACCTCGCGCGTGCTATTGGATTTCCAGAACGATTCATTGAAGTTGCAGAAGACGTTTCGAAGACGCTCGCAGAAGAAATCGAGAGGAAAAAGCAAACTTCGCAATCCAGGAAACTGCTTCGACGTCGAAAACTAATCTTGAACCTGCACGATACTCTTCTTCAATTGCGAGAATCGGAGATGGATGACGCTGCATTGGGCAGTTATCTTAAGAGGCTCCAAGATGAATTTGTTTCGAGGATGGACGAGATTGAAAACGACACACGAATTGAAGAAAACGCCCGAACAATTGAGGAAATCGATTAAATGACGATATTTAAGAGTTACCACCCTACGAGGGTTATTTCGCATTGTTCTGGCTTTTAAGATCGAGCTTCGTTCATGGCTTGTGCTCATTGTACATGCTGAGCACTCTTTTATGCTGTCAAAATTAGCTCCTCTACATGTTAAAGTCCTCGCCCGGGTTTGCCCCGCCAATATGATTGGGATTTGTCTCGTTATACCAAAAATAATATGAGTCACTTTGATGTCGTTCCTTGACGCCAGGATGTCGCGACTTCTTCATGATCTGGACGTATTTGTCTAGGTCAAGACCGTTCTCTTTCCGGAACCTGGTGAGCTTCTCGAAGTTCATGCATTGCCGATTTATCGACCTATATTCCAGTTATATGTTAGATCGAATGTGTCTAAGTTGGAATAGTTGTGGACTTACATGTCGGGTTGTGGATATTCCTGTCCCGCAACCCAGTGGTACGTCATAAAATTCACGTTGCCGCTGCACTGCAGCGCCTGTAGGAGGATATCGACACAGTGATTGACGTGGATCTCAGGCAAGCCCATGACTGAATGGTTTCGGGTGGTGATGTGGTAATAACCGCGATAAGCGTTCTGTCGAAGCGTGTTAAGGCAATGGATTTGGTGGTATACATCGAAGGCCCCAACGTAGGCATCGTCGCCCAGTCCCCACTCCGGATCCTCGAGTTTCGTTACCGTGGACGGGTCTTTCCCCATCCGCAAGATATCATCTCGTGTCAGAGGGTAAAAGCGACTTAGCTCCCATTCGTGCCATAACTCGTCGGCCTCCTTATTCGGTAGCTCCCGCGCTATAGAAGCGCCCTCCTTTGCTGGAAATAGCGTTCCCTGAACCACTCGCGGCTTCATCTCCAAGTCTATCCCATCGAACACGGGACCTACCGTCCTGATTTAGCCAATCATTTCGATATGATAGTTCTTAATGCTTACTGTAGGTAGATGCTTGTCGCAACTCATGATTGAGCAGGGCCTTTTTGCTCCCCGACGCAGAGAAAAGCGCGATCGAAATTGCGAACAAAATAACATTGAAAATGGTTATAAGTATAGCAGCGCTTGTGTACAGGCGTTGTCGGCTAGAGCCCTTCGAGGGCGTTGGTTTTTCACTCAACAGGCCTTCCGCCTCTTCATTTTGACCCTCCATGGTGAAGGAAGATGATTGTGATAGGATTGATTCAATTGAGATTCCATCTCGTCCGGAACGTTCGGGCGCACAAGCAAACTTCGAAGACGGCATCTTTTACACGCATATAGAGTGGTTCTGATAACTATGAGGGTCCGATATCCCTTACTCGATCGGAATGACTGAATACGAGCACCGCGCGTTTGACGGCGTCGGTAAGCTCGGAGACCGTGTCGGAGGTTGTAAATGTCGATATCACGCAGTGTAGTCTATTTCGCTCGTCATTATCAACTTAGGATTTGAGGCCGATCACGACTCCATAAACCCAATAGGTTGGGTGGCCCATTTTTATACGTAAAATGTTCGTTTCTGGCGGGGAACGACTTGTGGGTTGGTAAGAATGTCTGGCGGGCTGACTTACACAAGAGATGCCCCCGGCCCGAATTAATAACCCGTATGAACTATCATGGGATCCAATTGCTCATAACGATGGTGTCAATTATTTGTTGGATTGTGCGAGTCTGGCGCAACATGTCATAATATCTAAGAGGCTACAATACTCAACACATCAGGAATATCGAAAGTAACGCTCTCACGACATTGACGTGATGGGAAAGGGGATCAATTAATGTTGCTATTTAAGTGAGACTTAATGCTACATATGTAGGTGTTCGGTCACTTTAATATGCCTGTTCTCCTGGATGATGATCGTCATCGCTGTTCGAGGAAGGTGAGGAAATAGTATACTAAATCACATCACCAACAATTTATTTCGGACGCATGTTTTCTTACCAAGTTAGAAAAGATCTACACACAACGGCGTCTTGATCGGTCATGCCAGGCGGAATGGCGGATGTGCGGGCGGTACTACCAACGCGAAAACCCCGACGAGAAGTCTCTCGCGAGTGTATATATGATCCCTCGGATCTTCGATGTCTTTCTCCATTCTCAAAAGATCCAAACCAAACTCATTCTCGAACCAATTTAACGTGAATCCCCCTTCAAGTGTGCAAACGCTTATAATACCTATCCACCACACCCCCCAATCTAAGCTAAACACGCCACCATGCACGTATCCGCGATCTTCCTCACCGGCCTGGCAGCCGTCGCCCTGGCTGCACCCCTTGATGTAAGTCCAGCAACTAAGTACCTAGAGTTACCGAAGACTTTCCTAATAACCAAACGCCAGGCTTCTACCCAATTGGCCGAACGCCAGTATGATCCTATTGAGAAGGTACATGCGTCCTTGGAGGGAGGGGAGTCCGACGCCACAAAGCGTCAGTACGAACCTATTGAAAAGGTTCATGCATCTCTAGAGGGAAAGGAGTCGAAACGTCAATATGAACCCATTGAGAAGGTTCATGCGTCGCTTGAGGGCAAAGAGAGTCAATAAATTTGGTGGAGATAGAGCGTATCCGATGGGCGATGCCCTGGTCCGTGTTGTTGCTCGGCGGTAATGGGTATACTATTGATATGCTGAGTACCTCATTGAAGGTTGCTATATATTCATCTAAGTATCTGGGTAAACTTCGAAGATAGTTTTTGGAAATATGATCTAGAGACTTACTATGGTTTGGTAAGTTGTTGTGGGAGGATCACGTCTGAAGCTCTTACTACAGCACTTTACTACAGCACTTTGTTATAATTAACGCCAAAGCTGAATGATAAACGAGGAAATTACTTACCTAACGTTGGGCACTGGAGTGAATTGAAGCTTGCAAGATGCCCATTATATCATAACTAGGCACGCCGAAGATAATTTCATAGCCCTACGTACCTGGTACATACCCAGGTATGTAGGTAGCATGTTCATGGAATTTCGATAGTTATTTTCACTCAATCGATTCAGTGTAACGACCCCAACAAAATCTAATGTAACTGACAGGTAATTTAGTGTAGACAAGTAAATGCATGCATTTCCGGCCGTGCTAAAAGGCACTACAGCCAGGGTTAGATACCTAGGTAACTTCTTAAGAAACCTTGTCTTTTGGATCGGTTGGCTCACAAGTAAAAGTCGACGACCTGTTCTACAAAGACTTTCTAACGGAATTTGCATGCACAATCGAGTAGCCTTGTAGGTGCTAAGGCGATATTGTAAACGGTACCTGAGGTATGTGAACCGAAGTGCCTATGTTCTTCTACGCGGCCGGTATCGAGTCAAACATACATTCGCTTGGTCAAATAAATAGCTGCCCATATCTCACGATAGGCTTCTCCCTGAAGTAATTATCGCTCGCTCTAAGAAGCCCACACATTGATCTAGATTTATTGGTGACAGAAACTCAGTATTGGTCTTATGAAGCGGTCACCTAGCTCCCTCATTTTCAGTTACTACTGGCCCTTGTAAAACTTATCACTTAACCATGACGAGCTCTAAAAGCGAACCGAAGACAAAACGGTTACCTAAAAGGAAGCGTACACCGGAAAGGAGACGCATGCTGGGAGAGTCAGATACGACATGTGGAACGTGCGCTAAAGAGGAAATCAGCCTCATTACTTGTGGAAGCCCCCTCGACTATAAAGAATGATGACCTGGAGAAGGATAGCATGGAATTAGTGGATACCAGAAATATGAGAAACGGTAAAAACGCATCACCTGCCACTTCCTTCCATCGACATATCGTCAACTGCAAGCTCAAATTCCCGATTATCATCTCCCCTTCCAGCCACAACTTGGGCGGGAAGAGTAGCGCTAGATATTAAGACGACTACATCCAGAGAATCTATTACGATCACGAAGGCCTTCCACGAAAACCGGCTTTCAACCAAGGGATTGGACATTTTAGGCCTACACTTGAGCGTGGTCGGGTGAATCGTATCATCATGTACCCCGGCTGTTTCCATCCTCCGCACCGTGGCCACCAGGCAGTACTCAACGAAGCATTCGCGGCCACTCAAGACATCGATGTCATCGCTGCTTTTGTTGTTCCAGTAGTTTCTGGTATCCTAGACGACAAAACCTATGGCGACCAGCTATCACTTACATTAGCCGATAAAACTCGACTTTGGACAGGGGGCGAGCCGCATGATTGGCTTTGGGTCTTCGAAGGTGGTGGCCCCGATGAATGGGAATGCTTTCGTAGCCAGCTTGCCTTTCTGATTGCAAAGGATGGGTTTGACGTGGATTTTATCTATCTAGCTGGGCCAGATCATGTAGGAAGAAATTTCATTAGTAATACGGCATGGAACTGCGATCATTCTATCGTCGGCGATGCTGGGAGAGATGCGGACTTTATTCGTGGCGATGGATCGTTGGCTCGTCTGAAAGACTGTGAACGTTGGGAGCGTGTTGAATTGGACGGAAATGCTATGTTTGAGAAGTCCAAGCAAGCAGCGGAAAGTTTCCTTGAATCACTGTCCTTCACGATAATGGGAGCGAGTGAGTTGAAACCTTTAGTACTTTTTCCTGTTGTTGAACTAATTTTCGCCCGTGTCTAGCGGCCTTCGAAGGGTTGTGCACCGAAATTTATGAGGAGTTTCGGAATAGAAGTAAGTGTTATCGGAAACCCTTTACAATCTCATCTGTATTGGAAGCCGACCTATCCCAATCAAATTAATAGAGGAACTGCGATTCCTAAGATACCTTCGTCGTTTAGGTTCCTTGAAGGATTGCTAACTCTGGTGATTTAGTGAAGAGGGTCAGAGTCTGCCGGCGTCGTAGGGACCCCCGACGCTGGGTGCGCTTCGTCAGGTGCGGTGATGGTGTTAAGTTGCGCTATAGCTCAACGGAAATTCGACGTATCATAGCGACATGCCCACTAAATAAGTTGCTTAGAAGACTCAGGGACCAAGGGGCGGCTCTTCATCCGGAGTTACTTGTTGAGATAATCAAAAAGCAAAGTTGATACGATGACTCGATGGGTACCCGAATGTGGGGTGCTCACAGGGAAAACGAGTGCGAGGCTGCGTGGGAGGTTGGTTCGTACGCTTTCTTGGCGGATACTTGGGTAGGAAGCTCAAATCGGGGCGGACCACGGCGAAAGGACGGTAACGGGGAAGAATCTATACAGTCAAAGCTGGTGAAGCAATCAATTAACCTCGCTCCCGTATTTCAAGCTCCGCGCCTCCGTATGGTTAACGCTCATATTGGCCCATACGTACCTAGGTATCCAATTACGGTAAACCGCCGGGGTATTCGGCAATATCTAAGGCATCTTAGGCAACTACATGAGATAGAAATGCTCCATCATCAATCAGAAGTCATCTGACTTGAGGGAATTCATCGCCGCGGGCGCAACATCGCGGAGACGATGGTCGGTCTCGCGTAGACCAACCTCTCCGTTGTTTCCGCCTTCTAGGCGAGGAATGCCTTGATATAATAGGAGAAACTGATCGTATTCTCATGAATTCACCATTGTTGGTAAAACTATTGGATGACGAAAATATGTACGTCATCGGCGTAGCAATTTGAATGAGTGGCGCACTATTAATGATTGTTCAGCTACCTACTAGGAAGGGGGCAACGGGAGTCCGACAAACCGATATTAGGAAAAGGCTGAAGAAATTGGCCAACATGATGCTTCATTTTATGGCATAATTTCATAATCAACCATGATGTAGGTTACTAAAGTGCCTAGCCTTAAGGTTGTTGTGATTGAGAGAAAGGAATCTAGGCTGCCCTATGTAGGTATCTTAATGTTGTACTTTCAGTGTTTTTTCTAGGTGCTTCATTAAATGCCTGGCAGCCCTTGGTGGTACCTAGATACCTAAGACAGGGGTTAAGTAACGACCGACATCCCTAGATCAAAAGCAAAGTGCTTAGTTTTACGGCCACTGAGACATGTCTCCAAGGTAGCTACACCATTGGTTAGTCGGCGTGTATACAGTGTCGCAAGCCGAGGACGTTACAATGATCCCCTAACATGATAAGCGAATGAATCCCATATCCAACAAACAACAATTGTTGGTTCTTCCTCCGCTGCAGGGTCCCTTTGTTTGTTAATGCCGACTGATTGATTTTGAGCAGGTCACCTTCCTTCGCCGGAGTGCTTCCGGGGAAACCGCGTCAAATCGTGCGGGCGGTGCGATGATGCTTAAGGCTGCCTCTATTGGAAATATCTTGAGCCACCATCGGTCTAGGCAGCATCACGATCGCCCTAGATCGCGCATACACCCCTACACCCATGACCATGTAGGTACCTAGTCTCCAATGTATCCATAATTCTCCGTCTCACCGGGCAAGTTGCAATCGCAACCCTACGGAGTTTTCGCTACTAGTTTTCTAATACATCTTAGCATGCATCGAGAAGGCTATCGGACAGGATCGTTATTTTACCATTTCTGAAAATAGATCTTCGCATCATGAGGCATTTGGGAAATGCAGGTTGTCGATCGATCCCGTCGCCGACATACCGATATTTGCCCTAAGCAATTCTTGATTTAAATGCCAATACTACCTAACACATGTGTTTCGGACGTCTAGATCAATGTTTTAATTGGTTATAATCACCTCCAAAGACGCGAAATCTTCTAGCCAACGTTCTTCACCTACATTTCAGAGAACATCGCGAAAATGCAAGAGACGGATGTGTTAATTGTGGGTGGAGGGCCAACGGGAATGACGTTGGCCCTAGAGCTGGCTGTAAATGGGATACCATTTCGCATAATCGACAAGGAAATACAAAGATCAGATAAGTCCAGGGCTCTGGGTGTTCAACCACGCACTTTAGAACTTCTAAATCGACATGGCGATGTTCGGGAGTTCATTTCGCGCGGCAATTTGAGTAGCGGCACCACATTCTACCTCAATGGAAAGAAAGCGGCGGATATCGACATCTCTGGTCTCGCAGAAAACACTGCATTTCCCCTCATTCTCATTATATCCCAATGCGAAACGGAATATTTCCTAGATGGATGTGCTAAAAAGCATGGCTTCGAAGTCGAGCGCGGGGTTGAAGCAAAGTCCATCGTCCAAGCTGCCGAAGGAGCCACGGCTACATTAAAGAAGCCTGATGGCACTGAAGAGGTCGTCCGGGCGAAATACATCGTTGGTGCTGATGGAGCGCATAGTGTCGTGCGACACGCCGCCGAAAGACTTACTTTCCAAGGCGCGGCGTACCCACAGGACTTCATTCTCTGTGATGCTTCCATAAGGAACACGAAAATGGCCTGGAATAGGTTTTCCCTCTGCATGGGGAGGGGATCCTTGGCGGTATTCCCGCTCAAGGATGGTACATGTCGAGTCGTCGTATCGCGCATAAATGCCAACCCTGATGTCGAGCCTACGCTGGAAGTCTTCCAAAGTATGCTAAACCAACTACTCCCCGAAGCAGGCGAATTATACGACCCCACCTGGATCACACAATTCCATCTACACCATAGAGGTGTAAATAGCTACCGAGACCGCCGCCTCTTCGTTGCGGGTGACGCGGCGCATATTCATTCTCCGGCCGGAGCGCAGGGTATGAATACCGGGATACAAGACGCCATCAATCTAGGCTGGAAGTTAGCCAAGGTGATACGAGGAGAACGACCAGGTTCTTTCTTGGACAGCTATGACCGCGAGCGTCGACCAATTGGGCAGAACCTACTGGAAACTTCCGACAAAATGTTTACTTGGGGTTGTTCTTCTAATCCGTTCTTCGTTTCCTTCCGTAACGTCATGTTCACTTGGGTTCTACCCTGGTTCGTAAGCAGTCGAAATCGTCGGGCCAATATCTTTAAGTTTATATCCGAGTTTGGCATTAGTTATAGAGCAAGCGATGCTGTGGGTACGGCTTCAGGATATTCGGGGCCAGTGATGGGAGGAGACCGAGTTCCCGATAGGAAGATTAAGATTATGGGAGACGAGAGGCATTTTCTAGAGCTCATCACGCCAGATTTCCACCACCTGGTATTGCTATCGGGAGTCGGTGAGAATGCTGCGGCGAAAGAAGTTATGACAGAAGTGCAATCTATGCTCAAGGACAATAACCCGGACAAAGCCAAGCTACATATGGTATTCAACAAGGACGCTAATGCTGATGGCCACATCGACATTGAGAACCGTTTACACAAAGACTTTGGCTGCTCTAAACCGTCTTACGTCTATATTCGACCCGATGGGTATGTAGAGCACATTGGACTGCTTTCCCAATTAGAAGAACTTTGGGACTGGGTTAGATAATATCTTAATTCATGAAGTTGGCGATGGGCAGTCAAGTCAGGCCTTTCACCCTCCAGTATTGTATTATTCAACTAAGCAAAGCGTGGAATCAGGTCATCTTCACAAATATAACAAGTAGGAATATAACATGGGAATATTTATTTGACGATTCCAATTGCTTTCGTCATGTGGGCTGATTCCAGTATACGCACCCGAGAGGTAGGAGCAAGGTAGTCAGTCTCCTGTAGTCTCCCATTGTAGATTATTTACTGGTTTCTGTCATGATTACCTACTGATATAGGAAACCCGTGACTTCTACAACCGCGACTTACAGGTATCTTGACAAGCGAAAGGAGCTATTGCTATACTTTAGCAAACCCACTAGCTTTGGCAACTTACATGAATGATTAGTCATTCCTTTTATGCCTAAGCACCTACATATGTACATATGCCCATAACTTTATTACTACCTTGAGATCGCTCCTGCTTCATTATTAGTAGAAGCAGGAGTCATCGATGTAAAGCACCTCCTTCCATTATACTAGACCTAGCCTCCCCCCTCAGGGATATTTAAACACCAGCCTTCCGCCCCTGGCCCCGCCTATCCTTAACTTTTCACTTGTCGACTTTCATCTTCCCGATTACCTAGGTACTCTGAGTCTTCTTCTGGTAGCATCACAAATATTCGCAAGTCCGCATCTATCACATAGAAACTAATAAAATCCGACATCTTAATATCATCTAACAGAAAATATGTCGTCGACCAAGTGTGCCGTGTGCTGGAAGGATGGCGGTAAACTTTGCACGACCTGCAAAAGCTGCCACTATTGTTCTAAGGAGTGCCAGAGCAACGACTGGAAGTCTCACAAGCTTTTGTGCGAAGCCATCGTAACACAACCCAACCGTCCATCCCCCGCTCACGTTAGAGCTATCCTCTTCCCGGATGATAAGCCAACTCCGGAACTTGTGTGGGTTCCCTGCCGCCCACAGCATATCTCCTCGGAACCCAACATCCCCGAATACAATGCAGTTCGTGACCTCGTGGTGACCGACAGCCAGAAAGATGACGCCGTCTTCCTCCGAATTGATTACGACTACCGACACAACGAGTCTAAGTACCCAGATCGACTCCTCGAGATCTGGCACCGCAGCCACCACCGCTCTGATGGATCCACTCCTACAACCAGCTACTACAAGACGGTAAAGCCCCATGGCAAAACCCAACTGGACTGGCGAGGCCCGCTACTCGCCTTCGGCATCGCTACCAAAGACCCCCTAGGGGACGATGATCAACGGGTCAAGCGATACGCCGACGCTATACTAGCTGACCTTCGAGGCATTGTCGATCACGCTGTGTGTTACCACCGGGATAATGATAATCTAATCAAGGATATGCTCGAACTCTCGAGTGCTGGGGTGAGAGTTATGGCGTCGTCGGGCTTGATACCATCAGTTTTGCCTCGTAGTGGAAAGAAACAAGATGATGGACGTAAGAAGGGAGGTAAGGGAGACGATTCTAAACGGGCATCATCGTGAACTTCACTCTTCGACCGCCGAAAACAATTATTTATGCTAATTTGCGTCATCCTAAAGAAATTAGTTGCAATTCGCGACTTCACGGCTAAGCTTACAACACCATAATGGCACGAATGGTACATGGTGGAGAAACGATGGCTAGGGAGCATGACCTAAGAGAGCGCAGACTTCTTTGATCTCGTGGGGTATGTGATAAGCGAACTCAGTAAGGGCGATGGATTTCTCTGTTAATGAAAGAAATGGAAAAGAAAATAGCAAAAATTTTAGTGAGGCTGTTTTCGAGTAGTTAGGCGCTGATTTAATAATATATCGCGACGGTTTCGATAAAGGCACTGTTCTTCTCCAGGCGGTCTTGTACTCCTTAATAGAGAGAACGTAGCCCTGATTTATAGGGGAGATTCTAACCACAGCACGTACCTAGGTAGCGTGGGGGTTACGGTAGCTTCCGAAATCTAGACCTCGTTCCCCGCCCCCTATTTTCCTTCATTACAGGGGTTACCCCGCAATCCCAGAGATTATAATGCAGATTCATAGATTTAACTCCATCAACCACATCTTTGGGACGAGATCTATTCTATAATTCGCGAATATATAGTTGGACTAATAAGCTAATATTAATTGTAGATCGTCTTATTCAGAATGGCTGCTAAATCCGTTCTTATTACGGGCTGTAGCGAGGGTAGTATCGGCGCTGCCTTAGCTGCTGAATTTCAAGCCCAAGGATGTCAGGTCTTCGCAACGGCCCGTGATGTCAGTAAGATGCAATCTCTTTCCAAACTCGGAATCGAAACACTTTCTCTCGACGTCAATTCAGATTCATCAATTGCTTCTGCTTTCGCATCAATACAAAAAGCCACGAACGGGTCCCTAGACTATCTCATCAATAATGCCGGCATCAACCGCATAATGCCCTTCACCGACTCAAAGGTCGATGACTTTAGGCATGTCATCAACACCAACCTTATTGGTGTATTAGCAGTTACACATGCTTTCCTACCGCTATTGATCCAAGCAAAAGGCACTGTAGCGACCGTTGGAAGTGTTAACGAGATTTTCTGCCCGCCATACCAAGTGGCTTACAACGCATCCAAGGCCGCTGTACACGCCATGTCCCGGACCCTACGAGTGGAGCTTGCGCCACTGGGCGTCAAATTTATTACACTAATGACGGGAAGTGTACGCACTAAGTTATTCGAAAATGCGCCCACCAAGATCCCCGAGGATAGTTTTTATCATCCTGTAGCGGACAATATAGAGAAACGCGACTTTCTCAAGGAAGCCCGTTGGGTCGAGCCGGAAGAATTCGCGAAACAGGTTGTTTCCGATTTACTCAAGCCGAAGCCGAAGTTGGAGATTTGGCGCGGAGGTACGTCGACTATTGCTTGGGTCCTCTCATGGCTGGGTTGGGAGGGTATGTTGGTAAGTTACTTAAGATTAGGTCCCTTTGGATACGTTACTGCGAGACTAAACAAGTATTGCAGGACCACGCTATGATTAAGGGTAATCAACTTGATAAGGTCCATCAATAATAAGGCCCTACTTATTTGTTGTGGGTTCGATGCAAAATACCCTTGTTTTCATTTGAATTCTTCATCTTTTGGTCAATTGAGTATGGTGTTTGTAACGGGTGGGTGCCTTTAGGATACATCGCTATCGAACAGACGCAGAAAGGTCATCATTCTAATACTATTAACGATGGAGGTTGCGTTGGAACACCTCAGAACAATTTTAGTGCCTCAGCTTGATTGCTTTCAACGTAGAAACAAAGGCTCTGTGCCTAAACACTTCGCTGAGAAAGTTGTTTCCATACAAACGACTGTTTATTCCTCTATATAGTCGACGACGTAGCCGCTAACTTTTAGCACTATCCCAATTTCGACTGACCACCTACATACTTATTTCAACAAGACCTTTCATACTTTACTTATAACGTTACGTACTACTTGTATACACTTTTATTATTACCTAATTTCTCACAATGTCTTTAAACAACATGGTTCAATGCTCTCGAGGCCACCAGCACTACGGAAAGAATGGAGCGGCTGGTATTATCTTATACCGATACCGCGATGATGGCCAGGTCGAAATGTTACTTTCACAGCGATCTGCCAACGTCGATCACCCGAACACTTGGTGCACAATCGGGGGCCTTGTAAACGACGGAGAACAAACCTTCCAGGCCGCGATACGAGAGATGCAAGAAGAGACCGGCTACCTCATTCGACAAAGTAATATAGCTCTTACAGGGGCGGCACAAGACAATCACGGAGGTTGGACTTACACTACCTATTTCGCTACACCAAACCATAATGTTAAGATCCCCGACGCGTTCAAGTTGCAGACGTCCGAAATTACGCAAGTTAGGTGGATAACGCGCAAGGAGCTCGGACACTACCCATTGCACCCTAGCTTCTTGGATCATACCGTTCGCTTGATGAATACCATGCTTCAGCGCGACTACGATCCGGCCACTGGAGCTTTTTGTCCCACGGTAAATTTCACCTCTATCTTGCCCAAGCGTTGGACCCAGGAGTAGAAACCTAGATTAACCGCACTTAATGCACACCAGTGAGTAGTTCGCGTACATAATTAATATAACAAAGCTATTCGCTTCCAAATTGTCATTCCTTCCGGTGAATTGCAACTTGATTATTGTCTTTCTTATGTGATAATATGGTGTGTGAAGTCTACATTCTGACATTGAGATACCAAGCCGTCATTTTGTAGTTCTGTGAAAGCATCTAGCGCCCTCTATATACTTGACAGCGTCTTAGTTCCTCGAAACCACAGAAAGACATTGAATACTGCTATTCTTTCATTGGTTACTCTCCGGAGAGAAGGTTTTGCTTCCTTGAATACTTCCTGATCCGTATCCCGAGTCGGAAGGTCGGCCTATTTGTCCATCTGAAGACAGCTCGACCATTAGTTGAGAGGGCATCGAACGGAAATCAAAATCAAAATCATATTGGGATATTGGCGGTCCAGCAGGGAGCTCATCATCGTTAATACCAAACGTAAATGGTTGCTCGATGGTTGTAGTTAGGTTATCAAGAGAGGTATGTGAGGACCCGAAAGCTCCCCGGGGTGCTTCGAGATACACTTCATCGGTATTGGAAGGCCCGCGGTCAGATGGCATTGCCGATGGTGTTGTATCTAATTCTCTTGATTTTCGGAAGTCATCTAGAAGTCTGAGATGCGTCTGTGTGAACCATTGGACCACTCTTCGTTTGGGCTCGTCTTCCACAATATTTAGATTGGCTTCTACTTCCTGTTCTAACGTAGTTTTTAGATCGCCTTGCATTTCATAATGAAAATATTCCTCATAGTCATGAATACCTATAGAAGGTACATCTCCGTAGTCATAGACTAAAAGGAATTAGTTCGTCGTGTAGATATCAATGCTCGTCGCACTCACAAGGGGATGGAACCTGAATATCGGGTACATGAGGAAACAATATTAGGTATGTCTGCTTCCACTTTTCGTTTTCGGATAAAGGAGTCGCTGTTCGTTTTCGAGATTTGAGCTTTGCCTCCTGCTCTGAATCAAGGCCGTCAATAGGGCTCACTTCTCGCAGCGCGCAAGGCCGGATCGCTCTAACGTGATCGGCTAGGGTTCTTTTCTCTTCAAATGGTTCGCCGCAACGCTCGCACCTGAATTTTGATTGGCGATGGCGCCGATAAATATGCTCTCTAGAGATAAATAAGTCCAGCTAATGATAGTACAGTGGTTTGGGAGACTTACTTCATGCGATGAACTGTCGTCCAACCGGGTCCACAACACCCCCTCCATTCTCTGCCAATATATTTTCTAGGGTTATGCTTAAAATACGGACAAGCCAAGAATCGCGAATCGACGTCTTTGGGGTCCTTGTTCTTCACTCGTGGTCGGCGGGGTCCGTTTTCGTCGTCGTCGTCGTCGTCGTTATCATCGTTGCTGTCTTCTTCGGGTTTGTCTCTGGGGTCATCCGGTCCCGTCACACTCTTTCTGCCCTTGGTAGAAGACACCCCGCCATTCTGTGTTCGCCAAGACGACCCGGGTCTTTGACCTTGCTGCGCTGGTGCCGCATTCACAACACCCAAGTTTCTGTTTAAATGGTGTATCTCGAGAGTCGGCCTTTCTTTGCCCAGCGTCGAGATTCCGTAATACCTCAACATCGCTTTTGACTTCTGGGGTGGACTTACTATTGGAATATTTCGCTCCGAAGCGTTCGAGGGCGGCCGGATTGCTGCTAAATGAGGGCTCAGACTGCTCTTTGGATCCATTAGAAGAGATTTCGCCCCCCACTAGAGGCCCCCGAATAAGTCGTTCCTCAATCCATGAAGCTCCAATTGATTTCCACGAGTCACGAGGTATAGAACTGAGTAACCAGTCATTCGTTCTTTTCTTCTTTTCATTCAGAGCTGTTATGGACTCCTTTTCGACATACCCAAGATTCTTCTGGACACACGTAAGTAGTACATCTTTATTCGGCGACCTCTCTGAATTGTGATTATGAATTTGCAGAGGTTTTATAGAATGTGACGCTGCCTAGTAATTTATTAGCGTAATTTGCTCACCAGCCCAATAGAGAATTTCTCATGTTAGTAACATACATTTACATCTTAGTCTCTCTGTAGGACGTGTCTTGAAAGCAATCCATGCAGATATATACTTAGATATGAGCCCGGAACTCGTATTTTATTTCGAGGTTTCTTGTGAGCGTGCCAATGTGTTAGCATTACTGCTATAGGGAAGCTTGTGATACACACCTACTTCAGAATTCTCATCTCTGTGTGTAACCACATCATACTGGTTCGATCGCGCCCATACTGGCGTTTCTCTTTGCCCCGCATTTCCACTAACTATGGTTGTTACTTCGCCGTCGTTCCCCCATCGCGCCACTTCCCGAGGTCGTCGAAATTTTCGTATCTCCTTTGCCGATATCCCATGAACCGTTTGATTGGAATCGTGGGGTATTTCTTCGTTTACGTGGTATGAAGAGAAGGGTTCCCCCGGTGTATTAATTGAAGTCGAAACGGTAGGTTGGAGAGAAGTCTCGGAGAATAAGGATGAGTTTCGGCTCGATCGAGACGCAATGGAGCTACATGGCTGTGTTAAGGGTTCCGGGGTAGTGGTCCCTTTGCATCTGACCTGTAAAGCTTTGTGTATTGACGGAGGACGAGGGGAGCTGTTGGATCGTACTACTGGGGCGGTCGGAAACATAGCGCTAGTTCTGGGTTTATAACCTGCGCGTACGGTGAGGCACAAAAACACGCTGAAAAAGGCAATGAGTATGAAAGAGACTTATGAAATTTTTGCATCTTTGGAATAGAAGGAGGGAACCCACACATGAAATCCGACGGATGCTTTTTGCTTACAAGATAGTAAGGCTAGACTCTGGGAGACAATCACAAAACTTCCCTCTTTGCATAAAATGTAACTCTCTATAGGCAGCCAATTACTATGTGTAAAGGCATCGGTAAACCATGGCGTTTTGCGCCGTCTACGCAAACCATAGCAGCGGTCAGCGGCGTTCAGAGTGGGGCTTTAACACCACATAGTCGCAGATCATCTCTATCGCCAATCTGGCAGAACTAGGAAATGAATCAGCCGCCGTCGCGATTCAAGATAACTCAGCATGAAGTCGAGGTATAAATATATAGATACGCAACTAAAGCAAACAAGAGAGTGGTTGGAGAAAGGAGTAACCTAGATAACGCAATCCTGTAAATAATCAGCAACTATTACATTTCTATCATACTTCTATCATGGCATCTTCGTCCCGCCAATCTTTGTCGGGTGGGGTACTGATGGGGGCGGTATGTACGCCGGATGCGCACCCGGGTAGGTTATCTTGTACCAATACCCCCCAAGCCTATTAACTAACACTTATTTTGACGACAGATAAAATGCCCCGCGTTCAAGCCAGTCCTAGTATGCTCAGAAGATACCTTGCGCAGGCTCCAAGCGCTTCAGGAGAACTTGTACTCCGAGATAAGCAGGCTTTTGAACGTCACAAGGAAGCGATTTCGGCACAAATCCAATATACCGAAATAATCTTGCTAGGTAGGACTAAGAAGCGAACATGAAATGTTCTGATTAGCAAGATTGCTTAGGATTTTGCACCCAATACATTTTTAAATACCGACTAGGGAGTTGGGAAATTTCCTAAGCAGGTGGAGGAGGGAGAGAAATTGTACGAAATTAATATGGGAAGCATGTAGTTTTATACAGGAGCGAATATGTTCCCTGCTTTCGGTCTCTAGGATCATTCTCGTTGGGGACTCTGCCTGCAACTCTCTAAACAAAGTCCTTTTAAGATTTATTTAGACGCTTTAACGCCCTAATAGAACCCCACGGGGGGCGTCATACCCGCTAACTTTACCTAACTTATAGGGCCTGACTTATATGTGTAGCTTGGACCGGCAGATGTAACTAAAATAGGCGCTAACGGGACATCCCGCCGCGGCATTTAACCCCAACAGGAAGGCGAGATAAGCATATTTTACATCCCACCCCACCTAACCTTGACATTAACACATTCCGTTTGTTCTAGCTTTGAGTTTATGGCACTTGGAGTTTAACTTAAGCTACTTTCGCGCGTGATTCGCATCATGAAGGTACGTTTAAGCTATGGATGATCTAGTCAAGAGACTTCAATGAGCTTGGCATGTTACTACGGTGATATCAAGCTTAGATTTATACACAATGTATAAAAACATCAGTCCCTCTACGGCGACGCAAGTCCTTCTCTTACTATTCAATCTAATGTTAGACCCTCGTCATTTACAGTTATCATTTCAGTATAATATGTTAAGAAACAATATTATTTTCTCTCTATCTACCTAGAGGATTTAGTAAGTGCCAAGGGTGCTTTTAGTGAGAGCACTTAAATTTCCCTTCCAGGAATCCCCACATCGAAAAACCGGCCAAGTATTGGAATGTTCGTCATGGCCTACATATCCCCGCTCGAGCCGACGGCAACCACTCGATCTTCTATCCAACTTTGGTTAATATTTCTTACTAAAATCTTCGTACTTAATCATATCATGGGTTTCGCAATGTCAAGGCCTACGCAAACATCACTAATCAACAATCAACATGATCAGATTATACCTGATTACACAACGTCGGAAGCCGGCAACCCATTCATAGAGGGTTGGTATGCTGACCCAGATACGGAGATCTACGATAGCATCTACTGGGTCTACCCAACTGCATCTTATTCATACGAGCAACAGACATATCTCGACGCTTTTTCTAGTCCGGATCTGATTAAATGGACGAAACATCGTAACATCCTCACTACGGATAATGTTTCTTGGGCTGTTAATGCTATGTGGGCGCCAGCACCAATTTATAGAAATGGCAAATATTTCTTATATTTCGGAGCGAATGATATTATGGAAGATGCACCCGAGGGAGTAGTTGGTGGCATTGGAGTCGCGGTCGCAGATAAACCGGAAGGTCCGTACGTCGATGCTATCGGAGAACCTCTAATTGGGGAATACCACAACGGCGCACAGCCAATCGACCAGGATGTCTTTATAGACGACGTGGATGGACAGGCTTATATCTACTACGGCGGTCATTCGCATGCTAATGTGGCGAAGCTAAATGAGGATATGATATCGATCGGAACATTCGATGATGGGACACAATTTAAAGAGATTACCCCGGAAAACTACGTCGAAGGTTCCCAGATGATCAAGCGCAACGGCATTTATTACTTCATGTGGTCAGAGGGCGTTTGGACAGGTCCCGATTATTCGGTATCCTACGCGATGTCGGACACCCCACTAGGTCCGTTCAAAAGAGTGGCCAAGATCTTGGAGCAGGATGATTCGGTGGCTAGAAGCAGTGGACACCACGGGGTCATAAATATTCCAGGCACAGATATATGGTACATCGTCTATCACCGCCGCCCGTTAAGCGAAACCGACGACAACCATCGCGTTTTAGCATATGATCGTATGTACTTCAACGAGGATGGGACCATCGCACCAGTTACGATGCTAGTCAAGGACAATTTCGCTAACGGCGAAATGTTCAACTGGAAGACGTATGGCGGAGACTGGTTTGTAGTGGACCATAAACTCAACGCTGCCGAGTCAATTGGAGCTCGAGCGTTCCTTGATACCAACTTCGCGGATCTAGTCTTTGATGCGACTATCTCTAACATCACAGGAGACAGCGGGGATGCGGGGCTTGTTTTCCGGGCTACAGATCTCTCCACTGGGGCCGATGAGTTCAAGGGGTATTATGCGGGGATCTCGCCAGCCGGCGTGGTTTTCCTCGGGAAAGCCGACTCGGGAACTTGGACGTCTATTTATGAAGCCGGCATAGACATATTCAGTGATGTGCAGTATAGAATCAGGATAACAGCGGTCGGGAGTAAAATAAGTGTCTTTGTGGATGATTTGGATAATGCGAAGATCGTTGTTACGGATGAGTCGTTTACTAGAGGGGCAACGGGGGTAGGGGTTCGGTACGGCGGTGCCACTTTTGACTCCGTTTCTGTAGCAAAACCATAGGAAGACAATATAATAAAGCTATAATAAAGGCGTGAAGTTCCTCTTGAGAACAAATTGCAGGCAAATATTGACCTAGGTATGAGCTACTTGGTCATCAGCTAGGTAGGTATTTAGGGCTAGGGTTAGGGTTGAAGCATGCAAAACAAAGGGATGCGAAAGCGCAACCATCAGGATCCTTTCTCAGGCATCGGTTTACCTAAAATCGACATAGGTATGGTCTATACTCTAGGAAACTTCCACGATAATAACTTTCAGATTTCTTGAACATGACGATATCATCAGGAGCTTTGTTGTCGGGCCTGCAGCGGGAGATGTAACACATGATTAACCCTAAGTAACCCTACCCCTAACCCCAACTTTACCCTATCTTGCCCATTGTGTAACACTCTAAGCAGCTATGCCGTCGATGAAAGGCTGAAATAACTGAGCAAAATTTGAATCTTGAACAAAATTGAGATTTAGCTTATCGTTGCGGCAGTGGTCCCAGGAGCCTTTGACGTAAACATTATGGTTTGTAGCTGATTTGCAGAAAGGTTGATGTAACGAAATCGCCATACCGGTGAGCAGTCCTCAAAGATTAGCACCCGAATAGCACCCGAAAATTAGGAATAACGCAGTATCTCCATTTAATTCATAAACACCACCAGACGAGCCGATAAAGATCGTCGAGGCGATCCGTAGTTATGTTTCCATCCCGTCTAAAGTGACAATTGAGAGACCTCGGGACCTACGTTCCGCGACTCCCCAAAATGGTATTACCCTGCAATCTAGATACTACTTACAATTTCGTGTCCCGACCGCGAAATTCTAGATTCGAATTCTTCTCTTATCAAATACTGTAGATGGTTTCTTGTAGTTAAAATATCGTCACGGCGTGTCTAGTTAAGCTACTTGAAGCCGCAGGGCTAGAGGCATGTAACACGAATGACTACCCACAACCTAACATAAGTCGCACCGGCTTACCTGGGCATTGTACCAATGGCAGCCATCGAACCCCTTAAAAAGCCAAGCACCCGCCGACAAGTCGCCGCCTTACTCCTCATATGCACAATTGGGACGCTCCTCCTAGTCCACCAAACCCTCCTGCCAAGCCCCGGGCGGAGTATCCCATCATCCCTCTCCTTCGCACCGCAACGGCCGCCCTCCGACATCCTCCTCCAACAACAAGGCGATCCCAACCGGGAACAAGACATCGACCTCTCAAACCCTCGCGCCCCATTCATAGCCTGGCCGCTACGCCGCGTCTGCGCGGAGACTACATACATCCCCGGTCTAACCTTCATATGCGATAACAACAGCGGCGGTCCGGGGAACATCCGGAATTACATCCTAACCTGTCTGCGGTACGCCCTAGACGGCGGCGCCACAGCCCTAGTCCTCCCACGCATCCGCTCCCGTTCCCCATCCGACCCGGCGAATTTATTCCGCGAGTACCAGCCCTTCTCATACATGTTCGATGAATCACACTTCCGGAACGCGATAGCGGATTCCTGTCCCCGCCTCACCATCTACGAGAATCCCGAGGATGTACCCGGAGCTACGGAAAAAGCACGTCGGGAGAACCGCGATGTGGATCGGATTATAGAACGCGTCACGCCGAAAGAATTCGGCGGAAGCCGCGCGGGGTGCGATCAGCGGGATCCGAATCGCCATACGGATCGCTTCGGTGCTGCGTTCCGGGATTGGGTGAGGGGTAGTGCGGTGGAGAGAGGCTGGGCGCCTGCTAATGATGTCGATAACCCTCGTTTAATCCGTCTGTCGTGGGGTGTACTGTGGGATTGGCCGATCTACCGAGATGGGCCTGAGTTTGCCGCTACGTTTGGTGGGCTGCTTAAAATTCGGGACGATATCCAGGATATAGCAGATGCCATCACGGTGTCAATGCGAACACTTGCGACTTCGACCAGGGGCACCGAAGATGCAGCAGGACAATCGTTTCTAGGAGTGCATCTGCGTACGGAGGCAGATGCGTTATCGCAGTGGCCTTCTTATGAAAATCAGACCAAGGGCTATCTCCGCGAGGCGGCGAGCCAAGGTTATCAAGGGCGCGCAGCATATCTAGCCTCCGGAAATGAGACCGAAACCCGTAAATTTGCTCGGGAGGCCAAGGCGACACTACAATTAGATGTACGATCCAAATACGACCTCCTCGAAGGACACGAGAGCGAATTGGGAAAATTAAGGGCGTTGAGTTGGGACCAACAAGCGCTTGTAGATTTTGTTGTACTACTGAACTGTGATTACTTCGTCGGCGTAAGCCCAAGTAGTTTCAGTATCAATGTGGCGTTAAAGAGACATCTGCAAGACGAGGGGTTATATACCCGACCGTGGAAAGTAGGAGGGCGTGGCGATGGGAGAAGTTGGCTTGTCGGGCGCTATAATCAGTATTGGGAAGATTGGTTATTCATGTTCGACGGCATGTGGCCGTAACTCAACGAGCAGGAAGATGAACGACGAGGGCGCACCAGCGCTAACACATTTCCCCAAAGTATCTATTTCACTCGACTATTCGCTTTTGTCGGTTTAGGCGTTGGGCCAGGATAGACAGGGCGAGGCGGCATGATCTCGTTAACACACATAAAATATCTAATACAACGCTGAGGAGTAGGTCATCTTCTCGGGACGGGGGACCTTTCAATCTCTTTGTAACATGCTTCCAAGTATATAAAACATCCTGATTCTCTTGTCATGTCATTACACATTATCGCCGTTATCCCGCCAAACATGGGTATCTCCAAGACTAAAGGAACTAGCAACACTACCACCACTACCCAATCCAGCATTACGCAACGGTGTCGTAATGCGGCTATCACCATTACCGTTGACGCTCCCCGTACTAGAGTCCACGGATGACTCTTCCAGCGGTGGAGGCGGATCTTGGTAAATCCAAGGCTGTTCTAGGGGGACGACAAGGCTTGGATTGATAAATCTCATTCCTTTCTCCTTGTCTTCATCTATTGTGCTCATGCGTCTCGCTAGTCGAGTTTCCCGCTGCGCTTGTTCCGGATCCCGATCCGGTCGACTTTCTGAGCCAGGGTCGGAGGCTCGCTTGATACTTCGAAGCGCGATAAACCTTGCCAGCGGCGTAAAGCGACGTCGGGAGTAAAAATGGTACCAGAATGTTAAAACAACTAATGGTACGACGAAGGCCGCAGAAATGAAAGCAGCCTGTAGCACCAAAATGGCAATCATGATAGCTTGGAAAGCAACAAGTCCGACAATAATACGCCCACAGATGATTGGCCACGCTCCTCCAGTAGCATGCTGGGGCTGATCCATTGAATACAGCAATTGGTACTTGTAGACAAAGTATCCTAGCGCAAAGTAGCAAAGACCAAGGAGTAAAACGATATGTGCACCTGGGAGAATGCTATAAACTAGACATAGAATGAACACCAACAGGGCCGTTGGCAGATAAAACCCATAATTGAATAAACTGGGCTGTACAAGTTCAGCGAAATCTCGAGGCGTTTTCGCTCCCATACGATATATAGCGTAGAGCGATATGCTTCCAAATTGCAAGAGCTTAAACGGAAATAGACCGAGACCCTGAAGCATGATGAAATTGAGGTAAAAGTTGTTCAATTTCTGGATTGAAAGTGCTACTTTCAACGCAATAGTTCGCGTATCACTCAAAGAATCTCTGATTATCTGCCAGAAGTCGGCGAGAGCCGCACTACCCGAGACTGCATAAACAACGAAAATGTTGAAGAATATGAAGAAGAAATTCTTCTTTATTGTCGAGAGTTCAACATCGCCTTGCGATACCATTCCCTGCATATTCGAGAGGTAGTCGTAGAGATATGGTACTAGCACATTGAGCAACGAGACCACCAAGGTGGGCAGGCCAGTCCGTACGAAGGCTTTGGAGATGTCATGCCGTTGGAGTGATTCAGCCAATGATGGCCATATCTGTTGGATGGTGCAAATAGAAAGCAACGATGCTAGCGCAGCTACTGGGAAGAACCAAATGATTGATAGGAATGTGAAAAAGATAGTGACGACCCAAGACTGCAATCGGCGTTTGTAACGTGGAGCGTACGTGTTCTTCCAAAGCACATCCGAAGGAGCCGGCGCAGGCTTTGTTAGCAAATGACCAGGTCGAGGATCTACAGCGGCTTGGATAGCCATCTGGCAAGCTGCAATGGAATCCATCGTCACGAATGCTGTATCTGTTGAAGGGTATTCTTTCCTTCTCGCATTTCGGATCTCATCGTCGAGACGGCGCAATTTCTCTTCATAGTAATCAAGAGCATCGATTTTGCGACTCCGTATCTTCAGAAGTCCAAATCGGAGGCGAATCTTTGGCCTTTGCCTTTCGGCAGCGGCGTTTCGCAGATTGTCCTCGGCCAGAAGGCGCCCATCCTCCTGAAATTCTTCATCGTTATCTTCACCACCCTCCGCGGTATCATCCGTTGCCCCGCGTCGTCCGTTACTAGGCGCTGAAGGCAACAGTGGCAACCGAGAAAGGTAAACGCTCCAGGCTTCTTCGAGTTTTCGAAGAAGTACTTGACGTTTGGCCATCAGAGCATCGATCTCGGCCCAGTTCCGACATAACGTAACGCTCCGAACATGTCCAATTTCCAAATTCTCCACGAAATCTTTGATTTTATCCTCTGACCTGATATCTCGAGGTATTCCCGTTAGTCGGAAGGTCCGGTCGGTTATAGTCGACTGAGTACCCAAATAATCTTGTCTTACTTTGATCACCTTTATGGTCTCAGAATTCATGAAGTATATGGTCAAGAAGGAAAAGAACCATGTGAAGGCCAGGTACGCCCATAGATAATATTTACTCTTATCGTCAGACTCGGGTTCCGCCAAGATTAGATTAACACTCGCGGAATATTGATGGTACGAATTTTCTATGGTATTTATTTGGAAAGAGTCGTTTCCGGGCGACTTATCGGGAGGATTAATCGTGCCGGCATCGAATGTCGAATGGATAGGCCAAAGTACGACGACAGCGAAGAAGAATATCGTGGTAAATAATCGGAGGGACATCTTGAAGAAAGATAAAAACTGCGATAAAACTCATTAGCATCTATGGTTAAACCCGTACTCATCACGTTAAAACATACCACGAAGGCATCTAGCCCTGCAGATGCCAGCACCTGCTCTTCCGTCACTCTGTACAGCGCTGGTATCCATCCGAAGAAACTATCTGGAAGGGCGGGTAGAGCAATTTGGGGATTACTTTGGCGTCTTCGAGCGGCGTAAAGGGTCTTCCATCGAGGTCTTAGGATCTGTATGGAGCGGAAAAGTAATTAGTTTACCTAATATATCGATTTAGGTGCAGGCGCCGTAGCAGGAGTGACGTACACAAAAGCCGATAAAGGCTGTGATACCCAAGGCGAGGGAGATGACCAACTGCACGAAAATATCTTTGCTACCCGGAGCCGCAGCGGTCTCGCCGTTGCAAGCGCCATCCTCATCATCGTCGGAATACATAGCTTCTACATGAGATGGCGAAACCAAAGGCGAAGGAAGATTCGAACATTAGGTGCCTAGGTAGTTTAGGTAGCAGGCAATTTAGGGAGATATGAGTTTGAAAAAAGATGATGTTTTTGGATGGATCTTCGGCAAGCTCCAGTAACATGTTAGAAGCTATAGTGGGGCATTTTACAGGTGACGTGCTCTATATGGTTAGGCGCCAATATAGCGGAAGTCTATTTGCGACGCTATACTTATAGTGGTCTTACAGGGTATTCTGCACCTAGGGACCAGAGTCCTGTGCCTGACATCCATTGAAACCCCATTAGCTGTATCCTCCGCAGCGATGCTCCTACTTTGGTTGTTCAAATAGGCACATCAATACTAAGAATACATTAAATACCTTCATAATTTAATTTAAAATGTTTCCGTAATCAAGAAATATTTAGCATTTCGTTGTACAGTAAACTCAATTCATTTTAGTTTCTGTAACCAATGAATCCATTCCATCTCTGCATCTCTGATTATCCTAGCTTCTCACGCACCACCCTCTCTCTTCGCATACTCATCTTCGATGCGCTCTTCGTACAATTTATCATTCTCGCTTTTCTCGTCGGAGACGTCTTCAATGCGACGGTTTGAGTCAACACCATTACCACTACCCAAAGCTCGACCTTCAGAAGAGATTAGGCGGCCCGAGTTGTCATACTCGTGGTATTCGCGACGTAAAGGTTCGCCAGAGCGTTGAGATGCGACGTGCCTTGTGGTACCTGACGGGTCACTTGCGGTGTGTTCGGCATAGCGTGACCCAGTGGTCTCCCCGTTGCGGGTTGTAGACGACGAGAAGGAAACAGAGGATGAACTGTAACTGTAGTTGTTCGACGACATGGTGATTTCTTTTTCTTGGTTTCTATGCTGTAGAGAATCGAAGACGTAAATTCAAGGTGGCAGGAGATACCTGGGTAAGCTCACATAAATATGTTGACTTCTACCTAGGCAGCTAACGTCATGAGTGGCGCACTGACATACGTCATATAACTTGTATGCTCTTCCATCTCTTTGCCATCTGTTTCTACTTCTTGCCACTCATCTTAGACCTAAATTTCAAGAGGGAAAGGGGAATTCCCAAACAGGCATAGAAAACTGGAAACTTCAAGAAGTAGGCACACAAGCTAACAGGCTAGGTGCTAGTTTACAGCTTTTTGGCTGCAGTTGCCACTCCCTAAAAGCCTAAAAGGAAACCGCTATATCCATCCGGAACTAAGCTCCGACAGCTCCATCGCCTTACCAGCTTACTTACTCCCCACAGAGTACTAAACTTTACTTGCACTACACTCCTTCCTCAAACTATTCGACTGCCTGCTGACGATCTAGTCTGATCGAGTGTAGCCTGTCACCTTAATTATGAACCTAACTCTATCCCCTTAAGCTAGCGCATTCGTCTATTAGTATCGAATTGTCGATGGCTGAAGTGCGGGGCTGGCAGCAATACCCACCACCTCAGGTAGATATAACACCACGGTGAAAACTCAGGTATGGGGCTCCTTCGGGGGCCTTCTAGAAGAAACATTCGCGTTCCCCTTTATTTCCTCCAGCATCAAAGTGGAGTGATGGTTCGAGATAGTACTACCTCGAAGCTAAGCAGTGTAGCCAAAATTCGACGAGTTAATGCAAGATTTCTGCACCCCATCAATCCCAAGCAACGTTCCTTTTTCAGATTGTCATCAAGTGGATAGTCGCGAGCGTTCTCGGCTATCCTACTCGGTCATATCGCCTGATTTTTCCAGTCTGTTACGCTGTTATCCTAGCAAGAAAAGGCCATATAGTCTTGTGTACAGCGTTCGCCTTATTCACTGTAACATACAGTATGCTCACATGACAAGATCCATCACAGTAGACCTCCGCTACAGGCATGGCCTTCCAACTTAATTCCTTCTCTGATGTAATGTATAGCGACCATCGTCCAGCTGAGCGCCGAGGATGTAACGACTCATAAGCGATCCTGGAACGATTCTCCTTTTAAGCCAATTGCACTTCGTTAAAGAGACATCAGCTTCGCGGGCCTAGTCCGCATCGACGATTCACGAATTGCCATCCTCAGATCAAAATGCCATGCCGCTAGCACCCACCGTCGTCTACTATCGCTATACTTGTTACACAACTCTAAGATCTTCAGCCTCTGTGTTTCTCGGATACTAATATAGCAAACTTCCGGTACGGGGCGTGAAACCTCGTACTTCTCGAACACTTCCACTAGAAAGTTAGCTCCCAACGTCTTAGGAAGGTGGTATAGTGATCGGCGATCAAGTACGCTGTGATCTTTGCCTAGGTTATCTAAATGCACGTGGTAGAAAGGCTCAGGCGGTGAAGTATATGGATTGAAGCTGTATTCTATAGGCTTATCTCCTCATCGATAATATCTGGTGAATAACTTTTGTATCACTTCAGTCATACCTGAGTTCCTAGTCTGTTGAGTACGTGGAACACTTAAGCGTTAAAAAAATCCGTCTATATGGCCATGCGGATGTTATAAGGTCACTATAACTTCTATACAGATACACAACCGATACCTTAGTAACCAGCCCCGGCGATGCCGATGCAGTGCCGTATATCAAATTAACCAATAAGCTTTACCTAGGTATAGTACAAAAATGACATCAACCATAAGGTGATCAAGAAATAATAATCATATGGCTGCATTTCGTCAATATTTTTGGTTAGAAACAATCCATATTACATGACGAAGCCACATAAGACCTACCATCTATAATATTTGGCTTAATCGAACCAAATAAGAAGTATTATAGATAACAATCGGCGACTGATGATTGAGAATTAAGCCGCACGTAATATTGACATTGACTTAAGGTGTCGAGTCTGATTCTTTCCCCTGTGTGACTAGGGCTAGCTCGTGGGTGACCGTCACGCAAACACAAGCATATTAATCCCGACTAGCTCCGCAAGACATCTCGGAGAGAAGAAGAGTCTTGCATTCAGAATTCAAGGAAGTAATGACTAGCCTAAGGCATCTTTATGTGTACTCACCTTTAGGAAGCAGGATGGTGCTTGGAGAAGTCTCGGTGAGCCTGCTAAGCTAGGTATAGCTCACCTGGATTGTTCGCTTCATACTGAGCTATTGGACGAAGACTTCATCTGATGTCAAGATTACAGCAAACACTATGGTCACCAGGGAGGCAAGAAGTTATTAACCTAGAGGTTTCTGTAGTTGTACAATGTCAAGGAGCATGACGGTGAGGCCTTCATGAACTTGTCCGACTGTGGCGTCTATAAGAACCACGATAGATCCTGAAGGATTAATGTCAATCAGATCGGAATCAACAGCTCTATTGTTATATACTTAGTATAATATATAATAGGCACAATTTTCTCTTATCTTACCTTCAAGCCCTCAAAATTCAATCAGAATGAGAGCCTTTTACTTACACCTCATAGCTCTGGCTTCGTTGGCCTTAGCTAAAGCGCCCATCGTGAACAGAGATGTCGCGGATGGCATTGACAATAACTACATCGTAGTTATGAAACATGCCGACCACAGCACGATCCAGGCGCATTACCAACAAGTCCATACCGACTCCCAGCGCAATGACGCCGGAAAGAAAGGAGTAGTGAGGACTTACCAGGTCCCCGGGTTCAACGCCTACCATGTTGAATGTGACGATGCAACACTCGACACTATTCGAAAGAATCCGGCTGTAAGATAACACTCCGATTTCCACCCATATGTTCTGACACGAAATAGGTTGATTACATTGCCAAAGATGGCAAGGTAACAGCGCAAGCCGCTATCCGTCGTGATGTTCCTAAGAGAGATACATCACCTAATACGTGGGGTCTCGGCCGAATTTCTCATCGAGATGCTGGTGTCGCTTCATATGTCGACCTAATCTCTGCTCCAACCCATGCTTACATATTGGATACCGGAATTCGAGTGACGCATCAGGTAAGCTCCTTTTCACCCAGCTTTGGATACTTAGGTCTAATCTGGAGTAGGAATTCGGAGGTCGTGCGACGTTCGGTAAAAACTTCATCAACGGAGCCCAGGTTAGTTGTCCCCGTGAAAAATGCTGTGACTAGCTTTCTAATACGAGCAATAGGATGTTGACGATAACGGCCACGGTACCCATACGGCTGCGACTGTTGGTGGTAATACGGTTGGTGTCGATAACAGCACTAGACTTATCGCTGTCAAGGTCTTGGATCAAAACTCATCTGGTAGCTGGTCTGGAATCATCGCTGGTATGGAGTGGGGTAAGTACTATACAATAACCAAGCCTTTTTCGATGTAAACTGACTTTGGCAGCTGTGAATGATGCCCAGGAACAGGGAAGAATCACTCGATCTGTAATCAACATGTCGATAGGTGGTCCCACGTTCCAGGCTCTGGATGACGCAGTCAAGAACGCGGTAGCGGCTGGCATGACAATTGTCGTCGCAGCTAGTAACTACGGCGTTGATGCATGCACTTACAGCCCAGCTCGAGCCCCCGAAGCAATCACAGTAGCGGCAATTGATGAATCGGATACTCGTCCCAGCTGGTCAAACTATGGTGCTTGTGTCGATATCTTCGGCCCTGGAAACAACATTTACTCCGCCTGGAAGGACAGCGATTCAGCATACGAGACGATGAGCGGTACTAGTATGGCTAGTCCCCACGTTGCTGGCCTTGTGACGTATTTGATGTCGCGCGAGTTCATTTCAGGGCCCGCGAACGTTGCCAGTCGTTTACACCAACTCGGGACTCCTAACAAGGTGCAGAACCTCAACGGAAGCCCCAATCTGATTGCCTTCAACGGTAACAGAGCTGAGCTATAGCGGAGTTGAGCTGGGACAGGGTGTCGGGTGGATGACTGAAAATTGAGATTGAATTGGCCATATATAACAGGCTCGCACATAATTTCCTACTGTTAATTATTATAGAATAGAGTAGACCAATAGACGATGGATTTCCTAGACATGCGATTTTGATTTTGTGATGCCAACTACTCGGAAAGGTGATTGAATGATGATTTGGAAGGTGAATTAAAGAGGGTTTAAATCAATTGGAATCGGAAGAAAGGATGGACGCTAAAGAAATACTACAGCGGAGAGCGGGCGGAATTGGCGCGGTCGGGAGCTTAATATGGGGAGTAACCACCCTGTAAATTAACGATGTATTGGCGCAGGGTCCCCTGAAGGCGAAATTACGTCTGTGCTAGAACACTTAACGCGTCCGCCAATTTTAGACGCGTTAAACTTCACAATTGCAACCTTTCATCTAAACTCCCTAAGGAGCTACTGTAACTCGTCATACGAGGAATCCCCATCATCAAGATGGCTAGCCAAGCTAAAGGCAAGAAACAGCAATCTCTCACTAGTTTCTTTACTCCGAAGACCGTTAATGGTCTAAGTGCATCCCTCCGGAGTCCCCAAAGCCAAGATGCCGCGAGCCCCGGCGAAGCTCCTGACAGCTCTCGCAAGCGACCACTCCAAGAAGACACCGACAACGGAAACGATACACCTCTAAAGAAGAGATCGAAAGGAAAAGACATCGAGAACGAAGATGAAGACGTAGGCAGACCTGATCTAAAATCCCCGACGCTTGCTATTAGAAGGTCAGGGGCTCGCACGGAGCATTATGTCTATAACAGCTCAGCCTCGCGGGAAGAGGCAGCTGAAGAGGAGGACGATAATGCAGCCGAGAAACGACGCAAAGAAGAGCTTCACCGAAAGTTTGTACAGAAGCTCGGTCGACCCGACAGTATGCCATACGGTAGACATCGAAACGGACAAGACGACGATACACAAGCCGCAGACGAGGATGCCGAAGACGGCGAAGAGGAAGAACCGCCACCGCCACCTACAAAAGGCAAGAAGAAGGGCGCTAAGACTGGAAAGCTTACACCCATGGAAATCCAATTCCTAGATATCAAGAGGAAGCATATGGATACCATATTAATTGTTGAAGTGGGATACAAATTCAAGTTCTTTGGTGAAGACGCCCGCATCGCAGCCAAGGAACTTAGTATAGTATGTATACCTGGCAAGATGAGATACGATGAACATCCCTCCGAGGCGCACCTGGACAGGTTCGCCTCAGCAAGTATTCCTGTACATCGATTGCCAGTCCACGCCAAACGCTTGGTAGCAGCGGGCCACAAGGTCGGAGTTGTTCGCCAAGTCGAGACTGCCGCATTGAAGAAAGTGGGAGACAATCGCAATGCCCCTTTTACGAGAAAACTCACCAATGTCTACACCAAGGGCACGTACTTGGATGAGATTGGAGAGTTCGATCGAGGGGACAGCTCGGGAGCATCGGCAGGTGGATATCTACTCTGCATTACGGAAACCAAGGCCAAAGGTTGGGGAACTGACGAAAAGGTCGATGTTGGTATCATTGCAGTTCAACCTGCCACTGGTGATATTATATATGATAACTTCGAGGACGGCTTTATGCGAAGCGAGATCGAGACCAGGTTGTTACACATCTCACCGTGTGAATTCCTGATTGTCGGCGATCTCTCCAAAGCTACGGACAAGCTCCTTCAACATCTGTCCGGTAGCACAACCAATGTGTTTGGAGATCGAACTAGGGTCGAAAGAATTCCCAAATCTAAGACCGTCGCTGCCGAATCTTACTCCCATGTTGCCCAGTTCTACTCCTCCAAGCTAAAGGAGGCATCCGAGGGCAACAACGAACAAGCTAGCGCCCTTTTAGATAAGGTATTAAAGCTACCTGAACCTGTCACCATCTGTTTGTCTTCCATGATCAATCACCTGAAAGAATATGGTCTTGAACATATATTTGACCTTACCAAATACTTCCAGTCCTTCAGTGCACGCCAGCACATGCTGATTAACGGTACCACGTTGGAAAGCTTGGAAGTGTATCGCAACCAGACCGATCATTCTGAAAAGGGTAGTCTCTTCTGGGCTCTTGACAAGACCCTGACTCGCTTTGGTCAGAGGCTCCTTCGCAAGTGGATCGGTCGCCCCCTTTTAGATAAAGAGCGCCTCGAGGAACGGGTCGCTGCTGTCGAAGAGTTGCTCGAGAACGCCTCGACCGCCAAAGTCGATCAGCTAGAGCACCTCCTAAAGAACACCAAGACCGACCTTGAACGCAGTTTAATCCGCATATACTATGGGAAGTGCACACGCCCCGAACTCCTAGCTGTCCTCCAAACATTACAAAGAATAGCAGTGGAATTCGCAAGAGTAAAATCACCAGAGGATTCAGGATTTAGCTCAAAGTTGATTGGCTCGGCGATTACTTCCATCCCTCTCATTCTACCCACTGTCTTATCATACCTCGATCGCATTAATGCCGAAGCTGCACGCAAAGACGACAAATATGCCTTTTTCCGTGAAAACGAGGAGACGGATGACATAACGGAGCAAAAACTTGGCATCGCATCTGTAGAGCAAGAACTAGAAGCCCACAGCAAAGTCGCCGCTTCCACCCTAGGCAAAAAGTCCCCTATATCCTACGTTACGGTTGCCGGAATTGAGTACCTTATCGAAGTACCCAACGCCGACCTCAAGCGCGTTCCAGCTTCCTGGATGAAAATCAGCGGCACCAAGAAGCTTTCCCGCTTCCATACCCCGGAAGTCGTGCGTCTGATGTCTGAGCGCGACCAACATAAGGAAGCACTATCAGCCGCCTGTGATACGGCCTTTACTTCCATGCTGAGCGATCTTGCTGCCGACTACCAACCCCTGCGGGACGCCGTTTCCTCCCTTGCCACCATAGATTGTCTCCTTTCCCTTTCCAAAGTTGCTTCCCTCCCGGGCTACTCCAAACCCACCTTCCTCCCGACGGACTCCCCGCCTACTATATCAATTGACGGCGGTCGTCACCCCATCGCCGAACAGACACTTACTACATCCTACATCCCCTTCAGCACAACCCTCTCCTCCCCCACCCCTCTAGCTCACCTAATAACCGGTCCCAACATGGGCGGTAAATCATCCTTCGTCCGCGCCGTAGCCCTCCTAGTCCTGCTCGCGCAAATCGGTTCTTTCGTACCAGCTACATCCTTCAGCCTAACCCTTGCCGACGCAATCCACACACGCATGGGCGCGCGCGATAATCTCTTCGCAGGTGAATCTACATTCATGGTCGAGGTATCCGAAACAGCCCGCATCCTGCGCGCCGCAACCCCACGCTCCCTCGTCGTCCTCGACGAACTAGGTCGTGGCACAAGTACCCACGACGGCGCCGCCATCGCACACGCTGTACTCGCGCACGTCGTACAAGAGACCCGCTGCCTCACCCTCTTCATCACACACTACCAAAACCTCGCCCGCGTTGCCGATGGTCTCGCGGGCGGTTGTAAGAACGTCCACATGCGCTTTACCGCAGCTAAGCGTAGCGGGGGCGAGATTGAATCCGCGAACCCACAGGTCGGGTCGGACAATAATGGCGATGCGGATGACGATGAGGACGACATTACTTTCTTATACGAGGTAGGAGAGGGCGTTGCTCACAGATCCTACGGTCTAAACGTGGCCAGACTGGCCCGCATACCACGAAAGGTACTTGACGTCGCAGCGAAGAAATCCAGGGAGCTTGAAGATACGATCAAGATACGAAGATTGAACGGCGCGGCAAGGCTTCTAGTTGATGTTTTAGGGGACAATTCCGATCAGCTCGATCACTTGGTATCAAGCATCGAACAATTGTGAAATTTGATAGACTATGCTGCATTCTCGCAAGAGGAAAATTAAATAAAAAAGAACGGAATTAATAACGAAACACAATGCAATTCGTTGGCCGCAAACGAGGCAAATAATAGCTATGAACTATTTTACATATCTGTGCCCATGAAGGTCAACCACCAAAACAGCTACGATGATGCAACCTCTTAAACTGATGTAAACGTGATTCATCGTTAAGGGTGTCAAGTTCCTCCGTGCTACGTTAGCTGTTTTATTCGCATATATGAAGTTGATCCTAGTTGGGACGCGCGCGCCATAACCGTTTGATGGAGGCAAATGACCATCCATCTCAGAAAATTACTCATACAGTTCACAAGGTGTGAGGAAGCCGATTTGGCCTCAGCAGAGTAGAATACTCTAACAAACATGTACCGCCAGCTAGATGGCGGAAAGATGACCCAGGGATAGGACCATGAAAGATGATGCTTGGCGAAGATAATCAAACGCGAAACATTTTTCATCAAGAGGCCCCATTTTAAGGATACGAGCTTCGTGTCCTAGCAGGCCGAAAATGATTTGTGGTGAAACCGATAGAATGCATCGTGCGCGAAGATGCCATTGTGCCGACTGGCGAGTGACCGGCACCGATGCCAGAGTCGCGATAGAAATCAATAGGAAAGAAGCAATAGGAAAAGAGTTCGGACCCTTATGACAAGAACGGGCCATAGTCGTTGAGAAAGTGAAGGTGTCGGCGTGAGGAAGTACTAATTGAGCCACAAACTAAATAAATGCCCGAATTAGTTCGGCGGCTGTCCTGGAGTTACTCATTCGTGTGCAAAAGTCTAGGTTCCTTATAATCTGAGATTCGAGACGATATATTGCCATGCTGAGGAACCAATTCGAGTAACAAATATCGAAGGACTGCAATGTCTAAATGTCGAAATCGGTGGTGCCGTTGTCTTGGTTTGACGAGTAGTCATTGTTGTGGGATGACGGCACCTGCAAAGCGTTGAATCCACCATGACCATTGATAGGTTGGAAGCCAGATCTTCCCGGCTTCACTTCGTCATCATACGACGTATACATGCGAAACCCGGTCCCTTCTTGGGGCTGGACGTAAAGCGGGTTGTAGCTCTCTCCATGAGTGGAGGTAGGCTGCAAGTACGGGTTCGAAGAGGCATTCACCGGTTTTCCCGGCAAACTGTCGTTCTCTTTACCCGGGAAACGTGAAGCGGAAGATCGTTCGAGGCTACCGGCCGACGATGCAAACGAAAGGTTCGGGTTTCCAGGCCGTAACGCGAGACCTGGCAAGCGGTCCTGGCTGTCATACATAGTGAGCCCATAGGACACGGATGTAGGGGCTTGTGGCATCGGCAAGAACTCACTGCCGTCTGCGTCTTCCCGAAGCATCGGGTCTAGGACCTGTTCCTGTGCATCGAAGTCAGCCGGATACGCCCCGGCGAAGGCCTGGGGATATGCCCAACCTATTCCACTATGCACACCCATAGGATCATGGTACATATCCATTCCTCCTTGAAACCCATGATTGTGTAAGGGTAGCTGTTCATGCGACATCGAACTATGACCCATAGCGGATCCAGCCATCCTTCCTCCGGAGTCTAATGCTCGAGTGTGCGTAGGCGAGTTAGCACCGCCCACAAAGCCAAGTTGTTGTGCAGCAGCTTGAGCCGTCGCTCGTGTAGCACGTATGAGACGTGACTCATGAGAACTAGTGGAGTTTCTCGCGCTCCTAGTAGCCGTACCGCGGGCCTGGGTGTTTCGGCGTTTTCGCCTCTTATCTTGGTCATCGTCGTCTTCGTCACCCTATAATATAATTAGCACATCATTCAGCGGATAACTTTGTCCTTTTCCACTAACCTCTGTTTCACCAGCAGATGGGTCATCGTAGACATCCCTACTTCGTTGGTAGCAAAAGTTACTATCATAAACATCTTCCTGGGTGTTTACCAACGTTGAGTTGATGGCGAGTCGCCTCAAGACAGCGGGGTGCTTGCGTTGGTTTCTCTTGCGGCGTTGTTCTTCTTCGGCGGCGTCAAATAGACCCATGCCAGGAAGGACAACACCTTTAAGAGTCGGAGTATTTCCATCGATCTCATTGACCTCTGTGCTCTCCGTGACGTTCTCCGAGGGGTAGGAACTTCCGCCCTCCGATGGCTCGTACCTTGAGGAACCATTATCGTCCCCCTCCAAATCTGCGAAACCCATCTGAGACATTGAACCATCTTGAGCCCCACCAGACATCATTGTATCGAAGTCGTTCGTCCATTGTTGCATTGGCTGCATCGGGGTTCCATCTAGACTACCAAAACCGCCCGCGAAGCTCGTGGCTTCATCCGACTCGTATTTAACGTCGGGAGTCTCTTGGATATTGCGAGCACGACCACGGGAACCCTGAGATATAAAGTATTAGATTATCCACATATTTGAGAGTTAGGTTAATACTTACGGTGTTGGCACCACGGCCACGAGCACGGCCGCTGCGACGTGTGGCGGGCCTGCCCGATGCTGCACCTCTTGGTGTTCGGTTCCGTTGTTGGGACTGCAGACCCTTCTCGCCTCTTGCTTCCATGCGCTGCAAGACCAGTCGGTCAATCCCCCATTTCTTATTCCATTCGTCAAACTTTTGGCATCGTTCAGCGCTGTCTTGGTCACTTTGGCTGAGGATGCGAAGGTTGTAGAGTTCCAATAAGTGTGCCTTGGAGCTAACGTGAGTAAGCAGGTGGGATAAGTCTGAGAATCTCTGCGACTTCTTTTTTTTCTCGCAACAATGACAGATTAGAGGAATTCCTGCCTGGTTACCGGAGTGCGGCGGAAGAATAGGTACTCCAAGGGCTGGAGTATCATGAAGAGATCCACTATGGTCTCCCATCATATAGGTCGGGTCCATCTCGAGGTATGAGGCCATTGCCTACGGGACGACATTGTTAGTAGATGATGGATATTAAAATAAACAAACCAAATTATTATGATAGAAGTAGAATGTACCAAAAACCTAGGTTGGCATGGACAGAGATAGGTGCGTCAAAGGAGTTGTAAGTATGCTCGGCCAAGGGTATATGACTCACCAATGTAGCTTGTTCAATAACGGTCGTGTTATGGATCGATTAGGGCGTGGGACGGAAAGTTTCTAAGTAAGGCGTTAGTTAGGCTAGATATGGCGAACCAGAGAGTGAAAGGGCGGTCGAAGGGTCGCAGATTGGGATAGAGATGACAAAAAGGAGAAAGGATCAGGACGAAAAAATTGATTGCCATATGGTAGTGACAAGATAAGATGAATTATTGGTGAATTCCCCAGATCTAATTGGCATTGGTGCGAATATGACACTGTTGATTGACTTGCTATTGGTTTCGGGATTATTGATTTGGTTTTGGTAGGATACTGGATGGGTAAGAGATTGAAAGATGCGACAAGAAATATTTACCCGGTTACTTGCAAACTTATTGCTAATAAGCTCCTATGATGTAGATTTTTAGGAACGAGACCCGCGGTCCAGCTGCGGGTTACCGGTCTGCTAAAATTGCAAATTGCACGCGTAGGGTGAGTCGACGTCGAGCACTAGTCCCGGTGACTTGGGCGTCCGGGCCTCTTCGTTATTAGTTGACAAGGGCAAAAAGCCCAGGCTTAGTACCTAGCCTATGATTGTTAGTTATTGTTATTTAATATGTTATGTTCGAATTCATAATCGTGTAAGATGATGAGATACAAGAACAGGAAAGGGGTGTAAGAGAATATATGGTTCGAATCAAGTAAGAATGTATCGATGAAAAGGAAATGAAAGGTGAAATTGGAATAATATTGGGAAGTCAATGGTGTCGGCTCTTATTGCCCAGTTCATGTTGAAAGGAGAATGTAGCAGTAGAAAATATATTTGACGTTGAGCTGGGGGAAGATATTTTTGAATTTGTGTAGAAGAATAACAATGCAACTGGGTAGGGAGGGCATAGTAAAGAATTTCAAGTTGCAATCAGTCTAGATGAATCTCTAGGAGAGAAAATAGGTAAATAGGCATGATTCCTTTTTGAAGAGGAAACCCATTAATGGGCGGTGTTTCGAAAATTGAGCGTTGGGGAGGAAGCTCGATGATGAGTAGGAACTGACCTGTTTGCGATGGATTCTTTCCACTGCAATTGCGAAGAAGGCGTTGGCTTGTTGATTAACTGTTCAGATTTAAGAGTAATACAAATTGTTTGGAAGAATTGTCTGGATACACAGGGCGAGACTGCCGTGAAGGTTGTGAAGGTTGTGAAGAATGGGAGTCGGGATGGGGAGGAAGAAGGAAAGTGGTAGGGGAAATATTATCTTGTATGAATTAAAGTAACTACCTAGAATCTAGACTAGATTGCATAGAGCACCTTTGCAACTACCCAAACCCCTGCTCCTTCCTTCCTTTGGTTGTTCATGCTCAGCAGGTACAACCAGGGAAACATCTGTAAGGTTAGGGAAGTTGATATCAAGCTCCCCTATTCTAGTACCTATGGATAGCTTCGACCAATAGAAACGCGGGAATTCATCCTATTATAGTAATGCTGCTAGATCGGAGATACTAGTGTGATAACCGATGAACTTATGGCCCGTGCACAAAGTTTACTACCCCAGGGGTGACAGATCACGCTAACGATATCGGGACTAGCCAACCATGGAACGTTTGAACTCTATCTATTTCGTTGTTTTCATGCGATTGGTCTGCTTTCGGTGTGAGAAATTACATAATACGTCTTCGGGTGAGGATGTGAACGTGGTGCAGTTCCGTATAACACGTAGATTTACGGGCCTGGAAAACGTACAATCGATACTCAAGAATCTTTTTTTTTTGCATTTGTTGTTTTATTAATCACCGTAAAACGCTGATAAATTTTCCTTTGGAGCGGGTACTAAGCTACATATCTGATAGAATTTAGGCCTATAACTGGCTTTGCTGGCGCTCACATTGAAGTGAAAAACAAGCATGAAATTCTTCTTTACCCCAGAAAAGAAACTGGGTACTGGGGCGGGGAGCGGTAACAGCTTACACCCGAGAATGTCCCGAGGTGGTCCAAGCATACGTCATTTCGTAATTCGTACTCAGCCAAGATCTATTTCTAAAAAATACAACATAATTCTGATCTTAGATTCGAGAAAAATATCTGTAGGACGTCTGCAATTCAATATCTTGCACAGTCTCCGACTTTGATGGTTGCTACTTGGGGAACTCGTTCTACATTTATCACATTTCCTACGCGGACCTATATGTTACGCGAAAGCTGCTTTGGTTTTCATTGGCAGCCCAGCATTTCACTATAGGTATAACAGAATTCAAATTTCTCTACAATCAATCAATAAATATTGTACTGATATTCATACAAAATTAGGCTCTTCATCGAAATTTTATACAATTTAAAAAGTTGTTCGATGTTATTCCTGGGCAAACCTGCCTTTCCTGATACTTGTAAGTTTTCTGTTTTATGCAGTCCTCAAGATATTTAGTAACACCTCGTGTTACCTCAAGCTTGGGTTCAATTTTCTGTTGATTTTGACATCGAACTTAATACGTAACCCTAATCAATTTCGATTATATTGAACTAGAACTAACAGTTTATATCTCCTTGCCCCGGCACATAGCTAGATACACACCCCATAATAAATACCGAAAACAGAGGCACGAAAAAAGAACCGTCGAAACGAATCGGTCCACCCCGGTGGGCGATTAGATCGAACGATATCCTGGGACAAACGAGAACGCTTCTAACCATTTAAATCCCCTTTCAAATAATTACGCGGGTAGACACCGAACCGTGATTTTACGGGCCGCTTCAATACCGAAATACGATGCCGAGAGTTGTTGAGATTGGCTCTTCAATTGGATTCCTGCCGATAACGCATTATTATAAGATCAATCCCCAGTGAAATGTACCAGAAACTATTGCCTACAACACCAATATTTGGGTGCCGGGTTCCGAATTACTATTAACAAGGGAGTATCACATTGGCTGGCCTTAGTTGTGGTTAATAGGTTGTATGCCTATACGCATATGGACGAATATCTAAAGGCCCCGACGCAAACAACTGATCGAGAGCAATCTTATAAGTGTAAAAAAGTATGCCAAGTATACGACTTGGTGGGGATAATAGAGGCTTCACGTCTTTAGCAATAGCCTGAATCCATAGCGATTCTTATCCCCACATCGCTCTAGAACATCTACCCTCAAACGACGGGGTTCTCTCCGGGAAGAGCGTTTAGCCCTATAGCAAACAATTAGTCACTTTGAACCTTGTTATGAGACGAAGAGATCTGTAACTTACAGCCATCGATGTTTTCACCGACCATGTCTGGAACCTTGCACTTGTTCTGCTGAGCAATGGTCTGAGTCTTGAGTGTGGGGGCCGACACATAGTTGTGGCCGTCCATAGCCTTCTGGAGCGAGTCATCCTTCCAGCCAAAGAGGTAGTCAGCGTGGCTAGAGTAGCCAGTGGCGTCACCCGTGGACCAGACAAATGGCTGCTTTCCATCGGCGAAGTCTGCCGGGTCGTTGAAGGCTCTAGTATCCCAGACGGTTTCCAGCAAAATCTGAGGTAAACGTACGCTTTACAAAAAATAGTTAGTGCTTACTATCCGGGGCAATTGAATTGGAAGTTGAGGAATCACTTACGGGTGAGTAGCAGGGCAAGGACCGCCCGACTCAAATGTACCAGACTCGGGGTAAGCTACGTGGTCTTGGTGGTTGGGAGAGTCAAGGTTCTTTCCATCCCAGCATGTGGGGAATCTGTTTTCATCAGCACTCTCGCTCGGCACTCGAGGATCTTTGATGACTAACCTGTGGTTGGCCATTATACCGCCAGGGCAAGGCTTGGTAGGGAAACCGACATATTCTGGAGCACGAGTGCCTTGGTTCTCCATGCAGATGTAGGTCAGCTGTCGGAACTTCCTGGCCTGTTCGCGGTCACGGAAACCTGCGTCGCCGACGAGCATACGGAACCCAGGTTTGAAAGCAGTGACAGTTGACTTTTGAGCAGTGTCAAACAGGGCGTCTGTCATGTAGTAAACGACCTGAAAGTTGGGTTAAAACGCTGACAATTTGTTTGCTGCACTAGATGATGCTTACCATGCCGCCCTGTGTACCCTCCATACCAGCCTGCGCCATCTGCGGGACCCTCTTCAAAGTGCCATTCTTGGCGCGATAGAAAATGACGGCGGTCCAGTAGTTGGAGAAATCCTCCGTGAATTGGCAACTGGTACAAGTGGAAAGCGAAGCAAGATCGTGTGACTCTGGTGGCATTGACGCATTGAAGGAATCCTATCAATGGTTAGTCATAATTCCTATACCAAATCAAACCTAACATAAAACATACACCTCCGATAATTTGATGAAGGTGAGCTGACGGGTTCATTCCTAAGATGCTGTCAGTACCGAACAGAATGTCGATCTTTGTCATTCAAAACTTGCCTGGGTTCACCAAGGGATCCAGGCGCTGGACGGTCAAGCCAGCACATCCAAATCGGAGTAAAGCGCTTGCGGGCGTAAATAGCCCCAAGGCGGCGATGAAGGCGTTCAACTGCATTTTGGCGATGATCCTCTGAGGTGCCAGTATAGAGGTAGAACTTGTGTTGAACAAGAGGCGTGAAATGGAAAGAAAACAGTGGTTATTATGATCCTAGTCATGGTGAATATTTCAAATCATTCGCCTCGCCGTAGACTACTGCCGTCTCTTCCACACCTAACCAAAAGACAAGCATGCTTTTTCTGGTCTCGGAAAATATTATTCATTAATATCAGAAATCGTTTCGATAGGTGAGCAGACTTCCGGTTAATGTGGAGACCTTCTACTGGTTCGGGATTTATTCACCAAGGCCAAGCCGCCGATGACCTGAATAGAAAAGCCACAGATAGCCTTACCTACTTTGTTGATATCTGTGACGTATCGATCTAGTTAGTATTAACGTTTATTCGGTAGTTGAAATTACTCTTTTACGATCACCTTTATTATGTATCCTATTATTTACATGCTTGATCTACACTAAGCCCCAGCGGTTTGGACATTGCTACATTCAAATCAAATAACAAGGCATTATAGATTCAATAAAGTATTCAAACGATCATTTCCATGAAGTATTGATGGTAGTTGAGCTTTCTCCATGGGTCGACTTCCGGGATATTTTTAAGATATATATTCCGAAAAGTTTGCCTAGAGTTCACGGTGCTCTATGGTGTCCCCTATTAGACCGGAACGGTTGACCCCGGACCATTCTCTACTCGCCCCGCACTATACCCATCACATAATATAAAATATTTACTATTCTCGGCGAATGAGAATAGACATTGCATTCTTAGTTATTTCTGACACATAATCCGGAGGCATGGCCTAGGTTGCAGCTGATATGCTCGGCTAAAGTCAATAATTAAAACACACCGAGAATCTGGAATGCGGTAAACACCATATTACTAGGTAGATCAAGTTACTATATCTGTTCTGGTGTCATCTGGGCAGTTCTTAAAATACTAACAAGGACTACTCACGCGTTTGTCGAGTAAGATTGCTTCATCTTAGCTTTTTATCTCCTAGGCTATCTCAACACCATACAACACCTTTATTAACATCATGAAGCTCTCGCTTGCATTTTCGCTATGGCTTGTTGCGGTTCTCGGTCAACAATTTCCTGAATGTACCCGCGATGTTGCGGCGACTGATGATTGCGCCGAGTAAGTGGTCTAGGAAAGAAGGCATGACTAATACTGACTTATGACTTGTTAGTGTGATTGACGCCAATGCGTGTTACAACCAGTTCAGATTCCAAAACAACCAGACCCTCTCATGCATTAATGGAAAAGACAACAATGAAAGGGCCCTGAAGGTAAGATTTACATCAAGCAAAGCTATTGAACAACGAATTTACTAACCCAGATAAAGGCATGCAAGTGTTGTAGCTGCGTTGGGAAGGTAATGTGCGATTGGGTTACCAAACAACGATTCCAATGCTAGGATATATATGAACCTCAATAAAAGTCAAGATGAATAGGGGCTGAGGATGCGAGGCGAGGAGTGTTGAAAAGGGGTTTGATTATGTAATTATATCGAGGAGAATGCTGACGTAATTTGGAAGTACAAATCTAGCCCTACCCCTAACCCCAACCCCTTTTCTGAGAGTGAGACATTGAATGACCTCGTTTGCTTAGGGTTAGAATAAATAATTCAATTTTTTGGGAAAACCTGTGGTACGGTACCTACCCTAAGGTTATACTCAAGTTACCAATTATATTTTATTAGGTGTTTATTCGCACAGAGCGATGTTCACTAAAGAGGACGTTCGTCTTGTGTTCTATCTTGTAAGATTCCGCACCCAGTCTTTTTGGCTATCCACGAGATTTCCCTGTCCGGCGCTCGGCTTCGGGGTCGGTTTTTGTTGTGATTGGGGTAAATTTCTTTAGTATAACCTCCGTAATCCAGGTCTCGGAGCTCGGCTTTCGTGGATACATAACTACTTTCCTATTCTCGACTCATCTATTAAAAACTTGGGTAAGGCTGTAGTCTTTCTTTCCTCAATCATTATTCTTGTAATTTCTTGCAATTGGCATCATGTCGGATTCACGTCCACCCCTTGGTATAAGGAATGCGGATAGCATACGAATCTCCGGCCCGGAGTTCGCCGCTCAGGGGCCAGACCCCGATTTTAACGTGAAGGATCTGGAGAAATACCTTACACAAGATGGAGTCATAACGAACGATCCGGATTTAGGAACTACAGGAGCTATAGATTCATATTTGGTTGGTAATTTTGTTTTTCGCTTGTATCATTTCTCTTTATTCTCCTCAATATGTATCTTCTCATATATGTCTGCTTACACCTCAATCTTCAGGTTACTTGGGACTCGCCAGAAGACCCCGCTAATCCGTTCAATTGGCCCCAATGGATGAAATGGGCGGTGACACTCCTTACCTCCCTAGGGGGTATGGTGACCCTGATGTCATCGACAATGATGGCACCCGCCCTACCTGCCATCTCCCAGGACCTCCATACTGATGATGCAAGAACGCAATTGACATTATCAATATTCGTCCTTAGTTTCGCATTTGGACCAATGGCTTTGGCGCCTATGACTGAGGTCTTTGGTAGAAAACCGGTTTGGCTTTCGTCCTGCTGTTTCTACATCTTGTGGAATACCGTCTCCGGTTTTTCGCAGACAAATGAGGTTATGATTGCGAGCCGTTTCTTCGCCGGACTGGGAGGTAGTGTTCAATATGCTGTGGGTATACTGATTGATTTGCTGGGAATGCAGTGAGTTGTTAACCACCGTCATAGATCGAAAACCCAGTTCTAGCCGACTGTTGGCGACCCGAACAGCGTGGACTCTCCTTCGCGATCGCTACTTTCCTTCCCCTTTTCGGTCCTGCTCTTGGCCCAATTATCGGTGGTCTACTTACTGGTTCTGTCGGGTGGCGATGGCTTTTTTGGGTCTTATCCATTTTCGACGCTTTGCTCATGGTCTTGGCATTCTTCATTTTCCCTGAGACACACGCTGATACTATTCTCCACCGGAAAGCTAAGAAATTGCGCAAACGGACAGGCCATGCGTATTATACCGAGCATGAAAGGGGGGGTAAATCTCTCTCTCGAGTCCTTGCGGTTAGCCTAGTACGCCCATGCCGATTGTTGGTAACACAACCCCTAATTCAACTGATGTCTTTCTATCTTGCCTACAATTATGGTATCCTCTATATCGTCCAATCCACTTTTGCTACTCTCTGGATCGAACACTACAACCAGTCAGTTTCCGTATCTGGGCTCCACTATATCGCTATAGCAGTCGGTTGCATCATTGCTGCTCAGGTTGGGGCACGTGTGACGGACCGTCTTTGGCAACACCTTCAAGTACGCGCCAAAGGGGAAACACAGCCCGAGTACCGCGTCCCCTTAATGATCCCTGGCGCGATAACCATACCAATTGGACTATTCATGTATGGTTGGACGGCACAAGTAGGTGCTTTCTGGATCTTACCTGATATTGGTATTGCCATCTTTAGTTGCGGGATTATACTTGGAACTCAGGCAATGCAAGCGTATGTTATGGACTCTTACCCAAAACACGTTGCCAGCGCCAGCGCAGCAAGTCAACTACTTCGGAACGTTGCAGGCTTCGCTTTTCCTCTATTTGCCCCAAAAATGTATCAAACTCTTGGGTATGGCTGGGGTAATAGTTTGCTGGCCTTTGTTTTTCTTGGGGTTGGCCTGCCTGCACCACTCATATTATGGAAGTACGGTGCTAAGCTAAGGGCCAAAGGAGGCCCCCAGATATGAAGAGGTGGGTTTATGCGATATAAGGTCGTGCAGTCAGCTCCGTATAAAAGAAGTTATTTGTGTAATGCTCCCCCTATTGACGCTTGCTTAGTAAACGCGCTTAGTCACTCTTATAAGCCGACTCCCCTTTACATAATTCGTGCAACACGAACAGAACCCATAAAGACATTTTGAACAACTCAGGGGTGACTATATTTTTAGAAAATGTGTTTTCTTAATAGTCATCCAGGTATTTGAAACTCGACGCTGAAGTAATGCCCTGTTCGTGCCTTTATATCTTTGACTAAATACGCTAATATTGTTCTGTGGGTGGATGGTAGGTCGCTGCTTAGGTCGCGAAACGGAAGTCAAGTCTACAAGTAGATGGGTTAGATAGTTTCAAAGTTAGAGGGAGAAATAAACTCACCTCTTGTTGCCCTCATCGGTTGTGTTCTTCCTGTAATGCTCTTGCTCTTCGGGAGTCATGGCGTCCCACTTCTTCGCTTTCGAATTGTTTCTCCACCTGTAGTAGAAATATGTAGCTGGATATTGTACAACACACATCCATACGCAGATGACTAGTAGACCTTTGTTCGCTTTGAAGTAGCGTGGTGCATCGCTAGATTGGTAGACTGTTTACTCAGCACACATAGTCCAAGCATTGGCGGGGTGAAACACTCACTGTTCGCTCCAATCATTCCACTAACTTGAACCCACATATTGTAAATCCTAAGAGCTCGTTAGTAACGTAATTGTGGAAATATGAGATACTTGACGTACGCAGCAGATACTGTTCTGTTCTGAACGGATCCAGCATTCCTACTTGTCCAGGCGACTTGGATTGGATGCGTGCTTATTTTAGTCAGCTCATCGTTCGCTTTACCAGCAGAGATTGTTATTGGTACTTACTATGGGAATGATAAAAGAACTGTTGCGATTGCGAAGTATACCCATGGGCTGATCGGGTCGCCCAGAGCTATCAATGCGGCAAAGCAGGGCAATAGCCAAGCATCTTCCGCCATCGACACGAAACTCCTATTATTTACCAACTCACTGACGGCCGTGATGATTAACATTGTTATACTGGAGGCTACGACGTTCGGGATTGTAAGTAAGTTGGTCTGGATGACGTTGAATCCTAAGCTTCGGAAGGAAATCGTCAGGTATTGGCCGACGGGGTATTTTGGTATGCCGAATAATAGTCCCAAGGCGTATAAGGGCCACATGTCGTAGTCTTTTGAGCATTCCCAGATTTGTCGGACGGAAAGACCTTGTCGATTGTACATCCCTCCTTTTTGAGGATCGTCTCGAATGACTAAGCTGAGTTAGATACGATTCGTGCGCAGGTCCGTAGGCTTAAGGCGCCTCACCTGAGTTGACTATAATCTTCTCTTCCCTTTCGGTGAAATACCCCTTGGGGTTCCACCAGCTTTTTGTTCTTGCAGGGGATTGAGGCATGAGAAAAAAGGAGGCGATCCCCACCAAGACTGCAGTAAAGTTAGAATGATCAGTATCGTAAACATTGGACTCCTCTTACATGTAAAAGCACCCCTATAGATGTTAGCAATGATTGTATACTCATTTGTTAGGATTGCGACTTACTCGATAAGGAACAGCCATCGCCAGCCTTCATATCCGAGGATTCCACGCATCGATAGAAGACCAACGGCACTAAATCCGACACCGATATCGACTGAAGGAACGTTAGAAGAACATTTCAAACAAAGGAATGGATCCTACCTAGTTGCGAAGACATCCAGTACCAAGCTAACCTAATTGGGAGCTACGAGAATAAGTAAGGGTACTCGGAAATACCGCTCGTTATGAAGGGCGCTTACTGTTTTACCGGTGTAGAAGTAACTAAGGTAAAGAATCGTATCGCTATCGATAAATCAGTAAAGATATTCCTAAGGTTTCTAGAAGGTAGTAAATACTTACGGGATAAAACCGCCTTGGAATGTTGCACTGGCTAGGTGAGCAAGGGCTTACGTTATTGATGCGATGCAACTTACATCAAGTATCGGGTTGCAAGGAACGATGCGCGACCTTTAAGGAAGAACTGCATGGCGGAGATGACGCTGAAAATGCAAATTTGCAACGGGATCCAGACATCAGGCCCGATACTATGAAGGTCAGCGAAACTTCTAGTACTTCAGCCGAGATCTGACTGACCGTTTAGAGATGAGCTGCGACGGGAGTTCGGCAACAAGGAAGCCAACTCGTGCAATAGTTTGACCCAAGTTCTATGACTTATTAGTATTGAGGCCTTTCTCCTGTGCACGATACCTTAGCATCCAACTTACATAGTCGCTCTTAGAAAGGCCTAGATCGTCAAGCATGTTATCCGAGACGGCATTGGAGATGTTTCCTCGATCGATATTCAAAGCTGCGAACATGATGCACACCCAGACCATGATCTTCCAATCAACCTTACGTCGCACTGCCCTCTCTTCCCTCCAGGTCCAACGGAAATTGGGGTCGAAGGCAGTCCAATTTTCCCATTGTGGATGAATGTAAAGTTCCTTGTATTCCTCTACGTTTTCGGAATCCCAGATACTGGGTTGCGTGGCAATCTTCATTAGTTTAGCAGCGAGTTGCATTTCTTCAAGACAAGACACCTATCTAACGTACCGCGTCGAGGTCATACTCTTCTCTTTTTGGACCCTTTCGAATCCTAAGGAGGCGTAATACAGCGTCACCGAGGACCGATTCCGTGCGCTGGGTCTCTTGAACCGCTAGAGCCGTTGCTGTAGGGGGCGTTAAGTCGTCAGAACGTCCATCGTCAATCTTTCTAGATGATGCCGAATCATCTTTGTCGGACAATGTGGCAGTCGTTTGATGAGAAGACATCCTGTCTCTCTAGGTATTCGAATGAAGATAAGCTCAGTGTCACACTTATTGCGCCTCTCATGTATATAGATTAATAAAATATATTAATAGACCTTCCAAAACTGACATGCGCAATAAATTGCCAGATTTAGACGAACGAAGCGCATTTATATCAGCATAAAGAATTGAAGGTGATTTCCGTATTTTCACATTTCACGCTTCAGCTCGTTGGTACTCCACCACAATAATGGCGACATCGTGATTATTTAGGTAATAGCCCAGCCGAAATTTTAGAACCATCCCGAGGAGATCTGAAAAGTGGCAGAAATTGATATATGCCAAGTATGTTACGCCACTTAAATTCTGTCTTGCGCAATTGTTCGCTGTTGCCCCCGTTGTTCATCATTGTCCAGTTGAATGTCGTGCTTCGTATTAAACTAATTCTGTCAGTAACCCGTGCTTAGTCTCAAGCTATGTCCAGGGGGGTCTCCGTTTTGGAGCCACACTAGTTGCCCTGTATTATAATCAGGGTACCATTTATTGGCAGAATACCGCCGACCCGAACACCAATGTTATGATAGATCAATGCAATCGTCGAAAAATCGGCATAGCTTCTTGCGGTACTCAATTGTGTCTCATTGACCAGACTGAGCTTCAGCTTTGGTCGCTCGAATGGTTCAAACCATCATAATCTAGCTTCATAATCTTGAAGGGTCTGGGCTGGCTAGATCGTAACGACGGGGATGAACTGACGTGGCCCGGGCTTGTCGAACGGCAACCAAACTGATGTTATCAGTCCGAAGAACCAATGATTTGAAGGAATCTACAACCTTCCCATATCGTCGGGTGGGGGTGTGATCACTCGGACAACATACCAATCGAGACACTCCCGCTTATAACAGGCAATCCCGCCTCTTTGGTACCGACTGGGCGGGAGGGTGAGATACTGGACTAGAATGATTCTAGAACAAGATAAACTAAAGGATTCCGATAGTCATGGATGGACAAGCCATTGCGCCAAGGTAGTGGTTGGGTCCTCTTGGGTAGCAGGTATGTAGTACTTGAATTCTAGCGACATCAACGACATATCTTAACCCGACATTGAAACGTTCTGTGCGGTATACCAGCATCGATACTGAAGTGGCAAAGTTGGAACCGAGCTAGGTGAATTTTGCGGAAAGGGGGTGGGGGTCAACCTGTTTACTTCCAATATGCCTGTCTCGCCATTACAACAGTCACCGAAATAGATCCTCAAGGCCAGCTTTTAAAGTGCAGGAAACTGCTATATTCCATTACCATTAGCAATGCGATCATATAGTCATAAAAAAGGAGCAGTCGTACTCACTTACTAGAGTTCCCGCTCACTCGTTGCATCCGATCCCTTTTTCGTCAGATACCCCATTCCGTTGCAACCCTTAACATTCCCCACCGTAATATTCATCCTGTCCCAGATCCATGGATTCCGAAGCCCCGGCGCCGGTTTTCCTTCTGCAAGAAGAACAATAATGACAAGGGTGGTGGAAGCAGCAACCGTCACCTCACTCGCACTCACGTTCTAGATCGCAGCATACCCATAGCCATATACGCTTACGGCCGGGAACGCAGTACCACGTGGATCGTACATTCTTCGGTACTCCGCCGCGATGCCCTTGATATGTTAGCCACAATATAAACCGCGCGAAATAGCGGGGAAGCAGCCTCCAGGCACGAATTCCCTGACAATAGAGACGACAGACAGCCTTTTCGACTCCCGCGCTCGTCGTCGCTCTAGCAGTACAGACGTACGGGGACGCGTCTAGTGAACTTGCCAAGAATCTGAACGTCCCATACCGCCTGTCTTTATGCTTAATATGGCCCATGCTGTCACTCCCGAGTCTCTAAGGCCGGATATGACACACACTCCGCACGCCCGGTTGAGCGAGCATCGAATTGGAGAGCGTAGTTTATATGGAAGCCGAATGCAATACGGGTCGCCGATGCTCCTCGAGACGAGAGCAGTGCCATAGCGGCGGGGATTTGAAGATGATATAGACAACAATGGGCGTGTTCCAGGAAGTTATAGATATGACTTAGATGCCTAAGTACATATACTGCATCTTCTACCCTTCGTTTCTAGCTTCAATCTAACAAGGGGAGTTTGCGGGCACACAGAGGTTGACATCCACTGCCACGGAAATATTGGCAGACCACGCGTCAATTGCGACATATTGGACGACATCGAGGGGAAATGTGGGTATCGAGTCGGTTATCGAATAGTTCCCAGAGCCCGGTTGAGGATTATGAATACCTCTCGGGTGCTTGAATCTCGGAGTCGATCATCTCAAAGACAGTCTGCAGCCCAATACGGGTCAGAAATTTTGATGTCCGTCTTGAAACGGTCACTATTTCGGTCGGTCAATCGCGTTCGAGGAGCTCCCAAAGATCCGAATAGACTAGTAGTCTCGATGCGATCAACATAGTCGTAGGGGTTCTCTATTGGCGATGGTTCCCGAGTTCTTGACGACTCCGTTCTCGCCTTAGTATACACGATATTCTGTTGAGAAGATGCACCCGTCGGAAGAGTTACGGAGATTTAATCTCAGCTCGGAGAAAAGAAAAGCAAAGGCAAACGCCTCTCAAGTATCTGCAAGCCTCCTTCGTCATCGATATCAGGACTAACCACGAAGGTAGAACATTAACATTTATTCTACTCCATTATATCTCCGTAGCAAAGCAATGTGACGATGCAGAGAAGACTATATTCAGAACTAGAAATAGGGGTGTGATAAACCGGATGGGGGTGAGTCATACCGACGGGAAACCTGAGGGTACCCGGACCAAGACCGGAACCGCCCGCAACACCAAGAAAATACAACCTAATTACACGAAAATAAAGGTTCAGAGCTTCATGTCTCCCCCATAACAGAGCTTAGATTTTCATCGCGGCATCACATCTGAACATGCGATAGATAATTTTACCGCTAGGGGTATCTGGTGGCCTCCGAACAAGACACAATGGCTCACGGCCACATAGCAAGGTAAACACACGCCGGCGTCATATTACCACAGCTGCTGACACGCCATTTCTAGCGAGGAATAGACGGGCACATGTAAGTTACCTGGCGTTATTGTCGTTGCGGTAGTGCCTTGGTGAAAGACACAGGGAGAAAGGATGATCCCCCCAACCCTGCAGCTATAGCGGCCCGCACTTAGCCTACAGCCACTAATGCACGGTAAATTACAAGGGATTTCCACTACATCCATCTTGTAATTATAAGAAGTAAGCGCTATAACTTGACCATGCATTTCATCGCATGCCTCGAATGAAACCATCCAACTCCGTATACGAATCCAAACACCATCTGACTTTTTCAATTGCAGCTTCGCAATTGGTACTCATGGATTCCGACGTACCGAAATCCCATTTATGCATTGTCAATTATAGGATCATTCTTCTCATTCGACAGAGACTACTTCGCGCAAGCCTTCGGAAGCATGATCTCTTGAAGGAAATGAGGCGTCCACGTCTCGTTCCCATCTACTTTATACACTTTCTCTATAGTTTTATCTTAGGGTAATCATCTTCGAGATGATAGAGGTTCTTTGATTTTTGATTGTAGCCCTTTTCCGAGTAAACATGTCTTTTCTCTGGGGTCAACGGAAGTTTTCTTTCGGGGCTCGCCAAGAGTATTCAAGGGTGATTGATGCTTCACGAAACTCATCCGAAACTTCCCAAGATAGTTTATTGGGAAAGGAGATAGAATTCTTCCGTCGAGAACCTTCATTTTGGAAGCGCAATGCCTCATTAATAGTAGCAAATTCTCTTCTGTTTGTCGTCTATATCGCAATTCTTGTCGCCGTCGCCTCCTACGTTCCACAACAGTGTCGCCAAGGTCCCAACCTGATAATTTGTTAGTTCCCCCGTCGAACCGGCGTTAATTACTGCATCGCTAATAAAAACAGCCCCCGCCTATGAAGCTCTGGAGTGGGAAGAGTATACCTTCCAGGAGAACTCGCAGCTACATGGTCCCTTCTCTGGCTATCCGCGGCCGGAGATTGATGAAAATTGGGATAAGCTCTTGGACGGTATGAAAGCATCAACATTCCAGCAGCACCGGCTGACAACTCTCTTATAGCTGAGAATATTATTCTGGAGCCCGAGGTATTAAGGCACTACGATCGCGAAGACCTAGGCGTTGCCGTTCCAGAGGGTGGGGGATATCTAGGTACTCTGAACGTATATCACGAGTGTAAGTCTCCGCAACTTAGGCATATAGGAAACATGCTGACAATATTCAGTACATTGTATTGTACGCCGCATGTTCTGAATTCATCTCATTTAACGCACACCTCAATTCTAACCTTTCCAGAAACGACTTTGGCAATATATGTATCCCGAGCATTATTGGTCTGACCTTTCGGATGCTCAGCGGGAGGTCAATAGACTCCATAATGGCATGTTTCCAATTCAACGCACGCATCGGTACTAAGGGCTAACTATACTCAGAGCATTGTCTCGACTTCCTTCGTCAATCCTCCATGTGCCATGCAGATATTGGTCTCATTACCTTCCAATGGTCTCCAGATAGCCGCATTCCCGTCGCGAATGCTACAACGCATCAATGCGCAAAGTGGGATAAGATTGATAAATGGACTAAAGCCAGAACTGTCGACATGATGAAACCCGGCTGGCTCGTCCATCCTACGAAAGGTACGTGTTATAATAAAATCATCCTCGCCAGTAAATACTGACTGTTGCGGGGAATTCAGGCCCTTCCTTTCCTCTAGGTGAGGGTAACCGCCTTGGCGCTGTAAGGAAGCCTCAAGAACCACATTTAGTTGGCCACGAAAGTCACGAAGGACATGCCAGGCGGGGCCATTGAACATGTTCTAGATACATAACCTAGCAACACGTGTGGTATCTATATAAATAGGGTAGTTCAATCCTCATAAATCTGGGTGATAGCAAACTTGACAAGGAGGAATAGGAGTTTAAAGGTAGTAGAGATTATCATCATATTTTCATAGGAGGTTACTTAGGTTTTTTGGTTATACCAGTTTTAGTTCCCATCGCATATTTTACGCTCAATTAAAACGTTCGTTCTCGGCATTAAGAGCACAGTTAATCTCGTCAAAAGACTCATCATGTTCAGTAAAGGGGCATTCGTGAGCCCCCGCCTATCTCGCCCCTGGCAATGGTGACTAGGTAGTCTCAAGATCGTCATCTAAGAACCATACAAACCCAATCTTAACATGCAAAGTCAACCGCTTTATCAACTCTATACCTAGGCCAAGATGAAATCGAAACCGATGACCGCGGGGTTTCTCTTAGTCCACTAGGAGTAAGATTATATGCAGTCATCATAACACCGCGCGTAATCATTACCCTGCATATCACCATGCTACAGTGCATTTGTATTGCATCTCAGTCCACACCAAATAACTAACGCTGAGGCAGCTTACGTCTTTCTATATCCGCATCAGAACGCCGACTTTTGCCGTGAGCCGAGGAATCGAAAGAATGGACTATTTTGCTCTCCAATGGACTCCTCCCTACTTCGAACCTGATCTCTCTCACACTTAGATGCGACAGAAACTCCAACATGTATTTTCAAGCGGGAATTTCCTTCATCACGCTGTTTACCAGTATTCTCCCTCTTCTTAGCATCGCTGCATCAGAACCGGTCCAATACTGCAAATATGGCGCTGGGACTGGAGTGATCGACTTCTGCATGGGCATGTTGATGCACCACAATGTCACTACGGACTCTCATGATCTCTATCTATCCATGAGCGTCACCCGATCAGAAAGCACTCCGCTCGGATGGACCGCGCTCGGGCTGGGTGAAGTCATGGAGGGGGCTCTAATGTTCATCGTCTACGGTGACCCAATTTCCTCCAAACAACCCATCGTCAGTGTCCGGAAGTCCATCGGCCATAAGCAGCCAACTCTCGTCACTAGGGAGGACATGAACGGGTCCGACGTACGCGTAATCCGTGCTGATTGGCATCCATCGCCCTCGTCGCCAAACTCTGCTGTGGCGATGGTATCGCTTGTCTGTTACTCCTGCCATCTCTGGCCCGGCACCCAGATCTCCGCGGCTTCAACATCCCAGCCTTGGATGTGGGCATGGAACTCCAAGCAGGATATTTCTGATTATACGTACGACGTTCATTTGAAAATGCATGCGCATCACGCCGGAGCAGGCGGGTGGGGGATTTTTTACGTCGACATGTCGCGATCGATCAATAATTGGCACAATGCACCTAGTTTCCCGCCTATCAGACCAGGGGTACACGCCTTGGGTGCTAGCGATAACCCGGAACTGTCAACATCCTACGGCTCGGCGTGGTTTAAGCGCAACCCAATACTTCACCTTCACGGTATGATTATGGGAATCGCATTCTTACTGCTTTTCCCAGTTGGGGTCTTAGCCATACGGTCGGGCCGCACCAAGGCTTTCAAATACCACTGGATTATACAGGTTGTTGCGTCAGGACTCACACTTGTCGGCTTCGTCTTAGGACTTGTGCTTAGCCGCCAGATCAATACCGTCCATCAAGTGGCTGGGATCTCTCTCGTCACATGCCTTGGTGTTCAGAGTATTCTCGGCTGGCGCCACCATATTGTCTTTCTTCGCCTTCGTCGCCGTACATGGCTATCCCATTCTCACATCTGGCTTGGAAGACTCATGATGATCGTGGGCTGGGGTAACCTCTTCACCGGACTTCTCCTCCGTGGGTATTCCGGTATAACTATCGGATTAGTTGGATGTCTAGTGGGGTTGGAAGCTGTTGGGCTCACAGCTTGGTTATTATGGATCAATATCAAAGCTTCTCGTGAGAAGCTAGCGAAGGAACCACCTAGTGACGGACATAAGAGTAACGGTGTCGGCTATTTTGCCGTCGGTGAAGAGGAAGAGGAAGAGTGTGACACTTCTTCATCTTCAACTAATTTAGAGGATGAAGAATCAAGACCCATGATAGAGAAGGCGTAGGTGACCAGGGTATGCTGTTTGAGGAGAAACATGAGCATAGATGGATCCATACTAAGATCTATTGACGTTTAATATTATACCATAACTTATCGATTAATTGGTTACAAGTTAACACATCGAGCCTTTGAGATTTACAGGAACAGTTGGACCCCTTTTTCTATGAGTGACTGCTTACCCAAATGGACATCCATAACCCGGCGCCCCAAAGTTCCATCACGATCCATTAGATACTCCGCGGGCACAATTTTCACCGGGAATGGTTCTATTTGCCATATATCACGACAGACACATGACACATGTGGAACTCAGATCCCTACAGGTTCAAATTTGTTTTCTCTAGTTGAGCGATATCTATCTCATATAACATCAAATAACACAGCCACTTAAAAACTAATTGTCGCCCTATTGCTCCGGTGGCACGGGTGGTAGAGTATGCTCCTCGTAGCGCGGACCACCATGCAAAGGCTCGCCATCCGGGTATGCGGGTCCTATTTTCAATTATCAGCATTTTCCTCACCCCTACGAAGCGCGCAACTCACCTAAACTAGGATGCACCAAGTATCCAGGCTCAAACATATTGACTGCTCTTTCGGCAGTCCAGTTCGAAAACCTATCCCAGTCGATACATCGATGTTCCGTTGCCCTCGCCGTTGGCTTTACATGATGGGGGTTCCAGCTATATGTAATAAGTCCGACATCCCCGTGGCAAATAGCGAATTTTCGCAAAGTACTCAAGCAGTGTTCTAGGGTAAAGTGTTAGCCCCCGTGGCGAGACGTACGTTTTTATAGCAAGCTGAAGCAATACCACTATGAACCCTATTTTTCTCCCTCTGAATATCATCGAGCTGTGGCCAGTAGATCTCTTGATAAAGATGTTTATGAAGCCACCTCTGAGGTCCGGTTAGCGCCGTGTGCATAAATGCATGGGTGTTCTTCTTACAATGCAGTGGATTTCATGGTAAACGTTCAAAGTTCCGATGTACCCGGAGCCATCCGGTAAGGGAATGGCGGTTTCCTCTCGCCCAAAACGACGTACGTCTTCCTTAGATATCCGGATGTTCATATCTGAAGCCTATCAGTATTTCGATAAGTACAACCATGCCATTATAGGACTTGCTTTTTAACAATCCTTCCCATGCTTTTTCTAGCTCTGGCCTTGGATATCCAACATACGGTTCAGTCAAACCATCCCCCTCAGGCCATGGACCTGTATTCCACTTCAGTACCTCGTTTGCAGGAGCTATAATTATCAGTTAGCATACCTTAATATCAAACGTTTCTTGTGTAACTTACAGAATAAGATTTCCTTCCGTAGACTCGAGTTCCAAGCGACCAGGGTAATTACCGTAATGCAATACAAAGAAAATAAGACTATATGAACATAGATGGCGCGAACATGCCGTCTCCAAAATGACTTTCTCTGTTTGAATTTCCTAGTATCTTGTGTAAGAAGTGTATCGTCATCGCTTGAGCCACCTAATGACTTTCTCCATACATAATCATCTTCATGGGAGTCGTGGGCTGTTGCTAATCCAGATTTCTCCAAGGTGAAGTTCATTTTGGGAGGGCTTCACGTAGGCCCGCAACACACTTCCAGAGAATTACCAAAGTCCAAAATTTCCGAATGAATTCATTCCTTTGCCAAAGACAAGAGATTGAACATGATTACCATTGCGCTCTTGATTGTCTAGGAAACTTACAACGGTCTGGCAGGAACTCGTTCCCGTGAGATTTCTAGAATAGTCCGTAGCAACAGGATTTTACCGTACATGAACGCATTGTCACCCGCATCTCCACCTCCAGCCTCCTGTCCGTTTACTCGTGTAACAATCTCGGATCCGAGCTTATTTTCGCCGAGCAAGTCCTGCCGCTGCATATGGCGTAAGACAGGTAATCAAAGATCAGCCGGCTCCCATTGGGCTCCGGAGTTTTTCTTCCTGCTACTCTCACAGCTACCCCTCCCCATCTTACCGTCGCATAATGTCTAGATGAACCCTCTCGATGTATTGTCAATCTTCGGTAACGTAAAGTAACATGAGGCCGCTTACAGGGCATAATACGATTACTTGACGAAGCAGGTAGTACGACAAAGTACCTACTATCCCCTTATGCCAGGGTTGGGTACCTAGGTAGCCACCTCCCTCGTGATTCAACGATACGGTCGCGTAATGGCGAAGAAGACTTAGCCCGTCACTGAATAGTCATCACCGGGTTGATTCTTGGTCTGCAAGATAAGGATATTCATGCGCGGTCAGAGGGGTAACAGAAACAATGGAGGACGCAAGCCGAGATGATTCGGTTTTAGTGACGTGCGAGACTTTCGTGAGTGAATAGTGTTGACAACCCAGCTAGACGAACTTCCCAATAGATCTTCTCGATAGCTCGATATAAGGTCACGATTGAAGCCACTGTTAGGATTCCAATTTGACAAACCAACCTTGGTATCACGACCAATATCACATTGAGACTCATCTTAGTTCAATAACAACAAGCCGCAGTCGACGCCAACACGTTCTCCTCGCATCATTCACAATGAAGTCATCAATTCTTCTCGCTCTCGTTCCCTTCTTCGTCGCCCTCTCCGGCGCCGTGCCTGTCGGGAGTACGTACCCAACCATCTCCAATATTCCTCTCTCACTTCATTCCAACTAACCACCACAAAGACAACTTAACTCCAGCGATTGCCAGAAGTGCCGACGAGGCCACCGAGTATGTCACCGACAAGCGCAGCGCCGACGAGGCGACAGAATACGTTACAGACAAGAGAAGCGCCGACGAAGCCACGGAGTACGTAACCGACAAACGTAGCGCTGACGAAGCAACCGAATACGTCACCGATAAACGCAGTGCCGATGAAGCCACTGAATACGTCACCGATAAACGCCGCAGCGCGGACGAGGCCACGGAGTACGTGACTGATAAACGCAGAAGCGCCGATGAGGCGACTGAGTACGTGACGGACAAGCGCAGAAGCGCCGATGAAGCTACGGAATATGTCACCGATAAGCGCAGCGCTGATGAGGCTACGGAGTATGAAACCGACTAGTGGATTCTTTCATGGCCTGGTAGTTTTCCGGTTGTCAAAGCAAAGTCCCTCTTATACTAGGAAAGGATTTATGACCGGGCTACATCATACTAAGCATATATGTAAGGCGAATTCTGTGGGAAGGGGTGATGCTTCATGAAGTTAAGCTCTGGAGTTACGTCGGGCTTTGACAACATAGATTATCTATTGAAAGGGGTACTAAGAGCAATGGTACTTCTTCAATTCTAGTCAAATTAACATGCGGCTTCTGATTATGGCCCTCGTTTAATCTTGGCATGCCCCTTATTTCCTTTTCTTGGTTGAAAAAACTAGTGGCAAGACGTGTGACACTGGATTTTAAAATCACGTATCTATCCAGGGGAGTCATCGTAAAGTCAAGCCCTCCTCTTGAACATCAAAATTTCTAGATATGTTTTCAATAGGAATATACGTTTTATTTCCTAACTAATGTACTTAAGAATGAAGAAACTAGTTGAACATTTTGTGCTGGCCGTAGACCCATGGCATTTCCTAGCTCAGTTAATAAACTCCAAGTCTCGGGTGCCTATTTATACATCAGTCAATGGCGATCGTATTGCAGCAATTCTTGGTACACTTACATATTGTTTAAAAACCCTTCTGTGTTCTTTGGTGGCTTCATGGTCTTCTCTAGCTGATATCGAATCGAGCTTGCCAAGAAATTTGTCATCATCTGCCCCTTTAGTGCTAACCAGATCTAACGACTTCATCTCATCAATAAGTATGTCTTCCGCACTTCGCATAACTCCCTCATGGAAGTTATGCGATTCTTGTGCATCCCAGCGCTTAGAACTTTCATGTAACGCTACGAGTAGTTTTCTGAGATGTCGCCTCTTAGACAAAGCTTGTGCAGAGTGTAGTGGAGATTCTGGTGGGAATACAGAGGTGTAGTAGGCAGTAGCCATAGAGTCGACGCTGTCAAACCCAGCTTCGTCTATTGCATCGAGAACTTTCTCAAGTCGTAAAGCCTCGTCCTCTTGGGGGCTGTGCCGGAAGGATTCCGCCCGCATGATATTCGCGGCCTGAAAAATATGATCTTCAGACGCAGTTAGTCTCGAATCCATCGGTGCGTATGTAGTTGATGTCAGGAAATCCCCGGCTTGATTAGCGCCTGCATTAGACACAGCGGAGATTGCCTGTGAATGCCAATGCGGTACATCAGATCTATCAGAACCTCGGGAACTGTCTTGAGACGCAATTGAGTTATGGCGATCCTTCGCTTGACCCTTGTGTCCCATTCTGAGAGATGTGGCTTTTTCAGGCGAGATTGGGGTTGCACAGTTGGTATCGGGCGATACCGAACCGTGGGCGCTGCTGAAAGGAGCTTGAGACACACAGTCGTGATTATATCCTGGTAATATTGAGTTATTGGATGAGGCTATACGGCCATCCCGAGACAGTAGCTGTATCTCATCCTCGTAACTCAAGGAAACGGTGCTGAGGATGCTAGGGCTCATCAATGTGCCTATTTCTCTTGGGAAGCTCCATGGTCCTGAGACGTCCATTGCCCGTATAGATAGATCTTGCGATACATCCGTACTACGTAGATGAGTTAGCAGTTTACTAGCAGTGTCTCGAGGCTTGAAATGTGTACCCTGGGCTTGTGATGTAAAGCTCATGATCGCTACCCGCCTCTGGAGGAATTCGGCCGTAGTTTCCAAAGACTTCTTCATTATTACGACCATAGTTTCTTAGCGAGTCTCCTTCTATAGCGACCATATGCGGCCACCCCTGTATCATCTCGGGAGGGTCTTGGCTTTGCTCGCTCGCCGCATTGCTGAGGGATTTCTTTTCTATCGAGTATGTTAGGTTGGGCGAGGCTCCAGCGGCGCAAAAATTGCACATCCTTTACGTACTTTGTCTATGCTTCCTCTGAGCAAGCCTATTCTTTTTTCGGGCTTTTGCTAAGGCTTCGTCCTCCGGCTCGAAGGATAGAGCTAAAGGTAGAGACATAGACACTTGCGGAGCCTCCTCCCCTGCCAGCCACGACACCTGTGTCTTCCGAGATTTAATTAGCAGCTCGACGAACCCTACCTACCTACCTAAGCAGTTTGCATAAGCTTTTTATCCCGCATAGGAACTTGGATTCGTAATAGAACACCAACGATAGGATAGCCTATTCACTCGGTTAAGCGCCTCTTCTGATGTTGTCATACCTTTTCAAAGCCCCATGGGATGCCATGTCTCAGTCGGCAGAACGACGCCTCGTTCCGCAGCTAATGCGCAACGCACACCATACCGCTAGTCATAGGACTTGATTAAGCTTAAGTCCAGAAGGTTCAGCTCGATTTTGCAATCTAGTATGCTGACCACCCATTAAGATGACTGGCTCTTGAAGTTTCAGGGGCATCACCCACAGTTCAGGTTAGTCCGAGCCGACAGACATCTAATTGGGCTAGCATATCGCCACATTGATCGTCGCATGGTATTGGTTCATAAATAATGGCCGAGACGGTCGTGTTTAAGATGTCATCCTCTGCCCGGTTCGGTTGAACGGTGGGAAGCGGTAAGATCTGGCGAGAAACTGGCCAATTCAGGTTTAATATTCGACGCCCTGTACGACGTTGTGTGACGGTGCCAATCACGTCGACTACGCCGCTTTCTCACTGCAGACCGCTTGCGTAAACCTGTCCGAGCTTTCGTGCTCGGAAGTCGGAGTACGCGGATGAGTATGCCGAGACACCAGTCAGCAACTAACAGCGAGTTCTTCAGGGCCTCACAACTTGCTGCACGCAATCTATATGGCACACCAATTAACCCACAGCTTGTGACTGAAGGATTTCAACATAATGCCCCTTTGCTTGTTAGACGGTTTACCACGAATTATCAAATTCTTAGGCCGAGTAATAATTCTCTCGTTGTTCGACGCCCTATCAAGAAAACTCATAATCACAGAAGCCCTGGTTCCCTGTCTATCATAATATCGGCGATGATGTTCACTTCTTAGGAACCATTCTTGCGGGATGAATGTCGCAGAGCTATTGGAGGTTGTAGTGATAGTAGAGTCAAGACCTCCATTGAGTTTACCTAGGTACCTAGGTATGTTAAAAATGCTCTTTGGTTTGAAACTGGATCGAGATCGATAATCTTAGAGGCTGAAAGATGGCTGGGTGGCGCCATTTATACCCCTCTAGCTTCTTTCCCTATGGCGAGATTAGCGGAGTTTCAAGGGTTATTTTAAGCCACATCTTGGTAGATCGCCGGTACAAGTAAGCCGCTAAACAAACTGGAAAACTTAAAAGGTCACGAAAATGAAACTGAGAAACTGAGAAACTGATACGATTCCGTGACAATAGCGCCTTCTAATTGCGTCAAGACATATTCACATCACTAAGAAAAAGAAAAGACGCTAATCCCAAATTCATTAGGAACGTCCTAAATACTAAATACCTAGTGCCGATTCAATACTCATCACAATCCTCTAAACCTCGACTAGAAACTCAACTAGGTCAATCATGATTTATACAATATCAACGATTAAGATACAGTTATTCATATGACCAATTACTTGTATCAAAACGTACAATGTGCGGGGTGAGTTTTCTCGCGATGCAAGGAAGACTATAAGTAGGTCACCATCCTTTGTCAACGCAGCGATGATCACGAACCTCCGCTTCGGAAACGACGCCGCCCTAAATGACTACTCATGATAGAGTTGGAACCCCAGAATATAGCTTATCTGTAGGTGATGCCGAATCATTTCCGTCCAATCGGGGTAGGCAATTGAAGCTAGGTTAGGCGCAGATCCTGGAGCTGGCCGAGATAATGCAGGGGCACACGCCCAACCAGAGCTGTCGACCCCGCCGTAAACGGAAACGGTCCAGGTGCGCATCGCCGGTCGAGAGTCTTCCTGTGTTAAAGAAAACAAAATACTACTCTTATCTCCTGACCGGAGGTAGGAAATAGCAGCTAGGGAGCTTGTCCCGGCCGAATTCGGGATTGGAGACGGAATGTTCATCGGAATCTATTAGATGTCTACTAAGAGACAGATAGGAAATGTGACGTATAAGTATGCTTGTTTGCTCGACTCGGGTTGAAGAGTCTACCAGTGGTAGCTCGCTGTGAAAAGAAAGCTTGGAACAATGGGATCGATCTTCAGTAAAAGCAAGGACTCGCCCACGGGCCCCGTCGCCATGAGCCATTACGCCAAAGCACAAACCGTTAAGCCTCCACTAATTGCAAACGACAACGCTTTTCTAGGAGACGTAGCTTCATCGTGAGTTCCATAAGCCTACCAATGAATTGAACTTGGAGGTAGATATAGAAAACGGTCATAAAATTGCTAACCTCACAATTATAGCGAGACAATCGACCCAGAAAAGCCGATATCAGCTGGGTTCTACCGCTTGGAGAAAGGAACCCCTCTTGTGTACGAGTATACATACCACGAGAGTAAGCCACATTCTATTCAGAACCAATGGTAGGAGCTTAATCACTAATCAATATTTCCATGTGTGAAGTGAAGGTAATTGTGGAGGGGAGTTTCGACATTAGTGACGAAGCAGGCAATAAGGTGCATGCTGTCCCTGGTGATGTCTTTTACTTTCCCAAAGGGAGTAAGATTACATTTACGACGGATGACTATGGGCTTGGCTTTTACTGTGGGCAACGTAAAAGGGATACGGCGTAATTGTGTATCTTTAGGGAGACATTATGGTGTTATTACATTACATAATAATGAAATCATATCCCCATGGCGTCTTGAGTGGACTTGGTTGATATAATATTGAGGAATCGTGAATAAAATGTACAAATGTAGCCCTTGAGCCTAGCCATGATATAAGAGGTTAGGGGTGGAAGGAGATGACAATTGAAGTTTAATCTACTCTTGCCTTGTATCCTATCTACCATTTGGTTGAGTTATAGTAGGTTATTAGATTGCAAGAGACGAATTTATATAGATACTGACTACCTAGACCCAGGCAGTGTTCATTGGGGGCGGAATCCTTTAGTGAGGTTGAAGGAATCGTGCATGAAAAAATATAGGCATTGATTAGCTGCCATAATGAACCTTTGTTAGAAGCTGTTGCGAACTTAACTTGCTTTCCCGAATACACGTTCTATAGTGTACTTCGGTAGGCAATACACAGGATCAATAGCTTCCACGCCGGGATATTTCAGCAAGCTCAAGCCGGTCAGGCCGAACATGGTGTGCCATACGTCAACCATATCACCAGGTCGATCTGAAAGACCACCCTGTTCGGTGTCTTGACAGCTAAGCGTAAACGCGATGAGCTTTTCTCGATCGATCCAATGCGCGCGACTGAGGATCTCTAGGCTGCTAAGTACCCACCAGTTGTAGCATACATCCTCTTTCTTTTCTGGTCTCCCGTTTAGGCCACCGTTGGGGACTTGCCTCTCGCTTAACCAAGCAGCTAGCTTGTCAACATCAATCAGATCTTTGCGCCCGGCTATCGAGAGAGCGGCCAAACAAGTAAATATCTGGCCCGAATGCGACTCATCCCCAGGACTGACACCATACCCCCCATCGGAGTTGGCGCAAGAGACGATATAGTCAACTGCCTTATTGACATCGACTAGATGCAATAGGCCCATGAGGGATAGGGCGTTCAAAGCGCCATATAAAAACCTTGTATCTTCTTCTCCCCATTCGTCGCCAGCGAATGTGCCTGTCTCTTGATTTTGTAGGTCTGCTATGACTGAAGCGTGGATCAGCTGAGGCAACAGGAGAACCAGGATGAATTGGTGACTCACACTTGCCCACTTGAGCCTTACCATTACCCTTGCCGCGTTTTTCTAGCTCGTCTAAGGCATCAACCAATACTAGAATCTGCACAGCACTGACGGTATACAACATATGTGCATCATGACCTGGCGCAGCTCCAAAGCCACCGTTCTCGTGCTGGCACGAGAGGACAAAGTCTATGGTCTCGTCTCGAGGAAGGGCATCGGGATGTCGGAGCATATGTAAGGCGTTCAATCCCCAGTATAGTCCGTTTAATCGAAGATGTTCGGTAAGCCAGTATTCGTACTCATCTTTCCTTGTGTCTAAGCTTTGTATGTATTTGACATGTGCTTCGGTCGCAAGTTGGAGCTCGTCTGGAAGGTTCTGGATTCCTGTCATCTTTTCGCGAGGAAAGTGCGCCGATGGAAGAGGACGTGGAAGATTGGCGACGTGTGAGTTGGTTAATGAATTGATTGTGTTCGATTGATGCCGCTACCTAGGTAGGCAACAGGACGCCTGGAGCAAACAAAAGCTTAGGCTTCTACGGCGGGGGTAGGCATCTACCGACTAGTGTTCACCGCCCGGCAGAATCTAATATATTAGCTTAAGCTTCCCGCTTGTATGCCTAGGCACTTAAGCTTTGATACCTACATCATCTCATACACACGATTCCGACACATCTAATCGTATTACTGAGACATTCAAGATGCCTGCGAATACAGAAGGCGATTCCTTCTCAACTGATAAGTTCGTTTCCCGATTCAAGTCAGTCAAGTGACAAAGCAGGATTTAGCTCCTTAGTATCGTTATAAGTTGGCGCTGAAGCATTTTGATAGCAGGGTTCTTCCTGCCGGTGGCCATTCCCATTTTACTCGAGATGACTTTGACCGTGTCAAGGAAATTCTAGAGGACATTTTGGACAGCCTAACACGCATGCCAAATGAAGCCACATTGGAGTTTAAAGGGCTTGGATGAAATATTTTCAAAATCTTGAATATTTACTTAATACCCAACCTATTTCCACTATCAAGCACGTATTGAGAAACCAATCTGAAAGGGTCGCCAACGTCCCTTCCCTTCCCATACGAGTTAAGCGTTTACGAACCAGGCAGAAAAGTATTGGGTGACTTTCTAATAGAAGGCCCGGCAGAATACAGCATTAGAGACGGGTGGCTAAGTATCCCAACAAGGTCACTCACTTTTCGCGACTCTGTGGCTATGGATTTGACCGAGTATGTTAGAGAGTGCGCTACCGAGGCCATTATGTCGATGCAACTTGGCTCTAGATTCCACGCGAAAACAGGCTGGAACATTAGTAATGGGATGGCATACGTTAGACCCAACGGCGCTCTCTACTACCTTCAAGGAAATGAGAAGTGGGATAAGAGGACATCTCCCGACGTAGCCATCGAAGTTAGCCATTTGAACCCGATCACCGAAGAGAGAATGCGTGTGTTATTTCAAGCAGGGAAATCTCGCCTGCGAACGATTTTACATTTGCATCTAGCGCGCGACGGCTCTGATGGTGGTTTGGCTTCGAAGTTTCGGACTACTGTTAATATACGAGTTTGGGAAGGTAGGGTAGATGAGACGACGGGTGATTTTACAATTGCACCTGCCTGCGACATGCTAAACGTACGAGAGGCCTTGCGCCAGAATCCGCAGGCGGAGTTAGAACTTACAGGGAAACAATTCTCTGCGTCTCTTGAGCAGGTTCAAGACCTCAAGATTAAAATTTCTCTACGACTGGTGTTGGGGATAGTTGACGGGGAATGGACCTTTCACGAAGACGAATCAGATTCAGCAGAGGATGAGCCATCTAGCGAGCACCCCGGTGAGAGTCGCACAGTTGCCCCAGTAAAATTGGGCAGTTCAGGGTGATGGGCTTGGTTATTGACAAAGGATTCTAGTAAAGAATACGGAAGCAGATGAGTGGCATCAAGTTGGCCGTTTGGGGGGGTACGGTATGGGGATATGGCCCTTATGCTTTCTGTGTAGCATTTCCCATCGCGTCACTGCTATAATTGATGCGAAAATTTCATACCTTACCTAGGTGGGTATGGTTTTCATTATTATCCCAGGTTCTCACCGAGCAGTGAAGAAGACTCATTTTTATAGGTAATTACCTACTTATATACATGAGTTACGAAGCATGATAATAGAAACGAATGCCTAGTAACCTAAGTAGTTCGCTTCGGACTAATTTTAACACTGTAAATATGAGCATCTTACTACGATTTCCAGTAGTTAGTTTGGTGATTTTATTGATTCATAGACTTTACCCAAGATCTCAATTAGGAGGATGAAGTGTATTAATAAAATTGTACATATATTTAGTGATGTACCTACTAATAGGCATTCACGTATTTTTGAACAAGAAGCTTCAATTATCCTCGCAAACCTATGTGTTTTGGGGAGAATTTTACCACTGAGGCAACCAAATTTCTATGGGATTATTGTATTGGTCCCCTAGCGCCTTGTATCGTTTGGATGGGTGGGCGACGAAATTTTGGAATGTTATAATTAGCATGCTAAAAGGGGGGTACCAATTTAGTGCCGCGCGTGTGATACGAATCCAAATCTCAGAATTCGACCGAGGCAGATCAGGTTCAGAAACATCGATTGTTTTCTGGAGTGATAGTTATCATTTATCATACACTCTCACGTGTTGAACCGTTAAAACCGTATCCGTTAAAGAGTGTTAGACCTTTTTATTCCTGCATGTTTTGAGGAATCATTAAGAAGCGCGAGTCTCGTACACGTGTGTGTAGGTACCTAGGTAGGTAGGGATAAATAATGCCTAGTCACTTACATTTAACTTTCTAAAATCGTGATGATTATATGGGACATCTGTGATGAGCTCTCGAGATTCTTAAACGGTTTAATTGTGAGATGGAAATATTATACCAATCAATATTGTCGGCTCCTACTGTAAGGTGATGTAATGTGTTCGTATAATTAATACATGCATGTCAGATGGAAGGTAAGAACAATCAATCAATATCACCTAGATCTACATCGTGTCTAGGTACCTGGGTAGCGCTAAGATAGGCCAAGGGCGGCTGAGGTCAAAGGCGGGAAAGGTGGGGATTTGGGTTTTGCGTGGCCTGCTTGGGAACCTTGGAACCTTGGAAGGATATTTTGGTACCTATCTAGGTACCTAAGGTATGGGAGCATGTTTCAGATTCGGAATTCTTGCAACACGCCTTTCCATAAAGGAGGTGGATCCGACAAGTTCGGTATATTAAATCTGACCATTGAAACTTACCAGATTGTTTCGATACAACTTTTTCTTCATGATATCAAAGCCCTTTCCACCTCATCTAGGCATCTGTATAAAGGTATTAATACGTAAGTGGTTTGTTTAAGCGAAGGATTCAAGTTAAATTGTTTACCTACCTAGTCATCGAGGGCTGCCTCTTTTCTCTTACGTGGCTACCTGTCAATACCTAGGTGCCGAAAAGGGATGTCATTGACGAAATCAGTCTTATTATCACATATTCCGAATTACAATGGATTATGAGCTATCAAGTCTTAAACTGTTTCAATACTTTATTCTGAAAAAAGTGGTGGTGAGTCAAATAGACGTTGGTGTTAGTTTATGGGCTGTAACGCATCAACTAATTGAATTCTGTTGAAGTCATAACCCGAATAATATTGTTTCTCTTATGTACACATACTCGTGTAAAAGCTACTGCCTTGTGAGTCGATCCTACCCCCCTTAAGGTTAGGAAGCAGGCAAGTGCTTTCCCAAATTAATAATTAGATGTATCTGTAGCTTACTTTATGTGGGCAATGTAGACAATACAGATGAGGTATAGTATGTACGCTTAACCCCTGAGACTTAGCGTATTTTCCCAGTCGTAGACTCGTCAGGTACGACACCACCAGCGCTACTATACGTTGGTACCTAGTGTAATGTACCTATGGGATTATGTGGATACCCCATCAATCCCATCCATCCATCCCCTGTCGGCACTGCACTGCCAGGTCCAGTCCCAGACTCTCTTCATCAATTCGTCAAATCAATTTCAATCTTGAATATTCAATTCAATTCACGAATCCTTTCCCTTGGGAATCTTGAAGTTGGATCTTTGGGTCGATCAGTCTTTTTTCTTCATTCTTCATTCTTCATTACTTCTAATTCACTGGTAGAGGGTATCGTCACCAAAAATTCCAAGTTACATTACCATTATTTGTACAATATTTATTCCCATGAACTACCATTGCTCCGTTGCTCCCTAAGTACCCTTAATCAGCTCTAGTCTGGCGCCTCCTGTCGCAGGTTCTCAAATCTGCCCTATTTCACCTTGCTAATCCCTCCTGCGATCAGTCTGATACACTGATATTTGATACATATAACATTCCACAGCGCACGACTCAGCCTGTCCTGCGGCAGAGAGCGAATCAGGATATTCCCCGAATCGGGTGTTTGACTGGAGGGCAATAAGGGGAACACATACCATCCATAATGCGCCGAAAGCCAGTTCCCAACCCGCTGTCCCTAGTTGGCGATTCGGATTCCTTGGGCGAACAATCCGCTGCCAATCCTAACGCCCTTACCTCTCCCGATTCCAGCGTCTTGGGAGTAGACAGACCAAGCCCGCGCCCTACCCCTACTCCTACACATGGTAGCGAACCTATTCTTCGAATCACCTCGCCGACGTCTTCAAGGTCTCCCAAGTCACCGCGTTCCCCCTTTGGCAAACTCAGCGCGAGCACGAGCACGACCGGGAATCCCCAGGCGCAACAATACCAGGCCTACCCTGCCGATGCACACCACCCGCTGCAGTCTCCCGACGACGTGCATGTTGCCCAACATCGTCGACACCAATCCCCCCATCGTTACGACCCGGGATATCCGCCTCTGACTCCCCTACCGTCGTCCAAGACCGCGCCCATCGCCACAGAAACATCCTCTCATCCCGAGAGCGAAAAACATTCACGAAGTGGTAGTCGCTTCTTTGGCTTCGGTAAGACGTCTAGGTCTAACAACCAGCTACATCACGCCCATACCGGCAGTACGAACGCTAGCGACGCTATGTCTCGTGGCACAGACAATACCGTTATGTCAGATAGGGGATCCAGTAAAGCTTCTAAGAATTCAGGTACGTCAAGTCGGAAGTCAAAGAAACCGTTGTTACGTATTACATCAGGTTCGTGACGCTAATTCTTTGTTGGATTCTGATTAGACCTATGTGCCGACCCCTCAAACCAAAAGTCAACGACCTCTTTACCGTCTAGGTCCGAAGTTTCATTGGCGTCGACAAGCGAGCAGGAAACAAGTTCAACGAAAAAGAACAAACCGAAACCTTTCACAATATTAGGACGTAACAGGTCCTTGAAGGATAGAGATGGCCATAGCCCAAAGGAGTCAATTACAATAAAGCTGAGCGAACCTGAACGAGATAATTCGCTGGCAAATATGCAACCTTTGAGGACGGCACCTATGAACACCGATGGCTACGATAGGTCTTTCAGGAATATGATGAATTCGGCTGTTCGGAACCATTCCGCTGACCGAGCACCACTTCCTCGAGAAATGCCGGGAAACAAAGAGCACCGGCATGATAAAGACCATTATAGGGGCCACCCTCCCCCGAAGGACAACAATAGTTCTACATTTTTTAATGGTCTGAAAAGCTCTGGTAGCCGTGCGGCCGACATGATTAGCAAAGGATTATTCGGAAGGGGTGCTCGTAGTGCTAGCACATCTGATAAGGACATGGGAGTTGACGACGAGCACTATGTCTTGAAAGTCATTAATCTACCATTAGTCGAACAGACTCGATTGACGAGGTTATCTAAACGACTAGAAGATTCGCGAGATAAAACAGAATTTTGGATGCCCGCTTTCCCGTGGCGAGTAATTGATTATCTCAATCTCAAGGGGACGGACGTTGAAGGTCTCTACCGTGTGCCTGGGAGTGGTCCTCAAATCAAGAAATGGCAGAGGAAATTTGATGAAGGTACGTTTTAAGTCCCTTGTTGTTGACATCATCGTTTGCTAACAGTGCGAAGAATATGATGTCGATCTATTCGCCCAGGATGATCTTTACGACATTAATATCATTGGTTCAATGTTTAAGGCATGGCTCCGCGAACTTCCCGACGAGCTTTTCCCGAAGGAAGCTCAGGAACGAATCTCCCGAGAGTGTGCCGGCTCAGAAGAAGTACCACAACTGTTGATCGAAGAACTCTCCAACCTGTCGCCGTTCAACTACTATCTCCTTTTTGCTATTACATGCCACCTCAGCTTGCTTCTCGCACATTCCGACAAGAACAAGATGGATTTCCGCAATCTTTGCATATGTTTCCAACCATGCATGAAAATCGATGCGTTCTGTTTTAAATTTCTTGTGTGTGACTGGAGATCGTGCTGGCAAGGATGTAGGAATGAGGCCAAGTACATCGAAGAGGAATACCAATTGTTTCGACAACCCTTACCCCGTGGGTTGAGTCCTGCGGATTCTCGTAGCCAAAACGGACGCGACACTCCCGACGATCGGAATCTGTCTTCGTCGGATAGCAGTAAAATATCAGCGCCGCCTACCGAACCGAATAGCAAGCTAAGAAAAAAGGCGCTGGGAGTACATCAGTCAAATGGGAACATGACATCAAACTACCCGACTACGTCTAATTCGTTAACCGTGAATGGCGAACAAGAAACGCCTCGGCGATCTGGAGAGCGAGAACTCAGGCCGCTATCACCCATCAAACCCCTTTCCCCAATGAATTTCTCTTAGCCGGAGGATTTACATGATGGCCTACACAACTGGAGAATGAGGCTGGGGTTTTGATCCTAATCTGATGATACCTTTTTCTTTTTCTTTTTTTGTCTTAATAATACCCCCAGGAGATGAATGTGGTGCATATGATGGCATATGGCCTGGCGGACCTTTTTAACGATATTACGCTCCGTTTACGATTTCCCCCTTTCTTTCTTATCGTACCTTAGCGCTTGACGTTTCATCCTCTTACTTCGACGTTGCCTCGTGTGGATCAATATTTGATTTGCGATATCGTCTAATTCACTTCGACGGGATGCTTGGATATTGGAGAGGGGAAGAGTCTGGTGGGGTGACCTCTATTATAACACAACATTAAAGTCATGGCCTACTTTTTTGCTTACGTTTCTTTCGCGATCAAGTTGGCCTTCTCAAAATACCCTTGATGCTACGGCATTGATACGAGGATGGCGGTGGTTTTGTAGCGACACATCACTTCCTATTCTCAGCGTCCTCGATACTTGAATAACGAATTTCTACTTCTGGTTATTGGGTGGAAGCTACGGGAGTGTAAGAGATGGGGCAAGGCCAAGAGTGAAGTATGTCGTAGCGATGGAGTTTGAAAAATAGGGAACGAGAAAAGAATCTGTACCATATACATGGGAGGAGGTTGCGCAATACCAAATATAAAATATATGCCTAGTTTACGAATTCCATTGCCTATGTGCCAAGAACGCCCGACTCCTGTGTCATCTAATGTGACTCGTAATGTGTTGGGTATCAACGTAGTGTCCCTAAACTTTTCCGCCGAAGCAACAGTGCCTTGTGCTTTTCAGTTTTTCCTTTTTTTCTTCCGAAGGTAATCATGCTTTTCCTCGCTTCTTCCCACCTTTACCTTTACTATCCCTCTCCTCCTGCTCCTTCTTCTCATCTACCTCGACAAGCCAATCTTGCTGCACCATACCCTCTTCCCTCCGCTTCCGCGCACCGCCCTTGTCATAGCCCCACGTACGCTCCCATTCCCCGGTCTCCTCGTTGTACTTTTGCGCCTTGGCGCGGCGTTGTTCGCGCGTCTTCGGCTTTATACCCTTGCGCGCGGCGAATTGCTCCCATTTCGTCGGTTCCTTGGGAGGGGGTAGGGGTTTCTCGCGGGGTAAGGGGGTGCTGGGGGGTGGGAGGGAGAGGAGAACGCCGGAGGTTGTGGTGCTGAGGGGGAGCGTGGAGAGGAGTTGGTTTATTAGGGCTTGTGCGCCGTCCCGGGCTGTGGCTGATAGTTGCGATTCTAGGTCTGAAGAGGAGGGGTTGGTGGGTGAGAGAGGGTTGGGGTCGTTGGCTAGGAGGAGGCCGAGGTCGAAGGTGTAGGGTGTGGGCTTGGTGACGGTGATGTCGAGCTTGGGCTTGGATGGCGTGGCCATTTTGGATGTGGTGGTTTTTAGTAAACCCTGTGAGAATTGAAGAATATTGCTGTTTTTATAGGATTTGGTGGTTCGGAATGAATTGATTGTCGTCGAAGTTGTGAAGTTTTATGTTGTATGGTCGAGATGTTAAGCGGGATGGATTGTTAAGACCAAAGAAAAAGTTCTATGGATCTCTAGGAATCCCAAGAATTTTTGGATGGACCCCTGTAATTACGGGGCTATCAGTTTATCGATAGCGGATCGGGGAGGGTTTATCCGCTGTTTTATAGCGGGCCACGGACATCGGAGCAGGGGACCGATATGCAACCTATCAGAGGCCTAAGAATTAATTTTCGCGATTTTGAACGCCGGAGCTATCAAGATATTCGAATTCCTTCAACCACCAAGAATCGACTTCAATTCCTACCAGCAATGGCGAGCGCAAATTGCTGGAGGTGCCTATCACGGCCCTCACAGCGATTGCTTATGCCCACATCCTTGTTAACACCGATATCGATGATACCGACGGCAGCGTTCACGACTTCGGCGCCGAGCAATGCCCAGAAGATTATGGAACCGGGAATGTCTAGGCATGTTCGTGCTGGAAAAAGGTTGACATTAGGAAAGAAAAAGAAGAGACAAGCCGATAGGACTAAGCCGCCCGGAACAGGCGAACGAAAAGCGTTTCGAAAACGAATTCAGCTCAGTAACGACAATGCGCTGGCAGTGGAGGGTTTAGACGAACTTACAGGCGAAAATATCGTAGACCCTAGTTCTATAGGCCAGGTGGTCAGTCTTCCAGCGACGGCAGTGGACCAATTGAGGGCTAGTGAGGCCTTCAAACCGACACAGAATTGGGGTCTGTTTCGGTCGCCACACATATTGATTAGGCAGGAAACAGTCGATCTAGCGAAGCAACTCACGGATGCTGTCGGCAAGAAGGAGACGCTGAGACTGGTTATCACTGGAGATAGGGTCGCAGGAAAGAGTATGTTGGCTCTTCAGGCCCTAGCAACTGGATTCTTGAACAATTGGATTGTGATAAATATTCCAGAAGGTATGTGAATACATCACGAGGTCCTCTATTTGGGTACAGCAAGAGATTGACTATCGATTTATAGCACAAGAATTAACAACCGCCGCAACCGAATACTCTCAAATACCCAACTCGGAGCAATTCTCTCAACCCATGTACATCATCAAGCTCTTCCAATCCATATTCAAATCCAACCAACGGATCCTATCACAATGCAGAGTTGAGCTAGACCACATACACCTTCCCATCGCCATAAACCGCGGTGCGACTCTCGCCGCCCTCGCCAACGCCACAAAGGAGCCCGAGTTCGCCTGGCCCGTATTCCAGGCCCTCTGGAAGGAACTACTTCTCCCAGGTCGGCCTCCTATCATGTTTGCGCTCGACGGTCTCAGCCACATTATGCGCATTAGCGACTACCGCAACCCCGCTTTCCAGCTCATTCACAGCCACGACCTGAGTCTGGTCCGCCTATTCACCGATGCTCTCGGCGGCAAGACGAAGTTTGTAAACGGTGCGGCTATCCTCGGTGTAACCTCCAAGGGCAACTCGCCTATCATACCATCTATGGAGAAAGCACTCGAACAAGCCGCCGCAGCCCAAGCCGGCCAACCAATTCCACCTCGCGACCCCTTTTTCGCCAAGTACGATGAGCGCGTATTTGAATCGCTAAAAGGCGTCAAACTCCTAAACGTCTGCGGTGTGTCTAAGGCAGAAGCTCGCTCGCTTATGGAATACTGGGCTGCGAGCGGTGTGCTACGTATGCGCGTTGATGAGAAGAATGTCAGTGAGAAGTGGACATTGGCGGGTAACGGTGTACTCGGCGAGATGGAACGGGCTTCGCTGTATGATATTCGGGCTACTGTGTAAATCTCATCAAAAATTTGCGTGGGAGCACCCGGAGTGACGAATAAAAGAGATGAAGGAGCTTGTAAACTTGTATAAAAAGGCCTACTTATATACTAAGTGAAATATATATGAAACGAAGTCTACAAATTTTATCAACGCCAGAGGTAATAACCGGTTCTAATCTGATAATTGCGCAGTTGAATCTTCATCTTCTCGTACTACACTAAGACTTAAGCAACATACCTCAGTATACGTGGCTAAAACCGTCAATTACTTCAAAAAGGTCTCCTAAATCCAGGTAATTGGTGTTTAAACTCATTCATGGTTTCATTAATGGACTATTCCTCATTTCGACACAAATCAAGCATGTGTCTGGATGGATAAACTAGTCGGCTCGACTTAAAAAAAAAAAAAAGTTTCGCCCTTAATCCCAAATCCATAACGCCATACGTATCTCTTCAGGTCTCATCCTCATCTCTCCGCATCATGAAGCTTCGTTCCTTGTTTACTTCTATATCGGCATAACCAATTATTGGTCATCATCCTCTTCCCCAGCGCCATCCGTCGCCGTGATAAACACCAACCTACTACCATTGCCAGCAGTTTGCCAAACCTGTTACACCGTATTAGTAATCCATACCTTTTGCTTACTAAAAAGGGAAATTCATAAAAACTCACATCAAGATGCGTGTACTCATCCAAAGCATTCAACCACTGATCCTGAGTAAATCCCTTCGCCAGCACACGTTCCCTGACTTTACGCATGCTCATCTCAATCGTACCCGCATCATCCTCGTCTTCATCAGCTCTGCAAGCGCCGCTATCAGCTAATGCTTTGACCAAGTTGTAAATGCGACTAGCAGCGTTGAGAGTTCTCCTTCTACCGGCACCTCCATGCGCCGCCAAGCTCTCCTTGCTAGCTTCGATGAGGCGGAGGGCCTCGTCGACGTCGTCGCGCTTGACTTCGGTGTCGAAACGCAGACGGGCTAGTGCCTGCGCAAGACGTACTACACCGAGGAGTGTTCGTGGTGTTGTGTGGCTAAATTGCTTGTTCTTCTTTTCCGCGCGGCGTTGTGCGTCTCGTAGTCGTACATATGTCTTGGTCAAGTACTCCGTTACAGTTTCAGGGACTGTGGGTCGATATGTACGGGCTTGTGCTACGTATGCTCGCACTTCGTGAGGAGTAAAGACAATGTTCGGCTGTTGCACTGCGTCATCATCGCCGTCCGCGCTGTTGTTAGTTGGGTAAAGGTCAGGATGCTTGCTGTGCATATGCACGTATGCAACGTGCTTAGCTAGTTGGGCATCACTCTCGCGAGTAGGTGTGTCTAGTAGTAAGAATAGTACGTCGAAACGAGAGAGTAAAGCTGCCGGTAGGTTGATATTCTCGACGGGCGATATGCGTGGGTTGTAGCGTCCGTAAATAGGGTTAGCAGCTGCTAGAATCGAAGTTCTAGCATTTAATGTAGTTGAGATACCGGCTTTAGAAATAGAGATAGTCTGTTGTTCCATCACTTCGTGGATAGCTGTTCGATCGTTTTCGTCCATCTTGTCGAATTCATCGATACAGCAGATACCGTTGTCGGCTAGAACCAATGCACCACCCTCGAGAACCATCTCATCCGTTACGGGATCACGCATAACAGCTGCGGTGAGACCAACACCACTTGACCCACGACCGGATGTATAAACACCGCGAGGAGCGACTTTTGAGATGTACTTTAGCAACTGAGATTTGGCAACACCGGGATCACCCATCAAGCAGATGTTGATATCGCCACGAATTCGCATTCCATCGCCCATGGTCTTTGTGACACCACCGACAAGGAGTAGTAGTAGGGCTTTCTTGACGTCAAGATGGCCGAAAATTTCAGGGGCAATAGACTTCGCCAGCATCTCGTATACTGTACCTGACTGGCTAACTGAGTTAATACGTCGTAATAACTTATCATCGATGATCATCTCTTCATATGCCTTTTTATGTTGGACAATGTGGTGTGCTTCGAGGTATGTGTCAGTTAAGAGTCCAGCTCGCATAGCCTGAAAGCCCGTGTACGGTGTAGGTAGGAAAATCCCTGAGATATCAACAATATCACCAGGGTTGATCTGGCGGACCGCGCTACCATAGCACATAACCGTAAGGGTTCGAGGAATCTGACCGATGGGAACCTGTTCTGCCAATTCTTGAACCTTGACCTCCTGGAAAGGTAGGAACTTAGATGCGCGAGAAGACTGGAAAAGTTGACCTTTCGATTGGTTCTCCTTGCATTCTTGCGACGGGCAGCTAGTGAGAGGTGCATATTGCTTGTCGTTGACAGGTTGGAAAATTTCGCATCCACAACGGTCGCAGGTATATGCGCCAACTTGTACGATGGGCTTGACGTCTGAGACTCTGGTCGCGATACCACGGATAGTAATAAGGTGGCCTAAGTGCTCTCCTCGTACTTGTCGTACAGCGAGGGCTTTCACCGGCTTTTCATTGGTTGATGTTCTTGGCTTGAAAACAAGCGTATACCGCCTTGTAAGCTGAGCGGGAAACGTGGACTCAAGGAGATCCGGATTATTGGTGTTAGCTGCCGCTTCAGCGAGATCGCGGTTTCGAGCTTGTCTCTTTTCCATTATCACATCTAGAACGTCGTCCTTAAATCTAGATGAATGTTAGCGAATTTGAGATAAAAAAAGGAGCTGTTCGGCCGTACGTGATGCCGTTTGCCGGCGTAGGCAATTTGCTATCGATAGCTCTAGAAAAGATCTCGACATAATGCTTTGTGTTAGCCTCGATAGAGTCGACCAGCTTCAATCCCTCATTTGTATCACTTTCCCACTACCCTGTCATTAGTCTCATCTTTCCTAATATTGGACCGAAAATCCAATCTTACTTGGGCAAGGTCATCCAATTCTATTAACACCTCATCGATTGATCGATCCGCAAGCTTTTGTAATATGTCAGCATATTTGTGCTTTGGCGACTTTGCCGCAGCCTTCTCTCTTCGGCGCCGTTCGTGTTCTTCGTCATCCTGGTCCATAAAATCGTATTCGTCACTTAAGTCATCTTCGTCAATGTTGATCTGGCCGATGGCATGGGTCAACGTTTGCTCCGGCGAAGTCTTGAATTTTTCGAGGAAATTCTGAAAGGCGGCTGTATGCGAAATACTCCATTAGTTCGGACATAGCAGAAAAAGCAAATCAGAGCTGGCTGACCTTGTTGTGTCTCGTAATCGACTATATTCCTATATTGAAGGAGCGCCATTGTCAATTAACAATTAGCTTAATTACGAGGTATCTTGGTGAATTGAGGAGGGGAATATCGAAGAGTTGCGACAGAATTGAGAAAGTTGTAAAGGAAATTGTGCCACAGTTTGAATCCGTAACGGATTGAAGCGGTGGAACGCGGAGTATGGAGGCTGGAAACGCCGACAGGGGGGGCAGAGGGGCTGCCGAAAAAACACGCGTTTACGCGAATTTTCGCGTGGCTACCAGCCCCAGTCATTAAACTATTTAGTGGACCCAAGCCACTTGAAGCTTGCAGGGCCATTCCCCGCTTGTAAAGTACATACCCACTCCCATTGCGACGGCGATTGTACCTGTTCCAGCTCTTACCTTTACCGATCAAATTGTCAATTATGGAATTGTATGCCTCGGTCCACGGCACATGCTAAAAACAAGACCAACCCGTCTTACGAACACCTGGCTTGTTAATGGTCCAAAATCACCAATAGCTTCACGAAGACAAACATTCTTCGAAGGAGCTGCCAATGGTTTTGGTGCGGCTTTTTCTATATGATATAGCCCAAAATGGCTCCATCTCGAAAGAACCCGCAGTCAACTGCTGAGATCTCTCTTGTACACCTTAAGAATTGTCTTGTAAATCTTCCCACCTCTTTAGTCAATTTACTTGTAACTATTAATACGGTAAGCTTGTTCACTCCCGTCCCGCGATTTGACCTTCAATTCATGTGCTAACTAATATTTTAGCCCGCTCAAAATGTCATCGTCGAACTGAATTACCGCCTTCCCTCGCCCACGAACGGTTCTTCCCAAACCAACGGCTCATCCCCCTCCGAGCGTTCGATATATGTCGGATGGACTGGAATGCCCAGCAAGAGAAAGATTGCACCCATTGTAGATCGTGATGGTATAAGTGGTACACGTGGCAGTGGTAAAGACCAAGAGGTTCCGTCTGTCGAGATAGACGCCACCTTAGCTGCGACTCTTGGAGTGCCAGACGGCCAAAAGGTTATGGCCATAATACACGTCGATCCACCTTTAGCGCATACAGTCAATATCGAACCTCTAACGCCGGAGGACTGGGAGATTATCGAATTGCATGCGACGTTCTTGGAGTTAAATCTGTTGTCGCAAATTCGCGCCTTGCCGAATCCAGCATATACGGCTCCGCAGGGCCAGAGTGCTAGCCCACATCCGCTTACACTTCACCTTACGCCGACGTCCACGGCTAATATAAAGATCCTCTCCCTCGATCCGGCTCCTTCGGCCGATACCCCATTCGTGAAAATCGCACCCGACGCCGAAGTTATAGTTGCACCTAAGACCCGCTCCAAACCATCTAAAAGCTCTCGCGAGGACCGTAGTGTGGGAGGTACATCCAGAAAGAGTGGGAAGAGCTCGGCTAGTACAGTCCGAAGGAAGAGTACGCGGGAAGAAAAGAAGCCGACGTTGTTTTTAAGAGGGGTAGATCGTAAATTTTGCGACGAGTGGTTTGACGAGGAATCGGCTCAGGAAGATTTGAGTATATGGGTCGACCGCGACCTTCTTCAATCCAAGGATTTTCGAGGGGTGACATGGGTTGCTGTTAACATTGTGAAACCAGCCGGGCTTCAACCCCCACTTGACCCTCAGAAACAACAAGAAAATGCAGCGAATGGGGAAACTGTCAAGGCTACCGAGAAAGTTATTGCTCAATTGCGGCCATGGGATGATCCGCCTACCACTCAAACAGCGGCTCTTTCTACACCGTTGTGTGCGGTGCTTGGTTATTCGGGAATTGTTGGAGGAATCGCAAAAATCGAACCGGCCCCGCCGCCGTTATCGCGCAGCGCAGTGCAGAAATTGAAAGTATCCCCATTTTCTACTGAAAGTCCAAAGTCTTCGGATGGTTTGAAATTCGGAGGTGAATCAAAAGCGGAGAAAGAAGAATTGTCAAAGAGGATATCACATATTTACGGCGGGAAGGGCAAAGTGAATGGCCTTCTGCGTGGACCATTGACTGATGGGATGATGCTACCAGTATACGACAGTCTCGAATTATCTCAAGGTTGGGAAGGTGGTATCGCCAAATTAGAAGCGACAAACGCGGATTCCAAAGACCAATTGATTTGGCATCTTGGGTCCGAAAAGCCCGTCCCGATCGAAATACAAACGCCCGTTTCTCCCCCAACATGGTCCACAGGAAGCGACATAGGCGAATCAGCTCCTCCAAGTGACTCGGTTCTAGTTGGAATCGATTCCCTACTAACTGATTTGAAATCCCATCTCTCGCACATGTCGTCAGTCCTCCTGACCGGTGCTCTGGGAGCCGGTAAAACAGCTGTCGTTCAATCCTTAGCGGAGACCCTACGAGGGGAATTTTTATTCCACACGACTTATTTCCCATGCCGAAAGCTTGTTAACGACGAGAGTAGGATCTCTACCATAAAAGAAACATTAAATAGAGTATTCATGAACGCAAGTTGGGGCGCGAGACTTAGCGGAAAAGCAATGGTGATACTCGACGATCTAGATAAGCTATGTCCGGTTGAAACGGAGTTACAAGTCGGAAACGACAATAGCCGAAGCCGGCAGGTTAGCGAAACAATAAGCTCTATTGTACGTCAATATTGCGGACATGATAGGGGAGTCGTTCTTCTCGCGACTGCTCAGGGGAAGGAATCGCTGAATAATGTGATTATTGGTGGCCATGTTGTTCGGGAAATTGTCGACTTGAAAGCCCCTGACAAAGAAGCACGGAGAAGAGTCTTAGAAACAGTCGTCAAGCAGCAAACTTTGTCCCCCGACGCTATGCAGGCTCCTGGGCCATATAGTAGTCGACCGACTACTGCTAACGGCAGCGTAGGTGGTGACGACTCTGGTGCATGGATGGATGGAGCGGACCAACGCAGCCGCGGCAACTCGGTTTCCACGACCGGAAAAGTAGATGGCTTCCTATTAGATCCAGAACTTGACTTTTTGGATCTTGCCGGAGAAACCGACGGTTATATGCCAGGAGATTTGATACTCCTAGTCTCCCGAGCCCGTAATGAGGCCTTAATACGATCTGTTAGCGAGGAGTCGTCGAAGGATCTATTGGATATCATTCAGCTTAACCGCGGCGATTTCGATAATGCTCTAAAAGGCTTCACCCCAGCATCACTGCGGAATGTTCCGCTACAAACCTCCACGACGACATTCGACTCAATCGGTGGCCTCAAAGAGACACGCCAAATTCTACTCGAAACTTTGCAATATCCTACAAAATATGCGCCGATTTTCGCACAATGCCCATTACGGCTTCGTTCCGGATTGCTTCTGTATGGTTTCCCTGGTTGCGGCAAAACGCTTCTAGCGAGCGCGGTGGCTGGCGAGTGTGGGTTGAACTTCATATCGGTAAAAGGACCCGAGATTCTGAACAAGTACATTGGTGCTAGCGAGAAAAGCGTTCGTGATCTATTCGAGCGCGCCTCAGCTGCAAAGCCATGCGTCCTTTTCTTCGATGAATTCGATTCCATTGCACCAAAGCGTGGACATGACTCGACAGGTGTTACGGACCGAGTAGTCAACCAGCTTTTGACGCAGATGGACGGTGCGGAAGGTTTGTCTGGAGTTTATGTTTTAGCTGCGACTTCTCGACCGGACTTAATCGACCCCGCGTTACTTCGTCCTGGACGATTGGACAAGAGCTTGCTGTGTGGTTTCCCCAATTTGGACGATCGTATCGACATCCTACAAGCTTTAGGTAGAAAAGTTAAGCTTAACGACGAGATACTTTCTTCGGAAGAGGGTATGTTTGAGTTGGCAAAACGAACCGAAGGCTATTCCGGCGCCGATTTGCAGGCGCTGATGTCAAATGCTCAGTTGGAGGCTATTCACGACGTACTCAGCGACATCGAGCTGCAACCCTCAGGCGATAAGCGTGGTTCCGGGAATTCCCGATCGAAAGAGACTAATATTCGAAGTCGGAATTTCCTGCAGTTTCGTTATGGCGTTGAGGCTGCCTTGGCCGAGACGGAGGAAAGGGCGAAGAAGGGATTCAACAGATCATCCCAACTTGCCGAGAATGCCGCCATTGCAGCCAAGCTTGCCGAAATTAAAGCGGCAAGAAAACAATCAAAACTAGTCCAAAAAGGACCCAACCATGCAGCAAGTGATAAAAATGAAAAAGGAAAAGAAGGAAAAGATACCGAAGTCCTAATTGGTTGGAAACATATGATGAAGGCATTGGAATCTACCCGGGCTAGTATCAGTCCCCAGGAGAGAAATAGGTTAGAACGAATCTACCATGAATTCGTAGTCGGACGGAGTGGTGAGATGCGTGATGGTCAAGGTAGTATGGAGATAGGTGGGCGAAGCAGCCTTATGTAAATGAGTTCCTAAGATTTTAGGAGTCCTAGGCCAAAATTCTAATATAATATTGCCTGATCTACAAGACAATGTGGATATCAGAAACCTCTCATCAATCGCCCCAATTTTTCGGATGGTCATGTATTAGGCCCACATCTTAATCCACCCAAATGCATAGACAGACATTACAATTGCATTACAACCTTGAAAATTCCAATGGGTTTGGTTTAGAAGGCGTTCACAATACTAATCGCATGCCGACGAGGCTGAGCAGCCTTGTACAACTGTGAAGTCAGCCACGATTGTTCTCATTGGTTAATTTCTTGGTTTTATTCCTTGATTGGACTAGTGCGCTCCCTGCACTGGCGTGGGTCATTGTCTTTATTGGAGGTACAACTCAGAATAAGTCTGTCAACCCCATTTCATCCTCGCCAACTACTTCGAAACGCAAACATCGTGGAGGCCCAGGAACACCAACCACCAAGCCGTATAAATAAATAAGGTATCATATGAAATCGAAAGGAGATAGTAAAGTAGCTCCTAGTTTCTCCGGAATTATTGGTCACCGATAGCGCTGGGCATTGAGCTCTCTATGACAAGAGGCACAGGGCTGTGTTGCGGTCTTGATACATATCAGACTGGCAGCACAAGGTAACTCTGGGATACGTCCCTTACAATCTGCTCTGGATTAAATTATCGGGTTTACTGATTTCAATACCAATCATTTGTAAGTATGTTTTCTATCTATTCTATTTCTTTTTTCTTTCTTTACCTCTTCGCCATCAATCCCTCATCTTGGCTGTTCATCGCCAACCCACCGCCACTATGGCTTCCCCTTTGCCATCGCCCATCTCATCATCGTCTCGGCGACCATCCGGGAGGCATTCCATGGATTCCCCCATTGGACCGATGAACATGAATCTCTTTCTTGATGAACCTCGCTCCCCAGCATGGCAATCCAATATTCCCTTGGGCCAGAACCCTGGTCTTCGTGGTGGCCCCTACGTTGCTGCTTTCATTGATAACCCCCCTTGCGAGATCCCAATGCGCGATAGATCACCAGCTAAAAGGCGAGTCACGATTAAACCGGGTCTTAATTACAATACGATTGTGTTTTTTTTTTGTTTTTTTTTTTCTCTCTCGTCGTGTTCGCTACCATTTCACACTTCCAACTAGATAAGTATCGTCTGCTAACTAATTATTACAGCCTTCCACCTCAGCCTGATTCAACATGGCAACTTTGCAAGTTTTTGGCGGCGGACCTGCGCCAACGCGCCAAAAAGCTGTCGAAGACGCGCGGAAAATGGAAGAAGCTGTTCAAGAAGAATGTGCCAAGTCAGGAAAACCTGCCCCCCAGTACCGCCTCACCGAACTCATCGGCAAAGGAAGCTTTGGTCGCGTCTACAAAGCCAACGATTTAAGGACCGCCAACGTGGTAGCCGTCAAGATCATAGATGTCGACGAGAGTGATACCCTCAACCCGAAACTCGCGGATACTTATAGCGAGATTCTCAAGGAAATCAACGCATTACATCGATTGAGTCAGTCTGGCGCCAAAAATATTAATCACGTTATCGAGGCCCTACCGGTGGGCAAGGCGATGTGGATGGTTACAGAATATTGTGCTGGAGGAAGTGTTGCTACGTTAATGAAACCCACTGCACCTGGTGGACTACAGGAGAAATGGATAATCCCGATATTGCGAGAAGTCGCCGTAGCAATTTACTGGGTTCATAAGGAGGGAATTATACATCGCGATATTAAATGTGCTAATGTGCTAGTTACCGAGACCGGTGCGGTGCAACTTTGCGATTTTGGTGTGGCTGGTATGATGGAAACCAAGTTGGACAAGCGATCAACGTTCATCGGAACACCACATTGGATGGCTCCGGAACTCTTTGACCAGAACGCCCATTATGGAACGGAAGTTGATATATGGGCTTTTGGATCCATGGTATATGAGATTGCATCCGGGTTACCGCCAAATGTTAGGGCAAACGTAGGCCTCCCCCAGCTGGGAGATTATCTTCGGGAACATCTACCGCGTCTTGATGGTGATCAATATTCCGATGAATTAAAAAGCCTCGTCGCCTTCTGCCTGGAAGAAAACCCGGCGAGACGTCCCTCCATTGAATTGGTCCAGCAACATCCCTACATTTCTAATACTAGCTCTAGATACCCTACTTCGTCTCTCGCAAATCTTGTTAAGGCATTCAAGCTCTGGGAAGAGCGAGGTGGAAGCAGAAAATCTCTTTTCGCAGCTGGAGGGGCTCAGGCACCTACCGATTTGGGATCAACATCGCTAGCAACGGATGAATGGAATTTCTCTACGACTCTCGCCTTTGATGAACAGCTCCACGATGCTTCAGACGGTAGATCCGATGCTGAGGCAGTTCGAGATGTTTATGGCTCTGCTGTTGATTTCCCTAGCACATTCGGTGAAGATACTGCACGACCAAAGGCGTTAGGAAAAGGTCGACGACGACCCCCACCACAAGCCTTAGCCGCGACCAAGGTCAAAGCACCTCTTGAAAAGGTCTTTGATCCTAACACAATATCAAATTACGATGAGAATTCTCGCATGTACTATGGACGCCCACCACCACCTACAGTGTCAGATCCACCTATGACCAACGAACATACGGCATCCGATCTTCCGCTCCGTAACGATTCACTCCATGCGACGCTCCGCGAATCTTTAATTGACCTTGATGCTTCACTTGGTGGTGCTGATATCTCGAATTTCGTCGACATGGGTACCATTAAGCCCGGCCCAGGTCCCCGAGCCTCGATGGATAACAATTGGTCTTTCTCATCGGCCACTGAGGCATCATCACACGATAGAGCACCTTTAAGCGATCCTGCAGATGTAGGGACTGGTCGCCATCCAGCGCCTGATTGGTCTTGGCCTACTAGTATCCCTCCCGCCTCGGCAAATCCCGAGGTATCACACTTTACATTTAACGAGGACCGTCCACTAAATAGCGGCGGCCTTGAAGGACGTCCCCGTCTCCAGCATCATCCCACCGAACCTATTGGATTACCTTCACAAGGTTATGACATGCAAGATACGCAGACATCGGCAGCCAACGACCGCATGTCCATGACTAGTCTAATCGATCTAGACATGAGTATGATGCCAGAAACCATCCAACCCCTCCCAGAACTCACACGCCCCTCAACCGCCAACTCGGACATCGCATCGGTAACCGGTTCAGATATCGGCACCCGCGAACCCTTCGAGCTCGAGCGCCATGCCTCCGTATACGCACCCCCGCACCTCTCCAGCCGCGAACCCTCAATATACGTCTCCGACGGATCTGAGTTCTCCGCACATGTCGCCCAAAAAATCGCCGAAGTAGAAGAACACGACGAAAACGGACACGTGGATCACGATATGAACACAGCGATCCCGCATAACACATACCAACAACAATATACCCAACAATACAATCTACAACAACAGCAACAATACCAACACCAGCACCAAGACAGCGAGTTCACCGTCGCTTCGTCCGAAACTTATGTAGATCGTGATGACGGCGCGTCGTACCGAGCTGGTGTTGGCGGAGGTGGAAGCTTCAGTATAAGGACTAGTTCCCTACCGCATATTCCACCTGTACCGTTTCCGGCGAATAATGTGGTTGAGGCCCGCGCTACGGCTGGCGATGTAGCTAATGAAATGCGTCGCTTGATTGGTAGTCTTGGGGATCATCTTGCGATTATTGGGGAGCAGGTTGCGGGTATGGAACCCCGGCGTGCGGCTGCGGGACGGAATAATTACGATGGTGCGGAGTAGACTGTGCGTTACTTACGTCGTCCTGGGATGGAAGGATGAGGGGAGGGAGGAGGGAGGAGGAAAAGTATACATGAGACCTGATTCGCGCTGGAGTATATCGCATGCATTGCGCTGCTATTGATTTGGTTGAGTGAGATACCACTACTTTCGTCACGAGGTATAAATGAGATTGCTATGTTAATTATTACCAAAATTGCTTGCCGTTTATGTTAATAAGAAGGTTGATACATCTACATATTCGCGAATCGCTCCTATCACCATAGTTTCAAGGACCTTCATGGCGATTCGTAAATGATCTTCTTCTTACATTCATCTACGTAAATCCTATCAAATCCCCCATCAGGACAGCTTGATACTTATCAACGGCCTCACGTAGTCTAATAAGGACACCCGCCGCCAGCATTTTCACCTCATTCTCCTCACCCCCACCTTCGCCACTTACATCGCCACCTCGTGTGTTACTAAAAACACCGTTCACCCACTCAGAACTCTCGACCACCTCCCGGCCATGTCTTTCGCAAAGTCCACGCATATCAACTTCATTCACATCTAGCAGGGCTACGAGTCCGAATAATACCGCTTGCGTGACGCTCAAATCACCAACGCACTGACCTCTTACTCCCAGGAGTAAATCCCAGAACTCAGCCGTCATTTGTGGTAGCGCAAGTGTACTAGGGCCCGCTGCGTGGAGCAGCAAAGCTAGTGTTTTGAGGTATAGTGTTAAGAGATACGGTTGGAAAAGAATGCCCCTCATTGTAGCGGATGACGAGTGCATCACTGCCTGAAAGCGTGATGTTAAAGGGAAGAAAAATGACGACGCGATAAGTGAGGCTGTAGTATTGGGTATGGCGCGAACGCGAGGTTTCGCTTTGCTCTTCGCGGAGTTAGAAGCTGGTGAATTTAGTCGCGATGTAAATGATGACAGTTTCAGAGCGTCTGGCCCGGTCGCTACATCAGCTGCCTCTGCGGCAAGCGGGGCGAGGAATGTTTGGGAGAGGGTATGGGCAAGGTTGTCTAGTGCATTGGGAGGGAGAGGCTTTAAATTGGTTGTTGAATTTCCCAGGTTATTCGTGGGTAGAGATGCGATGTAATGTTTTTCAACTTTAGCGGGTAGAGCTTTAGAAGGGAACTGTGCAGAAGAGGCGTATTCTGATGTTTCGAAGCCAGCCAATTCTCGGCCGCTAAGACCCAGCACAATTAGCACAGATGCCCGCTGAGACAATGAATAATCGCCGTCGAAAAATGTTTTTGCAAACCACTGTCCCATTTTTTTCGGTTGTGCAACTACAATCGCGACCATTCCCTGAAGCCGCAAATTGTCGAAATTGTCAAGGTCGTATTTATCCTGTAAGCCAACAAGAAGGGTAGCAACCTCTTCAGCATGCGAGCTGACTTCCGTGCCGTAATTCGCTTTTCTGCGAATAAGCGTGGGAGCCGTCGTCAGCGCCAGTTTCTGCCTGTCATAATTCTCTGTATCTCTAAAAAAAGAAATAAGGTCTCGGATATATACAGGGGCCTTCGGTTTGTTGCGATTAATGAGTGTAGGGTCATCATCCGAATCTTCGAGGTCGGAATCCGGCTTTGCGTAGGGTACCAAGTCTGTATCCTCTCCTTCGTCGTCATCTTGTATCTCTTCGATAATAAATCCTGTTTGGGCAGGGGGTTTTCCAGGCCTTCGAGCAGTACTCCCTATAGGTTTTGTCGACTTAGGTTTTCCGATGGGCTGTGGAGAGGCAACCAATTCTTTCAATGGATCTAGAGGACCGGCTTTATCGGACACTTGGACCAACGACTTATACCATCGTGCTTCTTCAGTATCCATCTCGTCTATTTTGAAATCAAGTTTAGTTTCTTTTCCGTGTACAAGTCCCGAGAGTACCTCGCCAACAACCATTCCTAAAAAGCGAGCGCGCTGTTGAGGAGCGCCAATGCGGTTAGAAACAGCATTTAGGTAGGCGCTTGATCGTAATAGTATGGTGAGTTTAATGGGTGCAGTCCTGTGGACATATCCGGCGCTGAGAAGCAATACTTGAGCATGGACTTATTTCTGTGGTTAGATTCGCTGATGCAAAACTAGACAGGAGAGACAGGAGAAGACTTACCGTCCTGCTGGAGCAATGGCGCATGCTTGATGTACAGCTGGTCTCCAAATTGGCCAAGGCTTTTCTCCAAAATGGTGGTCATTGTCTCCTTATCGTCAGAAAAGACAGCAATAGCAGCCCTTCTAATTCCGTATCCCTCACCAATTCCAGCACCAGATCCACTAGTCAACCAGTTGACAAGAATGTTCTTTCTTGCCTCGTCATTTTCGGCAATTGTCTTCAAGACTCCAGATACTGCTGCAATAATAGATGCGTCTCTTTTCGCGTCGCTGCCCTCTACAGCATTTAGATATTTATCTGAGAAGTGCTTTAAGATCAGCCCAAGTATTCTGCGCTGCTCGAGTGGGGAAATAAATCCAAGTAATTCTCCGAATTTTGTTTGTTCATTTAGATCTCGAAAAAGCAATTCTGTAGCTAGAGAAACGACAAGATTTTCTACAACGATTATTAGTAAATTCCAACATCCAAAGTGAGACAAACAGAAAAGCGTACCAGGATTCCCCAACCGCATTGCTCGCGTCGCTATCTCAGCGCATAACTTCAGATCATCTTGGCCGACCGCCGACCGAACCCAATCGACTATATTTCGACCAAGCCAATCAGTATATGACTTAATATTGCTTATCCAATTATCATGCTTGAGTTGACCGGCTTGGCGGCAAATATCTTGGGCTTCCGCAGAGAGGGAGACAACTTTCCCGCTTGTGAATAATGAAAGATACTCTTGGCGCATAGGTCGTCGAAGTTGCGTTGGGCTGCCCAAGGAATTGATGCTGCTCCAGATCACTCTCAAGTCATTGTCAGCATAGAGGAGGCTAGAGAGCAACTCCAGAATAAAACCCAGGTTAAAACCAACGTGAGAGTCTTTAAGCGCTTTCAAGTCTGACTTTGCCTCCTTTAATAGAGCACGCAGATATGCCAGCACGGCATTAATACCTGTGAGGCTTCGCAAGCAAGAGACTAACTTTCCAATGTCCCCTTCTCTTGAATTGGCAGACGTATCTCGCAACACAGTCCAATAATTGGGGACAATTTCGGTGACTAGGACATGTACGATCTGTGCACTTTGTGGCGCAGGTTTTCGTATATCGAAGCCATGAATACCTTGCGACCCCCTTTGTAGGTATTTCAATATAGATATAAGGATGTCGTAGCTTGGCTGGTTCTTCAGAGCTTCGAGAGCTTCCTCTGGTGACGAACCACGAAAGTCGACCTTGACTTCAGGGGAAGGGTTGGTAGGTTCAGATAATTTGAATAAATCATCATTTTGGCTAGTCTTGCGATAAGTATGGCGCACGGGAATGAGTAGCTCTTCCATATTCCCAAGCTTGAGGATGGTATCTCATTCATCAAATTGCGTCCATGGAATTGTCTGAAGTTGTTTACTTCTCAGTGGAGGATTTGTTGTTCTTTGATGGGGATAACATGTTCATTATCAGTTACTGTAGGTCATATATTAATTCAATAGTGAAAATCAAGAGGAATATCTCGACCAAGAATTAACATGGAAAGAAGAAGTGTTGGTGAATGGGTGAAGCTTCCACCAAGTATCGTAATAAGTACCTACCTAGGTAGGTAGGTAGAAGAAAAGCGGGGTATGGTTCAAACCGTAGTTGCCTCTAACACATTTATACAACTAATCAGCTAAGACATCCCACTTATAGGGGATATCCTCTTATCACCGATAAGGGTGACATCAAACCGTCGACTTACCTAACAGCGCTGGAGCTAGGTAACCTTCCTTTCTAAACATTCCCAAATCAAGTCAAATCAACACTCAAGACACCAAACATGGCGGCCGCCGCAGTGGTTGCGGGTACTTCGAGATGGCAATATCTAGATCGAATTCGCAAGACAACTGGTCCATTCAACGAAGATTCCGACGTTAGCGATGATGCCCTTGCCGCACAGGACAAGGCCAAGATCTTGGTCATCGGAGCTGGGGGTCTCGGTTGTGAAATACTCAAGAACCTTGCCCTGTCTGGTTTCAAGGATATACATGTTATAGATATGGGTACTCTACTGTTTTTCGTCCTTTTCCACTCCCTACGACCTCAATATGAAGCTAATTAACCCGCCCTTTCAACTAGACACCATCGACATCTCCAATCTAAACCGCCAATTCCTCTTCCGTAAAGACGACGTGGGAAAGTTCAAGGCAGAAGTCGCTGCCAAGTTCGTCGAGAAGCGAGTCAAAGGAGTCAAAATCACACCTCACAATTGCCGAATACAAGAGTTCGACGAGGACTTCTATATGCAATTTCAACTTGTTGTTTGCGGTCTCGACAGCATCGAAGCACGCCGATGGATCAACGCGGCCCTCGTGAATATGGTCGATATGGATAACCAAGACTCTCTAAAGCCACTTATCGACGGCGGAACCGAAGGTACCGAACCACAATACCCAAATCATCCATGGCTCGAAGTATTTTAACATTGAGTAGGATTTAAAGGCCAAACCAGAGTCGTATTCCCTACCCTAACACCATGTATCGAGTGCCAACTAGACCTTTATACCCCCAGAGCTGCTGTACCTCTGTGTACCCTAGCCACTATTCCACGTCAACCCGAACACTGCATAGAATGGGCTCATATCATTGCATGGGATCAAGAAAAGCCGTTCCCAAGCCTAGACAAGGATGACCCCGAGCACATCACATGGCTTTACCAGAAAGCCCTCACACGAGCCCAAGAATTCGGTATCACCGGTGTTACCTACTCATTAACCCAAGGCGTGGTTAAAAACATTATCCCAGCAATAGCTTCCACCAACGCCATCATCGCCGCCAGCTGCTGTAATGAGGCCTTGAAGATCGCTACCTCCGTGGCGCCGGCGCTAGGGTTCGAAGAAAATTATATGATGTACTCCGGCGATGACAGCATTTACACCAATACCTTCAAATATGAGAAGAAAGAGGACTGTGCCGTGTGTGGCAACATGGCCAAGCCTCTTCAGGTTGACCCCAGTTGGACATTGAGAGAGCTCCTTGCTTCTTTCTCCACAAAAGCCGACCTTCAGCTGAAGAAGCCTTCCATCAGAGCCGAAGGTAAGACCCTGTACATGCAATTTCCTCCGGGTATCGAGGAGCAAACACGGCCGAACCTAGACAAGACTCTGAAGGAGGGGCTGGGTTTGGATGTAAACCACGAGATTGTCGTCACAGATCCGGCGTTCCCGGCCTTGACCTTCAAATTCATTCTTCGTTTCACATAAGCAAAAGGAGTTACGACGGCATGATACCAAAGTCCAAAGATAGGGCCAGAGCTTACTTGTTTAGCTAATGAAAATAAATTCATTCGTGATACCAAAGTGATTCATGTAAGTCCCTAATCATACTCGCCTATAGATCTTGTTAGCTGTACACGAGATTGCGTACGTATTTGCTTTAGGGTAGGTACTTCAGGAGCGAAAGAGGCCAGGCACATCCCCACATCAAACACCAATAACCCGCCCCTACCCGCCCAAGAAGGCTCAACAATCACTATATTAACGATTGATGCCGCTTAATCCGATCTAATCTTTCTAACTCGCGTCCAGTTACCCTCTTACTGTAACATAATGCACATATTGCTATTAAATGCACTATGTAAGGCGAATCACCCCTGAGAGGCTGGCTGAATCCTCCGGGCTATCGTTGGGGACCTTCCGAAAGGTGATCTTTTCGCCAAGAGCCAAGGATGTTACCAGAGATATCGACCGCCGTGCCGAACATATGCTAGATCTCATGACTGCAACCCGGTCAAATACCCTCCAGTAGCTTTAGGAAGCCCGATAGAAATACTACATTATCGAAGGCAAGGAAGATCTAATCTAAGACATCGGTATCGGAATGATTATAGTTTAAGGAGAAGAACGTTCGACAACGAAGGCTCAACTTGCCTATTTAGGCCTTCTACTACATCCACGGCCCTTCTCGCCCTCGCAGACTCTTACCAACCCAAAAGGTGCCATTTTTCGCTCGGCACTACCCGACGTATTGGCACGTATAATGTCGAATTATATTTTCCTACTAAGTATCATGTAGAGGTATCCAAGTACTTTTGTGAGACGTTACGCCAAACCGACTTCCCGGTAAAGCTGTTGACACTAAGCCTCTCGGTGAAGGATTCGATGTACGATACCCGCGCCCGTCGCCCGTCACCCGTCTTGTAGCACTCCATATCCAAGGATATTCCCAGTTCTTCCTGTTGTGCGACCACCCCCTTTTTCACATAATATTGAAAAGAAAAGCAAAACTTCAGGACAAGAATACGTAATCCCATCCTGTCCATCGTCTCCAAAACCAGACCTTCCATCTTAATCGACCGTCCTTCCCTTCTCCGCCTAACTCGGCGATACGGCGCAGCTTTTTGGAGTCCTATCTAGCATTCTTGAAAGACACATCCCGGGGGACACATCTCCGCCGGGAACGTCACATTCGCGACAACCTCGGTAGGCAGGATCTTATACATCTTATCCCACTCACGGCTCCAGACCGCGCCGCTGCGAAACGGGCCGCACTTCTTAAACAGAAGTTCCTCGGCTTTCTGTAGCTCGTCTTTGGGCAAAGGGTCCGCGTACGTCAGTTTGCAGTTGCAGACGTACCAGACCGTGTCCCTGACTTCGGCTCGACGGAGGCATTTCGGGGGTACCATGTGATCTTCTCCCCATTTGACGAGTTCGGCGCGCGCTTTGCGTGTTGCGTCGGGTTCTAGGTCGGAGGCTGTGCATTCGATGGATGTCACGGGAATCATGCCTTTGAGTTCTTGCGTGGTGGTGTTGTTGTTTGACGGTGGGGAAAGGGGTGAGGGTGTTGTTAGGCCTGCGATGCAGGTGAGGATTGCTAAGAGTGATAGACGCATCGTGACTTTTGGGTGTATGAAAATATTAGTTTTTCGATTTGTTCGTCGACACTTGCTTGAATGTTGATTTAATTTCAACTAGGTAATCTTTTTTTACAAGAGCCATGATGAGATGATATCACGAAATTTATACTCGCGACTTGGGATAACCTAGACTAAAATTGTTTATAGTTCTATAGTATAGAGTTGTGAAGTTAAGCTTTGGCTTTCATCTAACCAACTCCTTTCCGCCAACCTAACTCTACCAAAACACAAGCACTAAACGTACACTACGTATTAATCTTTTGACCTATTTGACAATATATGATAACAAGCATACATACTATTTACTATCTAATAAAACTCTACCTTTTACATTGGGCCCAAGAGACGGGTGCCCGCTTCCATTTTGAAGGATATTGTTGGTACCTAATCAAGCTGTGTATCCCATAGGTACTATTCCTATAACAAATTCAAAATCCTCGACGATGATTAATAGATGGATGTCTTCCGGTTGGAGCGACGAAGTAAGTAATATATAGGTTGGCTTCCTATTACGTTCATAGATTAATTGATATATACGTTGTCTATGAACATACATCATTCAATGCACACAGCCCCCTAATCTCCACATCTAACGAGCCCAGTGTCTATTTTTAATATCAATCAATTGCTTGGGACCATGTTCAATTTGCATATCCCTTTAGTGATACCACGTATCCCTTCAGGTCCAATGTCCAGTCTCTCATCTGGGAGACTCCTAACAGGGTGACCCCAAGCTTTGACGGCCGTCTTATCCTTCCTGAATCTTGCCTGGAAGTATCTAGAGTGCTCAACTGCTTGCGCACCGCGAGGTAGCATTTCCGAGTAGAATGTAGTCAGGGCGCGGTACAGAGCGGCGTCGTCTGGGGCTTCCAACTCGGCAATCAATTCACCCAAATGCAACGCATCGCGCATTGCGTGGATACCGCCTTCGGCTTTATATGGCATCATCAGGTGCACGGCGTCGCCGAGAAGGGTCGCCCTGCCAAGTGGGATCTCATCAAGGTGACAGTCCGTTGGCACCCAGCCGCCGTCGCGAACACCATCCGCGATCGTTGCCTCGATGATAAGTCTAAATTTAGGGTCTATATGTGCCGTCATCTTCTTCGCAAGCTCAAGGCGGTCTTCTCTTGAAAGATCATTGACAGTACAACGACCTGTCTGCTGGGCGACAGGGTCGTGCCATGCGAGTACCCAGAAAAAATCACCAGATTGGCCGTCTGGATGTACTTTGGTAAGGCCGGTGAAGAGGTTGTTCCAAGCATCATTAGTAGTCACCGGGATGATGGCCATGCTGTGAGCGACCTCCAATTGGCGTGCGAATACCTCGCCGCTTAGTTTGGTTTCTCCTGTTATTGAGCTGATTGGGACGTTCCTGAGGACCTCCTTATTTGGTTTGCCCAGAACATGCTCCCGCACTATTCATGTCTTAGATAGGTAGTCATGGACGGAGTATGAAAAGGTCTTACCAATACTGTTTGCGCCGTCGGCCCCGACGACGATATCACCTCTAACGATGCTGCCATTCCTAAAGGTGACGACCATCTCGGTGCCTACCCTCTCAACTTTGGCAGCGACTCTACCATATTGAACATTTATCTTGGTCGCTAGCCACTTTCGGAGTAGCAGGCGGTTCACTCGTAGCATAGGAGTAGAAGGCGACGCTTCTGTACCAAGGCGTTCGTTGTGGTAATAGAAGACTACTTGACTCTCTAAGTCAAGCGGGTTAAGGTGATGGACAGACTCCCGGAACTTTGGCATATCATCCGGGAAGGCCTTCAGTAAATCATCTAAAATACTAGTAGTTAAGAGAAAAGGGGTTAGATTACTCTATGCTGGTAGTAGGTTAGGGGTTTCTGTCTTACCTGTGAATAGTTAGGGACCAACCCTGAGTTCTAGCAACTTCGTGCTCATCACGCTCAAAAATCTCAAAAGGGATTCCATTTTTGCGGAAGATCTGAGCAAGTGTCAAGCCACCAAGGCCAGCGCCGACAATGAGGACCTTTGGTCTGTATTTTGTCTCAGTCATTATCGGTTCGGTTACTTCCTTCATATTTACGATAATAGGTGAGTCGGTTTATGCTGGCGACCGGAAAATGCGGCAGGTCAACTTCCCCGCGGATGATTGCTACTCTACCTTTTATATATATATATTATACTTATCCCTCCCCTCCGAAATATCCCAACCAACAGCAAGCAAACATCTAACCCTCTCAAGGCTTATCTTTCTGGCGGCGGCCGACGCTCGGCAACGGAGTATCTCTCTATGACCCTGTATAACAGTTAATTCCATACTTGTCATTTATGCCGAGGCGAAGGATTGCTAGGTTGTGCCACTCAGTCATCCATGGGTCATTAGGTTTATTCATTCGCCGGCTGACCAATGATAAACCATCAGCCAATAAGGAAAAGTGCAGAACAATAGAAATCCCATGATAATACCATGGGTTCCCCGCGCGACGATAACTAAGATAGATGCATTTGTTGTTTCAGTAACTCCGTAACAGCCAAGACTTTCCAGCCGTGATTACTTGGTTGATAGTTTTGTCCTTCCGTGGCGCTCTCATGATCTCGTACAAGGGAGGCTAGACCTGCCGAGCTGGACGGGAAACGGTACCTCGGCGTTTTTGAAGACCCTATCCTGGTCATGATTTTCAGCTTGACCTCATGAATCTATGACGCGGAGTTGCACAACACATGCATCTTTTCATCCAATCTCCTAAAGGGGAATATAGCTACAGTTAGTATTATTTTAAATGGCATTTCGAAGACTAACCAAAATTGTCTTAACAGTCATAAAGACCCCTTACTTAATTGGCTACATGGAAATCAGTCACAGGTACACGGAAGACCCGCATCCTTCGCGTGTTCGTGCAGCTCAGCCTTCGATTGTCTTACCCACGCATTAAAGTACCTAACTAGGTACCTAGGTACCTTTGAAAGTGCATTTTTAGAGCTTACCCACCTATACGGGTAGTTACGACATTCCGTATTGTTTGTCGTTATTCATATTTATGAGGCGTGTCCCAGGGGGTTGTTGGTCAGTAAGTCTGTCGGGAGTGTCGATCTCAATAGAAAATGCCTTACACGGGATAACCCGTACTACCTAGTAGAACTCCATGGGTAGGGCTGAGCTAAGCCCCTAAATCCATAAAGCTAATCCGCTTCGCTGGTTTTATCTTCTTTGAAATCTGGGGCGTATTCATTGTTAGTCTTATAAGTCTAGAAACGTCTTGGGGGTGGTGGTAGAAATAATTGGATGTAGATAGTAATGATTAAAGAGAAAGAAAAAGAGAAAGAGAGAGAGAAAGAAAGAAAGAAAGAAAGAAAGAAAGAAAGCAAAAAGAACTCCGAATCGGGGAATCGAACCCCGGGCTCGGGAGTCTTTCTCTGAGAGTGAGAATCCCGAATGTTAGCCACTACACCAATTCGGATGTGCTTAATTGCTTGGTATGTCATGAGCAATTTTTAATTCAAAAGCTTTATGCTTGTTGATGCAAGTGGTACATCCAGATGGAAAGAGCAAACCAGCTCGTTTGATGATACTCAGAGTTGCCGTCAATTAAGTAGCCCTCTAATCGGGAAGGGACTTCCTGCGACTACCCCGCGACAAAAGAAGGCGAGCCCAACTTTAATGTTCAAGGTACCTGCATAGACTGCTGTGTGACTCGTGCATGTTGACCTTTTTCCTTTTCTTCCAACATTGAATTACTTCATTTTCCGAGAACCCTACCTAGGTACCACTACAGATCTCGGATGAGTTCTGAATCGATCCCCGACGCGATATAACTAGGTACGTACCCGAAGTAATCATGATATGTATCTTGGCGATGTCTGATTTAATTGCGGCTCTGTTAAAGAATGTCGATATTCCCCCCAATACCCTTGTTCGGCTACTCGTCTTCGCTTTCCCACTTACTCGCTCTGGGTAGGTGTGGTCTGTCTCGACGCCTCCTCTTTGATATCTTTGAGGGATATGTTCCACTCCTTGGCAAGCGCTTCTTTCCACTCCCCCAAGTTAATCTCTTTACCGCCGTCTTCGTCGTAACAAATTTCTAGGATATTCTCATCACCTTTCATAGGCCTTACTTCCTTAGGCACGGGTGCACTCTTCGCCCTCGGCCCGACATACATAGCCTCCCCTAGCGGCGGTATTCTCATCCACCGGTGTTTCGCGCTGCAGACCGAAACTTGCGCGTTAGAGTTAGCACGTAACCGTCCGAGACAGTCTCCACAGAAGTCACAGTCTGCACAATATATACAGTGGTAGAAGTCGTGTTCAAAATCTCCCCAATTCTTGCAGTGCTTGCCATCTGGGGTGCGGCCATCGCAAGTCCAGCTGTATATAAACGCGCTGTTGATCTTTGGCTCGTGTATTCGTCGTAAAGAAGAAATGCGAGAGTGGAGTAGCTTGTGCGCAGCCGAGTCAAGGTCTTCGGATCCTGTTGCCTCATTGTTATCACTGTCGGCTTCTGGGTCCGATTTAGTCTTTGAAGCAGCTACGAGTGAATCAATGTGCGCTTCAGCAGCTTTCATACGCTGAAGCTGCTGTGAGGCTTTCGGGAACTGATCCTTGACGATCTGTATTGTTTCCTTGGCCAGATTAGCAACAACATCTAACAGCTGATCCTTGTTCGCGCATTCGGTTCCTTTGATGTCATTATCCCCGGCCTCGAAATACAGCTTGTCGGTAATAAGATCCGGCTGGCCGCGGAAGGACAAAGCGATGGCCGCGCTCTCGAAATCTAGGAAATGCCCTAGTGCCCCGCGTAGCATCCAGAATCCGGTCGAGTCATTCTCAGGCATATCGTCCGAAAGTATCTGCAATGCTTGTATCATTTGTGGCATGAGCGTGGCTTTAGCCTCTTCCTTCCTGCCCTGCAGCGCGTACAATGCCCCCAGTAACGCAATTGAGTTGCCGTTGTGGTCAATCATAGAGCTAGGCCCGACCAACTTAGCTAAAGCGTCAGTATGGTCTAAATGGCCCCCGTCTACCATGTTATGGAAATAATGTTGTGCTAGCGCCGTGGTGGCGTCCTGCCATGCGGTAGACGCGTTATGTCCGCCTACTTTGGATAGTATCTCGCGGCTTTCCTTCCATAACCGCAAAGCTTCGCTGACGGCCTCGGTGCCATTAGGTGACACCCCATACGTGTAGGCCGCGACTCCCCTGTCGTAAAGGAGCACCCCCCGGCTTTCATTCTCGGCGAAGAGGTCGTCTCCTGTCATCCCATCGACGCGGTCTTCATACGGCGTGGGTGTTGTCGTCGCTATTTCCATTGCGCGCACTATTCTCTTGAATAAATCCGACTCTTCCTTAGCCAGAGTGAACATCCTTGGGATAACGGTATCATGATCTGGGTCCCTGGCAATCTCCTTCAGAATTTCCACCATCTTCGCTTCGCCGTCTTCCTCATTAAACGTGTTCTTCAGCCACAGCCGCGTCTCTTCCACGTCTGCAAAGCCCAGTCTAGCTTTCAGGTAACCCACCCGGCCTTCCATCACTTGGTTCAGGTCCTCGCTTTTGCACGAAAGTGTGTAAAGTTTCGCAGCTCTTTGTGCATTACCCGCTTCATAGACGTATTTTGCTAATAATAGGTTTAGCTCCACGATATCTTTGGGTTCCGGCTCTGGCGAAGCGCTCTCTTGCTCTACTCCTTTCAGCGCTAGTTCTGCCTCTACGATAGCTTCCTTTATTCGTTCCTCACGAAAGTAAATCCTTCCTAAATCGCGGTGGCACAGCCAACTAGCCGTTCCTTTCTCAATTGCGCGCTGGTAAAATGAGATTACGATGCCGGCCTCACTCAACTGCTGTAATGAGATTTCGGCGAGACACTCGTACCAGAGCGAGTCGAGCTCTGGATCTGGCATCTCCAAGTAGTCCTGGCACCAGGCACTTACGCGGACCCAATCGATCTCATCCGCGGTGCCATTGGGTGAGAGGCCACCAGATCCAGGTGGTTCTGCATCATCGGCTTTGGGAAGTTCGACCTGTCTCTCATCCTATTTTAGGTAAGTGGTTAGCGTAACGCTGCTGATTACTTATGCCAAATTCGTATTGAGAGCTAGGAAACTCACAACTTTCATAAACTCTGCAATCCAATAGTAAGTATTCCAGGAAGTCCAGTTTCTTCCCCTCAACGATCCTTCGACTATCAATTTCACTAGCGCCTTCAAAAAACCCCTTGTTGGCCGAGTAGCTAATCGTATCTCGTCCCGCCACTTCCCGTCCAATTTTCGCAGAACGGCTGAGTCCATTAACCACTCCTGCGCCTCCAGCATTTCATCCGCTTCCCACCATACCTCCTTAAAGCTTTCCCTGTGGCGCGAGAACATTAGGCCATCTTTAAAGAGCCTGTACAAGTTCTGAACAATCTCTGATTGCTCGTCTCGCGTCAGTGCCCCTTTGTCCTCGTCCTCAAGCCGGCGCAGCCTGCCTAGGTGATAAGGAAGCCAGCAGGTGAGGTATACTCCAATCTCCTTAGTCTGCTCACTAGGTTCCTGATCTAGAAACTTGAATGCGCGATTTACGATGGTGTGGTGTGCTTCAAATTCGTCCACTGCGATAGTCGTCTGACCACTGTTGTGAAAAGCGCCGCTTAGAGAAGCAGTATCGAAGTCAAACCTGAACTTATCCCGGATAGCCTTATGAGCAAGGTCCCAAAGGAAATGGCCACAGAGCTCTTGATCTACGTTGTTGATGGTAATTGTCATGCTGATGGTGGCACGATCCTTTGAGTGGGATAATTTGCTCGAGGCACCTGCTTCCTTTTGCAGGTATTCCTTGACACCATCTCGACCGTAGACAAAGTAGTCTTCGACTTTAAATACGGCGGAATATTTGCTCTGGATGATGTATTCCAAGGATGCGAGGGACTCTGTGTCCGAATACAGGAACTCGAATCCTGTTAGTAAAGCGTACATGTGCAAATTGGGACAGGAGAGCTTACCATAACGCCCTCGAGTTGCTCCAAAGTCAGAGGAGTGTTGCTAAATAGCACCCACTTTAGTAATTCATTCAATTCGTTGATCTCGTCTACCGACAGCGACCGCTGCAAATCCTTTATGGCCGCCTCGTGACTGCTCATAGGCTGGTCCAGCATGCGATCAAGCTCCGAGGTTGCAATACGGGTGCTCAATGAGCGCGTCACGTCATTGAGTCCGAACTGCAGGATGGAATAGCTTCCACTGACTTTTTGCGGCAGTTTCTCGAGGATCTTATCCCGCGCCTTTTGCTGGTCTGAGCCTGGTTTCGCATGCTGCAACATGCCTCTCTTGGTGAGCGCATCATCAATCACAATACGCATATCCGGTCCGTTATTCTCCTCCATACGTATTCGTAGGGCGTTGTTGATTTGCTCAATCCATGGTGTTTTGGTGAATTGGTCGTTCGTCCCGCTTAGTAGCACGCGCACCCGACCGGCCGATTCCGCGGCTAACCCAGAACCGAATACAAACGCAAGCAACAGCTCAGTCTCTTTGTAGGGTAGATGTTCGAGCCCATCAAATACAAGGTAGTACACAGCACCTGATCCTGAGCCCCCGATCTTCAACTCCCTCCATATTTTGTCTAGACTGGACGAGGAACGAAATGCGCCGGGCTCGGTTTCGCACGCCTTACCGAGCGCCTTTCTAGCAATACTGTCGACGCGCGCGATCTGGAACGCCATATACTTTAGGGCTGACTGCATGGGATTCTTTTCGTCGTCAGACTTTTTTGTACTGGCAGGGAAGAAGTAGTGCGCCACAAACGTACGCCCCTTTTGCTCCTCGAGGCGTTTTGTGATAAGCGCACTGGCTAATGTCTTTCCAGAGGACGAGGGCCCCGACAAGAGAAGCACGTGGGAAACCTCCCTATCCTTGTTAGCTGCTGTCCAAGCGGTGTATGAGTCGTGCTCCCAGATCCAAGACCCCGTATTGGGAAGACACCTCTCATGAATATCGACACATGTCTGCGTTGTGTTAGTATCGAGTCGCACCTTTGATGTTACACTAAGCGTGTCGCGGATTTTAGCGAGCGTCTTGGTACGGTCGGCATCGGCATTAAGGGCACGTACGCCGTCCTCGGTCGTCTTCTTAAAGTCGGTGAATATATCGAGGAACGACGCAAATTCGTGCTTTTGCTCGACTACTACCGCAAGGGTGATGGTCCCCTCGACATCGCGCTGCTGCTGAAGGACCCGTTTGAACTCATTCAGCTCATCAGCTAGGCCCGAGTCATCATCAAAGACGGATTTTATCTGGTGTAGGAGGCGGACCCGCCTGCTACCTTGGCGATATTTCACAACGTGGGCACAGATCTTGACAAAGCTGATCATGACGAGATGAATCTGTTGGATGAGTGCGGGGTCGACTTTCTCCATCGATGTGTAAATTTGGAATTGAGACAGCGCTGAAGACACATCGCTGAACACTTGGTTAATAGCATCATTATAGCCTTTGATAGCCTGGGGAATGTCGAATACGAAGCAGAGCGCGCTGCATGTGACGTTGGCTACCGAACCAGGGATTGGGATCTAGAAGGATCAGCGACAATCCAACCAAGAGCATGGAATACAACACACAAACGAAGAAGCCTGAGAAGCAGCATAGACAAGCCCCTTTAAGTATTTAAGAGACTCGAGCCCAAAACCCTTTGCCTTCTTCCATTTATCCTGCTCCTCTGGATCAGCGTCATAAGACGCCACGCCAACAGCTTCGATTCTTTCCCGCAAATCGGCAAATCCTCTCACATCACCTTTCTGTAGCGACTTGCCGCATATTTTCTCGAAAGCCTCGGCGGCGGCTGCCCATATCTCTTCCATTCCCTGCTTCGATACTTCAGCCCCAAGAGGCTTCGCGCGCATTTCATCCCTCATTGTGTTATGCGTTTATAAGACATTCGAGATGGGTTGATATGTTAAAAATTGTCGAGCGAGAATCTTAGAAGAGAATAATATTGCTGCCTCAGCCGCTTCACCCGATTTGGGTAGTAGGACTAGCGGATCGACTGATCAATCCCCTGCGCAGCCTGTCGATAGAATGCATCGATTATCTAGCGTCTGTGATGTTACAACACAGCCTCGACAACCCCGCTGCCGTTTCCGCCTTCTGTCAACCTTGCCCATCAGCCTTATTTTCCCCAGTTCTCGTCCTTCCCGCCTTTCGGCAATTCTTTCGTGATTTTATTCATGGTTTATAGCCCATGAAAGAATTGTGTAATTCATATGCAGGTAAGACTTGGAAAAGCTAGCGGACCTAGTATTCCCCGGCGTTATAAATGAAGAAAAAGCAATTGTAAGATCATGTATAACAGAGTGGGGGTGGAACTTATGGTGGGGGTTTCGGTGCGACATTCAGTACCTCGTCCGCCATGCTAAATTAGGTGCGTACCAATGTCACTAGTATTCTTGTCTCGTTACGCGACAAGCCACTGACGGCTCGTGCTATCCGAATGAATAAAAAAATTAAGAAGAGAAATAAAATGAAAAATAGAAAGAAAAAGAAGAAGAAAATAAAGAAAAGGAATAAAAATAAAAGAGAAAAATAGAAGATAAAAGATAAACAGTACACTCTCCACAATGAAAGAAAAAATATTGTTTATATAATGGACTCAAGGTCGAGGTTCAATCCCACAGTAAAAGATAAAAGTTAGGGATGCGTTTGGGCCACGTGACCACCTTGGAAAGCACCACCTAGAAAGTTTGCAGGTAATTGCACATATGGCAGGTGGCACCTACTCCTTTGCTACTTCCAAAAGCTTTTCATCCACTGTCAGTAGAGCAGTCTTTCAAGTTGGCCCTTCCACAACTAAACAAGAACATTTAATTCTGCCTTCCAAGACCAATCCTAACTGAAGCTTCCTTCCCTCTTCTCATCTTTCCAACAGCTGTCCACCCATTCCTACAAAAATTCCTACCGCTTAGGACTTCCTCTTCTATTAACCCCCCTAGCAATTCCCATCATTGCCTAGATAATTCGTCACGGCTTTTAAAACCAAGGTCTCTATCACCACCACCACACCCACTCTCAATTCTACAACGATAACAAAAAGAATATTTGCCATTGTCAATCTTGACAACTATCATTGGAAATATTCGCCTCCCAAAATATTAATCCTGCCAACCTTTAACTGCCAATTACAATATTCGCCATGGGGGATGGCACACGAGGCACCTTTCCCTTCTCAGGAACTCACTTAGTAAGTCAGATAATGCTTCTTCCCCTTTACCTCCTCACCTTCTATATTCTTGCCTCCCATCATATTCAATCATGCTCAATTTTTTTTATTAAGGTGCCTTCTCCTAATTTATCTAGCCGCCGCGACCTTCGTTCCATTACCCACCTTGATACTTCATACGTCCTATGGTTTCATTCCTTTCCTAGCGACAAAAAACTAACCTCCCTCACGATCCACAAGCCACTAGACTAGGGCTTCATCCAACTTTTTATTTTTTTTATTACTCCTTCGCGAAGGCAAATAAAACATGCTCAGACATTTAGGTCTATTGCAATTGCAATTTGAAGAGCACCTGTCACCACCACCACAGCTGAACAACTACCAAAAAAACTAACTAATAAATCACAAGAAGAGAAAATTGTAAGCCCTCCAAATCCTCGACATCAACTGATTCAATTGCTTAATATTTATTGCTCTTCCTTTAGCCACAACATCCGTCTTCCTCGGACCCATTGTTGCTCGTCACGGCGACAGCAGAGCTACTCCCCCACTCATCAACAGCATTCCTTGCTCTCTTATATCTCAGTATGGCGAAGCCACCCTAGGAAAAGATTTGCCTTACAAGCTTGCACATGCAGAACTCTAGCGCCCCTGTGGCTGCAAATGGCTCTTCTGCGCAGCGACTTCGCTTCTTGCTTGTCAGTCGAGCGTGTCCTTGACACAGCATATTGCATGGCAGAGTGATTTAATGTAAGAGGAAATTATTCCAGGGCGGTGGAGATCAGGAAAGGATAAAAAGAGAGTTCAAGGTCTTCCTGTTGGCTTGTCGGGACAGTGGTGTCTACTTGTCAATGTGGCTTGCCAGCTGGCAATGTGGGAGACCGAGTCAACTGTAAGAAAGCGACGCCAAAATGGCCCCAAAGGTATAATTACATCCTCTAATCTTCATTTACACTCACACTAAAACTTCAGTTAGCCCTGTCCGTCGCCGCCGTGAGTCTCATACAAGAACTATTCTTGCAAAAGAAGAACCAAAGCAAAGCACATGTCTTTTCCAACATCTGGGGCACCAAAGAAAAAAAAGAAAGATCAAGATAACTAAGCTGAACTGCGGAATCCTCGAAATGGGGACTTCGGAGAAGTAGCAGCCAAATGACCGAGGTACCTACTACAAGGCAAGGTCAAAAGCTTAGGGCAAGGGTACACTACTAGGTAGGCATGGAGGAGAACCAGGCCTGGCGAGATTGGCTTCCTGGGAGATAGACCCTAAAGAAGGGGTGCGGGATACAACGGCGTGAGTCGCCTAAGGGCTTGGGGACGAATGGTTACCATTCTTGGATCACGGATCTTGGGGTTGGGAGGAGAGCTACAATTGATAGCTACAACCGTTACACTGATACATCCTTCTAATGAATGCTGCACCATCAATACAACCCCCCCAACTCGATGCCAATGTTGGTACCGAAATATCACATACATATCGCCACTGCTCGCATCGTGTCTCATGTTCTGACTTTTCATTCTCGTGAGATATTTTTATCCCGTCGTGCATCCGTCCGGCCCTTCCGTTCAGCAAGTGTATCTTTCCTAGACTCCCATAATTCTACATATATATATCTCGTAGTAATTTCTGGCTGGCTGGCTGGCTGTTCTCTGTGTTAAAACTTCCCAGAATCGGGTACGTATGAGTGAGTATTCCGCAACACTAGTCTACCTCTACTCAAGCTTTCTACTTAGTAATATCACGCATCAAACACTCTAACTTGAAGACGCGATGTACATATCTACTGCACCGAAGTCCCCTTAAACGTCCCAGTTGATTCATATCGTGTCTATCATACCATCATCACGAACTCACAACAAGGCACAAGAAAACGACTGCTATCCGGTCACTGCGGCCACGTACATCCAATTCACCAATGCGCCTAAAGTGCAGAACAAGAACATATGATATTTAATCCTTATCAACAATCCCGAGTACCGGAAACCTTTTATATACCTGCCACAAAGGTATATACAAAACCGAGAAGGGTATGTGCCCCGAGTCCCTCCCAAGCCATTACCGTTACTCCCCCATATACATCCCACATGATAATAATATATAAACCCGAAGAGGAAAATAAATAATGATAAATAAAATAAAGGTAGAATGTACATATACCTACTGCCAGGCAGCAGCAGCTTGCGTGGGATCTTGCAGTGGCGCCTGGTTCGCATAGGCGTTCATCTGTGGCGGGTGGGCGATGAACCCGCTGTATTCCTGCATCAAGTAGTTCCAGTCCATCTCCCCAGGTAAATTGACGTCCGGGAAGGCGGTAGCGAATTGCCTATTCATATCAATATGTTGCAAATTGGAGAACACATCGGACTCGGAGTATAGCGGAAGAGCGCCTGGTATAGCTTGCTGTTGTTCTGGTGGCGTCTGCGCTGATGCAACGTAAGAACCACTTATGACGGGGATCTTTGGGGAAGGCGTCGGGGCTGGTGTTTGCTTTTTGGCAGCCTTTGGCAACCTTGCCGCCACTTGTCTCATATGCGTAATGAGACGGGGTGGCGCTATGGTTCGCCCAAGGGCGGCTTCGGCGGCCTCACGCGCGTCCCACGCCCTTACGAATAGCGGACTAAAGGAAAGATGCATTGGGCTTCGCATGTGAGCTGTCATCTTCCTCAGGTCGGCATTTTCGCATATGGTTGCCCATGCGCGCTCGCATAAATCACCAGTAGTGCGATGGCGTAGGTCAGCGAGCAAGCAAATGTAAGCCGGGAAGGGAAAATGCATTTGAGTATACCAGAGAAATCCTTTCAAGTTTTCTCGAGCTTGCATCATGCTATCGTATTCAATTGTCTTAATAGCCTCGATGAAGAGGTCTTCCCTCTCGACCGCCGGCAAAGGCGTAGGTGCCGTAAGCGCAACACGGAAGAAACCAGACACTATCTTTAATTTGCAGATATTTGACCTTGTCATGAGTAGTGTCATATAATGCAGTGGAACTTTAGGATCGCAGTATCTGAGGTAAGTGTCTTCCATGTGAGTTGAGAACCGCTCAAGGTAGCCTGACAACCGATAGTCAGCCACACTCGCAATGGCATGCGGGTTCGTCTCCGATGATTGGCCCTTCATCTTGTCGTTCCCCGGAGCTTTGGCGAACTCCAGACGCGCAAGAGAGAATATCATCTCAGTTGCACCGGTGTGTGGAGGAGGTGGATCCTTAGCATGTAGATGTAGATCGGCGTCATTGATATTAAGGGGCAGCTTGCAGTTGCCTCCATTGGAGATGGCCGTGATAATAGAGCCACTGAGCTCTCCGATTCGTCGATCAAAACCTGCAAGGGTCCACCACAACCGCCTCCTCTCTTCCACCTCGAACGGAGAGAGATTAAATTGAGCGCCATCGCGATGTAACCCTATGCGCTGAGCGAGCCGCACACCAATCCCCGTCAAGCAGAACATAGTCCGGGGATCCGTATATTGTCGGGAACCCAACTAATGTATGTCAGAGCAAAGATCTCAAAACGGAAGAGCTGGTTATTGGTCTTACGAGATATAGTAAATATGCCTGTACTAAGGTGATATCTGGATTACGCATGAAGCCTGCGTTTAAAAGGGCCTGCTGTGCAGAATAATAATATTTGGCCAATAACGTATTTCTTGATTCGTTGAACGTGGCCTGACATTCTGCTTCATCTATGCTTGTGATGGCCATCAGGTAAATTGAAAACATCAGCGCCTCTAGCGACCGAGACACTTTGTCAAGATTAGCTCCGGCCTCGATTATCCGCACTTGCAGCGTAGGTGTGTGTGTCAGCTTGAGTAGGGGGTTGACATTGTCTAGGTAGATCTGCCATAACTGAAATATTTGGATGGCAGACGGATGCTGATCAGTGACACTTCCGAACTGGCCACCCACCACAAAAGGGAAACCGTCGGGACTATCAAACATTTTATCGTACGCTTGGTTAATTGACGAGCCAACGTCTTCGTCGTCGGAAGAGTCTCTAAGGGCTTCGTCCACCGGCCGAAACTACATGGGTATTAGTACTTATGAATACGGAAGAGGGAATAAGCAAGTACTAGCCTCCTTCTGGAAAGGAAACCACTTGAAGGTTCTAATGATGAATTGGCGTCAGTTCTCAGGCTTGGCGATTGAATTGAAGAGAAACACTCTTCGGCCAAATCGCGGCGGGACTTACCTAGGGACGTGAGCAGATTCGCCGGGCGAAGAGATCAATTCGGGATCTACACCGGCAGGCGATTCTTTACTTCTCTGTCTTATAAACTCGGGTTCTAGCTCATCGCCGTCCTCGACGGAGCCGGGGTCCACAATCTTAACGTCCGGACCTAACGAGTCGAACTCGATACCATTCTGGGATAGCAGTGCTTCATATTTCCGTAGGCGCTCAACCAGGTCTCGCTCGGGAATGCGCTTCTTGCGCCGCCGAGGTGGTTGAGGTGGCACGACACGGCACTCGACGCCGGCCTTTACGCAATTGGAACAGGGCTTGCTCTTGTCGCAGCGGACTTTGCGCTGTTGGCATAACACACAGCTATGCCCTCTTGTGACTTTAACCATGGAAGCGTCTGGATTGGGCGGCGCATTGCTAAGCGAGGAGCCGGCTGGCGGCGAGGTATCATTGTTAACCGAGCCGTCGCCCAGCTGAGACTCTGGGGTAGGGGGCATGGCGATGTTTTTCATGAGTCGGTCCCGAGGGCGCGACGGGATCGTACACCGCTAGCGTTTTGGCGTGCAGGAGGTTGCCGTGTGGCTAATGATCGATCAAGCTGAACCAGGTCTCGACCAGGCTCAACCAAGCTTAACCAAGCTCAACTAGGCAACAGACGTGACTCTGTTCTACATGAGACGAGAAGCTTTGATGCCGGGGCACAGCGTTGATTGGCAACTGGGCGCGAGGACAATAACACAATTGGCGTCGATGCGGGAATTTCGGGACCGAGATGGGGCACGGCAATTAAAAAAGAGATGGGCTAAATGGACTTAGAGGCGGGCGGGCGGGCTCGTGCAGGGCTTGTAGCTGTTGTGTCGCTCTGAGAAATGCCACAGACGGGATAGATACAGATAGATGGACGGGGATTGGAGGGTAATGGAGGGGGGGAAGGAGAAAAAAAAAAGTAGAGAAGGGCGGGATCAGATCGTCCCATCGACACCCATCCGGACTTTTCTTGTTGCTGAAGAGGGGGGTGGGAAATAATTATGCAGGCCGTATTAAAAGGGTATGATGCGCCGCCGCATTTCGTTACAGTAGGAGTTGTGACTTTATTGTACGTTTTGTTATGTTATGACTTGACAAAAATTGACAAGACGGGAAACATAGAAACGCGGAAACGAAACTAGGAGGGTTGAATGATATGACAATATGACAAAATGTCAATTGGTGAATCGGTATTGGATAGATAGGTAGGGTTCTATTCCAAGATCAGGGGTACCGGGGTTAGGATTTGCTTTTTCCTCGCCATTTCATTGATAACTTGATACCTGTTACAGATACAGCAAGTCTTGATTGCTTTGCTTTGATTGTTTGTGCGGGTATATGGATTTTAGGCAGGTATGTATATATGTATATGTGTATAATGTGTATAAAGTACGTAGATAATTGTATGTAAGTAATATTGGCGACACATGTAAGTAAGGTAGACTAGACAAAGATAGAACCACACAACAGGATTCAGGATTAAGGATTTTCTGCAAGTAGTCTGTGCGGTCTAGGATGGGGGGGAAGGGCGGCAGCATCAAAGGTTAGGTGTGTGTGTGTGAGTGTCTGCAATCTGCAAATTGTATGTAGCGAATTCAATTTAGAAAAATTGCCTCCCCTTTTAACACATGGTCAATAGCGTTGAAGAAGAGAGAAAAAAAGAAAAAGGAAAGAAAAAAAAAGATAAAATGTCAATATCTTTCCATATTCTAGAATAAAGACCTCGTCGCAAACCATCAATTGACCAACACCAACTTTCAGGTCATTTCTTTCAGTTCAATCTATCGAGGCTCTCGAGTGTCGAGTCGGCAGTATGTAGTCATCAAACGCCGACAAGGTTCAGCTTACCATTGGATTGTGAATGACGATATGCACTTTTTAGCAAAGAAATCTAGCAGTAGTGAACCGGACTTCAGGACTTCAAATAAGAACCGGATACCGAGCACCGACAAGGCAGGAAAATTTTCCAACATCAGTCCGTCCTATCGAAGGAGAAAAATGAATTTGATAGGACAATATTAAAGCTGTTTAGGTAAGGTACGTCTAATTGTACTAGGATAGATGGGTAATTTATTAAAGAGTTGGTGAATTGAAATGGGGATTGCAATTCTCGTTCCCCGTTCCCCGTCCCTTTGTGTAGACTCGGGTATGAAAAGGAAAGGTTCGGGACCGAAGCTGATCTTCTCCTAAAAATCCCTAAAAGTGGAGATGGTACATACTCGTAACACGAACCATTGCAACCAACAACATGCTTCTTTCCCATCGGAATAAAATAGCCATCTCCATGTGGTTAAGGTTAGAACACAATGCCTGCGCTAACCTTAAGTAAGCATTCTTTGTATCACGTGGAATGTACTTCTTCTGTACTCAATTAGTGCGAGTTTTGTACGGGGTCGGAATTTAAAAGCCTTCGGTCATCCCAGACTCGATTCGCTCCCGATTCCACACCCGCCTGCTACATCGGGCCTCCCCAACTCTGGTTACGCCCCTTCGAATTCGAAAAGCAATAGAAAAAAATCAGCCTAGAACTACGTAAGTACGATGGGTCTTCGACAAGGCCCGTGGCATAATGAGTCCGAATTACTATTCTATCAGGTAGGACTATAATGCGACAATATTTCGTGTATCCACTATTATACCAGCTATCCTACTGTATCCATGATTTTATCCCCTTACTGGTTGATCTAGTATCACCTTGAATAGGTAGGTAGGTTAGTTCGTGTACGTGCGTGGGTGACGAGGTTCTCTGGTGACTCGACACTCGACGCTAGAACATATAAGACCATATATAACTACCTAGGTATATAATAGCATAGAGAGATAGAGAGGCGCATCTTTAGCATCAGAGTTTGCTAAACTGCTGAACTTTGTGTTGCCTTCATTAGATGTAAGACACAATACTGAGCCCTCCCTTGCTTTGGCTTTCTACCTTCTTGTCATTCCCCGTGTCTCTTTTTCCTCTCTTGTTTACTTTGTACTCCGTCATCCGCCCCTCGTCCCCCACAAGATACCATGGCCGAGTCACCACCACGGAAGTCATCCGAGAAGGAGGTTAGCCCTGCGACGGCAGCCGTATCTAGCGATGTAGAACAGACAGCCGGTGCCAAGCCGCGAGCCGAACTCGTCGACGAAGCCGAAAAGAATTTCCAGCCTAAGAGTATGAAGTTTTGGTCTGTTATGCTCAGCATATTCCTCGCCCTATTCATAGTCGCTCTTGACCGAACCATCATCGGTACCGCCACCCCTCAGATAACACAAGAGTTCAACAGTCTGGGAGATATCGGTTGGTATGGTTCGGCTTACCAGTTAACATCGGCAGCTTGTCAGTTATTGTTTGGCAGAGTGTATAGGTTTTACGAAGTCAAGAAGTACGTCTGTCTGCAGCCCTATCCTCTATGAAACCTACCCGCTTGCAAACAGCTCGGGAAGTACCGAGTGTGGTGGTATTAACATGTGCCTCTGCCTATCAGGACATTCTTATTCTGCATCGCCTTCTTCGAGGTCGGTTCCGCCATATGCGGTGCAGCACCGAATTCCATTGCTTTTATCATCGGTCGGGCCATCGCTGGTGTAGGTGGCGCGGGTCTCTTCACCGGTGTCTCGGTTGTCATGCTTCCTTTAGTCCCCCTTCGAAAGAGACCCATGTTTCAGGGACTCTTTGGGTCGATTTTTGGTATTTCGTCCGTTTTGGGGCCTTTGGGTCAGTATCTCGGTTTCTTATTGGTTTGTTGACTTTCGATTTATTGTTTCTGTATATGTCAGACTTTCTGTTCTGTATCGGGCTGGATAGACCTTTCGAAAGGCAGTTAGTCTAAACCATTTTGAACTTTTTATTAAAACAAATACTATTCTTCAATGCTTTCTTGGGTCTTTATCTCTTAAGATTCTTAATCTACTAACCTGATATTCCAGTTGGTGGTGCCTTCACTACCCACGTCAGTTGGAGGTAAGTCTTGATCTTTTATGCTTATTGCCAGGCCGAGTGGGCTAACATTGCACGTCTCAGATGGTGTTTTTATCTCAACCTTCCCATCGGTGCAGTCGTGGCGCTATGCTTTCTAGTAGTCAAGATTCCAACGAGAAAACCAGAACCCGCCAAATTCCGGGAACATTTAACTCGACTAGACCCCCTCGGGACCTTTTTTCTCGTCCCAAGTATCGTCTGCCTTCTTCTCGCATTACAGTGGGGTGGATCAACTTATGAGTGGGGAAATTGGCATATTATTCTTCTGCTAGTTCTGTTCGGCGTTCTCTTTCTGGCCTTTGCGGCAGTTCAAATAACGATGCCAAATACCGCGACGGTCCCCGTTAAGGTGATCACACAACGGAGCATTGCGGCAGCGACCTTATTCATGTTCTCGATTTCTGGGCCAATGATGATGGATACCTATTTCCTACCAATATGGTGTAAGTATCATCGTGAAATAGTGACAACGTATACTCACACATAGATATAGTCCAGGTTGTCAATGGTGTAAACGCCGTACAATCCGGTATCGATACATTGCCTCTCGTATTAAGCATGGTAGTGGCCAGCATCCTATCCGGTATAACGACGCAAAAACTCGGATATTATGTACCGTCGATGCTCCTCTGCCCCAGTATCTTGGCTGTTGGTCAAGGGCTGCTGAGCACCTTGAAGGTCGGCGATTCGTCTGCGCATTGGATTGGATATCAGTTTCTCGTCGGTTTTGGAATGGGAACAGGCATGCAGGCCGCCGGTCTTGCCGCTCAGGCCGTCCTTCCCAAGCCAGAAATCCCCACCGGGATCTCCATCATGTTCTTCTTCCAACAATTAGGAGGATCTGTCTTCACATCAGTCGGGCAGAACCTTCTGAGCAGCTACTTGGTCAAACATTTGGCGGATATCCCAGGATTGGATCCTAAGCAAGTCACCAGCGAAGGCGCCACAGATGTTCTCACCAAGGTCCCGCTCCAATACCAGGGGGCCGTAAAGCAGGTATACAACGGTGCTCTTTCCAGAATATTCCTTTGCGGTATGGGAATAGCGCTAGTTGGTTTGCTGGGCTCATTATGCATGGAATGGAAAAACATTAAGAAAATTAGACAAGGGCCTCCACCGGAAGCAAACTCTTCCGATGAACCAAAAGAAAACGGTTCTACTCCCACGACCGAAGAGCAACGCACTCCGAATACGCTAGATACGATAGAAGAAGCGAAGCGAAGTTCCATCAAAACAGACAAAGAGGATAGTATATCTAGCGAGCCAGCGCGCCAATCCTAGACGCTTAGGTGCTTTCGAGTGGCCAGCAGCTCGGACACATTGAAGATATGAGGAACCCTTAGAAATTTTTATTACGGTTGACCTTGGGTGTTATATTGGCATGAAGGTATAGAATGAATTGCCACGGCGCATTAGAATTATACCTCATTTGCGGTTGTAATGTATATAGTAGATAGATAGATTAGAGAGAATCTCCATTTTGGTTGGGATGGGCTGGGAGGGGATTGGCAGGTAATTCCACACCACTCTCAACATGTAAATAATACGACAATACCTATATATAATTCCAACTCGAAGGCGAGACAGAAAGTAGAAAATGATGCATTGCCGAGGTGCATACAAAAAGATGACCAGTAAGCTTATTGGGGGAGTTAAGGGGTAGATTCTCACTCTTCATTATGTAGATACGCATGGTGTTTGTACAAGTTTATGGGTCTATCGGAAATAAAATACATCTATGACGTAATATTTTCATTACGGAGAGGTTATCTAAAAATAGATTACCGTTGCTGATGCTTAGTAAATTGACCGGTAGTCTTGGCAGTCTTCATTGCTACAACAACGCGAACATCTAGAATATATCTTCCAAAATAGACCACTACTTTGTGATTTATCTGTACTATTTCCTGACTATAATTTAGGTAGAAAATACAATTCAATCGCTATTTCTTTTAAATCCTCGATGTTGCTTCGTTCTGATTCATTATATATAGTATTTCGGATCACCCCCAACTGAGATGGCGGTATCACGGTCGTAGATCTTCAACTGAGAAATTTTTCTGGGGGCTTTTGGATTGGCCGATCTTGTACGGGATGTCCCTACCCCAGTTTCCTTTGTTCCATGGTATAACTAGCGTGGGGGAGCATAGTAACAGACTAGCGAAGACGAGATTGTTCAGGACCCGCTGCCTTGAGCATTGACGATGTCCTCCTGTCAGCGGCTTGTGACAGGGTGTGCCAACGAAATGGAAACACTAGGTCCCTCTTTCACATTTCAATATTACAGTAGTCGTTCAGGGAGACCCAATGGTAAATTCAAGCACGGAATATTAGCCAAGAACCACATCTTCTGCTTGTTGGCCCTCTCATGATATATTCCTTCATCAGCCTCAATACCCTGGCCAGCTGAAATCTAAATGGATCACTTAACTTCTCTTTAGCTGCAGAATATTGTTACATTTTTCTCCACCCGTTCTTTCTGGAATCATTTCAACAGCTTTATACCAGGATACGGTGTATCTGAGGGGGTGGAGACAAGCTTGCCTTGAATACTATACCAAATACGCCACCAATCATGTCTTTTGCTAAACTAGCATCCCAATTTAGCGTCGCAGTGTTGAATATTATTTAAAATACTTATCGTATAGGACCGAATTATCCAAGGGGCAACAAGCAGAAGCGACCAAGATTGTCAACTACCTAGGTGAGGACGATAACGGACACACCGTACATTCGTGCATGGCGACATGCCATGGATCTCCTTGAGCCGGGACCAAAGCATAGCTTAACTACTACCTATACCTGGGTATGCCCTTGCTTTCTTGAAGGAATATCGGCGATTACTCGTACCTATGTATAAGCCGTATACTACGATGTTTAAGGACTTACCACCTCCCTAGGTATCTCAAGCGAATATTCGCCAAATTGAATATCATTTTCTATTCTCTCCCTATTAATCTCCAATCCAAAAGAGATTAGAAGATACTACACAAGCTTGACACGAGCCAGTATTGGACTAACCTATCATGGCTGGTCAACTTATTCCCTACCCCAACGCTACATAAAATTCATATCTCATGCAGGCAGCCCCATTGTCAGATGCTTGGTAAAGCTGGAGATAAAAATGGAACATACTGCGTTTATCACACTACATAGCAGATCAGACCCCGATGTCCTTAGTCAGAATGGAGTTCCATATGTCACCTTACCATTCGAGGCAAACCAGCCCAGTTAACCCACCGCTCGTGCTGATTCTATAGGACTTCCCAACCTTGTCTAAGCGAGAAGCTGGTCAAAATAAGGTTTGAGGTAATACTAAAAGGCTATTGATTCAGGAAAAGGATTTGAAACTTCCCGGTAAAGGGCATAGCAGACGATCGGTGTACAATGTCAGATAGACATGGGTGAGCAAACTACCTAGGTACATCTATCTACCTTACGTGCGGGACGAAATGCATACCAAGGTAATCTAGACCATGAGATTAGCATAGGATATATAGAATCTTCATCTTTTTATAAGTGAGATCGATTCACTTGTTGACTATAATAGGGGAAGATCAGAGAATGCAGTAATACGTATAATAAATACGTCGAAGTTCTTCGTGCCCTCCTTTCCAGTTGGACGTGCGTACCCAAACTAACGCATATGATACATCGAAAGATTAATACGGATTTCTGATAACGGATACTACCCTCCAAGCTCGGGGGAAAAGGGGAACACCACACAACCACAACCACACATATTCTAATCCACATTGTCGGGTCTTCAATAAAACCTGCCGCTTACAATGGTGCCTATGAACAAATATTGGGAGATGACAGACTCAACATCTTCCATCAACGTGGTGGTAGAGCCAGCCTCACCATCGGAGAATTCATCCGTGGACGCAGGACCAGCGAAACGAAAGCGGGCAAGCAAGCCCAAAGTTCGAACCGGATGTATCACTTGGTAAGTCCATCCATTCTGGAAGAATATTTTATCTTCTAGACAATGCTAACCATCATCATCATATAGCAAGTACGTATCCTCTATACATTTGTGTGACGAGACTATACAACCCACTCGAGAATTTCGCCTAGCTTGCTTTCTCTCGCAAGATCACTCCTAATCCGGCCATTTCCTACTCATCATCCATCATCCCTCCACCTTTATTTACTACCAAATAAACTAACACCAACCAACCCCAGAATCCGACGTGTAAAATGCGACGAGACAAAACCAAGCTGCACGCGCTGCGAAAGCACAGGCCGAAAATGCGACGGATACGGGGGTGCTGCGCCGCCGCGGCAGCGGAAGCGCGCCCCCCAGTCGTCGGTTCCACTTCCACTTCCCCCATACGCGCCAACCTCTTCACCAAGTCCCTTAGTATCGCCGACCAATCTCGACCCGTACCTATCTAAGCGGCACGGGTACGCAGCCGCGTACCGGCGTAGCGGATCAAACCTCCGGCCCCTCGCTGCCGATATCGAGGGCACGGAGGAAGAACGCTTGTTCTTCCATCGCTTCCGCCTTGCCGCTGAAGCCGGGCTCGCGATGCATGCTTCGAGCCTTGGGCCGGGGTTTTGGCGGAGGTTGGTGCCGCAGGTTGGACAGTCGGATCCGGCGGTAAGACATGCGCTTATTGCGTTAGGGGCTGCGTACCAGAGTGCGCAGTTACGACAGGAGCAGGAGGAGCGGATGAGGCAGTTGACGGTAGCTACTACGAGTACAGCGACGACAAGAAGTGGGAAGAGTCCTGGGTTAGGTGGTCCCCCGCGAGGTGGTACGCCGGACTCGTATATTTCTACGCCACCACCTGAAGACGACGAGAATCAACGGCATTACCAACGTCTGGACCAACTTGAGCTGTTTATGATTCAGCAGTATAACTTGTCGATTTATCACTTACAACAACATGTACGCCCCGGCTCGCCGCCTTCTAGCGTCGAGGTGACGCTGATCTGCTGCCTTGTATTTGTGTGTGTGGAGACATCTCGAGGAGACGAGGCGGCCGCTCTGGCACACGTCGCCAACGGTTTACAGATCATACATGCGCTACCGCCAGATTTTGAGCCTGCGGAAGTACCGGCTACTGTCCAGAGTAGCAGCAGTATGCCAAGTGCAACAAGTGGATCACCACCGCGTATGCTGCGTGCCGACTGGCGCCGCCTTCTCGACTTTTTCTTAGGCCTTGGGCCTAGCGCTGCGACTTATGGCTTTACGAGTAGCGAGCCGCCAACACCGCCGTGTCCGCCCGTTGGCACGTGGGAGAATCCATTGGAGTATTCGGATGAGTTGGTGCCGCGATGGGATATTGATGATGGTAAAGTGTAAGCAAACATAAATCTAGTTTTAAATAGTAACAATGAAACATGAAAATAATCGAAGCCGAATGATATCGCGTTTGTGATTGAGTACCATAACAAAGACTTGTATAGGGACGGAAATCTCAATTTTTGCGACATGTCTTAGGTAGCTTGAACGCGTAACACGTAGATGTCCCATACTTCACATTGTTCCGGGGGACATCAGTGAAACCGTTGGAAGCACAACCAACTACCTAGGGACCTAAGTACGAGCATAGGGACACATATGCGTGAGCCCTCGGCGAAAGGAAAAAAAACCAACGCCATCCCAACGGCTAGCAAAAGGGGTATTCAGCCGAAGTGGGAAATCAAACACCTATAAATCCGTGAAACCAGCAAGTCCCATTTCATAAGCATTCCTTAGCCTTCATTCACAACCGACCACTTTGTACCTCCTTCTTGAAGATCCGAACGCCAAAGACGTCGTAGAACGCATAATCCTCGATCATCTCTAGCTTTTGTCCTAAGAATGGGCCATCATCCTCGTCGTCTTCGCTATCACTTGGGACGTCCCACACGGGAACCACAGGAAAATGCCCTCCGTTATAGTCGTGGCCTAAGTTGAGAGCAGGCTGCTTGCCTTTAGACGGTCCTTTCTTCGGTTCCTTTGGCGTTTCTGGCTTTCGAGTGATCCTTACGGTTCGCTCATGCTCATTCTCGCCCAGTGCAAGCCATTCTAACTTGAGCTCGGGATGATGGGAAACGGCATCGACGATGAAGCGGCGTGTCTCCCGCATAACTGACAGGCAAGTATCATCTGTCCTAAAAGAAACAAGCTGCAGTGCACGAAGATTGACGAGATTTGGCATAAATTGGATGAATACATGCTAAATTTTGTCAGCTATCTCACAGGGTATCATTATCGTCGTAGTAGAATGAGACTTACGATAGCACGCATTCCCATGATCACAGCCAACTCTTCTAATTTCCTTCCTCGTTTGCAGATAAGCTGTACTGTTTTGTCGTCCACATCCCATGAACTATCGGCCTGGTTCTTGATCATGAGACGTTTTAGAGAATGCAAGTCTGCAAATACCGTTAATAATCTTTCCCTTGACAACATTTGATTATTCATTAGGCCTCTTCGCTGGCGGTTTCATAATAGGACTTGAAGAATAAGCCGTAAGAGTATAACAAATGGTTTGGGTATATACGTACGCTTCTTCAAGACGAACTTTCGGATTTGCTCGATAGTAGTACCGGGGTTTGGCGCGAAACTCTCCGGCTTATATTTCGCCGATCGTTGGAGCATGAACACTTCGTTGACATGGCTTAATTGCGAGACTAGCTGTAGAAATGGTAAACAGACGTCGTCAGTGAAAACCTTCCGTAGTGCGAGAGGTTTTTGATTGTTCTCCTTCGTCATCAATGACCAGAATTTTTTCTGTTCGCCAACATTGAGCAGGGTAACCCGCCTCAGCATGTGAAGGTCAATGGCCCTCCCTAAAACAGAGGCTTTGATAGGAATGAGATGAATGCTAAGGGAGCGCAGGCCAATGCCTCTCGTATCTCGCGTGTATTGGCTGACACTAGAAAGAAGCTTCTCCTTCTCATTAGGAGGCAGTGCGTTTTGGGTGCGGGCGTCCTGAACTTCTGCCGCTATGGCAGTCAATTCACGTTCAATGCCCCTCACGTCCTCAGTGTTAGCCTCTATGCGGTTTACGGTTGCTCTCAGCTGAGCTTCGGCGTCTTCGTCGAGAGGGTTGAATTCTCGCACCTCCTTGAAAATGGCGTTAGTATTTCTCTTAATTTGAGACATTGCATCAAGTAAACTCTGGAAATTATCAAACTGGACGATTTCATTTCCTCTTGTTGCACTAGGTGGAGCAGTGCTTACTTCTGCTGAGTTAACTGTTTCCTTCGACGGTGTGACATCTGTCACACCTGTGTCAACGGCCAATTGCTCTTCGGGCACCGTGATATCGATATCATCTGGGTCTACATCATAGGCGGTATCCTTTGTCTTGCTAGTCGATGGTTGTGTCTCAGTCGTGCCTCCATTTGAGGTCGACTTTGACTCAAGTTCTTTCGACGAAACGTGGGACTCCTCGCCGGTGGGCTTATCTTCTGTCGAAGGTTTGGGGTCGGTCTTTGACTCCTCGAAGTTGACGTATTTTCGGGCGGCCTTTGTGATCAGGTCCAAAGCATCTTGCTGTTCTAGATACGTAAAATTACTTGTACCGTTGACATGTGCTGCCATACGTTGGAAGACTTTGGTGACGTCATCGATGAATTGTTGGCCTTCACGAGAAGGCTGTTGCTCTTTAGGCTTCTCCTCCTTCTTGTTGTTGGCCGTTATGCGGAAATCCCTGACTCGAAATTGTTCCAACTCGAAAATGCGACCTAAAACAGATTCCTGCGCCTTCCGTTCTTCCTGAGCCCGAAACACCCTTGCCGGACCGTTGTTATCGTAGTTAGCGGGCGTGGATAGGGGAACAACTTGGAACTCTTCATCCTCGGATTCGTCTAAATCTGGATCTGCAGTGGGTTTCCGGGCTTGCATAGCAAGATTATCGGAGAAAGAAAGCTTCAGTTTTCTTAGAGTCGACGAAGAATTACGTACGCAAGCCTTGATCTCTGTCACTACGTCGAGATTGTCCATGTCAAGAACAGACAGTGTTTCGAGATTTTTGAAGCCAGAGATCGTAGGTGGCTCTTTCTTAACGTCCGACTTCTTTGAGGGCTTGTTCTTCCACGAAGGCTTAAATACCGGTGATGGAGGCGCCAAGGCAGGAGGAGGAGGACCGTACAGCGAAAGAGGATCGAGTGGGCTAGTATTGGGATTTACCCATTGCGTGGGCGACGGCGACTGCGTGCCTGAGTAAGGAAGAGGTGGGGGGGCTTCATAAAGTGAGGGACCAGCTTGCAGACGAATGTGGAGGTGTCTCAGAGACTTGATGCTATGCAATACTTCGTAGACCGGTCTACTGAGCTCAACCCTAATATTCCATCTAAAGGTATCTAGAGATTGTGCTTTACGCAGTGTGAGAAGGAACAATGTATTCATAAACTTCCCACAGCTAACGTTGGCAAGGTATGGCTTGTAAGCAATAGCAGCCCTGTCGCCAACACTAAGGGTATCGAGGGAAACTTCTCGCAAGTGTTTCGCATAGTTGTAATCGCTTGTGACAAAGGTAGATAAACCGCCGGCGAGCCCATCGATGGGCGAATCGAAGCAGGGATCGTCTTCGTCGGGGAATACAATACGAAAGTTGCGATATAGCTGGGCGGCGGCGAGATCTCGAAAGCGCTTGTTAACTAGTGATAGACAGACCCAGTCGGGTTGATAGCACTATGAGTAAGACACTGGTAAGCAACGTGTATTCGCATGCTGAGGGTTTGGAATTGGTAATCAAATGCGAGTTGGGACTTACATGACCGCAAATTTCCTTCAAGATCTCATCGGGCAAGTCGAGAATGTTAGAGATTTTGATGTGCGTCATAGCGCGATCGTCGTTGGTGGGAGTGGGCGCCATGATATATGTATTCTGCAAGCCGATGAATTCGGCCGCGCAGGCTACAAGCTCCTAACAGCAGACAACAACAGGAAAAATGGTTTTGACTTGTCGATATTTCAGTCCTAGTAATAAATGTCGGAATCAAAAGTTGTATCTAGTCGTATTATTATGGATGTGGATGGTTCATGCGACAGAAGGCTGGTGAAATATGTGGATGTCTCTTTTTTGGAGGATGGCACCAAGGGTCTTTGACTAAAGCAGCTTCAAGTGCTTTAAGTGGTTGGAGTGGATGTTGGATTGTCCACCATAAACCTTAAGAAGTGGAAAGGTATAAGAGAAGAATGTCCTAAGCTTAATTAAGAGTCTTTTATGTGACTCTGATTATGCGAAGGATGGGGAAAGAAAGAAGCACACAAAATAAGCATGCAAACAGAATAAGGGAAGGGAAGGTTGTGCGCGTATGTAGGTAAGGTACCTAAGGAAGGTAAGGAAGGTAGGAAGGTAGGCAGGCTGAGTGAGTAGTAGAAGGTACGTCACGTCACTGGTAAGAGGCAACTACCGGGCCTACCTACCTGCTTCCCCGTGCGGTGAGACTAAAGTCAAAGGTCAATAGGTGGTGAAAGACGGAAAGAGATACGCTCTAGTCATGCACATAGCACTCTTAATCGGGGAGGGTATCCAATGGATCTGGTCAAACTCGGCAAGACCCCGCCGGTGCGCGGATGACGGATGACGGGTCGGCCTGGAGAAACTTGTCAGCTTTCGATGTTGTCAGCTAGAAGTCGTGGATAAAGTGGGGTTCGTACCTAGGTACTCACTTTCGAGGGTGGGGTAAACTCGAGAATGGTGGTACGTACACATTATGTATGTATTGACAGTACCTGGAAAAATGTACATGTAAATTAGATACATCTACATAATTCATCACCTCTACGTAGTTACTCGAATTGGGTACATTATCTATTGATTTTGATAAAAGGGGATCTAATTACTCTACTGTTTAATCTCGAAACTTCACTTCGAGCAACATCTTTTAAGTAATTGTCCCGGCTACCTAACCCGGGTACAGACAGCAACGGCTCGGCTTGTTACCTGCAGCAATCTGTACCTTAAAACTAATTTGACCGGACATTCAACGAAGATCCCAGAAGAACCAACAACTAAACGAAAAGAAATACTAATATTGTACGTGGCTAGATAGATATGTACTTTACATTTTGATAATTCTGTTGAAATTCACGGCCTTTGTAGTAAGGTTGACGCTCTATAGCAATCATTACCTGACAACATTGAAGGTAATATCATGTATGTGACATGCGTACGTTTTAGTCAAGGGGGCAAAAACGTATGATGCTTTGCATTACCTTGGTTTGATTTGATACTTTGTCGTGTATTTTTCAACGAAGGTTACTTGAACACTATTTGACTTCGAGATATATAAAATCTCCATTGTTCATATGGGTGGTATTAAATTCCCGATGGACTGGGAACCCTAGTGAGAGAAAACGGGGGTCCTCGATGTTATTCGTAAGAGCTGATACTAATCCGCTAATACCATTCGATACTAGCTTAGATTTTCGGTTCAGTTAGCATCTTGGTTAGTACAATAAATTAGAAGCAAGTCACCGAAGGATCGTCACTCCCCGCTCTCACAGGGCTGTGCTAGCTGTGCCGCTCCGCCTCTATTATCAGTCGAACTCTAAAACAATTTACCACTAATTAGACCAGACTTACCAGACCACTAGCATCCGATATACTTCCATCCTTCAACAAGAAATACCTTAAACTTAAACCCTCTCTTCATTGCTTTTCTTACATGCGTGTTGGCTTAATAGATCCCCGCGTTGGTTACTTTTCGCGGTCTACACATTCTCTAGATTCTGACTTGTTTCTTGTGCCAGTCAAACTCCAACAGTCTCTCGTTCTTAATCCCTTACCAACTAAATTTAGCGTCAGCCCTTTAATGTTACCAACGTTACGAATTTAATTGACACGACACTCACATGGACGAAATATTGACATTCTAATCGATCACTAACTTGAGAGGTTTAAAGATACATTCTGTTACTTGTATTCAAAATGGCCGACGTCGAAGAGCCCAAGTTCAACACCCTCGCGGATCGTATCGCGGCTCTGAACCAGCAGAAGAATTTCACAAGTCCTCCAACTGCTGGGAAAAGACCACCCCCACCACCTCCTCCCGCAGCCGGCAAACGTCAACCGCCTCAGATTCCAGCCTCGAAAGCGAATAATAATGTCCCGTCGCAAAGTCCTAGCCTACCTGCCCGGCCTCAAAAGCCAAACCCTCCAAGTCTACCGCGACGAACCAATACATCCGCGTCCGCCGTCGAATCCCTACAGGGACGTGATGCGCCACCACCGCTTCCGAATCGCGCCAGTACTATGCAACCATCACCTGCTCTTCCAACCCGCAGACCATCAGCACAACCATTGCACAGCAGAAGAGGTTCTAACTCGTCCGAAGTATCCCACGTTTCAACAATTTCAAACCTATCGTTGAACCCTGCCTCATCTCGCACGAGCACAACATCCACCGACACACAACCCGCTCGAAGAGTCCTCGCCCCAACGCTAGATCAAGCGAAATTGCCACCCCTCCCGCCATCGAGAAAAGAAAGAGAGGCACAAGCCGTGAGGGACGCCGCAGAAAAAGAGGCTACCGAAGTTGTTAAGGCACCTCTTCTAACGTCACGCTCTGCTCCAGCAGTGCCCGCTGTCGGTGGATCGCGACCTGGTCTACCCCCTAGACTGCCTTCAAGACCCGGAAATTCTACCATGCATTCGCAAGTTGATGATAGCCCTTCTGTAACCCCACGACGTCTTCCTCCTCCGCCTTCGGCATTTGTGCGCCCAAGCACTACATTCGAATCGTCCTCGAGACCCGGTCCGCCTGGCCCAAGACCAGGGCCGCGGCCCAGTGCAGACGCCCCGCCGCCAGTCCCAGTCAGCTCGCGACCGACATTCGCCCAAATCGACGCAGTCGCCGAACGAACAACTGCTGATTGTTTAATATGCCGAGACTTTTCGGGTCCCGATAGCGTAGCCGCGCAATATCCTAATCACTCGCTTCCAAGACACGACCCAGTCGGTTACTTAGCAAACGTGCTTTGTGGTCCCTTTTCATCAGCCACAGATAAAGCAAGAGCTATCTTCACTTGGTGTCACCACAATATTGCTTATAACGTAGAAGAATTCTTTGGGAAGTGCATTAAGGGTAGGAATGTGGATGATACCATATTCTACGGGAAAGCTGTTTGCCAAGGCTACGCAGAAGTATATCAAGCAATAGCGCAACGCGCTGGGTTGCAATGCGTTGTGGTCGGTGGTCATGGAAAGGGTTACGGATACAAACCGCTCGGGAGAGGCGAGGCGCCTCCACCTAAGGATCCTTCAGGACGTGCGTATATACCAAATACCCGCCCCATTTCTCCCGTAAAACCATCAACCTATGATATTATTCCCTCTCGTCTAACATCGTAAACCCACGATCTTAAATCTCCCATCAACGCAATCGCTAATCACAAATACTATAGACGCCTGGAACGCGGTTTGCATAGACAATGGCGAATGGAAATTACTTGACGCTTGTTGGGGTGCAGGCTCAGTAGGTGACCAGAAATATCACAAGCAGTTTAAACCACAAATGTTCTGCTTAAGCAACGATTTGTTTGGTCTCAAGCACTACCCGAGGGACGACCGATATTTCTTCCGGAATGACGGGCGCATCCCGACTTGGGAGGAGTACATGATCGGACCAGTTCAAGGCGAGAAGGCCGAGTTCTTCGGCACGGCAATGGATGAGGGTATGTCCGAGTTCAATTTTAGCCCCGCCCTGAAACACATCCCCGTTTACAGCGGTGAGGTGGTACGGTTCCAATTATCTAAGGTCTGTGAACACTGGATCCCTGAGCGGCATGGGAAAGGGAAGAGTCATCTGCTACTCATGAAGATCCAAGGAGTAGACGGCAGGAAGGAGGATTTCGTGCCTATGCAGACGGATGGGTTTTGGTGGTGGGCGGATATACCGGCAAGGGATTTGGGTGCTCCCGGACAGGGCATCTTCTTATATGCGTTGGCAACGCTGAATAACAAGGATGCCAGAGGTGTTTCAAAGGAGGAGTATTATCGAACTATGGCTAGCGGTAGCTATAGCATGAGCTGGGCGATTTATGCTAAGTGGGAATTGGTGTAAATGTGTGTATTAGACATGGCTTTGGACGAAATATTGGAGATGACATCTCGGATACCCCTTAATATTTTATACATTGCTCGAACACATGGCTCTTCACTTGTATCATATCTGTATTATAATTGCGTATATAATGTATTATACGTCCTCTCGCCATTTGTGTTTAAATGATCCAATTCACTGATATGAAAGTCGGAGGTTCGGAGACAGGCCCGCTCGGAGTTGAGACGGCTAATTTTAGGCACTGTCTCCGGGTATAGAGGGGCAGCATCGGAACTGTAACTCTAACTGTTCTGTATTTTCTAATTGATAGTAGCTTTTTCCTACGTTTAATGAACATTTATACTTAAATGTTTGGCAAATGGAATGTATTTCCCCCTTTTAAAATAATAAGCATGCCGAACTCGGCTTCGAGTGATTCTTAGTCAGCACAGCTCCGAGATTGTTTGCTAAATCTTTGTAAATCGTGTGGCTTGGCATACCTAATAATAAGGAAAACTCCAGCTACGAACATCCCTTCCTCCTAAACGAATTTCCAAGGGATTGCTCCCTCTTATGGTTCAACCGAGCCAAACTCATTTTGTGAAAAGAGTATCGTAAAATTGAATTCACCATGGGACAAACGCGTTCGACTTTCCAGAGCATATTGCTCTTCCTAGCTGTTCTTTTCGTGAGCGGTGTCGTAGCTAGCCATAGCTCCGAGGGGAGTTCCGAGAGCGCGTCGCGTGCCTCGTTTAGCTTGGATGAACTGGAGGAAAAGCTTCAAGTACGATCTCTAAATCATTCCAGCTCAATGATATTCTAATATTCAGTACTAGACTTGCTCAATTGTACAAGAGCTCAACGCCGAGAAGCTTGCAGGTGCCTCCGAGACCTCGACTTTGACCTCCCAGATCTTCGCAGTACTATTCCCCGGTAGCCCCGCCGTAAATGCTCTCCTCGCAACACTCTACATCTCAGGACCACCCAACTTTCTATTAGCACTATGCCCGCCCAATATCGATCCTTCTTCGTTGTCAGTTATGGTGGCATTTGCTGTGGGAGGATTGCTCGGTGATACGCTCTTCCACTTACTTCCCGAGATCTTCCTCGGAGAGGATTCCCCCGAACATGTGCGATTCGTCCTTGTTGAGCCTAACCGAAACCTCCTGTTGGGTGTTGCTATAATGGTCGGGTTTATGACGTTTGTGGCTATGGATAAGGGACTACGAATAGCAACGGGCGGTGAAGGACATGAGCACAGCCATGGAGGTCATTCTCATGATGCACCAACACAGGCCAAAGCTACTTCAACCTCCGTAGAGGTTTCGAATACGGAACTTACAAAGCGTAAGAAGGGTGAAAAGAGTGCCCCTAAAACTAAGAGGGATGACGAAAAGGAGATCAACCCGAGTGCCAAGCTGGGAGGTTATCTCAATCTAGTGTGAGTTATGGGTCCCGTCTTTGAGCCACGTTCTCCAGGGTTACTCATCTATAATATAGTGCCGACTTCACACATAACATCACCGATGGGCTCGCCATGTCGGCGTCTTTCTATGCCTCACCTACTATCGGCGCTACGACTACGGTAGCCGTGTTCTTCCACGAAATCCCCCATGAAGGTAAGTCGTCGTGATTTAATTCCTTCGTTGCTCATAATAGGTCCTAACCCCTTCTCCCTTATAGTCGGAGACTTTGCTCTGCTCGTACAGTCTGGTTTCTCAAAACGGGCCGCGATGGGCGCTCAATTCGTCACGGCCCTTGGAGCTCTCCTAGGAACCCTAATTGGCATTGCTGTTCAAGAATTCGGCGGCGGCAGCGCAGACGGCAGTGGAATCGGGATGACTGGCGGTATTTGGGGCACTAGCCTTACATATGGTGACCTCTTGCTCCCCTTCACCGCCGGGACATTCTTATATGTCGGGACCGTAGCCGTGATCCCGGAACTATTAGAGACTGGATCTAATAAGGCTCTCGAGCTTCGGAAGATGATTGTGCAGTTTGCTACTATTGCATTGGGTGCTGGTATCATGCTTTACATTTCATGGGATTAAGCATTAGATTCGGTGACATAGAGGGATTGGTTATAGAATGGGGTTTTGGGGGTAGATATGTGAATCTATAGATTTACGAGTCACATTTGCTTACTATGAGATTCGTAAGTTGATGTGGATCGAGAGAATACTTCATTTCACTTACTAAATCTGGTTCCACTATTTTACGCGTCCTTTACCCAGCAAGCAAATATTGCGAAACGGTGAACATCTCGAAGGGCGGAAAGACCCATCACCAGATTTTCGATCAACCTTCGGTATCCGTTGTAAGCCGTGCTTGTAGTGGAGACGGCCTAATATACTGACGAGAGAGCCAAGGGGCGCCAAGAAGATCTAGCATTGCAACCCGTTCCTGCAGGTCTAAGTCCCGTTTCGACTGCCTGGAAATTGTTCTGGACCTCGAGGATTTACAGCACATACATCCACTATTGCCTGCCTAAGTAATTTTTATCAGATCAGTCCACGTGGTATGCTAGTATGTTATGGTATCACAAACATTCGAAAGATCGAGGGATCGTTTTGTCGAATTGAAGGACTATTTACCCACCTGACTGAAAGAATCAACCCATTGATATATATTTGTACATAATGAACTCGTAATTGAGAAATTCTTTTGTAATTGGAAACAAAAATAACACCCACATCGCCGTGAATTGATCAGCTCCACGTTTCCGCTTCCTCTTGGTTGGTTGGTTCGCCAGCAAGGTATTGGACTTGTTACTTAGCAGAGCTAGGGTTTCTATTTGCAGGGCTGGATTGTTAGAAGTGGAGAGCCGAAGTCGGAGTGGATGCTTTACTAGGTAAATACAGTGTCGATTTTAAGCTCTAACTAGCTAAATAGTAAGTACTTAGTTAGAATTACAGCGAAAAATACCGTGTGTCGCATACAGTATTATTTACATGTCCTAATTCTAACGCCAGCCACTTTCAGAATTATCGCGCCTTTTGGAAACAGAACTTTTTGCGTCTTATGACTCTTCCGGTCTGTAAAGGCAAAATATCCATTACCAACCATGGTATGGAGATACCCACCAACGTTTATGCAATTAGGTAATTATAGCTCGTCGCCGCTTTAATAGCTGTGCAGACTCAAAGAACCTTTAGGACCACTGTACTGGGATCACGTCTTTCTATTGCTAATAGCAACATCATCCTTTTAAACATCACATCATCTATTTGTTTTATGCCACCATGTAAGAGGCAATCCTTCGTTAGGATCATGACTAATGAAGAAATGAAGAATTGCATCTAAACTAGAAAAAGAATTTGATCAAAAATTGCCATCTTTTTAAAACTTGAATATAGTATCATTGAACATATGAAAATGAGGAGGTAATGCTCCATCAATGACTCTTCGATCGAGATTTAGCAACTACCTTAGGTAGGTTTCTTCCCGATTAAGCAATTAATAGAGCCCATGGCTGGATGCGATAGGTCAATAGACAAGGTTTTTAGGCGAGTTAGCGCATGTCAAAATCGAAAGGGCGCGCGTACCTAGGTATAATAATAAAGTCTCTACCAGATTATTACGTTAGGGGGTCAAAATGTGGATCTCAGCCCCAGCAAGAAGCTGAAGCGGTCAGGTTTAGGCCCTTAAAGTTTAGGGCTGGGGGGTTAAAGATTTATACTAGGCCCGCTAGGGGGCTGACGGAGGTCTTCCCGGGAAATATTTTTTTTCTCTCTTTAAACTTCTCCGTTCAAGGAACATCATGTAAGTTCATTCAAACCCCGTTGTCATGGGGTAGTAGAAGCCGAAGGAGGGCGTGATACCCTTCTACGAGCCGCATGACTGACGCAAGTCGATAACACATAATCAGAATGATTATTAGACCAGGTTTGTTTATGATGCTAGATGCAATAGTGTCCTCGAAAGGCGTGGTAGACTTTCTTACTTCTCGAAGACTCGAACGTCCTCCTCCTTACTCCACTAGCCTCCCATTGGAACATTTTACGTACGATAATTGGATGGATCTTCCTTTGGAGGTAAAGCTTCGAAATGGTCACCTTTAGAGGTCAAGCGTGCAACTAAAGGATATTGTCAAAGATACACCATCACCAATACCTACAGCATCCAATACACCCCCAAGCTCCAAAGGAACAAGACCCAAGTCCCCCTCTCCGGACCCCAGACCCCGAATCCAAAAAATCAAAGGCAGGCCGGATTGACAAGTTGATTGCACTTCTGCAATGGCGCGATAACCCCTGCTCTTGGGCAGATCCGCTTCTATGTCAGGCCACCAGGGTCTCCATCCAGCGAAAGACACGAAGGGCGGAACCTATCTAAATAACATAGTTCTCCTTACGTCAGAACGGAGATGCTTTGGCTTTGTAACAACCATCTTTTATAACTGATACTAATACCAAAAAGAGGTAAACATTCTCAAACATCAATTTTTTCCTTTTATTTTAAAGATGACTCAATAATTACCATCAAGCAAGATTACCCGACTATACTTCATCTATTTGATCTATAATTATATATAAATTGTTTCATTCCCATTCTCATCGGCTGTCCTATACATACCACCTGGGGGCTGCATCAAGTCACATCCAGTCACAACATATTCTATATTAATAATATTACAACGTCGTACTACTATCACCACCAATACCGAATACCACAATATCGCCATTCAAAGTAACGCGGCGAAGTCGAGGCTACGGCAACATCTAATTATATAATTAATTATATACCAACATACTTTTTGACGGTTATTGGAGATAGAAAGCTACGCGGACAGCACTTATATAATTATTACTTTCCTACCGCCTGACCCCGCAAGCTACTGTCGCAAACATCACTGAATCTCAGAGGAAGCGCAGGCTCTACACTATTTTGAAGCTTCTGAAATTGGCATACAGCTCCAAAAATGTCGTCTACAACAGCTTCAGAAAATAGCAAAACCGCATTGGGCGGTTACGCTCGCAAATTATCCATCATCCCCAAGAACAACATCAGCATTTCTATCAACAATCATTACCACTCTAGAGTTTACACTACCGGTTCAGAAGTATCGGGAACCGTTACCATTAACTCTCAGACCGATACGCGCTTTGATACACTTCAGATTGTACTACTCGGAACTAGCAAAACTCGCATAGACGCCGTCAACATCCCGCATGCTACTTCTCACACATTCCTAAAGCTCATCATGCCTATTCTAGAATCTTCATATCCAGTACCTCGAAAATTCGAAGCAGGCATGAGCTACACGATACCATTCACATTTGTTATTCCCAGCACACTCACACTCAACGCGTGCAACCACCAAGTCGCCAACGATTCAGTTCAAGAGCATCACGTGCGGTTACCTCCTACTGTTGGATCTTGGGAAAAGGACGATTTTGCGCCGAATATGAGTCGCATTACGTACGCGGTCAAGGCTCGGGTGTATAAAGACGAAGTGGCGGATGAGACTAGTACGAAGCTTATGGAGGCCAGCCAAGAGATCAAAGTTTTACCCATGATCCCGGAAGATGCACCGATAAACGTCACCAAGAACGATGATTTATATACCATGTCGAAGAGCAAGACGTTACGGAAGACTATCATATCACCCAAGACGGGGAAGGTAACGGTTACAGCCTCACAGCCTAGCGCCGCTATGTTGAGCCCTGATGGACAGACGATTACCCCGGCTACGGTACCACTCGATCTCGTGTTTGAACCAGCTTCCATCGATGCGCAGCCGCCGAAGGTAACGGGAGTAGCAGCAAAGGTCACAGCGGTAACGTACTTCAGCGCTGTTGGTATCAACCATTACCCAAACCTCAAGGATTCGCACCGCACATTTGGTACCGAGGGCCGCGGCTCATACTCAGGGACGACGTCTGTAGCTAGTGGACCGTTGGAACAGGTTCGATGGGGTCGGCATCTAACGGCGCAAGCAAGGAGAGATTCAGGATACGGCAGTGACGGTGGAAGCCCCTCGTCTTCGGACTCGGAACATAACACTCATCGTACTACCACCACTACTAAGAAAGGCACCAAGGGACGTCTGCCATCACCGATCTATCACTCGGCGCACATGCGGGTGCCAGTACAATTACCGGCGCATAAGAAGACTTTCGTACCGACTTTCCACTCGTGCATCACCTCGCGCGTATATGTTTTATGGGTTACGGTTACGTTGGTCTCAGGAGGAAGCAGCGCGCATTTAACTCTCGGCGTACCGTTACAAGTCGGTGTTGGTTCCGCAAGCGATCCGCACGGAGACGGCGGCAACGAGGCCATATTAGCATCCCTAGAACCTCCGAGTTTTGAGGAAGCGAATGCAGACGCATATCTACGCCCGCGCGTTCTGAGCGTGCCTACAGTCGAATTTCACCGCGATTACAACCAAACCCAGCATCGTGGGGGTGCTGTGTTACCAAATTATGCCGATTTGGATTACTATCACCATCGGAGACGAACGGTAGCTACTCACTGAGCGAGCTACGACTTGTCATATACTATATAATGTTTGTTTTGTTCGGACTATTTTTCGTCTTGCCCGGAGGCATCGGACACGGGGCTTGATACCACGATCTTTGGATACGATTTATCTTGGGTGGAAATTTGGCGAGCATGGCGTTTTGGAATAAGGACAAGAATTAGAATGACATATTATTGTATATACTTCTAAGACTCTGTTTTACATTCGATTATGTCTACCTAGGTAGTATTTGGGGTGGCTGGTTTCAACTTCAGGGGTTTTAGGTACGGAAAAGTTTCTTTAGGTGGCTATTCATTTTCAGGACGCATTCATGAGCTCGAGATCTCGAAATTCAACATATTAAATAATGGTAGTTACATTACACACACATAAAATTACTACGCCCATCATCCTTATTGTGAAATGTTGGTGATATTTCAAGTTTCAAATTTTAACCCCCTTACCTTTCTTTGTTTGTGTTACCAACCCGGAGTTTGTGATACCTACATAAATCCAAGGAAAGCCAAGATCATCACTTATTTAGTCAGCCAAGGGATTCTAGACTAGGCGTGAAGATCCGCATTAGGTAGGCTACGGAAATGACCCTTCCTCGAGTCAGGACAAAGCTACCTCACCGATGTCGGTAGCGAAATTTGGGTTACCAACCCGCTTTGTTCCCCCAGGCTCGATACTACCCTCCGCATCCACTTAATAAATGCATTAGGGTCCCGTCCCGCGAGCCTTGGGACTTAGCGTCTTCTTGTTGGGATGTAAAAGATCCTATCTCTGGCGGCGTGACTGACTAGCTGTACGCCCTTGCGTAGTCGAATTATTGAGTGCCACGCTTAGGTATACCTTACAGGGCTTAGTCGGAGATAATGAGTATTAATCAGCGAGTGACTACTGATCGTTAATAATCTGGCTGTGACTGACAATAGGGCGTGTGATGGAGGGAACTAAGTAAGCTCGGGGTAATGCATCACGGATGAGTCTTATTTGATGAGTTTGATAGTTATAACTTCACTCACGCCGATAAAGGGTATCGAAAGCAAGTACTTGCGCGGATGCGAGATGTACGGCTCGTTTGAACGGCCTCACAACGACCCATTGGTTATCAAGCTAGAGTACCGGAGTATCTCAATATACGATATTGCGGATATGGGAGTAGTTCCTAGAGTCCGTAAATACCGGTATTCCGATTCTAAGAATCAACCAACTCCAGTTGGTATCGTCACGAATTTGTGCCTTTCAAACACCACGCCGAAAAAAACGACAACACCGGTATTATTGTTCTTTAATTGGAATATTCTAAGTACTAAGATTTGGGTTCGGAATATTTATATGTCTCTTTAAAACTCTCGAGCTTCGGGGGAAATGTATATTCTCCCTGTATATCTCTTAGGACGCGCTGTGTAATGCGACTCATTCTTATGAAAAATCGCTACTCTGCTTAAGCACCTGGATTGAGGTCGTCTCATTTACTTTATTCATTTAGTATTTTTGTTGGTCACTACATAATGTCAATTTGCCAGGTATAGATCTATTCCCATGTTGAACTGCGAACGCTGAACTCTGTCTCGAGAACTCCTTGACAGTACAGACGAAGTGACTGGCTATACACATCTCAAACATGACCTGGCGTCACCATAAACATCAGTGGTATTTTGGTCTTTTTACGTAGTGTATTCCTTCTGGAGTAATTTGGCAATCGTATTTAATCTAGAATCATTGTTAGTACCCACGTCTCGTACTGATTTAAATGGATTCACTTACTGGATATTGCTCGTTCCCTCATAGATGGCTCCAATCTTGCTATCCCGCCAGAACTTCTCAGCAGGCCCTTCACGTACGAATCCCATACCACCCATCCACTCAATCGCCAAACCGCTCACACGTCCTGCGACCTGGGAGGCATATAATTTCGCCATAGCCGCATCGCGCACAAAGTCCTCACCGGCCTCCTTCTTGCGGGCGGCGTTGTATACTAGCGCACGTGCGGCTGCGATCTCAGTGTACGATTGAGCGATCTGGTGTTGCATACCCTGGAACTCACCCACCAGCTTGCCAAACTGCTTCCTGTCATTCCATACATACTTGACCGCGTTCTCCCACGCACCGAGTGCTAGGCCTGTCATTTGGGCAGCGATACCGATACGTCCTTCGTTCAGCAGACCAATAGCGTACTTGTATCCCTCGCCCTCCTTACCAAGGAGATTATCCTTAGAAACCTCAACATCGTCGAAGTTAAGCGTGCACGTGCTACTCGCGCGGATACCAAGTTTCTTCTCCTTCTTAGCAATCGAGAAGCCCTTGGTATCTTTCTCCACAATGAAAGCCGTGATACCCCGGTGTCCCTTACTCGGATCCAGATTCGCGAATACGATAAAGAAATTCGCTTCCTTCGAATTCGTAATCCACATCTTGCTCCCGGAGATCTTGTACCCATCCGCGGTCGCCGTGGCCCGGGTCTGTAGCGCGAAGGCGTCGGATCCGGAGGCCGGTTCGCTGAGGCAGAAACTACCGACGGTGTTTGTGGCGAGGGCGGGGAGGTAACGTCGCTTTATGTCGTTGCTACCCCACCTGAGGATGGCTGTGTTGACTAATGTGTTGTGAACGTCGACCATGACGCTTACGCTCGGGTCTACGCGGGCTAGCTCCTCAATGCCTACTATTGCGGCCGTGAAGTTCATCCCGGCGCCTCCGTATTCCTCGGGTATTTCTATTCCCATTAGACCCTGCTCGAAGAGCTGTTCTACTAGCTCTGGGTCCATGTTCTCGGCTTCGTCCATATCGCGGACTTTTGGTAGGATCACATCGTTGGCGAACTTGGAAACCGTTTCTTGCATGGCGGTTTCGGTCTCGGATAGGTGTGTTATGGGTGTGGGTGGGATGTCTGTTATATCTGTCATCCGACGGGCCGTGGCGGATAAGGGCCGTATTCTGTAGAGGTCGGGGTGTTAATGTAAGTCGTTGAAACAGAAATTGCCTATAATTGGGACGCTTACTGCCGCGCATTGAAGCTCTGCGCTGATCTACTACAACATCGTGGCGTTAGGGAATTGCTGCGAGCTGCTATACTACTACCCCGCCGTAAAGCCGGTCGAAGTAATCTTGCAATAGATGACATCTTGCGAACTAGCAATTGATAGCTAGAGGTGTTGTTTCAGATCCTACAATTATCGGTTACACAGAGAGAAGCTAGAGGGTTTTGTAAGATTTTAGAGTAGGTAGAAGAAGAAAGTGTATATATTTACAACAAAAAAAAAAAAAAAGCAAAAGAAAATAAAAAAAGTCAACTGACTTAGTTTCCCTTCTGCCCCGGAGTTTGCTTTCCCCCCTTGACCGCCGAGCGGCTTTATTCTGCCGAGGATAGCCATAGCTCATGGGCCGTGGCTGCAGAAACAAATGTCCACTGGGGGGAAGTCGCGCTGACGTCGATCAACCGAAAGGTACAAACCCATGTATCTGGGGAGGCGACAAAGAGCGAATCAGATCCCCGCACCTTCTCCGCCCCGGCTAGGTACAACCTAGGCATGTGAATATAGCTTAAATTTAATTGGGTCCGGAACCAACAGATAAGGAACGGAGCCGCGATACGAATTGTCGGTCCGATGTCACCTGACACTGAATTTTCGAATCCTTCGTCAATTGCAATTGGCATTTTCCTTGGCGGCAGCGCATCGTGCGAAATTCCCTATATCAAACCGCATAGTCGGACCTCAGCCAACGACCAACTACGACACATTATGGCTGCACCATTATTGAGATATCTCTGGCCGTCGCTTGCGAGGCGGCCAGTTGCGATACTGACGTCTCTCCCTAAACTCCCCGTGCGCTCATTCTCGACCACACCCTCACCGAATGCGACCCTGAACCAAGTTCTTCGAGTACGTCTCCCCATCCTGCCTCGACAACAAGACCCGACCGGATTTGTACGAATATAATTAACTGACGGAAATGAAACAGGGATGCCGTAAACCCCAACGAGCCCGCCACGCCGTCTCCCCAGCTCTATCATCGACGAATTGCCCGCAGCAAAAAGGCGTATGTCTCAAAGTCGGTATCACGCGTCCGAAGAAGCCCAATTCAGGCGAGCGAAAAACTGCTCGTGTGCGTCTCTCAAGTGGCCGTTTGATTACTGCATATATCCCCGGGGAGGGTCACAACATTCAACAGCATTCCGTCGTTCTTGTCCGTGGTGGTCGAAGTCAGGATTGTCCCGGTGTGCGGTACCATTTGGTTCGGGGGGCTTTAGATTTGGTAAGTTGGCAATTTCCTCCGTGATAATTAAATGGGGCTTATAGTCGTAATCAATGGTTTGTGGGTTATCTTTGCTAACTGGTGTATTTGTTAGGCTGGTGTCGCCAATCGTAAGTCAAGTCGAAGTAAATACGGAACGAAGAAGCCAAAGAAGGCATCAGTTGGCACATAGAATAAGACGGGGGTATATTATCACGAAGTTATATGCGGCTGGTCTTGCAAGATCTTGAGGTATACAACCCGGGATTCTAGGCATGAATTGTACTCTTACATGATGGGATATAATAAATAACTTAAGTACTTCCATTTCAGATGGCCACACTGTGAACTTGTATCTACAGATGAAAAAACAACTAATATCGTGGAATTGACGAATCCATGGACGCCACCTCCCTTAGCCCCGGCCAATACCCCTATTGAGCCATTGTGATGCATTTATGATATACCCTCATAATTTGAAAATGATTAGCATCTACTTTACAATCATTTTTTTTGGTCTCGGCTTTTCTTCTAATCCTGTTCTTCCTCGTAACCTTTTGGTTTCTCGAGCCCGTTGACCTCGAAATACCTTGAAGTACCTGGTAAAAAAAAAGTTAATAAAATCGATTCTAGGACATGAATAGATTGAGGGACACTCACAGGAATATCCCTTCCAGTCAAAGTTTTCCTTAGGATTGCAGTGGCAGCGAAGATCTAATCTCGTCTTCTCGCCTGTCGGGCAATGAGTGAAGGGAACGTGGTAGTAAGCAATATCGTCGAAGAAGTGAATTTCTTCCTTCTTCAACAATAGGGCGGCGGCAATGGAATGTACTGGCGCATCGCCCCACCGCTCATAGAAGAAACCGCCATCCATATCAAGCGATTCGAAGAAGTCGACGTAAGCCTTAGATCGCAACCAATCTAAGTTACCAACCTCAAAATTGGACCACTAGAAAATAGTTAGTTAAGTTATTAGTATTTTCCGAAAGGTTACGTACGAAATGGCAATGGTTGTAAGTCTCGCCGCCGTCGTCACTCAGGAAACCCATAGAGTTACCCTCTGCGACATGCTCGGGATAGTTCTTCATGAATTTCTTCACGCTATCCCAGAGCGTAGGGATGGTCTCAACGTATTCGTACAAACTAAGGACGAAACTGTACTTCTTCTTGTTCTCGGCCATGAAACGGAAGGGGTCATAGTGGACATCGCAGAAAAGCTCAATGCTAGGTTCGACTCTCCAGTACCATTCGTAGTTGAGCATAAGCGGTTGACGGAAGAAAAAGCCTGACTCGAAACGGCACATGTGTCGGTAACTAACGGAATCGCCGTAGATGATCTTGCGCTGCGCCATATCCTCACGAACCTTCCTTGCCTTGTCCTGATCAATGTGGTCAGGAAAAGACCAATGTTCGTGAGGAATTTCGCCGTAGTAGGTCTTTCCGGAAACGAGAGAACTGGTGACTTTCTTGAAGGTAGCATCAAATGGCTTATCGTTTAGGAAGACCCAGTCGTAGTTGTATCGGCGATTGAAGCGATCCTCGACTTGGCGAATAGAGCGAGCGATCTCCCACACGTCGCTGTTTCGGGCAAGACTGACAAAGGTAGCGTTCATACGAGGACCAGGGGCAGTTCCTAATAGCTCATCCCATCCTTGGTCTGATGGCGATAGGGCCATCGGGGCTTCGGCGAGGTCCTGGAATTGCTTGGGAGTACCAGTAGCTGGCTTCGATGGTGAACCCTTTGTAGATCCCTGCGCATTGTTGGATGTGTCACCCGACTTTCCTCCCCAGCTGGACGATACTCCGCCAACATCGCCTGCCAATTTTTCGGGGTTCGTAGAAGATGAGGATGGACCTTTACCGACTCCGAACGACGACGGCCTCAATTGCTGTACTCCTTCGTACGAGGAATGGGAAACGAAGTAAAGGACTGCGAGAAACTATATGTTGCGATTGGGGTTAGTCCTTAAGATTAGACTCCAAATATGATTCATGGATAAATAAATATCTGGGTGACTTACGAAAAAGGCAAAGAGAATATATCTCACGATGCGCGCGCTGCCGGCGGCCATGATATCGAATTTCGACCGACGACTCACTCGCTGTCGAAAAAATGTAGCGGAAGAATACTACCTAGATGTTTTTGTTGTTCCAGGGGCTAGAATATTGCGCCGGCCGGAATAGGGCGGGGACCTCCAAAGGGGGCAAAAGTGGTTAAACTCTCTTTGCTAATTGTTACGAAAAAAACACACAAAGGAGGCAATTAAGTCATCACTGGGGACTCAATGCAACTGACTCGACTTCGTACACATGAGCTGGACCGTGACGTGAACAGCCAAATTGGCCAAAGGAGCGCAAGAAGAAGAAAATAATGAAGAAAAAAAAGAACAACTAGTAGATTAAGGTAGAAACAGGTGAGCAAGTAAAACACGATCTGAATACGAAGTTGGGAGACAAGGTATAAAGTGGATTAGGGGTATGTACAGACTGTACATACGCATGTATAATAGTAGGAGTAGGGCTATCGGTGCTATCGACTATGTAGATAGGCAGATGGAGGCCTTTTTGCAGGGTACGAGTGGACTGGAATGGTTGAATCGAAAAGGGAAAATGGAGACAAATGGATTTAAAATTTCGACTTGAATGGATCGACGCGTCAGTGTGGAAGGTGTAGAAGTGGGAAGGCCTAGCGAACTTCCCCTATCCCCTGTCTGGCCTGTACGTTAATCTGTTACTTGTACCTATCTCCCCACTTTTTATGAATATTATGTACGACCTTAGAACCTACGGTAAGTGCGTCTGGATCTGTGGAACCACCTCCCTTGCCTTCCGCATCAGAGTAGGAGGTATTCTTAGGGCTTGGCACGCCGTATTCCGCCCTCCGTGCTCCGTTGCCGACCTTTTCAAACATCTTACCAATTCACGTTATCGTCTCCGGCATCTCAATATCTGCAAGACCGAAGTATGAATAATAGTAGATAAACGACGATTTCTGAATGACAATCATGATTACACTTGCCGTCGTACCATTCTCAGGAGCATGTGTAAAACGCTTGGGTAACCTGTCGAGTTTGCTTCAAACGCTAGTCTTTATGTGGTTTTCCGTGGTCATGGCTTAACTGTATTGAATGTACCTTTTTCGACGTTGAAAGTCACCAACATCAATCAAATATTATGAGAGATACATATAAGTATATACTTAGCCTATCTCACAGAGCTTCTTAGTCTCCAGGGCTATCGCATCTCCGGCGGGTCCGCCCAAAGGCTAATGCTGACGTACTTTACTAGGTACATGGTGATAGATACGCGTCGCATCTAATTGAACCAGACTGATAAAATAAAGCCACCGCAACACGTTACTCATTGGATTTATCTGTAAGTAATTAGGGGATCTCCCTTAGGCGCAGAAGGATGCTATAAGCATACGCGTACGTAAATGAGGCGAGACCTTAGAGAAATATATCAATTGTAGGTAAGTGGCAGGTTGATGGAATGTCTGACGAGATGCTCGAATTAGGGGGGTACATTCAACATTGTTATTTTGCATGGTTACTAATCCAACATCGCACATTGACCCTTAACTTTGTGGTCAACATTGAAGCCGGATTTCGCTTTCCAAACCAATACATATGCACCTAGGTAGGCACGTGACCAAGACCGAACATTTCCAGGATTCCTGAAGCTTATTCTAGGGTAATTTCTGAAAATACGAATAAAAAACCGTATTATATCTAGGCAGTTTCGGGTATTACATAAGATCCACGAGTGAACTGTATTAAACGCCGAACTCTAGCTCATTATGTAATATTGCGGGTACTTCCCTGTACCCACCTACAGCTACAGTGCGTGAAGAGCTTGACTTCTCAAGCTTGTGGTCAAAGCTCATCCATCTAGAAATTCACCACGTGATTCGGATCGCATTAATATTTGACCCTACCTTTAACCTCTTCGGATTATCGAATTGATTGGCTCATCCACCCCAAGCCTGACGCTCTCTCAATTCCACCAAATTGGTTGCGAATTGTTGCCTTTCTGATCTGGTATGTCTATTGTCTTTGGTAGAAGTTGACGACATTCTTCTTCAATCAAGCTCCTTTAGCGTCCTTGTGTTTGTCGCAAACTTTTTTTATTATATTTTCGCAGCAGCAGGAGTTTTCTCTTGTTGTTTCAGCTTCTCGCACTGAAGCTTTTTTTTCTTTTCCTAAAAAAATATTTCTGTCGCATTTCTCTGCCACCTTGACTTATCGTCACCCCTCCCTCTACCCTGAACTTATTTCACTCCCGCATCATGATCCAGCAAGGATTTTCGTCCATGATCTACCGAGTTTTCCAGTTCTTTTAGTTGTGAGTTTCCATGAAGCAGATACCTTGCAATCAATCAGATACTGCTTTGTTCCTTTCCCTCCTACATTTATCATCACCCCTCACCTCGCGCCTCTCGCGCCTCAGCCGTGCGCGGATTCAACCCTATCCCAAATACCTAGCTCCGCTTACATACCTAGGTACTATAAATGATTCTCGATAACTACGCGCCGCAAAACCAATTATTTATCCCATTTCTCCTCGCGCACGGCTCTTTCCAAATACTATTTCTAACGTCTCATATTATCTCCGATTTCCTATCCAACCGAAATCTTATCAGGTCTAATATCATCTATATCTACATTTGTATTTCGTACTGACTAGCTACGTTAGTTCCTTTTACCTAAACCCTACAACCTACTTACTCGCCTACTGTAATTAAGACGAAATTTAGGAGTGTTCTACGGCTTGCACAGATTCGTCATGGCTTACAACGCGAGTACTTCGCGCCATGATATGGCCGCCCCTGGCTTCGGCCAATCCTACGATCCCTTCGCCGACCTTTCGCGAGAGGCGGATGATATCGATGACGCTCTAGACTTTGACGATACGTATGATGGGTTGGGTGACCAGTTGGATGAGACAGACGATGCTTTCAATGACGACACTTTTGGTGGTGCTCCTGGCAACGTGACACATGCGCCAGTTGGCAAAGATTTTGATTTCTTTGGTCAAACTGCTAAAGTCGCGAATGCTATCGAGGAAGAACATCAACGCTTCAGTCGCCAGCAACCGCCCCCGAAATCGATCCCGGTTGCCTCGGCACAAAGCTACAGTTCCGGATACGCGTACCAGCCGGCACCGAAACCCCATAGAAGTGGTTATGAGAAATACAAGGAGCCCGAACCTATTTCCGACCTTCAAGTTGACGCTTCGATATGGGGAGTTCAGCCGAAACGCGCCACTCCGGTGGTAACAGCCCAACCTCAGCAGCAACAGCCACAAGCACCTCCGCAACCAGTAGCTAGTCGGAAGATGATGAGTCTAGAAGAGGTTGAAGCGGCGATGCGAGCCCAGGCAAAGGCTCCTGCTCAGGTCCAACAGCCTCAGCAACCTCAAGCTGCCCCCATGGTCGCCCCTGAGCCTCAGATTCCATACCAACATGGTCATTATCCTCGTCATGAATCGGCAGACTACCGTCAGCAGCCACAACAATTGGACAACAGCCGCCAGCCCCAGGGATTTTTCCCTGTCGACAATCACCAGGCCGCTCAGGGGACAACCCATGGGCATCCCATCTCAATCTTGCAACGCCCCGGATCGAAGAGCATCCCACCCACTGGTCCGAGTATTCCTGGTCCTCCATCTCAACAGCCCCAACCTCCTATGGGATTCCCAACACAGATTCTCCAGAACCCCAATCGTCTCCCCGGAGAGGCTGCTAGGATTAATGTGCCAACTCACCCGGCCCATCGACCTCAAAACTCGTTCTCCCGTCAACCTCAAGCAAACGCAAACCAGCCCCACCTTGCGAACTTAAGCGAACAGGAGAAATCGGTCTACCTTGAGGCTGAGGCGAGACGAGCCAAGAGAAACCACAAGATCCACGTGCTTTCAAAAGATAATGGTTTGATGACCCCTCAGGATAAGAGCTTTATCACTAGAATTCAGCTTCAGCAGCTCGTTTCGGCTACAGGCGATCCTAATGAGCATGGAACCGATGCTGCTCTCGCAGAAGATTTCTACTACCAAGTTCTTAGCTCTCTACGAGCAGGTCAACGCCCAAACCCAGACCAACCCTTGAACAACTTTGCCCAGACTTACCTTTTCCAAACCGGCACCCGCCATGGAGGCATGCGACGCCAGGGACGTGGCCCTGAGAATCACATACAACGTATGGAACAACAGGTCCTACGTGCTGTTGAGGCTGCTAAGAGCAAGCCCAAGAACAAACAGCTAGTCATTGAAGGTAGTCTGGGAAAGATCTCGTTCAGCAACGCAAAGACACCTAAGCCTTTGCTCAATATCAAGCGAACTGAGAGTGGCACCGACGCAAATCGTCCTGGTAGCGCACACCGTTCACACCCAACCGCGAACGGCACCGACAAGAAGGAGACATTGCGAAGCATTGAAAAGGTCTACCTCACTCTGATGAAGATGGAAGACTTGGACCGTAACATGCCCCCACCCCCCGTTAATGGTAGTCCCGACCCCGACTTTGAACAACGAGCTGAGCTGCAACAACAACTCCAGCAGCTAAATGAACAGCTTTGGGGTGACCTCAAAGTTCATGAGCCTATTGGCGCGACATCCATACACCCTTTCATTGCCTTCCTATCCTATCCTAAGGGCAAGAAGGCTATCGGTCGCGTATTCAATCATCTTACGCTCGAACAACAAACGACTATTCTGACCATGATTGTTATACATCTAGACCAACTAGATGTCGTCCGAGGTGCACAAGTCCAGACCGGGGAACCAATTAACCTCAATGCCGCTACTCGGGAGAGCATTGAACTTTTTATTGTAGCAGTTATGCCCAGCCTTCTGCACCTTCTAAGCAAATCCGAGCTTCACATCGTCACTGGTGTGCTTGGATTAATCACCCAGAATTTGAATGTGGACCTTGTTGCACGCACTCGCATTGGTGTCTCGATGTTGACTATGATCCTCAGTCGGGCTGAACTTGCTAAGCAAGCCGGACAGGCGAATGAGCAGTCCTGGCAACAATGGTGAGTTTGAAGATGATTTTCATTTTATATTTCATAGCTAACGACATTCTAGGGTTAACATTTTCAACCAATTCTTTAACGCCTTGGAGCCGACGCTCCCCAACATCTTCCCCGGTACCGTGGCGTCTGGAGAAGATATTTATGTTTGGCAGTTCCTAGCTGCTATTGGTATTGGTGCTAGTCTGGAAGAACAGCAACGACTCGTTCTTGCTGTGAAGGAACGCGTCATGGATACATACAGTCTTTCTAAGACTCTACCCCCCGACATGGCAAAGACGCGACTAGACAATGTCAATTTGTTCATGCGATCTATTGGACTTGATGTTGAGTTATTGGAGTAAGTCTTGAACAAGAGATTGAACGAGACCATTCCAAACGAAGAAGAGTTTAGTCCATCCGATCGATTTATTGGCGGGCGATGCGTTTAAACGAAAATGATGAAATGGAAAGAGGCGATGGATGGGTGGATGTTCTCAGTACCGCTGCGTTATTCAACCAGATATACTGCAAAGAGACCTGTGCGAAGGATTTCTAGCAGATTGGTGGGTGTTTTAATGCCTAGGATATGGATTGTAGACGGCAAACGTCATGTGAACTCTCGCGAGTTCAAACAGCAGTGCCTATATCCAACTAGCGGGATGATAAGTAGAGAGGAAGGGGGTCGAATTTATAGCCGATGGTTTTGTCTGTACTACCAAAATTAGGTAGCATGTATACGGACAGTTATTGGGGGAAGAGGCACTTATTGCCTATATCGTGCAACATAGATGCGTCTGGCTTAGGGGTTTTGCTAGAACATATCCGCACGTTGTTAACACGTAGGTAGTAGAGTTAAAGAGACTCAAAAATAAACCGTCTGAATTACGGAAAAACTGATCAAATTAACATGGCAACGTGAATGCAAGGTGTATCATTAAAATATCTGAACGCCGACCCATGCAGTTCCCTAAAACTCCTGAACATTGCAAAACCTAATGAATTTTCCTATCCTCCTTTTACTCCTTGAAAGCAACTGACTTGCCCCTCGCCCCCGGCCCTGCTGCTCTCTTTGCTGTAGATGTAGCAGACGGTCCAGGAGTCGAGGTCGTAGCGGCAGCTTTACCTCTTCCTCTGACTGGACCGGGCTTCTTCGCGGCTTCAATGGGTGCCTGGTTCTGTACCTCAGCCTTGATCTCCACCTCATCATCTTGGAGTATTCCATCTCCTTGTTGATTATCGCTCAATCCACTAACAGCCTTCAAGAATTCATCTTCACCCCATTGCGCAGTGTATTTCTGCGGCGCGATATCCTCCATCGCCACATTACCCTCTTCCTCCTTGTGCTCACCATTAGCTTTGCCCTTGCCCTTGGCATCTTCCGGTGCAGCACTTGGGTTTACGGCTTTCCTCGCGCCGCTGTATACGAGGCTGTTGCTGAACATGCTCCAAGCCTTCTCACTGTACTCGTCTTCGTACTTTAACTTTGACCAAGGCTCGATCTGGACTTTGCGCAGGCGCTCGACCATGGTGTCGACGCTAGCTTCACCGTTGCCGGACCCTGCGCTCTTGATCGACATGTGGATCGCCTTGGCGGCGCTGGTGCTGCCTTGTGGTTTGGCGTTGTCGCCTGTTGCGCCTTCTTTGCTAGCTGCTCCTGCTGCGCCGGATGAGGGGCCTGCGGCGGCTTCGCGGGGGCGGCTTAGGCGTTCTTGTTCTGTCCAGGCGTCGAGGTGGTGCATTTGTGGGCGGAGGTGGATTAGGGATGTCGCGGGGGTGAGATGTAATTGATCTGAAGCAGATCACTCTTGTTAGCCATAATCGCAAATTCGGATTGTAAGGTAAGAGCAAGAATATTGGTTACTAACCTCCTTTGAAAACGCCGACCATCCATCGACAATTCGTCTCCTTCTCAGGCGAAAACTGACCACCCAACGTCTGGGTTCGGAGTACCTTGTCCTGACGCACAGCTTCGCTCCAATCTAACATGCTTATTTCGCGCTCTAGATCATCCGGTCGCTTTGCGCCGCCACGACCAGCACCTCCTGCTGCTCCTCGAGTAGGAACACCAACACCGAAACCACCAGCGAGACCGTGTGTCCCTCCATTCTTCGCCGCGACACTACGCGCAAGTGCGCTGCCCCAGCGCAATCCTTTCTCGCGATCGTATGCAGCGTGGCCGTGGGACATAGGAACATCGACTTCGAGGAAGCCAGAGCGGTCTTTGACTCGGACTTCGCTGATTCGTTTATAGGGCATACGAATGGTGCCTTGTAAATTCGGGTGTTCGAGAACTAGGAGCTTGCGGTTTTCGGGGAGTTGAGGGTTCGTATAGATGTCGTAACTCGCGACGATGGGATCTAGCTCTGCATCGGTGGGTTTGTTATCGGTCTTATTGATCCCACCATCGACGCCGTCGCTATTCTTATTAGTCTCCGTCGTGCCGGGCGTGGAGGAGCGCGAGTCGATTTCCATTGTCGACATGGTCGCTATTTTCTTTCTTCCAGTTACGTGTTACTATCCAGGTATGGAAATCAATATGTCGACTTGGATTGTTGTGGTAAGGGAGGTGAGTCAACTCATTTTCCGATGTTGAAATTGTAAGAAGTGATGAAATACGGCGGCAGTACAAAATTATGATGAACTTTTTGGCGGGGCACTTGCTTATCGGATCCTATGGGGCTTATCAGACCGCTAAGTTAAGGTTGTGCCTTGCAGTTTAGGAGCTCCATCCCAGGTACATAGGCCCTGTAAAATGACCCCTCCAGCTAACCCCTCAACGGCTCCCCCCTTTTTTGTCGTAAACAATTGTGTTAACTTGAGCTTCAACGTTCGTGATTATATTATTACGGTTTCTATATTTCTTTCATTTCATTTATGTACGCAACTAAATGTCCAGTTAGAACATGATTGACCATTTTCAATCCATCTGATTTTTTTTAACAATGGTTAGTTTCGTTTATATAACAAGGCGGTTGCTTTCATTCCCAACAAATTCTCATACTTTTCCGTGAATCTCCTGAATAACAACACTCAACCACCCAGGCACCATCTATACTTAATACAAGACTAACCCTGTGAAATTTTATAATAATGTCCACTTGATTTTTGTCCTTAGACATTGAATTAGAACTACCTAGGTATGATTTAATAACAATTGCATTGCAAACTCAATAATTATACCTAAGTAATTTTACAAACGCTGTCTGGGTACGTAATTAGCTTGCTAAGTTACTTAACCCAGTTAGAGGTGCTGTGGTTGTACCGCTAGATGATGCATCTCTAGTGTTGTGTTCCGCTATAGTCCCTTCCTCTTAGTGCTGTATGGCTAGAAGTCCCCCTCAGACGGTCTGGGCTTGAGTTTGTACTCCCCCAGCGACCTCTTCTCCTGGGAAACCCTCTTCGAAGTATGTCAGGACCATATCATCGTAGTAGTCCCATCCTTGCGGCTTAACGAATTCCAAGGAATGAGGAGCTACTTCCCACGGCTGCTGACCGTTTAGGATCACATCGAAGTAATTCGATGCTAACTTCATGAGTTGACCAAGTGTGTTTCTAGAAAAAATGCGGCCAAGATGCTTCCAGAACTTGCCCTGGTCGCCTGCCCGCGAGAAGGTGTATTTGTATCTCAAGGAAGGAGATTGGAAGACAAATGAAGTAATATGAACACAGAGGTTAGTTCTCACCGCCAACCAACTAGACCGTTCATGAAGCGGGACATCCCATTTGAAAGGGGCCCAAATATGAAACCCAGACAATTCAAGGACAAAGTCTGGTCTTGAAGGCTTTTCGACAGAAGTTGTGTCGAGTCGTAGTACCCATGATTCTTTATCGCCGACACGTCTATCCGGCCATATCCCGTAAGGATTTTTTCGAGACTTCTGTATATCCTCGCGGATTGGTTCGGTCCGCATACGCCAGCCGCGACCGCTGTATTGACGGTGCAGATCAGTCCATTGCCAGTCCACAGGCTTGAGGGGCAAAGTCTCATGGTCGAGGAAGGTCGACCGAGGGAATATCGAATAGGCTTTATTCCAAGATATAAAATTGAGGCTGGCAGTGGTAGGCGAGGTGTGTAGTATCACGCGGAGAGGTATGTTGCTCGTTACTACGATCTTTATGCAGGGATTCGCAACTCTCTTTCTGGAACCAACCATTTTCCAGCGCAAAAGTATGAGATTCTGGATTGTCGGTTAGTTCAATTTAGAAGCCGCAGCTCCTTTTTAGCATATTACCTCGTCAACGAGCTCCCCAAAGGAGTGATTGGCGTCGAATATGACGTTCGAGTCATACTTTTCCACTGTTGTAAGGTACTCAAGTAATCCTTCCAGGTCCTTGCCCTTCTGAACTACAATATCCAAGCCACCATCAAGCCACTTTTTACGATCAAGGAACTGTAACGCGAATTCTCCCTAAATCAGGGCGTTAGAGTGACCTAGTTGACTTCTAAATCGAAGCGGGTGTTTGACAAAGCGCTTTAATCTGGTATTGATATCCCATTCGTTGTAAAGAAAATGATGTCGCATACTCCATGATGTTTGGTATAAGTTGAGGGCGCTTTTTGTGTCAAGGTGTCTCATAATGATCGATCGTGGCTCATAGAGGTTAAAGATCGTCCAAAGGTTCGGGCGCTTTCGAGGTTTCTGTTCCATGATGTGGAAAGGTCAGATAACAATAAATTGTTTAGCAGGTTTAGGTTAGGTATTTAATCAAGCATATGGGGGGTACATGTGGTGTATGAAAATGTAGTAGAATAAAGTATGGAGTCGTTCTAAAAGGAGAAAGGTATTAAGATATGTTGATTAATGTCCACTGGCAGGGACTCTCGGGTTAAGGTTTAGCGGGGTGGCAGGGTGGTAGGTACTGGGCGCTATAATAGTACCTAAAGAAGCCCTTGTGGCTTCCTAATAAAGCACCGTAGAGCCGCTATAAAATCTTGTCTACATTACTATATACGCAGCTGTTAGGCTCTCTACGACACCTAAGGCAAGTGCTTAGGTACCTGTCAGCCTAGTTCCCATCCACACATTTGGCTTTAGTTATGAATCATTAATAGCATCACAGACACAACGTACGACGAAATACAAGTAAGTGAAATATGAGGCTCCATTATGCTCAGAAGGGAAACAAAGCTCATAAAAATATATGTAAAGGATAGTACGGGTAAATATGTCGACGTAAAGCCGAGTACAGAGAATATTACAGAATGAAAAGTGTCCACCCCGATCCCAGGCTGCTACCGCAGCTCAGTTAGTGAGCAGACGTCTAAAATTACCCCAAACCACCCTCCTGATTTTGGTTTTAAATGAGCCCCCCTGGAAATTTTTAGGTCAGTTAGTCATAACTCCGAACTCCCTGTTTATACGCCAGTGCAGAGAAGAGCGTCGCCGAGGAGGGGCAAGACGCAGCACTCGGCGGTTAGGCCGATGGCGGCGCAGACCTCGGTGAATTCTTCGAGGCTGTTAAGATCTTGGGCAGCTATTGATAGACAAGTGTTAGTGAATGGTTAAGTGAAAAGAATGTGTGCTATGGGTAAGAAGGTCAGACTTACGGCTCTCGCAGGTAACATCGAGGATACCGTCTACATCAAGCTGGCAGCAGAGGGGCTATATTAAAAAGAATTAGCGATCGGGTTCTCACTAAATGATCGATAAAAGGCGGTAAAGGAATTCTTACAGTGTCACCTCCAGGGCAGATCTTGCCAAGGCCACCTGAAGGAGCAGCGCTGGAAGATGCGGGGGCAGGGCTTGAGGCTGCGCTGGCTGATGGCGTGCCAGCAGGGCACCCCGCTGCAGTCGTAGGCGTCTGTGTTGGGTACTGAGTGGTTGGGTAACCCTTCTTCTCCTTGGACTTTGAGTGCTTTGGCTCCTTGGTCTTAGACTCCTTAGGTTCCTTGGTCTTGGTGTGCTTCTCCTTCTTGCTGCTAGAAGGATAGGTCTCTGGAGTGGTTGTAGGGTAAGTCTCCGGAGTGGAAGTGGAATACTGGACTTCAGGAGTAGAGGTCGAGTACTGAGCCACTGGAGTAGAGGTTGAGTACTGGGCTACTGGAGTTGATGTAGAGTACTGGGTCTTCTTCTCAGTAGTGGTTGGGTATTGCTCCGGAGTGGAGGTGGAGTACTGGGGGGTAGAAGTTGGGTATTCGGCCTCCTTAGTGGTGGTTGGGTACGTGGCTTCTGGGGTAGACGTCTTGTAGTTGGGGTTTGCTACCGGGCTAGCAGAGGCCACGGCAGCGAGGACAACAGGGAGAAGAGTCTTGATCTGCATCTTGATGAGGTTTGACGAAGTCTGCTGTGCTTGGGGAAATTAACGATAGTGCGGAGCAGATAATACTGTAGATAGGATGGCAGATGTTGTACTTGTGACTGATGATGTTATAATTCTTGATATAGGCAACGATACACAATGGGGTTCTTATAAGTTGTCACCATCGTGGAATTTCTCCCCTTGCCATGTATCCTCGGATATCCGGCCATGGAATTGTGAGATGGTTCGCTGCGAGTTTGTAGATCCCATTTTCAATAACTTACACGCTATCATACGCCTACTTCTAAAACATTCAACCCTGATTCAGCCTTGCGGTTAGGATTGACGCAAATCTTCCACGTTTGTAGTTAGAAGCCACATGGAAACGAGGCATTAGTTAGGTTAATGATATTTATGGCATTGTATTGACTGCTCGATGCTATTCGAGAATTAGTAATAATTAACTCAGACAATAATGTTATTTCGTTACGTTGTGGCTAAATACGATGAATAATACGTATAGAAACCAACAGTTGGACTGGTGATGCTCCGTGGATGGTGGGCATGCAGTGGTAGGGGGACAATTACAATGGACAAAGCAAGATCAATGCAAGATCCGGTAAATTGCATGGTACCGCATCGTTGGGACTCTGGGGAACTAGGTATGTACCTAGGTACCCAGTAGTCTCATAATTCAGGGGTGTTCCAGGCCTCGAAATTCGTCGCTAGCGCCTAAGACAGGCAGCCACTCTTACAAATATGGACATATACATGCTAGAAATCGAAGGATTATAAGCCACTCAGCTAACTAAAAAGAACAACCAAATCCATCACCCCAATGAAGGCTTCTATATGGAATTGTTAGAAGGCATAATAAAACCAAACTCGAGTTTTTAAGACAATTTAGAGAGTGATCGCCATGAACCTAACAGTTGAGAGGTGGGAGACGGAAGACAAAAGGGGAAATTGCCTATTTAGGCGATACTTATTCCAATCTGACCAGTCTGAGCCCGCTAACGCAGCGCAACACGAGAGCTACTCTACGAAAAGCATCACTTTCGTATTCACATTTTACAGGGCCAAGGCATCTAGACAGACAAAGCAAATCCGTAATTTGAGAACTAAGTCGCGCTCTGGAAATGGGACTCGACAAGAATAACATTATTTTCGCCAACCTTTAATTTGAAATGGCTATCTATTTTCTGAGTCAACACACCGAGACGTAAGTCAGTGCTGCTGATTAATATTAGCTAGTCTCATCAATGTAAATAAGACCGCAGATGTATTGATTATTACTGAGTAGTTATGATCTATTGGCAGCATGGGAGACACCCTCTTCTCTTATTCTATACAAAACACACTTTGTTTACCATTAAATGTTACCAATATTCCAAAATTTACGAGAGAACCTTAGGTATCTTGATATGCCAATTTAAAATGTCAGATTAAACACTTTCTCCAACAACGCCATTTAACCACCCATACTTAGTGGTGTGTTGTCCCTCTTTTACTTATGAAGGCTTGACGGGGACGCTGCCGAGACTTGTCCAAGGACCGTTTTGACCGGTAGTATCTGAACCGCCGCTGGTGGGTATTTGCCATTCTTCAATTTCTGCCCCATTACCCTCATCATAAAGCACATATACCCTGTCGTCGACGAACGTAAGATTAGCTGCTGACGTTGTTGAAAGCCCTAGGTATGTCCGATTTGGTCGTAATAGCTTTTCAATGCGACTTTGTGCATCCACGAAACCGCTCGTACAATTCCATGAAACAAGCGTGAGGTTCTTTCGGTCTATAGACGCAAATAGAATAAGGTGAGTTATGAAAGCGCCCGTATTAGTTTGCGCACACTCTGGGAGGGTGTCTGGTGTGAAGTAGTTTCGATTATCTTCGGTGGTGACACATATTGGCGTATGAGGCGCAAGATCGTAAGCGGTATCTGGGGTTTCCGTCAGCACTACCGGACTATATAAACCATAGGCGGGCGTCGCTAGACATTGGGTTCAACTTACTAGTAGCACTCCCAAGGGCGTTCGTTTCTATGTTGTATGGGTATTGCTTCATCGTCCCGTCCGTACCGCCAATATACAAACGCAAGTCCCGTCTGCTCCCCACTGGCGCGGCGGCAATAGATGAGCCATCCTGGATCGCGATGCTTTGCTGAGTCTTTTGCCAAGGTTCATCATCTGTGTTGTTTTGAACGTACTTGGCCACTGTCAAGGAGTTCGCCCCAAGTTCTTGGAAGAATACGGCCAGTACTTGGAGTTTCGTGTCGAAGTTTTGGTACCAATATGAAAAGAGTGATGAAGAGTTAGATATTGTGTAAAGTCCGCTAAAATTGTCGTCGCCCCAAAATCCGACTTGGTCTTTGTATGGAGATTCGCGTTCGGTCATTGATCCACCAGGTTGAGCAAAATACACATTTTTAACCTGCGACGGAAATTTTACGCATTAATACCATAAAAATGACATTGAGAGCTAACAAGCGAAAGAGACTGATAATACATACTAACGCATTGCTGGTATTGGTATGAGGATATCCCGCCGCGGCTGCGAGTGGTGTGCCCTTTTTAGCGTTACTATTCAAATCGCTGATCGCCGATACCGACCATGTATGATTGTCGGATTCCCAAGCGGACTCAAAGATGTCCGTCTGATTGTCCAACTGATAGTAGACGCGATATTGGCTCGTATTAGATCCGTCAACCCAATGAAGAGCGGCGATACTTAAGTTTTGGTACGTGCTTGCTGAACTGGAATCTTTACTGTTGTGAGTAGCGTAATATCCCCCTACTCCACCTCCAACTGCAGCGGCGACGACGACGAACGAAACGACACCAACTACAATCCAAAATGTTCTACGACGGATTCCACATATCGTCGGAGGCGGTGGCGGAGGAGCAGGTGGTGGATCACCATTATTTTGATGCGAATCTCGTAGTACTTCGGGTGGTTCGCTGGCGGGAGTTAGGATTTTGCCCTCTTTGGACGATGGGCGCGCGATAGGGAGACCGTTGGGGTCATTCTCAACCCATACTGCCTCTGGGTCTGTGTTATGACTATATACCTCGAGACCGTGACCTTGAACTAACGTATCCGAGTTCTGGACGACTTCGAGATTGCTGTAATCCGGCCTCGAATAATATAATCCGGATGCTGCCATGTTAGGGCTGCTGTATTTAGATAGGAATCAAAACATTATGTCAAATGATGGGGATAGTAGTGGAAATACAGAACTGAGCAGACACTGATAGCGGCAAAGGATTTGCAGAGATACTCCTCTTTACATAAGTCTCTGTTCTCCAGTATTAACCCATGCCCTGAGCGTCATTGGCAAAACAGAAAGTCCTACATATCATGACAGAGGTAGCTCAAGATGTTCATTTCCTAGATGGGCCAAGCGACAGCATCATAATGCTTCAGCTCCCCTATGAGCCCTGTGGGACTATGAAATACAGTTAGCTTTGGTAGGTTCCGTCGTACTACAGAAGCTACAGTGGCACAGATCGAGATTTTCTGGGGTTTCAAGTGATCCCCCAAACCAATTAGAACCGTGGCTGCTGAGGTGAGATTAATCTCGGTTTGCCGATCGCCCTGTTAGCCTAACGAATAAGGCCTGTAGACCTAAATCGTAGAGGTTACCACCTCCATCAATTGAATCCTCTGCAATGCATCGATTTTTCATCCTTTCAAATATGGATGGCAAGCCGAAACTGTTAGGATGTTGCGTAACGAATTCCTGAATATTGATGAACATTCTCCAAGTTGTGCGTATCTATAATTCGAACGAAACGAAGGAAGCTGAAGAACGCGGACGACGATCTTTAGCTCTATATTCTAAGTATACCTAATGTACCCTTGGTTAGGTAGCTGGGTCCTCTAAGCGACATGCGCCATGTATGCTGTGTGATTGGGCAGATCGCACTCTACGCGAGCTTCACCGACAAGACTAGGACTACGGATCGCCAATGCCATTGCACCACATCTTGGTCTTTTGAAATACATATACTTAAAGGGAAATATTTCGTTAAACTATCATTTTTATATAATGATCACATTGAAATTGGTTTCAACTTACATCAACAGTGCCATTAGTATCATTAACTATGATCACAACTCTAATGCATCACTTATTCCCGAGTCCTCCCTGGTAAACCCCCACTAAACAAGGTTCCGGGACGGAACGCTGCTTAAGGTTAGGTGCCTAACGCACTGCCGAGATATACTGAAGTCGCACTACATAGCCCGTTTTTAGTAGGCCAGTTCCAGGTACACAACCCCCCTATCACCCCTACTAAACATAGCCCTACGTGCGTACCACAGAGCCCAGCCCTAGAGATCGTCGCCGTTTTTATATTTGATTTACCCACTTATCTCAAACCCACTGTTGCGTATTCGAATACGGTATGCCATAAGGCTAGGCCCTGATCTTTTCATCCCCCCAATTATTCTTCCTCTCTTGTTCGAGTATGGTCGCCAGCGCAATATGTTAGTCTGGAGCATAGTGACCCTTTTGGTCTATTATTTCTGCCCTGTGTCTCTGGCTGCTGGAAATGGGATCGGAGCACATTCCTGGCAGACATGGGGGCCTTACCGACCAAATCTCTATTTCGGAGTCCGCCCGCAGATACCCGATACGTTCCTGATGGGGTTGATGTGGGCCAGTGGTGAGAATCGAAACAAGATGTTAAAGAGTAAGTGCACCACCACACTTGTTCCTTTCATGTTCCCTTACTCAAAACAAATCCACAGCTCTCCGTGACACGTGCGAGCAAGATGATGCTGTTCAAAGATATGGCTGGACTGCTTACGATACGCGTGTCGGCGGTTCTCAAGTTATGCACGACAAGGAACTTCACATTGGTTTAGAAACGGATTTTATCAAGACTAGAATTGGAGACAATTGGGCTGTTCGCGTCGCTGGAACTCCTAGACCGGATGCTCCCCATAATGTGAAGACAACTGTCATCTTCCACACAGCCGTTGAGAATTCAAATGACGCGAAAACCATTATATGCGGAAGTAAAGATCTTGAGGGCACAGACAGAGAAATAACATGCCGTGGAGAAGTTGATGCACTCGGCTCGTTCGAATTCTCCGTGGTGGGGGATGCCCAGAATAATGTCATCCACGCCACCTCAGTAAATAGCATAGAGGTACCCGAGGACAAGATATGGCAAGCCAAATGTAAGAACCTCAACAACCTAACATAACCCAACTTTCGAAAACCAAGTCTGACAAATAAGCAACACCCACATAGCTGTTTTCAAAGATCGCGTTACCGCACATATTGGGAGTGGGGATGATAATGTGATGATCGCCCATGAACCAGGCATTGGTAACATGCATTTCATTCAATTGACATTTGAAGGCCCCTTCGCGCTCACCTTTATGTATCGTGCTTCAGGTGCTGTCGTCTTGCGCCGTGAGTAGCCCTTCATACCGATTGGATTGAGAGCATAACCTAACTTATTACTTCTTTTCAAGCGAACGTCGTAGAAAAGGGTCTTGAAACCTTTCGTTCTGCGTTTCCCACAGGCGTCGACAAAGTGTTTCCGAGAGCGGCTCCCTTCGAAGATGAGAAGTACGCGAATTTTTCGCAGGCATTATTATCTAACCTTTTAGGTGGATTGGGCTTCTTCCATGGAGACAGCAAGGTGGATTACTCCCGCGCCCCCGAATATGAGGAGACAGATGTCAAATTCTGGGAGAAAGCTTCAGCAGCAATGGCTCGTGCCCCGATCACGACCACAACGCCCACATCGCTTCTATCCTTCACTCCCTCCCGACCATTCTTTCCTCGCGGATTCCTCTGGGATGAGGGTTTTCACTTACTCCCGGTAATTGAATGGGATTTGGATTTAGCTGTGTCCGTGCTTGAGAGTTGGCTAGACCAGATGGACGAGGATGGATGGATTGCGCGCGAACAGATTCTAGGCCCCGAAGCACGCAGCAAAGTGCCCGAACAGTTCCAAGTTCAATATCCGCACCACACTAATCCACCTACCCTCTCCCTATTGTTCCCAGTATTGATCTCAAAACTCGCCGGAACATTCACGTATACCGGTCATCCATCTGATTACGTACCATTACCTGCTCAGGCTAAGGTCATGATGAAAAGGTTGTACCATCCGCTTGCGCGACACTATAAATGGTTCCGTCACACGCAAGTTGGGGACTTTAGCGGTAAATACCCGCGACCCGAGGGCGCGGTGGTGGGTGAAGGATACCGATGGCGTGGTAGGACACCGATGCACAATTTAGCTAGTGGATTAGACGACTATCCCCGAGCGAATCCGCCCCACCCCGGCGAACTTCACGTTGACGCGCTCGCGTGGGTCGGAGCTTCCGCGCATGCCCTTCATCAGGTAGCAGTATATCTCGAGGAGGAGGAGGATGCGGCCATATATGAGAAACATCTAAAGGAAGTAAAGCATAATCTTGATGTGTTACACTGGGATGCTATGGAGCAAGCTTACTGCGATGCGACTATTGAGGGTGATAAGTATAAAAGGGTCTGCCATCATGGATACATTTCTCTTTTCCCTCTACTTCTCGGTCTTATAGACGCAGATCATCCGAATCTACCGGCCGTCCTGAGTTTGCTATCCGATCCTAGAAAACTGTGGTCCCCCCACGGGCTGCGAAGTCTAAGCGCCGCGAACGAGTTCTATGGAAAAGATGAGGACTATTGGCGTGGCGCGGTATGGATGAACTTGAATGTATTGGCTGTGCTACGTCTCAAGGATATAGGTTTGCAAGGCTACACCAGCGGCAAAGAACCAACCCCCACGCAGAGTGAAGCACTGTCTCTCGCAGCCCAGCTAAGGGAGCTTGTGGTGGAAACCGTGTATAAGAGTTGGGAGGAGACAGGCTTCTTCTGGGAACAGTATAAGGATAAGACTGGCAAAGGGAGCCATAGCAGAGCTTTTACGGGTTGGACTGCTTGTGTAACCCTCCTATTAGGTGTCGATCTTGCAAAATACACCGGGAACAGCCCGGAGAGTGCTGGCGCCTCGTCGTTTTGGATGTCTAATTGGGCTTTCATGCTCGCTTTTGGTCTTCTAATAGTTGCCATGGCATCTGGGAAGCGGGTGGTAGCTCGGGTAATTCGAACGATGAGACAGTGGCGAACGTGGAGGCAGGATTGGACGAACGGGCGGAGGTATGAACAGGTTATAGATCTGAGCGAGCGCGAGCCCCAGTACTAGGGACTCTAGTTTATGATTAGCTATGCGTTTCAAAAAAAAAATGAAGAAAAAATGTATTGACCAATAACATTGGCTTTTACCTACTACGGTACTGGACGCTCATCTCAGCACCGATATTCTTGACCATATCGAACCATCCCCCACAACAAAACGTACAATAAACTAGCCACCTAGAGGCGATGGTGAGATAGTAGGTACACTAGGCCCCGAGACCCTTTAGGGACATGCCCAGTAAAGCAAGCCGTTACAGAATCTATATGTAGCGCTTAGGCGTCCTGAGCGACTGGCCAGATATAAATTGTAATATCTCATTGGGCTGTGTGACGATCGGTCCGTTTCTTTCTCCGGTGTGGCTTTTTTCTAAGATCTTCCATAGGTGCCCAGTATCCAGCCTGCGTTATTTCCTACCATACCAGGTAATCTTCAAGCCAGGGACATTCGATTGCTCGAAAACATGTCATCGTCTCATCGTTCCATCCCTCAGTGGTTGAAAGACCGATTTGAACATCGTAAACACAAGCGATCGTCCAAGCAAGGCACACGAGTATCCGACCATAATGCCTCCATAGCCTCTGAATACGGTCCTCATCAAATCATTGCGCAATCTATTGAGCTTAGGACCCCCCAAGGATCTTCAGGGTGCCAAAATAGACCGACGGAACAAGAGGCAATCCCAGCAGAAGAGGACGCCGCGGTAGCTGCCCAGCCACCTGACCCAGGGCCTAAATTGTTAAACACCCAGACTCCGATATGGGCTAAGTAGGAAGAACGCTTTAGAAAGGAGAATCCAGAGTTATACGAAATGTTCCAACCCTTATGCGAAGATGTCCGGAATCTAGACGCCGATCACTTCGATACGTGGTTGAATAAGCCACATAAGGGATGGAACTCTACATGGCTCAGCCGATGTAAGGCGTACCTACCACAATTAAAGTCGTTTAGAACCGTCGCACTGAGCTTAAGCAACTTGGATCCGCACAAGATCGCGCCTTGGGTTATTACCGGCCTTTATCTCTCCGCTGAAGTATTTTAACTTGATCTCTACTACGAGTCGTATCATGTATCTAACCCGATAACGACAGGTATGCTTCGGTACAGTTGACCCATTGACGCGCGATAAGGCCATGAACACAATATTGAAGACAAATATTATTTTTATAAAATGGCTTGATAGTGAACCTGATATGAGGGTTATGAAAAAGAGGAAACCATCTTCAGATATAACAGATATTGAAAGTCGACTTGAGAAACTATATTTGGGCAGCCTAGTGTTGATTTTCACGATTTACAAGTCCGGAAAGACGCGAGGTAGTCGTGCTAGTATGTCCAGCCCCCCCCCCCCCTTTTTTTCCTTAGTTGATTTTTATTAGACGTTTCTGCACAGATACTCCTCCATAGGAGGATTGGCGGGCTATTCTTTCTGCCTTGTAATCACATACGTCGTTTTTCAGTGGCCTAAAGAGCTACTAGGAGTACATCTCTAGATATACCCTTGGAGGTACGAAATCTCTACATTGCTAACGGTAGCCTAGGGGTAGTCCTGGCCGCGGATGAACTGGAATGGGAACGGAAATACAATTTGTTAGAAAAGGAAAACTTAGCGTGCGTCGAGAAAAAGAGCCGGGTCGAGGCGAAACTAAAAGAACTTTAGGAAGTTGTCAAATGGATCAAACCCAGCAGCGAGGACCCCGAGCCTGCGCATCAAACGGTCATGGAGCGAACAGGAGTTGACGATCCTGGATCAAAAGCTGGGCGGCGGTTCCTTGAGACAAAAGAGTTCACTTCGTGGATAGATCAAATCCGCACGAATGAAGCAGGAAAGAAAGTGTTTTGGCTGAAAGGTTCAAGTAGGTCTTCCTTTTAATGCGTCAGCCAACACCACTATCAGGTTGCTAAATGGATGATAGTGGGAGCGGGAAAGACAACCTTAATGTAAGCTCGTGAGACTGATATCCTTTCTTTTTCCGGGCTAAGCAGAGTCTACAGATGTCGAGTAATCTCCCACTTTGAAGAGCTTCCTCTTAAGGGAATCAGATTCGTACGATACTACTGCTTCGGTAGCCAAGCCGCAACGGAGTCAAAAGCACCTACGTATGAGACCATACTTCGTGCATTGTGTTACCAGTTAGCGTGGAATGGCAACAAAGGCGTAGCAGAACCTGCCAAAAGCCTGTACGAAAATTTGGCGGCAAGAAATCAAACGACCGAACCACTCACCAGGAAGAGACTGGAAGAGCTTCTCAAAAACCTACTCGATTACGTTCGTCCTACCGAAAGCCCAATAGTATTTGTAATTGACGCTCTTGACGAATGTGAAAGTAAGGATGATAGCAAGAAACTGCTTGCATTCCTAAAAAGGCTACAGCAAGAGGTCGGAGGCGTGTACTTCTTCATTTCATCTCGGCCCCATATAAACGTCGGAGGTCACTTTAAAGACTCCATACAGGTTTTTAACCCTGTTCAACTTCAAACAGAAAAAGATATGGAGGTTTTCATTAAAGAGCCAGATAGATTCAAAGAAAGAGGATGTCGAATGGAGAAAAAGCATATTCTGTAGGTACCTGAACGATGGAAAAAAGAAAGTTAACGGTGCTAAAATTTTAACGGTTAGGGACGATGAGCTTCGCAAACAATTAGAATTGGCATTATTGAAGTCTGCTGGTGGCATGTATGTGTGCATTCCTCTTCTGGGAGTTATGGATTGTCGGGTACTAATAATTGAAAAAAGGGTTTCGCTGGGTACAAATATGGCTGGGCATTTTTTTCCCTAGGAACAAGACGACTATACGACGTCCTGAATATGCGGAAAACCTACTCAAGGATCTAGGGAACCCACAAGGCTTGGGTGAACTTTCGGGTGGGAAGACGAATCCCTGGAAGAGACCAAGAAAATCGAGAACGCTTACAGACGACTTTGGAATATTACCGACGATCAGTATAAGAAATACCAAATTCGCCTCTTTAGGATAGTTATGGGTTCGTTTGAACGACTATTGGTCCAGCAGCTCCTTGAGGCTGTCTCCTTTAATCCAGATAACCCCAGTAGCTGTGAGGATCTCGAGCTTGACGAGCTTGAAGGTCTGTACTGTAATTTCTTCAGAATAAGTGTCACGGGCTTCCTCGAGTTTGAACATATTTCGGCTAGAGTATTCATTTCCGAATTGAAGGAAGATGGTTCTAATAAGTTGATGTTCTCTGCGTATGAGAACCAGTATACCCTAGTAGATATCGCCATCAAAACAATCGAGCGGCCTAATCATTGGCTCTGAGAGACGGCTGGGATTTCCTTGGCGGACATGTGTAGGAAAGTGAGAGACAGCCTTAAGACAAAATATCTGCCGTCGAGGTATGATCCGATAGTGGCTGCAGAGCTGGATATTCGCGTAACAAGACCCCATAAACCGTTGTCCCAAACATCTATATCATCAGTAGATGAAGCTTCAGTAGCTGAAGCGCCGCTTGACTCTAACACACTAGATCCTAATCACTTCGGTACCTATATTTTTGAGAATTGGGCTGGCCACTGCAAATCGTTTTGTGGTGATGGGCGGTTCACACAGCGGATTTACCAATTCATTCAAGGGGCACGATCTACTCTTGAAGCCTGGATTTTCGAGGTTAGAGCGGTTTGCCTCGCAGTCACTCGATTGATTTACCAAAGCGAAGAAGTTGCGTGCATAGATCCGCTTCTTTGTGTGGCAAGTTTCAACTTCCCGTTTTTCCATCATGATGTTAGCCATCGGCTAGCTCTTTCGCTGGACCTTGGTGACACCACAGCCCAAAACTTACGGGGGTGGACAGTGTTCCATATTGCCTGCAGATTGTCCAATAGCCTCACCGTCGAAGGTCTACTTCAGTTTGAGCGTGCCAACCAGCGGCCCTGTCGCTCTCTTCTATTCGTGGAAGATTACGGAGGTAGTATTCCCCTGCAATATTCGTCTCGGAACAAAATCGTCAAGATACTATTGGAGTATGAGATGCTTGAATCACACCGACCAGCCGACCGCAGCTTGCGCATTAGCGAACTCATGGAACACAGAGACAAATTTGGCCATACTCCACTGGAAACCATAATAGAGAAGTGCAGCGATGAGTATATCGAGCAATTGCTTACAGAATATCGCTTGGGACCCAATCAGTCACGATATGAAATCGTACGGCACGCGACATGTTACCAGAAAAGAAAAGCGATTCGATGTCTCCTTAGAGCAGATACCGACGCTGAGAAGAGCTCTGAAGAGCTACCTTGCTCCCCGCCCCTGTACGTAGCCATACAGCAGGGCGACTTAGAAATGGTGGATCTCTTCCTTCATTGGAAGAGGGGGACGAAGGGTATACCGAAGAGTATATTGGATCATGAAGGGACACCCGTTTCTATAGCAGCAACTACCGGAAGTACAAGTGTTGTCCAATATCTTCTTGATCACGGAGAGGAAATAAACGGGATTGGGGGTCCTTGTGGAACAGCTCTGGGAATGGCAGTCTGTGAAAACAATATGCAAATGGTAGAATTTCTACTCGCAAGGGGGGCAGATGTCAACGCCAGAGGGAGTGACCATGAAGCGCCCCTAGGGGTAGCCGCGTACCGGGGGAACGGAAAAATGGCAAGGTTCCTTTTGATAATGGTGCGCATATAGAACTATTGAGTGAAGGATACCAGAACGCGACTGAAGCGGCATTGAAAATGGCGCCGTGAAAGTAGTTAATAATGTACTTTACTATTAACTTATTGCTTCTCTATTACGCCAATAAACATTAAAACGGCGTTGTTTAGAACTTTGGTATAGCGACTAAAACATTACCTACCTACATATAGGTAGTCTTGATTACCTTAGGTACCCAGGTACTAAAAACATAACACAATCCCAAGATAGGTATACATGGGAAAATCCCCTAAACCTTCACTCCATCTCATTCCATACCGTAAATATAGTCTAAGGATAATATACTACTAACCCCAGATGGATCACCGACCCAACGCATTCCAATGCTGCGAAAGTATAGTCTCCTCCGTCCACCTCGGAGCAGACTGTCTACGATAACCATCCGCCTGATTCAGAGCCTTAAGTAAATACGTCCGCATTTCCGGACCCGCCGCTTTATACGACACACAAATCGAGCTATTAAACGCGATCGCGCCCAGCGGTCTTAACATCTGACTATACTGTACCGTCCTCCAGACTTTAGCGCTCCACTCCAGACAGTCTACTTCTAGCGTCGGGTCGGCGATACCTAGGATATTGTTGATCTCTTGCTTGGCCCGAGATAGCGCGACGATGAATGTGGACATGTTGGCGCAGTGTAGCGCGATGATGCTACTTGGGAACCGGTAGCTTATGCCCAGCGGACAGTCTGGGTCTTCGACTTCGTGGATCATGTTGTTCTCGAATAGGGGCTGGACGGTGGATTCGTCCAGAGAGTGAAAACTAGCGCGTAACTCATCGATGGTCATGCTGAGAGTCTCGACTTCTTGCATGTCCCGGAGATGAGCGGGGGTCTTGCGGATGATGCAGAATTCCCTTACAGCGTCTGCGACACGCGTTGATTCGTATAGAAGTTTAGACATCTCTACGACCCTGGGTGTCCGGGTTTTCCATTGCCCGAAGAAGGCCACGATTGCGTTGTACCAGTCCGGCTTGAGGAAGAAATTGTCGATACGACCCGTCAAGATTGGTTTGAACTATGAATGATGTTAGTCGGGCGAGTATATAAGTGTTAAGAGTGGTATTAATTACTAAGTAAGCGAAGGAGTCGAGGATGAGTTGGCAGCCGAAGTTGTCTCCAGGCTTAGGCGCCCCTCTCTGCATCATGATGGTGTGGATCCCATTGGAGTGGGATATCCGGTCGATACCGCTAGCATAATCAAATAGAAACTAACCAATAGTTAGGAGTTACTTCTCTTGAGTGGGCGGGAAAATGAATAGGTACTTACCTCTGCCGTTTGAAGATAGATGGTCGCAGCCAAGGTAGCGGTGGAGGTCTGCTCTTGTGGATCATCCAGTACCTTCTGTAAGCTGCGCAGCGCACGACTATAACTTCTCAGATCGAACATCTCCTGTGGACCCGTTCCTTGGCATAGATTTAGCCACGTGGATACCAGGAGATTGGTTGCGTCGAACAGAGCCTCATGTCTCTCGAGCAGGGGCGGCGTGTACACCAAAGTGCTCAGGAACATGCCAAGACTATACCCCGTCCCCTCACTGGACTTCAGGTAAGTTATGATTTTACCAGCCAATATGTCGGCTTGACTCCCGGGCAACTTATTTGGTATCGCTGACTTCCGATGATATAATCTCAGTTTGGAGAACGTTGCGCCGCTTGTAGTAGTCCTGTTTCTAAGACTCACAAGACTCGTTGTTGAGCTTGTATCCGATGCTTCGTCTGTCTGACTCGTATCGGTGGTACTATCTCGAGAGAACTCATCTACCGATTTGCCCTGGCGAGAATGTCTCCCATTGTGTACGAATTTGACACGCTTAGACGGTCCCGAACATTCCTTGCCTGCTTTTTTGCAGGTTCCACAAGTTGGCCATGCTTCATCACACTACCGATCAACGCATTAGCAAATGAAAGAATGGATTTTGGTCGATCACCACATAATGCGGTCACTCATACATAAACACTTACCTTAGTCTTCCTAAACCTGCAGAATTCGCACCTATTGCTCTTCGGGATGCCGACCATGATGATTATGATTTAGACGATTTGAGAAAGTTGTCGCGACTTTGACCGCTCGGACGCATGCTCATTGTGCGAAAACCATCCTTCCCGAAATTTTTATATGTTCCGGTGTCAGGCTATGCTCGGGGGTGCCGCCCGTAGGCCTTCGTCACGATCACCGTGGTGCTCGCATCATGGTATCCAAAAGTCGTAGCGGAAGGCATATTCAAGGGGCCAGGGGGGCTGAGCCATGATACTTAGTAACCAATCGCTTACGTTGACGAGATAACCAATTATCGTCCTTTGCTATGGTTGTGCTTAGCTTAGCATGGCTCAGCTTCAGCGGACCCTGGGATTGACGACATATAGGACCCCGCTGAGCTGGCATCGGGGGCCTCGGGGAGAGAAATCCTACCAGGTATACCGCATCATAAACCCGAAATGGACCTAGATTCAATTCTGCAGTCAGTAAAAGTTCCCGTATCGCACCCAGTAGAACCGGGGTTATGTGGCTTCATACTGCTCCCCGTGAAAGTTGAACGCCACGAATGAGAGGATTCTTTTCGTGCGGCATTTTTTTCGTGTCCCTCTTTTGCTCTAGCAGATTGTTTGCTACTATTTCTGATTCAAAGACCTATGACTATCAGGATAGAGGGGGCCAATACGCATGAGACCGGAATTTTCACAAGGATACAAAAGAAAGTAGGATTCATAACTAGGGGGTGTCATCATAATATTGTATAACAATCCTGGTAATATTTCATAATCCCGGTCTCGCTAATCGGGAAAGATGCTTGGCGTGTCCTGTAAATCCATCTATTGCCACCTCTTTAATAAATCTAGCCATTCTCTATTGTCCAAGATGTATACCTAAATGCTCAATTCGAACGTACTAACAAAAAACCAACCTTGGTCATTATACATTAATCCTCGTGTATTCCAAGAATAAAACATCGTCACCGCACATCTGGGTATATATCGCCACTACCACTTCCACTGCCACTGCCACTATTACCAGCCTTCTCATCCTCATTAACATTAGTATAATTATTATCGTCGTCAAGCGGCATACCGCGAATTTCATCGCTCGCCGCGTCATCATTCGCTTCGCTCTTGCGACCTTGTTCGAGAGCACGCTCGGCCTTGAGTTGCTTCCCAACGTCGCCGTGTTTCTTGCCGCGGGAGCGTAGCTTGTCGAAAGCTTCGCGCGTCAGGTCCTGGCGGAACATGCGCTCCACCACATCCTTCTTTCGCGTACGTCGGCCTCCGATGCTAATCAAAATGCCCGCTGTAATATTGACTGCAATTGAACAACTAAGAATTGTCGCCGTTAGGGCCATCGGTCGCTTGTTATAGTCGATACCCCACGTCGTCGCACCCAGCGCGATCTGCAGACACGAATGCATATCAAGCAGCGTCACGATAGCCACCAACCAATTCAGCGGAAACGCATAATGTGTCTTAGTCTCATGCGGCTTGTAAAAAGTGTGCGATTTAGCGAACTTGGTCTGATGGTGCACGAGCCGGGCCTCCTGCTGCGGGGTCAAAACCGACAGCTCATCGCGGGCCGCCTCCAGGTCAGAATTCGTGGGTAAGTCATTCTTATCGCGCAGTTTTCCCATTTGCTTCCTCCTGCGCAATTTCCATGTCAAGCGGTGATAATGCGCGATGTAGATCATGTGGTACGTATCCACGGCACGGAAGGGAGCGAGGCCGTCACCGACGATCGCAAAAAGAGCAACTAAGACATAGTCTATGATGTTGATGGCGTAGACTTGCTCCTCACCGACATAGATCCAGCCAATCAGAAACAAAACCCAGGCCAGACCGAATAGGGTAATGAGCGTGGCGTACAGCGTTACTAGGAAGCCCAATGGCTTTCGTACATACTGGCCAAACGCCCTCATGTTCCGCTTGAATTTGGACCGCCGTGAGTGCAGCATGTGGCGCACGTAGTCGTTTAGTTCAGCCTTCTCTTCTTCTGTCCATCCTTCTAGATATACACCGTCGGGGAGGACGGCATGATTGAAATTGAATTCTTCCTCTGCCGTCCTCTCTTCTCGAATAGTGGGGGCTTTGGGTGATATGGAAAGTTGGTATGTCGGACGCCGGTTGACAAATTTGCCAAGTGATGGTATAAAAAGTGAGTTTTGAATATTGGTCATGCTATTTAACGTGGATACTTCGGGGTCTAATAAGCGTAATTGTTAGTACTTTTGCTGAGACAGGTCGTTGGAGTGTCATTGTCGCTGGGACTAATCTCAGGGGTAATCCACATACCGATCACGTCGAGAAGGTCGGCGACATTCTGGTCGAGATGATTACGCCCGTTCGTATGAAATAGAGCAGTGCTAGTCGGTCTCGCATCCTCAGGGATTGCGGGCATAGCAGAGCCGTTGGTTCCTCTACGAGGGCGTATTACGGCCAACCCCGGCCGTCGCCGACCTTGACCCGTTGGGTCTGAGCTCGAGCGGCGGCGCCCACTAACTCCATCATCCTCATGGTCCCGCTGCTGCGGCTGCTGACGTGGGGGATTTGCGGTTGCTGGCCGGTGTAAGTCGTAATACTGAAGGCGGGAATCATCAGACATTATAGTCTAAGGAAAAGGATCTAAGGAAAGAGAATGAGTCGCGACGACACACGCGCCCCAGAAAAGTTTAGTTTGCTAGAATCCGACTTGGCTCGGAACATTTTGGATATCAGAGATCAAAAAGGTGAGAATAATTCTAGCGTGCCAGGTTAAACGATTAGTTTTGTATAGTTGGGTGGCACTAAAGCAATGACATCATACATATTGTTGCACTTTCCTCAGGTTTTAGATGGCCACCTTGGTGTGGTGTCCCTTCCAGGGATTAAAACTTGGATGCTACCATAAAATTGTTTATCAGTCTTATCTGACTAATCAGGTCTAGGGAAAATCTTACTCCAAGCGCCCCCTTTCTTTAAAGATTTGGTTTTTTATTTTTTTCCACTGAACCGATGAGAATGTGAATCAATAAAATCCCTTTTTATCTTCAATCTTGTCTGTCGTCTAACGTCATAAGGCGCAAGTAATTCATGCTTCAATCAAACTCGAATTCAATTCCCCATGACCCGAAAACTCCTACACAACATCCCGTTACCGCCGTAACCTTTAGAAAGTGGACGTAGTGGGGGGGACTTTACCCATAACCCCCACCGCTATCTCTCCAATCTCCGATGCTCTACTGCGATCCGCGCAAGACTAAAAATGATGCCAAACTTGATCGACTCCAATAAAAGCATCCTGCAGAACGTTGCCCGCACCTAAAACCTGTCGAGACGTTTTAATTTAGGAGGGCATCAAAATCTTGGCGGTTCATATGACATTCCGTATGTTGAAAGAACTCGAGCTTGTCAAATTGGTGTCACATTGTGTGACCAATTCGTTGGTTGGTGCTAATTTATCGCATTCGTTCTTCACGCCCATCAAGCCAGCTGGTGCAGTTCACACACCGAATTGCCTAAGGTGGTCAGAGAGCGCTATTTCTGACAATTTCTTCTCGGAAAAGAGGACACGAACCTTGGAACTAACACGCTTCTTACAGTATCGACATTTAACAGTGTGTTTGATGATGGGGTCCTTTGCTAGGTACTGGTATAGACTCGCTAGACCGTAGAGCGCTAGGCCAAGACCTAAGAAGTTGACAACTCGGTTGAGGAATACACTAGTGTACATCGAGTTAACACTTGCGGATTCTAATTTAAGTAGCGACGGAGACGTTCGAGTTGTCATACCCGTAAGCCAGAACGACAGCGCCGTCGTTTCGTGCCTGCTCGAGAGTGTTGTAACCATCTTCGGCGTCGTAGTTTGGTCCTTCTCTCAACACCGCGAATTTCTCGTTCATGTTCCTCCGTAATGGGAGGATGACTGATAGCGGTGGGAGGAGTATGTCGCTCACGAGTGAGGTAGTGAGAGCTGTGAACGCTGTCGCAAGGCTGTTTCGAGGAAAAATTAACGATTTGCCCACCTGGAGAACTAAATACCTAATCACACTAACATCAAACCAAAGGCAATTTCGAGAATATTACCCGAGAACGCGAAATCAATGAAGCCGGAAAATATCCGCTGCGCTTTCACTTCGCCTTCTCGCAACAAAGTTCGTCTCTCTTCTTCTGGCTGAGCGGCCTCCGAGTTGAAGTCCCACGGGTTAGGCATCGTATGAGGGCGCTAGAGTGAGATCGGAAGGTGTCGCGGGACTATGGACTTTTCTATAGGTATGTAATTCTGTAAAGATGTCTATTAGGTAAAGAAGTTGAATTTGGTAGGTAAAATTAAAGTCGAAGAGTTTCATGACACAAGATCCTCTAACATGTGCAACTTCCTCAACTACCATGATCTACCTACGTATGTAACCAGCTAACTTGACCTGCTTGACCTACCCATGTGCCTCATGTGCTCCTTCTGTGGAGTACAAGAAACGATGATCGAGGAGTTATCTAGATTAGTACACACTAGGCATTTTCAGGGGTTCTCATTGGATCCCCGCATGCGAGGTGGGACACTAAACCATAAATTGAGCATTTGAACTGCCTCCTTGTATGTACCCAGCATTACATTATGAAGCGTTGCTGCCATCCAATGCTGCATTCAATGCTGTCTTTTCTTTCCTCCCCTGAGCATGGAATTTATGCTTATTTACACGTTGTCACCCTCTTTAGGACCTGACATATTTAACTCGGCCGGTTTCTTAGTTTCTTCTAGCGTTCTAGCTAAGAGGATATACCTACGATCAATAGATGACCAGGCGCCCATATCAACGTCGCATTTAGTAAATGAGCTTCTTTTGAAAATTATTGATATGCCCTAACAGACGATAGCGAACATTAACCAATATGATTCTTCCGGTTATTTTCTCTACACCTAAGCCTCCCTTTAGCTCTTTACTTAGGTGGTTATCAATCTAAAACTACAGCTTTTCCCCAAACCAAAGGCAATTAAAAAAGTCCAAGCACTATTGCCTTAAATTGAAAACTCTAGTTTCGCACGACGAAACCCAAGCCCAGCTACAGGTTTTTATTATAATAACACTAATTCTGGCGTTGATTTCATCTCGCACACCAGGGTTCGCCATCAACTTCTACTCCATCCCGTCCGCCACTTTACCTTTTCGAGGACCGGGAAAATATGGGCCTCGGTGTTGAACACAACTTCGGTAAGAGGAATAAAGTCGTTAGGGCTGAACAAGAGATATAGATACTTAAGAGTTTCGGCCTAGGATAACTAAGTTAATACAAGCACCATATCTTGCAAGGTTAAGGGTCATAACCTACCAGCCAAAAGCTCTCCATATTATCCCTCGAGGGTGGCGGAATAGCGTTTACGTCGTTCACGGAAGTATAACCCTGCTCTTGACTTATCTTGGTGTGCTTTTCAAACGCGTTGAATATCTTCCAGCCCCATTCGCGATAAAGAGGATCTTCGGTGATACGCCACATCATAAATAGACTCTCTACAGTTTCCGGTCGCTGCAGGTTATGTGCATCGAGTGGTTTGACGATGTAGTCTTTCTTCCACGCTGTTAACGAGTTCCGAGTAGTCGCTAGAGGCCTATCACCGGGCGCCGGTTGAAGGTCTTCCTCATTGGCATGAAACCAAGCGATTTCCGGCGCAAGTCCTGTCTCAGTCACAACATACATCCCCCAGCAGGTTTTCATCAAATCGCGAGCGAGTTGGATCTGATCCTCCTTCTGATCACTCCAGCTGGGCCAATTGCGTGCCTTGGATAAAGTGTGACCTCGTGTGGCCCCGAGAGCAATTAGTCCAGGTAAGAAGCAGACAAGGTGATCCATCTTCGGCGATAATGGCCCGCCGATTCCTTGGAGAAGTTCAGCGACGAATTTAAGACCTGAATGTTTAGTAGTGGTGATGAGATGATCTTCGATTCCCGCCAAGGCCTCTTCCCACATGTCCTGATAAACGGGTTCCTGCCCAGATGTCTGCAGGAATTGCTTCACTAAGTATTCTTGAATACGTTAGTGATCTTCTGCTAGATTGCGGGTATAGTGCCAATTCGAACCATAGTATGAGTCGCCACGACTTCCGAGTCGAATTTCCCTCGATGTGAACCTCCCCGAATCTGGGTTTACGAAAATGGGGACGAGACCAGCTTTGGCGTGATTATCGCTAAGTACCTTCATCGCCATTTCGGCCTTTCGCCAGTAGGTTTCATTGCCCGTTAGATAAGATAGATATTTCATTTCGAGTTGGAGTGTCGCAGCTTCGGCCGTCGATGATGACCCCCCATCTGAATGGGACGGCAAACCCTTTGCTCTAGACAGATGCACGCTAGCATAGGGGATACCGGTGCGTGATTCGTAGGCTGGCAGCAATCTATCAGCGACTTCCACTGCCTTGGCTAGATATATCGAATCTCTGCGTGATGAAGCGTCGGGAAGCTTCGTGGCTAGATAATGTGCCGACAACAGTCCTCCGAGCATGCGAATCGTCATCTCGAATGTGTTCACGTCTTGGTCTTGGTTGTAGTTTAGCGTACGTTGCAACCATTTGCGAGGCTCGACTAAACGGTCGGTAAGGTTCATTAACATGATTGTGTCGAGGCTATCGATGATGATCCATCCGAGCCCATCGGGACTCATCTGGGAGCCCTTTTCTGAGACGGGATGATATCTATCGTGCCCTAAGTTATTCAGAGGTCAGTGCTGCAGTGATAAACTTAAGTTGTCAACTAACCCCAGGCATTGGCACAGTATGCGTCCCAGCTGGTGATGAAAGCACTCTTGACTCTTTCTCGTCTAGCGTCCCAGTTCACATAGCTGCCGACATGGTGATAGACTCCAATAGGATTATCGTTCATCCATCTGAATAAAGCTAATGCCAGGGCAAGAACCAAGATTACTACCGTTGAGAGTCTAAATTGATGTTTCGAGTACCAAGGGGAGCTAGAATTCCGTGAGTTACGGTAGGCCTTCGCCTTCTCTTTTCGAGAAGCCATATTTTCCTAAAAAATCGGTAGCGCTAGATAACATTCGAGCCGAGTATACGCTGCAATGCAGTAACTCGTAAAACAAAATGGGTGCGGTCTGTAAGGGGAAAAGGTTGAAGAGAAAAGATGTGAGGGATCCAACCTGAGCTTGAAAATTCAACCAAGTATAAGGCATGGTTTGCCCCGCGGCTACGGATCTCCCGAGTCCATGGTTCTGGAGTCTCTGGTCCGCGTTGAGTATCATTTGCCAACTAATCAACTGCATGTTGGTTGATAACCCGAGACCCGGGCGTCTATCCTTGGATACCCCTGAAATGCATGGCTCATCTAACTCAACTATATGAGTAGTCGACTCGTTCGCCACACGACTGAAGTGAATTTCATTAATCATAAACTTAAGAGAACTCGCGATGGCAGCAGTATATCCAGCAATGACTAGTGATGGCGTGGTTACCTCCTTTATTCCTCTGACGGCTTTATTCACACCATCGGCTAGATGTAGCGATTATTTTCGACTTAATGGACCAAGCCTTGTGGCATTCGATCCTGGATATGGGTTAGATATCGATACTGCCGTACGTTGCGTACCTTCGGCTGTAACGACGTGGTGGGAACAAGGTCGGTTGGGGGCTAACGACGAAGGTCATACTGCTATCAGCCTGGGGCCGTTAGTATGTCCTTACGAATGGCGGACAGTGGCCACCTCGGTCGAGAATGAATCCAAAACACTTGCTATGTGTTGTCCCTCGTAAGTTTGATCTTGATCTCACCTGTTAACTGTATAAGGCTACCACTAAACCATTCAAACTTAGAGGATACTATCTGGGGAACGGTATCCCGGGCTCTGTCGTTGGAGACTGTATGTCAGATGTATCGGAGGGTATGCTGTTGACTTATGCGTCAACATCAACAGCCAACTCGGATGTTTGGCACACAGAGACAACAAGCCTCACGGAAAGCTCTACAGTGGGTGCCATTGCTATTGTAGGCTGGAATATTCAATCATCAACGCCGACGCCAACACCAACACCCACGTCCACGGCTATTTCCACGGCTATGTTGAGCCCTGCTGTAATCCTCTCTAGCCCTACGTTTACTTCCAATTTCATTCCTACATCTCCTTCCCAAGGAAGCACCTCATCACCGAGCCCCTCATTATCCTCGAAGAATTCTTCTCAGATCAGTCCGGGGGTAGCCACTGGTATTGGAGTAGGAGTTGGATTGGGTGTCATTGGGATGGCCGCACTGTTGGTTACACTCTACCTGATGCGAAGGCGGAAAAAGAACCGTGCGGAAGCGACACAAATTGACGATCAAGGCCATGGCACAACGCTTACACAACAGATCGCAACCCCCGCTAAGCACGAGTTACACGACCCACAATCTGGGCGCCATGAGCTGCAAGGGATGGTTTATCATCTCGGCCAATACCAAGGGTCTCTGCCTATAGCGGAACTTCACGAGTGACACAATGCGTAGCCCAGCGGCTAACCTACCTATTTCCTGTCCCGGCTTGGCAAAAATCCCCCCCAGTGTTTTGAGCAAGCATCGTATGGTGGTACGACCAGAAACACGCCCGGGCTGTTATTATTTAAAAAGCAAAAAATACAAATATCATAATATTACTGACCTGGTCTACAATGTAACCTCGGCCCGAAATCAATGTCGGCAGACCATGCCATTGGTTTACCGTAGATTGCGTTATGCAGTTAGTTCTACGTACATAAAATGCCTTGACCTTACGGGCCATTTGACCATGCCCTAGTTAACTCTCCAACTAAAACTTGTCTTATGGGTTATGTATGAAACTACCTAGATATATCCACTGCTATATTTACCATCGCCTTTTCTCATGTCGTTAAAAACTCTTATTGTGATATACAACACCGCCTGCTAGGTATCCACCGATACCAGAACAATTAGCATCGATTTCTTCACAATGAACGGTCCACAGCAGCCGTCTCTGCTCCCCCTAGATGATAGTGGGGTTCATGGTCTCCCATGCTCCTCATTCTAAGAGAAATCACGAAACGTATTCATCCAGAATCTCCGCCAAAGCCGTTCGAATACTTTGACATGCTAGGAGCGACGAGTAGTGGAGAGTGAGTTTGAGAATGCTGTCGGGAAGGTTGTGGTTGCCTGAGGATTTTCTGCTTCTACGAAGATTCAACATTATAAATTTAAAATGCCTCCATTTACTTGACAAGTTGGCCAATTCTTTGAATCCTTTCATTAGAAGCTTAGAAAGATTAACGAAATCCCAGACTTAACTCCCCTCGAGTCAAGGCCAGTCAAATAAATACTGCTCGTAATATTACCCCGCCATAGAAAACCGCACAGGTTCGAATCCCGCTACTCTCTCCAGAACGAAAGAACGTAAATAGACAGATTCGAATTATCCAAACTCATCGAATACGCCCCGAATCCCTCGCCGAATCCCTCACCATCCGCAATATTCAATTAGGTGACGGAGACACTAATATTGCTCGAGGTTTGGAGTCTTCACCTGGAGTCCAGATTGTGCGTCGTGTAGCTCGGGTGCGGCTAGAGCTAATTCAGGTAGCTCATTTGGGGTTCGTTGCTCAAACATCACGCCATGGTCTTGATGGATTTGGGGTGTCTCCGCAAGGGTCCTCATTTTTCGTCTTCTCATGAAGAAGAAAGTAAGTAATAACGAGGCTATCGCAATCACACCCAATCCAACCCCCACCCCAATACCGGCAGCTGCCCCTGCGCTAATCCGAGCTGAGGCGGTTGAAGCCGGCGAGGTAGGCGTAGACACAGTCTCCGTTGTTGTTGGTGTTGGTGTTGGTGCTCGGACATTCCAACCGAAAATCGCATCAGCATACACCGCAGCATATGGCGACACAGTCGTTGTGTTTATATACCAAGAACTGCTACCACTTTTTATCGACCATGTCGCATAAGCCAAGGTACTAGTATCTAGGAATGAAAAGCAGGCTCCGTTTTGGATGTTTGAAATAGCTTCAGCATCATCAGTCTCCGTAAACGTATCGTAGTCGTATGCATAATAATCTCTAGATGTGAACGACTTAGCCGCGGCTTTACACGACTATTAGGTTCGATGATGTTAATACGTACGAAGGACAGCACATGGCAAATGTGCTGGACTGGTTCAAAGTTCTACTAGTCGCCGTGTACCAATTACCAGGGCACGCCAAGGGCCCTAGGCTGGTAGTTGTAAAACCTCTGAAGTTATTCCGGGAAATCGAAACAGCGGAAGGCACGCAAGTTACGCCAGGGCCGATATTCTTTGGATATCTGGAGTCGAACGCCAAAAGGGGCGGTCCAAGTATGAACATAGTACTGCAATCATAATCTGGTTGGGCTTCTGCCGTGAGAGGGATGAAGGAAGTAATCCCACTCGAGCCAGTGATCGCCGGCAATAACGTTGTCATCATGTGCTTGTTCAGACAGACTCTTGGAGCATATCCAGGTATTCGTTTCTACGAACATTTCGCTTGCGATCGCAAGACGAGCAGTTGATTGAGTACCTGCTTAAGTATATAAGTCCCAATGTGGGGGGCATGGGACAGATGTTGGATGGTTTTGCACAGGGTTCCTCCATATCGCTCTGGGTATACAGAACTCATCCGATCTCCTGAGTAGGCCGCATAGGGGGGAGCACGAGTATCTACCCTAGCTCGCAGCATTCTCACCCTCCTTTCGTTTTGGAAATCCTTGCATGGGTCCCGAAGGTTAGTTGATGACTGGGGTATACTGATATGAGGCCTCTTGGAGCCCTACATTAATCTACGCCACGATAGACACTACACCACCCCGAAGGGTAGTTTCTCAAATGAACCTTTATGAGCTGGTGCGGATTATTGTTAATACTATTAACATAGCTATGTTTATGAATAAGCTTTACTGACAACTAAGAGCAAGATCTGAAGTAATTCGGGGTGACTATCCGTACCTAGGTATGTTGGGAAGGCTGCTGCCTGCAGGCTCTGTATAGGTGTGAAGCTAATGTAGTGGAACTCATCAAAAGGTCATCGTCGGCATACGAATAAAACTCCGAGATTACTTGCTCTGGTGCACATTTGATGCGAGGGGTATGCTATCCCGCACATGTAGGGGATTGTCGTCTACGCCCGAGGCTGGGGCAATACAGGTCAAAATGAGGTATCTATCATACCTTGCCCCTCTGCCAATCGTTTAGACCTCAAATTCGATACTGAACTAGTCTAGTGAAGTAGCAGATCGTTACCCCTAAAGGCAAGCCAGCCCGTATGTTTCTTCACCAGTATAGGCACTACCGGGGGGCCTGTCCTGTCTAAGACACGCATGCGGCTTAAGAGAGGGGCGACTAATCAAGACAGACCCGACCGATATATGTTGTGTTTGATGCAGGACTTCTACCTGGCATTACGTAGTTTAGGGGTAATAAGGAAGGTTTACATCCGATGCTTAAACTACCGGATACATATGAGCCGTAGAGACCGGAAGCTGTAGGAAACCTTGTGACGTGGCGTACAGAAGAATCCTTATTAATTTGTAATAAATGGAGTTGGAAGATATCCACGGAGTTCTAGGGGTACACTAAACAGGGCTGAAATCGGTGTTACCCTTCTGTGAATGGAATATGGGGGGATTTTAGCTAGTAGCTCATGAGAACGCTTACCATGAAAGCCTACATTATCCGAGCGGGAACTTTCAAACATTTGATTTTCAACCAAGGTCTGTATTTTTCTGGTCTCGATAGGGCAAGGTGGCGGGTTGGATGGGCTGGACGTTAAGGGTGAGGTTTGAGGCGGAGACAAGACGCGTCGGAACTAGGCGATGGTGCAATTTCCTGGAATCATCATCATCATCATCATCATCATCGATGTATCTCATGCTAATACTCAATCTATTATTAGCTTATATCGGAACACGCTACCAAAGATGCGAAAGATAGCCTCCTATACTTAGGATCGCACTATTGGGACACTAGAGGTAGAAATACGAAGTATATCACGCCCTCCGATCACAGAATGGAACTCCCTGGAGCATAGAGGCAATTTTATGCAGTAGTGTTGATCATCTTATCATGAAGAATCCCATTTCGCGCCCGACGCCGGCTCCTTTTCTATATGGTTGCATTGGACCTTGCATCTGCGTCGGTAGGATCATGTAACTCAACCGCTCTCGGAAACCCGATTGAGCGTAAGGGAAGAGGTAATAAAAGGACTCAGGAACGAAACACGTGCCCTTGGTCTAGTTGTGTTGTATCTATCGGTCGGCTGCGCTTGGATTGGCGATTTCTACGCCGACATTTTTGCCTCACGTCGCGGCTCTACGGTTAGAAAACTTGCGGCAAACGCGCTCGTCGTGGGGCAACTTACATGATCAGGAAAATTGAAAAGCATATCATTATTCTCTTTTTCTCATGATTTGCGTTGTCCGAGAAGGAAGAAAATGTGTTTTTTTTGTCGATCAGGACTTTGGGAAAGGGATGTAAATAGGATGCAAATCGACAATGGAAATACAAACCCTCTCAACTCACAAAATTTATCCCAGCTATTCTCTATTTATACCAAGGAGCACATTCGCCTAGACCTTCAAAGGAAGATGAAGCGATTTCATACAGAATTCTATGACGTTCTTATCGAATCGCGGTGCTCGATGCCAATGTACATTAGGACGATATGGCTCTTCACATACAGCGACATGAAAACCATCGTATTTCCGCAAAGCATATTTGGTGTCATGACGGCGTACGCGGCCTCGGTATTGGATCAACCTACTGCCTCTCATGGAGCGCTGAGCTGGGTATTGGTTCGCTACCCACTGGCTCTTTTCTGGACGTGGTCGAATTTACTCCCCTTTGACATTTTCAACCAGCTTAGTGAAGATGCAATCGAAGAAGACCGCATCAATAAGCCATGGAGGCCATTACCGTCTGGTATTGTCGACAGAGAGCGCGCGACAACGTTAATGCTAAGGCATTACATCTTCGCTATCATCGTTAGCAGCAGTATTGGTGGGCTGCACCAGTCACTTTTCCTTGTCCTCCTCGGTACTTGGTACAACGCAGGGGGCGGCGCCGATAGAAGCTTCGTTATTCGGAACCTTATAAATGCAGCAGGGATACTCTCGTTCGCGTCCGGCGCCATGGAGGTCGCATTAGGCACGCCGTTGCTGGTAACCGAAACTTCTGCGCAGTGGATAGGGATCCTGGCCTCGGTCATTTTTACCACCATACAGACCCAGGATCTTTACGATACGGAAGGCGATGCTTGTCGTGGTCGGAAGACTATGCCACTTGTTATCGGCGATTCGCCAACGCGCTGGTGGACGGCGGTAATCGTATTGATGTTCAGCATATTGTGCCCCTTATTTTGGTCTTTGGGGCAGTTAGCTTGTGTCTTGCCATTGGTTTTCGGAGTTATCATTGCTGTTCGGACATTGACTCGTCGCACTCCCGAGGCAGATAGGAGAACTTTCCAGTTCTATAATGTATGGATGGTGTCTATTTATTCGTTGCCCTTGATACGATATCTCGTTTTGGGAAGCGAAAAGGGGGTATAGGGTAAATGGTCTAGGGGTTTACGTTAGGGCTTAGTGCCGGTGCCCCGCAATGTTGTGTACGGGGACAGCACACGCTAGACATGTATGTACATACCTAGGGTCTTCAGGGGAGATAGGTAGCGAGTTTGGGCCTAGTTGTACATACCATCAGTGATAGTAACGATGATGTAAGGGTTGATGATTGTGTTTCGAGAGATGGCGGTATTGATTGACATAAGTTCTCCAGGGAAAAAAAAAAAGAAAAAAAAGGAAGTCAACGGGAATAAATATTTTACAGTACATATTTGGAAAAATCGTCTTCGTATTCATAAAACCACCGTTCATAGTGATGATTTCAAAATTGAACAAATAAGTTCAGTAATAATGATAACATTATACATTTCATACTTTACTAATTCGTACTTTAATGTTTAGAAACTGTTATTATGGCGGGTTAGCTGGCGTTAAAGTCAATTGAATGAGTCTTCTTTCACTCATTTAGATTCATCTACGCTAATCCGTTCTAGGTTTAGAATGCTGCGACTCCCGCATTTAAATGGACCGGGGATCTGTCACTCCCAAAATGTGATTGGCCAATGGCTACTTTCCTCCCTAAGGCCTATGAATCGGCTGGGGGATACAAGTATAATAGCGTCTCGAACGCTTCATCTTGTTAGATTGACTTTTAAGAGTCTGAGTGAATATATGAGTATAATTCCGAGGGCTGATATAATAGTATCGGAGTAGGGCACACCAATGAACATGGCATCCGACTCAGAAACCAAGGCCATCGCCCTTCAAACTCCTGCCCAAACCGGATCACAGAGTTCCCCACAGGGAGGCGGAGGCACAGAGGAGAGCTGCCACAACGTCGAACAGCAATCTCGTGACGTCGAACAGCAGAATGCTACGCCCATCCACGAGCCTCAAGAGAATATCTCTGCCTTCAAAGCTCTTGGCTGGCTTGACCGATACCTAGCCGTCTGGATCTTACTCGCCATGATCGTCGGCGTCCTATTAGGCAATTTCGTGACGGAGGTTGGCCCGGCCCTACAGAAGGGGCAACTTGTCGGCGTCTCTGTGCCTATCGGTATTTCATATTTTGCTGGCATCTAGAGCTTTCTTGCTGACTCCTTTTACAGCTGTGGGCCTCCTGGTCATGATGTACCCTATCCTCTGTAAGGTGCGGTATGAGTCTCTACATGAGCTCTTTTCGCATCGGGATTTGTGGAAACAGATCGCATTTAGTGTCTTTGTGAACTGGGTTGTGGCTCCGTTCCTTATGGTAATCGCTCACCCTACCGAGATTAAAAGTACCTTTACTGACTGGGTCCCTAGCTTGGTCTCGCTTGGGCATTCCTTCCCGACAAAGCCGAGTTGCGCACCGGTCTTATACTCGTTGGCCTTGGGAGGTGTATCGCTATGGTTCGTACCCTAACCTGCCTTTAGATATAGAACCTCGAAGACTAATTGGTAGGCCGTAGGTCCTAATATGGACCGGACTTGCCGGTGGAGACGGAGAATACTGCGCCATTCTCGTTGCCTTCAACTCCATTCTCCAGATGGTTCTCTTTGCCCCGCTTGCGATCTTTTTCATCCGAATCATTGGCCATGAATCTGGCGTTCAAGATATATCATATGCCGTAGTCGCCACCAGTGTGGCTGTTTTTCTCGGCATCCCCCTTGGCGCTGCGATAATTACACGCTTCTCGCTACGTGCCATCGCCGGTTCAGCTTGGTACGAGCGTGTCTTCCTCCGCTTCGTAGCCCCCTTATCACTTCTCGGCTTGCTATACACAATTCTCGTGCTCTTCGCCTCACAAGGTCACCAGGTCGTGCATCAAATAGTGTCGGTGGTGCGAGTAGCGGCTCCGTTGGTTGTATACTTCATCACCATCTTCTCTGCCACATTAGCGGTTACTTACTGGTCTGGCTATAAGTACGCCGTTAGCGTGACGCAGAGTTTCACGGCGGCCAGCAACAATTTTGAACTAGCGATCGCAGTAGCAGTAGCAACCTTTGGTCCCAATAGCGACCAGGCCCTTGCAGCAACCGTTGGGCCGCTTATAGAGGTGCCAGTGTTACTTGCCCTGGTGTATCTTGCTCGGTGGATTGGCAGGGGGTGGGCATGGAAGAATTGAATGGATATATAGGATCCTAGGCATGAGGCAGGTAAGCGAAGAAGCGAGTAAGATGGGAAGATAGTTAGTTAATAGCTGCTGAGAGGCTGATAGGCAGGACTGTCGTGGATATCTACCACTAGGAGCGGTCGGAGTTTAAACCCGGGCGTCGGTGTAGGTTATCGTTGTAGATAAGACGCAGATATGTCTAGAAAGATGATTGGTCTCCACCAGAATTGAATTGAGGAAATATGCAAGATATAAACACAAGTCAGACCCCGTCGTCCATAAGCTGAAATAGCCTCGTGTTCTTGACGATGCAGTTACTAGATCCAGGACATCCCAACGCTACTAACACTTCGGCCGCGTTCTTATGGCCATGAAGCTGAGTGATAATATCAGCTGCAACTATACATGGTGTCTCCATTGACGCTGTTGTGAAGTCATGAGGAGCTGTTGGTGTAGGTGGATCGGGGGAGCGGCGCACACTCGCCATTCCGTCTCGCTGATAACACGGCACGTGCGCTCTGTCGCTCAATTGCTGGACATGAGAATCTTCACTGTATAGTTGGGTGACTCGGGTGTGGTTTGGTAGATTTTGTTGACAGTGAGAGACGATCGGGACAGAAGGAGTCGGCAACAATATCTCGGATGGTAAGCCTGGTGTACTAGCCTGGGTTTGGAATACCGCTTGATCTTGGATAAAATCACCCACTGCCCCATTAGGCAATCCTAGGAATGTCTGTATCTCCTCTGGAGAGACACCGTGGTTCTCAAGTAAAAGGCGCAACCGCTTATTTTCCCTCGCGACTTCGCGAGCAACGCGTTGCATTTCTATGGAGGCCTGAGCTCCACGTAATTCGTACTCCTGTAGTTGCTTGCGCATTTCCTCTACTGATTCACGCTGTCGGGCGCGACATCGTCGTTGATTGTCGCGGTTTTGAGCGACTGAGGCGGGCGTCCTGAACTTAAGCCGTTGTCAGATGACAGGATTATGGTGGCCGCCGACGAGAACACCTACCTTGCGCGGCATGTCTTATTGGGTCCGTAAGAGGCAGTATAGTTAGCTACACAATGGTAGGAAAATAGTCCATGTTGGGGTTATTTAAATATGTATGTAAGATTAAGAAATGAGAACCTTGGAAGACATGATAAATCCAGACAGCGCGAATATTGCATTCCAAAATAAGTTACCTAGAAATAGCACGTGACCTATGCAAATTTACAGGGCTTTAAACCCTGTAATTACTATAATGCGCTATAACTATAGCGCCTAGAGCCCTGTAATTCTCTACAGGTAATTACAGCGCGCTATAGCGCTCAATTGAAATGTCCTATAAATCCATCTGTAAATAAAATATGTACTGCAATTATAGGACCTTACAATGTGCTATAGAAGAACTGTAATTACAGCGCTCTACAGGATAAAAGACACTATAAATATAGCGCCCTATAATCACAGGGCGCTTTAGTGGGATACTGTGAAGTCCTGTACCTAGGTATAGGGGGGTAGATGCTATAACTCGAGCCACTATAGTACTGTATGTACATATATCGCTAAAACCCCCTATAATCACAATAACATGGTAGAATACGCCACCACACTATATATTCACACGGCATTTTGGCACATTGACGCTTTTACACCCATTGGACCGCCGTAAATTATATACGTTAATTACCTAAGAAGGACAGCCCAACTAATTAAGATGTCGAATGACTCTATTCAAAACATATATACCCATCCCTAACAAGTATATATATCATCTAATACTTGACATGCTGAATTACTTATATAGACCCCTTACTTCGAATTACTTATTTCATTGGTTTCGTTCACCTGGCGCTCTTCACTCTTTATTTCCGTCACTTCTTGTTGTCCAATCGTTTGAGCTTTTGTACCATCAAGAGCTTCATTCCTGCCTTTCTTCATAGAGCCCCATCGAGCCCCCAAAGCTCCCACAGCAGACATACAGCTCAAAGCTAGCAAAATGTAAAGTGTCAGTATGAGAGAGCGGCTGTAAGCCATAATTGCTGCCCCCTGGCTCTCTGGTGGTAGAGTAGATATTGAGTCACCGGCATCTAAGTTTAGGAGCAAGGAGACGTCCAAATCGGGAATTATGGACTGAAGATGGGAGTGCAGCTCGCCTTGTAGGATACTCTGTGCCACGGCCACAAAGATCGATGAACTGAGATTTTGGACCAGCGTGATAAACGTTACACCCACAGGTATGTCCGCACTTGGCAGTACGGTTTGGACTACATAGCTGGGCTGCCCAAACCCGAAGCCGACACCAAACCCATATAACAGCTGATACCCGACAATTCTAGCTGTAGAAGAGTTCAGGTCTATCGTTGTTAGCAGTGCAGCTCCAGCTATTGCCAACGCAGTGCCTGCGATCATCCCTGGATTATAGTACCCAACCATGCTGGTGACTGCACCTGCAACGATGGAGCACACGACATATCCAGCAATCAGAGGAGAAAGCAACGCCCCTGACGAAAGGGCTGAAAAGCCACGCACGGTTTGGAACCAGACCGGACTTTATCAAAGGGAGTCAGCAATTATTATTTTCAGCAAGGCAATGGGGTATATCCCAGGAGCAGATATCCCCTTTAGAGATTGATGACTTTCAAGATAGACTAAAGGGGTAAAAGAATAACTCTTGAAATCACTTACAGGTAGACCACAGCGACATAGACACCGCCAGTAATACACATAGCATAGCTAGCGGCGAGCCATATGTCACGGTTCCGTGCTAAGCTCGAAGGGATTGTACGCTCAGTTCCGGTAATTGACGTTGTCTGAATTGCGACAAATACCATCGCCAAGACACCAAGGGTAACAAATAAGGCGACAATGCGTCCATTCTTCCAAGGATATGTTGACCCTCCCCATTGTAGCGCGAGTAAGAGACATATTAGGGCCCCAACCATACAGGCTGTCCCTGGTATATCTAAATGCTGGCATTTCTTGACGAAACTAGTAGCTTGCACCCCTTGTTCCTTGGGCATACGAACGAACAGTGCACACAGGACGACTGTGACAGCACCTAGAGGCAGATTGATCCCGAAACACCATCTCCACGTAGCTCTATCAGTTAGTGCTCCGCCGAGAAATGGGCCGATAATGGCCGCAAGCCCGAATACTCCAGACATGATCCCTAAGTAAGCCGCGCGGCGATCAAGAGGAATGAGCTTAGTTGTAATCAATATGCCACCAGAGAAAATGCCAGCGGCCCCGAGGCCAGCAATCGCTCTGCCGATAATCAAAGCCACCGAACCGGGAGCTGTGGCACAGATCAAAGATCCGACCTCGAATAAGGCAATAGCAGCCAAATACACCAGCTTAATGGAGAAGTGGCTGTAAAGTTTCCCGTAGAACAGCTGGAAGCTACTCAAGGTAAGGAGATAAGCATTTGTCCACCACCCAATGTCTGCTAAAGCATTGAATTCGTCGCTAATGACTGGTGTCGCTGTAGCTAAGATGGTTCGATCCTGTGATGATCGTCAGTGTTGTTTCGATTGCTAAACCGTGCGTCCGTACCATGCCCGTCAAGAAGACAGCTAAACAAAGCGCGACGACAATTAGTATCAATCGAAAATTCCCGGGCTGCGCGGCAAGCTCAGTCGCGTTTCGTTGTGATTCCATTGTGGGGGGGTGGAGGGGTTAAATGAATAATGATGTGGTTAATGGAAAGAATGTTGAATGCACTCATTGCATGGAACTACGTATCCTCGGATGACACAGGCACAAGGACTGTCATTTTTAATTTGTTACATGTTGGCAATGTATCTCATGAGAGAAAAAAACAAAGCCAACAAGTACCTCAACTGTTGTTGTACAGATAATTTATAGGTACCTAGATTTGTGTGCCCAGATTACGATAGGTAACTTGGGTGCTGGGATTCGATCTGTATGATTGGTGCTACGGGAAGGTAGCGTAAAAATACTCGTGAATCGTTGAAATGGCGGTTTGGAAGGGTTTTTTTTCAAATGGACCGGGGTGTCCGGCCAACCAGCTTTGCTGCACCTCTAGAGCAGCTAACATCAACCTCCCTTCCATGCTGCTCAAGCCGGGCTGGCAAGCTTGTACGTACAATATGATCGATCTGCGTGTTAGGTGGTGAGTTAACCAACTGGTCCGACAGTCCGACCAGTATATGTTCTACTACTACCTAGGTAGGTAAGGGATGTAAGACTCAGACCAACCCTCAGACTAGTGTTTAGGGCCCCTTCGTCGTTCTACTTATATTTGAGGATGCTTATGTATTTTTGATCCGGCGTATGGTATTTATTCCACACTTGGTTAATTCGTTCATGAATGGGCTCTTGGTTAGCGATGGATCTTACTTCGTACTATGACTTTGATGCTTGAGGTTTATGGTTATGAGTTCAGGGCTGCCAGGACATTACCTAGCACAATAGCAGGGTATACAGTGCCTAAATGCCCTAAATCAGCCACCCCCTCCCACAATCATGTGATACTGTCGGAAACAATAAGAAATGTTTAGTGGTGGGTAACCTTGGAAGTTACATGAAGTCATTACATCCCGTAGCTCTACCCTTAAAATTCATCATATTTCCCCCCCTTTTCTCTCCCCCAATTCCCTCTTTCTTCCCAGTTGCCTCTAGCTAGTCGATGCTTGGTTAGCAGCCTCCAAACTAGCAGTGCGTGCCTTGCACAAGGGCCTGTGTCGTTTAATCCAATCCTGTTTCTGGCATTCCTTACTGCAGTAGTAGACGGAATTGCACGCGCCACAACAATGGAGGTCCCCTATCTTGAACATCTCGTTTGTCGGACACTGGGAAGAAGTCAATCAGCATCACTATCGGAACTGGATAACATTTTAAACACTAGGTGGTAGAAATATGCGGAATCCGAAGGGGAGAGTGTAGATCAGTAAGTACCTTGAAGTTCCCACACATCATCTCACCCTTCTCCCGACCCCGAAGCCGCATCTGCCTCGCCTCATCAAACCGACCCTGAGCCTCGCGCACAGCGCCGATGTTATCTCGTGTGGCAGCTGCATCCGCCCTGGGGTCCTCGCGCTCGCGAACGGCAAGGGCCTTGGCGAATGCCTCGTCGGCCTCATCCAGGCGACCGGCGCCGAGAAACGCTTCGCCTAGGCCGTTGAAAGTAATGGCCGCCTGCATCGAGGTTTCGGGATACGCGCGGAGCTTAAGCTGTAGAGCTTGTTGGTGTAGACGGATGGCTTCGTCGTATTGCTCGGTCTGGACAGCGACTCCGGCTTCGTTGGAGAGCGTAATAGCATCAGTGTTGGCGCGGATCACGGCTTCTCTTTCGGCTCCGGATATGCCAGGGAGCATGTAGTTCATATGAAAAAAGGGGGGCGGCATCTTGTTATCTGGTTTGGCGATGTATAGTTGGTAACCAGATTTGTGTCTAGATGGAGAGGTGGCGATTCAGGTTAGTTCGATCAATTGGTTGAAGAGCTCGTGATCAGAATGAGTAAAAGGTAACAAATTCAAAGATATGTGTTCGCGGGAGCAGTTATTAATACTAAAGCGAGCGGTGTTGGTCGACCTCGTTTGGCAAACAGCAACGCATCGCGTTTGCAAGGCAATTACACGGAAAGCAGCAGATACATACATACGTCAAACACACATCCGAACGGACAAAATTAGTGGGCCTACGAGGAGGCGCATCATTGAAGTGGCAGGTTAGCAGGTGGCTTTTAAGTACCTAGTCCGAGGTGCTTTCCCGTCGAAACCCCCGATTCCACCGACCCCCATGGCGCCACCTACGATGCCACCTACGTAAGTTAGCCGTCGGTTCACTTCAACGAGACATATTCCGAAACTCCGATGCATATATGTTGTGATTCCCAAGTTATCCCTAATTTAAAATACTTAGAATCACCTAAATCAATGATGGTGGGTTACCATGAGCAATTATGTACGCATTACGATCCAAAATAATAGACTAAAAAAGGCAGGAGGAGAGTCCCCATACTGATCGATCGCCTCCTCCATTATGGTCTGATTATCCTTAAAAATCGCCCTCCATGCAGCTTCTGTTCTCTCCTCCGTGTAACAATGTTCAAGCTGGGGGAGGTAAGCCTTCATGGATTCCGCCAAATCAAGACCGATCCGCGTCCCGCCTTTCTCTGGGATCGCCGCCGCCTGCTCGAAAGACTCCCGACGCTCAGGAAGGTTTTCGTCCCACTCGTCGTCTTTATGCATAAGCGGCGCCAGACTTGCCAATTCAAACAGTATATGACTGTAAGCTTCGAATGACAAGGCTGGCATGTCCAGGAAGTCCGCGACTTCCAAGATCATCGCTACCTCACTGATGGTCCCGAGGGAATGCCGGTAGGCGCTGTCGACACTGTAATTGCGAAAGGGGCGGGTACCGTCCAGTACTTTGTCGACTAGAAGAGTAAGGGTTAGTGATTATAGCTTAGAAAATGTTATGAGTAGGTACGCGATGCCCTACATAAATTAGATATTCATGGTGGGTGAAACTTACAATCGCTGGAGGTACTTGACCACCATCTCCATCGACCGAGCATCGAGACCATGAAGCTCCATGCTATGGGAGCCTCGCTCCTGGTACTAGGGTAGTTATGTCTTCTTCAATTGACGTCATTGTAACTTACTCGGAAGGAGCCGGCCAAGGCGCGCCGGAAGAAGTTGCTGTGCTCCGTGATCCGGTCTCGGTGGACTTTCCAACGATGTTCGGTGCCTGCGAGGGTGATCTCCAGATCGGCGGTCCTGGAGAAATTAGTATGATATCTTCTTGTCGTCGTAGTAACTCACTCTTCGTTATATTTGATTGGTTTTAGACATTTGAAATTCTCGCCGACCATCATCGACCGCTCTCTGGATGGTGAGCCATGGTCGTGGTATCGGCGATAGAAGAGCACCCTCTCCTCCGCATCGTAGTAGGATATGAGAAGTCTACGGATCGTCCTCATCGCGAATTATCCTTCGGAAAGATATAAGGATGACGATCGGAAAACCACGAAAAGATCTTGAGTTCTCGAATCTTGGAGCTGCTTGGAGGGACAGAGGTTTGAAGGTTGGAATGGTTCGGTTCTTCGATAGCAGGTTAGAAACTAGAGAAGAGTTTGAAAAAAGAAGGACAGGAAATTGGTTTCTCGGTCGAATTACCTAGGTATATATAGAAAATTCAACGAGTGCACAGTAGCCGGAATCACCGCGTGGTCTCGATCCACCAACGGCCACCATACCTCGTTAGGAGCGAAGTTTTCACAGTGTAGGGGGCTATAATAGGTATAGCTATAGTACGAAGAAGAAAATTCCTTAGTGATATGGGAAGAAGCTATTTATACGAGCCACCAGTTATTTGCCAGTCAGAAAGTAAACAAAAGATGAAAATACAAACAGCGTGTGTAGAGGCCAACTAGAGACTATACGCTTGCTCTTGGGCGGCTTATTACAGTGATTAGGTACGCACCTACCATATAGGAGTCGAGAATACGGCGTTGTCATCCGTCCTGATTAGGGGCTACTGTGCGCGGGCGGAATCAAGTGAATCGTCTCTAGCCAAACTTCGCTGATTCCGCCGTACGCAACATTGACCATTTGCTGTTGATGTATGGAAGATGTTTGATCCTGTCAATACCATCACCACCATCCAATCTAGAACCTAGCCGGCGGTTGAGCAGCCCCATAGTCTGTGCTCTGGGTCTAGAGGATACTATGATAGGATAATGCTATCAGACGTCACATGCAGTTCTTTCAAATCGATCTATACTCCTATCAAGAGGCTATACTTGGATTGTGGAGCGTGAACCGGAACTTTGAAGTTCGGTTTACCTGCACCGTGTGGTGAACCCTACCTAGAACGGGGCCACTTTTCCTAGGATAAAGGGGTATCCGCCTACATCCATCCTGCTAAGGACATCTCGAGTAATAAATTCAAAATATTCAATTAAATCTATATCATATTCCGTAAAAGCGACAAAGCGAATCTAAGCATGAAAGCAATCATGGTATCATCCGAAATCAAAGGCACCACCCTCCGGCTAACCCATCATCAATAGCATCACTACCATCATAACTCATTCATATCCTATCCGTCCGCTCAACGCCGTCGTCGGAAAATCCCGAGTAAACCACGGTTACTATCCGTACTCCCTCTCGGCCCCTTCTCCCCATAAGCCCCCACCGCCCCAAATCGCCGGCGCGGGAGACAACACGAAGCGCACCAAAACAACATCGTAACGAACATAACCGCGAACGCAACCCAAGATATCGTCATAAACTTCGTGCCCTCAACAGCCGAGATGCCTACATCATCACCCGCATCATTGATCTCCGAGACTCCCTTCTTCGAGATCGCGGTTGCGATCGCGCTGCTGAGGGCCAGGGTTAAGGTGGCTAGTGCGGCGACAGCTATATTGATTATGATTGTCCCTCGGCCGATGACGTCGCGTCGCAGGGTTAGGATTACGATGCATGATAGAAAGGATAGGCCTGAGAACCCGCTGCCGAGGACGTAGAGGACGAAGGTTGCGAGGAGGAAGCTGTTGAGGTAGTTAATTGCTTCCCGGATTTTATCTGGGATTGGGATGTCGGTGGCGTTGATTTTGAGGGGGCCTTGGTCGATTTCCCTCTGGAGAATATCGGTGAGGTTGAAGTTGACTAGAAGACGATGTTAACTTAAGATATTCTAGGGATAAAAAATAAATGTTGGTGGATGTATATACCTCCTGGCGATTGCGCGGTACAGTTCGTGGTGTTGTACCAAGCACCCGACGAAGTAGCATTCGGCGCAAAGTTTCCCTCGCAAGCGGTCATGATATGGATGCTGTACCATTGAGATATTCCAAGTTTCTCAGACAACTTATCGGCAACATCATTTGCGATATCATTTAGTTGGTCCGTGATTTCACCTTCAATATCGTCAAGCCCATTTTCGATGTCGTCCCAGCCGAAACCATCGCTGTCAGTTGCTGTGGGTTGAGAACCAGAAGATGTAGATGTTGGAATGAGATCGTGTCCAAAGTTCGACATGTTGAGCTGAATCCGAGTTAGCTTATAGTATTCTATTAGTACTGCGTCGATCCAAGACCTACGGCAATAAGATGGTAGTCCTCCAGTGCCTTCTGTTGTGATCCAGAACCGGCGAATAACGCCAACATCGCTAGTACGAATCCCGCGATCGACAAGATAAGCGGGATTATGACCGCTATGGGCCTAATACTGCCGTCCCTAATGATGGCCATGTTTGCGCAGTAATATTGATGGTGTTCCGATAGCTGTATTGTTACCTAGGTAGGGAAGTAAAATGTTACTATAAGGTGAGGAAAAGGGGGGACGTCCGCCGGTGAGGGTTGGCCGATTGTTAAATAAGAGTGACCTAAAATATGAAGAACAAAGAATATTATTTCATTGCTTAGCATAAAGGGCATTTTACAATAACCCTGGCAATTAATACAATCACTAGGCGATTGTCCCGATATCTACAGCGGGTCCCACCTACAAGGCTTTAAACACTCACCATTCATTCGCTAGAATTCCATCTGAAGATTGGGAGGCCAACACATCTTGGTCAATTCTAGCAATCGATCGATTTTGCCGCTCGCTCGGCGTACGTACACGTACAACGCTCCCCTGGCCAGATTATGTCAAGACAGGGGAACAATCACTTTGTACCTATCATCCAACCAGGAAGCGAGGAGAACCGTTTTCACGAGCGGCATCTGAGTGGACGGAACATGCGTCACAAAGTGATTTTGCCTCCTTTCGTCCAAGTCTTCAGCGATGATTGGCTACGAATTAGCGTTGCGTCATAAGGGTCCATCTAGAAATAACCCCTGTAAAACCGGTTCGGCACCGTACTAACCATTCAACCCTAGCACGCTATTCGGTTAATGATGGAGACATAGCCCCCAGCCCCCGTTGGCGTCCTTTTTGACGGTTGCTGATAGCCACAAAGTCGTCTTGCTTGGCTGTTCTTCAAACTGCTTCGTAAGAGAAGAGCGTCTAACGACAATACGCGGTAAAATTTGACGCTATTCCGTATATGGAAGAATCTAGACCATCAGAACGCATCAATCTATTCCAAAATTAGGGATTCTTTGTCCTCACTGAAGAATGAAATAATGGCTTGTTACTGGTACCTAGGTAGTTTGGTGTAGTCCCTGAAAGCGTTGTATTTATTTTTATTTTAGCGTATTTTAGTGGGGGAATCGCGAGTAGAGCGCGGACTCCTTAGGCTATGATAAACTGAAAAGCTCAGTTTCTAGGGGCGTAAGCTGTAATTTTCGTGCAATGTGATTAGTATTAAATTGATTTGGCGATAAATTCTGCCCAGCTTATATAATACCACTAAGTTGGTGACTCTCCACAACCGCCTTCGCGCCGTCCGTTAGGGTATCCTTCTCGACTGTGATCCAACGTCCCCTCCCGGATCGCTTCGTTCTAATATGCTTTTCAACTGCCTTCGCGGATTCTACCCATTCTGCAAATCGAAGTATTTGGCCTCTCGATGATTCATCCGTGAGAGCGTAACCGGAGCAAAGTCTTAATGTTGTGATTTTGCCCCAGTCCCCGATCCAATCGACAAAGTCGAGAGTGAAGTCGCCATCTGACTCTTTCATCAGCGCCGGGAACCAATCACTACAGCCGGTTAAGTCGAGATACTCGAGGCGATATAGGAATTTGCTCAAACGCTTGAGAATTAGGATTGCTTCGGACCAATCGCCGTCTAAATTGTGACTGTATGGCCCGGTGCCTCCGTATTGGATAGTTCTCCCGGTCACCGAAGATGAAACTTTGGCGAATTTCGCATTTGGGGTTAAAGATGGTTCAGGCCAGCCGGATAAGTTGAGATGCGAAAGTGTTGACAATTTACTAGCCAGTCCGAGGAGTTGCTTCCAAGAAACATTAGGTGCATTCTCAGGGTCAACTGCGAGGGATAGCCGTGTTAAATTCGGTAAGAGTTGAACTGCTCCGGCAACAGGTTCCGGTGCATCCCACGAATCCTTAAGATCAGTCTCAATGGCGACTTTGGGAGGGTGAAGTAATTCGTTCAACTCCTTTATTGTTAACGACTTTCCGACCGAGCTAGTCAAATCCAAGCAAAATATGTCCGCATTTAGTACATTCAGATCAGGCTTTTCGATGCCGTACTCTGCAAGCATCTCGTCCGCAGGGCCAGCCAGGACTAGTCGTAAGTCTTTAGCGGTCAACCCCGGCCCATAAAGCTCAGAAACATAGCTGAGCAACGCCGCTCGCAATTGATTGGGGAGTGTATATAGATAAAACTGGTTCCAATGGCGTTGTTGCTCCCAATCTAGAGCCATCCGTCGAAGAAGCTGATCTATTAGACTACCATCTTCGGGTGCGTAGGCGCCTGGCAGAGGCCAGTGCTGAATCCAACTTCCAACATCGGCGTTCGGATCGGGCGGAGGAGCGTGTTGCGACTGTGCTAGTGATAGCCAACTTCGTGGTGGCGGGGGGCCTGGAGGTGCGCGACGGCCACTAGCATCGCGACGCTGTGGTCTTCTGGGCAGTGGAGCGGGTGTCTCGGGGATTTGGAGAATCTGGCGGATCGAAGGAGGGACAGTGGGTGTCGCTACCGAAAAGTTGTTACGGGCGCCATTTTGATTTATACTGGTCCGTCGCAGTTCGGAGAGGATCTGATTTACTGAGCGCTCATGTTGTTCTACGCTTTAATCATCAGCAAAATATTCGCGATCGGAGTTTAAGATGGTTGAAATGGCGCAAGTTGTGTACTTACCGGGCGTCGATCGTGACGAGGAGGATAGGGTAAGCGAAGGCGGGGCTACTGAAGGCGGTTTTGAGTATCGGTTTATGTGTCTTTTCTTAGGCATAACAGTTGAAGATGGCGAAACCTATCTTGCCTGCTTGCGAAAAGAAGATTTCGCAAAGTTTAAGAAGCCCGACAGCATTTGAAGTGCTAGTTGGTAAAATGGTGAGATAAATTGGAGACTTGAAGAATTTAGAGGACTTAGAAAGGACTTGGAGATGACTCAATTGATGAGTCAAAATTGATTACGTAACAAAGAAGGAAGCGACTAGGTAGGTAGATGTCGCTTAACCCGTATCTATCCCGTAGATAGCTCCTTCGTCAATAAATTTCTAATTAAATATCACTCGTAACTTTTTAACTAATACATTATTATACATCGTCATGACTCTTTTCTTTTCTTGGTCATTAAGAATCCCAAACCCGACCGGAGTAATAAAGAATGTCTAAATAGCAGTTTGCCCGCAACCTGCTAACCCCTCCTTTTACACCTCTGGGGGAGCATGAGCATTGTCTTGACCAGGATTGGCTTCTTCGTAATGGCAAATCTTAACGAAGCGATAGTATCCCGCCGCGATTAAAGCGCCTAGAAGAGGACCGACCCAATAAATCCAATGGTATCCTGGGAATTGAGGCGCAGCTACGGCGCAACCAAGACTACGTGCTGGGTTTAGTGAGCCGCCGGTGTAATAAACGCCTATTAATAACCCAAATTAGTCCTATTGTTCACATTCATCGAAACATTGACTCATTTACTCACCAGGAATCTCGGCGACGAATAACGCTAATCCAATTCCAATCGGTGCCAAGAATGTATCTTTAGACTTTTCAGCTGCGAGCATGAGAATTACAAACACAAGATAGCAGGTGAAGAACATCTCAGCGAAGACGCCTTGCGCAAGATTCATTCCGGGTGCCAGCGTTGTGTTGATTGCTGAGATGTCGCCTGGAAACATTACTTTCACCACAGCGCCCGCGCACATACACTATATCAACGATAGTTAGCAAAACTTTCCACTCCTAACATGCGCCAAAAGGAGTAAGAAAAACTCATTTACTTACGGCAATCAATTGTGTCGGTATGAGGAAAGCACCTCTGACCCAGGGTAATTGTCCAGCGATACACATACCCAGAGTTACCTATCGCGCGTCGGAGTTAGTCATAGTCAACGAGGCCATCATCACCGGACTTCAACATACCGCCGGATTAAACAGTCCTCCACTAATCCTATAAAACGCCCAAACAGTAACCAACAACGAGAAACCATAAGCAAGCGAAATGTAAATCACTCGCGAACCACTCGGCGTAGCAGCACCTTGGTCAAGTACCATGAGGTGACCTGCATATCCGAAGAACAAGAATAAGAAGGTTCCAACAAATTCACCTGTGGCCGCCACGAGATGTTTTTCGAATGGGTTCAAATGTTGGAAATGGTGATGGCGTTGTTGAATATGCTGACGAGGTCGTGCATAGCCGCTAGCTGGTCTGTCGTAACCATGCGAACGTCGCTCATAGCCATTAGGATTTCTGTCGTAGCCGGTAGCATGTCTATCGTAACCATTGGCGTGTCGGTCGTAACCGTTAGAAGGCCTACGGCGACCGTCTACGGGTTGGTGACGTTTTTCGTGGACGTGAGGCATTGTAAGAATGTGATGGTCAGTCGTAAGTTTACCTGTTCTCCAACCCTTCGGTCTCTGGTTGATGATTTCGAGAATTCATGATTCTTGGGAGCATTTCGAAATTTTCTTCCTTCTATATAACATCAGATTTGCTAGATCTCTTTTGACGGTGACTTGACGATCCAGTGGAGTATGAATGATGCAACTGATCGAGTATCTAAGGAGGTTGGCATTGAGAGTCTAACGTTAGCTATGTTAGATTTACTAACTAAGGAGTTAGGTGAGTCTCTAAAACGCCAACTAGTAACAATTAGTCGCTGGCTAAGACTAGATTTGTTACCTAAATGGTTAGAGGCATAGGAGCATCAGCTCCCCGATCTACCTAGGTAGTAATGCCTTGGAAGTTGCGGCCATTGACGCGGCAGGTTGAGCTACGTAAGTAAAGACTATGCATAAACACTAATTCGATCGACCGATGAGAGCGTGGTGGCCGCCGGAGGATAATACCTCCGGAGTTACTCGGATGAGTAAAGCCGTGAATGAGCTTCAAGCCACAAAATCTATATATTTTGATGTTTTAGATCCGATCGAAGGTGGTGTATGTGAACAAAATTCATATCAACGGTTTACTCCTAGGATCTGCAGTAAATATCTGTACCTAGTCCCGTTCTAAACGCCATTCAAGATCATTCATAACTATATACTCCATTTTGTTTGCCTGATTGTAGCCTTCTAACCACTTCCCACCCAGTCAAATACCACGGCACCAAGGGACCCTTCCTTGTCCGTTTATCGTCCGGCGATAACATTCAGCACTCCTCCATCAACCGCAATAATCTCACCATTAACATATTGGTTCTTGGCAAGATATAAGACAGTCATCCCCATCTCCTCTTCACGTCCAGCCCTCATAAGCGGAACATGTCCCTTATCTTGAATCTTCTCTGCCGGCACATGACTCTTCTGCCTATCATCGCTACTCTTAGCCGTCACTGTAGTAAATGGAGTTAGCTAACCATTTCCCAGAGAACTTCTATTATAAAGAGAGTATGTTATAAAAAAAATTCCGAAGTTTACTCACTCTCACTAGGAAAATACCCGGGCGCAATCGAATTAACCCTAATCTCCGCCTTCTGGAACTCAGCACTCATAAGCTTCGTTAAATGTACCGTCGCCCCTTTCGCCGTATTATAACTAAAATGGCCCTGGGCATGTCTCATAATCCCCGACATCGAAGAAATCGTAATCACCGAGCTGGAATACGGTTCCAACGGGCCCTTAGGCCGTAAACCAGCCTGCAGCAACGGAAGGAAAGCCACTGTAGTAAAATACACAGCCGTCACGTTCGTGTTGAAGTTCTCGTGCCAATCGGAAGGATCCTCGTTATTCCATAACCGCGCTTTTAGGTCGTCGGCTTCGGAATGCTCGGGCTCCGCTTTTGGGCCTGAGATCCCGGCGTTGCAGACGAGCAGGTGGATGTACTTTTCACGTTGGCTTAGGTCTGCGACGAGGCGCTCTAGGTCTTCCTTATTTGTTACGTCGCAGGGTCCGATTGGGATGATTTGCCCGCTTCCGCGTGCTGGTTGGTGGCTCTTTGCTGCGTTCTCGAGGACTTCTTTTCGTCGTCCTGTGATATACACTTTGGCGCCGTTGGCGGAGAGAGCTTGGGCGGCCATGAGCCCGATGCCGGTCCCACCGCCCGTGACTACGGCGACGTAGTCTTTTACTCCGAAGAGTTTTGTTACGTCGAATTGGTGTGTATCGGCCATACTAACAGCGATACGTATATCCTAATACGGTATTGTTTAGGACGATGAAGTGTTGGGCTAGGGAATCAAGTATGGTGGCAATAATTGGGTATATGTAGGCGTATAAGGAAAGAGATCACGAGTGCGGGCTAGAAAAAAAGGATAGAGAATTAATATTGGATTATTCGCAGCAGTGAGGTCACATCCACACCTTTTTAGAAATGGTGATATCAAATATGCATGCTCACATGTAACAACGAGTGGTGACGTAAGGGTACTATTTACTTACACCACGTGGGGCAGGGATCTGTGTGAGCAAGGGAGGTGAGATGATGAGCAGAGGCTCCGCTGCAAATCTAAAAATGGAATATGAATTTTCGCCTTCAGTCGAATCTCTATTCTTTTAATTAAAGAAAAAAAAAATCAATTGCCTATTGTCGTGGTAGGCTTGTGGTGGCTAGCGGGTTGGCAGTCATACCCAATTTGAAATACCTAATATATCGATACAATCACGTTGCGCTTCGCAAAAATTTCCATCAAATATCTCTACAACTTCGACACCATCTTGGTGCCTTCCTTCAACATCGCTGAAGCGTCTTCAATGAACTCATCCACAACGGCCTTTGCGCTCTTTTGTTCGTTGACTAGGGCGGCGCATTTACCCATTAGGTATGGTCGGAATTGGTCCATCGCATCATCTATGTCCTCATCGCTGGCACCATCGCCGGAGCCTGAGCCTGTGCCGTTCGCAACCTTCTCAAGGTCGTGTTCGTAGGGAAGAATTCCCTTAGCAGTTAATTCCCTAATCTCGGCTTGACGCTCAGTTTCCCAGTTCTCGATATACGGGTTCTTTCGCACTCGTAACGGACGTCCGGTAAAGATGAGTGTTCGGATAGTGTCGTTGAATCCAGCAGTCCTTACTGATTCCTTGTGCGATTCAGGTGCTCCAGCTTCGTCGACCAGGATGAATCGGGTACCAACCCAGACGGCGCCTGCGCCCATCATGAGCGAGGCAGCTAGCAACTGACCGTTATGGATACCACCGGCGGCAATGACTTGAACCTGCTTTCCTGAAACGGGGCTCTTCTTTCCCTTGCAGATTTGCACGCAGGCGGGGATTAGGACAGTTGTCGGGACATCTCCTGTGTGACCACCACCCTCACCACCTTGCGCGCAGATAATGTCGCATCCAATATCTAGCGCCTTCTGTACGTGCTTAGGGTGTCCAACCATGTTCATGTAGTAAATGCCGTGCTTGTGCAACTTGTCGACGACAGATTTGGGTGGTACGCCAACCGCGGAGACGAAGAGCTTAGCTCCCGATTCGATGATTATGTCGACTAATTCGTTAAGCTTGCCTTTCGTGTAATCGTAACTGTTACAGGTTCAATTAGTCAACGGGAATTTCTAAATGGTACACATTGTCATTGGGCAATGAGTACTAAAACCTCGGAGAGCATACTTTGTTTTCCTAGCATTACCACCAACTTGTGGCAGTAATAGGTCAATACCGAAGGGCGCATTCTTATCGTGTAAGTAAGATTTCAACTCGTCGATTTGTTCCTTTAGCATGCTCGGGCTGTATGACATGCCTCCAATAACACCGAGACCGCCAGCATTTGTGACAGCTGCTGCTAGCTTGGGACCAGCAGCAACATTCATACCAGCCAGGAGGATTGGATGGTTGATCCCGAAAAGATCGGTGATGGGTGTTCGAATTCTCTCTGAGGAACCATTCTTTTGTCAGCATGCGACCCCTAAAACTAATGTTTGCTGCTGCTCATTTTGCAACTTACGTGGTGATGCCATATTGACTCTATTAAATGATTATGCGACTATAAGGCAAAGAATTTCGTATATTTGTCTTGGGGGGGTTGGTCCCAGAACTTCAGAAATAATAGAGTGGTATATATAACGGAAAAATCAATTCTAAAAAAGAAAAAGAAAGTCAAGTTGAATCACAAGATTTCGGCAAAGCGGGCGGCAAGGGGAATTTCATTGATGGACAGTGGAGTTGGTGGAAATTGGGGTAGAACAGACGGTCCGTAGCATCTCGTATGGCTGAATAGCACAGTAGACCCTTAGTTCGTCTGGGGAACCGAGGCATCTTTGAATGCCTAGCTTCAGTGACTAGGATGTCTAGCTGAGCAGCGCAGCTTCCCAAGAACGAACCAGAATATTGAATCACGCGGTACCGCAAACAAACATTTGAACAAGTGGAACTTAGCCGAGGTTTTGGCTTAATTCGGTTAGACTAAGGGACTTGTAGATACGGTACTTTTGCTTTTTTTGGTACCATTGTCCGCGTGAGAATCTACGGACCAAGCATTGCTGTAAGGCGCCGCATGAGTATAATTATGTTCGGATGACATTTTGAAGAAGCTTTGATAAAAGTTACAAATTGAGTATAATGTTGGAAGTTAAGTGTTGGTTAATTGATCTGATAAGTGAGATTTCCACGTAAGCATGTTCCTTGTGGTGTAGGGAACGGATCGGATCGAATCCATGCGCGTCATCATTTTTCAAAAAGTCCGGGGCTGTGTATTACATAAGGTTATTGCATTAGATAATTCATAATTTTATAAATCGGTAGGTTATGTGGAATTATGTAAGACATCTTAATCTTGCTTGCTTACATAATGTGATGAGACGAGACGGAAATCGGTACGTACCTTGCTTACAGTGGAACTTTGGAAAAATTGCAGTCAAATTCAAACAAGTCGAAATCCAAATCAGTTTTAGATAGTAAAGAAAAATTATCGATAATGTGTAATCATCCAATGGGGGATTTGACTCGCGGTTGATTTCCTCCATATAGTGTCAAATGAATCTTTTATCATCGAGACTTCTAGGATGGAGTTTTTCATCTTACCGCGCTCGAGTATCGTCGTCTTCCATTAATTCGTGGTGGTCATCTCCAAGTGACTCGACTCGATTCCCTTTTCGCGACATACCGAATCATACAACCTCCCAAAAGAGGACAATGGATCGCCAATTCTCAACCAATCCATCTCGTAAAGCATGTGGTTGTGCCGAACGTCGCGGTAAGAGGACCGCCTACATTGCTCTAGGTAGCAATGTTGGTGATCGGATATCTATGATTGAGCAAGCATGCAAGGAAATGGACTCGAGGGGCATCAAGGTGAAGAGAACCAGTAGCCTCTGGGAAACTAATCCCATGTACGTCCTAGATCAAGATAGGTTTATAAATGGAGCATGCGAGGTTTGTACCGTAATTCTCACCTCCTAGACCTAAGCTGAGTGATCTTAACTAGGTGGAAACCGATCTTGAGCCGTTGCCATTACTCGATCAGCTACAAGATATAGAGATATCCATGGGACGGCGGAAACTCATTAACAAAGGCCCTCGGAATATTGATCTTGATATTCTGCTCTATGAAAATGAAAGTGTTGATCATGAGAGGCTGAAAATCCCTCATATTGGTATCCCAGAGCGTGAATTCGTTCTCCGTCCCCTTGCCGAACTCATACCGCATAAGTCAATAGACTCCTCCAAGCCTTGGAAGTTTATCCAGGACTATTTGAACGAACTACCCCCAGCTCCTGAGCCTCTCTCGACTCTGACGCCGATTTGTGACTCAGTGGAGCCTTTAAATGCCCTCAAGGCGACTCGGAAAACGCAAGTAATGGCCATCCTTAACATAACGCCCGATTCTTTCTCAGATGGAGGTATCCACACCCCCGATTCGCTAAGGGATACAGTCATGGCTTATGTTCGAAGGGGCGCCACGATCTTCGACATCGGCGGACAATCTACAGCACCGGGAACGCTCGAGGTCAGTGCTCAAGAGGAAATGGATCGCGTTCTGCCCGTTATCGAGCTCATTCGTAGCCTACCCGAAACACGCGATGTTGCTATTAGTGTAGATACATACCGATCATCAGTCGCCGAAGCAGCCGTAAAGGCAGGTGCAGACATTATCAACGATGTCTCGGCCGGACTTATGGACCCGGAGATGTTCTCCACAATGGCCCGATTAGGCAAGACTGTGTGCTTTATGCACATGCGAGGAAACCCTAGTACGATGAGCAAATTAAACGAGTATCCGGAGGGGTTGATTCCTACTATTGCCCGGGAGTTATTGGAGCGGGTAGCGGCTGCTGAAGCTGCGGGTATCCGTCGGTGGCGTATCATCCTTGACCCCGGTCTCGGATTCGCCAAGGTAGGCGAGCAGAACTTACAGCTCCTGCGCCATTTCGATGAGCTGCGAAGCTGGCCGGGATTAGAAGGTCTGCCATGGTTAGTAGGGTCTAGTCGTAAGAGCTTTATTGGTAAAGTCACTGGGGTACCAAAACCAATAGACCGCGTATTTGGTACGGCAGCAACCGTCACCGCGGCGGTGCAGGGGGGCGCAGATATAGTTCGCGTTCACGATGTTGTGGAGATGGGACAGGTAGTAAAAATGGCCGATGCCATCTGGAGGTATTAGATTCACCTCTAAGCTGCAGCCGCAGCCGCAAACGAGTATACACCTCACCTCTCACGACGAGTTTCCATGGTCATCCTTTTACCAATCTGTTCTTATCCTCTCGTCCAGATCTCGTCCATCTTTTCTTTTTCTTCACTTAAACTCCGTATCACAACCACAAACCGTCTCTCGTTCTAGTAACCCGTGCAAGCAACCAGTATTCATCCCAGACTTAACGTCCTAGCAATCATTTTTCCGAATTTCTCTCCGTTTCCTTCGCGAAATTTCAGTTGCTAGCAGAGCCGTCAAATTGTTCCTTCTCTGATCCTTCGTGACTTCGTGTGCAGTTTCCTCTTCTTCCTGCGACCTAGACGCTAGGTCCAGGCATGACGTGAACAAACGAAGTAGTCGAAGTAGACGGAGTGTTCTCGTCAGGAGTCAGAGGGGTGCCTTGGTCAGAGGTGATGTCGAAACCAACAGGACCGCCGGACTCAGTTGAGGCATAGCCCCAAGGCTTTTTACAAATGTTAGCGACTATTACACCACGAAGCTCGGATTTGATTGAGAGGCGGCGGGGGGGATAGACAAGGAAATTACGAACCTCTCGGTGGCTGATAGCAAGGGCCCGACTAGCGATGGCGTCGGTGTTGCCCGTAGAATAGTCAGGAAGCGGGCATGCGATGGCCATGAGTTGGTCGATGTCGATCTGGACATCGTTACCACTACCGAAGTCAGGGGTGTCGGTAGAACGAATTGCCGACAGAGTTTCCATACTGGGGAAATGCTCGAGCCAACGAGTGCCCGAGGGGGTGGCGTTCAGAAGGCCACGGCTGGCCTTGGGTCGCACAGCAGTGGGTAGCTGGGTGGTGGTGGGAGCCGCAGTAGTGCTGTAGCGCGCCGGGTAAGCGGACGGGATAGGGTTATGGGCCGGTCGAAGCGGCGATTGGAAGAGGTCGTTCAGCGGTTGAGGGGGCATATGTCCAGGAAGCTTGCCAAGGGAGGTGGCGTTTGCGTCGACCTCGGGCTCCTCGAAGTCATCGGCACGGCCGAGGCAACGAGAGAAACAATTACCCATGATGGCTAGAGAACAGCGTCAAACGCACAAGAAATAAAATGTTCAATGGATTGTCAATGGGTGAAAAAGGGTTCCAGAAGGTACCGTCAAAGGTTGTTGGGAGGCACAAGATGAATATGCAACTAAAAATTGCCTGTAGAAAGAAGAGCAGAGCGTATGCTGAACCTCTGGAGAAGGCCGGCTGTAGGGTCTGAGGAATGGTGCAGGGCGAGAGAAACGAAGAAAGGAACGAAATGCGAAGTTGGAGGGTTGCTAGAAAAAAACGAAAGGTGCAAAACAAGTTGGCATGGCCAGTCAGGTTCTCTTTTGGTCTAGGAAAGCAGTCCCGGAAGTCTCGCGCGACAGTGAGCTCACTTCGGCCAGTGACGCTATCACAAAAATCGGAGCCTTTTACGGGGGTATCATAAAGAGGCAAGCACATCCCTATGCGCGAGCACCCGCCCTCTGAGCATTAAAGATCCAAAGCGGTCATGGCTCCTGAGTGGCCCTAGTGTCGAAATCGACGACATAATCGATCCGCCTTTGCTCTTTCTCGTATAGGACTTGGCTCCGCTAGATTAATATTGCCTCGTCGAGCCTCAAGACTCGGCGTCCCAGCACCCCAAGACATGAATCAAAATGCCCTCCCCTAATATCGACCCTGAACGAAGACATCGAACGAACGAACGAGAAGTACGATCAGTACCCAGGTAGCTAGCCATGCTTCAACGCTTAGGCATAATAGGAGTTACCCGTTAAAATATTATCAGATATCACGTTGATATGCTCCCACGAATCAGCTTATATCTATCTCTGCCCTAACATCTAACATGTACGGGTCCTCCATTCTAGTTAATTCCTATAACACTCATTTACCTCGAAGCTAGATACCGAAACCTGGTGCCTTTACGCTACGCAGGGAGCCCTATACAGCCACCGCTACTCCTTAGAGTATGCAGCTCAAGCGGCATTATGAACCCTTAACTAATGCACTTCCCACCCTCCATACCATACAACAAGACCCTCGCCGATTGCCACCATTTATGTCCTAGTCAGTTCACATTCACTATACATTAAGCAATACCATAACCACAGCAAGGCTCTCTAATGACTTTCTCGACGAGAATTGCCTGCTTCCGACTTTATTCGAGTGGGTGTGGCATTAACAGGAAATTCCCCAACTTGAGCTCATACACAGGCCCGAACAACTACATACCAACTACGCTGAATTCACTGATTAGTCGCATAGGGAAAAAAAAAAAAAGCCACATAAGTGCGTTCAATTCTTTTGACCGAGACGTCCAGTTAGTTGACATACCTAAGCATCCGTGAACGCACGGCTGATTGATATAATCAATACCTATCTCTTTTAGTATCTCCTATCAGGCTATGAAATTAGAATTACGGCCCAATTCCACCCTTTATACCACAGCATAACGTTTCACGATATTTATCACATCCGACAACCTTCCGACGTCAAACGTAAAAACCTAGCCCCGATTCCATACAGCCGGGTCGGGCGCATGCCTCCGTTATCCAGGGGTAAAGGTAACACAGAACCACACTCAACAGATCCGTTCCGTCTTAGACATCAACCTACACTTGCGAAGCCGGATCGACGAACAGCGGTTCGGCTCCTCCCTCCCTAGCGGCAGCTAACGCTGTGCTACGGGCTAGGCAGACCCGTTTCCATGGAAAGACCTCCGTGGCACAGATGCAAGCTAAGAAAACGAACTGCCGTTTTCCCCTTTCAACGGCCGTGATACTCATTGTGCCAAGCCTCGTAGGGCTGAGAGTACCCTTTATTCCCGTCGGTACCATTCTATTGTTCTTTCGTGAACCACCCCGCGCGGCGGGTGGCGTGATACAAGATTATTAGAGTTCTCTCCGTAGCATTTCGGGCTCGGCTTACATGCCTGATTGCCTACTAATCCGCGTATCATGGGAATAAGGAGGGTATAGATGCTAAGTAGCTGGATACTTACATGCGATAATTACCATATTAGCTGGGCGCAGCGACTGGTAATGTAACCCAAACCGATGATAAGCATCTAACATAGCTTAAATGACTTGAGGATCTCTCTTAAAGCTGGGCGTCTTGAAATTGCATTTTACCTACTGTGCCTCCCTCTAACGCACGCAGCATCCATATCGACATACGCACCTATATAAGGGGGCAGTTGCGAAGGAATCGCACCGATTCGTATCAGGACGCAAGCTGCGAGAGTGGAACGATGCAAGCGTTCATCCCAGTCTACTAGGGTCCTCATCTGCCGATATGCTATCTACGCAAATTAATTGGCATCTACTTACGTTATTTTGAACTCCTACTCCCTTTTAGAACGGGAAGGATCCCGCTAAAGCATGAATTCGGTCTTTGTTGGAGCTCATGCGGCCTGTTGCGAGCTATATTCTTCCATCATACACCAACAAAAGTTGTTTTTATCGATTCGCACAGCCTCTCTCAATTGTCCATAACCCCCACGCTGGATCGATTGAGGATATCGAGTTCTAATCGCCGAAAAACACAGACTCCTACATACACCCGCCTGTCAAGTTTCCAAACGTCTGTCCCAAAGAAATGACAGAAATCAAGCACGTGTACAACATCCATTTCTCTGAACCCAACCGGCAGGGGCATAGTTACACATAACCACGCAAAGCAAAGCTCGACGCCGTTACACAAGACCACGCACGTTGGATAACTCCGAGAGCCCGGTGGACGGGTAGGTATCAGCAACCAACATATGTACGCGCTACATCATACTACATGGGCATCACGCACTAGCCAGCAAGTCGCAAGTCGCAGCAAACCATTGATTATATCATACGGGCATTAATCCCTTGTCCTAGTAGCGTATCTCCTGACAATCAGGAAACGAACTATGTATACTGGTATACTGTGTCTTGCTGGCCTCTCCATCCTTCGGTGAGTAATTAGGATTGATTTAGATTGAAAAGCAAGTAAATCCGAGCACCGTTGGAACCAGCTCCGAACAAACCATGGCACGTATCCGTATGTAGGTATGGATCATATCATTCAAAGGCCGAAGCGGGCAATGTGTGAACGGGAACTGTGTCAGAAACCTAGCCAATATCATGAATAAGCCAAGACCATTCGCCCTGTGACGTCTCACTCAAGCCTCACCAACAAACATACTGTCTTGGTCGGGTCGGGATATGGAATATTACGCATGTGGGTAGGCTAGATAGGTAGGCAAGCAATATGTTAGGCAGGTTACCCTATAGAGAAACACGTTTCGCGTATTCGGACTTGATGAAGGAGAAGCCTACCCACTTCCACAGTTTCGATGCACCCCGATGACATACGATTTAGTCATACGTAAGCCACAATGTTGGCGGCAGGTAGTCTATAACACCCACAATTAATCCCTCGAGGTGTCTTCTATGTTACCTCGCGCTTACTGGGGTTTGTGTTCCCGCCTTTCTGGCCCCTTATGTTAGCCCTTGAATAGAGATTGAAAGAGAGAGAAGAGAGAAGAGAAATTCAAGTTACACGGGCGTTTAACCAGTTACACGATCTGCTGACTGGGGACCCTGTACCACGTAAGCTCGCTCTTAGGTAACGTTAAGGCGGCGTTGCGAACGAGAGCAAGTCATCTGGCCAGTAACGGAGAGCTGGGGATGGCGGTGTGTAAATTACAACGCCAACGTACATACCTCTAAGGCAAGTAGTGAGCTGACGACAGTTGCAGCGGATCCCACTGGTTGCTTGCTGCAATGTACCTCCTAACTTATTAAACTAATAATACGGAATATGGATGGCAATAATTCCGCACCGATCGGCATTTCGCTTCCAAATTGTTGGCAGGTTTTAAAGCAGAAGGAGGGAAGGGGGGGAAATTCCCTTGCTCCACCTAAGCGACCTTATCTACTCGAATGCCGTACCAAGACGAGTTTTTATTGGCCATTTTGTTCCCATAATGATGCTTCGCAAGCCTTGCTGAACGTAGTACACACATTGGGGGCGGACCAAACTTGCCGCATCTGCATCGCGAGAAGCGCGGCGCAGTAGTTTGTGTTACTCCTATAATGTTGCGCATGAAGAGCGCATTGAAAAAACATAGCCTATTCATCATCATACAATCTGCGGCACAGCATTTCTGTGCGACAAACTTGTTTTGGCGCATTCAGTCACTTCTTTTCCCCCCTTCGCTGTATCTTTAGGGGGGCAAATGACCTGTCATATTGTCATTTGAATGCGAACACAGTGCAAACCTTTTCATCCCGCAAAAACACGGGCGACCGGATCGAATTGACGAGTCATTTTGGTGAGTTCTTGGCATTCTACTGCCTAAGTCGATATTAAACAAGTAGCGCTTTCTGACTCAGCCATGTCCATACGGAATCAAGCCGCGACGCTGTAAAATTATGTGCTATGTAAATATGAGTGGCACAAAGGTACTGCGTAGGGCTGAGCAGAAGACGGAAGTAGTGTAACAGAGGGCTGTTGATGCACGTCAGACACATCATCCATTATGTAGGTAGGTTTGTATGTATGTACGTATGTACATAACTGCATAAGGTCGAAAAAGATGTACTCGGGGAAATCATAGCTGCTTACGGCTGTATGTGTGTGTATGTACCGTAGACATATGGAGTGACATAATGGAGTTCACGTACAACAGACTTGCTACACAACTACGTACGGGTCCTGCGCCTACCACCGTAACATCGCGTGGCTTGCTGAAGGAGTAGCTGTTTGCGAATGGCAGGATGATCCGAACCAGTCGTCGATAACCTATGGCCCAATCAATCGCTTCATAGCCACGGGAGCGCGGGGATACCTAGGTATTTGGCCCCCAGATATAGGCTTACCAACTTGCCCTTGTCTGTCGTTTTGATTGCCGGCCAAACTTAACTTGCCGGCGGGTGCTGAAAACTTGGATGGATCTAATCCATGTATCGACGGTTTTTTCTTCTTTTGTCTAAAACAATGTGGGCATAATTAGTAGATTTCTCGGGCTTGTTTAGTACTTAGATATCCTGAGCCCGACATGTATTTCGTATGAATATCTTACGCATTTGGGCCCAGCTTGGCCGATAGACCCCCTTTTTGATTGAAGGAACAAGCCATTCGGAAGAAGAGGGGACGCGAATTTGGATTCAGTATGGTGGGTAAGATTGATCTCGGTACTTACCGGACCGGGACAAAGCAAATTATACCTGCCTACCTAGCCTAGGTACCTTAGATAAAATAAAGATCCCCGCCTTTTAGAACCAGTGGTAGAAATACCTAGTAAGGGGAAATGAAGGGGTACGTAGGGGGATGGAGTTAGGAGAAGCTATAATTTAGCTTGAGGGAATTTGGATATGCTAAGCGTATCAGATATAGTAAGCTATCCGGTGAGAGTAGACGCATTTGATGCCAAGCCCGGATATGCAGGCCAGCTGTAGACATGTTCAAGCATCGCGGGAGGGTATGCTGGATTGCCACTTGAAAGAAAAAATTTCCCGCCGCGGAAACTCGGAGATCGATACAACGCAGATACAACGCAGATACAACACAGTCTAGCAGGGCTAGACCTCACGATTCGGATGTGGGAGGACATGGGTATACCGACGAAGTAGAGTGTAGTAGCCCACGATTGGTAGTTACCCGCCAAGGTATGTTCGCTCTCGGAGCGAACTCGAAGCACTACTGCCACCATTACTACCACATTTTCAATGACGGATTCTGGAGGGAAGGGGGATGGGATACGCGGCCCCCAACCCAACCAATGTCAACCGAGAGTTGGTTAGCAACGTGCGCCAAGGTGATATCGCCATCCCGTCAAGTTGTGGCGGGTCTGTCACTCATGCATTGGTAGGTTCCGGATCCGCGACGGCGGGTCCTGCTTAAAATTTTTCGTTTAATCTCTTGCGACCGTGATTACGGTATGGGTTGTAGAGAGGATGTAGGATGTATGATGTATGCGACGAAAATGAGTTGCGGATGAGGCCTGCAACCTATTGTGACTGATGATAACTCACGGTTCCTTCTTCTCTTCTCCTCCTCTTTCTCTACACCCTCCCTGACGGCGATCTGTATAAGCTCCACAAAAGCTTATTTGAACCCCGTATGAATTGGCACGGATACAGGTTTTGTGTCGTAGATGAAGGTACCTGTGAAGCGAAGGCGTATGATGCATATCGAAGGAGGGGCTGCGGGAATGCATCTTACCCGCATAGGACACCATACTGTCCGTACATGTATGTGTGTATGTACGTATGTACCTAGGCATGTACCTACTTCAGAAGTATGTATGTATCTATGTATACACAATGTGCTCAAGAGGTATTGGAAGGGCTTATGGCTCAGTTGCTCTCGGCCGTATTCTTCTTAGTTGAAAGACCCGACGGAGACGGAGAGGGGCGAAACGCGGTTGGACCCTTAACGACACGGCTGAAACGGCAAGGAGCTGACCGGTGTTGTCGCGTCGAATACCAAGGCTGTCAATCTAGGTAAATTGTGAATTGTTAGAATTACTGAACTTCACCGGTGAGGATCATCTCGACTCGATTAGTGCGGTTGCATTGGAGCTCCACGGCGACTGAAAAACCTGGACAGCTGGGCTGCCTGGAAAGTTGTGACCGGCTTGAGTATGTATTATTAAAGAGGGGCACGAATCTGCATGAGCAAGTATTTATCTAAGTAGGTATGTATTAATTATGTAGAAAGCAGAGAAAAAAAGGGAGAAAATAAAACGCCACTTAATTATTTATTTAGCAAGGGTGTTGACAAAATGGCCGGGAGGGGGGGAGAATCAACGGTAAAGAATCAGAAAAGAAAAAAAAAAAAGGAAAAGAAAATTTAAGCCAACCCATTCGGTCCCGAAATGGGTCTAAAAGAATACAATTGCCTAAGATGCGGTAGGGAAGCAGGAAATGGGAAGTAGGAAGTAGGCAGCGGATGCCTCATTAATAGTCGGGAAAGCACGATACCGCTACGAGAATTTTCATTACCTATTTGGGTATACATCTCCGTTTTCACATAACGGCAATTCCGTTATTATTTAAATTCACCGTAAATACGGTTAGTACCTAGGTACATTTAGGCTACTATGTACCTATAGATGCGCCGGAAAGCGCTGCATACATACATGTAGCGGGTAGGTACGGGCTTACGTACACAGATTAACAAATTTACAAATCACAAACACCGTCAGGATAAGCTACTGGAGCTGCTGGAGTCTTAAGTTTGCGGTGTTAGCTTACTCTAGCGTAAACTCTAGGCTACCTACATAGTAGACAGCTAGACGCTAGGCTAGGTAGCTGGGCTAACTAGGTACATGTGTAGCTACATAGTAGCTGCCCAGGTGGGTATGTACATAACATCATTCAAGTGTGGGGTTTCCCATCTATTCAAGTTCCACTGTTGGGTTAGCACTGATACCAAGGATCTACTTGATCGCATGTGGATGCTAGGACCCCCAGCTCGCCCAGACTCCAGTGGAAAACCCCCCTGTCTACACTTACATACCTAGTCAGATAGTACGGAGTGTCGCCGCGTCGCTTCAACCCCGGCTGAAAACCTGCCGAGGCTCTATTTCTTGCTATCATTCCCTACTTTTAGTGCAACCTAGTTCCCGTTGTGGGGCTTTGAGGCTTTTGTAAGTCCAATTTAGACGACCCCCCAAACCCGAATCTGAAGAAGTACTTAATGAGTTGGTTGTTATTATCACGAAAAAAGAAATATTGGGGGGAAGAAAGAGGGAAGGGAAAAGAAAGTCCATTACACTCTAGTGCACAACGCGCGCACTAACTATGCCAAGAACTCTTTACCGTTGCATCCCCACGTAGGGGTGGTCATTGGCTACGGTTCGCGCCCCTTAACCGCTTCACAGCCAAATTTGCTACCACCTATCCAAGATGCATACCTAGGCAGGGCCTAAGAAATTATTTTTCATTTTCCTATCCCTAACTAGACTGTATATCGTCTATTAATTATGACCTAGATATTTCGTACAGTTCGTCCCGCTTTAATAATCATAATCGTATCTATATTTCTACCCGCACGAGTAGGCATAGTACCTAGCCGAGAAGGAAGGAAATAGAAAGAAAGCTATGTTTGTCTTTCGGTCAAGCTATGGGAAGGCAACTCCAGTCGCGTAAGAACCGCCACTACATACCTAGGTAGTAGAAAGCTGCTAGGCCTTAGGTCCTAAGCTGGATCCTTTCCCTCGCTCTATACCTTCCTCAAGACTTAAATCATTTCTCGGGACTCAATAAACACACATTCCACCCAAGCGTCCCCTCAACTACACCGATACAGAAGAAGGTGAATCACAATATGTCGGTCTCACCAGGAGGACCCGGGCAACAAGTGAAAGCAGTTGCCGAGTCGAGGAAAGATAAAGCAGATACCCATATAAAATCCGTCTTTCCCAACGCCGCCCATGTTAGATTTTTTTTGCGTGGTCTTCGTCAAGTTTCAAGGCAGATGAATGAAAGTCGCTCGTCCTTCGTTTCTCGAACCGTCTCGAAAACACCGTAAAGCATCGCACCAGGGTATCCTTTCCGTTATCCCACCAGATAAATCCCATGTTTTGTAGTATATCCGGCTGCACCGCCAGGTCCTAGTTCATTCTTCGTATATTTCTCGCATCCACTCAGATTTCTCATCTAGCCTCGTTCTCCCCGAAGCCCGTCTCCCCCTCTCTCCACGCCCATGCCTTACGCCATCTGCTTCGTCTCCATACCGAAGCACATAAAAACTCGGACCCGGAAGAAAAGAAATATGCTTTTCGTCTCCAATAAATAACCATTTTAAATGCGGTAACGGTAATGTTTTGGCGGGTAGCTACCAACTACCGAACAAGTGCGCCACATAATCAAGCCTATATGCGGCTGATAGGTACATATACTGTGTAAGTTTGTAGCCTGCCTCACCCCGATTGAGGAAGCATGGTCGGCATGGTAGGATAGTATCCTGCAGAGGTCGACTTTCCCTCAAATCGGCTGCAGCTTCGAGGGTAGTACGCACTTCCGGCGTTGTAAAAGAGGCTCGGAAGGGAATTCTCGTATTCATGCTTTACCTTAGTGCTGGTTGAATCCATCGCCGCAGATGCTGGAATCAAGCTCTCTTGTTCGCTTCTGTGGGAGAACATCTCAACACCCTGTCTCGAATCAGTACCTTCGTATATAGTTGCTGGGTAGTACTGATAGTCTTTGGTATTGTCGATCGCTTTTGCTTCTTCAGTGGGTATTACTGGCTCCATCGGAAGGTCGTGGTGGCGTGTTGAGCCATAATGCCCTGACGATCGGTCATATGTATTGCTCGAGTAGGAGCCCGGAAGCATTGACGGTCCACCCGCACCATAATCCGAACCAAGAACCTGGGAGCTAGAGTAACCCCCCATTCCACCAGATCCTCCAGGCCCACTGCTAGTACTTCCGCGTCGCTCCGTCTGGTAATGTCCAGGAGAGCGACCGCGCACAATCATCTTGGCAGATTTTCGTTGCGCAATCTTCATGAATTGCTCAGAAGCTTGGTTTCCCACATCCACGTAAAGCTCTACAACCAGGTGGTAGTATTGCTGAGCTGCTCTCCGCTTGCCGTTATTCGCCGTCGCCTGTTTGAATTGTATTCTCTCGAACGTATGTTCGACCGGGTATGTTCCTTGCGCGCCTGGTTCATAGGTACCATGGTACAAAGTTCTTGTTGCGGCAGAAATGCTAGCATCTGGATATAACAGCGGATGCGGTGCCTGCTGTGGCTGTTTCGGCGTCAGCCTAACTTTCTCCGGCTTTTGTACCGGTCCCTTGTCTCTCTTTGGCGTATGTTGCACCAAGTCGATCGTGTGAGAATCGCTGTCGGAGACTACTGCAGAGATGCTCATCGCAAATCCGAATACTTGGTACGATGTTGAAGAGCCATTCGGGGCGTATTGCATTGTGGTATTAGCGAAATATGGGGAAAGGCTATACGAGCAGATGCAAGAGAAATAGTTCCGCCTGTAACATGTCCAATCTCCCTCTGACAAGAAGAACCCTTTATCGATGGTTCCATGGATGTCGATTTTAACGGGTGTTCCCGACTCACTGTAGACGAGCTGGCCGTTCGTGGTCATCGGCATGAGCGGGGGGATATGCGATCCCCCGGTCTTGCCGTATTGAGTTTCCATCCTGACGGGATTTGTGAAACTGATGCTTGGACTAGGTGTTGGCGAAAGGGGATGGCGGCGTAGGGGTGCTGCAAAAGATGGTGATCTGGTGTGCTCCGTTGCTCTTCCAAAGGATGGCCTCGCTCCGGAGTAAAGCTCTCTTACGTTGTATGCTGGATTTGGTAGCGCAGCGGAGCGGTTGGCATGTGCCATGCCCGTGGACGAGGTACTACTGCCGCGATCGTAAGTAGGGCGTAGACACGGGGAAGGGTTGCGGATAGGTATTGTGATTCTTGTTTTTATTACGCCTCCTCCCGGAAGGGGTTGGATCGGTGTGCGACTTACTTAGAGTTCAGGCGCGGTGGCCTGACGTCGATCCCAGAGAAGATCTGTGAGGCTGAGGAATAAAAAGAGCCGCTATCAGGGGAGTACCCCGTTGTAGAGGTATTGAGTAGGGGCGCAGAAAAGCCGCCGAGTACAGATGGCGGCTGTGGAGGGGTTTCTATCGTCAAGGAAGAGAGATTAGAATCTTGGTTGTATCTGGAGAAGACATCAGCAGGGGTTTTTTTTCTTTTGGCAAATAGAAGCTCATGTGCGAGGCTCCAGCCAAGTTAGCGAAAATGGCTTGTATCGCAATTCCATACAAGACAATGCCCAAGTGTCCAAGTGCGACCAAAAAGGTGGTACTGACAACGTTGCGTACCACAGGGGGGGGGCGGATAGAGGATCGGGAACTACAAACCACGCCACATAGCGGCGAACAGCGGAAGAGTCACAGGCTTTTGTGTAGCTACTACAGCCACCCATGCACCTCGTCTCCGTGCCTACAGCGAGACGGATTTACAGGCGGTGCTAGTAGGTGCAGATTGCAAGGTAGATAGGGTAGGTAGGTTTATCTTTGGGGGGATACGCTAGTAGGGCGATCGAGGCAGCCTGACCGGCATACACCACACGCACACGCACGCACGCATACATACACACACACTTTCTTCATAAGTGCCTAAGTGTAGCTGGCTGCTGAGACAACGCGTGAAGACGGAGTAGATAGGTAACGGAAGAGGATAAATGCATAATAATGAAAAATTAAGGAAGTGGTGGGAAAATGGTGTGGTGGTGTTGTTGTTGATGATGATGATGATGCTTTTGGCTTGACGGGATCTTTTTCTTTTTCTTTTTCTTTTTTTGGCTCCTTTTTTTTGTTTCGGTTTTTCTTCTGTTTTTATTCTTCAACAATAAAACACGAGGGGAAGTGAGACTAACCTCATATCACCTGTTACCGGTATGTCGAGATATTCCAACCCAGGACAGGATGGGGGCGAAGACTCAAAGTCCTGCTAGAAGAAGTAGAATTGTCAGTCACGTAAGCAGCGACAGCAGGGTATATATCATAGGAGATGGCACGGGTCTAATTAATAGAAGAGGTCCATAGGGGCACATGTGAGAATTGCGTGAGTTGAGTTGCAGTCATTACCGGGCTTTGGGCATTGCCGGCAGAGAATTGATAATTGAGGGCTCGAAAAGGTTTGTAAGTGTAGGCCCTGTAAAAGAGTCGGCAAGAATATTAGCTAGTGCACACGAGATTGACTTGTACAGGATCCGCTAACGCCAGAGCGAGATTATAACATCCATGGATGGGAGTGGAAGGCTTGGGTACTTGTATGCTGGCCCGCTGAGGTACATGGACGGATTATGTTATGTAGGTATAGGTGTATGTAGGAGGGAGGTTAGGTTGGTTAAGTCTGGTTTAGGTCAGGTAGAAGGGTAGATGGGTTTTTGTGTGTGGTGTAGGTAGGGAAGTAGGGGCGTAGGTTAGTTAGCGAGTCGACCGGAGCGGATGCGTCAGTGAAGGTGCAAATGGATGGCACGGTGTTTGCTCCGGTTGCTGCTTCCATCTCAGCAATAAGTAGGTACCTTGTAATGCCGTGCGTTGCACTGTGGTACCATCGGGCTTGGTGCGAGAAATGTACATAGACGGTAGAAATGGACCGGGGCATGTACCTCGAGACGGATGTACTTTTATACTTGTGTATGTACATGGATACATCTGCACGTATGACTGTATGTACGTATGTGTGGAAAGGTGAGGTAGGCGCAATGGAAATGGGAAATGGGCAGTCGGGATCCAGAATCGGTGCTAATGTTAGGTACCTACTGGGTATGGGTATGGGTATGCATGTGTGTATGTAAGTGTATGCGCATGTTTAGGTTAGGTACCTAAAGGCTGCCAGTAAAAACAGGCAGGTTAGGGGAGGTAGATACCTAGGTAGGTAGTACCACGCTAGAGATCCGGAGGCGTTTTTTTTCCTTTGTACGACACGAGAAACCGGGGATGCCTGATGCAACTTTCATCCAATCTAACAACTGCTTTTCATGATACGCAGCCGTCGAGCAACCACCGGGGGGGAACCATTTAAAGGCTTTGAAAGTACACGGCTTTTTCGTGCGTACTTTCTTTCTCTTTTCTTCTCTCTTCTTTTGTTTCCTTTGCTTTTTATTCGCCTCTCCCGACCCCCAAAGATGACATAATAGGACAATCTTCAAAAACAGGGATTGAAAAGGAGCCGAGAAATAGAGAAGAAAAAATATATATAATGTTCGTGCGCATATATATATATATGTATGTGTAGGTAGGTTTATGTGTGGTTGCGAATATATGCAAAATACGTATGTAGGGGTACGTGCGCGTGTATGTTTGTGTGCGCGGGCGCGTATGTGGGCTGGTGTAGAGAAACGATAACTTCGAAAAAAAAAAAAAATTGGAACTGACCTAAGTGTGTGTGGCCTGTTTCTTACTTGGATCTCTCAAGGCTTCGAGCAAGCATGCTGGTGCTGCCTTGGGACCTTCGTCTCCGACACCCTGAGCATCAACAATGCATAGCCCATTTATCCCAATTGGCTTCTCTTAATTAAAGGCGTCCTCTCACAGACCGGCTCGGCGAAAGCGGATTCTTTAATCCTATCTTTTTTTTTCTTCCCTCTTTATTTTTTTCGGTGGGAGTCGAGGGTAAGAAGAGGTTGGGAGGAGCAGAATAATAAGGAGGCACGAGGGTGCATCGATGAATGAATGGAGTGAGATTGATGGGACGAATGAAAGAAGGTGAATAAACGAGTAAAACGAATGTTATAAGTATTATAATGATAAATACCTTAGGATTGAGTTGTTGATTCATTCGAGGAGCCTCTCTGTCAGCAGAGAGGCGTAACTCCTTCGGCCGAAAAGTGGCTGATGACAGTAATAGAGCTGGAACTGGAACTGGAACTGGCGACGGGGGTAATGCTGTGGTTGCTGCTGAGAGCAGCGGATACGGATCGCGAATTAGCTATTGCAATAAACGGTAATTAGTTCCGTATTCTTCTTTTTTATTTTTTTATTTTCTGGCAGGGTTCCTAAAGGAACAAAAACCGAATGCAACGGCTTCCACAAAACTCAATGAGCTTAGGTAGGCAGGGTAGGCAGGGTAGGGTAGGGGAGTCCAGGGGGTGTGTCTGGGGGCCTGAAGGGCCTAGACATGTACATCCCAGGTAGGGTATGTAGGTACTTTATCCACTAATAAGGCTCTTCCCGTCAGAACCTTCTCAACTTTATGCCAAGTGAAGGGTTCAAATGTTGCTCGAGACTTCCCATAGATACCCGCGAGGTACCTGGGCCACCTAACATATAGGCCCACCCACTACCTAAAAAGGATAAGTACCTAGGTAGGTAGTAGGTACTGCACCTAATATAAGGCTCTCGATTTTTTTTTTTTCTTTTTCTTGCTGCTTATTATTATTATTATTATTTTTTTCTCTTTTCCGTTCTTCTTCCTTCGTATTTCTCTCCACATTCTACATCGCAAGTATACGCATCGACTACCCGCTTTCCGGTCTCGATCGATAGGAATGTACCATGGTAGACAGTGGTCAGGTAAGTGATTGATGTATGTATGTCAATCTCAGAAGGTAGGCAAAGTAGGGTGGGCTTGCTGCTTGCAGATATGAATGAGTCCAGGGGCCAGGATGTACACCGACCTTTGAATAATCCACTGTAACCATCGGCGCCAAGTGGTGAATTGATTGATCGGTGCTTCGGCTGCTGCTGCAACTGCATACACCGTCCCGTAGCGAAATACAACGAATAACAAATCTAGACAAATTAAAATTATCAGTCAGCTCCCATTCCCCAATAAGAATGATTTATTCTTGTTTCTTAAGAAGAAGAAAAGGGAAAACAAGGCCAACCAAGGAACATCGTCGAGGGGAAGAGAAACGGAAGGAATAAACAATAATAGATTAAATTGTGCAAGTTAGCCAGCCAAGATGTCGAGGCCCTTCGAATCGCGACCTCGCCAAACCAGCAATGCGAAGATTCGCGTTGCGGTTCAGTCGGGTCAGTCTAGTCGAGCTTAGTTGGACCGGCCTGAAAGTCGAGTCGGTTCATGTCGAATCAGAAGCCAAGTACCTAGGTAGGTAAAGAATTCGCCGAACGGGTCAGGCTGAATCAGTCTGTTGTGATGTATCTTCGATGCCGATGAAGCCGTCGCCGTTCCTAGTCTCCGCTTCTCTCGCTGTCTGTCTCCGTATATGTGCGTGCGCCCTCGCCTCGCAATCTGCTTGGCGCATCACGGTCTGGGATCGCGATCTCGTGCGTGGCGTCTGCACAATATCCCGACCAAAGTGGGAAACATAAGAAAAAGAAAACTAGGTACATACCGTCCCTATCGGAAAGGGGCACTAACGTGCGAATTTCTATATGCTAAACAATTCGAAGGGAGGAGGGCCCTAGGAGTGCGTGTCAGCGCTGCTGCTCTCTTCGCTGCAGACTTTTTTTTTGGCGCAATTTGATTGACCAACATGGCGGAGGCTAAAGGACCATGCACACCAATATGCCTACCGCCATCTTGGGTCAATGGCGCGCCATGCGTATCAATTTGGAACAGGGTACGGGATGACAGCCAAATGAAACAGGTATAAGTTCCCTTTGATGATCTCACAGGACGCTTCGCCATGATCAGCCTCTAAAAACGTTAATGGTACGGCTTACCTTATTCTATCGACCGCATTAAGCCTTGCTTATCATAGGGTTAGATCCCGTTCTGCCGCTTGTTACCCACGTAGGTAGGCATGGGGCTCGTGTATCCGACTCGTAGGTACCGTGGATACCGTAGAGGAGACAATGGAGTTGTTATGATCAACCTTTATGGCTGGATTATGAGAAGTCGTTTAGGTGATGTGAGATAATAATGTGTAGAGAAGTGGCAGGCTAGCTAAACAGCACGAGAATGGCTGGGCTCTATAAGGGTAATTCGTATATACCCCTTTCTTGAAATAGTTTAGAAACCGGGCGTGGTGACTTTAGATCGTACGATAGGTAGCATAGGCCGCGCAGACTAGAGGGATCTTGGGAGGAGAGATGGGGAGTATCACAAGGTAGTGTATGTGGGTGAAGCCAACGCCTTTGAACTCGTAGCAGGGTCCTCAAATTTCGATCAAGCTTCGGGAACAAGACGATGGAATTTCTGATAATATTCGTAAATAGGTTGAGTGGATACTACTGTTGATTCCCACTTGGGACTGAACAAGGTGATAATGGTGGTAGTGCGGGTGGTGCAAGCTGGGGGAAACTTTTGAGACAGCAACTGCTAAGGTCATCCGTGAATCGTGCGGAGAGCTCGAGGCGCAATCGGCCTTTTTTATTGTTAACAGCTGGCGTGCCGCTCCTTCATATTATCGACATGACCAGCGGGCTGCGCAGTGATGTATGAGCTGGACAAGGTATCTAGGTGTAGCCCTATGTGCCTAGCCAAAGAATTCTAGAGACGAGTATCTACGGGGATGGGCAGCACAGGCTGTGCCTCACATCAGCGTTGGCATCAAGGTGGAGTTGCGTCAAGCGAGATCAAGTGAATGTTCTGCCGAATTAGACACAAGGCACCTGGGCAACTTAGCTCCATCTTTCCTCCATGACAATCAAGGCAAGAAGCCGTTCGAGTTGCAGGGCTTATGCTTCAAATTGTTTTAGTTCTTCCAGCCTAAAGCCAAACAAGTCCTAGGGCGTGGCCACAGACTCCTAATCTGCTCGGTACTGAAATTAGTATTCCTGAAATTAAACTGGCTGGCCCCTTCCTAGGAGAATTCCGGTATCACTTCAACCTACGAGTCGAGAGCCCAGCATTGCAACTCTGCGACTCTAAGTCTCTGGCTAGGAGAATATCGCATAGCTCTCGTGTTAGTATTTGCCGCGAATTACTTCCGAAGTGGTCCTTAGCGGTCATAGAAAATAGGACAAAGTAGACAATAATAATAGGAGCACCGGTAGCCTGGGAGCCGGCTGACGAGGAACGGAGTTCCTCTATGCATCATTCCTGCACGTACCCTACCGTCAGTACCTCTACGAGACGCCACAAACACCTTCTGGTAATTGGTAAGGGACCTACTTGGCCAACTTGTGGTCCAATCCTCGGGAGACTGCATGGAAAGCCTACAACGGTTTGGTTAACTTTTGACAGCCATCGCCACTTTGAGTTAGAAAGGTCTAACTGCTAAGTATCTCCACTAAGGCTTCCATTTGTCTTAGCAGTTCTTTTTCTTTTTATAAAAATAAGTCGTTTTTTTATTCGGTAAGGGTTATACTTACGGCGGGTAGGTATCCTTGCGGTATACGAGC